AAGGAACGGCGACATGCTCATGGCTTGTCGGAGCTTGTGATCTCAGACCTTGGATGCCGGCTCGTGGCAGAAGTCGTCGCTGTTCAAATTTCAGACACAAATTCATGGAGTGTGGAACCGCAGTGCCGACTTAGACAGGGGCCCGCCGTGGCGGCCAAACACAAGCCTGCGTCCGGTGTTACAACTTTGATGTCCATCTGAAGATGGCCACCTATGCGACCATGTGTTAACATGATATCAAGGCCTCCCTCGTACGAGTGAAGGAAGGTGCAATGACGTTTCAGTTGGCGTCTGCGGGGCGGCCGTTCGATCGAAACTCCGCACGAAAGCCGACGACCCCTTTGCTTCTGCTGGCGACAGACTGACTCCCCAGAGACCATCTGACAAGGCAACCCACCGACGCTTTCCTTTGTAATCCTCGACCACGTCGATGGTGCTGCTTCAGGGATGATTCTCCCGGTTGAGGACGGTAGTCAGTCGTTTGCTGCGAGAGGTGACACCGCCGCCAGTCCAGTCGAGGAGCGTCAAATGCAATCACTTGCGATGAGCGATGGGAGCCGAGGCTAACGAATGCAAAGCATCGAGGCCTGTGCCAGCGATCAGGCCGGCAGGGATCGAGGCTGCCTCACTCTGAACTCAGAAGAGGCACGCAGCGTTCGCACGTCGGACGCGTGAAGGCGCGTCCAATCGATCCGTGTCGATTTCGAGAAAAGTGTTGGTTTAAGGCACGGGTAAAAAGTCCAACACCTGCACTTGACCAGTGTCCCAGAATCGAGCTGCACTTGGCTCATGGCCGCACAGACACTTTTTTGGTTTTAATTTTGGGTTTCCAGAAATCAGGAGTCTGGGTTGCCTCAGGACGTTGCAGGATGCAAAAAAGTGGATGGCCGTATATTCATTCAGGCCTCGTTTTTCTGGATTTTCTTTTTCTTTTTCGGTTTTTTATAATGAGTTGGAAATCTTCGCTTGGGGAAATGGATGAGCAGGCGCACATCGAACGCGCGCCACTGGGAGCTTATCGAGCCGTAGCAATTGCATCTCCGCTCGCTCGCAGCCAGCGTGAGAGAATTTCAGTGGGACGTGGGCGTCACCATGCCGGCTCAACCGGTCATCATGGATGCCGTGAAGGAGGGAGGCCATCAACGTGCCTTGCACATTCCTCTTGCCTCCTCTTCCTGGTCTATTAGCTTGCCTTTGTTGATGGGCTAGTGACAGACGAGAACAGCTCACCGAGACATGCTAGTTCAGCAAGTCAGCGCCTTTGACTTGCGTTGCTGCCCTTTGTCGCGGACGGGAGAGACAGTCTTCTCTTTCGGTCTAGCGAGCAACGAAAGGACTTCTTTACTGCAACCTGTAAAGCTAGTTGAACTAGGAGCTTCGCTGGCAGGTCGAAACTCAGATCGAGCCATCCTACGTGTTCCTGATCCCGCAAAGATTGCTGCACGAAGCGAAACGGGAAACTGCAGCAGCCGCTGGCCAGCATAAGCGAGGCTAGGGTTCGCGTCGATCCGATAGCCGAGTGCGGCTTGACATCCATCTGAACCTTCGTTGGTGCGTCTGGCACTTGTCAGAGCCCTCGTGAAATGCATTAGCCGCCAAGCGAGATTGAGGCTGTCCTCGGTGTCGCTGTACGGCTACATGGCAGCATGAGATATGGACTGTGGCGAATCGGTGGCAAATGTCAGCCCAATATCGCTTATGGCACAGCGCAGTTGATGCAACGCGAACGTTGTGGGAATCTGTCGGCTATCGTGTCAGTCGCCTTGTCCTTTGCTGTCCTTCAGCCGCCCAGGACCTTTGCCTGACATTGTTTTGTCTGCCGTTCGTGCTGGCTGTCGGCCTGGGACGTACACGCTGCAGGCTTTACCGGTCTGAAATGTCAAGACCACCAATGCGCCTCTCGGGAACTCCATCCCGCCACTTGCTAATCATTGTGTTCGTCTGAAGCCAACACATGGACAATAGTACTGCGGGAATAGAATGCAGTGCAGAACAGACGCACAGTATAGTGCTGTTGGAACACAATACAGTGCAGTGCGGTACGACGGGAGTCCGTTCACAATACTCTCATTGTGCCGGTCTTGACGAAACGCGCCTGGGGCACACATCTGCAGCGGGAGATCGCCATGCAAGCGCGCTTTGGTAGCCGCTGTCAGTACCATTGTGCACGCGGTCAATTTGCCCGCTCACCTTCTGCCGAGTCGTTGCTTCCTCGCGTCTGCCTTGGCGCCGAGCAGACAAGTTCATCTGCCAGTCAGCTTCCATGAGAGGTTCATTGTCTTGTGATCGGCACTGTCATCCCGTCAGGACATCATACGACACGGCGCAACGCAGACATTGCGGATTTCGGGTTGGGTAGCTCGTTTGATGCCTGCAGAGTGCTGGTATACCTCAGAAGGGACGTGCGCACTCATCTTCGTCTTCGCTGCCTGCTCATCGTCCTGGATGCCGTGACAGCGCGTCCTCGGCCGTAGTAGCAAACTACTGTAGACACAAGTTTGAACTTTGACCTGTCAAGACGTCAAAAAAACGGAGCCCGAAATTAAGGTCGCGAAATCGTAGCTTGAACCTATGCTGCCCTGCTGTTCGACAGTCGATCGACACCGATCGCAACGCACGACTACGCCTCATTTTCATCGCCTATCTTCCCTACAAGCCGAGATGATGGTCCACGTCCACGAGCATGACCAACATATTGAAACAGTGAAGCTCACAGTACGCGCTATCGGTGCAACTTTCCACAGAAAGTACTGTCGAAGCAGCGGAGCCGCGGCCGGGCGACGGGTCAATGAGGTCAGAGCCAAGGTGGTGTCCGCAAGCCGGACAGGTCCCGGTCTCAGTGCCACAGCCGGTATCAGTGGCTTGACGTGCCAGCGTCGGGTTGCAACGCAAGAGGAATGGGAGACGGAGATTCAAATTATCGGTTCCTCTACCGCCTTCGCAGCGGGCTACGCTTCAATGGCAAACGGCACGGCCTGCCTTGACTCGCCTTTGACGGCCCAGCAACGCAGACAAGGGACGTGGATTGGATTGGAGCTACTGGACATGACAGGTCATTAGATCGGTTCCGAAGCAGGCACGACTGACTGCCACGGACCCCGGCCCTGCCAAGACGCGCGACTCTCGCTCCCGGATCTCAATCTGTCCCACGGCCCCGTTTCGCTCGATCAGGCACCATGCCGGCGTTGGGTTCCTTTTCCTCCAGAGCGTGGTCTTTCATGCTTACGTCTCGACGACAGCGTGCAGCATGCTATCCCATCAAAGCGCGAACCGCCCGGCAGCGCTTCCGTCGGGTAGCTGTTCCCACGCATCCCGTGCTCTCACATGTTGGAACGGCGTGTTTGACTCATCGTCTATCTATCATGGAACGACGCAAGTATTGGATGTAGTGAACTGGGACGAGAGTTCAGATGCGCAATCAGCCCCTGTCTCGGATTCAACGTGCGGGAGCTCGGCCCCACGCGAGGGGACCAGATTTCCTGTCTGTACCACGGAACACACGGCCCGGCGCGTTCTGTCGATGCCACGCGACCAGAGTTGACCGAGCGCGTTCTTCCAAAGACCACTCCCGTTCGCGTCAGCTGCAACACCAACACCCTCGAACGGCGTCAAAAGGGGGTCGTGCTGGCTTTGGATCTGATTTCGTTACAGCACCAGCAATCTGAGTTCACATGTCCTCATCTGCGCACCGCCCATTCAAATATGATTCTCAGACTGCACAAGCCTTCGTTTCCGATCGCGTCGCAGCAGCGCAAGGAATGCAATCAGATCGGAACGGGCAGGCAGTCGATTGACTGCGCCGTATGCGCACCGCTTACGTGCTTTCGGTCGGAGCTTCTCAGCGATACGATCGGTCGCCTCGCCACTTGAGGACCGTCGAGGTGGTGGAAAAGCCATAATCGGTCTTGACGGGCCGAGCGCGACCGCAGGTGGCTGCGTCAAAGCGAAAAAAATCTCAAGAAGATTCCACCCAGGAGATAGCATCTGTTGGCGCCTATCGCGCCGGTCATCCTCACTGCAGCTCAAGATCAGCGACTACAAGCCGATAGCCAAGCCTTTCCAACGTGTCACGGCCAGACGCACAGATACATAGCCCCGACTCGGCTGGAGAAGATGCGAAAGGTGATCTGCACGACTCTGGCTGTTCCTGCAGACTGGATCGGACCTTCAACTCAGGCGTGAGAGACAAGCTGCAACCCGTCCTGATGAGGCAAATTGAAGATGTGCCACATTCGGCATCGTGCGGCAGCATTCGATACCACTCACGGTTGTGACCGCACGCAGGCAAGTCCCGATGGCGATAACCTGTTCACAGCTGCAGGTTTGATGTCTGAAGGACGTGATCCGAGCTGCGAAGCTGCCACCAACGCGTCGCGACTAAGCCATCACTGCAGCCTTGAAACATGCACCCACCCCTTGTTTCACTTTTCTCTTGTCTCTCTTCGTCTCTGCGGTTGAGCCTCCCTCGTAGGCGTGCAAAGCTGTCACAGAGCGTGTACTAGCATCGGCTAGTCCAAAGTGTCACCTTTCCCTTTCCGGCATGTCCACCGCTCAACCTTCGAGATTTAGCTTTCGAGACCAACACGTTGTTCCCCGTCTGATTGGTTTCACTGAGTGACAATGTGCAGGTGCAGCGAGCCAGGACCTTCGCCGGGACATACAGTAGTGTTGTCGTCGCGTGCCCAAGCAACATCCTTCCTGACGCGGAGCAAAGATTCAGCGTGAAAGATCTATAATGCGGCTCTCCTCAGCAGGCGTCACGTTCGAGTGCTGTCTTTTCTTGATTAGCAGCCAAGTCGGTGTAGGACGAGCAGGGTCGGCACTCTGGTGAGGAGGAAGCGCTCCGCTCGTACGATACGAAACCATCGACCGAAGGATTTGCATCGCCGACTCTACGAGGTACATGGGCGCTCTGCTCGCGATGGCAGTCTGCTGGACGACGACGGCGACAGGCACGAACGCATTGGCAGCACCCACGAGACTGGATCTACTGTGTACAGCTAGAGCTTTGGTCTCGGATCACTACCAGGTGCGGACAAGGGGACCGGATTGAACCACTTGGGGCTGCGTTTCTGTATCGGAGGTAGATCGCAGATGAGGTGAGAGTCGCCTGGTCAGTATATAGTAGGAGCATCATGCCTGAAACGGCGGCCGGCATCTCCACGCTGTGACCACTTACCCCTTTGAACGCCTCCAAGCCTTCGTTGATGTTCTTGCCAACATAGAGCAATCGGCTTCTGTCAGAAAGCATGTTGTCTCGTGCCGATCCATCAATGTCGCCATCGGTAGAGTCTCGGGCCATGACGAGGGCCGACTTGGTGACGAGCACACTGTCCGGGCTGTTCTGTGTGAGTCCAATGGCGATCTCGATAGCTGCCTGATCCACAGCTGCTTGGCCGAGCTCCTCGGACGTCGACTTGGCCACCTCGACGAGTCGGTTGACCATGTTGTATCGATCATGAGCTTCCTTAGCGCTGATGGGGTGGCCGAGGAGGAGCAGCTCGGATGCGCGTTGATGACCGCAAAGCTGCGTGAGTCGAGGGATTCCGCCCATCGCCGCCACGACGCCTCTTGCTACTTCAGGCAGACCGATGACGGAGCGGGTGCTGGCTACAACCATGTCGCAGTTGAGGATGGTCTCGGTGCCGCCGCCCATGCAGATGCCGTCAACGGCGGCGATGATGGGCTTGGCGCTCCTGCGCGTGCTCATACCTCCAAAGCCGCCCCGCTTGAGCCTCTGAATGCTCTTGTTGACCTCAGCATCGGTCTGCATGGGCTCGCCAGTGGCATGTCGGATGGTGTCCGAGGTCTGGTTCTTGCTGAGCCAATCTTTGAGGTCTTGACCGGCGCAGAAGGCCCGCCCCTTGCCGGCGAGGATGATGACCCACAGCGACGGCTCAGTCTCGAACCAGTCAAAGACGCGGCAGATGTCTTCCTCCATGGCGTCTGTCATTGCGTTAAGCTGCTTGGGTCTGTTGAGCGTCATCTGAAGGACGTGGCGTGCAGGCGTCGTGAGGATCAGGTGAGAGCCCACAGTGGGCATCACCAAATTGGAAGTCGACATTGTGTGGAACTTGAAGCTAGACTGCAGTGCTCGAAAAGGTGATCGTTACCTCGTTGAAGGGAAGCTCTCTTATAAGCTGTGCTCTTGCTCCTGCTGCTTGGGCAGGGAAACGTCGAGGAGGTGGTGCAGCGCACGGGGTCCAACCCGGCTCGTCGGGTTTTCTTGACCGGCAATCAAGCTTAAGAGCCAAACCGAGCCAAAAATGCGGGGTTGACTAGATCACCGATGAGCCCCGTCCCGATCCACTTTTTGGACTTCATTTTGGCTGCGCTGCTCCACATGTGCCATTTGCATTGTGATTCAAGCTTGACACTGACCAAGTGCCTCGAAACACGCATGCGCTTCCGCCGGCGTACAGCCTCCCAAAGCTCTATCTTGAGGAGTGTGATATCATTGACGCTCGCTGCGCACAGCTTTTCTCTGTTCCACCAACAACATCACACCATTACAACCCCTTGATATCGCAAAAGGCCAACGACGATCTGACAAGATGACTGACGGCTCCGACATTGTTCTCATCCTGGGTGCGTCTTCAAATCTCTGCAGAGCTCTGCGCCGTGGCAGTTTCTAATTCCGTCAAGCTGACCTTGTGTCTTTGTTCCTCAATGCCTCTTGGCGATCAACAGTGGCCATCATCCTTCCACCGGCGGCAGTGGCCTTCATCACAGGTGTGGGTGTGGCGCAAAGGTAGACAGCAGGTCAAAGCGTCGAAGCAAAATCGCTGAAAGTCTCTTCGTTGCATTGGTTCTCCTTCTTGACAGTGCTCATGTGATCTGATGATCAACATCCTGCTGACCTTATTAGGGTAAGTTTCGATGTACGAAGCCTGTCTGGTATGAGTGCTCCCGGCTGACATCCCTCTCCGAGTGTCCTTGCTTTCGCGTTCGCTCTTGACCACGTACACAGATACTTCCCTGGCCACATCCATGCTTGTAAGTGGGCGCATCTGATTCGGGCGGACTTACCAATTCGAGCTGACCCTGTGAAATATCTCTACCACTTGCAACTACAACAGTCTGGCTCATCTACAAGAAGATGAAGGCCGAAGAGCGCTACAACGGCGCTGTCACGTACCGAGGAAACGGCGAATGGGTGCCCAAGAACGTCCAGCCCGTGCAACCTGTCTACGGCGCACCGCCTCCGTCTTACGGCGCGACCCACTAGGAGACCATCCAGCGTTGACGTAGAGCTGTACATTGTTCATCCTCCGTCGAACATTCTCCGCGCGTCCCAGACTCGCCTCTGCTGTACTTTTGTTGCCCAGATACCATCTCGCTATTCGAGACGCTCGACTGTCATGTTCTAGCCTCTCAGATAAGCTTGCCTCAATGCACCTACGGACAGTGCTCACGATTCTTTCACCACCCTGTGCGTACCGAGCTGTGAGAGCTGCGGCCTGAGGTTCTGGCTGGTCTTCAGGGATATGATGAACAGCAAAGGGCGAAGAATGACTGGATCGGAGCCAGATCGGGCGCTATGACGCGTGCTGAGTTTTTCGGTTGCTTTCAACACAATCAAGTCACCACGCTGGCCCATGCTCAGCTTTCCCAAAAGTGGTAGCTTACCAACTCGGATCTTTCTTCTCGCTCCTTTTAGCCATCACTTCTCCCTCAAAGGCGTCCTTGTCCCGTCAACTTGTCACATCGTATCAAGGTGAAGGATCGACCCCCACAACTGATGCGACAAACCATGTTGCGGCCTCGAGGCCGCGGCGATCTGCTGCGCTTCGTAGCGTTGACAGACTCGATACAGCCAAGCACGCCTTCTCTGCTCTCGCGCAGAGTGGCCATTGCTCAGCCGCTCGCTAGCTCTGCACTAGTTCTTGCTCGACCGCCACCACATATCTGCATTTCGTCGAGGCGCTACTACAGTCGTGATCCGCTTCAAGCTGAGCACGAAGCCAACACAGTCCGAGGCAACCGCGCGGCACGGAGCCGGATCGAGGAACAAGCTCGACAGGATCAACAGGGCAAAGGCAAAGAAAACGGTGGCTCCTACCAGCAGAAGCTTTCAAGATCATGGTTCGGCACGCAAATCAGATGGTATCCCATTCCAATCCTTCTTGGTGCAGTGGTACTTGTGGGAGTCCAAGCTCGAAGGAATTACAATGCAGAGCAGAACGGCAGAGGCGTCGGTACCAAGATCGTCGACGAGAATGGGCAAGTCGTCAAGATGCAAGGTCCGTGGACCGTCTATGTTATTGGAGCACTTCCTCTCAACGCCATCTCACGTGCCTGGGGCTGGGCGAACAACATCACGCTTCCAGTCTGGTTTCGTCCCTTCGGCTTCAAGCTTTACGCCTATATCTTTGGCTGCAACCTCGACGAGATGAAGGACCCTGACCTCACTCACTACAAGAGTCTGGGCGAGTTCTTCTACCGCGAGCTCAAGGAAGGGGCTCGCGAGATCGACGACAGCATCCTCGTCTCGCCAGCTGATGGAAAGGTTTTGCACTTTGGCGAAATCGCTGGTCGACGGGTGGAGCAGGTCAAAGGCATCACATACTCGCTCGATGCTCTGTTGGGTGTGACGAGCTCTCCAGAAACAACGGAGAACGTGGTCGGCAACACCGCAGAAGGCGCAGAACACGAACGACTCGACGATCGGCAGTTTGCGTCGGTCAACGGAATCGACTATACTCTCGACGAACTTCTCGGCGACGAAAAGAGCAAGTCGGCTCTTCCTGATGAGGACGAAGCGCCACGGCGCAAGAAGAGCTGGAAAAGGTTTGGCAAGGTATCCTACTGGAAATCTTGGGTGAAGCGCGCGCCGCCCAAGGGCTCGAACACCACGGGCGTGCCACCTTCGGCAGCTCCGACTGGCTCAAATGCCGACAATCACGATGATGATGACGATGACGACGACGACCAAGACGCTCCTCCGAAGAAGGATCCTGAAGCAGCCAAGAAGCCGAAGCAGATCGACGATGCAGGCATGCCGACACCTGACACGCCAGAAGTGCTGGGTCGGTACGCCAATGTCGCATACGAGATGGGTGTCAAAGCTCTGCCACCCTTCCTGCAACCGCACTCGCCTGGTTCGAAAGGCCTCAAAGAAGGCAACAAGCTCTTCTTCTGCGTCATCTACCTTGCACCTGGAGACTACCATCGCTTCCACAGCCCGACCAACTGGGTTGCGGAACGTCGTCGACACTTCCGTGGCGAGCTGTATTCGGTCTCGCCCTACATGGCCAGGCGACTCTCGAACCTGTTCGTGCTCAACGAGCGCGTCGCTTTGCTCGGGCGATGGAGGCACGGCTTCTTTGGCATGGTCCCCGTCGGCGCCACCAACGTCGGCTCCATCCGCATCAACTTTGACAAGGCGTTGCGCACCAACGTTCGCAAGCAGCGCTACCTCGCCGGCACGTACTCGGAAGCCTCCTATTCAGGGGCGAGCAAGCTGCTCGGAGGTCAGCCACTGGGAGCCGGAGACGAGATGGGCGGTTTCTTGCTCGGCTCGACCATCGTGCTCGTCTTTGAAGCACCCGCCGAGTTCCGCTTCGATCTCAAGCCGGAACAGAAGATCAAGGTGGGCGAGCGCCTGGGTGACATTCGCGAGCCCGCGCCTGAAGAGCGGGAGGACAGGAGGAACGGTCGCCAAGTGTGAGTCACAGTCAAAAATGGGACGGAAGTCTGCTATACCCTCACTCGCGTCCGCGTGATCTGTTCAATACAAGCAGCGCGGACGGCAGGCGCTTTGGAATCAACAGTCAGAACCACATCGCTTGCGCCTGTGAGAAGATGTCCTCGAGAATCGATGCTGTGTGAGGGGTAGTGTACAAATGAGGAGCCGTCAAACACGCGCGCCGAGATCTTGAAGCAGATCGTCCATGGTCTTGCGCAGCTTGTTCTGCATATCCGGTGTGGCCTCGAGACCTTTGATAGCAGACTCCAAAGCGTCCAGTGAGTCCCTAGCATCGTTCCGCAGTGCATCACTCCTGTTCCTCGTTGCGAGCAACTCTTCATGAATCGTCCTGTTCTGTTTCCTCACCGCCTCGAGTTCCGCTCTCAACTCCTCCACCCTTCTCTCCTGGTCCGGAATGGCCCGGGCCGAAATGGCCGTTTCCAAATGCATCTCTTTGCGCCAAACATCTTTGATCTCCTCCGCCCCCTCGTCGTATCCTGCCTGGTACCGTGCGTCTGCCTCCTGCGCCAACCGGTGCAGCGACGCCAGTTTGGCTTCGAGATCGTTCGACTCGATGAGTTTCTCGGATTCGTCGATGATAGCGTCTTTGAGTTGGCTGACGAATTGCTGGCGGAGCGCCTCGACCGAGTCGCTGTCGATGTGCGGGAGCGCTTTGACGAAGGAGGTGCTGGTGGCGCGGTGATCGATCAGGTCGAGGAAGCGGTATAGGGCTTGACGGAGGCGGTCGAGACGCACGTTGGCATTCCCTTCCGCTTCTTCCGGGGCCGTAGACTTGCGTGACTTTTTTCTTGGTTCGTCGGATTCTGCAGATGGACCGGACGCGGATGCTCGACTCTTCCGCGAGCTACGCGCCGGTTGTGACGGTTCTGCTGACTCGACATGCGCACCCGTCGTCGCCTCCACCGCCGCCGCTTCCGCCTCGTCCTCCCCTGTTGGCGCTGGAAATATCGACGCGGCCGCAGCAGGGATGTCGCCTTCTACAGCACCAAGCGCGGACGTCGAGGACTCCCCATCGCGCGCCTCTCTTCGAAACGAAAACGACGTTTCCCGTTCCTCGTGGATGCTCTCCTGCTCCGTCGCGAGCTGCTCGTCTGTCTTATGCGCTTCCGGCGCGAAGTGCTCTTCTGATGACATGCTGGGTTTTGAACGTGTGATGTGGCTGGACAATGGGAGAGTATGGTTGCCTGCGCCGAATAGTGAAGAGGCCGGTGTTGCGAGCGAAGCGGTGGAAAGTCGGACGCTGTGACACGAAATGTCGCCTGAAACTTGAGCGCTGGAAAGATGGCTGCGGATCAGAGAAGAGGACTGGCTGGATGAACGATGTCGAAGGATGGTTAAACGTGTTCAGAATGCGACGATTGGCTGACGGGATGAAGAGATGCAAAGGTTTCGAGATGGTGGAGGAAAGGGTCTGTTGTTCTCAGCGCGTGACGCGCTTTTGAGAAGTAAGCCAAAAACACTCATCGCGAGAGCAGAGGAGGCCTAACAGCTCGAAAAAACCAGGCCTACCTATCACTTCCTCACACCTTCTCCTTGATCTCGACTAGCACGCACGTTCAAGACCGGCAAAACCTGCATCATGACCCAAGTGCGAAGAGACTGGTGCAGAGAGTCTATGTGACATGCTGGCATCATAAATGCACGAAGCGCGCGAAGATACAAGTGCTACCACGATCTAGCATGGACGGGGCATTCCCGTCCCCTCTTGAACCAAGAGTCGATGCAACCACGGTGGAAGTAGCAAAGACACGGCAGTCTCGCAATCGTGCTGTTGGCAACAAAGTCTTCCATGCAGATCGAGCACTCTTTGCCCACGATCGGCGAGTCGCCCGGCAGTTTGTAAACGAGGTAGCGTCCGCCTTGCATGCTTCCACCTCCGCCGTTCTCGAGACAGTTACGCACGTGAGCCTCCTGCTCTTCGGACCCGCCTAGCGCGGAGAGCGAGGTGGAGCAGACCGGACATTCAGTCAGCTCGCTGGCCCGGCTCGAGACATCGCTCGGGGCCGCCAACGTAGAGTGAAGTCCGGCCTCATCCAATTGCGTCTGTGCACCAGAGCGGCTGGACGCTTCGCCTGCGCCCCGCGCTTGCGAAACAGCCATCATGGCTTCCGCACCCCGCATGGTCTGCAATTGCGGAGGCAGCTGGAGTTCAGCGTGGCAGCCGTTGCAGACGCGCGTCGGAGCGAGCATTTCCGAGGCTGCCATGCCGGGGAGGCTCGGATCGACCACAATCTCGGCCATCCTCAGCTGCGCACGCCTCGACGAGCAGGCATCGCAAAAGATGCGGCCGCAGCGTCGACAGTGATGCTTGCGAAGGAAGAAGGTGAAGTGACGGCCGCAGCCTCTGCAGTCTCTCGCCTCCTCGTCGCGTTCCCACTGCGGCTGCAGGTTTTGCTCGCGCATGGCTGGCCCAGTGCGGAGCGTTACCTTGTTGGGCGCTTCGTTGGTGGGCACGCGGAATTCGCGGTTGGCCGCGAGATCGGCGCTGCGGGCTGCAGCGAGCGATGTACCGGCCTCGGAGGGGGCGACGCTGTTGCGTAGTAACGTTGCAGCGCTGCTGTGACGCTGCGAGATAGGCGGACGGGACAGAGTGCCGGACGTCTCTCCGTTGACCAAACGGGTGAAGACGGAGGCGCCGTCATCCTTGTACGAGTTCGGGTAGATGAACTCATCGTCATCCTCGTCGGCGGCATCTTCGTCCTCGTCCTCATCCAGTCCGGTTGCCTCTCGCAGCTGACCGAGCTGAAGGGTGTATTCCTTGCGCAGGTCCTCAGCGCGGCTTCTGCGCTCGACATCGTCGTCTTCGAAAGCGGCGCGCAGCTCTGTGATGGCCATGTACAGTCGAGCGATACGCCTTGCAAGTTCGTCACGATCGTCGCCGAGTGCGTCAGCAGGAGTAGCACCAGAGGCTGCGCTCGAGCCGGCAAGAGCCTTGGCACGGCTGACGTAGTCGGCATCCGGCCCGAGCTGGGAGCATTCCAGCTTAGCTGCTTCCTGTGCGGCCATGATTGCAGCGGTGGACAGGCTGTGACCGTCGGCGCCATTCGGGTCGGTTCCATGTCCTGTTCCAACGTCCGACCCGCCCGAGCCGACACCTTCGCAGGCTTCCAGATCATCACCGAATTCGATGTCGAGACGACGGCGCATGACTCGGATCCATCGTCTCCTGCGAACCCACCCACCTGACGAAGCTTCTTGCTCGGCTTGCGCATTAGCCAGACCGGCTCCACCGGTGAGAGCTCTCGTCACCGAGGCACTCAGCCCACGTCCCTCAAGTAGGCGCTCGAGCGGGGGCGGCGGCTGGGATGACCACTTGTCGTCCAGCGCATCAAAGGACTGGGCATACTGCCAGCCTTGTTCGACATCCACGAGTGGGTGAGTGGTATCCAGCTGCCATTCGCTCAGCCAGAAGTGAGAGGCCTCCTCCTCAGCGTCGCCAGAACGAGCACCATTGGTGCTACGTCCGCCGCGGCGAGCTTGCAGGACAGATTCAGGTGTCGGTGTACTTGCCATATCGTCCTCGAGGCCATGATGCGGCTGATTTGCGCGCTGTGCGGCAACAGCTGCTGCGGCTCGCCTTCGAGCCACGGCCGGATTAACACGTGTTCGAATCCGTAGCTTATAGGGTACGGAGCGAGCAGGAAGGCCCACATCCTCTTGACGAACGGGAGCGTGGCGTGTGCGACTGGGAGCTAGAGGGCCCGGCGGCATCGAGCTTGGCGAACGGCGATCTGGCTTGTGAGCGCGGGCTGCACTCGAGGAGCTCCAGCGTGGCTTTGCGCCATGCATGGCAAGAGTTTGGAGTCGAGTATCGAGGCGCTGATTCTCGTGCAGGATGATGGGAACGGTAATGTGCAAAGCTAGAGGCTCGTAATGCCCGCGGCCGGGGACGATCTGACCAGGCTGAGTATGCGAAGGAGGATTTGACTTGGCGGCATTCCATCGCTCGGCCTCATAGCGCTCCAGCACCTCGCAGATGTAGACTTCAAAGGAGGCAGCGGCGACGTCAAAGGCGGTCTCGCCGGCGGCGTTGCGCACGAAAGGATCGGCGTGGTACTTTGCGGTCAGGTGGCGCACAATGGGCAGGTGACCCTTGGAAGCCGCATTCATGAGCGGCGTCCATGCCCCTCGTCCGCCTTGGATGTCGATCTGTGCCCCGCCACGATCGATGAGTAGGCGAACAAGGTCGAGATAACCGCGACTGCATGCATTGTGCAGCGCAGTCCAGCCGTCCGAGTCCTTGGCATTGGCATCGGCGCCGTGCGACAGGAGCAGAGAAGCCACGGAGAGCTTTCCGGCCATGGCAGCTTTGTGCAAAGGAGTCTCGCCCTCGCGATCTTCCATTTCGACGATGGCTCCCGCTTGAGTGATGAGCCAGCGAACAGTGTCGGTCTTTCCCTCTTTGGCAGCGTAGTGAAGTGGCACGAGACCGTTGCTGGGATTCGGGTCGTTGGCAAGCGCAAAGGAGGAGACACCTTGGCCCTCGGATAGGCTGGAGCACGCTTCCTCGAAGAATCGCTGCAGGTCAGACACAGAGCCGCGGCTGCAAAGAGCTGCTAGGATGTTGTAGTCGATATCGTTATGGTTGGAGGCCTGAGGTCGAGATCTTGCGACTGCAGTATCATGACTTGCGCTCCGATCTTCGTCTGCGGAGTCCTCAGGAAGCTGGCGTGTCTCTGGCCAGGCATCGGTCGGATCCTGCCCCTTTCGAGAGTCTGGAGCGGTCTGTTCTGTTACTGAGCCGCTTTCCAATTCAGCAATTCCAGGGTAGACGAATGTAGCTTCATCGTCTTGGTCATCTTGCTCCTCTGCGTTTGTATCTGATGTGTCTGCCGCTCCTCGATGCGAGTCTGCGCCGCCAATCCGTGATGCCTGGCGGATGGTCTCGTCGCCTTGCTGCGCATCAGGATACATGGAGTCGACGACGTGCGATGCCTCAGCTTCTTGTGACTGATGAATCATTTGATCCACAGAAGCAGCCCTATTGGGGCTCGAGCTGTACGCGCTGGTGAGAGGATCCTGAAAGTCGTTGGCAGCAGCGAGAGGGTCCGAATGCTGTTGCTGGTATCGAGATGGTGTCAAGACGGAAGCGCTAGCCGAAAGGGCGTTGTGCGGAGGTTTGAAGGTATGCGAAGATGAAGAGGAAGAAGTGACCCAGAGGTTCTCGGCTTCGTAGGGTGCAAACTTGGGTTTGCGAGCTTCGGTACCGTTGGTGGGTGCCCTGGAGCCGAACGAGGAGCTGGTGCGATTGAGCCTGGTGGACAGGCCCATGGAAGGAAAGCCTGATGCATCGTACGACGACTCTCTCGAGGAGGGGTCAGTGCGTCGATTTGGTGGAGCATGCATGCTTGCGCCAACTCCTCCATTGGCGTCAGTCATCGAGCGGCGGTTGGAAGAAGACGAGCTTCCGGCATGAGCCCAGACGTCGTGCGCGAGCTCGTCAGCGTCTCCATAATGACTGCCCGACGGAAGATCCGGGGCCGGCATGATGCAAAGTGCCAGCGACTCGAGGTTCGATGACAGAAGGGAGAGGAGCTAGACCCTGGCTGCTCGCTTTGATAGCTCGACGCGGACCTGCGTGTTGCACAATTGCGCAAGCATGTGTGTTGGTTGCAAGGTGTTGGACTATTTCTTGATTTGTCATGCTTATCAATCAGATCTCGGACGGACACGCGACAGTGAGACCAACACGACAGCTCGGCGCTGTCGATCTGTGCCGCATAAGCGAGGAGCGTCAAAATCATTTGACAGCAAGGCAGGAGCCGCGTTTCTGTCTTGCCGCTTCGCACGTCGATGATGGACAAAGGCGCATCCATCGCAGCTGGGTCTGCATGAGAGAGCGTGGACGATTCGAAGTCTGTTCAACCTCAAGTCGACAGAACGATTCGATGCAGGAATCTGCTTGGGTGAACAGCTTTCTTTCCCACAGGCGTGGAAGCCGAGCTGCATTTTGCGGAAGTCGCCGAAGGTTGTCAAAGGGACCTGCTTGATTTGATGCAAGCCCACCTCTAACTCGACTTCCATTTGACGGACGCTGGATCGACACTGCCTGCCACACTCACCCTTTTCAGCTTGTTGGAACAGAGGTGGCTCCTGATCCAGGTCGGTCGTGCTGACCAAATCACTTTCGTCTTGAATCCGCCAGATGGACAAGAGCTGCTAGCAGGGCAGGGTCGTGGAGGACCGACGTCGCGGTCCAAGCTCAAGAACAAGACATCTCGAATGGACGATCCAGGCTTAGTTTGCACGGCCGCAAGTGTGCATGTTTGCATGAAGACAAAGGAACATGTTTGCTTTGCTCGACGTTGATCGCATGGTTCAGCCGTGTGAGCATTCGGCCGTGGAAAAGTTGATTGTCGCAAAGCAGCATGCTGTAGCTCATGCTTCCGCTATGTGAGTCGGCGAACTGCGCTGTCACAGTGTTTAAAATTTCAATAAAAAAAAAAGAGTCAAGGACGAACGCGCTTGGCACACGGAGAGAGACCCACACCAGCACACACACACACACGCACACGGCATGCAGCTCTCATGCACAACGCGCCCACGTCTCCGGCAAGCACTCCGAGTCGCTTTGCATTCGGCACCATCCCAGTCACACGTCGGCGTCGAGCCGACCAAGGCTAACCCAACGGCGGTGGTTCCGCCTGCGCTTTGCTCCTCTGCGGCGTGCCCCTCTGACGCTAAGGTGGGCAAACAAAAGCTCTCCAGTCCACGTTATCGCTGGACTGAATCACGATCAAGCTAGAGATGCGGAAGTGCCGTCCGCGAAGCTGACAAGCGTGGGAACGTCAAATGCGATGACAGAGGATGGTTTTGGCAGCGCAGTCGGACGTGTGTGTGGGGACCAAGAGGATCGTTCAAATGGAAGGGCAACACGCAGTCTCCGAGGCTGCCGCTTCGGTCACACGCTTTTGGCTAGATAGTGGGTTTGCTGCCTGTTTTCTTCACGCGACCCGTTTGGCCCTGCTTGCTTGCTTGCTTGTTCGTCTCCATCTTGCCTTCCTACACCTCCATCATCTGGACTCCCCTTTCCGACCCCCCTCTCATCCTATTCTCGGCCGTCCATCACCCCACCACAGTATCGATCCGCACATCGCTCTCGTCTCGAACCAACTATCTGTCACTCGCTCTGCATCCCGTCTTCGCCACTCTTCATCGTCTCAGCATCCAACGCCGGTCGTTTCTCTCACACATAGACATTCACGCTCTCTTTGGGTCCTCCTCTTTCGCTTCTTCCAACCTCGCGTCTCTTGCTTCAATCTTAAGTACCGCGACGGCCAATCACATCAATTCGTTCCTCCGGACTAGCCTCGCTCGAATCGACACTTCTTTCGCATTGACTGCATCTCGACGTTGATCTTGGCGGGTTTGGATCTTTGCCATCCTCTTGGTCTGCCTTACCGCGTCTGTTTGTTTCGCGTCTCTCGCAGGTCGTTGACGACCCAGCCAGCATCATCCCAACAGCTTTAGTCAGGCTCGACCTGCCCTTCGCATCACCATGCCATATCCACCGAGAACAGGCGAGTCTGCGTCCAGCATAGCTTTCTCCTTGAATCCTCGCGACTCCCGTGTGGTCAGCATCTACGACAAATACTTGTACGATCCAAAGGACCTCGAATCCTCGGATCCGCGCCGCCGAGAACTCGCGCGCAAAGCAAGTCAGCTCAAACTTCACGGTCGCCCTGCCAACGATCTGGACGCCAACGGTCTGCGCGCCGCCAAGCCCTCCAATCTAGCTCAGCGCAGAGATCCTGTGGGCGCCGGCTCATCCAAAGACCAGCGACCAAGTCGTGTCAGCACACATTCACAAAGCCATGATCGCGACTCGGGTGCTTTCGGTCTAGGTTTGGGCATGCTCGGAGGAAGCGACTCCGAGTCGGATTCGGATAGCGACGACGACCGCGCGCGATCCAATCGATCAGGTCTCGACAGGCTCGAGCGCAGTCAGGACTCGCAAAGGCCCGAAAGCTGGACCGATCGCGCCGTCGCCGTCGGACACCGCCCTCCTGATAGTGCTTCGCAGAACCCGCCCTCGCTTAAGCTCCTGGCGCTCAAATCGTCAAGGCAAACCAGCGTCCTTTCCAGCACCTCCCGCGACGAGAGTCACAGTAGGCTTGCCGTCGACAGCAACTTCGTTGACCGAACATCACGCCACGGCAGCACCATCGGATTTGGGGCTCCCACCACAGACGATGAGCATCTTTCGAAATCGGTCGACTCCAACAACGGCGCCCAAAGGCTCAGCGCCCGCACAGCCTTGACCAAGCAACTCGGTCTCATCACTCCGAACCCAGTGCCGAGCAATCGTGCCCCTTCCCCCAACCAGCAGGCAGCCCCTCTCGATTACTTTGACAGTCGCGCTCCCAACGCTACTCAAGCTCGCTCGCCACCTCGCAACGCAGGTCCTCCGCCCATCGATGTTGCTCGAGCTCAACAGCACGGTCCTTCCGGTCCTTCTGGCTCGCAAAACAGCGCACGTGGCATTCCGTCGCCCATCGACATTGCTCGAGCTCAACAGCACGGTACCTTCGGCTCGCAAAACAGCGCACGTGGCATGCCGTCACCGATGGGATCGCAGCACGGATCCGTGACGACACCCAACAGCGCGACGCCTTTCCGCTCTCCAGCCTACGGTCCTGGTGGCTTGCCATCTCCTCATCATCATCCACTTAACCAAGGACCCATGCCGCCGAACGTCCTGCAAAGAGGCCCGCCTTCGCCGTATGGCCAGCGTGGCCCGATGACACCGACTGGGCCCGGTGGACCCGGCGCTCCAAACCAGCAACCGTACAACAATGGTCCGAACCGCCCTGCACCGAATGCGGCTCATCCCTCTTCGCTCCAGGCCGGGCCTGGCGCCAGACCTCCACAGCATCCCAACAACGTGCAGAGAGGACCTGGCCTGCAGGGGCAGATGAACGCCGCAGGCAGAGGTCCGCCCGGACCCAATGGGCAGTTCGGCCCGTCTTTCTCGGATGCTCCTGGTCCTTCGAAGCGGCAGTCGATCTTCCGAAGATCCATGGCCATGCTTGGCGGTGGTGGGCCTCAGGCGGGTCCCCCTGGCCATGGTCCTGGATCTCACGGCGCACCGCGACCGCAGCCGGGCCAGAAGCGCCAGTCCCTTTTCCGACGGAGCATGGCTATGCTCACAGGAGGCGGAGGACCACCCCACGGCACCAACGGACCGCCGCCACAGCTACCCGGTCAGCAAATGCGCATGCCGGTACCTGCCGTTCCTCGCGCTTCTCCTGCGCCGCGTGTGCAAGGTCTGCAGGACGACTTTGAGAAGCCTGATCATCCACGTAAATCGCAATACCTTGGCGCCGGTGGTGAAGGAGCAGAGTGGGACACCAACGGCGAAGGGGCCAAGTTCTGGCGTCGCTTCTCCATCGCGCAAAAGACGGCTGGCACGGACAAGGTCGAAGCCGGCAGCAGGACGTGGATGGCCTCCATGGCGAGCGGAAGGAGGAAACTCATCGTCATGAGTGTCATCGCTCTCGTCACCTTGGTCGGCATCATTGTCGGCGTCATCGTGTGGAGAGAGACGGTTGCGCCCTCAGGTTCCAACTCCGACGAGCCCACCGCGATCAACAAGGCCAACCTCACACCCGACAACGGCAACTCATCTGGGTCTTCCAGCATCAACACGGGAAGCACCACCAGAAGGGCCAACTCTGCAGCCACGTCCACAGCCAGCTCCAACTACTCGTCCAGGTCGTTGCATGCCGATGCGATCATCGACGACGTGGTTAAGCGGCACCACCGCGCCATCCACGATCATGGCGCACCGAAGATGCGCAGGCGACACTTTGGCCGAGCCGTCGCTGCAACACCGCCCCAGCAGCAAGCAGGGTTTGCCCAAGTGGACTGAGCGCATGCCTGCGTGGCTCGTCGCCGATCTTCGAAAATGCCAGCTTCGCAGGACGTGGCTGCGAAACCCTAGCTCTAATCCTATGCACACACCTGTTCTCGCCCGCCAGTACGGCGCCCTCTTTCTGTCTTTTCTTCGCTCTGTTTTGTCCAGGCTTCACCCTGCATCATCTGCAACCACACTCATTGTCGTCCCATTCCTCTTTCTCGCTGTCGCTGTCGTCTTCGTCTTTGTGCTCGTTGTCTTCGTTGATGTCATCATCACCATCGCCACAGCCATCGGTGCTGTTCTCATCGCGTCGTTGAACATTCTGCTCTTAGACTCGAGCCGGCCGGGTGTCGCCTGAGCACACAACATTCATGCTGGCCTAAACATTCCGAATCAATCGGTGGTGAGCTGTTCAGAAGATGCGGGTAGAATTGCTTCGATGTCGACGAACCACAGCAAGATAATTCCTCAAGGAGCAGCGTTGGCAATGCCAGCCTTCTTGGACGGATTCAGCTTGACATCGAGGAAGCTCTTGATCTCGCCGAACCTCGAGCTGAAGATGTTTATCGCCGCGGTATCGGCTGTGGCGAGGGATTAGATGAAGAAGGGATCATCAGTATCTGAGCTACCTCGCAACCCAGCATCGGGAGCATACTTACCAACTGGTTTGATCTTGCCGAACCTCTTGAGGGGTGCTGCTTCGCCGCGGTCGAGCAAATGGCGATGGTCTTCCGGCGCGAGCACCAAGGATCTTCGATAATACCACTTCTTCTTGTCGAGATCCGCATTGATGCTGACGCACGGCATCTCGCCGTAGCCGACCACATTGACGACGGCCCTCACGTCCGACTTGACGTCCCTCTCGTCGACGATCGACGTCAACGCATCGCATCCAGATCCAAACCCGAGCAACACGATCTTCTTCTCTCCCCCGGAGCTCCTTGCTAGCGCCACCACGTTGTCCCAGATGAACGCCGCCGCCTTCTTCGCCTCGTCCAGCTTGAGCAGCTCGACTTCCGTCGCCGTCCGCCGAACGCCAGAGGGAGAGATGACCTTTTGCGCCGAGAAGCAGTTGATGATGTTCAGATCGACGATGCCGTAGTTCCGCTTCTTGGCGTATTTGAGAATTCGTCTGGATGCATCGACGAGCTGCAAGGCGTCTTCCTCGTATGCCGCCGACGCTCTCGGTCGTTCCAAGCGCAGGTTGCCCATGTCGTGCACGAAGAAGATGATGGTCGAAAAGGAATCGAGGATGCCCTCGGAGCACAGCACGTGTCCCGCGAAGTGCCGGTGAGGCGTGGCGTCGAGGGGGATTTCAAAGAGGTCGAACTCGTTGGCAATCACGCTATTGCGGTATTCCGCGAGCATGTCGCCGATCTTGACGGCGTCAGGCGCCCTGGCAGGATTGGTCTCCACGTCGTTGACTCCAGCCCCCGCGACTTTGAGGCTCGTCCATTTCGTCTGGTGTTCCTCGCGCACACGTCGGACGGTTTCTGCGGCGATGGTGCTCGCGACAGTGCTGCTGGGCGGCAACGTGTTAAACGAGAGAAGTACGTCTGTGACCGCGAGGGCGCTGCTCGCCACGGCATCGGGATTGTACCCGCCTTCCAGAACGACGGCAACTTTGCCATTGCAAAGGGAGGTGAGGAGGTGCGTCATCTGCGCAAAGCCCCCGGGCGTGACCTTGTTCTGGCCAATGGGATCGCCCTCTGCCGCGTCGAAACCTGCCGAGATGATGACAAGGTCGGGGCTGAATTCTTGAGCGATCGGCATGATAAGATTGTGGAACGCATATAGATAGTCGGCGTCGCCCATGCCGCGGGTAGGCCAGGGGACATTGACCGAGTAATGCGCTCCGTTGCCGATACCGATGCTGGTGTAATTTCCGTAGGACGAACCCGGGTAGAAGCTTCCGTCCTCGTCGTAACGATGCAGCGACATATACATTACGTTCGGATTGTCCTCGAATGCGCGCTGGGTTCCGTTGCCGTGGTGGACATCCCAATCGAGGATGAGGACTTTCTGGATGTCGGGATTCTTCTGCATCACGACTTGTGTAGCGACGGCGACGTTGTTGAAAAAGCAGAAGCCCATGCTCTTCTGCGGCTCCGCGTGGTGGCCCGGAGGCCTCACGATGGCGAAGCCGTTCCGGATGCGACCGGAGGCAACGGCGTCGCAGAGCTCTATCGCTCCTCCGCAGGAAAGCCGCGCAGCATAGGCGGAGTGCTCGTTGACGTAAAGGGAGCTACTGATCTCGAGCATGGGCACCTGCTCCTTCAAGACGTCGGCGCGATACACTGGTACGTCGAGAGAAGGATGATGCGCAGAAAGATGTCAGCCGGAGCCCAGAATATAGTAGGTGCCACTGGCTCAACTTACGTGCTGATCGCGTCACACCTTCCCAGATACCTTTGTCGTGGACTAGGGCGACCTCGTCCTCTTTGGCCTCTCGGATGGGGATGCGTTTCATATGTGTGAAGAGATCGTGCTTTTTGAATCCGAGGAAGATCTTCCAGATTCGAAGCGGTCTCTCTGGATGTTCCGGCTCGATTGGGTTGACATGTAGCATCATGTCCGCCGAAAAGACGTAGCCGGTCCTGAACTTGTCTTGAGGCGAGCTTGTGTCCAGCGCGTCGTCCCCACCGCTCGATCCATTCGGCTGTAATGCATTCGCTTGATCGCTGCTGTTTGTCGAGGACGCAGATATAGATGCTGCGGGCGTGATGTCTCGAAGCGAATTGTTGGGTGAGTGCGCAGGCAAATTGACAGCAGCAGTTACGGGCACGACGTCGTCATCGTCATCAACCACGATGGGCTCTTCCCTGCTGGAGAAAACAGCGGATTGCGATGGTTCTGGCATGTCGTCGTCTGATGGCGGCAGGGCGCTGATGGCTAACCACGGTGGGCAGAAAGGCGGTCGGCTATCTCTCTGGGCCACAGCGATGGAAAGCCCCTTGGCGGGCAGGTGATGTAGGAAGGTTTGGGCTGAGCTCGGGGTGGCCCGAGGATGGTTCGTTATCGGAATCGAGACCCGCTGATGTAGGCTAGAGGTAAAGGTTGTGTTCCTGATGGAAGGAGCAAGCGAGCGGGGTGAAGAAGATGGAGGATGAGATGAATGGTAGTGTTGCTCTTGATTTGGAAGCTCTCAGGACTCGACAGGTTGGACCCTTGACTTTTTTGGGACTTAGCACAGCTGCGCAGCCTTCTCGCTGTGGGTGACGCGCCTGGCTACAGCAATAGAACGCGGACACGCCAAAGCCTTTGCTCAGGATCAGAGACCCACAAGAGCCTCGAGTCTGCAAGTCTGCGCAGCACACACTTCGAGGCCGACCATAGGCTCTGCCGTTGCAGCGCCGGCAAAAGATGCTGCCAAATGGGGTGAGGATAAGACTCAGCCCCACCTGAGCGCTTTGGCTAGGACTCACAACAGTCACTTGCTCAGAGACGAAGCAGAAGGGGGAGGCCCTCCTCAGCACATTTGAGACAGCACTGCCGACAGAGATGACATCAATGTGTTCAATTGCTAATCAAAGGGGATCCGACGGATGCCGGATCCGCCGAATGGCTTCTCCCCACGCAATGTTGAGCTGAAACCTTGTTGGCGCTTCTTCTCTTCTTCGGCCGCTGCGAAAGCGCTCGGGATGGGAATTCCGCAGCAGTCACCCCAGCCTGCAGCCTGCCCCTCGCCGGTACCGTGAGCATGGGGCTGACCTGCGGGATGAATGTGACCGTGCGCATCCTCTTCGGCGTCTTCGTCTTCCAGCTCTCCTTCTGTGGGTTCTGGGAAACAGAGCAAGCTTCCGAAAAAGATGTGCTGCGCGATGGGAAGCTTCTTGAGCACTTCGGCGCGGTACATCTTGATCATGCCTTCGTTGACCTTGCTCCACGACTTGGCGCCCGAGATGTCGTCGAGCATGGGCGAGTGCCAGCGTAGCGAGGCGGTCTTGACCGAGTTGATGAACTGGATGCAGGCCAGGTACATGTACTTGGGCGCGAATTCGTCGACAATCTCTGGGTCGTGGATCGCCTTGGGTCGGAGATGGCGATGGTTGCTAAGCTGACCCGCTCCCCAGAGGAACGGGAGAAAGTGGTAGTCGTCGAGGCCCCACACGCCATGACTGCCAGCTGGCTCGAGCCAGTAGGAGGACTGAATGTCGCGCATCACCTGGATGTAGGCCCAAAAGATGCGCAACACGATGGCTGGACCATCCTCGGGCAGACGTAGAATGCGCAATTTGCATAGGCAGAGTCTGAGTGACGAGCGCAAAGACAACAGAACAGGGGCAAGGTGAGGTCAGAATGGGTGGCAGGTAGCTGCAAGGATGCAAAGTTACACTTACATCCAACAGGCCATGTTGAGCTCCATGCCGCTTCCGTAATCGATTCTTTTGGCATTCCCCCAGCTCTCTTGGAAGTATACGGCCAGCTCGGCGCGTGCTGAGCGAGAAGCTTCGGAATCGTCCGCGAGACCTGGGATCATGCGATGCAAGCGATCGTTGTTCTCACGTATCTTGTCGTAAAACGTGCGAAAGGCGGGATTGCCGAAGCGGGAGGAGCCGATGGAGGCGTCTGGCGGTGTGGATTTGCGGAGGGCAGCGATCTCGTCGAGAACCTTCAGAACGGCCTGGCATGCTGGCGATTGGGGAATGTCATCGGTGAGGGTCTTGCCCACCACGCTCGTGTTGCAGACCCGAATGAAGGCGAGAATCTCGGCAAACGCCGCTGAGTTCTCGAACCTGTTCAGCGACGCTGGCGAGACAACGCGCTTGCGGGGTTCTTGGAAGGCGTGATCCTGGAGCGAAAAGGTCTCTATGTCGTCTGCCGTAGCTTGTGTCATCGCGTCTCTTGATGCTGCTTGAGTTAGAGAGCTTGGACCATCTGCGCGTTGCTCGTGTGATGAAGCCGGAGCTGTGGGCTGACGCAGCTTGGAGATGATGGCATCTTTGGCCGAGTCTGGCACTGCGGCGGCCAAAGCTGTTGGCGGCATTCCGAGGACCTTGGCTGACGTGGAGTGAGCGGAGTGAAGCACTACGTGAGACCAAAGCTGACGAAGAGGCAGGCAATAGCGTGATGCTGCGCAGCAAGAAGCACTACACTTTCGGCAGGGATCTGGAAGATGGCGAGCAGGTCGGAAGGACATTGAAAGTCGCAAATCCTCCACAAGTCGCCGCCGACTTAGCCGCAAGGGTCCTCGCGCAAGTTTTCTGATCGAGTTTGTTAGCTGTCAGGACCGAACATGATTCGGAAATTCAACCGCGTGATAGGTCAAGCTCGACACGACGTTGGTACCCTTCGCAGCTGTCCCAGCGATGAGAACGAGATGTGGCTCGGTCGTGAGTGTGCTGGGTCTCGAGTGGATTGGGCAGAAGAGCAGCAGCAGTGAGGTAGAGGGATCAGGGAGCATGGGCTGCGAGACTGCTTCCACCTTTCCCCGGTCCGTGTTTGACCCGACGGGCTTGGCATTTGCCACGTTGAATGCAAAGGCGAGGTCGCCGAGGTCGCCGCGGGTGCCGCTCGTCTCCTTCCCTCCGCTCATGCAAGTGGGCCGGCCCGTGTGGTTGACAACCGGTGTTCCTGGCAGTCGGGACCTCAATCATGCACGACTTGTGCCACAGGAAAACTCATCAAGTCGCATCAATACATGAAGGCCTCGAGGACGGCGACGAGGTATTTCGTTGCCTGGAATGCGTGAGCAAGTGGCTCCAGCGCTCCTGAAACAATGCGAGCAAGCAAGCCTGTAAGACACCGATTCTCTCGCGGAATAGCAACGGTTCCGGATTGACCACGAGAAGACAGCAGCAAATTGTTAGAGTCCAACGAAAGGTAGGGTCTCGACCAGCCAGGCAGACCTCTTGCGACGAGGGTCTCCGACGGAACACCCTGCGGAAAGGTTTGTAGTTTCAGGGCGCAAGGTTTTGATGCAGCAAGCACCAGCTCCTGCACGCGAGCACAATGCGTGGCAACCAGACCAGCGTGTGCACATTGTGGTCGCACCACTCAAATTACCTTCCATCGTGCATCTCTTCAAATACGGGCTCGAGTTCAGCGTAGAGAACGAGGCTACCATTGAATTGTCAAACGGCCTGGCGTCTTGGTGAGCGTGGCACGGTAGGTCAAAAGAGGCGTGCATTTGTAGTGCCCTGGCATCAACCCATGATTCTCTCGCCCACCAAGCTCGCTCACATGCAAAGGCTTATCCACCCAGTGGCGCTGATCGACACGCATCTCCATGATATTCGGCACAAGCAGAGTGTTTGTGATGGTCCGAAGAAGCTTGCAGCTTGTTCGCAGGAGGGACTGACTTGTCTGCGCCACTGCTGTTCGCTGCCGGCTTTTTTGTTTTGCTGCTGCCCCTGCGCTTGGTCGAAATTCTGCCAATTTATTATTGTGGCTGCTGCTGCTGCTGCTGCTGGTCGTTACCCTTGGACTGGGCCAGGTGCGACATCTCTCTCGCTCTGCGTGTGGGGAGGATCTCTGAGATTTCCTGACGCGCCCGCCGTGTGCATTTGCCTCCCTTTGTCCTCTCTGTTCCTTCACACACCTCATCACACCTTCTCGACGCTACCCGACTGTCCCTTCCTTTCATTCGTTCACGGTCCCCCTCTCATCTCACCCTGCAATCTGGCGCATACCGCTCGGTCCCTCGTACCAGCATTCGTCTCTCACTGTCCCCGAACCTTGTCTTCCTTTCTTCGACCTTCGCCTTCATTGTTGTCTTTTGTCTCTCTCTTTTGGGTTTGGCGGTCACTTTTCAGGGCTCTTTCTCGCGGTGGTACGCTCCAACAAGCTGCTCAACTACACACCAAGATCTTCATCTCTCGCTAATTCAACTCGACAAGCTCTATCGGAACGCATTTGATCCAGTCAGGTCAAGCTGCATTGGTTCGACTGCTCGTGCGCTAGTCGCAGCATCAAGATTCGGCATTGCTCCTCCTTCCCACCCACGTCCTATGCTCTGCTTGGGCCTCTCGCTTGCGTTTCCATCAGCATAGTGCATACGCACCGGCACACCACGCCTTTCTCCTTCACCTGCCAACCAGTTCAGCATCGTCAATCGTCAAGACACATCAGCCTCGCCAACGAATCCCCCCGTTCCTTCCACCTGCCGACGCCCGGATCTCTTCGACAGGTCCAAGCTCTTGCACGACATTACATCGACTAGCTTGCCTTCTGCCTTTGCACATCTGCGTATTCTCGGTTGCTCGTGCCTCCTTCCCCATTGTGTCGCGCCGTTCCAGAAGCACCGATCGGCTCGTCCTTCCCGCTGCTTGGCACCTGCACGAGCACACGTCATCCTCTGATCGATCGTCCTTCGTGCTCTAGCCCACTTCTTATATAAGAAGCTGGCCCACGCACTTCGCCGTCATGCCTCCCTCCGACAGTTCCGGAAGCTTGCCTGGCGATTTGGCAACCAGGACCAAACAGCAAACCACCAGCCGTATGATGAAAACCACCCGACGCGGCCGTCCCTTCGCCAAGGACACTCACGACCTCTTTGCCACGCTCATTGTCTCGCTCGAACTCGGCACGCATCGTCAGTACTTCAAGACCTATCACAATTCCTTTACCACCGATGAAGCGGCCGAAAACCTCTCCCATCTCAAGTTCTCGCAGTCCAATCGCGTTCCAGATCCTAATGAACCCAGTCGCGTCGTCACCACCACGACCACCACCACGTTCAGCATGAACCGTGATATGGCCAAGGGCATCTGCCAGCATTTCATGGACGCTCGCCTCATCGAGAACGCCGGCGATGCAACCAACCCCATCTTCAAGGACAAAGGCGTCTATATGCTCACCCCGAAAGGTCTTCACATCCTCGAGCGCTTCATCACCAAAAATGGCATCAACGGCGACCACCTGCTCAAGGTGTTCTCCTCCCAACCCATCTGCATGAAGTTGCTCCACCTCGAGAGGCGCGCGACCGACGACGAGCTGCTCATCAACACCCCTGTGCTTGAAGTCATCTTTCGACGTTTCGTCGGCCGCGCTCCCAACTACGAGACCGCACCCAAATCCGAACATGGCGAAGGAGGCGTCGATCGCACTTTGGGAGTCGAGATGGCCGACGTTCAGGAAAAGGTCAAGGGCCAAGGACAACGCACGGTCAAGCAGGCCTTCAACTCGATGGGCGCACTCGATTGGCTCTGCGATTTTACCACAGTCTGCGGCAAGGACGAGGCGGCCGAGGTCATGGCCCACTTCCAACGTCTCGACTTCATCCGTCTTGTGCTGGACAAGTCGAAACGCGAAGTGGAACCTTACGACGATCGGGATGTCATTCTTCGCGTAGAAGACGGCCGCGGCGGCGTCAGCGAGGGTCACTATCGCTGCCATTCCAAGACCTTGTACGGCGTCAGCGACAAGGGTCGTCAAGTAGCGCGTTGGGACGGCTCTGACTCGCCCGCTTCCGGCACTGCCAGCCCCGCTCGAGACGAAAGCCTTCGACTAGGCGACGAATCCGCTTCCATGCGTTCAGCGAAGCAGGAATCGACTTCAGCAGCACGCGAAACAGGCAGCCCAGGCTCAAAGGATTCTCGCTTGGCAAGCAAACCCTCCACCAAGTTGCGCAACGAGCGCGCATCGACGCCGGCATCCGGCGGAGCTGCGGGGATTGGCCAGGGCCTGCACGATTCTTCTTCCTACAGCAGCAGGGACAGCAACACGAATCGACTCAAGAACATCCTGGACGAGCCGGCGCTGCGCTCCCTGTTCCGCGAGTTCCTGCGACAAAACTTTTGCGAGGAGAATCTCAGCTTCTGGCTGGATGTGCAAGACTTCAAGCGTCGTTTCCACACCACCTCGAGCGCGGTGGCCGTGCAGACCCCTTCCAAAGAGCACAAAAGCGGTGTCGGGCGCCGGCTCGGACGCAGCGTCACCGGTGCCCTCGCGGGCGGCCAAAAGGACAGGACCGAGGACGACAATCAGGGCTTGAGCGCCATGGAGAAGCACCAGCAGGATCTGGTGAGCATGGCCTTTGTCATTTACGACACTTATCTCGCGCCATCGTCGCCTTGCGAGCTCAACATCGACCACAACCTTCGCACCGAGTTGATCCTGTACATGAACAAGATTCTTGCCGATGCGAAGCTCACGTCCTATCCGTCTCACATCGCTTCTCCGTCCACGTCGACGCTGCATCTGAGCTCCAGCACGGCTGGCAGCGATGCCAATGTAGGACACGCAGGCGAGCCAACCTCGATCGAGGAGCGGAAGGCGGCCGTGGTGTCGAAGCGTCTTCGGATCCCGTTGCACGCAAGCCAGCTGCAGGTCATGGTGAGACTGTACGAGCGCATACAAGACTACATCTTCCGGCTCATGGCGACCGATTCGGTGCCGCGCTTCATCAAGGACGCCCGCTTCATCCAGCTGGTCCGATCCGTCGAGGAGTACACCGAGGCTCTCGCCGCTGGTCGCATCGATCCGGAGCAGAACGCAGGCCCCGCTGTGGGTCGAGCCGTCTTTGAAGCGATGCAGCTCGGGTCGGCCGACATGCTTGCGCAGAACAGCAACGATGGACGTCCCTCGATGGACGCGGGTTCCTATCGACCTCTTTCGGCGCCGCAGAAGCCAGCGTCGAAGGGAGTGCCGGCTGTTCCTTCGATCCCAGCACAGATTCTGCACGACCGCAATGCGAGCGCTGGTACCAAGTCTTCTTCTCACGACCGCTAAGGCGCGAAGGAAACGACGTCTCGGCCAGCCGCCTTTGCTGCCCACGATTCCGTATTCACACGACTAGGCCCTGGCCATTGCTACGACTAATCACGACATTCGTCTCTTCCCAACTGGCACGGCATTACACCCGGCGAGGCTCTGTGCTACCTGCCCTCCTCGTCTCTCATCCCTACCCTGTCTTGCTAATATCTTTTGTCACTTCGCCTGCTTTAGCGCGGGCGCTTGTAAAAGTTTGGTCTATATCCTAATTGGCCCTCTAATCGCATTATTCAATCGTTTTCGCAAGTTGTGTGCAGGTGCGTGCTCCGATTGCGCAGAAGCAGCAGCGCCGAGCTGCAGCGTGACGGCAGTCATTTCCATCGAGGTCAAGAGGATGTTGCTGGTGGACAATTCGGTCTTAGCGGACGGTCGAAAGGAGCGAGCAAGACGGGCCGGTTCAAAGCCGAGAGAATATTTCCAACTTTGCCCGACACGCACCTGCACCGGCTAAAGTTCGTGTTTCGGAGCTCCAGACTTGAGAGACGAAAGCGCTCGAGCCCGACCTCGTCGAGAGACCCTTTGCACTTTCGTGGTCTTCCATCACTCCCTCCATCTCACCATCCTCACCTTGCGTCACCCTTCGCAACAGCCTCAGCATGGCAGCCTCAGTAACTCACGGAATCAAGACGCTCGGCGTGGTGGGTGCGGGTCAGATGGGACTTGGCATCGCCTACGTTGCTGCACTGCGTGCGCAGATCCCCACCGTCCTCCTGTGCGATGCTTCGCCGACCGCCCTCGAAAAGGGAGTGTCGTTCTTCGAGACGCTGCTCAAGAAGGATGTGAGCAAGGGCAAGATCCAGCAGGGTGACGCGGACGCGGCTCGGGCGCGACTGGTGACGGTGCAGAAGCTGGAGGATTTCGCCAACCACGGTTCCGCCGCGGACATGGTGATCGAGGCAGCAACGGAAAACTTGGCGGTCAAACAGAAGATCTTTGGCACCCTCGCATCGAGTTTGCCGCTCGAGACGATTTTGGCCACCAACACGAGCAGTATCAGTGTCAGCAAGATCGCTGCTAGTGCGGTGGGGGTGAATGTCAAGCCGGGTTCCGAGGAGGCGTGGAAGAGTCCTGCTCGAGTAAGTCATCGTCCCCTGCTTGAACTGAGATCTGCCTGGCTCATGCTGACAATTGATGTTCTCATTCGCAGGCTTTGGGCATCCACTTCTTCAACCCGGTCCCTGTGATGCCTTTGGTCGAGCTGATCCCAGCCATCCAAACGAGCCCCGAAGTCGTCGATCGCTCCCGTGCCTTCGCCCAGGCATGCGGTAAAGAAGTCACCACGTCCAAAGACGTCCCCGGCTTCGTCTCCAATCGCCTCCTCATGCCGTTCATCAACGAAGCCGTCATGGCGCTCGAAGCCAACATCGCCTCGCGCGAGGACATCGATAAGACCCTCCGCCTCGGCATGAACCACCCCATGGGCCCCCTCACCCTCGCCGACTTTATCGGTCTGGATACCTGTCTGAGCATCATGGAGACCTTGTACAGGGAGACGGCGGATAGCAAGTACAGACCTGCCGTGCTGTTGGGTCGCATGGTCGATGCGGGTTGGTACGGGAAGAAGAGCGGAAAGGTGCGTGAACGCGGAAGAGATTTCGGAACGAGGAGCATGCAACTGACACTGAAACGCTTGCCTTTCTACCTCTGCCGACAAACACTTATACAGGGCTTCTACGACTATCCTGCCAAGTAGATGCGCTTCGGACGCACACAGTCCTCACTGGAGTCGACACGAACATCGGAGAAGGCCTTGTTTGCAATCATCAAGTTGCATAAATTTTGTGAGACGCTGTGACCGGATCTAGATGAGGCAGAAGTGCAAGGGCAGGAGAATCTGTCAGCATCCGTGCTCTTCGACGTTCACCTTGCGCATCGTGCCCGCCTTCGTCCGTCCCTCGTGCGTCACGAGGCCATTGGTGTCGAGTTCAGAGTATATTAAAGTTGTATGTTGTTATGCAGAGTTCATCGAGACGACCGTCTTGCAGGACAGATCGTTCTACCCTTTTCTTCGTATGTGTTGCATCATTGTATTCTTCCGGCATCGAAGAGGATGCTGTAAGACCACGGTCGGTGGGTCGGACGAGCAGGATGATGCTTACCTTGGGTGTCAACTGATGATGGAAGAAAGGAAGATCGAAGTGAGTCAAAAGCGAAATCAAAAGCCCCGAAAAGAAAAGGTGCGCAAAAAAGTGGAAAGTGACACACGTGACGCACAGGCTGCAGCCTCCAGGTTCGATTCACAGTAAGGTCTCTGCACACTCGTACACATCTGCTCCTCTCGACGAGACAAGGAACTGAAGGCGAGGGCCATCTTGCACTTGATTCATATAATGTGATCTTTCATCTTGACCGTCCATGTTTCAGCCCTTGGGCCCGGATCTGCAGCCAATCAACTGCATCGTACACTCCGGTGCTGTGGTGAGAAGTCAAGGTTCCAGCGAAAGAGTCAGAAGGGTCAGCCGACGATCAAGGGTCTGCAACATGGGCGGGTCCTTGCGAGAACGTACCCTTCGAGAGCGCTGGTGAGAATCACGCCCCATTCGTAGTTCCTGTGGCTCCGTGTCGGCGAGCGATATGACTCTTCCTCGTTGTCGGCAAAGACGTTGCTGGTTTGTGCAGGTGCCTGCGCTGATGCGGCTTCGTCTGGATCATCATCGATACGAGCGAGCTTCTCGGCAAACCACTGCTTGACGGTGCTGGCAAGATCAGTGGAGGTGGACTGGTTCTCGTTGGCTTTGTTCGCCACGATTAGGATGGGACATCCTTCGAGACTCGGGTTCTTCAACAGCTCGGCTGTAGGCATGGTCAAAGGTGAGGGTCAAGAAGGTTCAGCGTTGGGTTCAGGCAGCTGGGACCGACGGTCTCGTGGCAATTACTCACAGAGAAGCTTCCAAGACAGTTCCCTCGCTTCATATGCTTCGGTGCCCACATCGGGTTCTGTAGCTTTGCCTTTGCCCTTGACGTCTCCTGATCGTTGCTGTTGACTCTGCGAGTGAAGCGCGAGGAAGTGGCCGGCATCGACGACCCAGACGACAGCATCCGACTCGTCGTAGTACTTGGTCCAGAGTCTGCGTACCGAGGGGGATCCGCCGAGATCCCAAAAGTGCATGGTCATCTTGTCGAGGGGCAGCTCGAGGACATTCTGCCCGACTGTCGGGGCGATCCTGTTTGGTGGCAGAGCAGGCCGCTTTAAATAGAGGCTCTTGATCTTTTCGAGCAGACATGACTTTCCGACGCCGGAAGGGCCAACGACGAGCACGTTGAATCGCTCCTTCTTGGTCCATTCGGCGTACAAGCCGGTGATGAGATGGTACATCTTGGGTCAGAGCTCGTACCCTGCGCCTTCAGGCGAGATATGCGAGATGCTGATGCAGAATCTGGCAAGGGAGCCCGACGTTATAGGTTCGATACCATGTTGCGTCGGGTGCGAATGCCGCGAGCCGAAGATGATGAGGGACGAGGGATGCGAAGAAGGTGGTAGGTGGAAGAGAGAGAGGTAAAGCACACTGGACCCTGCGCCTGCTGATCCTCTCTTTTGAAAGCCGAGCTTGCCCCGATAGCCATGTGTCTTGTGAATCGAGCCGATTTGCTCTTCAGTTGACTGCCGTGACACGCGCCGCCCAGCACGGTAAAGCCGAGGTTCAGCTTTTGCTAAGTCACACACCTCCTCACCTCCATCACCATCGGCCTCCTTCCGACCCGCATTGAGCACCTCTGACTGTCGGTCATCTGACCTTATCTCGCAAGTCCCGACACTGCTGAGATCGTCGTCAAAGCAGCAACGCAAGCTCCGATCCGTCACCGAGTCACATCACGCAAGCGTTCCCACGCCTCGTTGGTATCGATAATGGCTTCCATCGGGCTGAGCGTAGCGTCAAGCTCACGCAATGCCATCACACTGGCAAGCTCCAGTAGGCAGATGATGGCTGCTTCCACTTCCGTCCTTCGAGCTCGCCTCGCTAGGTCACCTCTGTCAATGTCGCCCCCGCTCCGCACCTTCATCCGCGACAGCAACTCTGCCTGGACCACCTCTTCTTTATCTTGGACTTCCTCTGGGGCCGCATCTCAGCCTTACGGCGCGCCGCATCAACAAGCGGCATCTCCGCATCCTCTACCAGCGCGCGTCTTCTCCTCGCCCTCTTCCTCTGCTTCCTCTTCTTCGTCTTCTTCCTCGACCTCCAATCCACCGCACTCGAAACGCTTCTCCACCACGACCTCGCTCCACATCTCGCATCACTTTGACACGCAAGCCTTCGCACAGCGGCTCGAAGCCTCCGGCATCTCTCGCGAGCAAGCCGACGTGCTCACCGAAGCGCTTCGCGACGTTATCGACGAAAGCATCACCAACCTTGCCAAGGGGCTCGTCACACGCGAGGAGGGCGACCAAACCAACTACACCCAAAAGGTCGACTTCACCCGGCTCAAGTCCGAACTCCAGCTGTTGGAACGGAACGACTTTGCGCTGATGAAGAGCGAGAACGAACGGCTCATGGCGGACGTGGAGAAGTTGAAACAGAGGTTGAGGGAGGAGATCACCCGAACAACGGCGGGGGTGAGACTCGATTTGAATTTGGAGAAAGGGAGGATCAGGGATGAGTCGGCGGTGCACGCGCTGAAGATCAAGGAGGTCGATACCAGGATCGAGTCGGAAATCGCCGGGTTGAGGACGAGCATTCAGAGCGCAAAGTTTAATGTCCTGCAGTATTTGGTGGGTGTAGCTACCGGTGCGGGGGCTCTGCTGCTGGCATACCTCAGGATGTTCCGTTAGAACTCAAATACACTCATTGCAATCACACCAAAGTTACACCAGAGACCTTCACACACACAGCCATCCCACTCGGCGATGAACGGAATCGCGCTTGGATGTGTCTATTGCGATCTATTTCGACTCTGACGACGATGACGCGCGCAACGACAACGTCGCCTTGGCAAGCGGAACGGTGCAAGTGACGATCGACGATCCGTCCTTCTGCAAACCCAACACGGGGCTCACCGACTCACCTTCACCCTTCTGATGCGAAATCTGCTCGTCCGTCAAGGGCGACCGTTGACCCTTGCCTGCAATCCAGCCTCTCTCCGACGCGGCAATGAACAAATTCGGCAGAGCCATCACCTGATGCTTGCCCTTTTTCACCTCATGCACCTTGGGCAGCTGCTCGTTCGACACCGGTAGCGAGAGGAACAGGAACCGTGGTGTGACCCATACGCTCGGATCTGGACCGGGGATCTCGATCGCGCTCGGACTGAGCAGCTTGAGCTCGGCCGTAACCTCGTTTCCCTTGGATGCGAAGGCAGGATCGATCTGGTAAAATTGAGCGTAGGTCTTCATCGTGCCCTGAGGCTGACCTGGTCCGGGACCCAGTTCGACCTGCGTATCGATGGACAGCGTGCCGCGCGATGGATGACCCGAGAGGATCTGGGCGAGCATCAGCGGTTCCGACCGAACATCCGATGCCGGTTCGGCAAAGACGGCGATGAAGAAATCTTCCTCCTTCTTGACCTTGGATGCGATCTGCCTGGCTTGCTGCTCCGACATCTTCTCAGCCTCCTTCTGCGCATCGGAACTTCCGACCTTGGCCGGTGATTCGATGTCGAGAGGGTGCTCTCGCGCTTGGATGTCGCGCAGGAACTGCTGCGCCGCATTGGCGTTGTTCAGGCTCGAGATGATGTTGCCTTGCGCGGCGGTGATTTCGCGTCGAGGACCGAAGGGTCGGAGACCTTCGAAGTCGGTTCTAATGCTGGGGATGGGTAGGTGGTCTGCATCGCGAGCGTCGTTGCTGGCGACAAGGGCGACACCGACTGCGCCGTCGGTATGGATGCTGCTGTATGGCTGAACGCCGCCCCGGCCACCCTGTGGGAGCGAGATGAGGATCGTCTGATCCCGTCCGGTCTCGAAGGGTGTGGGGGGAGCAGTGAGGCCAAGGACCGAGCTGGCTGGGAACTGCGTCGCGAGACCCTCCATCAGCCCATGCGGAGACATGTCGGAGAAGAAGATGAACGATGCTGCAGAGTTGGGGTCGAGGCTTTCGAGACCTTCCGGGATCTTACCCTCCAGATTCTCGCGACCCCAGATGTCGCGCCAGTCACGACTGCCTCCGGGCAGGGCACCGTTGCCGTCGTCGAGCAGGTCAGCTCTGCGTTCTGCGCCCTGCTGCCATGAAGGCTTGCGGTCCATCCATCGGCCCACCGCGACCTCTGAGCGACCCGGGATCGTCGATCTGAACGGAATCGCGTTGACACCTGGCAGCAGCGACAGGGCGGCAGAGTACAGCGTCGGCGTAGCAATCGGCGGCGAACCGGCTTCGATCGCGTTGGCTGGGATCAACGATGCTGGCAGCGGCGAAGACAGAATGCCGATACGCGCGATCTTGGACGCCGCGTCGCTGTCCTCCGGCGCTGCCGTGGCAGCCTCTGCTTCTGCCGCGGCGATCTGTGCCGCAGTCATGCCCTTGGCTTCCTTCTTCTTGGGCTGCGATGTCGGATTTGCTGTCGGATCCGGGCCACGCAGGATCGAGACGGCCTCGCTGAGATACTGCGGCGGTAGGTCTTTGCTAAGAGCGTACAGCAGGACGTGGTCGTGGTGGCCCTTCTTTGACGAGGATGCGTTCGGCGAAGGTCCCAGTCTCGATGCGAGCGACGTCATGCTCTGCAGCGTGGACCGCAAAGCGATCAGCAAGCCTTGTGGTGTTTCGGAGAAGAGGGTGAGGGTTTGCGCGGTCGCCAGAGGCTGCTTGCGCTGCCATTGCTGCTGATCGCCGTGCGAGCTCCCGCTGGCCGTCTTGCTGCCCAAACCGGGAGCTGGATCAGCTGCCTTTGCGTACGACCGACGCTGGATAACGTTGCATGTGGACGGTCGTGCCGGGATCCAGGCGAGCCTAGCCGGTCTTGTCGTTCGTGCGACCGAGGTGATCATTGTGTATATGTTGACCCTTTGACGGACGATGCGGTGATGGTAACGACAAGCAAGGAACGGACGTGAACAGGAACCTTTGTATGGGCTCTGCACTCACGCGAAGAAAGTGGAGCTCGGCAAGTAGGGATTGCAAATCATCTCCCCCTACGGCGAGCAGCACCCTTTGCTTCAGCTGAGCTCAGCGGTGACGGTTGGACCCTGAACTGTCTCTGACGCTAAATTTGGGACACCGGAGCGGATCTTCTCGAGGCGTCACATCGGGCGAAGTGTTCTTCTAAAGCCCGATGTGGCCCCTCACAAACCTGTCCGCACGGACGCGTGCCAACACCAGCTTCAGCACACTTCTTCTCGCACCCTTCCACCAACCTTTGCTGCTGGCTCCACCATCCTACGGTCTCCTTCAGCGACCATGTCGACCATCTCATCAGTGACCATCTCGTCGCTGGCGTACAAGAAGCTCGTTCTGCACACGGCCAAATACCCTACCGCGCGGGTGCTCGGCTTGCTACTTGCCGACACCGCCTCTTCTTCCACCCTGAGCATTACGGATGCCATCCCGCTCTCGCATCACTGGACATCGCTCGCGCCCATGGCGGAAGTCGCGCTGTCCCTTGCCACCTCCTACGCCTCCACAAAGAACCTCACCGTCGTCGGGCTGTACGAGGCACCGGAGATGGTGTCCGACCGCAGCACGTCGCAGCAGGCCAACAAGCTCGCCGAGAAGATCGCGAGCCTTGCCGGTCGAGAAGCGGTGCTACTGCTCGTCGATAATGCGTCGATTCTCAGTACCACCCAGCCATTGAGCGCGTACACCGTGGTAGCAGGTGGAAAAGGGGAGGCGAAGCCAAAGGCGTTACCCGCATCGGCGGTGTCGTTGCAAAACGCAGCGAGTAGCCTCGAGAGCGCAGTGCGGAAGGATGCTGCTTGGGAGAAGATTGTTGACTTTGATGGTAAGTACCACGCCTTCAGAATACAAGCTCAAGGAGCGTCACTGATGAAATCTTCGCACAATCACACAGACCATCTCGAAGATCCATCATTGGACTGGCTCCAGAATCCGGCGATCACAGCATAACCTCCCGCTCTTGCGTCCAATGTCATCTTTTCCATTTCACGGCTCGTTTCGAGGATCTACGTTCGGTTCTTGGCAAACGCCTGCTTGACGGGCATACCGTTCCGGATGTCGTGCATGCACTTGTCGTCCTCTGCTCTACCCTTCATCGCCAGGCGCACCACCTCCTCGGCCCTGCTCGGGGGAACGACGACAACACCGTCGATGTCGGCGAGGACAAAGTCGCCCGGTCTTACCGTCACCTCTTTCGCCTTTGGGTTCTTTGTTGCGTCCTCGGCCTTGCTGTCTGTAGATGGGTCGCTGATGGTGATGGGCACCATGAGCTCGCTAGGCCGCGTAAAAGGGCTTTGACCCTGGATCGAGTGTCCGCGTGCAAACACGGCAAATCCAGCCTCCCTATGCTCCGTCAAATCACGACATCGTCCATCCAACACCACACCTTGAATGTCCAAATGCTGCGCACGAGCAGTCATGAGTCCGCCCCACACCGCAGAGCGCGCCAGCGACGGAGCAGAGACCACCATCACATGCCCCGGATACGCCTCTGCCGCGTCGACGAAGTGCTGCGCCGGTTTGGGAGCGGACACGTCCGACTGGGAGACCATCTTCACCGTATACGCGGGTCCACAGACGCGTGTGGTGGGAGAGGAAAGGTACGTGGGCGAATACATCTCGATCCCCGGCAAATAGCCTCCTTCCGCGATCTTGAGCTTGAGCAACGCATCCGAGACCTTGATGCACAGAAGAAGGGAGAGACACCGTCAGCACAGTCCTTCCTGAGAGAGATGAAAACGATCCTTGTGAAATTGATGTGCGTGTGCGGGAATGCATTTGGGTTATGTACATGGGGATGATTAGGAAAGGGCCTTGCTCACCTCGCAAGTGGACAGCTGGGCGAGCCGTGCCAGTGTCGACGCGGCTTCGTTGGCAATCATACCGGTTCCTGAGGAGGACACCTGGGTGCCCTTGGGAACGCACATGATGGGTGCGAGCGTCTGGCTCCCCGCCGGAGCCACGATGGCCGAACCGGACGGTTTCGCCTTTGTCGCTCCGCCATCGCCACGTGGGACAGCTGCGACGGGGACGACCTTTTCGTTGACCTTGGCTGGCCCATCGGCGGATTTCGAGGAGGCTTGGTCGTGCGAGTCGTCGTGGTCCTTTCTCTTGCTCTTGCTGGGCTTGCCGAGACCGCCGAGGACGAAGCCACCTGCGACAATGCCGGCGAGGATGTAGGCGCCGGTGCGCTCCTGCTCGTTGAGCGGTCGGTTGCTGTTCTTGCGAGAAGACGAAGAGCCGGACGAGCCAGACGAGCTCGAGGAAGAGGAGGAGGATTGTCCCTCAGTGGCCGAGGCGAAAGCACCTTTCGCTTGCTCGGCGACGCTGTTGAAAGCGCTCTTGGCAGCATCGACGCTCTGGTTGAGGCTCGACAGCGCAGAATCGGCGCTCTTGCTTCCGCTTGAGCCGGAAGAGGCCTGGATGTCGGCGATGATCTCGGAGAGGACACTCTTAGGTTTGGACTCGCTTGCAGACTCGGCAACGTCCTCGGCCATGGCAGCGGCATGCGAGATGGCGGAGCTGGCCGAGACGCTGATGGCCTTGGGAATAAAGGGCGACGACTCGGCGTTGTCGGCGGTCTGTTTGAGGTGAGGCGAGGTGTACGAGGTCACTACAGGGATCTCGACGCCGGGGACGGGAGGGTCGGGGTAGTAAGGGATCTGCACGTTGAAGGTCTCCTTGGCGGGAGGGGCCTTCTGAGGCGGCAAGCCAGGAGGGGTGGTCTTCTTGGCAGGACCTTCGTCGGCTTGGTAGGGAGAAGCCTTTGCGGTGGTGTCGCCAGCAAGACCGTCGGCTGCAGCATTGTGAACACGACCGGCCTCGAGCGCAGCGGGCGTCTCGGACTCCTTCATGCTTCCGAGCGGCTTGTCGGCCTCTTTGATGGCCTTTGCAGTGTCAGCATCCACAGTGGGACCGGTGCTCTCATCAGTGGAGGAGGGCTTGGGTGGGGTGCCCTTGTTGGCAGCGTTGCCGGACTGGGAGGTAGGAGCGGGCGGAGCGGGGGCGTCCTTCTTCTTGGCATCGTTCTGACCGTCTCGCAGCGAGGCCAGCGTTGACTTTTTGCGAAGCTGAGGACGAGCGCCGGGAGCAGTCTGCATATTGGCGGTGCTTCCGTTGACGAACGAGTCGTGGTCCACAAGACGCTTGATGAGGTCGTCCTTGCGGCCCGAGGAGGCGAGACCACGGGACTTGAGCTCTGCCTTGAGCTCGTTCATCTTTTTGCTTTCGTAAGCATCTCGAGTGCTGCTGAGCAGGACAGAGGAGACGAGACCTCGGGACTGCTGAAGAAGCTGGTACTGGTACGAGAGGACGGCGGCTGAGGTGGCACTGGAAGCGGCGGATTGCGGGCCCGGCGAGGAGGGTCGCAGGACGGGCTCCCTGAGGGTGCGACTGGCGATTCGTCGCAGCATTGTCAAAGTGTTGTCAAGGTGAAGTTGGACGCAGTGCTTTGACGGCAATGGCGACCAATATGATGGGGAGGACGGAAGGAGATGGAGCAGGCGAAGGGAAAGGAGGTGGAGGCAGCAGCAGGCCTTGGCGATGACAAGAGCTTGTGTCACTGTCACTGTCACTGTCACTGTGACTGCACGTTTGTGTGTGTTGTTTGCGAGTGTTCTACTTCGGAAGGAACAGGATTCCAAATTTGGCTCATTCTTCTCCACTCTCCAAAGCCCAAATCGGCCTTTACGGCCGTGTTTACCGTTTCCCTTTGTGATGGTTTCACATTGACAGTCACCGCATTTCAAATTCCATAAAGTCAAATAAATTTGATTACAAACGACGAAAGGGCCCGTATACAAAATTGTGCAGCTGCAAGGCGCGTTCACTTTCTAAAGTCACACCTGCCACACCTTGATCCTGTCGAGCGGTACACGAAATAGACTTTGACAGCTGCACGTTCTGCTCACCACCACAACCTCAAAGCAGGCAAGGTATACTGCAACGTTGAATAGCGGTAGATGTGATTGAGCAGGTCTGACGATCTAGCTCGAATTGATGACAGGAGGGCAGTTCTCGCCGCGACCAGCAATGTGGACGTCAAAGTAGGTGCCCGTGTGGTCGTTGGCGTCGTACTGCGCTGGCAGCACCGAGTTCATGCAGTTCTGGTTCTCCTGACCGGGGCAGGTGACGGCCACGTTGGTGTTGGCCGGGTTGATCCAGATCTCGCCCGACGAGTGTCTGTAATCAACGGCGGTGGGGACATGGGGAATGGGATCGCGACCATTGACGATGTGGACAAAGCCGGCCAGGTTGCTGTCGACAGCGCTGGCAAAGCTTGGGTCACCCGTTCGGGGCTGGCCAAAGACGACGGAGCGGACCGAGCTCGACGGCAGCTGGTGCTTGAGATACAGCGCATCGAGCAGCGAGATGGAAGCGCCCAGAGAGTGACCCACGGTCAAGACACTAGAGGCGTTATAAGTGGCGATCGCCGACTGCACCTGTTGCAGCACAGCATCGGCAGTGCGCAGCCAGGTGTCCTGGAAACCACCGTGTACCTTGACGTTGCCGAGGTACGCCAGTCTAGAATCGACAGGGTCCTGCACCGCGTCCAGGTCGTTGAGAAGGGACTGGAAGGATGATGTGTTGGTGCCTTGGTGCGACACAATCACACCTTTCGTCGGCGAGTATGCGACATAGACCATGGGCGTCGCTTCGCCATCACCGGCGGTCCACAGTAGCTGAGCATCACCAACAGTAGTGCCGACAGGCAAGCGACAGTACGCCGCCTGCGAGAGCTGCGCAGGGTAGCTGTACTGCTGGTAGTCGGTGAGCGGCGAGGTTGGTGCAGTGTTGCTGCTGAGCGCCTGACGCTTTGCAGCGCTGACGTCGATGGATCGCTGAACGCCAGGATATTTCAGAGCTTCGTTCTTGAGTGGGCTTGCCGACACGCTCGAGGCGGACAAGGCTGCAACGGCGACGGTAGAGGCGAGCTGGAGAAACTTCATCGTGCGATACTATGTCGATGCTGCGAGCTGAAGCTGATAGACGAGGATGATGAACGCAAGCGTAACGGCTGATATGAGGTCTTGGGTCTTATACGGCCAGCCGTCAGGAGTAGAGAAGGATGATCTGCTCCGTCGACAGCCACTCGGACCTTGCCGACGGTATTATATGCAAATCTCGAGTAACATGGCAAGCCATGAGAAGGGAGCTGTGTGGCTGGGCGTCTGCTCCCGCCAATGCCGCGCTAGCACCAGGCATGAACGCCGCAGACGGCAAGGCGTGGCAAAGGAATGCAGGCCCCTACAGGAACGGCTATGCATGTCAAACGTGGCCGACAACTTACACTCGCGAGGCGGAGAGCGTCCAAGCGAGTTCGCTGGGCGGCGGCGGCCAAACTCGCGCCTGGCTCATGCCGTAAATTGCTTCACGGCGGTACTTGACCAGACAAAAGAGACTCAGGGCTCGCTGCCCCCATCTCATCTTGATCCGAGAGACCGGCTAAGCGAGGCGTAAAACGTGCTCCGCTCGCGTTGCCAAGGGTCCAAAGGCCGCCACCTCGAGATTTGACCCCGTTCACCGTCGTAAATGTCCCAGTATTTCGGGTTGAGTTCTTCGAGCAACGTCATGGGTCGGTCATGTATGGAGGGAGCAGTTAGACTTGCAGTTCTGCGCCGCTCACCAGCCAGTGGATTGCCCTTAGCACGATATACTGATGGTTTCGAGCGGGAGGCGGTCACGAGACGTTACGAATCTCAGCTCTGAGCCAAGCGATCCGGCTGCGAACATTGCCATAGTAGCCGGTGCCGTGATCTGCTCTCCGGCATAAGGTAGGCGAGTCGGGGCAAACTCCACTGCTGCGATCGTGCACCGCCGTCGCCTCAAAAGACGAGATTGATACGCCCGATTGACTTGCACGCCTTCGCCACGCAGCCGAGGCTGGTGACGACTCTGTCGACCTGGTTCGCCGATAGGTCCGAAACCAGGAGCATTCTTTTCTTAGCTCTTCGAGACATTGACCGACCCGAGATCCGCACCAGGAAGTCTGTGGTCCTATCAGGCCAGCTCGGCTCAAAGGCGCAAGTAAGGATCTACGACAAGGCGTGCATCGAAACATCGAAAGAGATTGCTGAGGAATACAAGTACAGATGCGAGAGTGGGTTCGATACGAAAGCCGGCCGTACCGAATATGCTGCTGGGTCGAGTGCCGCTGCTGAGCTACAGAGACGCTCAATTGTTGCCGAGACCGTCACCGGGCCAGTCAATGACATCAAGGCTGATCAGAATGGCCACCGTCATCAACACGGCCACCACGCCGCCGCTCAACGACATCCAGGCGCCTTCCATCCAGGTCATTGCTTCGAAGCCAACCGCACTACTGTATCGAGGCAGCTGAGTGTCATCCTGCAGAGCGGCATAGTCGAAGTTGCCAGATGCATAGGGATCCGAGTCGTCCGCGTTGTCGGCACCGGCGTAGAGGAGCTGCTCGTTGTCGTCATCGAAGGCTCCTAGGTGTCCGCGATAGTCGTCCTCCTCGAATTTGTCGTCTCGTTCGTCGACGACCTTGGGTGAACGAGAAAAGTCAAGCGAGTCACCTCTTCGGTCGCTGAGAGGGGTCGTGGTAGCATCGTTCGGCGTAGCCTCATACGCGGGTGTTGGGTTGATCCTGACTTTCTTCCAAGGCATCGCGTGCGATCCGAGCCGCAAGAGTCGACCTGAGCGAGGCGATGATGATGATCCAGCCGCTGTCTGGTGTCCCGCCTCGAGATCAACATCGAACAATGGCGTTTGCCCGTTCTCGCCCTCATGGCCCTCGCGTGCTTTCCCCTTACCCTTGCTCAACGAGGGCGACAAGGGGGATTTGGGGCCTGCATTGGCCTCGAATGACACATCGACCTTGCCGTTGGTCAGCTCCGAAAGAGCAAAAGCGTCTCGGGTCTTTTTGTCCGTTCCGAGAACGCGACTGCTGTGTGCGATGCCTCTTCTGGATCCAGCTCCTGCCGACATGGACTTTCGACCGGCCATCGGAGCGAACCCTGGACTTCTGAGTGGTGCTGCGACCTGTCCCTGCGAGCCGTCGCTGAGACCACGAGTGAGGCTCACGCGGCTACTGCTCGCTCCAATATATGCAGAATCGTTCGTCGTCGACTCTTGTGTCGGGGTGCCATCTAGACTTGCCTCGCGAGACGTTGAGATGAACTGGGTGATGGCGGAACGGACGCCTGGGTTGGGCGAAGATGCATTCGGGCTCGGCGCTCGAGGCAGCACCTTCTGCGGCAGCACATCCTGCAGCGTGATAGCCATGGCAACGTAGATGGAGCTCTCTGCGGAACGAGTCTGATGCTACTGCCTGCCTGTCCCCGCGATATATGTGGCGCACTACGTCGCTGCGTGGAGGATGCTGTTCGTTGTTCGTCCTCTGCCAGCCATGCTTCTTTCTGCTGCAGGAGCTCTTGAGCTGATGCCACTTCGATTTGTTGTTGGTGCTGAAGAATCAGCGCGAGGTCTTGTGTGTCAACCGTTGACTCTATGTGGATGCGTACTGCGGACAAGGAGAATGACGGTCGATGCTGCTGTAACCTCTAGGACCGTATGGTGATGATCAGGGGTCGTGTGATTGCTCGTTCAAATCGCTTTCTTGCTCCTTGTGCGACTGAGTGACCGCAGCTGAGTCCGTGCGCTTGTTGGGTGGTGATTGTAGAGAAGGTTGAGGTTGTCGAAAGCGAGCAAAGTGCCATGTCACACTTCTTCTCATCACGAAAAACGCTTGCACCCTGAAAGAGCAACAAAAGAAGCAGCGTGTGGAGCGAATCGGCAAGATCCAAGCTTTCGGCAGCTCGGCGCGTCTCGGCTTGCCAAGGCGGCTTGGCTCGGAGTTTTTGCAAGATGTTAGGTCATGGCATCACCCGCGGAGGAGGGCCGGGTATCCATTAGGATGCACGCCTTCAGCAAGACGTTCCTCGATATCATCCTCGATGGCCCAGCCTGAGCCTTCATCCGCTACCATAGCCTTCATATCATCATGTCGACTCCATCACCTCAGACGTACACCTACAAGACGTTTACCAACACCGACGGCGAGCAGACTGCCATCCCCGTCGACGTCTACATCCCCGAGACCGATGCTCAGACCAAACTGACTCCGGTCGTATGGGTGCACACCGGCGGCTTCCTGCAGGGCACACGCAGGTTCGTTCCGCCCCACTTCCTGCGAGCGCTCGCAAAGCACAACCTAGCGCTTTTAGCCCCCGATTTTCGCCTCTGCCCCCAGGTGTCCATCTTGGAAGTGCTCGAGGATGTGACAGACTGCGTGCGATGGACTCTCGACCCGGAAGTCAGAGCTGCTTCGGGGTTCACATCTGACCGCGTGGCATCCGACAAGTACATCTTGGGTGGCTCCAGCGCTGGAGGCTGGCCTGCACTGCTTCTCGGTCTCGGGCTGCACGAGCAATCGAAGCGCCTTCCTCGCCCGCCGAGCGCCGTCTTTGCCATTTACGCCATCACCACCGTCACCGAAAGTCTGGCGCCATTCTTCTACGAGCCGCAAAAGCCTCTTTCATGGGCTGTGGACGGGAAGCTCATCGAGAAGGAGCCGATTGAGCGCGAGGGTCACCTCGAAAAGTGTCTCGACAAAGACCATCAGTTGCTCAAGTTGTCGTCGGTCAAGATTCGCACCGAGGCACCTCCGGCCAGCAACCCTGTCCGTGCAGCCCTCTACAACTTTGCCAGACAGGAAGGCGTCTATCCGACACTCATCCTGCAGGACCCATCAGAAGCCCCGAAAGTGTGCACGCCATCCTTGATCAAGTCTGGGGTAAAGGCAGCAACGACGCCCGTGCTAATTGCGTATGGCGACTCAGACCCAAAGGTGCCCCACTCGCAGTCGTTGCACGTCGTCGATGCGCTCAAGACTGTCGGGTACGACGACAAGACGCTGCTCGTAATTGAAGAGAAGGGGGCTGATCACCTCTTCGACATGGAAGCAGAGAAGGAGGTCGACGGCATGTGGGATTGGCTCGCTAAGAAGCTCTAAAAGCGTCTTGCTCGAGCAACAGCCAGAAGTGCAGGGACCACATTGTCGGGCCACGGCGAAAAGACCGGCTCGAAGCGCATCTGCGGAGAACTTGCTCATCCCCACGTTGGCCGTCATCTCCTAATCCGTTGTGTTGTAGTACGCACTGTAAAGTAGCAGTCTGCGCTGTGTAATGCTCTCCCCCACGTCGATTTGCTGCTTCCCCGCAACCCGCGTGTTTGGTCCCCCGCACCAATTTGAGAAGTCACCGGTGAAGTGAGCGACCAAAAGCCAACTCCGCCCTCTTGCCCGTGTCGGCGCCGAAAAAAGAGCGAGCTTCTCAACACCCTTCTGATGCCAGTCTGACCGCAACCAAAAGGTCTAGCGTCGTCTGAGCACGAATCATGCTGAGGGTCTGGATCAGCATGCAACGCCATCCGCTACCTGTCCGATCCTTGCGCGGTCGGGACCGGTCCTGTCTGGAGTACGAGAGGATCAGCGGAGATGTATGAGGGCTCGCTTCGAGATGCTGCAGGCTGCTCTGGACTCGGCCCGTGCCGCTGTACAGTTGCTGTGTGATCCTGCACCCTGAACAGATGATGTCGCGACTGCATCGGTAGCGCAAGTCCCTGATGTTCGGTAGTATATAGAGCTGCCGGAGATCTCGTCGCTCTCGATGAGCGCCCTCCTTCCCCACGTTCTGGTCTCCCTCGAGCCTGCCCAACTCTCACCTTACCCTTCCCGACCGACGACAACTTGCCCAACATGACGCAGTCCTCGCCTCTGATCGTCTCGTCGTACTCGATCCACGATGTGCGCTTTCCCACCTCGCTGACCGGCGACGGCACCGACGCCATGAACAAGAGTGAGTATCGCAGCCTCGGCCATGGATCCTCGACGCTGGAAGACTGATCTGAGCTTGTCCTTTTCTTGTTTCCTCATCTGTGCACCACGCACAGGCTGCGACTACTCGGCTGCCTACCTCATCCTCTACACAAGTCCCAAAGATGGCGCCGAGATCGTTTCGTATCGCGGCCGCGAGAGCGAGGCCATCAACGCCCCCGTTAAGGAAGACGCTTCTCTCCGTGGGTTTGGCATGACCTTCACCATCGGCCGTGGTAACGAGATTTGCTGTCAAGCCATCGCCTCGATCGTCGAGGACCTGCTACTCGGCCGTGAGATCGAGCCGCTCTTCGCCGACATGGGTGCCACCTGGAACCTCATGGTCTCAGACCCCCAACTGCGCTGGATTGGTCCCGAAAAGGGTGTCATCCACCTCGCCACTGCCGCGGTCATCAATGCCATCTGGGACCTCTACGCGCGCTCTCGCAGCAAGCCGCTGTGGAAGCTCGTCTGCGACATGTCGCCCGAAGAGCTGGTCAAGTGCATTCCCTTCCGCTACATCACGGATGCCATCACGCCCGCTGAGGCGCTCAAGATCCTCCAGGACGCCTCCAAGGGCAAGGCGGACCGAGAGGCCGAGATGGTGGCCAACGGCTACAAGGCGTACACGACCTCTGCCGGTTGGTCCGGCTACGACGATGCCAAGGTGGGTCGTCTCACCCGCTCCGCCCTTGAACAGGGCTTCAACCACTTCAAGCTCAAGGTGGGCTCGGACGTGCAGGATGACATCCGTCGATTGTCGTTGATGCGTTCCATCGTGGACGATCCCAAGGAGATGCCGGCGGGTCGCAAGCAGCCTTCGCCCGGAAGTTTGGCCGGCAAGAACGCAGGCCCCACGGGTTGCGTCGTCATGGTGGACGCAAACCAGGTGTGGGACGTCCAAGAGGCCATCGACTACATGGAGAAGCTCGCCCACCTTCGTCCTTGGTTTATTGAAGAGCCGACTGCTCCAGATGACGTCCTCGGCCACGCAGCGATTCGAAAGGGAATCAAGCACCTCGGTATCGGCGTCGCCACCGGAGAACACGCGCATAATCGCATGACCTTCAAGCAGCTCCTCCAGGCGGATGCGATCGATGTTGTGCAGATCGACTCGTGCCGTCTCGCCGGTGTCAACGAGATCCTGGCCGTCCTTTTGATGAGCAAAAAGCACGGAAAGATTGTCTGCCCTCACGCCGGCGGTGTCGGACTTTGCGAGTATGTGGTGCATCTGAGTCTCATCGACTACATCTGCATCAGCGGCGAGAACGAGCGCAACGTGCTCGAGTGGGTCGACCATCTGCACGAGCACTTCGTCTACCCTGTCAGCATCAACGGCGCTGGCTGCTACAACACACCGATGGACCCTCAGGGCGGCTACAGCATCGAGATGCTCAAGGGCTCGATCGAGGATTACTCCTTCCCCCACGGCTCCTACTGGAAGAACGGAACTGCACGCACTGCACCTCCTTCGGGACACTAGAGAATTTGTATTGACATGGATCGGAAGGAACGAATCAGTGCCAGTGGAACCAGCGAAATCGACGTGGGAAGCGATCGATCACCTCCTGCATGGGTATCACTTGCTGCGGATGAGAACCCTCTGGCCAGATCCCGAATCGGAGCAGTTTCGGCCCTCTGCGGTCGACCCGCCAGAACAGCTGAGCGTCGTACACCTTGACCCGGCCATCGTTGTTGTGACGAAGATTCCAGGTGCGACCGAGTCGACTGTTGCCGCTCACCTTGGTCGAGACAAAGAGCGCTTTTGGGCCAAAGCGACTCGAAGCCTCGGCGTAAAACGGCCCATTGCCTGCCGTCTTTGCAAAGTCCAGCGCGTCCTTTTCCAGATTCGGATGGCTGACCGAGAGGTGTGGATAGTACTCGACGTACTGAGCGTGAAGCTGTGGCGGTTCGAACGCGAAGAGATAACGGTGGTAACTGAAAAGATGATGGTCGGCTTCTTCGTTCGTAAGTTCCGGGACAAGCACGGCACCCGAGGCGATCGCGAGAGTCGCGAGGAGAACGAGCAGACGCAGCTGGACGAGATGCTCGAGAGACATCCTTGCGGTCTGAGACAGTGGTTGAGACACTCAGCAGCCACGCTCAGATTCGCCCTGGCTTTATCAAGATGTCGTCAACAGGGTGGTGAGCGCCAACAAAGCACAGGGCCTCGCAGAGAGTCTCACGGCATGGAGCAACGAGATCAGGTCCAATTCAAAGTGAGCTGAGACCGACGAAGAACCGGTCGTGTGAATCGACAGTCGCTCAGGGGTGGGCGATGCTGGGCTTGTGGGTATTTTTCCCGGCTGTGGAAAGCTCATACAACAACAACCGGAAAAGGGGTTGGCAGACAAGGCAAACTCACACGATCTCAGCGAATCAGTGGAAGCCGCTGGCAACAGGTAGTTCCGCCTCATTTCGGCACCAACATGATGGGTCCAGGCTCTCTTGCGCTGCGGCACTCCGGCGTAGTCAGCCTTCGTCGCCACAGTGTCATCCTTAGTGTCGAAGAGGTGATGAATTACGGTTCTGCCGACACATTCACTCATCTCATGTGATACGCTTCATTTCTTGCTGGTCGACGGGAGTTTCAAGGTCACCACAATCTTGAGACAGACCGCCCGTCCGTTTGACAGCCGACGCTGTTGTTCTCATCCCGGGGATTCTGAGGCATGAAATCCGATTGATGATGCGTTATTAAACGCCTGGCGCTTCCCGTCTTCCTAAATCGCTTCCATGCAACTTCTCGCGGCTCGCTGTCTTGACGATGGGTCCGCTTCTCACGCCATCTTCTCTCTTGTGCTCTGAAGCAGTGATGAAACACCACTACATCCCGCTTGCGGCGAACCACAATGCCGAACCTGTACCGATCGACTCCATCCAGTTGCCGTTCCGAAACGGCTCTTCTGTGTATCCCACGCTCCAACCTTTGAAAAAGTCTTGCTCTGCCTCGATCAGCGCTTGCGCTCTCGGTGACTCGATGCCGTACCCATTGAGCATCTCCTTCTGCGCATCCGTGTAGTCGGGAGGTGGTGCTGCATTGTCGTCTGGCGTTCGATTGGTTGCAGAGGGATGGTCGAACGTGAGGTTGTCTTCCTCGTCCCACTCCCAGTCGAGTCTCGCTTCTCCGTCTTCGCCCACGGCTGCTGTGGTCGACGCTGTTGATGCTCGAGTGGAGACGTAGTCCTGCAGGTCGATCCCTTCGTTGCCGGTCCGCTCCTGGACGATGTGTACGACCAGAGGAGCACCGAACTTCTTGACCTCCTTGAGATCGAGGTCACTGGGCATCGACTCGAACTTTCGTGATCGATAGTATTTGCACCGATACACAAATCGTTCCGGAAACAGACCCTTGACCAGGAACCTGGCTCGCTCTCTTGGATTTGGATTCCGTGAGCTCGGTGTGATCAGTCTGCCCGCCTCAACCCAGATGCCACCACGGCGTTCCAGCGCACGCAGCATATCGGCGAAGAGCTGATCGTCAGCCGCCGTGGGAGCAAACATGAACTTCTGGAATCGATCCTCGTCTGTGGCCCGATCGAACTCGTTGATGAGGCGAAACGATGTGCTCATATCGGCATCTGATGCTTTGTTCATCTCGATCGGGTAGGGACCGCCCGTCTCGAGTAGGCGTGGCGGAGGAGCGAGCAGGTCGAGCGTCGCAAACACCATCCCTGTCTTGACGAATCGCACATTGGCAGAGTCGTCCCTGGTCGATGTCCTACGTACGCTCTCGACGGACTTGACTTGCTCGATGGCGTGCGAGCCTGATAGACTGTCCGTGCTGTCGCTGCTCTTACCCTTGCCTTTGGCTTTCGACTTGAGCTTGGAGAGCCAGCCGGACTTCTGCTCGCCTTCTTCAGCGTCTGCATCTGCGTCCAAGGACTTGCTCGAATAACGCAGGACTGCTTCGGCAGGAAACAGCGCCATCTTGTTGTAGATACCTTGACCGGCATACATCGCCGAAAGCACTCTTTCGATCAACGGTCTCGAGACGATGCCTGTCATCTCTCTCGCTTGGGCCTGAAAAAGGCTGACCTTGCGATAGCGACTGACGTTGCCGGAACGAGCGGTCATCTCCGCACCATTCCTTGGCTGCTGGTGAGCGAGGTAGGCGAAGACACTGCTGTATGAAGCGGCCGAGTTGGGGTTGAAGCCTGCACTGCCAAGGTATGCGAGAGGGATCTGCACACCCAGACGTTTGCGAAGCTTCGAGACGGATTGCGCAACCTTGTTCGAAGACGCCGAGGTCTGACCGCGACCATGTGTAGCTGGGCAGCCCACCTGCCGAAATGGCACAGGATGAGGCGCGTTGATGTCGTACGAGGCAAAGAGCGTGCACTGCAGCAAGAAGGGCGGAAGTGGTGCAGACTGAGCAGGCGGAGCGGCAATCCGCCTCGTTGACGAGATCAGAGGTAGTTCCAGTGCGACTTTGGTGTAGCTGTATGCTGAGGTTGGATCGTGCGCTTCCTTGAGCGTGACACCGCGTGGCAGCTCCTGATCTTGACTTTGTTCGACAGTGTCACTGCAATCAAGGGAGAGCGCTGACGTGCCGAACACGATTGCTTCCGTATCAGCACTAGAGGGAGTCGCTGCGTCTGTGTACGATGTAGAGGGAGCGGCTGTGTCTGTGTACGACGGCGGGCCCCCATTGGCTGCGCTCTTGTCCATCATCTCGTACGACGTCTATAGAGGGAGGAGTAGATATGATCGCAGGTGTTGGTAGTACGAGACGTAGACGGAGAAGGGGCTGGCTGATGCGCATTTCTCCACACTTTTTGGTCGTGACCAGAACCTCCAGCCGCCGTTTGACAGCCGCCGCCGCCTTCTTTTCCGACGGAATGACACTCTCGTCTACTCGGTTGCGATATCTTCACGTTGCATGAGTGGAATGTTCTCTGCGAAGCGAGCTCAGCCTCCTCGCCTCGTCAGACATGTGATCGCAGAGCGACATCATCATTTCAGATAGATGAACTCGACTACGATAGATTACATCAAGACTCCTTGAAGAAACGCTGACCAGCGTGCCAAGCCTGCTGCAGCGTGCCACCGTTGATCTTCAGACCCTCTTCGAAAGCCTCTGTATTGGCGCACTTGTACCACTGCAGCAGAGCAAGGATCATGAGATCGGCGTACACGGGTTGCTCTCCACCCAACCAAACGCCTTGCTTCTTCTCCTTGTTCTCGTACAGCTCCGCATAGGGCAGCATGCAGTTCGCGTAGAGCTTCGCTACGCCTCCTTCCCGCTCCTCGTTCTCCTTTGCGTCCGTCTTGAGGATCTCGTACGGAGACTTGCCCCAATCCTCCGTTCGAGTACGATCGAAGAACTCCTGCGATTCTGGTTCCAGGATGTGAATGACGGCCGGGATGATGGACTTCCACCTCTCCTCCGAATACATGCCGCGTTTGACACACGGGAGGTACTCCTTGATCACGTCACGCGAGGCAGCATCTGGAAACAAAGAGGTCGTAAGATCGCCGCCGTGGTCGAGGTAGAGCTTCTGCAAGGCTTCGGCGATGCCTGTGCTGTCGGTGAACCATTGCTTCTCGCCGGTGGACGAGGTGATGGCGATGGCTGGAAGCGTATGCCGACCTTCGCCAGTTCGCTTCACACCAAGACCGTCCAGCGTCGACACAATGCGTGCCATCGGGACCAGCTTTCGTTCAAAGGGGATGCCGAGCACCCGGAGGGCCAAGTAGGTCCGGGCGGTGTAGGGCGACCATGGCTCCGACGTGCTTGTGCACGAGATGTCGTAGAACGTGACGCTGGGGTAGTCTGTTGGCATAATGAGGCGATCAGAAGCTGCACCGGGGCAAGTCGTTCAGGTGGACAGATGGTTGTATGAGGGGTATGAGTGAGGGAGGGCCGTCAACTGAGAAGTGAGGAGCTTTATATAGCCGACGCAACACCCCACGCCGACTCCGACCTCCGTGGACCCCCGTCGGCTAAACAACAAGCTCTGACGCGTAACCGCCGACAGCTCCATTCGGCACCCTAATCGTAACCTCTCGTCCATCCAGAAGCACAGACGATGCACGCAGCACACAGCAAGAAGGACGCAGCAACGAAAGACTTCGACGTATAAAGACAGAACATGCAACAGCTAGAGAATGCAGACTTGACATCACAAAAAAAGAGGTCTTCCGAGAAACAAAGTGTCCGTGCAGCCACTCTTAGGCGACCGAGAGTTTGGCGAAGAGCTTAAGCAGCGCCTTCCGGGACTCGCGGTACTCGCCCATGACCAAGCGGCCTACGGTGTGCTCGAAGTCGGGACGGCGCTTGACGCGGTCCCAGTTCTCGGCGATGTAGGCGAGGTGGGCGCGCTGCACCTCGTCGAAGCGGTCGACAAAGGGGCTCAGCAGGTCGGCGAGCACCGTCTTGGGCGAGAGCTCGAGGCAGATGTGGTCGAACGCCTTGGTGGCCAGATCGCGGAGACCGAGCTGGCGACCGACGCAGTAGGCGGCCGTGGCGGAGAAGACGGGTGGGAAGCTGGGCGACTTGGAGACGCGCGCGGCAGGTGCTGCTTCAACGTCCTCATCGCTGCCCTGGATGGACGAGGCACCAGAGTGAAGAGAGGCAGATGAGGAAGAGTCGCGACGAGTCGGACGATAACGACGGCTGGAAGGGGCAGGAAGACGAGAAGCGAAAGTGGCATGGCCGGTGTAGAGGTAGAAGATGAGAGCCTGGAGGGTGGCAGGCGAGCATCCGGTGACAGCCACGCGTGCGGCGTTCGACCCGCGAGGAGCAGCAGGTGCCGAGGTGAGGGTGTTGGCAGCGCTGTAGCGGCGCACGCGACCCCTGTTCTCGCTGGCATAGTCGGTGTGCGTAGCATTGCCGACCGGTGTGAACGGGATCTCCTGCTCGAGCTCGGCGGTGGGCGAGGACTTGTCCTTGTTCATGAACTTCATCAGCTTGCCGAATCGCGACGAGGAGCGAGAAAAGGTGGGAGGAACAATCACTTCGGGAGCGGCCTGACGAAGGGCGGGCGCAGTACCAGCGACCTTGGACCTGGAGCCGACGGGCGAAACCTCGTCATCGTCACCGAAGAAGTCGTTGTCCTGCTGCGGGCCGTCGTCGTGCTCATCGAAGTGCTTGGGCTGCTCGGCAACCGAGTCGGCGTACTCCTCCTCATGAACCTTGTCCTGGTGCTTGTCGGCACGCTCGATCTCATCAGCCGACTCGTCAGAGTCGCTGAGAGCACCAACACGCGAGGTGCGGCGGTAGTCGACCAGACCGAGGCTGCTGGTGGATCGGCGGCTGGCCTGAGGTCGGACCTCACGCTTCACAGCGGGAGCGTTCTTGCCCTGGGCAGCGGCGGCAGCGGCCATCTGCTCCTGCTCCATAGTGTCGAGCTCAGCACGTCCGGTCTGGCTGATCTGGCGCATCAGAGCGGGGCAGGCCTTCTTGAGCACCTTGGAGTTGGCGTAGATCACCTCCTCCCTCTTGCCGCCGACACTGACGACCAGCTCGAGATCAGCCCAGGGCTGACCGAAGATGGCGCTGTGCACGGCATGAAGGGTCTGCTCAGCAACGTGAGGGACGAGGGTAAAGGCATCAGCAGCCTCGGCGTCTTCGCTAGCAGCGAGCGAGGCAGCGTCATCTTGGTCCTCCTCATCAGCCTCGATGTAGGCCTTGCGAGGACGTGAGATGGGCTTCCGGTTCCCGCCCAGGCGAGGCGTGGGCAGCGGCTTGCTGCTTCGGTGGATGACGTCTACTGCGGCCATGTTGTCGCGTGTCGAAGAAGGCTGAAGGGGTGTTGCGATAGAAAGGGGAGGCTCAGAGGACAAAGGAGGTTTGCGGCCTGGTGAGGAAGCGCAGCTTATATACGAGCGGGAGCTCGCTTCCATGCTCTGACCCCACATCTCATCTGCGATTCTATCCTCGAGGGCCGAAGGCATCAGGACGAGTCGTCCGTGGGGTGCGACTGCTCGAGGCTGGAATGCGGTGGCACTGGGGGACACGTTGGACAGGATCACCGCTTCGAGAAGATTTTGATTGTGAAACCGGCTGCGCGCAAGACGACGATCGGACGCAACATGACATTGGCATGCAAGCTCACCACGGAGCAGGGTCTCCAGAAGAAGCAACGAGGCTCGGCCTGCGATCCTGGACAACCAAGTTTTCAACAAGCGTGGGAACTCGCATCTATGAGCGACGGAAAGTGGGACAGTAGGGAGCCTCTGTCACAATGGTTTCGCGGCGATCAAGGGACTCCGACAGGGTCCTTCGGGTAAGCGTCCTCGCTTGCGTCTGCCTTGCGCGATGAGCGGAGGAGAAAGCGCAACTACCTTTTTAGACCCTTGAGAAGATCGAGTCGCACGGACGTCGGTGCCCCTTCACTACTTCGTTTTCGCTTTCCTCCCGCCATCTTTGCCCTTTTAGCGAGCCTTTGGGCTGAAAAAGTACGACAGTACGCCGGATGTGGGAGCTGCATGTGAGTGCTAGAGAAGTCGCCACGCGGGACGGGAAAGAGGACAGGTGGCCATGCGGCTCGCGGCGGCTGCATTCCACCGTTGTCATACAATAAGATCAGAGACGCACGGCAAGCCAAAATGGTGGCGGCGCGGGAGCGAGTCGACGTCGTGGCGAGATCTTGGCTGGAATGTACGCTCACTTAGGTCCTTATTTGTCTGCAGCTCAAGAGGCTCAGCCACTCCTGGTAGGACGACAAATTGATCGCGATCGATACGAGAACCGTTCCGAGCTGTTGATTGTCATTCGCAGTGAGACAGCGTCTGCCGAACGGCGCTTGTCGATTTGTTTGTGCAGAATTCGGAACCCGCCTTTAGCATGCTCCATGCATCGGACGAGGCACACCGTTGTCAACGGGGTCCCTCCATCCGCAGCATGACGAGCCGTGTGCCGGTCCCATATCCTGCTACGTAGGTGCCCCGTTACCAGTGCAGTCAGCTGACTGCTCGAAGCCCTGCAGGACAGTCCCATCGCAGGCAGAGGCGCAGAAGTAACCTGAGCGCGCCAAGAGGCACGGACCGGAGAAGCGTGAGAACAATGCGGTTTTCATTTAGAAGGGTGCGCGCGTCAGCCCTGAAGCATGTGCTTTCTGGACCTCGCTTGCGTCAGATCCTGATCGCTTAGCTTGGGGGACAGGCGACGCCCGACGGGACAGCGACGACGATGGGCTTGGGTTGCACGAAGCAGCTGCACCTTGGCATCGACGTGCAGAAACCGATAAAAAATCGCCGCGCACATCTGAGACACGCACAGAAGCTGTCATTCCGCTGTTCCATATCGTCAGCCTTCGACTCCGCGCCTTTTCCGCAGCCGAGCTCCCGCCGAACGTGTGGACCCTGGATTATCTTGCACCCTGAACTAGACCCTAGAGGATGATGTGTATGCTCCTGTCTGTGTCGCTGGCTGTCTGCTTCTGAGCGTTTCTTTCAACACATGGCGTCCTCGTTCGTGCGTTCTCTTCAGATAGATAGGCTTTCATGAGTGACCGGCGAGGGACAGAAGGTGCTGCTGTATAATATATCTGTGACACCATTGTGTCGGTCGATCGCGTCTGACTAGACCTTGAGTTCGAGGATGGCCTCTTCATAAGCCGCGGGAAAGTGGGCTGCAAACATGTCACTCCGCAGCTCTGGTAAGCTGAAGAATGCCAGCGGGCTCTCCACGTGATAGACCTGCTTGTCGTTGATCCAGATGCAGCGGCCCGGCGGGATCAAGGGTCCTCCCTGTGCAGCTTCCGAGCGCAGCGTGGCTGTGTCCAGCTCCTGCCTTCGAGCTGACAGCGCATGCAGCGGCGCTTGGTCACGCTGCTGGGGTCCCACCCACGGCGAAGGCGGAATGCGCGCGCCCGCTGAAGTGCCTGCATCCAGTCGTGCTTTGATCGCGGCATAAAGATCGCTCTCCACTTCGCGGCGCAACGACCAAAGCTGCTCCTCGATACGCTCCTTGCGATGCAGCATGACTTCGTCCACGTCCTCGGCCATACTGATCGATCGCCAATCCCAGTAGCTTCGAAGAATGTGGACCCGCGCATCGTCCTGACCGTCTGAGGAGGCCATCGCATGGCGACGTCGAACACGGGACAGTGCGCCAAGCACACGACGCAGCTCTCTCACCTGACCATGCCCCACCCGAGGGATGACGTCGCTGCCCAACACCACTGTCGTCACGAGTGGCACGGAGCCGAGCGCAGCTCGTGCAGCCAGATCAGCAGTCATCGTCACAGGGCTTGCAAAGCTCACTGCCCGGATGGGCCGACGAGCTGGAAGTCCTGAAGACATGTTGGTGACCCAGGTGCCGGCATCAGGCTCGCCCCCGTCAGGGATAAAGTACTCCGCAAGCAGCAAGACGGCAGCACTGGCGATGGCGCCACCGAGTGAATGGCCGCAGAACATGACACCAAAGCCCTCGTTCTCCGCAAGAGCTTGGCGCAGTGTGGCGAAGAGCTTGCTTTGCGGTGACACCAGGGCTTTGGCCGCGCGCCAAATGCCAGCATGACATCGAAACTCCTCACCGGGTGTCGGCTGGACCTGAGGCAGCTCGATCTCTTCCGTCTGCAGCTCCAGGTCCACGATGATGTCTGAGAAGGACTGCGTTCCGCGCACTGCAACGCAGACGACCTTCCGTACATAGTCTCGGACAATGTAGAATGTGGGACTGTAGTCGGCATCGGCGTCGAGCGTTTGAATGTCGGCATGCAGAACATCATCTGCGTTGAGGCGCGAGAGATAAGCAAACGTCTGGCGTGAGAAGCGGTCGCCCGAAGGAGTGAAGGTTGGCGGCAGGTCCACGATGTGCACGTGCAGACCGTACGCAGAGATGGCCAGCCGACCGCACCACTTGATCGTGCGTACGAGATCGCGGTTCGTCTCCTTGAAAGGTCGCAGATCGCGACTGACCAGCTCGGGCTTGGAAGCGCCTACTTGCGGCGAGGTCATGAAGTCGTATGCGCGACCAAAGTAGCCGCTGCTTGCTTGTCCTGGCCGAGTGGCGTCAAGACGGGGTGTCTTTGCGAATTCGAGGATATCGTCACCACGGTTGGTGACGATCATCTCGTCGTCACTGCTGTCCTCTTCTTCCTCTACCTCTTCCTCGTTGTCATTGTCGCCGCCGCCGACGGCCTCAATCGCGTCTGGGCCGTACCCGTTGCTCTTGGCATCCGTCTCGTCGCCCGTTTGGGCGTGGTGAGGTAACCCGTTGCCATTGCCAAGGATCGTGGCCGTGCTCGGATCCAGGTCTTCGTGATCGCGCCCGACATCCCGGCCTTGTTGCTGAGACCAGCTGAGTCTTTCCTCGTCGAATGCCGCTCGCGATGCTGCGCGCTGGGCCCCGATGTCCAAGCGATCAGAACCGCGCCCTTTGGGCGCTTTGCCCTTGTCGTCCTTGTTCGAGGGTCTCCTCCATCCATCCAGCCGTGTCAGACCAGCTCCTTCCGCGACGTATCGATCTCGAGTGACGCTGTGTAGACAGTAGAGCTCAAGAATGCCCCGCAGCACCTGAAAACGCGTGAGACCTCTGGGCTTCCTGTCCCCCTGTTGGTCTGGCTTCTTTTTGGATCCTTTCTCCTCGTGGTCTTCGAGAGCTACAGTAGCCCATTCGGCCTGAATGAAGCTGTACGCTTCGATTGCGCATTGAGCCAGGACAGTTCGGCCTGCAAGGTTGTAGACCATCCAGCGGAGGAACCAGAGCACCAGCGACACTCTCTCGTAGATTGAATAGCCGAGGTCGACGAGATGCGCCGTTACGAAGGTGAAGAAAGCAAAGGCGTGCACCAGTAGAGCAATCACACCTCCGTGATCCGCTTCGGGACGCTTGTCATCGCTGCTTGACCCTGTGCTTCGAAGTCCTAGATCACCAATGAGGAACCAAAGCACGAACGATCGTTGACGACCGGAGGGGTCTACGTGAATGTGACTCGCAGAAGGTCTGCGGCTGCGCGATCCAGACGACCTTTCTTGTTCGCCGTGTGAAGCGCCGTCATCGCCGGGAGAGTGTGTTCTTGGGTCCGTGGAGGAGGCACTGCGTACCCCTATGCCAGCATCTTGAGTGGACTGTGTCGCAACGAGCATCGATGAGGGCGTGTGCCGGAGCGCACCTCTCGACTGGGCTTCCTCCGACGGCGAATCGATCTCGCCTTCGTCGTGCTTGACCGCCGACTGCAGAGTCTCGGTTGCAGGCTTCGAACCGACGTTCGCAGCCTGGGACTCGCGCAAGGCTGCAAAGGATGTGAAATCGGTCACTGCTCCCGTCAGCGGCGATCGTGTCAAGCTCGTCGCACGCAGACCTTGTGGGCTGTCATTTGTGAGCGAGCCCCGACGCGAGGACGCAGATGTAGGGTAAGGCGATGGAAGGATCTCAATGTGCGTCGGTACGAGCCTCGGCGTGCCAGGCGGAAGACGGAGCGACGAGCTGCTGGTGTTAAGGTGAAGATGGACCATCGGTGCAGCGTGCATGGCTGCAGAATCCTGATATGGCGTCCAGGGCGAAGGTGGCAAGCTCAGCATGGTTGCGACCAATTGAGGTGTCCTTGGCGCTGCATGGAGGTTGCGAGCTGACAGATAGTCGGCATGGCCCGACCCGATCGAGCTACGAAGTTCGCGATGATCGATCGCTAGTGGCGTGAATGGAGATGGCGGTACAGATAGCTGCACCGGGAGCAGACGTGGCGCCGTTGGAAAGTCACGGAATGCGCTGGTTTTGCTCGAGCTCCTCGAAGAAGGCTGCAGGAGAGGAGACGAGATAGGTGGCAAATCAGGCGATGCCAGCTCATCGTCCGGAATCTTGCTTGGGTCCAATGGTTCGAACTCGAACACGGTGTTAAGCTGGCGACCCGCGGTATCGATCGAGTTGTTTCGCGATTCTCGCCGAGACAGAGCCGCTCTGCGTGTCGCCGGAGACATGAAGGGGCTGACAGATGTGACTGCCGGACTCTTGCGCGCCTCTGCATCGTTTGCCGACGGCGTGACAGCAGCGGCGGCTAGGCTACTCGGCAGGACTGGCGGAGCCATGCTTGCTCCATTCATTGTTGGCGTGCCCGGTTGTTTGCCGCTTGAAATGCCGATCGGTGCTGCAGTCGGTAATTTGGGGTCATCGATGCCAGACAAGTTGACAGATGAGTCAGATCTTGCCCGTGACGGTCGTTGTGGCTCAGTGAAGCTTCGAAAGAAGGCAGGAGCCTGGCCGAAGCGCCCATCTCCTCGTGCTCGCTTAGCGGAAGTCTCGGCGGCATGTGCGGCCTTGACAAAGTTGGTGAGGGCGGTCAGTGGACCGACCTTGTGTGCTGGGCGGTTGCGGGCAGCCATCTTCTCGGCGTGCTTCCGCGCCTTCTCACGCTCGCGCATGCGCCGCACGCCGAGCAAGCCTTCGAAGCTGGAAGCGTCGCTGCCGTTGTCGTCGAGCAAAGGTGGCGGTAGCAAAAGCGCGCCTTCCTCGAAGCCGTCACCTGGCTTGGATCGCCATGATGATCCTCCTTGCCAAGCACCGGGCATTGCAACTGGACTGGGAGGAGCTTCAGGGAGCATCTGATCGTGATATGCGGAGCCGATACCAAATTCGGACTTGGAGAGTTGAGTGAGCCTCGGACGACGGCCAGCTTTGAGCATGATTGTGCCAGGTGGTCGATCAAAGTCTGCGCTGGTGGTGGCGAGTGGTCCACTGTCGTCATCTCCGATGTGATCAAGTCTAAGATCTTTTGAAGCCTGTTCTTCCCCGTCGTGATCCTTTCTCTTGCCATGCGGCTTGTATCCGTCGAGCTGCAGTAGTGTCGATGGCATCTGCTTACGGCTGCGATTACCAACTTCGAAGCTGAGGCCTCCTCTTCGGCTACGAACTTTTGAGAAGCCATCGCGGCCATCTTCCACGACAGCACCTTGCCGAGTCAAGATCTGATGCCACATTTGAGCCCTGCGCTCTGCGATAGTCGCGCCTTTGTTGTGCGAAGGAGGCTTCTGCGTCTGTTTCGCATTCGGCAGCTGAAGGCGGAGACCATTCTTGCTGAGTGAGCTGAGTGAGCTGGTCCATGCCTGAATGCTGTGCTTGAGCGGGTCGGTCGAGCGACCCTTTCCCTTCTTGAAATCGTCGTCTTTGGCAAAGGAAAGGCTCGCAACTCGACCGGAGCTGTCCTTCCGCAAAAGTAGCGCTCCGAGCGCTTCAATGGCGCTTCCATTGCTGGGCCTCTTCCTCTGGCTTCTTCTCCTCCTCATGCTGCTGAAAGGTTCGGATGAAGTGGACGGCCACGCAGTGGTGTTGTGTGAGAGGTCGGCATCGGCTGGTAAGCCTGTGGGAGACCGTAGTAAGTCCCAGTGTTCTGACGTTTCCGGAGCGTAGTATATGTTGGAGCGCGAGAGGATGGCCGAGACAGTGACATAGCGAGCCGAGGGTGCCGGCGCAGGGACCGACGGCGGGTCTGACTGTGGTGCATTCTGATTGTGATCAAGGGAGGTGTCCAGGTGTAAGGTAGGCTGTTGCTTGTCTAGGCTGCGCTGATCTGAGACGCTGTCGTGTGTTAGCAGCTCGGGACTTTGCGTGGCCTGCGGTGAGCTTGGAGGCGAACCCTCGAGACGAAAGGACGAAGGCGCCGCACTGAAAGCGGGAGAGGCTGCTACTGGATGCGCCTTGACTACACGAGGAGTGCCGTTGAGCTTCAGACTAGGGATACGCTCGAGCGATGCAGTTCGGCTGTTGGAGAGGCCATGTGCGGGTGGGAGTGGTGACAGCTCGTCGAGGTCGAGGTCGAGCAGCTGCGGACGACTCGAGGCTGCGGATGGTGGGATAGACCGAGGCTCAGAGCTCTTGAGTACCTCAGACTGTGCAGTCGACGACATGGTGGCTGACTGCCCCAGGCTGGATCCGCCTGGCTACGCCGTAAAGGAGGGTGAATGCGAGAATGCGGGAGCAAAGTCGTCGAGGTCGAGAGACTTGTTCGATGGAAGCGGAAGCTGGGCCATCCTTGCACTGATGCTTTTCTTTTGCGTGTGCGCGGCCGCCTTTGGGCTACAAGCCTGATCGTACGTTCATGAGCGGCGTGATCTCGAAAGTGTGGAAGCGTTGAGATGAAGTTGACCAGTGAATGATGAGTGAGTGACCCTTTCAGCGGGAGAGCTTTCGAGAAAAAAAGGGTCCAACGAGAGCGTGAGGCTGAAGCTTTCGATCTACTGCGTCACACGCTCTTGCCGCGTGGTCACTTAATGAGCCGCCGCCGTTCTAGCACACACGTTGCTTCACCTCCAGATCGGCTGAACAGGCTCCAGTACCTGCGTGCTGCATCAGTCCGAATGTGACATCGACCCACACTGTCACCAAGCTCGAGCACATGCTTCGAGAGACTGAAACATGTTGTCCGCGAGCAGGATGTCACATGCAGGGCAGTGTAATGTCACAGCCCGTGACCAAGCTCGCAGCGCAGTTCGAATTGTACCGAAATGGAGCCGATCCGACTTGGCCGAGCAACTCAGATCGGTGGGTCGGGCGATCCGTCGGCAAAGCCGCTCCTCGGTCATCCTCGACCTTTCGGAACATCAGAGCCGAGCTTCTACGGCCCCGCCGATGCTGTGACGCTGCCGTGTGACAGGAGGATGAGCTTGTTCCTATGACTGGGTTCATTTTCGTGCGACTGGCATACGAAGTTCGGCTGAGCTGCCGTTTTCTCACACAAGTCGGACCCATCCGTTACTCACCGTCCATCGATCGGAAGCATGCCGAATGTGAGCCTGCGGTCCTTCACACGCAAACACAGTCAGGGCCGATCTCATGAGCTCTCTAGTTGAGACATTCCAATCTGGATTCAAAACTTAAAAAGCAGCACCTTTAGCAGCGAGCTGCCTGACCTCGGTTGCAGCGAGCAAAGTTCCGTTCCGGAAACGCTGCACAGCCTGAGCGGTGGAGCTTCCAATCGCTGTCCAGGAGACATTGTGTCCTACAGAAGCCAGGAAGGCGGCCGTCTGGTTGCTGAAGCCGACAAAGCCTGGGACTTGAGGAGCGGGACTCTCGAGGGTGGTCGAGTTGGGGCTAAGCTGATCGTGCCACCTTGGCTCCGCTAGCGCTGCTTGTGCGTTTTGCCCCTTGAACAGCACGTCGTAGGCTACCTGAGTGACGGCTGTGATGATCCTAGAGCCGCCGGCAGAGCTGAGGCTGAGCTTGAGCTCACCCGTGCAGGCGTCTTCGGCGATCACCGCCGAGATTGATGAAAGCGGTCGCTTACCGGGACGAATATAGTTCGCTGGCGTCGGAAGGTAGCCAAAGAAGTTAGTCTGCCCGGGCGAACTCGCATCATCCAATTCGTCATTGAGAGGGAAGCCATGCTCGGTCATGAGTTGCGATCCCCAGAAGGTGTTGATGGTAGTAGTCAAAGAAATCGCCATACCATCCGCATCGACCACCGTAATCGCGGACGTGCCGTGATCGCTCATCACATTGGTGGCCTTGTTATCGGGGATGTAGTACGACGTGTTGAACGTGCGAGAGTCGTTGATCTTGGCCTTGTTGGTTTGGCTGAACGAAAGGTCGAGGTACTCGCCCTCGAGGCGGGACACGTTTTTGACGAAGGCGGGATCACCGTAATTGGTGCGCTGGCCGTAGGAGAATTTGTTGGCCTCGATGAAGCGGTGCGTGGAGACATTGACGTTGCTTAGGTCCTCTTCACCGTCGGCGTTGAACTGATCCACGGTTTGAAGGGTCGAGAGGACCACGCTGCCGGACGAGGGCGCCACCGTGCCGTACAGACGATATTTGCCATCGCGCAGAGTCACGTTTCTGGGGTTCCGGAACTGAACGGTGTAGTTGGCAAGGTCATCGCGGGTCATAATGCCCTTGAGCACCGTGTTGTTGGTGATCGTGTCCACAATATCCGCGGCAATCTCGCCGTAGTAGAAAGGGTCGATGCCCTGCTCGGCAATCAGCTCGAGCGTCTGAGCGAAGCGTTCCTTCTTGATCGTGTCATTGAGCTGAGCCAGTTTGCCGTCCGGACAGTAGAACTGGCTCCATCGAGGGTCGCTGCAGAGGAACGGGTAGGTGGTGGTGTTCAAGGCCTTGGCGAGCTCTGTCGTGACCTTGAACCCGCGCCTGTTGAGCTCAATGGCAGGCTGGAAGACCTCCGACCATGCGAGCTTGCCGTACTTCTGGTGCAGATCCCACCACGCCTTGGGCTCGCCTGGCACTCCCACAGCCAGTCCGCCGTACAGCGAGGCGTTCTTGACCGGGTTGCTCGAGTACATGTCCTCGGTAGCAGCTGCAGGGAAGACTTCGCGGAAGTCGACGTGGATGTAGTTAGCCTTCTTGCTGCGAGCGTCGTTGTCGTTGCTGCGCTTGTGGTTGGTGTTGGCATCATCCGTGACGGGAGAGCGGAGCAGAGCGTGGCCACCACCGCCGAGACCAGAGTGGTACGAAGCGATGGAGCCTACACAGAGGGCTGTGCCGATGATCGAGTCGACCGCAGAACCGCCCTGCTGCAGCAGTTGGGCACCAATGTTGGAGCAGACGTCCACCTCGGACGAGACAGCGCCATGCTGGCCTCTGACGCTATACAGGGGAGCGTTGCCTTGCGACGCGGCTCCGTAGAAGGCGGGTTGCTGGTCGTTGTTGCGCACCTCGAGGGCGTCGATGGGGAAGGCTGTAATACGGTCGGCCAGCAGGGCTGTCGAGATTGCAGCCACCAATGCCTGAATTCCGCTTCGTGCGATCATGGCGATAGTCTATTGAGATCCAGCTCACACAAGTCGGTGGGGCGAGAGCTGATATGTCGTGGGAAGAAAGAAAGCTGGAACGTTTGACACAGAAAGGACATTGAAGGGCGATCCTCACAACTTTGTTCAGACTACTGTATTCGCCGCGTGCTTGCGAGCAGATCTTCTCGCTTGCGTGGGGTTTCAGATTGGTTGGGTGGGTAGGGCGAGCCATGGTGGGGGCAGGCTGAACAACAGCTCTTTGATTCTAGCGGCGACCAGATCGGTGTTCACGCCGGCGGCAAGTCACAGATCGAGCCGAACCGAATCAAGGCAAGGCACCATCCGCAGCGAAGTTCAGGCGCCGCTCACAGGCCCACGGCGATAAAACGTTTCGCTCGCACACTAGTCTGACCACTGTGACGTCCGGACGTCATCCGACGAATATCACTGACTCTGAGAAAGAGTGAAACAGTGCCGGTAGGATCGATGTGGGGGATCTAGGCATCTGGCATCCCCTTGATATGGTCATTTGACTCAATCAAACTTTTCGAACTCGGCTGTCTGGACCTCGCTTAAGGAGAGCGAAGATAGGAACCATGTACCCGGTGATGTTCATTGATTGGATCCCGTCAAGCCGCCAACTTCGGCAGAGCATTGCAGCTGCAGAAGATTCCTTTCGGTGCTCAAAGCAACACGGCTCTGAGCAGCCATGTGGGTCGAGAAAGTGGGTTGGAATGCATGGCACAATCCGACAGATGCTGGCGTGATGGAGAACTTCCCGCACGATTCAGCCTCAAGGCGGGACTCGGGAGAGGCCTGACCGCGCTGGACCCTGAATGGAAGAAAGCATTGCGCGTCCTTGACAGCGAGGTGTGTTCCATGCTACCCAGCCAACCTCCCTGCAACATCAGAGCTGCTACCTGCTCGTCTGCGAGATCAGCCTTGTCGAACGGAACGATACTCGCCATCGCAGAAGCTGTCCAGCTACTCCATCCCCATCAGCGCCCATCAAGATGGACTTCGATCCGGTGAACCGAGACGCACCTGCTCCTCGCTACGAACTCGAGTCAGGATCCGAAGACGAATTCGACCATGACGGTGTGGCTACCAAGATTCAAGGGCAGCTCGTACTGAGTGCGACTGAAGCCGGCTCATCTTCCACTCTGCAGCAAGGAAACCCGCTTGTGGTGTTGGTCCGGAATGCAGGAGCAGCTTTCCTGTCCTCCCTTCAAGGTCACAGGTTGGAGCAGCGATACTCTCTACGCGCGGACTCGGAACAGCACGCATCGATCGCTGTCGCAAGCTCCTCCTCGGGCAGCAGCATCACCGTGGCTATGGTAGCACCACCACCGCAGCTTCGCTCTTCACGATTCCACGAGATTGCAAGTACCCTCCTCGAAGCAACGAAGCCTTCGAAGGTTGTGATCGTCGATTCGTACAGCCAGGAGCAGCAGCTATATCGAGACACGGACTCTGAGTCAGATTCGGAGAACGAGGCTGCCATCAAGTACCTTGCGACACCAACCTTCCTGGCCGAGGAGAAGGTCGATTCGAAGAGAATGGAGCCATTGCGTTCGCCCGAGACTGCAAGTGGGCTTGGCGCTGCATTCCTCTCAAAGGTAGGCTCAGACACGAAAGCTAGTGATTGGGTTGACAGGGCCGCAGCCAACGTGTACTGATCGATATGTCCACTCTCGTCGTCGCATTTGCTATCGTACAGGCTGTCATCAATGGCGTCCCCGCGATATTGACCCTATTGGAGGACGTAACTTTCCAGTCTCATGTTCAGCTGTACGGATCATTGGGAGCATCTCGCTTGTCACCGTCAGCTAGCAAGACACTAGCCTCCTTGACCGGTCTCGACAGCATCGTTGCTTCATCTGCCGCAAACTCGCCTTCCACAGGATCAACACTATCGGACTTTGTAGCTTCGCGACGCGTCAAGCCAGCGGCCAACTTGGCAGTGCTGGGAGACGGCAACATGTACATCTGATAAGCACCACATTCATCTTGCGATACGTCGCTCCCATCTGCCCGATCAGCGTCGCTGTGTGCCAGTTGGACAATAGACACGCACAACAGGAAGTCCGTGATGGTATCGGGCTTGAAAAAGTTTGGCCAAGTGAGGCCAGATGCTGGACGACGATCCGTCTCACTACACGTGGACGCAGATCCGGTCTATCGCATGACTTGGGCGGGGGATGAAAGAAGGGCCTGTCATCTTGCAGGAGACGGAGTTAGAAGAGGGTCTCTACGAGATGGCATCATGTCCGGCACTCGGAAGCGTCACGCCGGCGCACTACAAGGAGCCAGCCGCTGCTGTCGCCACTTAAGGGCGTGGTCTGGCCGAGAGAGCAATGAGGTGAAAGTCGCACTGCAGCTCAGCGTCATGGATGTGCTGCCAGGAAAGGCGGCGAGCGGCCATGCTTGATTACGTCGTTCAGCCATTTATTTTTGCAAGCCCCGCATTACAATCTCTGAAAGCAATTAGAAATTTGTACTCAGACCAAGCCTCAGTCTTGTTAATTGAAGAGCAGCAGAAGCCGGTTTGCAGTTGTCCTCTGCCGACTCAACAGGCGGCCGCTTCGGCTGCAGGTGTGCTTCAAGGTGCCTCCAAGCTGGTTCATCAGCACATTGGTGGCAGTCTCTCTGGTTGCTCGTGGAGCCGCTCAAGACAAAGGAGACAGCGAGATGCAGAGAGAAGCGGATCAAGGAAGATAGAGCTGCTGCGGGTGAGACTCGAATGGATAGTCACAATATGACGGATTGAATCTTGGTCAAGCGAAATGACGCTGACGCTGCACAGCGCGGGGCTAAGCACACACAGAACAAGGTTGGATCGACAGTCATCCAAAGACGTCAGATTGAGTCGATTGAGCTGCTGCTGCACCTCACTCCCTTGGACGGCATCATCGTCGTCATCAGCAGCATCATCAACAACTGCAGAAGCTTTTGAGTGTTGGCACAGCTTCGGCTATAACTCTCTCTTGCGCGCTCCGCTCCCTTGGGCGAGTCGTCATCATGCCCTCGTCTTAGCCTCTGCAACTGCACAAAACATTTCCCCTTCTGCACCAAAAAAAGAGTGTTGCCGTACCGAGTTGAGTTGGCTGCAGCTCTGGCTCTGCCTGCGTCTCTGCGTCTGTGTCTTCTTGTGCTCCCTGCTCACAACATCGCATTCGCTTACTGCCTCTGCGTCGACCCTTTCGCTCCTCTGACGTTGCTTCGCTGCAGGGTTCTGCCAAAGGGTTCTCTGGTTTCGTCACTTGCCTCTCCCACATCGTCACTCCTGCCTTTCAGTCTCTCTGCTGTCTCCCCCTCTTTATTGTATCATCATCCATTCTGCAAGGGCGGCTTCTCGTGCACCCAACTCCAGCACCTCTTGCCCAGCTCTCGACCACGCTTCAACTTCCCACGAGTCCTGGTGCATGATCCATCTGATCCCCTGACCTCATCGCACGCTTCCTCTCTCTCTGGTCCGCTATTGACCTCATTCATCTCTCAACCCTAAGCTCTCTCGCTGACAGGCTGCTCCGCAAGCTATTGTCCTCACTGCTTAGCTACCGTCACCGCCGTCACCGCGCCTCTCTGCGACCGACGTTGTTCCACAATCTGTCTCGCCCTCCCGTGCCCTAGCCTACCCACGTTGAAACAAAGCTTACACGCTCAATCAGCCGGAACCAGCTAGTAGCAATCCACCTCGCATACTGCCTCCGACGTCAATCCGGGATCATCATCGCCAGCTCTAACCTAGCTCAACGCATCTGACATTGTGAGCTCCGACGCCTCGATACCACTCCTCGTACAAAAGACTTCTTTGTACCCACCACAACGTCTTGATCCCCTTCCATCATCTCGCTCCGGCCATTCCGCCTCGTCAACCCACTTGCTCGCTCCTTTCAGCAGCGTGCTTGTCATCCACACCTTCCTTCACGACCACCTACATCTCGGTTTCTGCGTCGCACCTCCTAGTTTCCTGCTCGACATCGCGCTCCTTGCATCCTTTCATCAATCATCGTCTCGTCATCTCGCTGTCGACGCCCAGCTCTAATCGGTCTCGACACAGTCCACACTACACAACCGCTAAGCTCAGCGACCTGCTCGTTGCAAACATCCGATCTCGTTCATAGCATAGGACAACTCGCATTGCAGTCCTCTACACTTGCAGCAAGCCTAGCACAGCCGCTCATCTGCTACACCAGCCAGCACGGAGGATTACACACTCAGGAGTCCATCGCCAACTACAGCCCTTTGAACACAGGCCGACTCATCTGCCCCTTCAGTCCGTCACCCGCATTCGACCACAACCCACACAATGCCCGTTTTGGAGCAGTTCAGGAACTTTATCAGACACGGAAAGGCAGCTCGCGAAGCGCCAGACGGTCAGACTGTAAGTACTGCCGTGACACTCGCACAGCATATCTGTCACGCACAAAGCGACGTGGTTCGGTCCCACCAATCTCGGCTTGGTCCCACCAAGGAGCAATTTTTCGAAACAGGTTTGGCGGAAACCACCAGGTGGATCCCGCTAGCGACCTCCCTTTTGGCCACCAACATCCTCGCAACCGATCTACGCCGGGCGCATACATCCAATGTGATACAGCTGCGCTAACGTCGTGACACCGAATCGCTACCTGACGACGGCCTTGCGAGGGCTCCGACATCGCTTTGTCCTTCCTCGATAGCTGTGCGAGTGCGGAATCTGCATGCACAGCCAACCACATACTGATGCCTCCTCCTCCGCTCGTTTCGATGCCTCCTTCCCACCAACATTAGAACGACCCTACTGCAGGCTCTTCAATCCACGCCCAATCCGCCGAAAGCTCCTCTTCTTCACGGAACCACTCAACAGCAGCAGCCTCGGGCTTCGCACCCCAAGACAAGGCCCTGCCAGTCCCAGCTTCCACCTCGCAGACCCACGCTGCTGCCGCCTCCCCCGCCACTGCACCGTCCACAGCATCCTCATCAACAGCAAAGCAACAGACCCAGGCAGATCAGTCTCGCGATATGAAGCAGTCCACCAACGGCAATCATGCCGGCGTTCCCGTTGCCAACTCCTACAAGGGCAGCTCCGCCAACGAGCAATACCAACGCGAGGCCGAGCGCATCGTTGCCGAGGAGCGTGAGGCTTCCGACAAGATGCCCTACTACGAGGGTCTCAGCGAGCGATTCCAGCTCATCAAGAAGATGGGCGACGGCGCTTTCTCCAACGTCTACAAAGCGAGAGATCGTCAGACCGGCCAGAAGGTCGCCATCAAGGTCGTCCGCAAGTACGAATTGAACAGCAATCAGGTAAGTAAAGACATTGAGTTGAGGTTCGGCTTCGGTTCCAGGTTCGGGTTTCGTGGTTCTTGGGTTCGGTTCTCGTTTCGTGTTCCGGTTTCGCTTGCTCGCGCCGTGGTCGCTCGTTGCTTCCGTTCTCGTTTCTTGTTCTCGTTCATCGGACGATAGCGGAAGGACAATATTTATGATCTCTTCAGCGTATCGCCCCGCTTTGCTGCGTACGACCTGCCAATTTGGAGACCTCTGGCCAAGGCTCTCCGGATCGGTAGTTAGACGCACATATCTCTCGACGCTCTTGCGTGCTCCTCCGTACCTGCTCACATGCCGTCCGTGGCTGGCAGGAGCGCCATGGAGGTGCACGCTGGAGGTCGATCAGATCATGCCGGCGGCCCAGCCCATGGGGAAGCCACGCTGCCGTCGATCGGCCGGCGCGTGCTTCTCCATGGTCCGCCTCCCGCTGCAGCGCTCTCTTGTTCAGGCAGGACCGCCAATCTTGACCAGATCATGCAGTGTCGCCGCTCACTTTCGTCCGTCTTTGTTAGCAACCACGGCGCTCGCAATGACCAGACCGAGCCTCTTATTGATGCCATTCAACAGGCGCCGGACACTAACCACTCTTACCTTTCCTCACCCTCATCACTTACTGCGATGATGCCCCTCGCGTCTTTCGTCCATGTACTTCCGACAACGTCACCCGTCGATGGCACCACAGGATCGACTTGATCCCAACTTCAGAAAGAAGAACCGCGTCACAGAGGTCCGTTTCACGATGTACACCTTCCACTTCCTCCCGTCCAATTTCCATTTCAGTCTTGCATGCTCCTACTGGAGCAACCCCCTTCGCCCTCCTCCTTCATCTCTTCCCCATCATGCACATAGCTTCCCCCTTTCGATCTCCCCGACCTCCGGATCTGTCATCGTTGCTCTCGGCGCGATGATCGACACCGCAGTCAACTTCCCTCTCATCGCGTCCGATGCGCACAGCATCTTCGTCGCTTTGCGGCCGCACTCATGGCCAGAGAGCGGCGTCTTGGCCCTCGGACTGCGTTTCCCACCCACAACCTCCTCTCCCTACCCTCTGGTCGTGTTTTAAGTCGCACTGATCGTTGACGGAGCAACCGACTAACTTCTATCTCCTCTTCACTTTCTTCCAACAGCGCGCAAACATCCTCAAAGAAGTGCAGATCATGCGTAATCTCAAGCACGACGGTATCGTGGAGCTCCAATCGTTCTCGGAATCGCGCGAGCACTACTTCCTGGTGCTCGAGCTCATGGAGGGCGGCGAGCTGTTCCATCAAATTGTCAAGCTCACCTACTTCAGCGAAGCTCTTGCACGCCACGTCATCCTGCAAGTCGCACACGCCATCCGATACCTTCACGAGGAGCGCGGTGTCGTCCACCGAGACATCAAGCCCGAGAACCTGCTGTTCGAGTCGATCAAGATCATCCCGTCCAAGCATCCCATCCAGCGTCCTTACGACGAGGAGAAGGAGGATGAGGGCGAGTTCATGCCCGGCATCGGTGGCGGCGGTATTGGTCGAGTCAAGATTGCCGACTTTGGTCTCAGCAAGGTCGTTTGGGAAGAGAGCACCATGACGCCTTGCGGTACGGTCGGATACACCGCGCCCGAGATTGTCAAGGACGAGCGCTACTCCAAGTCGGTCGACATGTGGGCGCTCGGGTGTGTGCTCTACACACTGCTTTGCGGCTTCCCTCCATTCTACGATGAGTCGATCTCGGTGCTGACGGAGAAGGTGGCCAAGGGCTACTACACCTTCTTGAGCCCCTGGTGGGACGACATCAGCAAGTCGGCCAAGGACCTGATTACACATCTGCTCTGCGTCGACCCAAGACAACGATACACAATCGACGAGTTCCTGCGCCACCCATGGTGCAATGTCAAGGACCCGATCCCGGACCTCAACTCGGCGGACATTGCTCTGGCCAAGGCATCCGAGATGCCGCTCGACTCGCCACTGTTGGCCTCGATGAAGTCGGGCAACGCTGCTCGCAATGCCATGATGTCGCCCGGCATCAACCGACTCAAGGAGGCGTTCGACGTCACCTATGCCGTCCACCGCATGGAGGAGGAAGGTGCACGCAAGCGCGCTGGTGGCAACAACCCGCTCGGCGAACTCAACGAGGAGGACGAGAGCGACGAGGCCGACGAGGCTCGCAGAAAGTACGGCGATGCAGCTGGCAAAGCTGTCGAGCAGCAGCGCGGTGCTCGCAACAATGGAGCTGCCCAAGCCCCGACACAGCAACGCACTGCGCCTCCGCAACAACAACAGCAGCCGCAACAGCAAGCGCAGCAGTACCAAGGTCGTGGCGGCGCCGACCGTCGTCTGGCCGAAGCAGCGCTCTACGATGGCCGTGCAGGCCCGCGCGACCGTGGCCAGAACTCGAATCGCAAGCGCGGCTTTGAGCTCAACATGGGCAACGCAACGCTGCTGGGCCGCCGAAACAAGGCCGGGGCCGCTGGCACGCCCCGCGTCGACAACTTCGGCAACCCCATCATCGACGGCGCCCACGCTGCTGGCGTTATCCCCGGCAGCCCCATGCGCGTCGACTAGTCTTCTTTGTTTGAGTTCGCTTTTCTCTCTCCCCATGTATCGCTTCACTATGCATCTACACGAACGATTTCGCCCTTTTCTCTCGACCAGATTGTTGCTGTCTGCAAACTGAGCACAAGCGTCTGTTATCGATAGGCGGTATGGGAATGCGATGTCTCGATTGGGTATGATTTGAAGTGTCTAGTCGGATGAGCTGCAACCACGACAGCCGCAGTGTACGCACTCTACCACGGTGCCGGGCCGCAACTGATCCCGTGGTACGCGGCAGATGCATGTTGATCCTTGATAGTTCATATCCTGACGAGCCATATAGACAGAAAAAGGTGATGTGAGTATCAAGCTGAAGTACGATTTGATGTTGTGAGGCTCGAACTTACTCTCGACTGGATGCATCGTACGCAGCATAGCTTCTCGTACCCTGTTCGCTTCCATTTGGCTATCAAGCTGCGGTACGTCATCACCATCATATCACCGTCTTGTCAGCACTCTCTCTCTCTCTCTTTCCTTCTCCTTTGGGGCGGGCACTCACTTGGCATCGGCATACTGATACTTGAGCAACCAGTCGTACAGTTCTCTCGAAATGGCCTCACGCTTGTAGTAGAGGTCGTAGATGTATCTGCTGCGCGTATGGTTGATCTGGATGATGGGCCAGAGCGTTTCGACCTTGCGCTTGCCTTCCGTGTCCGAGGTCTCGGCATCGCGCATCTTGCGATCGTATTCGTCGAGGATGGGCTCGATTTCGTCGAACCCTTCCGGGGGTGGGGTCGAGCGCGATGTTCGTAGTCGTGGCATCGTGATGCGCTTGCGATGGTCGGTACGGTAGGATCGTCGGATGGAGAGGTGTAGTGGACGACAGCCTGCTGTGCTCGACGTCGAGGTCGATGGCGAGAGATGGTGGTGAAGGACGACATCTGCAAAAGTGCAGTTCGGAAGTCGGTCAAAGAATCGGGGTCCAGAAAAGCGGAGCGCGCAGCTCGTTTACGCCAAAGTGGAGGCGAACAAGGCGTGAATCAGCGCTCAAGTTGACAGCTCAGCTCACCTCAGCGACATGTCCAACACCATACCCTCATCCATACAGCTTCAGGACCAGACATACTCCCATTTGACGATCGGCGATGTCCACATAGCATCATGCCAAAATTGATCCGCAAGGGTCAGCGAATCCTGCATCAGCGCACACAGGCTCGACAGGATGGTGTCAACTCCCCACGCTCAAGTCGGAGCACAAGGGTCCAATCCTCGACGGCGGCAGCTGGTCACGCCGAGGAGATCTTAGACGCAGCCAGCGAGGAGGAGAACCCACTCTTCCTGGGTCGAACCTCAGCGACACCAGCACCGTTCCTGTCTCGAACCACCAATTTGAAGAGCACAGGACCGATCGATCCGACCGAGTTGCCGTCAGAAACGAGAAGAAAGGCGGCCAGTCGTAACATCGCCAATGCGGTCGAGCAGTCGCGCCTTCGCAGCTTCAATCAGGCGAGCTCATCCTCCGGCACCGGCTCAACTGCAAAGTCAACTCTTGGGAACGGTCGCGCCAAAGAGACAATCGAGGAGGTCAAGTCGGAAGAAGAGCCAGGCGAGGATGACCCTTTGCTCGCTTCTCCGACCCTCGCCCGCCGCTCCCTCGCGCCTCCGGTATCTGTCAAAGCGGAGGCTGAAGTAATAGAGATCAAGTCAGGAGATGAAGATGACTACGACTTCCGCATCGTGTCACCGCCATCGACTTCGAAGGCCTTGTCAGCGACGAATGGGCATGCAAGCACAGCAGCAAGAATAGCCGCAGCTCCAGTCCCGCCGCCAATGGGTCCACCCTCCACGCCGACGAGAGCGGCTACCGAAGCACTTGTACTACCCGTCACACCTCCACCATCAGAAAAGAGGCAGCCTCGAGGACGCAACGCACGCTCCGTCACAGCCAGCATTGCCGCTGCTTCTGCCCCGACACGAGACGCTCTCGTCGGTAGAGAACCCTCAATTGCTCCATCAGAATCAGCAAGGTCTGCCTCGGAGATGCCAGTCCTCGAAAAGCCCGTCCTCGAACGCACAGATCCGTGGCCAGAACACTTCCTCCAGCTCGAAAAGACCTTTCGCGCTATCAATACCGTCTATTCTTTCTGCTCGGCTCGAAAGCATATGGCCACCACCTACGATACCATCAAGACCAGTGTCGAGGGTCTCACCAAACGACCGCTGCAGATCTTCGAGATTGCACAAATCAAGAGTTTGTGCGGCGAGCTCATTCATTTCGCCTATGTGGAACACGACATGCTTCAAGTGCATATGGACAGTCGAGCCAATGCCGAGAATCCTGCCAGCAATACTGTCAAGAGGCGGCAAAAGTCGAGCGCGCAGTATCGAGACGAGCTGTACGAGAGAGCGGCCGAGGCAATCGCCGAGGGCGATCCGTATATTCCTGACAATCCGAATGCCGTTGCGATTGCGGCATCAGCGGCGATGGCGGTGGATTCGGCTGGATTTGCGACCACTGGAGGTGGGTTTCAGGATGTCGCAGATGAGGACGGTCAAGGCGGACCGCAGGGGCCGTTGCTGCCGCCTGCCGAGCTCGAGGTGCAACAGCTCCAAGCCAAAGGCAAGCAGAGGGCGAGAGAGGAGTATGTCTTGCTATTCGAGTTCAACGATGGAACCCTGCAAGGACCCAAGGCGACAGCGAGAGGGCGTCCGGGCATGCGCCGAGGACCGAATCGAAAGCCAGCCGATCCGAACGCCAAGCCAAAATCCAATCCCAAGCTCTACTCGCTCCCGTCGACAGCATCCATGATGAAGCTCATCAACAAGCGCAACTTCAAGTTCGAGCAAGCTGTGCTGGAGTTGCTCGCAGCCTGCAAGGCCAAAGACGAGGACCCTGTGCAGCTTCTGATCGATGCAGCACACGACCACGTCCCACTCAACCCAGAGACGGCATCACGCACCGAAGGCGATACACCACAAAAGAAGCGCATCCGCCTCGAATTCCTCATGAAGAACCCCGAGCATCGACCCAGCGTCGCTTCGGTGATCGAGGAGATGAAGATTGCTCCCTGGTGGAAGGACCAGATCGTCCCTGGCGGCCACAAGGTGTTTGACGAGCGACCTGCCAAGACCGGTGAGCTGAACTACCTTCTCTCGCAAGCCGTCGTCAACGCGCTCTATGCGACACACGGCATCGAGCAATTCTACGCTCATCAGGCGGAAGCACTCAACGCACTCAACGAGCAAAAGAACGTCATCGTCTCGACATCCACCTCGTCGGGCAAGTCGCTCATCTACCAGTTGCCCGTCCTCGGCGCCATCGAGCAGGACGGCGAAGCCACCGCCATGTTCATCTTCCCCACCAAAGCTTTGGCCCAAGACCAGCGGCGCTCGCTGCAAGACCTCATCGCCAACTGCGAAGGCGTCGAGGGCGCCATCGTCGCCACGTACGACGGCGACACGGACAAGGACCTGCGCAAGGACATCCGCGAACGCGCCTCGGTTATTTTCACCAACCCGGACATGCTCCACCAGTCGATCTTGCCGAGCGAGGATCTGTGGCGACGCTTCCTGCGCAATCTGCGCTATGTTGTGGTCGACGAGTTGCATATCTACAATGGTCTATTTGGAGCGCATGTGAGCTTCATCATGCGTCGTCTGCAGCGGATCTGCAGTGCACTAGGCAACAAAACCGTGCAGTTCGTCAGCTGCAGTGCGACGGTGGCCAATCCAAAGCAGCACATGCAGACGCTGTTTGGGGTGGAAGATGTCCACGTTGTTACGGAGGACGGGTCGCCAGCGGGGAGAAAGGAGTGGCTCATCTGGAACCCACCCTACATCGACGAGTCGGACCCTGCACAGGGTCGTGTCAGCAGCTACGCCGAAGTGTCCAAAGTCTTCCGGCACCTCATCCAGCGCGGCGTCCGAACGATCATCTTCACCAAAGTGCGACGCACGTGCGAGATCGTGATGCGTCAAGTGCGAAACGATCTTCTGCTCGAAGACCGCCCGGATGTAGTGAACAAGGTCATGTCGTATCGATCCGGCTATTCGCCGCAAGACAGACGAAAGATCGAACAGGACATGTTCAAGGGCCAGCTGTTGGGCATTGTCGCCACCTCAGCCCTCGAACTGGGCATCGACATTGGCAGTCTCGACGCGGTGATCATGCTCGGCTTCCCGTACTCGATCTCGAGTCTGCGACAGCAGGCGGGTCGAGCGGGTCGTCGACAGAAGGACTCGCTCTCGGTGCTCATCGGCGACCCCTGGCCCATGGATCAGCACTACATGCATTTTCCGGACGAAATCTTCCTCCAACCGGACGCAGCACTCTCGGTCGATCTGGGCAACGATTTCATCCTCGAATCGCACCTGCAGTGTGCAGCCGAAGAAATGCCGATCACGCTCGAGGACGACGAGCAGTACTTTGGCCCTCATCTCGCCACACTGTGCCAGACGCGACTCGAGACGGACGGAACGGGCTACTTCTACTGTCGGGAAGAACTGCGACCCAACCCAGCGCGCGACGTTGCCATCCGCGGTGCACGCCAGGACAGCTACTGCTACATCGACGATACGCCTCGTCGTCCCGGTGGCGCACGCGTCATGGAAGAGGTCGAAATCGAACGTGCCATCTTCGAAGCTTTCGAAGGGGCCGTCTTCATGCACCAAGGCTTGAGCTACATCTGTCGCGAGATCAACCACGACACGCGCATCGCACGGATGGTGCAGGTGGATGTCAACTACCACACGCGTCCCCGGGATCACACCAATACGGATGCGATGGAGACCTACCGCATTCGACGACTGCGCGAATCGCCGTATTTGGCCTACTACGGTAAGGTGACGATCGCCAGTTACGTGTGGGGGTACTTTAAGGTGGATCGTCGAGCGAACATCTTGGATGCTGTCGAAGTAGACTGTCCTCCATTCATCCGACATACGCGGGGGTTGTGGATCGACGTCCCCACCTGGCTGGTCGACGCGATGACGAGCAAACGCATCAACGCCGCCGCAGCGATCCACGCGGCCGAACACGCCCTTTTATCCCTCACACCCATGTTCGTCGTCTCCATCGCGGGCGATGTCCGCACCGAATGCAAGATCGCCGAAAAGGAGTACGCCGCCAAGCCCTCATCCCGCAAACGACCGGCGCGGTTGATCTTCTACGACATGCCCGGTCAGAACGGCGGTGTGTGCGCGAAAGCCTTTGAACACCTCGATGGGCTGATTCGCATTGCGATTAGCGTCATCGAAGCGTGCCCGTGCAACGAGGGGTGTCCGAGCTGCGTGACGAGTCAGACGTGCGCCCATGCCAACCTTGTCACTTCCAAGATCGGCGCGTTGGGCGTGTTAAGGGGGATCGTGGGAAGGGAGCCGTTCGATCCGGATTTGGAGTTGCAGAATGAACCCGGGATCGCGCCGTCTCAGCTGGGCGCAGAGGGGAGTGTTAGTGGCACCATCGCCGAGGCGGTACCCGTAAGGGTGGCAAAGGAGCTGGGGAACAGTGTCCAGGTGGAGGACGTGGATGAAGTGTTGCCGCCAAGTTTGCAGAGGTTGACGCAGAGGGCGGCGGAGGCGGCCGTGAGGAGAGGGGAGCTGTTCGAGGGTCCGACTGGGTCCAATGGTACTGGGCCGGGTGGGGGGTTTCTGCCTGGGAAAAGTATGCTCTTCCAAGAGTGATATATCCTCATGCGCACATAGTTTTTACTCATAACGTCCTTGGCATTGCATCGTCACTAACCGAATCGATCTTGTGCTAAATGTCACCCGACGAATGTGACCGCCTACCCCTGGAAGCATGGCGGGCAAGTGGTGTCTGTGCGGGATCCTCCCTCCTCTACGCCCTCCTCCCCCCGTCTCCCCGTGAGGATCAATGAGAGGCGGACAGCGCAAAGGAAGAAAAAAGGTGCATCAGTCTACCCGCTACTAAAAATTGATGGCAACCACATTGGTTCGGCTGTCAACAGAGTGTTAAGCGGGTGTGTCTGGAGGAAAGGGGGAAAGAGACACAGTCTGGTCGGGGTCGAGCGAGAGAGACACAGGCGATGTCGGCGATGGTGAAATGCAATGTCGGTTACGATGGGAGATGATGGTGAGGAAGGAAGAAGGGATCGGCGTGTTCAGAACTTTTTCGGGCCCTGTTGAGAAGAAATTCCCAGCTTGACGTTGCGAAGGCTGTCGGCCGGAATCTTTGTGCTTCGAGTCAGCGGTGTGCCTGGTGCCTGCAGCACGAAGGTGGACCCTGAATGCTCTCCTCCCCCACACTGACTCCCCACGACAGGACGAGCCAGTACCATCCCTTGCCTCCTTGCAATTCACTGTAGCCGTCACAAGCACCGGCTGCGCAGTCTGACGGAGACTCGATAGCAGGATATGTCTTCGCAAGCATACCATCGATCCGACGACGCCGATGTCTACCGCAAGAATGCGTCTTTCGTCTACTCTGACGAGTACTCGGCGCCCGTTCTGAAGCTGCTTGACCCGGAACCGGGAGACAAGATCCTCGACTTGGGATGCGGTATGTATCGTTCCAGTCCAGGAATACGTGTCATGGGACGATCACCTACTAACAGCGAGATCACCATTCCTGCTCTCAGGTAGCGGCGAGCTGACCTGCAAATTAGCCTCTGCCGTTGGCCCACGCGGACTCGTCTTTGGTCAGGACGCCAGCGAGGACATGATCAAGAAAGCAAACGCATCCATAGACGTCGACGCCGACGGTACTCCCAAGTTCGAAGTGCGAGACGCACAGGACCCGATCGCGCAAGGGCAGCGAGGACAATTCGACAAGGTGTTCAGCAACGCCGCGCTACACTGGATGAAACGCTCGCCTTCCTCTGTCGTTCAGAATGTTTACTCCAGCCTTCGACCAGGCGGTTCGTTCGCTGCCGAGATGGGCGGGTTCATGAACTGCGTCGGTGTCCGATCCCATCTGCACCTCGCTCTGAGCAGACGCGGCGTCGATCCAGCACCTCTGGATCCGTGGTTCTTTCCCACCGCTGCCGAGTACACCAAGTTGCTTCAAGAAGCCGGATTCACAGTGGAGACCTGCGAGCTTGTGCCGAGACTCACACCACTACCGAAGGAGAGCGGGCTGAAGGGCTGGCTGAGCACCTTTGCAGGTCCGTTCCTCAACGCATTCGACAGTCAAGAGGAGCGAGAAGAAGTCGTAGCCGAAGTCGAGGATGCGCTACGGTCAGACGCATACGATGCCAGCACGGGGACCTGGAGTGTCATGTATGTCAGGCTGAGGTTCTTGGCCGTCAAACCGAAGTAGAGTCCATGCCAAGCCCTTTCCAAAAAAAACCAATTGCGCAAGTGTGAGAGCGTGATGGTGTCAACAGGGTCCGTCGAGTCGCAATCAGATGGAGCAAAAAGCAAGCCTGAGAGCGGCGTCTTCTTCGGAGACTTTTTTTTGGCTCTTGGCGGTAAAGAGGATTTAGCGGAGATGTGAAAGACTGTGGGGCGGCAATGATCAAAAAGAAGATCTTCTTGCATGCGATGCTTCCCTCCTTCACACTACACATCATCAAACCCCCCTCGACGGACTCGGCCTCTCGACGATATGACTGTCAACGGACATAGCAACGGCGTCAATGGAGCGGGGCCTTCTACGCTCAGCCCACTCCAGGTCGAGCCTTCGTCCGTAGAGGCAGCTCGCATTTTGCCACAGGCACTCGAGCTCGTCCAAAACTTCATCGCATCCGGCGAGCAGCCCGATACCTACGTCGCACCGTGGGGCAGCATCCCAGACTTCCGCAAAGCTGTCTCTCTCTCCCTTCCAGACAAGACTGCATCCGACGATGCGCTTCTCGACGCCATCAAGCTTGTTTTCGACAACTCGGTGAACCCGTGGACGGGTCGATTCTTGGACAAGCTGTATGCTGCCCCCACGCCTGTCGGTATCGCAGCGGACCTGGTGCTGAGCGCAGTCAATGCCAACGCACACGTTATGTCGGCGTCGCCGGTGCTGAGCTTGGCCGAGGAAAGGTGCGTCGAGGGGCTATGCGAGCTGTTTGGCTTCACCGAGAAGAAGGCCGATGGATTGACGATGCCTGGTGGCTCGTCGGCGAATACGCTGGCGGTGCAGACGGCGCTTGCCAATCTGTTCCCTAAATTTAGGACACAGGGCATGCTAGGGGTCATGCAGCAGTTGACGGAAGAGAAGAGAGCGCCGAGGCCGTTGCTCTTCACCTCATCGCAAAGTCACTACTCGCTGGACAAGGCAGCCATCTCTTCCGGGCTCGGACTGGATTCGGTGGTCAAGGTGGATTGCGACGACGCCGGTCGCATGGATCCAAAGGCTCTCGATCACGCCTTGACTGCGGCCAAGGAGCAAGGCACGGGAACACCGTTCCTCATCAACGCCACGTCTGGCACTACCGTGCTGGGCTCCTTCGACCCGCTGCCCGAGCTGTCCGCGGTCGCACGGAAGCACAACTGCTGGCTGCACATTGACGGCTCTTGGGGTGGGCCAATCGTGTTCTCGCACCGCCAGACGTACTCTGATCTGATGAAGGGCAGTCATCTGGCCGACTCGATCACCATCAATCCGCACAAGCTGCTCAATGTGCCGCTGCAATGCTCTTTCCTGCTGGTGCGAGACGCTGACACGCTCTCGGCCAACAGCTTGGACGCAGCATACCTGTTCCACTCGAAGGATCGTCGAGAGAATGCGGCGATGAAGACCATGGGATGCGGCCGCCGTGGAGATGCGCTCAAGTTCTGGTTGTACTGGGTCCGTTATGGAAAGAACGGCTTCGGTGCGCATGTCGATGCAGGTTTGGCGCTGGCTATCGAGCTGGTCGAGTACATTCGATCCAAGCCGACAGAGATCGAATTGGGACCCCTTGCCGATCCACTCTTCCTTCAGATCTGCTTCCGACCGCTTCAACCTGGGCGGGTGGACGACAGCGCCAGCTGGCAGCTGGATGCGGAAGAGGTCAAGAAGCGATCAGCGGCGACGCAGCACGTCTACCAGGAGCTCAAGACGAGGAGGATGTTCGCGGTCGACTTTGCACCTCTGCCAAATGGAATTGGAGACTACATTCGCCTGGTGGTGCACCCAAGGACCAAGATGGAGGATCTGAAGACATTGGTGGATCAGGTCGCTGAGATTGGACAATCGTACTGGAAGCAGCAGGCGTGAGAGATCAATAGACTATATATACACAACAAAGACAAGGCTGAGCAAGTTGGCAATGGGACAAGCTGAGCAGCGCCGTGCTGTGTGAGTCAGAGCGTGAGAATGGTGCGGACTACCCGAAAGGGTCTTTCTACGAAGTCACGAAAAGGTGGTGGGATGATGGCTGGAGCGTGGGAACGTGTGTGTGTGACCATACAAAAAGCAGCATTTGGCCCTCCACCCTCTGCTGCAGAGTGGGAAAAAGTGCAGCAGCAGCAGCACGTCACAGGCAAGAATTCATCTCTCGCTTTGACCACCACACATCGTACTGCTGACATCCCGCTCATCCGACCTGAGCTCACCACCCTTTCACCACCACATTTGACGTCGAGAACGAGCGCTCGGCTCAGCACAGCAGCCACCATGTATCGAAGCACACGCTCAACAAAACAGTCGTCCAAACTCAAGATCCTCCCCGAGGAGCCTGAGGATGGCACCAGCGGCGCTTCTTCTCCCAACATCGGTACCAGTGGTGGAACCACATCTGCACAAAGCAATCCAGGCCCTGCTTCCGCAGGATACAGTCGCAAGTCGTCCTACTCTGAGCCGCCAGCACCCACCGTAGCTCCAAACGCAAACGCTACAAACTCGGTCGACGACGACGACAGCTCCTCCGACGATGCAGGCGAGGGCGAGGACGAAGAGGCGGTCGAGGTATACAAGCAGCTGGATCAGATTCCGGAAGGCTCGATGCGACGTGATGCGAGGAGATTGACAAAACGATCGCGCGCCAAGCTGCCAAGGGTCACCGCCTACTCGACAGCCACCTCGTATCGGATGCGCGAGCTCACCAAATGGCTCAATGCGAGAAGGTCCAGTCACCAGACCAACGTGCTCACCTTTGACGAGTGTGTATACACCACCTATACCTACAAGCACGTCGACGAGGCAAGAGGCCTCCTTCCCTCGAATGCGAATGGCAACAGCAACGGCAAGCACCGATCAACGCACCGCGATACCGCTCCATCCAAAGACGCTCCTGCAAAGACGGGCGATCTGCTTGGCATCCCTGAACTGCAGCAACAGGATCAACAGCAAGATGGCAATGTTCAACCAGGCTCTGAAGCCGCCAACAAACGCAAACGCAGCCGTTTCTCGGTGGAAGACGTCATCCCCGAGCTCTTCATCATGGACTACGGCACCATTGTCATCTGGGGCATGACGTTGCAGGAGGAGAAGCGATTTCTCCGCGAGCTCCGTCGGTTCGAAGTCGAACGTCTCGCCTCTGAAGACGTCGAGTCCGAAGATCTGCACTGGTACCTCGCCGACTACTCGCGCATCTACAACGACGTCATCACTCTCCGCCGCGGATCCTCGTACATGACCAAGCTTTCGCTCTCGCACGCCCTCGCCCAGTCGACCAAGATCTCGTTCTTCGAAGGCATCATCGACAACACGATCGAATCGACCAAGGACATCCCGCAATCCATCGCCGAGAGCGGCAAGATCGGCATGCCGCCTGCCGAGATCATGAAGCAGATCGGCCATCTGTTCATTCTGCGTATGAACATCCATCTTGTCGGAAGCATCGTCGATTCGCCCGAGATCTTCTGGAGACAGCCGGATCTGGAACCGCTCTACTCGGCGGCGAGAAGCTACCTCGAGATCCCCCAACGCATCGATTTGCTGAATACCCGCGTCGAGGTGCTGCAGGACATGCTGCAGCTGCTCAAGGATCAAGTCACCAGTAGTCACTCGGAGTACCTCGAGATCGTCGTGATTTTGCTCATCATGCTCGAGATCGTGTTGGGTGTAGCCACCATGTTGGTGGATCTGTACTTTGGGTAGACGCACGAGTTCGCTCGCAATGCCACGTTGTGAGAATGCTGTATTGCTGCATCTACTAAAGACGAACGCCTCTGAGACCGAATCTCCAGAACGCGATGCCTGCTAGAATACCGCCAACATGCCCAGCTGAGTCGGTTCTGCCCTTTGGCGTCCTGCTGGCGTGCCAGAGGTCCCAGGCGAAGATGCCGGTGACGCACGCCCACGCTGGCGCTGGAATCACAAAGAAGATCAGGAACGTCGCTGTGGGGTTGACACACGCGAACGTCGACATGATCGCGTACACACTTCCACTGGCACCATGACTGAAGCTTCCCAGTCCTCTCTGGTCTTTGGCTGGCACGAGTTGCTTTCCGACCATGCTGACGACGCTGCTGACCATGCCCGCGCCAAAGTAGAGCAGCACAAACGTTGTTGGTCCAGTGAGGGCGAGGACCGGGGGAGCCATAAAGGCGAGGGAAACCATATTGACCAAGAAATGGTTCACTTCTTCATGCGATACGCACGACGAGAGCATCGTCCACCATCGACCCTCCTTCACATTCGTCCATCCCGAGAGGAAGTTTTTCGAGAGAAAGATGTACGGTCGCGGATCGGAGAACTTTTTGAGCGTCTCAGCGGCGTAGATCCACGAGCCAAAGACGAGGAAGTTGAGCGCGATGATGGTGTACAGCACAAAGTTGCGAGGGAGCGACGAGAAGACGCGCGAGTCGATGCGCGCGATCAGGGAGGCGAGGGAGGAGCGGGCGGGAGGAGAAGGTGGTAGGCGTCGAGGAGGACCGCCGCCGCCAGAGCTCGTGCCGTTGATGAAGGCGGCAGAAGTCGTTGTCGGTGATGGAGTGCGTGCGCGGAACCGGTCAAAGACGGGCGAGGGACGCCGTGTTCGCTGACCGGCGCGGCTCGGCGGATTGGAGAGTAGCAAGCCGGCGAAGCTTAAGGAGGAGAAGGCGGGTTGTAGTGATGGTGCGAGCGAGGTGCTGCTGAATGTGCGCAGGAAGGATGTCGGAGTCTGCGGCCCTGTACTGCGAACGGGCCTACTAGCCTCTCCCACGCTCTTTATGTTCATCGTGCTTTCGGTCGTCGTCGCTGACGTTGCCATCCGTCGACAGCTCGCGAAGGGTCCACTCCACGACCGTTTTACTGCGCTTGTCTCGCCACGAGATCGAGGCTTCATCTTTGCCGTTGTGCAATACGTCGCTCTTGATAGCCTTAGTAGATGCGTCCTTTGTTGACTCGCCCCAATGATGCCAGATGCGTGTTGCTGTGCTGTTCGCACCGCGCTCTTGGTTCGCAAGGGCTCGTTCAATGGCGCCCACCTTGACGTCAAGGGCCGTATCGAAGGACGCATTGCTCTTTGCTCTGCGATGCGTTCCTAAGAGCACCTCCGTCCGGTCGAGGCTGTGGTGGTACGAAGAACAGACTCGACGCAGGATGGTGATAAGGCAGGCGACAGCAAAGGGACAATGGTGAATGGGTCCCTTTGTTTGCTACATGGTGCATGCGCAGCAAGGTTGAAAGGGTCGTGTGCTTAGCGCAGCCCCGATAGCGCACCCGATTCAAGCAAAGCGAAGGGTGTTGGTGTTAATTGCACGACACGCGCGCTCTGTCAGAAGAAGCACACAAGAAGGAAAAAGTGTTGCTCTCTTCACCACTTCACTGACGAGCACCACCTGCAGACTACGCAAAGATGGCCGAGACATCAACATCGGCAGCGGCTCACAACGAAGCGGGGCCATCAAACGCATCTTCAACGTTCATCGAATCGTCCACCGCATACCAGATCGGCAGGTCTGAACGCAACGCCGCATCAGACGATGACGAGGACGATGACAACGACGACGAGAAGCTCTTCGCGGAGCTCGATAAGGAGCTCGACATGATGGAGGACGAATCCAACTTCAACCACGACGGTGAGGACACGGTAGCCGGCTTCGACATGGCCGAGTTCAGGGAGCGAAGAATGGAGGAGCTCCGGCAAGAGATCGCTGCACACAAATCCGCCTCAGATCCAAGCACCTCTCTCAACCTCGCACAACACACCTCGACCGCCTCGATGAAAGGCCTCTTGACCGAGATCACCAACGAAAAGGACCTCATCTCGTTCTCCTCCACGGAACGCCAGGTTGCGATCCACTTCTTCCATCCCAAGTTCCCGCGCTGTGCGCTGCTCGATCGCCATCTCACCGTCCTGGCGCGCCTCCATCCGACGACGCTCTTCCTCAAAGCAAACGTGCTCAATTGCCCCTTCCTTACGGCCAAGCTCAAGGTCTCCGTCCTGCCGTGTTTGATCACGTTCAAGGACGGAGTGAGTAAGGACAAGATTATCGGCTTCGAGGAGCTAGGGAACTCAGACAAATTCTCGACAGGCGCGCTCGAGTGGCGCTTGGGCCAGAGTGGCATTATAGACCCCAGAGAGAACAGGAAGCCGATACTGGGCTTTGCAGAGCAGAATGCAGCATCGGATTCCGTCGGGAGAGGCGTGGTCGGCGCGAGGAAGGAAGAGGAGGATGATTTTTGGGACGACGAGTGAGGAGCTGACAAGGACGATCGTTGCTGCTCGAGGAAATGATGCATCGCACTTCCGACGGACGCCTAGGTTCCCGCCGTGGGAATGAGTCCGACCGCGGCAACGGTCCCGTTCGGTCTCGATCGTTCCATTTGGCCCTGTTCATACGTATCAAGACATCCTCAGCCTTCCCCCCTTTCATGTCCGATGTTGGAACCATTGCAACATTGTGATGCAGCGTTGGGTGTATCAGATACGGTTTCGAGACAACTCCTTAAATCCGACAACCTTAGGCTGACTTGAATGAGGATCGCCACCAACGACCGCCCCATCGCATCCGCTATGCTGCCAATCACGAGGCGAGAGACGATGCACAGAAAGCACCGAATCAGTCACACCCAAGCAGCTTAAATCAGGTCCAGGAGTAAGGCGGACTTTGCTTTCTCAGCCCCCATCATCAAATCGCTTTGGCGACAGCTCTCGTTCCGATGACGTTGCTTAGCCCTCTTCGTCTCTGTCTATGCCTGTACGGCTTCAGCATCGTCGCTGCGACGCCTATGGATCTGGGTGACCAGCAGTCATGGCAGGAATGGAGCTCGTTCTTGGGTCAGAGCCCTCGACAGCGAGCTGATACGCAGCACACCCCTTCTTCGGTCGACTCTGCCAATGGACATCGACAAACTTCACATGATGTCGGTACCTTTGCGCAGCCCGGTCCGCCTTACCAACAAAACCTGCAGAGTGGGTGGAGATACGACCCGGCTGCTTCAGCTATCGAGCCCCAAGGCAGATGGGAACACAATTCGGCAGGACAGCATCCTCCCAGGCTGAGCATGGGCTCCATGGGCTCCTTTGCATTCGATCCGCACCTTGCGCACCACGATGAGCAAGACCTGGCTGACCAGGCTTCCCCAGTGCCTTCACACGTGACCCCCTCGAACCAGGCTGGCTTCGAAGCAGCTTCGTCTTCGGGTGCTGAGGCTTCGGACGACGTGGCAAGCCAGCAAGCAAAACGGCCGGGTCGCACCCTCAAGGACACCTATCCGTACTCTGCCCGGGCATGGACTCCCGAAGAGGTCGCCGAGTTTTCCGCACAAGGCTTGTCACTTCGAACCGCGCTCGAGCCGAACTTCTTCTCGCGGCTCCCTTTCCTTCCGCCACCCCCACCCGTACCATCGAGTATCGCTCGCCCCAGATACGTGACGCCTGCCTCGTCCGACGTCCGACATCTGATCAACCAACGCATCTTCAACGGTCGCCTCAAGTGGTTCGATCCGCTGAGCCTGCCAATCGACGAACGCACCTTCCGGAGAGCAGGGGTGTTGTACCTTCCCAGCCGCCAGCTTCCCTTTGTGACTGCGCTCCGAACGGACAATTCGCACTTCGCCGAGCCAGAGATCAGGATCACCTTGCACATCCGAATCAGGGGCAAGTGGAAGCAGCTCATAGGCCACGAGCTCGACGGCAAGCTCTTTTATCAATTCTGGGGATTGCCAGAAGGCAACGGTCGAGGGAGGCACCCCATCCAACACTATGGGCTCGGGTACGTGAACAGCGCAGATCTGGACTTGGTCGACCGCCATCTCCTAACCATGCAGACGCTTGCGGACGGGGCAAACAGCTTGCGTGCAGTCTAGCCGTAGCCTTCACTGTCTAATCAGACTGCAGTTGCATCTCCCGACCAATATTTTGCGATCCGATTCCGACTGTGTCAGCCTTGGCTCACGTCCAACGTGACGACGCTTGCTGATGTCCGTGACAACTTCCAAGTGCATTACGCCCCACTACGCCCCACTCGGCGCATCAAGGTGATTGCAGGCTCGGCGTCACCTATCACCGCCTTTTCTCTTTCATTGTCACATTGTGGCGTAACCAGATGATATCAGTGGATTGACTTAATGTGGCGTAGGCAGGCAACGTTACGCCGTTGTTGTGTTCGTGTGACAATCCCTTAACGCCGCAACAACTCCATTTTACGGTCAAAGTGCTCAATCGTTGCGCAGTGACGGAAGAAGCAAGTGTCGCAGCACTTCCTTTACGACAGTAGACAGAAGGGACACGGCGGTGGACACGAGGCATAAATACGCATGTCCAGCTTCACCCAAGGCAGCGATTCGCGTACTGCTGGCTCCTCATCCGATCTCATGGACTGGAATCTGCTCGCAAGATGCTTTGTTCAGTGCACCTGATCCCATTGCTGGTGCTGACATATACTTGCTGCGTCCTTTCGAGACCCGCAGGCTCCGACGAGGATTGGGAAGTGGGTCGCTTGCCAACCAGTGGCCACGTCGATGATAGCCTCTGGGGACCCACTACACGATCGAGTAGCGACGAATCCTCGCTCAGGTCGGATCATGGTCAGTTCGGTGCAGATCCTTGGGCTGGAATCTCGTTGCCGCCCTTTCACCACGATTGGGATGCTATCATGAGCTGGAGTCACGATGGACCCAGCAGCCCTGCTTTTCCGACTCATCCCGAGGCTTCGGGGTCAGAGCGCGGATCGAGCTCGCTAGATACGCAGGTCGATCAGCCTGAATCTCATCCGGCCCCCATCCATCAACCCGCTCCCGTTGCACAGCCGCCGCTCCATTCGACCACCGTACCCTGGGGACGGGTTCTGCTGCAAAGGGATGAAGCAGCCGAAGAAGTATGGAAACAGCGCATACGAAGGTCGCTCGGGCTCAAGAACCTTCAGATCTCAGAAGCGGGCCAGCGTTTGCCCATCGCCGGTGGTGTCTACGTTGCAGAGGACGAAAGCGCTATGCATGAACTCCATCCTCCTCTGCCGAACGATGTGATCAACAAGCACTACGGTCGAGCGAATCGCGGACCGTTCCTAGCCCGAGTGGAGGGGGCAAATACCCATTCGGCTGCCGCGCTGCGACCCAGCGAACAGAGCAGAGGCATCTACATGTACCTCAACAGCCGAGCCCATCTTGACGAGCTCAATCAGCATTACTTCCTCAACCACCTCGTCTTTCTCCCCGTCGTCAAGGAACGGCTCACCTTTTCGGAGTTGCGCAAACTTCATTTGGCCCGCCGTAAACATTATGTCTTCCCGCCAGCCCGGCCCAACGGACTCTCTCTCATCATCGACAGTCACAACTCGCCTACACCAGGTTCATCCTCGTCTATCATTAAGCTCACCGGTCGAGAGCGACTTGGTCAGACGGTTTCGCTCTGGTCTCCCAGCCTCTTTGACGGGGAAGTCTACACGACGGTCCTGTACGGCATAGCGCTGTTGGACACCAGATCTAAGTGGCAAGTGGTCGAGCATCTCGAAAGGCTCACAGCCACTGCAGATCCTGCTTCGTACTCGTCTGTCTACGATGTGCAGGAGCTCATTCGTCCGTTGTAGGCAATACCTTGCTCTGTTGCGATTTATGTCTTCCGTTTATGGTGATGAGAGCTTGGTTGTCAAGGCTGCGGTTGAAAATTGTCGACAGCAAGGCGAAGCCCATACTCGCCTCTGTGATACAAGCAGTTTAAACATGCGCCTTTGCCGATACAGCCGAAAGAGGCGCCAGAGCGATGCTCGCAACGACAAGCACCGAGGAGGACCGCAACTCAGTACAGTCAAGGCGTCTGTGCTCCATTTCGGTCTTCTCCGTCGTGAAACGCCATACTGTCAACCTTCAACCTGGGTCAAATCGCCCACCGTGTCAACCTGAGGAAAGATGCCGAGCACCGCTGTTGCAACCAAGCTCAAGCTCGGTTGAGATCCATAAAGGACGTTCCAATGGCGATCCTTTCCTTCATCCGTCCAAACCAGAGAAGCCATTACTCGACATGCGCGTAAGACTCGCACCTCTATGCTGGATTCTAGTCGCCCTTGCGCCCCTGACGGCGAGGTGCAGACCAGCAGGATCAGACGAGGTCGACTCTCAACATTCATCTTCCGGACCAGCACAGGCACAGCATGGGTTCAACTGGCAAGATGACCAGTCGATGCAGGCCTGGAGTCCGAATCCGTTCGAGCACCCAACTTGGTCGCCAGCGCGACCCTTGCCGAGAGAGGGATCTTCTCACCACACGGCTGGTCAAAATGACGTTCAGCACGGGTTCGGGTGGCAAGACGACGCTTCCGTACGAGCATGGACCCCCGATCCTTTCGACCATTCGGACTCGGAATCTCTCTCGCAGCAAGCAGAGCCTGTACAAGCCCCGGTTTCGGGGGGTTCCAACGTCTTTAGCCCGGCACGCCTACCGGCGCGCTTTGGTGTGCAGCCGCATCCTCTCAGTCCGTCTTCAAGGGCTGTCCAATCCTCGCAGGATCGACCAGCCCTAACAGGACGGACTGGCGAGACTGGTCCACTCGATTCAATGACGCGAGAATCGCAGATGGGCAGCGCACCACTCTTTCCAGTCGTCGACGAACCCGGTCCGGGTAAGGAACCCTACGTCGAATGGGCGGATCACATGCGCGCAGCCCTTCGCAACCCTTCCCTCGGATTCACCAGTGTCGATTTCAACCGTCTGTTTGAACCACGCGTGTTCGTCGCGCACCACGGCGATAGCACCACTGATCTCCACGCGTCGACCTACTCGGCGATGTACCCCATGCCGCTCAGCCGCCAAGCGGTGGAACAACCAGCGTTTGTCCGGTGGCTCGCCGCACCCAAGATCTCGGCCAAAGCCTTGCGAATGTCACGGGCGTCCAAGCGCTTCTTCGTCTACCTCAACAGCAAGCACGCCATGGACGAGATCAACCGCGTCTACTTCTTGGGCCGGTTGCACTTCTTGCCCATAGACCCAATGCAGCTTGACTGGCGACCGCTGTACCGCCTCTTCTGGGATCGGAAGGAGCTCAAGATGCTGCCAGCGGTGGGAACGGCCGCACCGGCGAGTCTCGGCCTGCTCGTTGCACGACACGAAAAGTTCAGCGATCGGATGGCGTTTATTACCCATGCAGCCGAGGGATTGGGACACCAAGAACAGATCGTTTCGCTCTGGTCGCCCGTGCTGCATGAGAACGGGAGGGACACGGTCGTGTTGTATGGATTTGGGTGGTTGGATCCGGCGAAGAAGGATGTGGTGCTCGAGTATCTGAACGACTTGACAGCGTCGAGGGCCGCTTCGACAACGGAAGCCGTACTCGATCTGGCCGGAAACCTGCGCCGAGGGGTCGCTCGCCGTGCCATTCCAAGTCGATGAGATCGCATCGTGCAAAGCCGGCATTGCCACACACAGCATCGAGCAGTGGCACACAGAATTACGTCGGGCCACCATCGAATGCAAATGCAATGTCCTTTCCGTCTAGATACACACTTGCTTGAGACGGAGCCTCTCGCAACGCTGAACACAATTCCTTCTGCACTGTCCACTATAGCGCCGCGGCAAGCACCATAGCAGCCCACCCCACAGCTCCCAGCGCCACCGGCTCGCCCACCATCAATCCCCTCCTTGCATCCGACTGGCTCTGCTGGCTTACCGCCGTCCTCGCCGAATTCCCCGCATTCGCATCCCCCCCACCTTCCGTAAACAACCTCAAACTCTCCACCTCCCAATAACTCTGATTGAAGCTCGACCCGTTGTATCCGACCTGGTAGCTGCAGGCGGGATACTGAGCATTGCAGCCGCTCTGATTGTAGCTGTTGCCTGCCCAGTCGCCGCAGAGCGTGATGTCGAAGATGATCTTGTGTGGGCCAAAGTCGGAGGAGCAGTCTGTGATGGGGAGGTATGCGTTTGGTGTTCCCCAATTGTCTGTGTTGACTTGCGTGGAAGATGACGCGAGGTCGGAGGGGAGGGAGGAAGGGGAGGAGTTGGGGAAGTACCATACACGCACGCCTTTGCCGGTGGTACCAAAGGAGCGTTCCATAGCGATGATTCCGCCGCCGGCACGATTCAGCGCTTTGCCCCAGGTCGGGGTGGATGTGCCGTTGGCTTCGACGCGACAGCCCGGATTGGTGGGTGCGTACGCGGAACAGTTGGTATACGCTACCACGCCTGTTTCCCCCGCGTTGCTGCTCGGGATAGTACACACACTGCTCGTGTGCGCCGAAACCAAGTTGCCGTTGTACTCATCATTGGCGTTCTCCATAATGTCGATCTCACCACCGACCGGCCAGCTGCTGAGGTTCTCAGTGACGGTCCAGAACGCAGGCCAGGTCGCACAGCCCAACGGAACATGCGTCACGTTGGCCACGTAGACGCCGTCGCTGTAGCTCTGCTTCGAGGTAATTCGCACGCTGTTCCTCCCTTCGAGCGCAACCGGCGTAGTGGAGACCGCCATGACAAAGTGACCCTCGCCATCGACGAACGAGAGGTTCTGGGATTGCGCCGAGGAGAGGGACTGATAGTTGACCAGACCATTGGTAGGGTCTTTGTCGGTGAACCAGTCGAAGGTGGTGAAAAAGTCGCTGCCTTGGATGCTAGCGGATCGGGTCCAGTTGGCGGCGCGGGTGGGGAGGATGAGGGTCGCCAGCGTGGCCGTGGCGGCGAGGAGCCGGGAGGAGGTAGCGATCATCTTTGCTCTGCTGGAAGGGTGGTAGAAAGGATGGTGGCGGGAGTTTTCCTGGTCTCGAGCAGGCAGGTGCGGTTCTTATGTACATCTCCTGCGAGCGGCTGGTCCGGCGACAGCGACGGCCAGTGCGGCAGCATGCATGCTGAACCTACGCTGATGCAGCATGATCCGATCTCGGCACAAGCGCGGATCTGCAGATCATGCACGTCGGGCGTGCCGAATGCCTACCAGTCAGCCGCAGTCACGAAGATCCCGCCCCGTCGGATGTACCTTGGACCATTCCCACGCTAGCTCGCGGGCACCCTTTCTTGCTCTGTCATCACTGCATCGGAAGCCATCCGTCATGCTTCGAGATCACGCGGGCACGGTACAAGAAGCATGTGCGATGCACCGCCCCTGAATCAAGTGTCATGCGGCCGTTCGGCACGAGGAAATTTTAGAGCTGTTTTGTCTAAATGCCGAGCGGGCCGTTCGGCGTTTGCGGCGTGAGCCGGCGTGAGACATGCAGATCTTTCAGAATCTCGCAAAATTGGGCAACATGTCAGATCGAACTAGACCCTGAGAAACCGGGCAACCGGCGAGAAGATCTGGCCCTTCTCTCTCCTCATCACCAACCTCAACAAACACACCATGTCGAACACTTCCCCACCGTCACGCCTGCGCGTGCTCATCATCCGACACGGCGAAACAGCTGAGAACGTCGCGCGCATCATCCAAGGTCAGCTGGATACGCCGCTCAATGCGCATGGTCGGGCCCAGGCCGAGCTCACCGGTACCTACCTCTCCACCACCCACATTGATCGGATCATCACCTCGCCCCTCCAGCGGGCGGCCGACACGGCTCGGGCGATACTTGCGCATCATCCGTCTGTAGACTTGGAGCTGGATGACAGGCTCAAGGAGCGCGCGTTCGGCGTGCTCGAGGGGCACGTGTACACGGGTGGAAGTACCAAGAGTGAGGAGACGGAGGGTATTGAGCGCATGGAACCGTTTTCGGAGCGACTGGCCGGGTTCTGGAATGATCTCGTTACACGGACGGGGAAGATCGAGGGGGAAAGGACGGAGACGGTGGTGCTCGTGTCGCACGGGGCGGCGATCAGCGCGCTGATGAACCAGGTGCTCGTGCCAGGGCGATACGTCATGCTGCGTGAAGGTGTGGTGCCGGCGAGGTTATGGAATTGTTCCGTTACCGAGCTGCTCGTTCCTGTTATCACCACATCGACCTCATCGGGCGAGGTAGCGCCAGGACATCTCTCGAGGAAGAAGCACTGGTCCATCCGACCAATCCACCTCGGCGTGCAGGGATGCCAATTCGTACTCGACCACGAGATGCAGAAGCGACGACTGGCTGCCGCTGAGTCCAACCCAGACTCGATCCACCCGGAAGCGCTGGAAGAGCTCGAAGCAAGGGTCAGCAAGACGCAGCGTGAGTTCGAACGCGATCCTCCTGGGAGGAAGCAGCTCGAGGAGGACACTATCAAAGCGCCCGACGGTACGACGGTCTCGAACGACATCGGGCACGGTAAAACGATCGGTGTCGTGCTGCGATGGTCCGACGTGGAGCATCTCAAAGACCTCGCGGCTCCGAGTGCCGGAACCAACGGTGCGCCAGCAAACAAAGTCAACGTCGACGAGCTGGTCAAGTAGAACCCCCATATACCCCTTCTTCACATGCCTCGGCTTCGTCAATAGAATTGTCCATTAGAGTTCTCATTACAAGTGTCATCAATTGGCCAAAAGCAGCGTCCTCTTGAGATTGACATCCAAGAAGTTGCTCGCCTGCTGTTGCGCCACCGGTGTCTTGAACGCCAGGATGCCCACCACGATGCCCGCACCAAAGAAAGCTATCGAGATCAACAACCACACGACTCCCCAGAACTGCGGTGCGCCACCGACGACCTTGCTAAAGGCACTGGCGTCGCTCTCGTTGACCTTTCTAAAAATCAAATCGTCGCAAATGTCCCATACCGAGTAGAGGCAGTTCATCACTCCGATGAAGAGGACAAAGTAGCGCAACGCAATCGAGCCGGCTACGAGCCAGAAGAGGACGAACAATCCGCACATGGCGAGGATGAGCACCCAGGTCAACCAATCGCGTCGAGCCCACCAGAGGGTGAAGAGGAAGAAGACGCCGACGACGATGCTGGCGACCTTGGAGGCGCGTTCGTCGAACCCGCAGGCGATCAGTGCCGCACCGATGACCGAAGATCCAAGGTAGCCAGCGGGGAGGGTGAGCCACGGGATGCCGCCGCGCATCCGTGTCGCTCCGCCTTCGTTGGGTTCGAGCGTGATGGATTCGATCTTGGCCCCCGTACACAGCCCCACTGCCGCATGCGAAAATTCGTGGAATCCAACCGTCAGAAGCTTGAACGGATAGAGAAGGTAGTTGAGAATCGGGATGTTCCACAGGATGACGATGGCGACGGCGTAGACACAGGCGACGATGATGGTGGTGCGCTGGTCCTTGGTCGGGTCGATGCGGGATTGACCCGTGCTCTGACGTTCGAGGAGCAGAGGCATGGTGGGCGCGTTGAGGCTCGTATACGTCTAGGTGGTCCTTTTTGGTCGGTTCAGGACGCGAGATGCGAGGTCAGGGTCGTGGTTGCTGTGCTTCAGCCGACGTTGGATGCGAATTCGTCTCTCGTCCCTAGCGCTGGTGAAGATCGACGCTGCTGAGGGTGATGGTGGTGAGCTGCAATGAGAAGCTCTCTACCCTTGGTGGAGGAGGACAAAGGAAGGTTGCGCAGTTCCGCAGCTGCATGCCGGCCACACACACGGAGACTTTTGCTGGCTGTGCATGCAATCCACGCAGAGAAAGACCAACACCAGTTTGAGCCCCTGTGTTGGTCTCCGACACAATGACCGGCAGCAGCAGCAGCAGCTCTAAATCCTCGCAGTAAACTCTCCACAAGGCGGTGCTGCCGCCAAGCCCTGAGAGCGCGTCAAACCGGCCGGCACCAAATTCGCAGAAAAGGAATTGGCGGCGTAACACAATTGCTTTTTTACGCGGATCGGCAACATGTCGGGCCGCAGGCAGCCAGAAATCGTCATGAAAAATGAAATTTCATACGAAAATGAGGCGATTTTTTCTGGCTGCAGATCGCTCTCCCCCTCAGCCGGTCCACCGATAAGAGCGTTCCGCGCTGATGAGGTCGAAGTTTATGCATGCGGGAAGGGTCGCACCTGCATCTGTCAAGCGCTTCTCGTGTGAGATGCCTTTTCAGGGTTTCACGCTTGCCTTGGATCTTGACAGGCTCGGCAGCAGCTCTTCAAGATGATTGATGCAGCTCTTGTCCGCACCACCACCATCTTGACCACAGTTGCTTCTCCCACGTATCGACAGGAAGGTTGACTGCCAATGCCGTCCACAAGCCGGGACCGCAACCTCCTCGACTAGCACCTCGCCCTTGAAGCCTCCCCGTCCCAACATGACCGACACTTCGAACCCCTCCTCGGGGCTGCAGCTGGTCTCCCTTCCACCCGAGATCCTGCACCTCATCGCACAGTCTTACATCGACGACCTCGACCCTGCCTCGAATATCATCTCGGTGCTCACCACCTCGCACCTCTTCTACTCGCTGTTCCTCCCCAAGCTCTACTCCTCGATCTCGATCTACTCGCTCTCCCAGCTATCGCGGTTCGTCGCCCCGTCTTCAGGTGCGCACATCCACTCGCCGCGATACACCACGGGCAGCGTGACGATCAACATCCCTGGCGTGCCCGGTGGGGGGGACGGGACGATGATCCCCACCGCCGTCGGCATGTCACGCTCACGAGACCGTCTCTTGCTCGCGTCCCAAGCCCTCTCGTTATGCCCCAACGTGCGCGAGGTGTCGTTGGAATTCTTCAGCGTGCGTCACTCGGAGATTCTCACCACGGACGAGTTTCGTTTGGCCGAAGCAACAGCGTTCGAAAGTGCCATTCGTGGGTTGTGCAGAGTCGAGCGCTTTCGCTGGGTCCCACCTCGTTGCGATGCAAACGCGATCATGGGATTGAGCATCGTCATCGTAGACCAAGTCATCCCGCCTCTCGCGCGCGGACTCGTCGGATGTTCTCGATTGCACACGCTAGAGCTGTGGAACACCATGCTACCCGACGATGGCGGTGCCGACCTCGCCAGCTCCCTCATCCATATCGCTACCACTAGCGGGGGTGATGTCAAGCTCAATTTGCGCTCCGTAACAGGATTAGATCCCAAAACGGTAAGCGATCTCGCGCTAGCCGATCCACCTGTGAAGGTCAACATTGCAGATGGGTTCGTGGGCTCCATCTGGGGCGCACGGATCGACAAGCGTGTCGTGGAGGAGTGCATGCGCGATACGCTCGATGCCACCTCCTCCTCTGGAAGCGAAAGGTCCAGCCGGAGCTCGTCCGAGGCGTCCAGCATCGCGACCAGTCGAGCGACCAGCCCCGAGATGCTGCTGCAGGACACGCTGGCAAAGGCAAGCGAAAACGTCCACATCACCGTCCTACAAGGTGGCGTAGCCGGCTCGAGGATGCTGCCCCACTAAAAGCCATTGTTCCTCATCGGATTCGTGTTGTGTCACCCTATAGATGTATCCCTAGACCCATTTCTCGTCAGTCGCTCGTTCTCCTTCGCACAGTATCGCAAATGCAATCGGTCTCTCCCATTTCTTTTCTCGTCGGCCTCTCACGAATGTCTCTTCCCCATCCCTTTTCCTTTCCCCGCCTCATCCTCCGCATTCTTGCCCACGAACCCGCCCAGATCCAACGCCTCCCTCGCCGCACGGTTGATCAGCTTGAACCGGTCCGCACCGAGATGCACGCCGCCGTACCAGCGCGTCACCACCACGATGACGTTCTCCAGCTCCAAGATCCCCAACAGATGGGCGAGTCGGCCGCCCGCCGCCGTCTCGCCGTCGTCGTCGCAGTCGCGGTGGACAATGCCGTCTGAGGACCGGCACACCCACGCATTGATGATCGGGTGCGTGGCACGGGCGACGCGCTTGTCCGACAGAATGCGGGTGAGAACCGAGGCGACCTGTGCGGGGGACGTGATGGAGGCGGCGTACCCGATGAATTCGGATTTGCGCTCGATGATCGAGGTGGTTTGGAAGAGCGTCCCTGTGAAAGGGGCGGGTTGCTTGATCGACGGCGCTGGCGTGAACGTGGTGACTTTTTCGTCGGACTGCTCGGTGGTATCGTTGAGCGAGGAAGTTGGAGCAGATTGAAGACGCTCCGCCTCCTTCTCACCCCACCAATCCGTCACCTTCTCTTTGACCCACTCGATCCCTTCGAACAGCACCACTTCGCCAGGCGTCCACTTGACGCCCCTGTCCATGCTCCCGCCGATCCAGGCTGCACCTTCACCGTCCTCCTCCGCCGCATCTGCTGCTTCCTCCGTCTGATGGTAGAACGCCCGCAAGATCTCGCCAAACAGCTTCGGATCCACGCTAAACCCGCCGACGTACCGCGACATGAGCTGCAGCTGTGGTGGACGCGAGCTGTGCGGGTAGAACGGTGGTAGCGTCACAGCGAGTCGTATTGGTATCGCTTCGTCTTGTGCCTCGACATCGGTGGATATCGACAGCGTGATCTTGCATCCTGGCAGCCAAGCGTTTGGGTCGGCAACGTCCTCCTTGCCCAGCTGGTCGTCCGACGAGGTGGCTGCGGGCTCTGCACCGAGAGGAGCGATCTTGAGCACGTGTATCGCATCGTCCGTGTAGATGCTCTGCAGCGCCATGAGCTCTTCCGACAGCTGGGTCGCTGCGTCGATGCGCTGTGATTCGTCCTCAAGCCATAGCTCGTGCCGCGTCGAGGGTCCGGGAATGGCGAAGGTGGTCGGGTCGGCAGCATAGGCCTCGATGCGTGCTATGAGGGTGGACAGAGCAGAATCGGCGCCATCTTCGTCCATGCTGCTCGCTTGTGCCGGTTCAAGGTTTCGATGGAGGACGAAGAGGAAGAGGATCCTTCTGAACTTTTTTGAGAAAAGCAAAAACTCAGCCTTAAAACTCGAGGGTCCGAGCGTTCAGGGTCCGGTGACGCAGCCAGAGAGAAACAAGGGTTGAAGGCACTTCCACGCCAACACCGCGGCCCCTCTTATCGACGTTGCCTCTCACTCGTTTGACCTCCATCATTCACCTCACTTCTCGCTCATCAGCATCGGCAAAACAGTCATCAGCTACAGACCATTTCCTATCGCAAAGATACTGCCCAACTTCCTCTCCAAGCTCACCGCCCTCCTCGTCATCTCTAGGATGTCGCACAAGCCCTACATGGTGTAAGTCTCCTCCTCCGCCCTCGCTTCTGCTAGTGGAACCACAGATCTGACCCGTCTCTTGGACGCAACAGCATCTTCAAGGATGGCTGCCCGCAATCGGCCATCGACGAGCAAAAGTCCAAAGTGCAGCAGGCGGGTGGCACCATCAAGCAGACGTTCGACTCGAGCATCATGAAGGGGTTCGCCGCAACGCTGCCCGAGAGCTTCGCCCAGGAACTCACCACCGCCAGCGTCGGCGGCAAGCACGAGCACATGTAAGTTTGCAGAACGGCTCGGCGAGGATGGTGATATGAAACTGACAGGGTTGCGGTTTTGGCTACGGCGATACAGCGAATACGTCGAGCCCGATAGCGAGGTCAAGACCATGTAAGGTGTCGCGAGCACTCGAGCATTTACAAGTCGGTCGGAACACGCTGTAGCACAGATGCTTTGCACAAACATGTTGAAACACGAAGAGCTGCGGTGGTGCATCGGCAGCCTTCGACAAGGCTGGCTTTGAAACGATTGATCGATTCGGGTACTCTGATGCAGGTGACAACCTTGGGTTCAGTCGAACAGAGCGATGAAGGAGGATTGAGAGCGCATGATGCATCACAGTACTTGGCACATGAATGCCTCAGGCGGCAGCAGCTTTCTACAAGTCGAGCAAGGCGCACTCGGCTTAGATGCGAATCTCCACCGGCTCTGCCGCCTCCAACACCCTTCGCAGATGCTCGTCAACCGCATCATTGTCTCGGGCATGCAGGTAGCCAGACCCGAGGAACAACGTCTCGTGCTCCTTATCAGCTTCGCGCTCCGGGACGCTCCAGAACGAGAAGAAGGGTACACCGTCGAGAGCGGTACCTTTGAGCTCGCTTCCTCTATTCGTGACGACATTATGCTCTGTCACGTATACCCTTCTTGGCAGCCCGTCTTTCCCCACGATGCGCACCAGCGGTAGTCGTTGGCTGACGCGCACGAGCGGTGAGCGGTGGAACCACTGCGAGTTCCGACGCGTGAACGGTCGCAGGTCGACCCAGGTGATCTTGTTGGCGAAGAAGAGCTCGTTGATGCGAGCGCGCGTCGCCAGGGTATCCGCAAAGTCTCGGGCGTGGCTAAAGCCGTGTTCCTTGAGACCTTTCCAGTGACCTAGACCCAAGAGCTCCCGAGGCGCTGCCCATCCCACATTGGATCGCGTCGCTTCCCGTCTGTGCCGGAACGATCGATCCCATCTCGGGTCGACCCAGGCGGCGGATGCAGGGAACGGTTCGAGATTCTGCTCCACGGCCGGATACGCGGACACAGCGGATGAGCTGAAAGCTTCGCGCTCTGGGATGGAGGGAGCCGGCCTAGGTTCGTGAGACGGCAGCGGGTTCTCGTTGACAAGTGAATGCACAGGATCGTGGGGCGGCAGCGGTGGCTCGTTGGCAAGGGAATGCAGGAAGTCGAAATCGGCTTGGTCCAGTTCTCGTGGCTCAAAGTCGTCAAGATTGGGCGGGCCCGGCGCCGAAATGGCAGCTAAACTTAGAGCATAGTGATCCAGGAGAAGTCCGTGCGGAACGGGTGGAAGAGGCGGTGCCGAATCGTGCTTCCAGAGTTCATCTTGCGGAGGCACATGAAAAGAGGGAGGGACAGGCAGCTGATTGGACGCATCAAGCTGCGGAGGGAGTGGAGCGAGAGCAGATCCCTGGGCCTGCAAGGCAGGTTGATAAGGAGTGTTGCTGCTTTGCGCCCGCCAAGTTGGGGGACGACGAACTTGATGTGCATGGGGTCCATAGTATTCGTTGAAGAGCGCCTCGTGATCGCTGGGAGTCATGGGAGCCGCCAGAACTCGGCATCGTGCCAAGGCTGCTCCCACAAAGAGTAATTTGATCGTGAAGCGGACCATCCTTGATATCGATGGAAGACGGGTCGGAGAGACGGACAGGAAAGACGATTCACGGATTGTGGAATCGCAAAGGAGCCCGGTCTGTGCGAGTCTTCCTGCTTTCATCTGCGTGGTGGCACCATGCAACCTTCCCATTCTCATACCAATATGCATCACCAAGCGAGCTCGAAAGAACTACGTCGATGAAATGCATCTTGCGCATTGAGGCATGTGAGAGCGGAGCAAGTCTGAGGATCAGCCACACAGAAGCTTTGATGGCGAGATTGATAAGAAGATGAAGCGATGCACAAGATGTGGGCGGGACGAGCCGCGGCTGCCAGCTGCTGGTTGATCATGACGCCGGCACGTGAGGCAGATCGTCAAGAGCTACAGTCGTAGGTATCAAGTTCAACGCGGCGTGGTAGACGCTCACCTGAAGGTGGAAGCGGATGTGTTTGAATGCGAGACACAGGCCAAGATGAAAGATGCGAACGTCCCAACTACATCGGGATGTGAGGAAAATGTTGTGCGACATCGAGCACGGCACGCACTCGTTCGTCTACCGCCTCGTTATCTGCAAGATTCAGATAGCCCACTCCGAGAAGCGACACGTCGACTTTGCCTGAGGCGTGTTGTGGAATGCTCCAAAACGTGTACAGAGGTGCGCTTTCGAGAGGAGTCCCGTGGAGCACGCTACTTGCCTTCCTCTGCAGATTGCTTTCGATCATATACACCCTCAGCTGCTTCCCGTCGGAAGGCCTGGAGTAGACGAACGGCAGTCGTTGGTTGAGGCGATGGATTGGCATTCTGTTATGCCACCGTCTAGGAAGTCTGGTCCAGACTTTGTCGTAATCCACCCACTTGAGCTTATTCGCGAAAAGGGCCGCGTTGATGCGGTCGCGCGGCTCCTCGCTCTCCTCAAAAGAGAGAATACCGCTGACACCATGCTCGCCTAAGGGCCTCCACAGTCCTAGTTGGGGAAGCAGTTTGGGGCCTGGCCAGCCAATCCAGTCTCGGATTCCGGCATTCTTGATGACCCTAGAATCGATCGATCTCGGGTCCATCATTGCCGGAGGATGCTCGTTCCAGTGCGCAAGCGGCTTCCAAACCACAGCGGTCTGTGACTCGAACGTGGTGGGAGGGGCTGGAAGTCCAACACGAGTCTCCGAGGAGGTATGTTCTTTGCCGACAGAATCCAGGTCGTGGGCGAAGGAGTCAAGAAAGTCGAAGTCCTCCTGGTCCAACTCCCGCGGAGGCGCTGACGAGATCTCCTCGGGCCGAGCTGCAGAATCTGAAGCCTGCATAGCGCTCGATGGGTGGCCTTCCAGGGAACCGGAAGACGATCCAGCTACTATTTCGCCTGCATGGGACGACTCGAAGATGGCAAAGTTGCCGCCCGAAGCTCCGGAATTGCTGTGAGGATCACGAAAGCGACCTACGTTGCTCGCTGCATCGTGTTCACCGAGCCCCGCAGGAGTCGCTAAGATTGCCTTGCAAGCCAGAGGCGACAAATAGATCAGGATGTTGGCGAGGCAAACCTTCATGGTGACGAGTCGCGACTGGGCTGAGGAAGCAGGTATGTGCGGGCATCAGACTCTCAAAGTTGAGTCGCACTTTCCGACTCCTTTTGTGGCAGTCGATGAGAGCGGTTGCGAGCTGTTCGACGCTGCTCACACGGTGCACAAAGTCAAGCTTCGCCAAGAAGTGGAACTCATTTGGGTTGCCTTCGTATTGTCGGTGCAGATCAACATGGTCAGCCTCTCACGTTGCGATGACAACGAGCGGCGCCAAGGGCAACCGACAAAGTCGTGGGACCGAGGGCTGACTGATTCGCGAAGAGGTCTATCGCGGTAAAGAGGGGCAACAGTTGCCTCATTGTGCGTGTATGAAACGTACAAGGCGAACGCCGCTTACTCAGACGCTATCGCTGCGTCCAGCTCACTCGTTCCCACAAGAGCCAGCTTTTTTAGGACAACAGATACTGCGCATTTGCCGAGAAGAGTGTCTACACATGAGCGCGTCCCCCGCTTGCGAGGCCCAGCAGAGGTCGCAGATGATCATCAATCGCTTTGAAATCATCATTTTCAACGTATCCAGCTCCGAAGTGGACGAGAGGGGGCCGTTCTGCTGTCGATGACTCTGGGACGCCCCAAAACATGTAGTACGGCTTGTTCTCCAGCACGGTTCCTTTCAGAAGCCTTCTTGTGGTTTGAAGGTTGTGCTGCGTCATGAGAATTCGAAGCGGAGTGCCATCGTTCGCAGACGCCCGCACGACAGGCAGAACACGACTCGGGACCTGGTATGGCCACCGACCGCGAAAATCGCCATCCGTCAGGCGATGGAAGACGTGAGGATCGACCCAGTGCAGCTTGCCGGCGAAGACGTTAGAAGCAATGGCTTGTTGAACATCGTGAGCGTTGTTCTTGAAGAGAAGATTGTACACATGCCCCTTATCTTTTAGGGCAGGGACCTGCTGGAGGTGTCGGAACGACGGAGGTTCGGGCCAGTCAGGTGGAACGCTTGTCTTAGCGAGTCTGGTCTTCTTCTCGCGTGGAGTGCTGGTGCTCGATAGATCCGCTGACAACGCTTGTAGGATTTCGTAGTCTACATCCTCAAGCTGCTGCGGCGCCGACGAGACATCAGTTGCCCAGCTCAGTGAGTGATCGGCGGGACCGTGAGTCCAGTGGTCGGACGAGCCTTGAGCAAATGATGCGCTGCCGCTCGTCGAATGGTGGTCGTTGAGTGGCTGTTGGGCCCGCCAAGTCTGGGGGCTATCCGGCGGCGTCGACCAGCCATGATGAGCTAGGGACCATATGTCGCCATCATCGTTCTCCATCGGAGCTGCGTAGCTGAGCCGGCATGTGAGCAGAACACAAACCGCGACAAAGCTGACAAAGGAAGGCATGTTGTTGAGTCGCTCAGCTCTGAGTCTCATCAAGGGATAATGCCAGGGGTCGATGGACGAAGGAGAGATGGAACGGACAGGCCTTTAATAGCGAGTCTTGGTTGGTCTGTTAATTTGGCTGGTGTCTTCGTTCGTCCAACTCAAGCTGTGCGTCAGGCAGTTGCAGTGCAATGGTGGGCGGGCCTGATTTGCTGTCATCAACTGCTCCAACATAGAGCTCGCAATGATAACGTACATATCGTTGACAACAAGAAGCTTTTCGCCCACTTTCAATGAATGCAGTGGGCTATCGCTGGTGGTTCCTCGATTGATTTGGCAGAGCGACAGCTCAACATATGAAGTGTCGTAAACAGAGCTGACAGGCCGAGGCATGCACCCACTCGGATCACCTCTAACGTCTTTGATAATCACAGTAGCAGGCAGCGGTGGATTTCAGACTCCAGAACGGTGAGGCTACGTCGTTGCCCAATTGACACCTCTGCTGCATAAATCGAGGACGTGGGACTACACATGAACCTGACCTGCATGCTTGAGCCCTTCCAACAACGGTCGCACATGCTGATCCACTGCGACGTGATCTGCTTCGTCCAGATAACCCGAGCCGTAGTAAGTGATCGGTAACTGCTTCGCCTCGAACGCATCTGGGACACCCCAAAAGCTGTAGTACGGCCTTCCGTTCAACGGACTCCCTTCCATATTCCTGAATTTCTTGCCTTGGGGGTTGTTGGCTGTCATGTAGATCGGATGCTCTCCACCACTGCCGACAGAGCCTCGGACGAGGGGAAGAAGGCGGGTCTGCCTTTGATACGGCGATCTGCGGTAGTAGTCCTTCTCATCGAGGCGCAAAGTTTTGGCTTCGACCCAATGCAGCTTGTTCGCAAAGAGGTGCGAGACGATGCGGTCTCGAACAGCATCGTCGCTCTTGTAATTGATCGCCCTCCTGTTGGTGTTGAGTGGTGGCAGCAGATTGAGCTCTTTTATGAATTGAGGTTCTGCCAGGCCGGCTAGGAATCGATTGTATTCGCCGCCCGTGGTCCTTGCGGCCCTTCGTCCGCTCTTGCTTGCCGTGTCAGCCGTTTGCTTGCCCGGCTCAGAGTGGAACGGATCGACAGGAACAGGCTGAGCTGGCGCTGTGCTGCTTTCACCGCCCCGCGCAGGGCCCGGGACAGGCCACCCATCGGCGGAGAGGTCCTGAGAGAGGGCTCTGAGGATATCGAAGTCGACAGCGTCCATACCTCGGGAAGGTGAAGAGGAGAATTCGCTGGGCCATCCTCCGGAATTGTCCATCGGAGACGACAACACGCACCGATTTGTGAGAAGCGAAAGGCAAAGGAGCAGGCAAACGAAAGGGAATCGCATGACTGGATGCTGATGTTGAGGTGCTGTGATAGGAGTAGGGAAGGAAGGCTAGAGAAGTTCACTCGCTCCTTAAAACCAGCAAGGGTTGGGTCATCACGCAATCTGTGGGGCATCTCGACGACGCTCGTAGCTTCAGCGAAACGACAAAAGGCTTGTCGAACGTGGTAACACAGAGCCTCGAGCTGGGTTGCCACGCTGTGGCGATGTCATTCATGCTGCTCGAGTTATGACAATGTTTCATCGTTGGTGGGATGTTGCACAGTGCGAAACTAGAGACCAAAAACAGTGGTGAATTGACAGCATTGTATAAGACGAGTGGGGGGCCAAATGAAGTGCCGACGAGGACTGCGATGCACGTCGGCGTACGGCACCAGGCGGACGATAAGCGTACAAACGTCTAGACAGCACGCTTGAGACCATCGAGCAGAGGCTGCAGGTGCCTGTTGACAGCCTCGTGGTCGCTCGTTTCAATATGACCGGCGCCGTAGATTACCACGCTCGTTCCCGACGGCCCTTCCTGTACTCCCCAGAAAAGGTAATGCGGCCTCTGACCCAGCGTGCTGGCCGAGAGCGCGTTGCTGCCCATTGAACGCGAGTGCTGCGTCATGTAGAGCCTGATCTGCGGATCACCGCTGGGCGTGCGCGGGGGGTCGACGAAGAGCACCGGGCGACTAGCGCGTCTCAATGGCCACATGTTGCGCAACAGAGTGTTGGAGAGGAGTGCCAGCTGGTCGTCGGGCACCCAGTGCATCTTGTCGCCGAAGAGCCGAGTGTTGATTTGACCTTGGAGGGCAGGATCGGATCGGAAGCCGATCGAGGCTTGCACGTACCTGCGGTCTTGTCGCAGGGGCGGAATGGTCTTGATGGCGCGCACAGAAGATGGCTCCCACCAGCTGGAAGTCGAGGCTGGGCGTCGCACACGCGAAGAGCCTGCGATCTGAGAGTGATGGTCCGCAGTAGACATTGATGCCGGCACGCCTTGACGACCCGTACTTTCGGTGCTCGAAACTGACTCTGGCTCCTGAGAAGCACTGTCAGATATGGTGATCACATCGTTGGAATGTGCGTGTGCCCCGTGAGCAGAATCGTCGGAGATGGTAATCACATCCGTGTCTTGATCTGCGCCGGCGGGCTGATGTCCAGGTGAAGGAACTTGAGCATCGAAGTCCCACTGCTGCGGGCTTGAAGGAGGAAACGCATGTGGCGACCAGGACGAGCTCGATTCTTGTCCATACTGAGCAGCCTCGCTGCTCGAATCTGGCGAGTACGGCAATTGAGGCCAACTTTGATGATAGAGCTCCTCCCAACTCAGTCCATGGTGTCCATGGTCCATGGGAGCTGCGGCAGTTAGCCGGAGCGCTACGAGTAAGAGGTGAAGAGCCAGCATGACGATGTTTTTGGAGCTGCTATCGACGGACGTGGGTACGGAGAGTCAAGAAGAGGCGAGCGTGTAGAAGTAGCTGTCGAATCTGACCGCGGTGATGTTGTCATAGCCATTCGAAAGCTGAAGGACAGCATCGGAGCCTTTTCCGAGATAAAGTCGAGGGCGTCGTCCGGGTGGCAGATGAAATGAGGGCCGCGATGCTGTCGCAGCAGGTTGAGACCTGTCAATGGCATCATTGTTCATTCGTCCCGGATGTGGCATGCTCAAAACTGACCGGTGAGGAGTCTCATAAGGAAGTTTGCGGCATGGGGACAAGATATTCGATTTGGTGCCAACCGCTCTCGTGAAACCCCATCACGCCCACTCAACAGTCGAGGTGGGCCAGAAGAAATATCTTAGCAGCTGAGCGACCACCGAGAGCCAAGTGGGCATACAGCAAATCCGCTTGGCAACGTTCTTCTTCAAGGCCTAGACTCGACCCTTCGTAGCCCCCTTGAGGGCCTGCAGTATAGGCCACAGATGGTCATCTACACCCTGTCGATGCTCAGGGGCGATATATCCGGCTCCGTAGTTGATGACGTTTGTCCGCCATGGTGTCTCTTCAACGCCCCAGAAGAAGAAGTGGGGTTTGCCCTGCAAGCCTCGCTGCCTGAAATGCTCGCCGAGGAAGCGCGAATGATGAGCTTCGTGGTCGGTCATGTAAATCGGGATCTTGTCGCCGTTCCGCCCCACCGCCGGGCTGAAGGGCAGCTTCCGACTGGTTCGTTTGGCGGGGAAAATCTTGCTAAACGTGGCCCTGGCTTGGGGCATCTCTGTGTTGGAGACCACTGTCATCTTGCCTGCAAAGAGGCGGGAGTTGAGCGCTTCGAGCACTTCGACGGTGGGAGAAACGACGAGCTTTGGGCGCCGGTGGCCAATCTGGAGGCGACGCACGCCTTCGAGCTGGTAGAACGACAGTGGCTCCCAGCCGTTAATCTTTGGATACCTCCATCCTAATTTGTAACCCTTGTCGTTCAGGAGGCTGCGCGACGCGTGAACGTCCGGGATGGCGGCTGGGTCATGCTGAAGATCGTGCTGGGCAGAAGCCTGTACAGCGAGCGTGTCCAGATTGGGTTGGGCGGGAGAAGCGACGTGATGCATTGGATGGTCGGGCCGAGCCGAGGCTGAAACGGCGTGGCTCTGTGAGACGTCGTCCAGCAGCGAATCGAGGATACGGAAGTCGACCTCGTCCAGCTGACGTTCTGTTGACGGAGAGAAGCCGGAATGGACGCCGTAGGGATAGCTTGCCGGATGAGTGTCGCTTTGGATAGGCGGAGCTGGCTGCACAGACATGCCGCTCTGGATGAGCTGTGGCCAGGTTGATGAGGACGTCTGCGCACCAAGGTGAGGAACCTGGTTAGGAGCTTCGTGAGAATATAGAAACCAATTCCCTGGGGACCCGCCGTCGTTCATCGGAGCTGCCAAGACAAGCGACGACGCGACGACAGGCAACCAAACAAGATAGAACAGCATGCTGATGATATCAAGGCTATGGGACGACATGAGAAATGGTAGCGACGATGGCTGTATCTTCGTATTCCACAGCCCTCTTTATGGTCTGCCTTCAGCGCAGGTCCGACTTTTCGAACAATTGCCTCTGACCATTCCATCATGGGTCAAGGTTGTTTCATGACGGGACGATGACCAATGAGATGGACGCATCGTTTAGATCCACACCGCGGTGGCAGCCTCTCGAAGTCGACCTTGCGCATCATTTCCGAGCTTGAGGGTCGCCACTTCCCTTAGGACAACCTGGTGGGTTTCGCCGGAATGTTCGACGTCGAGACGGAGCATCCTAAGCTCCCCCACTTCGCTATCGGTGAGGGCAGCATAAATTCCATCTCCGCTCGGTCCAGGCAAGAATGTAGGCGCGGGCTCGATCGCATTTGCCCAGCCGCCCGAGGTGGGTGTCTGCCACAAACACAGAGCATCGCCGAGCTCGTCCGAAGCATTGCGACCTGGTGGAGGTACCACGAGCCCACCTTTATCGAGCTCGAACACAGCCACCCAGCCTTTAGTGCCAGAAGCGAGGCCTCGAGTAGACGCAAACATGTAGAGCGGATACTCGCCGTCCGAATTGGCCGTTGCGTGGGAGAGCCTCACTTCGTCCGCCCAGTACAAACCTGCTTCGTCGCTCCGCGGAATGATCTTGACGCCTTGGCGCCATTCGAGCCGTGTGCCTCTGGCATCCTTGATGAGCTCAAACACGTCGACCATGGAGCTGTGCTCCTGCAGGCTGTAGATGTAGCGTCCGTCGGGATGGGAGATGGTATGACGCGGACCGTCGTTGCTTCGTGGCGCGATGCTCTTCTCGCCGAGACTGAGGGCACCGTTGTTGGGATCGACGTCCATGGTCCAGACGCAGTTTCGGCCGATGTCGGGAACGTAGCAGACGGTTCCGTCTGGTGACAGGTCAATGCCATGCGAGCCGTGACGAAGACCTCCGAAGTCCATGGCGTTCTTGCCGTTCGAGGCGTCCAGCTTGCCCGTATCTGACGACGTTCCTTCGCTGCCAATCTCCGAGTGCGATTCCTGCTGCTTGAGCGCCTTGGTCTGAGCGAGCGTCTTCCCAGGCATCGAGCACTCGCCCGTGACAAAGTCGATCTCCTGGATGCGACCTGCTGGTCCGACACCGGTGACGCCGTCCGAGGGCGTTGCCGCTGAGACGATTGCCTTATGCTTTGTACCCGCCAGGTCGAATGCACCCGTCTCAGAGTCGATCCCAACCACCTCGCCCGTAGGTCCGCCGCAGGTGTATAGGACAGGATGGTGCGCCTTTTCCGGGAAGCCGACATAGACATAGCCGGACCTCGCAGCGGTCTCGGCAGTATTGAGCAGCTCAAAGCGAGCACCACCCGGTCCGCTTCGATCAATACGATAGGCTGCTACGCTCGGTGGCTGCGTCCAGCATGTCGCATAGAGATGTGTTGGCGCAGTAGCATCTCTTGATGAGGTCTTGGGGAGGGTTGCAGTCGATAGCCACGAGTGGTTGCCCTTTGCTGCAGAGACGTCGAGCAGTTCGAGAGTCTCCTCTTTGGGGTCGAACCGAACAGTGAAGAGCTCGTTGGTGTTGAAGGTGCCTACTGCTAGGAGCGACATCTTGACGGAAGTTGGGAAATCGGTGGGTAGGTGGAAGGAACAAGAGGCTGCTGATCCATGCTCAGATTTAAGGCGTTCTCTGATGCCAATTCAGCCGGTCCAGGGTCCGCGGCATTCAGCCGGGCCATTTCGACTTGAGCTGAAGAAGCATTGCCGTTCTAACAATTTGTCAAAAATGGAATGCCACGACAGCGAGCCAACCGCCACAGCAAACGCCGGTCCTTTCTGACACCTGTCAGCTCTCAGAACGGCTCATCACACGCTCGAAGTATGGCATCGCACACATCAGGGACGCTTTGAAATGGTATCGATCTCCAGTTTTGCATTTCCACGTCAAAGGAAAGTGAATTAGGAACTAGCAGCGGTGAGATATAGTCAAGAATGACGTCAAGTCACGCTTAGAAGGGGAAGTAGGTGGTGAGGCCCATGACATCCTGAGGGTCGTTCGCCTTCTTGATGGCCTGCAGGCGAGCGAGGTTGGGGCCATATAGCGACGAGAGAGGAGTGTCTCGGAGGGCGTAGTTGGGGTACAGGTACTGGTCGTCCAGGTTCTGACCCTGCTGACGGGCGAGCGCGGTGATCTTGGCAGCCGACGTCTTCATGGCGTTCTGCCAGAAGGTGTCCTCAAGCGGGTTGGTCCAGGCAAAGTAGAGGTTGAGCGGCAGCGCATTGGTGTTGTGCGGCCAAGCAGCATCCTTGGCGTACTGCGAGTATGGCAGGAAGGGCTCGACGTCGTACGAGATGAGCGTAGCACTGCGGAGCGGAGCGATCGCGCCGTATTTCTTGGACTCAGCGATGATCAAGTCGAGCAGCTCTTTGCTGTACTTTTGCAGCGAAACCGTGTGGAAAGCACCACGCTGGTTGCCGTTGAGGTCAGACGGAATGCCCTTGGTAAGCTGCGTCTGGCTCTGCGTCTTCCAGCCGTCGACGAGAGGTCGAACCTTGGTCGTGTCCTCGAGTTGACGGAAGGTGCCAGCGGGTGGGTTGGGTCCGTCGTAGAAGGCCAGGGCGATCACACCAGGCGCGAGGAGGTAGTTGAAGGTGGGCAGCAACGATGCTTTGGGGTCCTTGCTGTTCTCCGAGAAGTCGAGCGTGGCGTTCTTCACCGCCTCAACCTGGTCAGGGCCGTAGACACGGATGCCACCGTAGATCTGGTTCGTCGACGGCACCGTCTGCAGCTTGAAGTTGTAGATGATGCCGAACTTGTTGCCGCCACCGCGGATGGCCCAGAAAAGATCGGGGTTCTGCGAGGCCGAGGCGGTGGTGATGGTACCATCGGGACGGACGAGATCGGCCGAGACGAGGGTATCGCCGGTGACGCCGAACTGGTTGGTCAGGTAGCTGTAGCCACCGCCGCCAGTGATGAAGCCGCCGACACCAACCCCAGAGACACGGCCGCCGACAACGCTGCGACCCGAGCCGTCAAGGGACTGGTAGACATCATCCCAGACGTTGGCCGGGCCGACGTCGATGGTCTGCTTATCACCGCTCAGGTTGGTCTGCTTGAAGTTGGTCATGCCAAAGGCGATACCGGGCGTCGAAGACCAGCCTTGGTTGGAAGCGTGGCCGGCACCCTTGACAGCAAAGCGAATGCGTCGGGTGCCAATGATCTTGATGGCGGCTGAGATGTCCTGGGGCGAAGCGGGCACAGCCACGCAAGTGGAAGCCTGAGTTGAGGAAATCATGTAGTGCTCGATCAGGCTAGCGTAGGTGAGGTCGAGTGGGTAGACGACCTTGCTGCCTGGCGTCTTCATGGCCGAGGCAATCGCCTGGCACGCCTGAAGCTCGGTGGCGTTGACAAAACGCTTCTGAATGTAGACGGGCACTCGCCGGTCGAAGGCCGCCGTCCAGTTGGACAAAAAGGCCAACGCCACAACGAGGCAGGACAGGAAAGGGACGGTGACGAGAACACTTCGCATCTTGGATCAAGGAGCGTGAGCGCGGGGACAGAGACCAGGGAGTGTGGGGTGGAAGGAAGAGGTGAGGATCTGTGCTGGCGCGGTGAGGTCCGACAAACCATGTCCTCTTTATACGTCTCGACCGGGGGAGCTTGAGATTCCTAAGCGTTGTGGCTGCGATGAGCTTAGGGCGCGGACCCTCTGCCCAGCTCCCCCGCAGGCGGCGAGACCGCTTGATGGAGATTGGGGCGCTCGCCTCGCCCAGCACAAGCAATGGACCTCGTGCGGCTCGTGGACGCAGTTCATGCGATGATCTTGTGCCCGGACCCATGGGCTCGAACCTTATTCCTACGAGGTCGGCACTTCATCGCTGTCAAAGCTTGTGTCTGCTTGCTCCACTGTGCACCTCGACTCGCATTCACAGACGACTGGAAAACGGCGACTTGCACAAGGTGGCAGCCCGCCTGCAAGGGCAATCAATCCGTGGTGCGAGATCAGGCATGCAGCGCAGTAGACTGCAGCTTCCGAGTGCGGAGATTGAGGGCTTCTGGTTCGGTTAGAACAATAAGTTTCCTACTAACTTGGTCGGTAAGGAGGGGGTCGCTCGGAGCGTCTTGCAATGACCTCGCTTACACCAAAAATTCCGTCGGCATTGCCTCGTTGGTGCAATCCCACAATCTGGAAGATCTGCTGCTCACCTCGCACGATTGCAGATCCTCGACAGTTTGGGAACTCAGAACCCCTGTTTTCGGGCTCCTACCGAGTCACGATGGCTTTGTGGGTGATCTGCATGCGAGTTTGCCCCGCAAACGTTCGAGACGAGAACGAACTGTCTTTTTGATTTGACTGCCAGTTCGCGCTAACGCCGATGCGATCATCTCCTGTTCTTTTGTTGGAAGCTGCAGTGGTTCGAAGCTTGATGATGCTGCGCCAAGGTCTAAGCTTGTCTTGTTTTCGCTTTGCCGTCGACTGCGGCGTGAGAGAAAGCGTCGACCAGCGCTCTCCTAGCCCATCCCATCGTGAAAGGTCTGTGCGTTCGACGGGCCAGATTCAGTCCGGGAGAAAACGTCCGAGCTGCAGGCTTTAGTTCAAGACGCACAGGCAGCGTGTCGCCCCCATCGTGCATCGCGTCCTTCATTATACAAATCTCGGCATTCAGAGAGTCGTCGTAGGTGTTCGTGAGGTCTCGCTGACCTGGTCTTATGATGTTTCACTCCTGAACAGAGCGCTAGCTGAATCGAGCCGCTTGCGCCGTCGGAATGACAGCGTACGGAGACTTTTTGCGCCGTACCGGAGATTGAGCTGAGCTCTGTTCGTTCTCGTTAAGCGCGGCGCCCCCTCTTAGAGAGCTGTTGTGACCCAGCTCCATCATTCTGATGCCCACCTCCGTCTTGCGCCGCGGCGCTTTGACTCGTTCATAGTGAGCACCGGCGTCAATCGCAGATGAGTCGTGATTGAGTTTCGGGCTCAGGTTCGCCTCGCCTACGCCGGTGTTATGGGCGATTGGCGGCACGCCAAGATGGGTAGCTCTGAAAGGGGTGTCGAGCAGGGCCCGTGAAAACCCTTGAGCCGCACGGTGAGAAACCCAACCTTTTCTTTTCCCCGCGTTTTCATCCCTTTGTTTGTTTCAAAGCCAGTGGCTTTCGAGTGACAGGGTTCCAGGGTGGTCGGTTTACAGGCGTTTGAAAGTTCCTTTGCGCCTCGGCTATATCGTAGCGCTCGGCAGCAACCGAGCGTTGTCCCTGCCCCTTTAGAACCCAGACCATCCGAATTCGGGAGCCGCGTGTCTGGAAAGGCGGCGCCGTCTGTTCGATAGAGCTTTCAGTGTCACACAATCTGATATGCTCCGACGTCCTGGACGTGAACGTCACGATGCGCATCGATTCAAACTCCTATCATTCCGTCGGCCATCGCAGGACGCGGCGTGGGCGGCTGGCTCGTTTAGCGTTGGTCAAGTGACACCGTGCATGGGAAAGGCGCATTGGGGTATATTGAATGACTGATAGACGCAGAAAGAGATGCAGAGGCGAGGCTCGCGGAAGTTGGAATCTAGGTCGAACGCCCGCTGTCAGACAGGCTCGTCTCGTGGAACGCGATTCTGCGCCGTGGATCACCGTTGGAATCTCGGGCTGCAGTGTAAGAGGTCGGTGCGGGGATGGCAACGCCGACCGATCCGCCGAGGTCCTGCAGTATCGTAGGGGCAGAGGATGTAGCCGTGCTTTGCAAAATAACGGAAGGTGTCTCGATGGGACGAAGATTCGGAGCGGGGGCGCTTCTGGACGGGACCACAGCATCCATCGTCGTGGGAGCCAAAGGGGTAGAGAAGGGTTCCTCGGGCGAATCCAGCGGAATGTTAGGATCGAGGGCCATTGCCGACGGAATTGTGGCCAGCCGAGCCTCGCCTTGCTGCTTCGCCACATTTGGAACGCCATTGCCCATACGCCGCCTCTTCAAGCTCGGCTGGGAGCTGGCCTCGCCAGCAGCACCGTCGCCTCGGGCTGTTCCGGGCGGCGAACGAGCTGATGGTTTTGCGCTCTCGGCCGTGGCCGTGGTCGTCGCCGTCGGTGACACAATTGCTTTCTCGAGCCTGGCAACGTTGTCGAGACGGACAAATTCGTGGAAGCCCGCGTGCGTCCAAAACGAGAGGAGCTCGGCGCGACTGGCGGCGCTCTGCGTATACAGATGAGTGAAGCCTAGCTTGGATGCTTTGAACTCGGCGACTCGAATGAGCCATTGGCCGATCCCTTTGCGCTGCCATTGCGGGTCGACGCGTAGTTGTGCGAGGTTGCAAATCTTGTCGATGCTTCGATTGGCATAGCTGGGTCCGAGGGCTTGGAAGATCTCGGGCGTCCAGATGAGCGAGCGCAGCGCAACAGCTGCGACGATTTCGCCGTCTGCATCTTGATCTCTGCTCTCTCGTCTTCTTCGAACAATGAAGAGAGCACCTCGATTGCTGTGAGAGTAGTGGCTGTCCTCGGGTCGGAGCAGAGAATCCAGGTCAGCGAAAGCACTGGGGCTGGTGAGTTTGCCGATGGCTGCATCTTTGCTGCTCGATGCTGTCAGGAAGGATCGGGAAGCTTGCGTCAATTGCTCCAGGACCTGCCGTCTGGCAAGCACTGCGCTATCCTCAAGGTCACCTTCGCTTTCGGAGCCCGACTCCGCCGCAGTCTGATGCGCATCGTCGGCCTGTTCGTCAGCGGCCGTGCCTCTTGCCGTCGCATCCTTCCTCTTTGAGCTGCCGGCTATTCCTTTGCCTTTGCGCTTATTGCGCGAACCAATGGCTTGGCTGTCCTTGTCATCGTCGTCGAGCAGAAGCACTAGCTCGAGATGCGACAGGTGCTTAGGCTGCAGTGCGTCCAACTCCAACCTCTCGTGTTGTCTGAGCTTGTCTGCGTTCGTCTTGCGGCCCGTGCTATGTCGCTGTTCGAGGCTTGCTCCGGTCTTGTAGATCTTCAAGTTGCGAAAGAAAGTGGCTCTGGACATGAGGCCATGCTTTTCGATGGTTTCAGCACTGATGTCCCCGGCCTCGTACAGCTTGCACAGCGCCTCCTTGAGGTCTGCGCCGATCTTTCGTCTAGGCATGGTGTCGTATTCGCTAGATCGCCTTTCTCTATGAACCTGGCTTCCGATGCACGCCCATCACCGGTCGACGACGGTGAAGGGCACAGCGTCTGCCGTCTGTGCGGCTGCTCAGCTGAGACTGGCTTTGCCTTGAGCGTCGTCGCCGCGACTTCTTGCGTCGTAAGGAAGGCCTGTCGAGTTGAGCGGGGCCAAGATCGTTGGAGAAGGGTCCAAGACGGACAAGGATCGAAGTGGTCTCGTTGCAAGTGAGATGGTGGCGCGCGATCACTGCCAACGTAGGAAAATGAATGACATTTGAATGCAACTCGGGCGACTCAGCCTTTTTGGAAGCGCGACTCGCCTTTCAAGGGTCCAATTCCACCTGTCACCGGAGCCGGTGAATTTCACGCCAAATTTGCTTGGAAGAAAGCTCAAAAAAAAGTTCTTCTCGACCAACACTCTCCGTTGACTAAAGTTGATAGAGGAGGGGGCATGATATCAACTCGAGTCCCATCACCACCAACGACCCGCTCTTCATAACACGCGGCATCTACTGCAGCAATTGGAAGGAGTCGCTTCTCGAGTTCGAGTGCTGACGAGCCATGGCTTTGTCTTTCCCTCCCGTCGAGGATCCCGCCTCGATCGGCCCCCTCTACATCCTTCACTTTGCAACGTCGAACCACACCTTTCGTCTACCGGACTTTCTAGCTGCCGCCGAGTACCTTCGCATCCCGTTTGCATTCGTTCCTACACCTGCTAAGACCGTCCTCGAGGAATGCCGCAAAGCGCACGACGCTACCGAGGAGGCTTCGCCGTCAGGGTTCCGCCCGGATCTTCGACGACCGTTTGCATTCGCGCACCTTCCCAACGATGATGCAGCTGTCAGTCTGCTGCGCCGCTGCGTGTCTCTTCGATCCGTCTGGGCGCATTGGTCGCATGGAAGCGACTATGACGAGCTTCATTCTCGCAATCAGCAGGAGGGCAGTCGAGCGCTGTGGACCCCCTACGTCGAGGCAGCCGATTGCCCCTCTTGGAAGGCGCACGTCTTCTCGTACAGCTACACCATCAGCGACAAGCGCAAGATCGACATCATTCAAAGCTTCAGCTACATGGACCTGAAGGGCCGCATCCAGCTCAAGAAGCCAGACATGCGATGGGGTGTCATGGAAGAGTTCGTCGCTCAAGAGCTGTGGCCGAACCATCTTCGGGATGAGCAGAACAACTTTCCTGGAGCAGGCAAGGACACGGACAAGGCGGAGGGCAGAGAAGAGCTTGGCGACAAGGACCCACGACTGGTGCAGATCTTTCTTGGCCGACGCATCGACGTCAAAGCTGCACCGCTGCATTCGGACAAGGCGACGGCTGCTGCACCGCGAAAGTCGACCGATCCCTCCCAAGAAGATCAGACGGGGCTCGCCAGGAATCTCATTGAGACGCTCAACCTTAAGAAGCGTGTCTATATCGGCAACACGTCGATGGAGTCCGAGATGAGTCTGATCATGGCGAGCATGGCGCTGGCTGGACCTGGCAAGCTCATCTACGATCCCTTTGCAGGGACAGGATCCATGCTGTATGCAAGCGCCGTCTTTGGAGCGATGGCGTTCGGCAGCGATATCGATGGCAGGCCGATGCGGGGCAAGGAGAACATCAGCGACTCGAACAGCCAGACAGGCATCGTCAAGAGCGCAAAGCAATACGGCGTGCGCGACCACATTCTCGATACGGTGGTCTTTGACATTACGCAGAGTCCTTGGCGGAAGGATCTCCTGTTCCCGGTGGATGACGAGCAGCGACAACAGACCAGCCGCCGACCCACGGGTGTAGTGGACGGTATCGTCGCAGATCCTCCCTACGGTGTCCGGGCAGGCGCAAAGCGACTCGGCAAGCGAGATCCGGAAAAGCAGAGAACCGAAGCTTACTGGATGCCGGATGGCCTCGGACCTGGACAAGGATGCTGGTCTCACGAACGCTCCGACTACATCTCACCCACGCGACCGTACCATTTGGAGGATTTGGTGAACGATCTGCTGGACTGCGCGTACAGTCTGCTCTGCGATGGCGGACGATTGGTGTTCTGGCTGCCGGCCATACACGATTCGGAAGACGAGGAGACGAACGACGACGACGGCGGCGAGGCTGGAAAACAGACTCAATCGTCTGCTGCAGCATCGGTGAGCATCGATCTGCCGCAGCATCGACGCAAAGCAGGCCAAGGACGAATGCGCATGATCCACTACTCGCTGCAAGACTTTGGACGATGGGGTCGATGGCTCATCACCATGGAGAAGGTGTCGCCCGAGAACGATGTGGACGACGATGGTCTGCGTGAGCTGGAGCAGAGGATGGGCGAGCTGGGCAAGAACAAGGACGAGCGTGGCATCTATCGGGCTGATCGAGACCCGCTCGAGTTCCGCAACCGCTACTACCTGCCCCGAGGATCGAAGGCTGCGGCTTCGTGAGCGATGGTCCCAGCGGAATCAAGCTTGATCATCATTACCCAAGGCGCTACACCGGCTGGCCGCAGCTGAAGTGAGCGCACGCGGATGCTCGTTGTGAACTCGGACGTGTGAAACGCAGTGGATCGTGTGACCCGTTCCCGCGTCCCCTTTCGCGTACAGCCGCGGGTCAGTGTTGGGCCCCGGATCATCATCAAGGATCGCACAGGCCGGGACGGGAAGTGGAATGAGATTTGCCGGGTCAACGATCTTGAGCCAAGTGTGTGGTAAGTCTTGGCCAAGCCCAGACCCGGGGATGCCTCAAATTGGACGCGGGTCACGGTTTGTGTGGAAGCGAGGTGAGCCGCGTGGGTTGTCTCGTTGACCCGCGCAGGATCAAAAAACCCTCCGATGAATCGCCTCGTGGTACAAGGACGGATTGGCACTGCACCGCAGAGAAGCTTTGCTGTACGTACTGCAGCAGTCTTCTTTAGCTTGACTCGGACCCCGCTAGCGAAATCAACTCAGGTCGACACCGATTCCATTAAGCGGGACTCGGCATGCCTTGTGTGCGTCTCCCTCTCTCTTTCATCACGGGACCTGAACGAGCGGAGCGGGGCTTGCAAGAGCGGCAGACCTGCAGACGAAGGTGCCCCTTGCGGCCTTTCAGCCTGGAGCGCTTTCCTCATCAGTGTTCCTCAGATGCTGCCGGACACTCAAGTACTCTGCGACAGTGTGCGTATGCTCTGACATCAAGAGCAAGATCGGCTACGGTGTCGGTCAAGTGGTGTCTTGCGCGCCTCAAGTAGTCACAAGTCTGATCGCGGCAGACCCTGTGTCTAGCTGGTGAAGTCGGCGTCTCTCTTCGAAACCGAGTTGGAAGCGGGCCTCGACTCGTTCCTAGCTTTGCAGATGAAGCAGCAAGGGCAGGCAGGAACGAAAAAGTTAACACCTCGAAATTCAAAGTTTTTCGAACTTTTCACTTTCACCGCCAATTGAAACCGCATTTTTTTCTCCCCGACTGATTCGAGTGATCCAGGCACTTGACGGGTCTTCGCGTTCAGACCCTTTACGACCCTTTTTGACTCTTTGTGGCGAAAACAGCACGACCAAGCTCAATCTTCTTCTTGTTTTTGTTTTTAGGGATTGTCCACGAGAAAGAGACTGCTTGAGTGCATGAAAATTCCAGCGCCATCTCTTCGCAAAATGCGGTTTCAGCAGGCGGCTTCTGCGACCTGGCGATAAAGAGAAAAATGGTCGCGGCGGTCGTATGGCCGGGCTACTGCCTTCATCCTGACGAGAGTCGCGATGTGTACATTGCATTGCTCGATTGAGTGGTGCAGGTGGTCTACAGCCAATCCCAAGCCTCAGTTCTGTTTTGCCTTTTGTTTCGAAGTGATCCCAGCCCTTTTCGCAGTCAAAGCGTGTCTTCAACTTGGCCGACTATCCCCGCCGCGAGATACTTTTCATCTTTGCGTGTGTACCGCTACATAAACGCAGTGGTCGCTTTCATCGTCTCACCATCACCTTCCTTCCTCCTCATCCCTACCAAACTTCGATCCGCCCATCGCTAGTGTCTGACGCCTCCTGTCAGACCGTACTCAGCCTCGATCGCTGCCTCGAGCTCTCCTTGTTCGCACCCATCGCCTCCCGGCTACACCGCATCTCATCATTCGTAAGTGGCACTGTTTCATCGGCTCGAGCCCGTTCTCTAGTCTGTCTTCTCTCGAATATCCCTTTCGATCATGCTTGGCAACCCACCTCAACAGTCGGAACAAGGCCGACACGAGCGGAGGTAGCCGACTTCGGGTGTACCAAACTTGCTTCTCACGGTCACATTTCGCTTCGCCGTTGCAGCGGAGTCAGCAGCTTGGAGGCCATTCAAGCCAGCCCGATGCTGTATGCACATGGTAGCTTGATCCATTGTCTCTGCCTCGGCACGGCTGCCCCACACAATGCTCCATGGCAGGGTCTCATATCGGGTTCCGGTGTGGGGTAACCTAGGCGGGGTCGGCTGGTTCATGACGGGATCTGTCATGCGCAAGCGGTCGTGCGACGCTGCCCCATAATCCCCGACGCTGGTCCTATTGCCTCATGTCGCATCGCTCCTACCGGCCAATGAAGTGCACGGCGGCTCGTTCACACAGCGGCTGCAGTCCGAGTACGCAGCCAAGCAGCAAAGGCCAAGAGGCGGGTGGCGAGGGGTTTTTTGCCTAGGTTCATGCGAGTGGGCCCGCGGCAAAATTCACTCGACCCGAAAAATTGCTCTCTCTCTCTCTCTCCTGCCCTGTCGATCCTGTTTCGCCTCTTGCTCCTCATCCCTGCCTCTCCCCCTTCCCCTTCTCGGCTCGAGCACTCTGTTCCTCGGGGTTGTTCCGTTGCTTCTTGGCTCGCTGCACCCGGATCTGCGTCCTCTGTCAGCCACTGTGCGAAGATGCAGGCTCGTACGACCTCTGCCCTTGCCATGTGATGCCGTCCAGCTTTGCACCTGCATACCCTTCGCACGCCGTTCGCACGCCAAAGTCCGCTTCAGTGCTTTCGCGTCATTGTGCCTGATCGAGCCGCTCGATGGCATGCAGACGTCCGATCGAGGGTGCCGGCATCCCCCTTCCGACTCCGCTCTCAAGGGTGCGAGTCTATCCCCTCATTTTCACAATCCGTCGACTCGCAGAGGGACCCTTGTTCATTTAGACGTCGCTCTCGCTTGATCGCAGACCAATCACATGATCCCAACCCTTCTTCCCTTGTTCTTCTTCGTCCATCCCTTCCGCTACCACCATCCTTTCCATCCTACCCTCCCCCCGCGTCCTTTTGCGATCCTTTCGCTCGGCTCGACCCTCCCCCTCCCGCATCCATGCTCACCTAACGAACACGCTCGCTAACACTCTCCTCAAACCTCCGACATCTTCCATCGGACAGCCCTCCTCTTTAGAGTGACACACCATCAAGATGCCGTCTTCTCTCTCGTCCAAGTCCTCTAACGAGGCCAAGGCTGAGAAGGCCGCCGTCGGCAACGCCAACGAGCACGGCGCCCGCGTCAGCCACCAACCCGCTCTGCTCGTCAACGAGGATGACGCCATGTTGGCTTCCCGTATGGGTCACAAGTCCGAGTTTGCGCGAGAGTTCAAGAGTTTCTCCACCATCTCGTACGCCTTTGCCATCATGGGTCTCGTCTCGTCCGTCGCCACCACCTTCAACAGCCCCTTCACCCTCGGTGGTCCCGCTGCCACTGTCTGGACCTGGTTCATCGGTTCGTGCTTCAACATGACGCTCGGTCTTGCCATCGCCGAGCTTGTCTCGGCTTACCCTTCCGCCGGTGGTCTCTATTCGGCTTCCGGTCTCCTCGTCCCCCGCAATCAGCGTGCCTTTGTCGCTTGGCTCACCGGTTGGCTCAACTTCACGGGCCAGATCGCCGGTATTGCTGGTACCGAGTACGGTCTCTCGCAGATGATCTTTGCCTGGGCCTTTGTCATCACCGATGGTCGCTTTGTCGCCACCACGGCCCAGACCGTGGGTCTCTACATTGGTCTGCTTGCCATCCACGGTCTCATCAACTGCTTCGGTATCAAGACGCTCGCCCGTCTCACCTCGTCGTACGTGATCGTCAACCTCGGCATCACCTTCATCATCATCATTGTCGTGCTCGCCAGGACGCCCTTGGACCAGATGCAGTCCGCCTCGTACACCTTCACTGAGGTCGTTAACGGCAGTGGCTGGAGCAGCAACGGCCTTGCCTTCTTCTTCGGTCTGTACTGCGTGCAGTTCGTCATGACCGACTACGATGCTACTGCCCACATTTCCGAGGAGGTCTCGCGCGCTGCCATTGCTGCCCCTGTCGCCATCGTCGTTGCCGTTGCTGGTACCGGTGCCGTCGGCTGGGTGCTCAACATTGTCATGGTTCTCGTCTCTGGTGACGTTGCCTCGACTGAGATCTCGACCTGGCCCGGTGGACTGGCCTTCGCCCAGATTCTCTACCTGCGAGCCGGCAAGATTGGCTTCCTGGTCATCTGGCCCTTCGTCTGCTCGGTTGCCTTCTTCGTCGTCACCACCGCCCTCCAGGCCAACGCCCGTTCGTTCTACGCCTTCTCGCGAGACAATGCCCTGCCCGACCGTGGATTCTTTGCTCGCGTCAACAAGCGCACAGGTACCACTGTCAACGCCGTCTGGCTCGTTGTCATCCCCTGCATGGCCCTCGGCTGCCTTGCTTTCGCCTCGTACACTGCCGTGACTGCCATCTTCGCTTTGGCTGCGCTCGGCATGGACAGCTCGTACCTGGTTCCCATCGTGGCCCGCTGGATCTACTGGGACCACCCTGACGTTCAGTACAAGCCTGGACCGTTCTCGCTCGGTCGCGGTATCCTGGGCAAGACGATCAACACGATCGCCGTCTTCTGGACCATGTTCGAGTGCATCATCCTGGCCATCCCGACGGTACAGCCCATCACGCAGTTCAACTTCAACTACTCCTGGGTCATCATGGTGGGCGTTCTGCTGATTGCTACCGTCTGGTTCGTCGTCTACGCGCACAAGCACTACCAGGGCCCGCGCAGCACGCTCTCGCAGGAGCAGAAGGAGCAGCTCGGCGTCATTTCGCGCGACGAGGAGGGCCTCTCGCACTAAAGCGTGCTTGTCATCTCCAGTTGCTCGTTTTCGATATCATAGCAACGAGGTTGTTCCGCTGGTGTCGGTTCCCTTTCACCCTGTCCATAGTTGTTATACCACGGGTCTACTCGTCTTTGGGATTTGTTCTCACTACAGTAAAGTAATGTTCATATGCTTCCATAACGGCCTCTCCGTGGAAAGAGCTCGTCGTCAGCCGACTCCTTGGATGTGTGTGTCGAAAGAAGATGGCAGCGTGCTCGCAGGCTATTCGCGATGGAGCAATAGTGACACGACTAGACAATGAACGGCGGTTTCCTTTTCGTGCGGCGAGAAAAAGAAATTCATCAAAAATGCAGCACCAAAAATCAGTTCGCGACTTCTCTCCTCTTGCCCCGTGCCATTTTTTTCCCCGATGCAAGGGACGCACCTTGAGGTCATTCCGACCTGAACTCGCAGCAACCACGAACGTGCGCGCAGGAAGACAACGCTGCAGGCATGCATACCGATGCTTCTGATTGGGATGATGCTGCTCCTCCTTCTCGATCTTTGCTTCGGAAGTCGTTCCGACGTCTTGAGTCTGCATCTTGAGTGTCGGAACATGCTGACCGAATGCATCTTTCCCACGGTCGAAGTCACCAATTCGGCATGACGCGAGCGTGCTTGGCGTCGGGGCCATCCGATCTTGGCTGTGCTGAGTTGAAAGGCGAGCTTTATTGCGCGTGAGAAGGGTTCAGCGTCCATATCGATCTTTTCGGGTCATTGTGCTTAGCTATAACGTTAGACAGGCGCTTTCCATCGAGCTTGTTGGTCTCAGTCAACCTGCATTTCCGTAAGCGACCGGAGCTCCAAGCCTTCTTCAGATTCGACCCTCTTCCCTCCAGTCTTCTCCTCCACCATCATCTCTGCCTCTACCATCGACGAGCTTCCGTCAACAAGCAGCAAAGATGGCAGTCACCAACGCTGGCAACTTTGGCCTCGGCGCCATCGTCAGCTACGTCTACCAATGGATCCAGATCCTCATCGCATACGCCTTTGCACCCAAGCTCCCCGCACAGCAGGTCAAGCAAAGGCCTCTCGGTCATGTCGCCGTCATCGGTGCCGGCATCACGGGTATCTCGACCGCCTCCCACCTCATCGGTCATGGCTTCGAGGTCACCATCTTTGACCAGGCCGAGGAGATCGGTGGCATCTGGTCCCGCGTCAACTCCACCTCGGGTCTCCAGATCAGCTCCATCATGTACCGCTTCCACCCGGCCGTCAAGTGGACCCAGGGCTATCCGCATCGCGACGAGATCCTCAAGAACACCCAAAAGATCTGGAAGATGTACGACCTCGACAAGCGCACCCGCCTCGGGTTCAAGGTGGACAAGGTCACCCGCCATTCGTCCTCGACGGATCCTCAGGAGGGTGGACACGCTCGCTGGGTGATCAACGGCAACGAAGACGAGGTGTTCGACGGCATCGTCGTCAGCACAGGCACCTGCGGTAAGCCCAAGAAGATGGATCTTCCGGGCGAGGAGAAATTCAAGGGCAAGATTGTTCACTCGTCGCAACTCGATGGGCTCGACTGCAAGGGCAAGAAGGTGCTCATCGTCGGTGGCGGTGCCAGCGGTATCGAGGCGCTTGAATTGGCGGTTCAGCAGGGAGCCGATACGCCGACCATCTTGGCTCGCAGCGACAAGTGGATCATACCTCGCAACACGATCGTCAACTGCGCCCTGGCACTGCAACCTTTAGGACGAGAGACGTGGTTGTCCTTCATTCCCGAGTTCTTGCTCAAGAAGCTGCACTACCGTGGCCTCGAGGACAAGATGGCGCCCAGCCAAGGCTTCTACACCGAGACACCGATCGTCAACACTTCTGCGCTTCGACACATCCGCAAGGGTGAGGCCGACTACCAGCGCGGCGACGTAATCGATCTCGACGAGGATGGAATCCAATTCAACCTTCGCAAACGAGGCCAAAAGAAAGGCGACGATGGCAAAAAAATCCACTACAACGCCGACATCATTGTCGTCGCGACGGGCTTCGAGGTGCCATCGATCGACTTTCTGCCGCAGGACCTGTTCCCCGAACAGGGCGGCTTTCATTACGTGCGACCCAACATGTACCTGCAGGTGTTTCCTATCGAGGACTGTTCGGTGCTGTGCACCAACGCGACCTTCCGCAACGCCGTCGGCACCGTCGGCCACATTCATATTGGCATCATGGCGCGCACGCTCATGCTCTTCCTCATGGACAAGTCGACGCGCCCCAAACCGCGCGACATGCGGCTGTGGGTCGACCTGATCCGCTTCATCAAGGACCGCGCGCCCGGTGGTCAGCTCGACTTCTTTACCTACATGGAGCTGTGCATCTGGCTCGTCTCGTTCCTGTTTTTCCGCGTCAACCGGCTGTACTACTTCTTCTTCGTTACGTTCGGATGGGGGTTCTGGAGCCGAGAGGGCAAGACGGATAAGTCAGGCAGACTCGTCGGCGAGCCCAAGTTCCATCTCAGTATCAGTAAGCTGATCGGCAAAGGGCCGAGCGCACAATTCCTCAAGAACAATTGAACGGTAGAAAGAAGGGATGGAAAGACTCATGGAACTCAAGACTTTGCCTTTTCGATCGTTGCTTTGTCCCCCTCCCTTTTTGATTGATGGTCGGATGACGGCACAGGTAACTACTGGATGAGCCGACTCGGTCTGGCTGTCTCAGTTCGGCTGGCGAGAATGCTGACGACGGTATCGCTTGGACTGCAATGGATCGCTGTTCGGGCTCGGCGCATCTCGAACCACCTCTACGCGTTTGCGGGTGGACGACACACCGTCGCCAGATCTCCGCATGATCCGGCTCAGAACGGCGATGTCTCTCTTCTGAATTAGGTTTTCTTTTCACTTGCCTCATCTGACCTCTCACACAATCCAATCACGCAGACGAGCGTCCTCGAGATCTCTTTTTGATCATGACATTACGAGAGTGCTATCAATGACTTCAAACCCATGCTACTGCTTGCCCTCGCCCTGGCTGATCTGCACCTTGATGGCGGTCTTTCCGTCCTCACCAACACCCTTTGTGGTGGTCTCAAATGCCTTGACTGCGTCCTTGAAGAGGAAACGGTGAGTGACCATCTTGGTGACGTCGATCAGACCAGTGCTGACGAGGTTGATGCTGGTCTTGTAGGTCCCCGCGCCGTACCTGAAGCTTCCGGTGACGTCGATCTCCTTGACGCAAACCCGGGTGATGGGGAATTCGACTTCGGACCTGCCCATGCCGACCTGGACGAAGCGGCCCTTGGGGCGCAGAGCCTGGATGCCCATCTGGATGCACGGTTCGGCGCCGGTGCATTCGAGCACGAGGTCGAAGCCTTCGCGCGCGACGACGTCGTCGCCGAGCTGACTGATGAGGTCCTGGGCGTTGCGCATAGCGGAGTCGATCTTGGCCTCGCCTTGGAGCGGCAGGCTGGGCTTGAACGTCGATGTGGCGCAGAAGGACTGGGCAAATTCGAGCTTTGAGTCGACCACGTCGACCACGACGACACGCTTGGCAGAGTAGGCCTTGCAGACCGCCGCGTTGAGCAGACCGATGGGACCGGCGCCAAACACAAGCACGTTCTCCATCGCCTTGACCTGGCCGCGCATGGCCGCCGAGTAGACCGCCACCGAGAGCGGCTCCATCAACGACGCTTCTTCGAGCGACATGGTGTCTGGAACGTGGTGCGCGAACGTCGAGTGGATGTTGTAGTACGTGCACAGCGTGCCATCGTAGGGCGGAGTGGCGGCGAACTCGAGGTTGGCACAGTGGTTGTAGCTGCCACTCAAGCAGACGGGGCAGGAGCGACACGGCACACCAGGCTCGAGCGCAACACGATCCCCGACCTTGTGCGTGGTAACACCCTCGCCGACAGCGGTGACGATACCGCTCGATTCGTGACCCAACACCATGGGCTTGCGCACCACAAAGTCGCCGATGCGACCGTGGTGGAGGTAGTGGCAGTCCGAGGCGCAGAGACCGGTCTGACGGATGTTGACCTGCACCTGCCCGGGCTTGGGCGCGACGACCGGTCGCTCCTCGAACGAGACATTCTCGATCTCTTGCAGGACGAACGAGAGGTTGCCCTCGACCGGGTGGGTGGAGAGCGAGTTGTTGGGCGCGACTGGAGCTGGCATTGTGACGAGGAGGTGTTGTGGGTGAATGCTGGACAAGACGAGGGGACGAAAGGAGGGGCACGCCGGTCCTTAAAGGGTAGAGAGTCTTCGGGAATCACAGTTCCAAGAGCGGGGAACTGCGCAGGGCGCTTTGAGAAGAAGTTCGTGGGTGTGTCGTATGCAGCACGGCGACTCTGGTCTGGCACGGTTCAATTTTCGAGCTCAAAAAACACACACACCGCGAGATTACCGGTCAGGGACGGCGGTCGGCAATCTTTTCCGCCGCTTAGCTTGCGCTCTCCCCCGCACACCGGCAAACTCGCTCTTGTCCTTTTCGCTGTTGTTTCCTTTGGCAGGCGCTGCGAACATTTCGATGCATCTGAGAGGGATTTGCCGCGGTATGACCTCCCGAGCCTGCAAGATGTTCAGCCGGGGCAAAGGCATCGGGTGATCCGGGGTGGGTTCAGCTTGCCGATGACAAGCTTTTTCGGCTGGCTCGCAAGCTCAACCTTGGCCTGCTTCGTCCAGTAGTCATTGAGTGTCAGAGCCCTCATCACTGATCAGGTTGGTGACACATGGTCCCACGCTCTTTCTCTAAAGTCACATTCGCAACTTTCCTCCTCAGCGTTATGCGCAGTGCGCTGCTGCGCTGGCTCGCGACACGTCTCGAGAGGGCTGTCCGCGTCCCACAAAGCGCGAGGAAAAAGTGCTGGACCCTGAAAGTGACACTTTGCTCGCTGCGCTGAACACAAAGCGTTCAGTTTCCTCTTTGTCTGTCACATCCACTTCATTTCGCACCACTCAGACACACGGGCCATGACCGAGCTCGCTGCGCCAAAGGGCTGACCCGCTGGTCCACAAAGGCTCGCGATGTGGGTCGCCCGCCATGACCCCCACCTCCACCTCAAGCGCGGTCGAGACGAGCAGACCAACTCTCTACCGAAGGTCAAGATGCCCGACTCCAAGAAGCCAAGTGACGACGGACAGCTCAGCGACACGCTCGAGGCCCGCTTGTCCGCCGCGGAACAAGATGTAGTTGCAGCGAGAAGAATCGGCGACGACGACGAACTCATCGCAGTGGCGTCCACTGCTCTACAGGAAAAGCCTAGAGCACCAAGCAAGACAACCATCAAGTCTCGCAAGAACCTCCTCTGGGCTCGATCCGAAGCCTATCGCCGTCAAAAGTCTCACACTCTGGCACTCAAGGATGCAAAGGCAGTCCTCAAGATCGATCCGGACGACGTCGCCGCGTATATACAAACTGCAGCAGTGCTCAAGGACGCAGGCCACACGGAACAGGCGCGCGCTTGTCTCGAGAAGGCTGCCGCCTCGGCAGAGAAGTACGATCGACCGACAAGGAATACTTGGCTTCGTAGGCTTCAGAAGCAGGCACGCAAGATTTTGGGCGGGTCCCTGATGAATCGCCTCCCGAACGAGATACTCATCGAGGTCGCTCTTCACCTGGACACAAATAGCCGTGTGGCCATGAGTCAGACGTGTCGCCCTTGGCGCCACCTTCTCGTGATGTCACCTGGCCTTTGGACCTCACTGGTAGTCAAGGCGAAGCCAACCACGACGACCGTGACGGAAGGCATGGCTATCAAGTGGCTCAATTACATCAACGCAGGCGCCGAAAAAGCTCGCCATCGTCTCGAGCACGTCGAATTATTCGTACAGTTCCCCAGGGACTTCCTTGGCAAGGCGCTCACCATCCTACGACTGTCCTCCGAAACCCTCACGCACATTGACATCGAGACATGGGGTCTTGGGCAGTGTTACGAGTCATTGTACCGGCATTGCCCCCGACTTGAATCTCTGGTCATCAGAGTTCAAAGGGGGATGGACATGGGGACTCTGTCCAATTCCATGTCTGAAGACAAGCTGACCCAAGACAAGGAGCCTTTCTCGCTGGAATCTTTCGTGATCACTTCGGGTGTGCTGTATCATCGCTGTTTTCTTCGGCATCTGCGCAAGGTGCGAAAGCTGCACGGTCACAACCCCTTCATGCGTCTGGATCCCGCCCAGTCAGACTACGCTGCCGACGTCGAGGCTGTTCGAAGTCTGACGGAACATCTCGAGGAATGGACAGACGAAGATTGGCCGGCTCGGTCTCGAGCGGGTCGAGCTGCGGTCGCTCAGCCGATGTCTCTCACTTTCCCAAGATTGATCAAAGTGTCAAGACTTTTGATGGACGATCGCCTTCGATTCATTTTCCCAACAGTGCGGGATCTCAGCATAAATCTCAGCATAGCGGTCGAAGAAATTGCTCGTGATGACCACAACAGCCTCGTAGCTCAGACACTTCGGTCGAGTCCAATGGTTCGGAAACTGGGTCTTGTTAATGGACTACTTAGGCTCGAAGACCAGGTCATCCTACAGGCCTTGCAAGAATTGCGCAATCTCGAGGTTCTGGACTTAGCGGCCGCCAGCCTCTCGACCTTCATCTTTTTGCTGCCAAGAAGGACTGTTGTCGATTCTGAACCCGCCGTGCGCTTCCCTTTGCCCAAGTTGCAGGAGATCACTCTATATGCTCGTCAATTGGACCTACGAGCACTTGCCCATACCCTTCTGATTCGCGACTACGTTCAAGCCGGAGACGGCCTGGCTACGGCCCGGCGCAAGGCTGCCAAAACACTCGAAACATTGCGAGCAGGAGCCGCAAAGGCATCGAAGATCATCCCGTTTGAACGAGGCTCTTCTCGAAGCCAAAGGAACGGGCCTCAAGAATTCCTTCGTCAGGAGGACGATCCGCCTCTGAAGGACGCGTCGAAGTGCTGCAGGTTGCGTACGCTCAGACTCACCCACATGGTCGGCATCGAGGACGATGTCAAAGAAGCGATGCGGCTGGTAGTTGCCGACCTGCAGATCGAGTATATACCGCTGTAGCACAGCGCAAAAGACGGTTTATCACTGTCACGCCCCGGGCTCCTCCTTTCAAGGTCCATGCCGAGTTTATCATCCCCGGTCGGCCACATCCTAGCTCGCCCATGCATCAAGACATCTCCATGTTCAAGCATCAGACGCAAACGCAATGAACACCAGCAACCTCATGACGAAAGAAATGCAAGGTCTCGATTCCGACAGATGTGACAATCACGTCGCCTCGAGTCGCCTGATGACCGAGTTTGTGTACCGATCCATGCCGCCGTCGAGCAGCTTGAGCGAGCCATCCTGCAGCAAATACGTCCTTCCCGGCTCCCTCGCTGCCGTCTTGACGTCTGAGACCTCATCCTCGTCATCCCTGTCTTCCTCTTCTTCGTCATCCGCAGCCGGATCCGGGGCGAGCTCGATGATGCGCTTGACGGCGTACCTGTCGTGGCTCACCAGCAGCACCGCTCCGGTATATGCCTGCAGCGCGTCAATCAGCGCGTCGATCGTATCGCTGTCGAGATGCGTCGTAACCTCGTCCAGGATGACCAGGTCGGGGCTGTTCCACATGACCTCCGCGAGACCCAGTCGCACCAGCTGTCCACCGCTCAGGCCTGTCAGCGGGATCGTATCCGCGGTACGACCCTTGAGCCCGAGTTGACCGAGGAACGATCTCGCCTGTGCTTCGGGTGCGCTTGGAAATGCTTCCGTGAAGTGGGCGAGTGCGGTCGTTGTGAGCGAGCTGAGCAGTTCGAGGGTGTGCTGTGCATAGATTCCGATCGTCGCTCTTGGATGTCGCTCCACCGTCCCCTTGCTAGGACTGATCTTGCCCGTAATAGCATTGAGCAGTGTCGTCTTACCATGTCCGTTCGGTCCAACCACCCCCACCCTCTCTCCTGGCCCAATGGTCAACCCCACACCCCTGATCGTATCCCTCTCCGCGCCCTTATACTTCACACTCACCCCTTCCGCATGCACCAGATTCCCCGGAAACCGCAACCCCTCCGGATCCTGGAACGAAAATCTGACCCTCTCCTCCTCGGCCTCGGTCTCGACCCCACCTCTACTGGTCAGATGGTATCCACCAAAATCGCGATTCAGCTTGAACCGATGCCCCTTTGCATTCACCTCGACACCCCACCTCTCGTCTAGCTTGCGCTGTCGACTCTTGACCATGCGCATCTTGTTATCGTCCCCGGACTTTTTCGCTGCTCGCGCGACGGATTCGATCGACTTCTGCACCTTTTCGCGCTTCTTATCGAGTGCTTCGGATTGACGTTGACGAAACAGACGTTCGCGTCGCGATTCGCGCTCGTAGTCGGTCAGATTTCCGTCGAAGTATTGAAGCTTGTTGTGACGGAGGAGGACGAGGGAGGAAGAGACGGCGTTGAGGAACTCGCGATCGTGCGAGACGGTGACGACCGTGTGTGGGAGGGTGGCGATGAATTCTTGCACGAAGAGCACCGCGGGGAGGTCGAGGTAGTTGACTGGTTCGTCGAGCAGCAGCAGGTGGGCGGGTTGGAGCAGGGCGGATGCGAGGCACGCACGGGATTTCCAGCCTCCCGACAGGGTGCTGTAGGGTGCAAGGATGCGGTCGGGACTGAACCCGAGACCGTGGAGGATCTTCTGCGCGCGCGCCTCCGTGGTGGTCGCATCGACGCTGTCAAGCACTGTTTGCGACTCGAGCAGCATCTTGCCCGCCAGCGTCGACCAGTGCGACGCATCCACTTGTTCGGAGGAAGGTGGGGAACGGAGAGCCTGCTGGGCAGCCTCGAACTCGGACTCTGCCACCAGCAGGTCTTTTCTCGCACCCAACCCTCGAGCGCCCGACCATTTCACCGCTAGCTTCCTCGCCTCCCGCAACCTCTCTTTCGATCTCTCCAGCTCCAGTCCCAATACTACCCGTCTTATCTTGTCCTCATTCGCCTCTTCGAGCACCTTGGACAACGACTCGCACTCGTCGCTCGCCCGCCTCCGCTCCGTATCGCTCCGCACAACCACCTGGATCACCGTCGCCTCCGGGTCCTCCTCCGCCGCGCGCGCGTTGGTCAGCTGGCTAACGAATAGGATCTTCATCCCCCTTGATAGGCCTGGAATGAGCTTTTCGCCAATCGCAGTGAGCAGTGTCGATTTGCCACTGCCATTCCGACCGACGAGGCCATAGTGCGTGCCAGGTTTCAAACGAAGGTGCGCATCAGAGAGGAGGTCCCGACCGGCAAGGGTGAGGGTGACCCCAGAAAGGTCGATGTCGAGCGACGCGGTATCGGTGCAGTCGAGGTGGAAGCGCGATTCTTGCGAGAGGGCGGTGATGAGGCGGACTTTGGGATCCGGGTTGTCGAGGTAGAGGTCGGCTAGGACGGCGCTCGCCTCTTCGCTGGGAGAGGCGCGTCGGGCAGCGGCCCCTTTGAGGGTGCGTTCGGACTTACGGCTGCGCTCGGACTTCTCCTTCGATGTGGATCCGCTTGATGTTGGTGCGGTCGCGTCATTGCTCGAAGAGGAAGCGATAGATTGCGCGGTGACTTCGGGGACAGACGCGGTGGTGGGAACAGCAAGACACGCCTCGACAATCTCGAGCACCGCCTTCTTACCCACTCCTGCGTCGGTCAGGATCGGTCGCAGCTTCTTCTCCAGCTCTGCCCTCCTCTCTTCCTTCGATCGCTCTTCCGTGCTGCTCGATGCGTAGCCCTGGAGAACAGCCTCGAGCTTGGGATACGTCTTGAGCGCCTTAGTGGTGTCGACCACTGCTTTCGGGATGATGCTGAGGTAGCGGTCGATGTTGCTTGTCATCTTGCCTTGATGCTATGCGCTAGACTGCTAATGGGATTGAAGGGAGTCGAGACATGATCGTGCCTTTATAGACATGAAGGAGGTTGGGGGGAGCGAGAACCAGACGACGTCTGATGCTGCATGGACCGCTTCTCCCAACCGCAAAAACTGGCCGTCAGGGTCCAAAACTTTAGATTGCCGAGCTCCGCAATCCGAAGAACCGCGTAAAGAGTCATCCTAGCTTTGCGCTTTCGAGTCATATCATCGACACTCCCGACATCCGTCCATCACTTCGTCCGAGGAGCTTTGAGTCACACACGCGCACAGACGTCTTACGACGATGCTTCCCGTCGGCATTGCGATCCCGCTAGCCCGGATTCGAGTAGATCCGCACGAGCATCGACTTGAGCTCCAGCCTGGTCTGCCTTCGCTTCACCGCCACCCCCGCAAATGTCTCCAGTGCTGACCCTTTTGGCATCTCGACCTGTCTCAGCATCCTTCCCCTGCCCGAGTCCGCCTCGTCCAGCGGGAACGCGAGTGTGAACAGTGCATCGTTGGTCACCCTCCTCGTTCCATTCGGCGATTCGGCCTCTGCAAGCACATACACCTCGCACGACTGAACAAACGTGCGCACCACCACAGCCGTAAACGTCATGCTCTCCCCTACCGCTACAGCTTGCTCGAACTCCAGTCCGTCTAGCGACACGGTACCCCACCGACGCCCACGTCCCACATGACGCACGGCCAGCAACGCCGACTCCTCCATCCAGTCCATCAGCTGACCGCCGAACAGCACGCCGACGCTGTTGGTGTGCTCCGGAAACACGAGGTGCAGCGTTCGCGCCATGGTCTTGGCGACCGCAATGGGCTTGGTGAGTTTGGCGGCGAGACGGGCGCGCGTGAGCGTGTGCGGGGTGTGCGGCTTGATCGGCGTGCCTGTGGTGGACTGGTCGAGGTCCGTATCGCCCTCGCGCTCCTGCGTCGCTTTGAGGGGCGTGAAGATGGAGCGACGTCGCGTGGCGGGCGTCATGGGCGGCGAAGCGGGTCGGTCGTACTTCTCGCCGTCGACAAAGTGCGGTCGAGCTGTCCTGGGCGCGCTGGGGGACGGCAAGGGTAACGCGCCGGAATCGGGAATCTTGCTGGCAAAGAGCGCGTGAGATGGCGCCTCGTACTCCTGCTGCTGCTCGTCCTCGAGCTGCTTCGCTAGCCTCTCGACTACCTTGAGCGGATGTCGGAGTGGGATATCGCCTGCCAGGTTGATCTCGACCATGCCTTCGTCGTGCTTGACCGTGACAGCTGGATCTCGCGAGACGTAAGCTCGAACGACAAACTCAAGCTCAAGCGCTTCGAGCTGCGATGCTTGTGCTGTCTTTGAGCCTGGAACGGCTGACACGTCGCCGCCCACAGCTGAAGACAGCAGATCTGCTTGATCGATCTTGAGCCTTCCCGGTGTCCATCCTCCCGCTTCCGCCTCTGCTGGGCCTCTCCATTTGCCGCCTGTCCTTGAGATCTCCTGCACTTCCTGTTTGAGTTGTTCCTTGACTTGCGTCGTGACTCCGTCCCTTGCTTCTCCCTTCTTTGCCATCGCGATGCGCTTGGCGCGCCTTCGTCCTGCCAGAATGTGTCGCCTCGCTTCGAGTGGTGTCCTTGGCAGCAAGGGTTGGAGTTGCGGTTTCGGCGCTGGAGGGGGCCCGCTATCTCCAGTCAGAAGAGCAGCAAGTTGATGCCACATCGAGGCTGGAGCAAGATTCGGGCGAGACGCCAAACGCACTCTGGCGGGCGGCTGCGATGACGAGCCTGGCTTGGCATTCGCTGAAGGGGAGACGGCGACGAAGGTCATATAAGCATGACTGACGTATTCGCGAGCACCTGAGCGAGGATCTTCTTTGACGACGCGGACGCCCACTTCGAGGCTGCTGCCCCAAGCGCGGTTGACCGAGGCCGACAGATGGACGAGGTCGCCAAGATAGATGGGAGCGAGCAGCAACACCGAGTCGACGCTGATTGTGACGCAGCTGAGCTCGGCGTGTTTGCGTGACGAAGCACCTGCGACGACGTCAATCAGCTTGAAAAGTGCACCAGCACGGATTTTTGGAAGGGCCTCTGGGACATCTTCTGACAAGTCCGACCGACGATTGGCGAAGGAGGCTCCCGAATGGAAGGCGTTGTCGCACATTTCGACCGTGATGGGGTATGTGACCTGCACCGTGCTTTCGTCAGTCGTCTTGCCTTGCCTGGGTTGAGTCTCAGCTCCGGACGAGCTGTGTGATCTGAGCATGGACGTTGCGCTCCCCTCTCGGGTATGAAGCTGCTTTTTGTTGCTGCTCTCCGCACGGTTCTGCTTTGGAGACTGGATGAGTGCCGAAGCTACGTTCAACCCCGAGCGCAGCAGAAAGAAGGCACCGACACCGACGACACCGACGGTGTAGAGCTGCGACGCGTTTGCGTCTCTCCATGATGGAGCCGACGACATCCTCGCGCCCTAGATGGTGGTGGTGAGAAGCTGAGTCGCAGTCAGAGCACTGGCGAGGCTTGGCAGTGTGGCTTTGTCTGGAATGCAGGGTCCAACACCGCAAGCGGTCATTGAGCTGTCCGACCTTCCGTCGTCCGTGCATGCATTTTCTGACGTTTGTTGTGTTTCAAGGTGTAACAGCTCGAGGAAATTGGATCGTGCCAAGCCTCAATCTCGCGTGGTTGACCGCTGATTGGCTCGCCCCTTGTCCACCTCGATCCCAACTCCGCTCTAATCAGTGTGCAGCAACAGCAGCAGCAGGCAGTAACACGCTGTCCAACATGGTCACACGGGCCAAACAACACAGCTCAACCTCTTATCTGCTGCTCCTTTCTCAGACGGCCCGACTCGTCGGTTGCGCTCGCTTATCCGCCCTTGCTTTTAGGCTCAGGGTATGCCCATGTCCCGCACTTTTGAGTGTAGCTGCGAGCCCCGACCTCTTACTCCCCCCCCCCTTTCTCTCGTCAGACAGCTTGTCCTTAACGATGCGATAGCGCAAGCGTCCCTCTTGAACCGCGTCCCGTGCCTGAACATCAGAGATTCGTAGTCCGGTCGCCTTAAATTGGCTTTCAGTACCTACCACCTGACCGAGACCGGCGTACCGACCGACCAACTCTCGATACGCTTTCGTCCCCGCCCGCCGCCTTATCCTCAACCTCGGTCCAGGCACAACACAGACACATGGCAATCGCGCGTCTTGAACGTGGACTCGTATCGAGCTGATAAGCATTCCAGCTGCCTTCCTTGTGTGCTTGTTGTGTCGACGGGCCAATTCGCCGCCTCAGACCCTTCGCGTCTGCCCTTCTTAAAGCATCCGGTGCTCTTCATCTTGACATCCCTTTCCCTTCATCGTCAGGACCATACGGCAGCAAGACGTCCCTCTGAAGTCAACGTCTCGATTCGATAAGGTCGGTCGCAATATACCCTGCAAAGCGACACTCGAGATCTCCATCAGGCATCAACATACCCCGTAGGCCCGTCATCGCTTCCTCCTCAAAATGACGGACATCAAGCAAACCACGAGCGTCCACTCGGTCATCTCGAGCGGCGCCGGTGCAGATGCCAAGCTCGCCTCGCTGGGCTACAATTCCGAGCTCAAGCGCAACCTGAGCATGTTCACCATCCTGGGTCTGAGCTTCTCCATCATTGCCGCGCCCTTTGGTCTGAGCACGGCCTTCTCGATCGCCCTCACCTGTGGTGGACCCGTGACCATCCTCTACGGCTGGCTGGTGGTCTCGCTGATCTCGCTCTGCATGGCCGCCTCTCTCGCCGAGCTGTGCTCCATGTACCCGACCTCGGGCGGAGTCTATGTATGGGCCGCCTTTGTCTCGACCAAAAAGTGGGCCCCCTTGACATCGTGGATCGTGGGCTGGGTCTCTCTCGTCGCCAACTGGACCCTGTGTCTCTCGATCAACTTTGGCGGCGCTCAACTCATCATGGCGGCCATCTCGCAGTTTAGGGGCAACGAGTGGGCGCCCGAAGCTTGGCAGACCATCCTCACCTTCTGGGCGTGCATGCTCATCGCCGCCGTCGTCAACGCTTACGGCGTCAAGTACAATTACCTGGATCGCCTCAACACGTGGAGCTTCTACTGGACCGCCGCGGGCACCGTGATTATCGGCATCACCATCCTGGCGCGCGCCAAGGACGGGAGGAAGGATGCCGAGTTTGTGTTTGCCGGGTGGGAGAACTCGTCGGGGTGGCCGGATGGGTGGGCGTTCTTTGTTGGGCTGCTGCAGGCCGCGTACACGCTGACGGGGTACGGAACCGTCGCGGCGCTGTGCGAGGAGGTGGCCGAGCCGGAAAAGCAGGTGCCCAAGGCGATCGTGTGGTCCGTCGTCGCAGCCAGCATCACCGGTTTCGTCTACCTCATTCCGGTGCTATTTGTTCTGACTCCGGATGCTGCGGATCTGCTCTCGACGGCGGCAGGGCAGCCGATCCCCGTTCTGTTCTCACTCGCCACAGGTTCGGCGGGTGGCGGCTTTGGTCTGCTGTTCATCATCCTCGGCGTATTCGCTTTCGCAGGCATTGGTTCGCTCACCGTCGCCCTCCGCTGCACCTGGGCCTTCGCCCGTGACGGCGCGATCCCAGGCAGCAAATACTGGGCCAAAGTCAACAAGTCGCTCGACCTCCCCCTCAACGCGCTCATCCTCAGCACCGTCGTCGTCTCGCTCCTCGGTCTCATCTACCTCGGAAACACCGCCGCCTTTTCGGCCTTCACCGGCGTCGCCACCATCTGCCTCAGCATCAGCTACGGCATCCCCATCGTCATCGCCATGTTCCGTCGCCGCAAGATGCTCGAAGGCGCCCCCTGGAACCTGGGCCGGTTTGGATACGTGATCAACGCGATCACGTTTGTGTGGATCGTGCTGGCGACCGTGTTGTTCTGCATGCCCACGGCCAAGGATGTCACGGCACCGACGATGAACTATGCGAGCGTGGTGTTTGCCTTCTTCTTTGTGCTCAGTGCGGCTTGGTGGTTCGCATGGGGCAGTCGGCACTATGTTGGTCCGCTCGGTGCTGCGCCGGAGGACGCGGTTGCGCAGATCAGGCCGGAGCACGCCCATGCGGCGCATAAGGAGGACGCAAAGCCGACGGTGGAAGTCGCCAGCCACAGCTCGGAGGAGAAGTAGAGGCGGCTAGCTTGATGCCCTTGTACATGAATGTCAACGACTTGAAACGTGTCCGAGAGCCACGGAGTGATGCGTGTGTGATGTTCTGAGAATGCTGGACTGAGATTGCGTGACAGAGATGCGAGTGCCTAGTCGGACGAGGCGAAGAGGATCTGACCTCGATGTGTGAGCGTGGCAAAGCTGGAGCGCGAGTCGACTTCGTCGATGGATCTATTGTCGCCGATGCAGTCAGTCAGATGAGGGGCAAATGGTGTCAGCTGCGCTGGTCTCGGCTACAAGGCGATGACGATTGGTCGACTCACTTTGTGCGCATCTCACTGGCCCAGGTGACGTTCTTGAGCGGCAACGCTGTGAGTGCGATGCCGGTGAGGATGACCACGAAGGATACGAGTGTCTCGAGCGTGATCTGCAGGTCGTCGACAGGTGTATCAAGGCAACGTTGGGATCAGCATGCACGTCTCGGTGGACGTCGTTGTGGTTCAAGACTTACATCGATGGGCATCGATTTGGCTTCTGCACCGACAAGGCCGAGCGACTTCCTCAACGAGAGGTGCTCATATGTCGAGTATGCGGCGTGCAGAAACACAACTGTAGCAGTTACAGTGTAGCGGAAGAGGTGATTGTACAGTCAGCATCTGTCGTCCTAGATGGGCTGGGCGATTGCTTCCTAGCAGCGTCGCAAGGACTGAACCTACTTGTGCCGAATGTGAGGAGCAGCTTGCCGGCGGCGGTCATGGTGAATTCGTAGTGCAATTGTTCGTCGCTGATGCTGGAACGTCGCCTTGTTCGAATGCCGCGCAGGTCCTGGGTCAGTGTCGTGATGGCGCGTGTGGTTGCGAGATGCTTCGAGTGATCTAGGGAAGCAAAAGCGCTATCTGTCAGGTGTTGGTCCCGGCGCATCACGCGAAGAGCTCGAGTCAGATCGGGACAGGTTGCGCAACTCTTGACCCGATTTTGCAAGCCTGACACGGCCTAACATTCAGCCTCGAAGCTGCACCCTCGCTCTTTTAGCCGATGCATGAATTGCCAGAGGGACGTCAACGATCGGCACTTCATTCTTAACGTAAGCTGTCCGACACAAGTCGATCCCAGAAGGTGCTTCCGAAGCTAGACATTGCTTGCATGAAAGCAGACGCCGGACGCCCAGGCGCTGACCCGCTCTGCTTCTGCAGATCCGGTGTTGCTTTGCCCAGCATGTGGGAATGACAGGTCGAGAGGAACGGCCTCCACTATCGTGAACGTCCTGGATGGCCTCATCGTCGGAGTCCGGAACCATGATGGTGTCCTCTTATAGTCCGCAGGACAAGCCGTGGTCCGTCCTTGCTGCCCACACACATCCGTCAACCTCATTCCGTAGAAGCTGAGCCCAACCACGCTCGTTTCCTCCCACCTAGACCTTGTCTGCGTCGCTGCGGAACCGTCTCGGATCCACACCATCCGTCCTCCTGCCGTCACACATCATCACATCGAGAACACCACCGTCGAGTTGCAACGATGTCGAAGTCCGCCCGCGTCCTGTACTGGTTCCGCACCGATCTGCGGCTGCACGACTCCCCCGCACTGCAAGCTGCGCTCGACCTGAAACCCGCGGCCCTCTTCCCTGTATGGTGCTGGGACCCGAACTACGTCTACAAGCACCGCGTCGGCATCAACCGCTTCCGCTTCCTGCTCGAGTCCATGACGGATCTCTCGTCGAACATCACATCCACCCAATCCAAGTCCCAGCTGCTGGTTGTTCGCGGAGAACCCACAGAGCTCCTCCCCGAACTGTGGAAGCGATGGAACATCACCCATCTGGTGATCGAGAAGGACCCCTCTGCGTACGGACGTCGACGTGATAGGCTGATTCTGGAGGCGGCCAAAAAGAGCAAGGTCGAAGTGGTAGCTGTTCAGGGTCATCATTTGTTTGATCCCGAGGAGGTGACGAAGAGGAATAAGGGCAAGCCGACCATGGCGATGAGTACGTTGCAGAAGATCGTGGCGGATATGGGGGCTGTACCGAAACCTATTGATGCGCCGAAGGATCTGCCGCTGCCCAAATTGAAGGACTCGAAGGCGAAGAATCTCAAAGATACGCTCAAGGAGCTGGCGAAGAGTCTGGATGGGTTGCCGCACTACACGGGCAAGGGACGCGAAGGGCCGGCCTCTGTGGATCTCAACTCTACCGAACTCGGCGGGCAGCGGGACAAGAAGGTGACCTGCTACGATACCGTCACGGGCGAGGCATCTGATCTGTTCAGCGTCCCCACGCTCGAATCGCTCGGCATGGACCGTAGCAAGATCCGTGAAACCATCAAGGGAGGCGAAACCCTCGCACTCGAACGCCTCGCAAAGATCTGCAAGGACGCCGAGTACATTGCCACTTTCGCGAAACCCAAAACGTCCCCTGGTCAATCGGCGGAGGACCCATCGACAACGCTCATGTCGCCCTACCTCAAGTTCGGCTGTCTCTCCGTACGCAAGTTCTGGTGGGACGCCGAAGAGGCCAAGAAGAAGTACAAGGGGGGCAGTGCTACAGGTCCACCCGAGAACCTTAATGGGCAGCTGTTGTTTCGCGACATGTACGCGTGTGCGGAGCATGCGATCGGTGATGCGTTCCAGGTGATCCGTGGTAACTCTGCTTGTCGGTACATCGACTGGTATTGTCCTACTGCCTATGACAAGGATGGCCAAGTCATTCTCCCCCGGCCACCGGGTGATGCGGTGAGCGAAGCCCGTCTTTCGGCATACAAACTTGGGCAAACGGGTTTCCCATGGATTGACGCGTTGATGCGTCAGCTTCGCCTCGAGGGCTGGATGCACCATCTCGGTCGTCATTCCGTCGCCGCCTTCCTCACGCGCGGTCAATGCTGGATCTCCTGGGAGCGCGGGGCCGAGATCTTTGACGAGTACCTCATCGACTGGGACCCGTGTTCGAACCCGGGCAACTGGATGTGGCTCTCCTGCTCAGCCTTCTTCACCCAGTACTTCCGCCTCTACGGCCTGATCACGTTCGGTCAAAAGTACGACAAGACCGGCGCCCTCATCCGCAAGTACTGTCCGGAACTTAAGAACTTTCCGGACAAGTACATCTACGATCCGTTCAACGCGCCCAAGGACGTGCAGCAGAAAGCGGGGTGCATCATCGGCAAGGACTATCCCTTCCCAATGTTGGACGAGAAGGAGACCAAGAGCGAGAACATGCAGCGGATGAAGATCTGTTACCAGGCCAACCTGCACGGTGCGGATAAGGAGGTGATGAACGGCACGGCCGAGGCGATGTTGCGGAAGAAGCATGGGTTTAAGGAGCCAAAGGAGTTTGATTGGGCGAATCGACCCGGTGCGAAGATCCCCGATTGGGCCAAGGCGCCCGAGGGAGAGGAGCACACTACGGAGGGCGCACCAAGTGGTGGCAAGAAGGGTGGGGCCAACGTGAAGAAGGAGGAGGAGCACGATTCGGACGACGACGTGCTCGGTCAGGAGGACGAACACAAGGAGGAACGCGGGACCAAACGAAAGGGTGCCACGGCTGCCAAGAGCGAGACCGGCAAGAACAAGAAGAAGAAATAGATGCCTGTATTTTGGATAGATGCTTTGATGTACAATGCTTTGAACGGAGGATCGTGTTTCGGTATCATAGGATTGTGTTCAGGTATCATGAGGGTGTGAGAAAGGAGGATGGAGAGGGGTGGAGGAACAAATGTGACGCCCGTATCTGTGCACACCACTCTGAGAGCTGATCGTGGCCGCTCAATCGAAGGCGTCTTTGAAGTCTGGGAAACTTGGATCCGGCAAGCCGGAGTGGGAATGGTTTGATCTAGGTCGTGGAGATCTGACACACGCAGTCCGTCTAGCAGCTATACCCGTCGCTGTGAAGAGATTGTGAAGCAGCGAAGAGGATGTGCTAGACGGAGATATATTTGCGTGATGCTCCCGTTGACCGTGTGTGTAGGAGCGAGATGGGGACAGGAGAGTTGACGCGAGCCTCAGAAACGGAACTTGGTAGTCCTTGGACACAGAGATGATGTTGCGGGTATGCAGATTGCAAGAGTTACTGTTACAGATGGACGGATTATAGCGAAGAGTAAGATGTTCACCGACCAGCGGTGACAGCTGCTGACTTGGCCAACGTCACACCGTCCTTACTTGCTGGTGGAGGAGCTGAGGCGGCGGCACCAAAGACGATGCGATCGATGCGGGCGTCAAAAGCTGTGCTCTTGATCTGTCTGCAGTTGACAGGAACACTGAGCTGCTGTCTCTGTCGCAGCTCGTCTTGCGCTTTCGCCACTGTTTCCGTGTCTCCTTCTGCGCCCGCAAAAGACGTTGGCGGCAACGCGTGGAACGGATTGGCCGAGTACTTGAGATAGGAGGTATACACCGCCCGAAACAAGGTGAGCATGTCGATGTCCCGCACCGCGTAGTCCGTCAGCGAGAGCATAATGAGAAAGCGAAGCTTCGTGCAGGTCTGGAAGCCATAGATGGCCAAGTCTTCGAGTGTGTAGAGCAGGCCAAGGTACTGCTCCGCGTTGGCGCGTGATGCGCCACTGCGCTCGTCCATCACATCTAAGGCGGCATGAGCGAAGTAGTGGTATCGAAGGTCTGCTGCGGTGGACTCTGCTGGTGTTTTGCCGAACTGGCGGACGTAGATGGGCCCGCTCTTTGGCGAGACGATCGCAATTGCTTGCTGCTCGACAGGATGGAATGTCGTCAGACGGTCAGCTTCGTGACTGCAGTTGACATGGCTGGCTATGCACTCACTATCCTCGGTGCTGAAGTCGACATATTGGTTGGTCTGCGGCGATGGTGTTAGCTGTCAGGGTCGTGATTGCTGGTCCACCTGGTGCGACTTGCAAGATGATGGTTTGAGCGCAGTCGGGAGATGCCAGTCTGCGATGTAACATTGGTTTTTAAATGTAAGTATGGGCTGGACGACACCCGCCGCCACCATTCAGTCTACCGCGCATTCTTCCATTTTGAATCACGCAGGGAAGAGGTCACCCTAATGGTGCTGGTGACAGCTGTCACCGGAACATGTAGGCTTGCGATGATGTTAGTGCTTGATGCTGCTCTCTAGTCGTTGTCCCTACGAGCCGGTAAAAGCGAATTGGACCGAATTCTTCTACGTCACGCCGCGCCAACGAAGGTAGAGCCGAGGCAAACAGAGATAGCGGAGAAACGGTCGAGCCACAATTTTAATAAACTGAAAAAAGTTTGGAATCTTTTCGGGTCTGTGCTCTGAAACCTTCATTTTAAGGCTTATCTCGAACACCAGCTGCTGCTGCCGCTCCACAGTGTGGCGGCCAATCGAGACAAAGACATTCTAAACACATACACCAGATTTGTCCTTCCGCCTCCTTCTTCCACTCACACCACCACCACATCCCTCATCGCACACACAATCAACATGGCCACCGCAGAACAGAAGAAGTTCGTCTCCCAGATCGACGCCAACAAGGCTGCCCTCATCGACCGTCTCGCCGAGGCCGTCTCGATCCCCTCGGTCTCTGGTGATGCTGCCTACCGCAAAGCATGCTTCGACATGGCCGACTGGCTCCTGGCTGAGCTCAAGAAGCTCGGTGCTACCGCCGAGCTCAAGCCTCTAGGCAAGCAGACGCTCGAGGGCAAGGAGATCGACCTGCCACCCGTCATTCTCGGCGACCTGGGCAAGGACCCCAAGAAGAAGACCATCCTCGTCTACGGCCACTTTGACGTTCAGCCCGCTCTCAAGTCCGACGGTTGGGACACCGAGCCTTTCAAGCTGATCACCGACGAGAAGACCGGTCGCATGTACGGTCGCGGCTCTACCGACGACAAGGGTCCCATTCTCGGCTGGCTCAACGCCATCGAGGCTCACCAGCAGGCCGGCCTCGACTTGCCCGTCAACCTCAAGTTCTGCTTCGAGGGTATGGAAGAGAGTGGCTCGGTCGGTCTCGACGAGCTTATCGCCGCTGAGAAGGACACTTTCTTCCAGGGCGTCGACGCTGTTTGCATCTCGGACAACTACTGGCTCGGCACCAAGAAGCCTTGCCTCACCCACGGTCTTCGAGGTATCGCCTACTTCAAGCTCGCCATCTCGGGCCCCGCTCGCGACCTCCATTCTGGTGTCTTTGGCGGTGTTGTGCACGAGCCCATGACCGACCTCTTCACCATCATGTCCAAGCTCGTCACTGCCAAGGGCGAGATCCTGATCCCCGGCATCAAGGAGCTCGTTGCCCCTCTGACCGATGAGGAGGCCAAGCGATACGATGTCATGGACTTTGTTCTCAGCGACATCGAGGGCGCTACCGGCAGCAAGACGACTGTCAGCAACGACAAGGCCGCCGTGCTCATGGGTCGCATGCGATACCCCTGTCTCTCGCTCCACGGTATCGAGGGTGCCTTCTCCGAGCCCGGCACCAAGACTGTCATCCCCGCCAAGGTGGTCGGCAAGTTCTCGCTCCGTCTCGTGCCCGACATGACCCCCGACAAGGTCAAGGAGCTGGTGGAGAAGTACATCAACGACGAGTTTGCCAAGATTGGCAGCAAGAACACCATGACGCTCACCGCCGAGCACGGTGGCAAGCCGTGGCTCGCCGACCCCAACCACTGGAACTACGAGGCGGCCATCAAGGCTACTGAGACCATCTACGGCGTCAAGCCTGATCTCACTCGTGAGGGTGGTTCCATTCCTGTTACGCTCACGTTTGCCGACCTGCTGCAGAAGAACGTGCTGCTGCTGCCGATGGGCAGGAGCGACGACGGCGCGCACTCGATCAACGAGAAGCTCGACATCTCCAACTATATCGAGGGCACCAAGCTGCTCGGTCTCTACCTGCACGAGGTGGCCGCTACTGCTTAAGCAGTCGCACCAACGCTAGACTCCCATACACAATTTGCATAGCAATAAGAACGATTCGGACGATCATTGTGATGCTCGCACCGCCCATGGCGCTTGAAGTCTGCATGCACTGCGCTTGAAGAAGTTCGCAAAGGGATCTGAGCGTGTCTTTTCTGCAGCCGACATAAATTTCTTCCGCCGAAGCTCAAGCACACAGTCATCGACATGCTCTGACCCCTTCTCGATCGGTGTAAGCAGACGCTCGACCCCACCGAGTCAGGTGTTCATGTGATGCGCGGAGCCAAGCTTGGTCGACCGAGCGCTTGTCTGTGCAACGGGCGGCTAAGCGTGCAGCTCGCAGACTCGCCCGGTTTTGTTTTTGTTTTCTTTTCGAATTTTTAATTTCTTTTTATCGTGCAGAAATTTCTGGATCGTCGACTGCAGCCGCGTGCGTGGCTTTTATCTTTGGCATCTGCAGCCTGCAGCCGCTCTCTTCGGTCCAATCAGCGCCCGCAGCCTCATTGTCTGCACCGCTCCACCACCACCTGCAGCCGCAAGTTTCTGGACCCCACATACAATCACGCTGCCGAGGTTGCACTGAGAGTCAAGCCTTGGCAACGCCCTATCAGTTGTGCATTCGCTTCATTGGTCCTTGACATCACACTATCATCACCACGACCTAAGGAACCGAACACGCAGCATAGACAAACTCCAGCCACGGCGACACACGCTCGACTCCGCACGCCTGCCAGCTCCGTCGCCGTTCCCCACCATCATCGCAGCTAACGGTACCGGCTCGTACCTCACCCAGAGTGAGATTGTCAAGGAGGAGCATACACCCCGACGCCTTTCCATAGAATGCTTCTACACCCATAACCTGGAACGATGCCCTCACGAACCAACAAAGGCATCCCCGTCCCCCGCGATGCGGCGCGCGGTCGATCCGGCGACGGCCAGCAAGCTGCCTGGCGTTCCAGTCTCGATCTCGTCTGGTCCTATTCGCGCTCCCAAGCCTTCTACGGCAACAACATTGCTACCTCCCCCTCGTTCGTCGAGCGCCGATGGGCGGGACAGGACCTCGAAGAAGCGGATAGCATCTACGAGGATGACGAAGAGTTTACCGATGAGGAGGACGACTATGCGAGCACATCGCAGAGTCGAGCTTCGGATGCGGGTACCGACACGGCGTCGATGGCGAGCGATGCGCGGTTCGGACCCGAGGAGGAGTTTGAGTGGGAGGGCGAGCTGCCGCCGAACGCGGTGCAGAGGACGAGAAGGCGGAGCAAGGCGAGGGATCGCAGATTGGAGCAGCTCGAGAGTGCGGATGAGGACGAGAGGAGTCGGAGTCGGAGTAGGAGCCCCAAGCGGCTGAGCGGCGTGAAGGATCGCGTTCCCGGCAAGGCGGATCCGAGTCGACGCTCGCAGCTTTCCACAGCTAGTGAGGTGTTGAGGGACCCGTTCGCGGATGATGCCGAGGAGGGCAGCGGGAGCAAGGATTCCGAAGTGACACCGCTCATGACGCAGGCCAATTCGACAAGACGCAAGTCGAGCGGCTACGGTACGATACGACGCACCTCCGAATCAGGTGCCCTTTCCACTCGCTCCGGCGACTCGAACTACCCTCCACCTGATCTGGGCAACAGCACGCTCCTCCAGTCGTGGTTCAACACGGTCAACGCCCTTGTCGGCGTAGGCATCCTCGCTCTTCCCCTCGCATTTTCCTATGCAGGTTGGGTCGGCGGCACACTTCTCTTCCTGGTCTGCGGCCTACTCACCAACTACACAGGCAAAGTTCTCGCCAAGATCATGTCCAAGGAGCCCTCTCTCCGCACCTACGCCGATATCGGGAGCTACGCATTCGGCCCGTCTGCGCGCGTGCTCATCAGCCTCTTCTTCTGCCTCGAGCTGTGGGCGGTCTCGGTCGCGCTTATCATCCTCTTTGGCGACTCAATGAGCGCCATCTTCCCCAACGTCGCACCGGCAGCATTCAAGATGCTTGGCTACGCCGTGGTGCTACCCTCCGTGTTTCTGCCGCTCAAACTCCTTTCGCCCATCTCGGTCATCGGCATCGTATCCACCTTCACCCTTGTGGTCGTCGTCATCAGCGATGGGCTGATCAAGCACCATGCGCCAGGATCGCTCTTCGAGCCGGCACCGACCACGCTCGGCCCACGCTGGTCGCGATTGCCCCTCAGCTTTGGGCTGATCATGTCGGGCTTTTCGTCACATCCGATCATCCCTTCGCTGGTGCGCGACATGAAGGACCCATCCAAATTCCCGAGGATGCTCAACCTCGCCTACGCCGCCGCCACCGTGCTGTACCTCAGCATGGGTATGGTTGGCTACGCCATGTTCGGTATGGGCGTTAGCGACGAGATCACCAAAGACCTGGCCAGGACGCCCGGGTTTCCGAGGGTGCTTAACAGTGTAGCCATCTGGTTGATCGTGGTCAATCCGCTGAGCAAGTTTGCGCTTGCGACGCGACCGATTCAGACGACGTTTGAGATTTTGCTCGGGGTGGACGAGCAGATTGCCTTGCGGGTTCGGTCCAAACGGAGGAGGAGTTCGGCTGCCATTGCGTCCGGAGTCAAGGCACCGAATGGAGAGAGCAACGTCGGGACGGAGTCCAACGGGGATGGTGGGAGTAGCAAGGCTACGGATCAGGAGAGCGCGACGACGGTCGAATCGACAACCGCGCAACGAGTCTCGTTCGCCAGTCCATCCAGCCCCACACCCACCACGCCGATCGCGGACGACAACCCCCTCGCCAACTCCTCTATCAGCCTTCGAGCCGCCTCCCGCACCTCCGGGCTCACCCCTCGCACCCGCTCCATCCTCCGCTTCACCCTCAAGATCGCCCTCACATTGCTCATCGCCCTCACCGCCGTAGTGCTGCCCGGGTTCGAACAGGTCATGGCCTTCCTGGGCGCCTTTCTGGCGTTTGCGACGTGCGTCTTCGGACCCCTGTTGGCCAATCTCAGGTTGTTCGGCAAGGAGATGCGCGCGTGGAGGGTTGGGGTGGATGTGATCATTCTGGGTGTGAGTGGGGTCATGGCGGTCACAGGGACCATTTGGGCGTTCTTATAGGAAGTGCAATGGAAGACATTCACATGCGTTTGCAGACATCGGGAATGTGTGATGTGTGAAAGAGTGTGTATTGCAGTGAGGGGATTAGAGTTTGGTATGTTCCAACCCGGCCCAGCGTCTCATCAATGGAGGGCTTAGCATCGGCAATCCTCCGTTGGGCATGACGCTTGGTCCAGCCCCGTCATTACCCATCGCTGCTGTGCCAACCGGCCCCGCTGCTGCCGCGGCATATCCTGAGCTTGGGAAAAGCGCATGGCGCTGCTGCTGCATAAGAATCTGATGGATCTGCATCCGCACTGCGTGCAGTCCGTGCCGCAGGCTCGCCACCTCCTCCTGCACCCGGCCAGCGTCGAATCCCGCTTTCACAGCTGCAATGTGTCCCTCCTCCGTGCGCTTGTCCAGGCTCGACAGGCCAGAACTCAAGCCGGCGACGGACGCAGTGAGGGAGGAGAGCGCCGCGTCGAGGTTGCGACTGTCCATCGGATCGTTTTCCGGGTGAGGCGGGGGGATGGGAGGGAAGTTGTACCCGACGGGAGAGAGCGAGGTAGCGACAGAGGAGTCGAGTGGTGTGAGTAGCGAGCGTCGCGTTGTGTCCGTGGGGCTGAGGTACGATGCGCGTTCCCGCGATGGTGAGGGCGAACCACCCAGAGCAGATGTGCTGTTGGGCATGGATCGAGCTGTCGGTGGTGCAAGGTATCGCGCCGGTGCCTCTTCCGGCATCGCCGCTTGGGTGGTACTGCTCGGTCTGTGCGGCTGCTGCGATCTCGATAGATCGGCAGGCGAGAGATCCGTATACTGCCTCCTCGCCCACGTCGCCAGATCCATGCTCGATATCGCCGACGCACTCTGCGTGCGCGCCTGCCGCATGCCAAAGCTCTGCTGGCTGAGCGACCGCTCCCAGTTCTGAGCATCCAAGGGGAACTCGTCCCACTCGCCGTCGACGCCAACCTGAGAACCTCGTGCCCGCGGATCCAGGCCTGCAGCACGCAGCTCGCCCGCCGATCGATACCAGCTGCCGAGACTGTGGATACAGTCGTCGATGCGACGCGCGGAACCGTGCTGTCTCGCCTCCATCTCGTCGAGCTTGGCTTTGAGAGCGGCATTCTCGTCGGTGAGCGAGTGGACGTGCTGGGTGAAGACACTGAAAAACGCTTTGATGGGCTCGAAGCGACACTCGTTCTCGAGATGCGTCTGTGCGGTGCTTTTGGATGCTGTGTCGGGATTGCTGGAGAGTCGGTGACGTGGTCCCTTCCAGACGCATCCAAACGCCGAATGCGGACAGAGCACCGGCGCATCCTGACATTCGTCGGCGATGTGGGCCGCTAGTCGACTCTTGATCGTGCTGAGGTCGCAATGCTCGCACACGGCGGGCTCGGGTGAGCAGGTCTCTTGATGAACTTCAAGCTCGTCAGCGCAGAGGCCCGCATCGCAAGTTGGACAAGCGATTCTGCGCTTGGGACAGACGAGGCCGTGGGAAGCCCAGTCTTTGCGCATGACTTTGGCCGAGCATCCGCAGCGCTTCCCTTCGGTCTGGTTCTGATCGACGTACTCGAAGGCACATTCGGACGCGACATGCCCTCGAAGTAGGTGCCGCTCGCATTCGTAGTCGCAGCCCTTGCTCTTGTTGGGACAGCGTACTCGCAGCGTATCGACCATGTTCTTGATGAGCAACGCGGTGGGCTGGAAATCCGCAAGGTCGACTGCCGTCCTGCACGTCGGACAGCGCTTGGCTGCAGCAGCTACAACGGCATCCGCTCCGTCTTCTCCTTCAGTTTGCGAGGTGATAGCCGTGGTAATGCACTGCTTGCAGAAGGTGTGTGCGCAGACATTGGAAGCGTACGGTTCGAGAAAGGGCCCCAAGCAGATGGGACAGTGTAGAAAAGCGCTGATGCGAGTATCGTCATCGACGTAGTTGAAGCAGTCTCCGGTGGTCCACGAGAGCTGTTGAATGCCGCTGCTCATGTTGCTGCCTTCGGAGCGTTGGCTCATCGACGATGTGGCTCGGGAACGAACGGGTCGCGACCGGCTAGAGCGCGTTCCTGAGGATCTTCTGCGTGACATGGCCGGCGATGTGGCCGTCCGCTGGGAGGCGGATGCGCCGGAGCTCGGCCCTGCGTCGGACGCTTCCGGCATGATCTGCAGAGTGCCCGTAGAATGATAGCTTGGACGTGGATGGAGAAAGAGAGCAGCGGATGGATGTGGTGTCGAAGCAAAAAGGATGGACTGGCTTATCGGCGATGCACGCTTCCGGCAAGGTGCAGCAGATGCGGGGATCTGCCTGGACCCTGTCGGTGTGAAAGGGAGCATAATTTCATCGATTCATTCAACGATAGATGTAACAATTACTGGGTAATTTGACCTTTGCCTCCACCCCAGTCACATGCACGATCTTCTGCGCGGTCTTCTGCACGCTGACGTTGAAATCGGAAAGCCCGTTGCAATGAAAATGCTCAGCGCGGGGCTCCCGACCATGCTCTCGCTACGCCCCTGTGACTTTGCTGCACGCCCGCTTAGCCACGAAGGCTGTGTGATTGATGCAGAGCACACGCTGCAAAGCGGTGCACACGACGACGCCAAGCCAGCGATGTCGGTGCCCACTCCGAATGACGTTTGTTTCCCACAGCCAGCAGCTTGACAACCGGCGTCTTCTTGCTTCTCAATTTCCTCCATGCGCATCGTGCACGGCCTTTTGCGAATCTTTTTTGTGCAAGATGACAGTGACGGGAGTCCAAAGAGGCCAAGCACGCACGCATGGTTAGCCTGTCAGTGTTCCCGAAACGCGTGGGAAAGAGCGAGCTGAGCAAACCCTGTCAAGGTGGCTTCGGTCTCGCCTATCGATTGCTGAGTGTTCTGGACACTTTGCTGGCTTGAGGGCTGCTGTCATCCTGCCGCTGTTGCTTCGACTGAGTCTGAATCGAGAAGGCAGCTCCTCGCCTGGCTATCTTCCGAGGGTCAGCACCTTCTGCCATCGTCGACTTGATCGCATGAGCTGGCATCTCCTCCTCCCTTTCTTTTTGATCTCCATCGACCTTCTCCTCGTCGCTTCCACTCCCCCTATCTCCCCTCTCCACCCCTTCCATCGTCAAGGAAAGGAAGCTCATTTGGCAAGAACCTGTGGCCCACCATGTCGAGCCACCACCCTGGAGAAGGCTGGTCGGAGCGCAACCCCGTCCCCACCGTCCAGCAGTACCGCGATGAGCAGGAGCAACGTCTCCAGCATCAAGAAGACCTTCGACGCGATGCTTCCAAGGCCAACGGCTCCCAGCTCGCCAACACCGACGCCGATGAGGCGACTCCTGCCTATCCATCGGCCACCTCTTCCGGCACGGATCCCACCAACTCGGATGGTCTCAGGCAGCGAAAGGGTGCCTCGGGTGCCGGCGCAACCGCTCCCAAGACCGACACGGTCGACCAAGCTCCCGGCGGCGGTGCCGAGGAGAAGGAGCGCATCAAGCAGGCCCAGATGCCAAAAGGCAAGGCCAACGAGTTCGAAGAAAAGGGCGAGCGCGTCGTCACTGACCCCGTCACGGGCGGCGACGTCCAGATTCGCGACGCTTCTGAGAACGCCAAGATCAGCCCGGACAAGCTCGACTCGCGTTACGGCCCTGGCTTCTCCACCCACGTCCCCAAGGACCCCTCGAAGCACTCGCAGCTTCACACCTCACCCTACCCCGCCGAGCCCTCCAACGGTCTGCTGTATCGCTTCCCCGAGCCTGCCGACAGTGACATCATCAAGGGCATGCAGTCGGCCTTCAACCAGCTCGCCATCGGCCTCGGCGCCTCGCTCGCCCTCATCTGGTTCTTCTTTGCGTTTGGAAATGGCTGGTGGAAGTTCCTCGTTCGCACCTCGATCCTCGTGGGTGTCGGCTTCTGCGGCTGGACCGGTCTCCATCTGCAATCACGCAAGATCGAGAAGGAGCACGACGCCATCCGTGCAGAAATGCACAAACAGCGTGGAGAGAAGCTCACGCCGCCCATGCCGGAAAGTGTCGAGTGGCTCAACGCTGCTATTGCCTGTATCTGGAAGCAAATCAACCCGGACATGTTCATCGGCATGGCCGATATGGTCGAGGACATCATGCAGCAGTCTCTGCCCGGTTTCGTTGATGCCGTCAAGATCGACGACATTGGCATAGGAGAAAACCCCTTCCGCCTCGTCGCCATGCGCGGTCTGTCGGATATGATGAGCGACAAGGAGTATCCGCGCGAAGAATGGATCGACCAAGGCAAAAAGGACGAGCTCAAGAAAGAAGCCGACAAGGAGAAGGAGAAGAACAAGGACAAGGACAGCCAGGCCAAGAAGGAGCTTGACGCGACCGAAGACGCTGACGGCGACGGAGTCGCAGACGACGACGAGTCCGGCGACTTCCTCAACTACGAGATCTCGTTCAGCTACTCTGCTCGCCCCGGTCAGTCCAACAAGGACCGAGCGAAGAACATCCACCTGATGATCGAGTTCTTCGTCGGCGCCTACGACCTCTTCCAGATTCCCCTCCCTATCTGGATCCAGATCGAGCACATCTCGGGCACCATTCGCCTGCGCGCCCAGATGGTGCAGCAAGCGCCTTACATCCGCAACCTGACCTTTACGCTCATGGGCGTTCCCAAGGTCGAGATCTCGGCCATTCCCATGCTCAAGGCCCTTCCCAACGTTCTGGACCTCCCACTCATCTCTGGGTTTGTTCAGTCTTCGATCGCTGCTGCCGCCAACATGTACGTCGCACCCAAGAGCATGACGCTCAACATGGCACAGATGCTCTCCGGTGACGGAATCAAGAAGGACACCGACGCCGTCGGCGTGCTCGTCGTCGACATCGAGTACGGCGAGGGTCTCTCTGCTCAGGATGCCAACGGCAAGAGCGACCCATACGTCGTTCTGTCGTTTGCCAAGTTCGGTCGTCCGTTGTACAGCTCGCGTATTATCTTCGAGGACCTCAACCCCGTGTGGCAGGAGACGGCGTTCCTGCTGGTCAGCAAGGACGACATTCGCGCCAACGAGTCGCTCTCCATTCAGCTTTGGGATTCCGATGCCCGTACCGCCGACGACATTGTCGGTCGTGTCAACAAGCCCATCAAGGAGCTCATTCGCGATGCTAACCACCCTCAGGACAGGAAGGACAAGTTGATGGGCTTCGAGGACGCTGACGACATGCCCGGTGAGCTCAAGTGGAAGGTGGCGTTCTACGAAAAGGCCGACTTCAACAAGGCGCTCGTACCCAAGAAGAAGGAGGAGGACATGACGCAGGTCGAAAAGGAGACGAAGCGCGAGGCGTCGGCGATCGACTCTGTGGACGAGAAGATCGCCCTCCACTGCCCTCCCGACCCGGAGTACCCTTCGGGCATCCTCAGCATCATCGTCCACCACATTGCCGGCCTCGAGAACCGCGATGTCGAAAAGGGGGTCATGGGCAAAGAGCGCGAGGGAACCGCAGGTCAGGACGTCGATGCCAAGGCTGGCGAAGGCAAAGCTCTTCCCTCTGGCTATGTCGAGTTCATCGTCAACGACGACATCATCTACAAGACGCGCGTCAAGCAGTACACCAACATGCCGTTCTACGAGGCGGGCACCGAGACGTTCGTCCGCGACTGGACGCGCACCGAAGTGCGTCTTGCCGTGCGTGACGCCCGTCTGCGCGAACACGATCCCATCATGGGCATCGTCTCGATGGACCTCACCGAGGTGTTCAGCGAGAGCTCGCAGGTGACCCAGTCGTTCTCGCTGCAGGATGGTGTTGGGTTCGGCAAGGTGCACTGTAGTCTGGTGTTCCGCAGCATCAAGGCGCAGCTACCCAAGAACCTGCTCGGATGGGACACCGCCACCGTCGAGCTGCTGTCCGAGATCGAGATCGAGGGTGACGAGTCGCTCAAGTCCAAGAAGATCAAGGTCTCCACCGGAGACGACACGCAGAAGATCCGTCCCGGCGAGCAAGTGCCGGAAGACGCCAAAGCCTTGGTCCGACTTCCCGTGTACGACCGCTACAGCTCGCTGCTGACGTTCGACCTCGGCGGTGGCGGCCTCAGCGTGGGCCCGCTCAACGCCAAGCCGGACGCCATCGCCGTCGCCGCCCTGCGCGACATCCCCGATGGCGAAGTCGTCGAACTCGAACTCGACCTCGTGGCCGGCAGCAACCTCGGCACGCTCAAGCGCAACTACATCAACGACCAGACGCGCAAGACGCACAATTTTGAGGTGGTCGGCAAGCTGCGCGTCAAGGTGCGCATCGATGCAGGTCTCGACGATGATCACCTGCGCCTGGTGGAGCGCACCACGGGCAGGAAGGACAAGCACGAATTCGATGTCTACAACCGACTGGAGGGCATGCCCAACCGGGCGGTGGAAAATTCGCATGCGAATGACGACGGTGTCGTGGACAGGAAGGAGCAGAAGCAAATTGACAGGAGCAAGAAGGAGGCGCTCCACTCGAGACACCGCGGTGCCATGGGGTACGGCGGGGCCAGGTCGGCCGTGTGGGCCAAAGACGGTGTCAGGGACAGGATCAGGAGGGTCAGCGCCAAGATCACGGGCAAGAAGGGCAGGGATCAGACGATCAAGTCGGAGGCCTGATCGGTCGAAGCACTCGCAGCATCTTCTGTTGCGTCCCTGACCTCGCGCTGTGTTCGTTCGTTGTACGGATTCTCTCAGCTAGCAATTCACGTTTCCATCGATCGACCTCGTGTGAGTCCACCTCCAAATTGACTGTGACTCGACGTCGACCTCTCCATCCGGTGCCACATCAGCAGATCATTGGAGCGACGGTCGGACATGACGGTCTCCACTCAATCGCTCGCGGTCGGTCGTGTCGAATGTGAGTGGGTGTGTGACTCGATATCTTCGGCTAGAGCCTTATCTGACAGGCTGCCCGGGGTCTTGCTGCGGGGGGCGAAATTTAGAGCTTTTGGTCGGAAGGGTCCGTTCCGAGCTCTGTTGCATCACGCCTCACCCCACCTTTGAGGAAATGGGCAGATCCGGCGGAAAGCCCGTCGTTGTGTGTGGAAGGGCGCCGGCGGGTGCGGCTGGACCCTCCTTCGTGCGCTTCGGGAAGGTATAAAGGTCCCCACCCAATCGCACGTCCCTGTCCGATTCTCTCATCATCAATCATGTCAGCTACCACACATCCAACGTTTGACAACGCGACCTTCACCCTCCCGGTTGCGGGGACGACGCTGGTGCTGCGACCGGTGCAGCTCGCGGATGCGCCCAATTTGCGCGATCGGTGCGCGGACCCTCTCAACGTGCGCTTCCTCCCGCATCTGCAAGGCAAGGAGAACCAGACAGTGGCCGAGGTCGAAGCGTGGATCAAGACCGTCCAAGCAGGGTGGAACAAGGACAGCCTGTTCCTCGTCATCATCGACACCGCCGACGAAGGGAGAGTGATCGGCGAAGGCCCACTGGGGTATATCAACTGGGAGAAGAAGGAGTGCGAGAGCGGGATCATGATCGATCATCAGCTCGCAGGGAGAGGGATTGCCACTCAAGCGCTCAATGCAAGCATGGACTTCGCCTTCAAAGAGCTCGGGCTGGAGAAGGTCAAGTATGGGACCATGCAGGAGAACAAGGGCATGGTCAAAGTGCTCAGCGAGAAACTGAGGGTTAAAGGCAGGCCAGAAGGGAGAGCGAGGAAGGACGGGTTGGAGGAGTTCAACTTTGTTTTCACTAGGGAGGAGTGGCTGGCTGCGTGCAAGTGAGCCCCGCGATCTGACTGGAGGAGGTATCAAGGCGATTCCTCCGCATCAGTCAGGTGACGAAGTCGGAATGGACAAGAACACCCCTTGAGCAGATCTACTTCAGCCCATCGGGTCCGGGGAAAGCCCTGACCCAAGTTCTCCACAGCTACAACGCTGATTCACGATCGCGACCCCGTTAGCTCGACAGCTGCCGATCGCAGTCGAACCTTCCACTGGCGTCCTCAAGCGCTGAGCTCGACTTTAGCAGAACAGCACCGAGACTACAAGTAAAACTTCAGAGAGTTCCGCTATACCATGGCCAAGCCGCATCCTACTGGCACCGCAAAACAGACAGAGCAAGCATGGTCTCTCAAAAAAGTTGGATAGCTGAATTCAAGTAAAGTAGAATATCGATGATAGAGTGTGTTCAAGCAGACCGGAGACGAATCGCAAAGGGCTGGTCGATGCCGGCCAATGGAGACCGAAGACAGGCTGAATGCAAGATACAGACGCACACCTCTCAAAAAGAGAAGCGAGGCTGCAGCAGTCGACACAAAGCAGCCAAGGCATTGCCGTTGTCGGGCCGGTTATCCGCCACGTTGGCTTGGGCCCGGGCCCCAGGTCTTGGTGCACGCAAAGGCTGCACACGCAGCCTTTCCGCAGGCAAAGGTCGCAAAGGTTCGCCGGCCTCCCTGACGAGCTCGAAGTAGAGTCCGACCTTGGTCCACACCCGAGTGATGTCGTAGCAAAAGTCGATCAGATCTTGTTGACTCGTTCCGTGTCGAGGGGTCTTCCCTGTCTTATCAGAAAACCAGTCCGAGACAAAGTGCGTCCACAACACGAAACTCGTGCTCATCCCCTTCGCCTCGCGGAAGTCGGATGGTGAGAAGGCGATCCTTTGGCGTTCGATGAAGGCATCGATGAGGCGATGACAGGTCCGGCTGATGCACTTGAGCTCTTGCGACGCTGGATTGAATATGGTTCGGCTCGTCAATGCAACATGAGATAGGGCCATCATGACATCGATCGTACCAGCGGCTAGATACACGCTGTCTCCGGTGCTGAGCATGTTGATTCTGGGATTCTCGAGCTCGTCCAACACGTCCCACTCGTCGATCTGCTCCCTCGTACGAATTGCTTTGAGCCACGCTTCAAAGTTGTGCTCGGTGTGGGGCCACGAGATGAGCAGCAAAGAGCCCTGAACCACCGTGTAGAGAAGTCCGACAGGGGGAAACATCTGGATGGGAGGTCGCTTGGTAGCCGCCAGGGCACAGTGGACGAAATCGGGGCCAACGTCGACGCAATTCGTTGTAAGACCAAATCGTTCCGGGTCGGAAGGCCGGAAGTTGCGAGGCATGCTGTTTTTCACACCGTCGACAGAAATCGCAGCTGCTGTGTGCCACGCCATACGTCTTGGCACGCCGAAATGACTTTCCCACATGGCTTCGGCAAACGCGAACGGGTTCGGGGGATTTTGGCGTGAGTTCGAAGCCTCAGAAGGCTGCGAGACGGGACGAGCGTTGGTTTGCTTGTCGATGTCGGAGATCACCTGGTGGAAGGTGGGACGTGTGGCATAGCAGCGATCTATACCGTTCGTCTCAACTGGCAGCGATCGTCTGAATGAAGTTTGGCCGTTGGCGTTCCGCATGACGAGCTGTTTGATCTTGCGAGAGCTGGGCAGTGCTGTGATGGCTGGCGACAGATGTCCCCATTCTACCTCGAAGTGGGTCAACTGAGTGGGAGTTCTGTCAGACTGGCAAGACTGGCCGTCATCCTGAATTCGGCCTGGACTGGCAGTTGTATCGTCGGATTGGCTCTCATGAAGACTTTCTGTTACGTGGACACGTGACGAAAGCGGGTCGGTGTCTTGTACTGCGCACCTTGTGGAGGCTGCGATGAAAGCCGGGGTCGGTTGAGGGCTCATAGTGGATACTGACGGTGGGAAAGGGATGGAGGTTGGTGTAAAGGAAAGCAAGAACGCCTTTAGAAGGCCAGCTTCCTCTTATACTTTGAGTGGTAGCACGGCGCAGCAGTGGACGCAGTCGAAACAGCAGCGTCGTACACTCGCGAGGACGGGCTGAGCTTTTCCATGGCGGCTATGTAACGAGGGCTCGGCGTAGCTATTGAGGCCAAGATTCCTCACAGCTCTGATGCGTGGCGACCGTGGCTAAATGCAATCGGCAGCGAAGACGGCTCTGCCGAAGAATTGCGCGCGCTGTCTGTCAGGAAATTGTCCGCTGCTTTAATGCAGTGTGAGCTCCTCCCCACGCTCAGCTGGCTTGTTGTCAAGTCACACTTGGCGTAGACGGATCAGCCGACACAGCGCCCTGAGCCAGGAAGGCGGCGCAGCTCCCGTGCATCTGACCTTTTTCTCTACGGTCACATTCCGGCGCAACAAGATGACGGGGGGCTCGCGTCCGCCTTGACCCTCACTTGAGCTTTCACAATCGTGAAGAAGCTTTTGATTTTGTGCGAATGCTGCGCCTCGATTGCAGGCTCTTGTATGATGAGGAAAGGCCGGAGAGTACGAGTACATGATTATGCCGAGAGCAAAGGAATGTGGAAAAGATGACCATTGAGAGCAAGTGGGCGAGAAGCTGCAGACTGGATGCAGGGAGGATGCCAAATTGGCGTAGCCAGTCCCCTGAGGCGGAACTTCAGAACGCCGTAGACATGATCGGACGTTGGTCGTAGAGTCTTGGCGCATATCGCTGAGCAGACCGTCCGACGGTGGTTCGAGGAGCAAGGTAAGCGACCCAATCGGACCCTTACTCTCGCGACACATCACGACCAAAGAGGAACACCTTGAACCAGTCGGCGGCCACCAGCGATCGGTTGCGCAGCGAGAAGAGCATCGACATGTACGCCGATCGCCAGAACATGAACGTCACCACACCACCCGAGGCGATCTGGTTGTTGCCCAGCAGAGGGATGTCAGCGATGGCCTTTTCGGAGCCAATGTAGGCGAGCGAACCCTGGTGCGAGTACTTGAAAGGTCGGATCTTGGCGGCCTTCTCGATCTGTCGTTCGAGACCACTCAGCTCGGCGGCGTCGGCGTTGGACTTCTTGGCAGTCGCGAGCTTGTCCTCGAGAACGTGCAGGCGAGCGAGCTGGTTGAAGACGCGCGCGAGGTAGGCACCCTGTTGCGAGGCAGCCTGCGCAGTGGGGGCGAATTGGGTAGCGGTAGCATCACCAAGGGCGAAGATCGAGTCCTCGGCACCCTTGAGGCGCATGTGGTCGTCCACCTCAAGACCACGGCGGTTCTTCTGCGCTTCTGGCAAGGAGGCCATGAGCTGGCGGGTCAGGGGTCGTGCAGTGTTACCGGCAGCCCACACGAGCAGGCCGTAGGGGATCTTCTTGTCCTCGCCAGAGGGCGTCTTGACGAGCACGTCGCGGTCGTCGACGTCCTTGACCATGTGCTTGGTGAGAATGTCGATCGAGTTCTCCTTGAAGGTGGATTCGGTGTACTTGATGAGCGTCTGCGAGAACATGGGCAGAATGTTGGGCAGCGCCTCCACGAGCGTCACTCGCAGCTTGTTGGCCACCTCGGGGTACCAGCGGATCAGATCCGACTCGACAAAGTCGCGCAGCTCAGCGGCATACTCGATACCGGTGGGACCACCACCCACGACGACCATGTGGAGGAGACGGTCGATCTCCTCTTCGGACTGCCCCTTGATGGCAGCGCTCTCGACGCAGTCGATGAGGCGACCGCGGATCTTCTCAGCATCGTTGAGCTCCTTGAGGAAGCAAGCGTGCTTCTTGACACCCTCGATGCCGAAGGTCTGGTTTTCAGTGCCAACCGAGTAGACGAGATAGTCGTAAGGGATGGTGACCTTGGAGACGGAGCCCTTGACCTCGCTGCTGTCCTCAAAGGTGACAGTCTTGTTGACGGGGTCGATGTATTCGCAATCCGCTTCGTAGACCTTGACCTCACGCGTCTTGAAGCGTGTAGTGTGACGAGTTGGCTGGACGATACTGCGACCGTCGAGGGTACCCACGGTGACGGAGGGCAGCAGAGGCGTGAAAAGGAAGTAGTTGTGCGGCGAAATGACGACGACGTTGTACTCTTCCGTGTCAATGTTCTTGAGGAGTGATGTGGAACCCCAGCCGCTTCCGAGGACGACGATGGTCTTCTTTGTAGGGTCCTGGGGGAGCTGCTCCGGTGGGTGTCGGCCTTGGTAGACAAAGTATGCGTATGTTCCGAGACCGCCAATCGAGATGACGTAGAAGGTGCGTCGCAGCTTGCGGAAGAAGCCGCCCTTCTTCTTGCCGTTGCCGTTGGTATTTGGGGGTGGCAGCTGTGCCTGTACTTCGGATGCGGCCGCCTTAACGACTGCTTCCGTCTTGTCATTCTTCCGCGAGCGTGTCCAGAAGATGTTTCGGGTTTGCGAGGCAATCGCAGAAGATGGTGCTGTGGATGCAACAGCGGCAGCGACGCTTGTGGATGGCATGCCGAGTCTGGAGGCTCGCAGTGACATGGACGACGAGGCCATGGCACGAAGCGAGCCGGCACGAATCGCTGGGGACATCATGGCGCCGATCTATGTGTTGGACTGTCGCTGGACGAACCGAGAGGAAGGGTTCCGGGAAAAGAGTGGTGGTGGTTGACGGGTCGTGGTGACTTGGTGAGGAAGATGGAACGAAGAATGAACTTGGCCAAGCTCATCTATCTCGAGAGCCATGAAATCTTGTCGTCGCACCGCATCCTTCTCGAGGTGTTTCTTTCGCGGACCGCACTCCTGAAAGCCAGACGAGATAGCACCGATTGAAATGGGCGCGCATGCAGCGCCTCGAGCTGTGTCACTTTTTTTCTTCGATTTCAAAAGCGGATGACGAGCTTCTGCGCTGCTTTGCTCTTCCAAAAATTTTGTGCAGGCGAGCGAGTCAGGGATGGAGCGAACCCTCACCCAGATTCGGCAATCTGACTGATTTCGTTGTTTGTGCCACGGGTTCCAGCTTTGAGCTGCGTGCAGGCAGAATGAAGATCTCGGGAGCAGCCCGACAAGAACAAACACTAGTCATCCACACTCATCCACATGTCCCGTGCTATCAACATCGAGGCCTTTCATGACTTATTGCTGCCTCAAGGTGCGTGCTGAGTGTGAGCTGCCGCAACAGGATGATCCTCAAGATGCGGCAGGGTTGGGCGAGACGCGTGACTTGCCATCGGGAAGCTGCCACGCCGCTGACCTGCGTGGCTGGCTGCAACCGTTCAATCCTCATTCGCCGCTCTTCCTCCGTACCGGTGGGAGGCGTGGACGTCTTTCTCGGTGTATCTCGTCGAGACCAGGAGTTCGCCCGATCGGCAAGCTCGGCGCATCTGCCTGTCAAGAGCCTGAGTGCCACGGAGAATTGTGCCTTGCTCAAGCTTATCGATCCAAGAAATCTCATTCGTTGTGCATGAATCTTCTTGAAAAATTTGCCTCTCGACCAACACCTCATCTAAAGTTGACCGGCAGACGATGCCTCGTGGCCAACGGCGACTTCCTAACACAGCACACTTCTGTCTTGGCTGTTCTTCCAAAGACTGGTCACCGGTCACCACCTGAGATTCCCGTCCAAAGACCAAGGAATCTCTCCCTTCGCCTCTGGACCCTGAGAACTGCAGCTGAACGAGTCTCGTGGTGCAGAGAGGTATACATTACCGAGCGTTCTGCGTCTGTGCAAGAGCGAGAGCAGATGGATCGGCTTGCTCGCGCTGGGACTAGTGACAAGATGTGGGATGCCTCTCGGCGAGAATGAAGCTCGTCCCACACCCTGCCCACACGTCGAGCGGCGTGTAGAAATTGGGCAGCGTCGCGGCACCGGACCGCGATCCGTCGAGCAAAATCACTGGTCGCCCCCGGTCCGCTTCGTCATGAGGACCCTGAGCCAGATTGCCGTGTTCATTCCAACCCCATCCCCACACTTGTGTGCTGTCCTTCGAGAAAGCTGCATCCGCTGTCTCGCCAGACTGCCGCGAAACGAGGAGCAAGGAATGCTCGCTGCCCGATACGAGCTTGTTCAGCTCTGTTGCGCCGGACGGCAGCTGTTGTGAGATCTCGGAGAGATCGACCGAAGCCATCGGATTGGCAGCGTTGGTGGGTATCAAGGATCCGTCGCCTAGCTGGCCTCGGAGATTGTTGCCGCAACCGAGAATGGCACCTCCGCTTGGCTTGTTCCTGAGCGCGAGGGTGCTGTTCCAATTGCAGGTCATGTCCGCGATGTCGTCCGTTGATGACCCCTCTTGCGCCGACCTGGAAAGGTCGAGCAGTTGCGCTTGCTGGTTGGAGCCGATGCAATGCAGGTGTACCTTGTCATCGCCTTGGAACAGCACCGCCGTATGATGCCTCCCTGCGCGCACCCTGCATCGAGCCACACGCGGATCCCTGACCTGCCAGTCAAAGATGAGCTGAGGGACTGAGACGACTGGCGCCGGAGGACCCCCTCCTGGTCGTCGCGACGGCCCTGGCTGGTGTGATGCAACTTCCGGGATGCGTCCCACTTGGCCCTGACGTGCCGAGCCCCATCCAACCACGAGCATACGGCTCTGACCGCTAGCCTCTTGCTCGATGCTGATGGCTGCCACAGCATGCCTGATACCTGCTGCTACGTCCACAATCTTGAAGGCAACATCAGCGTCGAGGCCGGCCTCCACCAACGCCTCTGCGAACGATACTTGATGCACCGTTCTATCAACAACACTCAACGCCAATGCAGACGCGTTTCCGAGCTCGCCAAAAGTATTGTGTCGGTATTTGCCCAGCGAGATGAGCACGTCCTGTCTTGATGCTCCCTCATCGCCGGCTAGCGCACCTTCCAGAACAATGTAGCTGCAGTTCCAACCGCACACGATCCGTTTCGGCTGCCAACATGCTCCGGACGAGGCTGATCGGTGCAAGTCGTCACAGCATTGCAGACAGCCTTCGAGGTCGAGTCGAGTGAAGACCTGCACCGGCCTGCAAGGGGAAAGGGCAGCGTGAGCAGGTTCGAGCTGTCCCTCTGCTCCTGTTCCAGCTACCCAGATCTCCTTGCCAACCCTTGTTCTCGAGCTACCGTGCTCAGCTGAGATTCGGTCGAGCAGAGCAAGCGTATGGTTGCCGCCTGATGAAAGGTCGAGGATTGTGTATCCCTCGGGCGGAAAGCTCGTCACATCCTGCGGGTCGAGTCCGACGCGGCAGATCGCCTCTTGAAGCGTTCCCACGTCTCTGTCATGGCCGAGACCCAGTTGGTAGCCCGAGTTGCTGCCTGCGACCAGCAGCGTCTTGGTCATCATCGCTAGCCTTCCGATGCGGCTGTGCTACTCTATCATGGAATCGTGCAGCCGTCCATCTTTGCGAATTTGGCGTGACAGGCGCGGCAAACGTCAGAGATGGAAGACAGGAAGCAAAGCGCAAACTTGCAGAGCGGCGTGTGACAATTTCAAATTGGCATTCCGCGCTCGATGCACCATGATCTCCGGAGAGACTCAGCTCTCCCACGCTTTGCCGAACATTGCGGTGTGATCACACAGTCACGACACCTCGTTGTTCACGCTTCTCCCTCACATATGGTCAAGCCTCAGGCGGCACTCCCGGGATGGCAACTCCCACTACCCAGTGACGTGGCTCTGGGCTTCTCCGATGCGTGGGAACAAGCTGATCGATTAGAGCGCTACCATGATATAAAAGTACAATTGGATGGAGGTGCTACAGGAACATATCATGCCTGTCATATTCGAGATTGCGACTCACAAGCCGCAGCCAATCCAGTGAGCCCCGTCGAGGCAGGAGCGGATGCATCGCCGACAGCCGTGGTCGACTCGATCCCAGCATCGACTCGACATCCCACTCCTCCTGCGCCTCGGCCATCGTCGCTGGGTCTGGCATCATCTCTTGCGGAGGATGGAGCAGAACATCCCATGCAGGCTTGCCATCCCTGCTGTACGTCGAGAAGGGCAAGCTGCGGTACCCACCGGCGAGCTTGATCGGCACCATCTTGGTCGAGTGTGGTAGCAGCAAGAAGGGCTCTTGCCAGCCAGCGCCCGTCGTGTTGCGACGTAACAGGTTATCCTCTTCGTTCGTGTATGCGTATTCGGTTCCCAGCTGCGTTGCCTCCAGGTCCGAGCTTGATATATCGTACTCGCCACCAATGTCGAATCCAGGCGCATCCCCGACTTCGTTCGAACAGACGTGGTACACGGCAACCGCAAACGGAAGAGGCGCCATCGCGACGACTTGACTGATGGTATCTTGCCAGAACGTTTGCGGGTACAGGCACGGCAGACCTGTGCTGCTTGCCTTGGACACGAAGTGGCGAGGAGCACCCGTGAAGATGTCCCGATCCGCCACGTAGATCTCGACTAGCTCCAGCTGCGGAAGCAGACGAGACACAAGATTGAGGACGCCCACTGCGATCTTGGTGCCAATGCGGTCGTTCTGGTACTGCTTGCTGCAGCGAGCAGATAGGATCTTTTGTCGAGGCAGCTGATGGACCGCCATTCTGCGCAAGAAGCCCTTGGGCAGCTTGTCAACGCTGGGCATCCGTGCGATCAGCCTCATGTCGTACAGCATGCGGCTGCACGACCGCGCATCGAGCGCAATCAGATCGGAACGCTCGATGCCCCGAGCATCTGGGTTGGCGCGAAAATGCAGCGGCTTGAAGACCGATTCGACGAGCTCTTCAAAGGCGCGAAAGTCCGAGTCGTGCCACTGAAGCCGCGCCAAGGCTCCTGGTGGCACAGAGGGCAAGTAGGTGTCCTCTGGATCTCGGAGACGTTGTAGATTGCGAAAGTAGATGAGGTTGCGGCAGTGAGTCAGGATGGTGAGGTACTGGTCTTGATTGGCCATGCCATTCTCCTCTCGGCTGACCGCAAAGTCGAGCGCCTTGACCGAGCTTGCTAGCCGCTTGTTGCTGGAGATGGTGTCGCAGAACCGTTCGATGCGCCAATATCCCAGCACATCATCGTCCCGAGGTGAAAGTGTCACGCAGGCGTACAGGGGCACGATCGCACGTCGATACCATGTTCGACCCACCAAGCACCACCTGCTCAGCGTGTCAGCGGGAACGTGCCAGCTGCAAGTCTCGACGATCTGGAGCGCGAGCTCGAACGGCAGGTGACACCACGTAGACTCAAGCAGCGGCTCGTCGAGTGCTGGCCAGTCACAAGGGTGCCGCCATCGATCACCGGTCGTCATCGTGCGCAGGTAGCAGCTTCGACCAAGGCGATCATGACGGTGATGATGTCGAAACGGTGCTGTCAATGCTCACCGAGCAGGTTGTGGTTGGGAAGATGGTCGCATCAGGAAGGGACCCATTTGGTCGGCAACGATCGATGGCAAGGCGTGATGCGCTCGGTGCTCGCCTGGCCAGCCCGTATCGGTATCGTTCGAAGGAAAGAAGATGTTCCTGCAAGCGAGCTTCAAGAAGCTAACTCAAGGCTTGCATGAGGTCTAGATAGCCGAGCACCCTCTCGACGAGAGGCTAGATCCTGACCTCGAGAATCTCGCAGCCGTCTTCCGATCCGAGAAGTTGCATGCAGAGCTTTTCAAAGTCAGCATGCTTCTGCCGTGCGTCGGCGTTCTCGGCCTCGCACACGGGAGCGGCCCTGACACTGAAGCGCTGCTTTAAACCATCGTATAATAAGCATCGGCAAAAAGAGGCAAGCGACACTAAAATTCTCACACTTCGCTTAAGCAGGCCAGCAGGGCGGGAAAAGGAATGGCATGCACATCGATCCTCCGCTCCGCTCGGTTTCGATCCAGCCAATGTCCTGCAGCCACCGCGAAGGGAAGGACTGAGGCTGCGTCTCGTACACGGACGGTCACCTGCACTGGACGCTCGGACCCTGTGCATACCATCGAGTCAAGGCGTGGCGATGCCAGCGTGCTCTTCGGAACGGAAGCGGCTGCACGGTATCTTTGTTCGGAACGAATTGTCAACTCAAATGGCCGGCCAAGCTTCGATCGTCACGGCGCCGGGCACCTCTGGAATGTGCGAAGAAGGGATATGCATGGCTGTGATGGTCTTTTGACACAAGTCATCCCGACCATGTCCGGACATACGACGAAGTGGAAAGGACGAAGCCTTGCTTCTTCGCCCATTGCAGAGCTGCGGCTGGTCCGTGCTAGAAGAAATCCGGCTCAGTGTCAGATTGGACTTGATGTTGGTATTTGAAATTGCTCTCGCGCTGAACAGCCACGTTGCCAAGCAGCCCGATTGAGTAGATTGAGCTGCCCGAGCGGGAAGCGGTCGACTTGGCTCAATACCAAACCAACACCAACGCTCAGGGTGTTGTTCTTCTCGCTGGTCCTCCTTCTCTCCCCCACACCTCCACGTCACAGATTGTCTCTGCTCACCGCCGCCTTTGGTATCACACTCGTCACGCAGTAGCCACCATGCCGTCGATACAGTCTTCCTCGGCGGGCATTCTCGGAAGCCTCTTCGAGCGAGCGCAGGACGCCATCTTTGCTCTCTCGTCATGCTTACCATGCACGCCCGAGACATCCGTGCTGAAGCTCAACGGTCGCAACTTCCAGATTGTCAAGCTGCTAGGAGAAGGTGGCTTCAGCTTCGTCTACCTCGTCAAGGACCAGGACTCAGGTCGACTGTTTGCACTCAAGAAGATCCGATGCTCCGGGTTCGGCGCCGACTCGTTCCAGGAGGCGATGAAGGAGATCGAAGCCACCAAACGCTTCCGCTCACCGCACATCATTCCGATCTACGACAGCTGCGTTGTGCAAGACGATGCAGGCTCGGGCACACTTTTCGGCAATCTCCCTTCGAATGATCCAGAAGGAGGCCGTGGGGGAGATGGAGGTAAGGTGATCTACCTCTTCCTGCCGTTCTACGAGAAAGGCAACCTGCAAGATGCGATCAACGCGCATGTCGTACGAGGGACGCGGTTCGGAGAGCGAGAGATGCTGCAGCTGTTCTTGGGGACGTGCAAGGCGGTTCGAGAGATGCACCACTATCGTCTGCCGAACGTAGGCGCAACACGCAGCGGCGGTGGTGCCTCGTCGATACCGCGCATGGAAGTGACGCCGCCTCAAGACCCCTTCTCGGACTCACATGCTGGTGGCAACGGAGACGAGGCACCGCTCATCTCGCACGACGGAACAGCAAATGATGAGAACGACAACTCTTCGTATCCTCCGAAGCCGAACAAGGGCAAGGGCCGTGATCTGGGCTATGATGGCGAGACGGTGCAACGACCAGCGCTGGACGGAGGACTGGAGCAAGGTGGCGCGGGTGAGCTGCTACCGTATGCACATCGCGACATCAAGCCTGGCAACGTCATGGTGGCGGATGATGGCAAGACGCCCATCCTCATGGACTTTGGCAGCACCATCAAAGCGCGCGTCTACATCAAGACGCGCAAAGATGCCATGGCGCACCAAGACATGGCCGCCGAGCGCTCGTCCATGCCGTATCGAGCACCGGAGCTCTTTGATGTGCCGACCGACGCGACGCTGACGGAGGCGGTGGACATCTGGTCGCTCGGTTGCGTGCTGTATGCGCTGGCCTACCTGCATTCGCCGTTCGAGACGACACAGACGATCGAGCAGGGCGGCTCGATCGCATTGGCGGTGTTGAACGGGTCATACAAGACGCCGCCGAGCTCGGAAGATCCGTACTCGGAAAAGACGCGCGAGATCATCAAGTGCTGCATCCAGGTCAAGCCTGAGGAACGGCCAGGGATCGATCAGATCATCGAGCTTACACGGGCGGCTCTGCGTGGGTTGGAGTAGACACTGTGGCTGCCGCACTCTCAGCAATGGACGCACCATGCCTTGGCAAGACGCCTCGATGACTGCTCGTCCGACTGTTTACTGTGCTTATACGTGTGCTCTGTGGACAGCAATGCCGCGAGAAGATGTTCGACATGACGTCGCAAGAATGCATATCGGGAGATTCGCCAGGAGAAGCCAGTGGGCAAATTAGGCAAGCAGCGTGTGTAATTGCATACTCTCGCCCATCCTTCATCGAAAGGCGCTCTGCCCGAGTGGTTAAGGGGTAAGTCTCGAACTACATTTCGATCGTCCTTCTGTGACGAGTTAACTTATAGGCTCTGCCTGCGTCGGTTCAAATCCGACGGGCGTCGACAATTACTGGTTTCTTTTTTGCTATCATCATTGGCCCCCTTGAATCCAGACAGTTGACGGGTGGCTCAAAGGAAGACGGCAAGAAGGCATGTTGATTGAAGCTGTACTGCACAGGCGCAAGGAACACAACAACGACTGGTTGGTTGGCTATGACGAGTGAGAGAGATGTTTTCTTGAAAGAAGAGCGAAAAAGAGTTCGAAAAAGAAGGTAGCAAAAACACAATTTGTGAAGGCGATCAACACGACGTCAATGGCCGTGTAGAGCCGGCGTCACCGCATCGCGACAGCTGCTGTGGACGGTATGGAAGGGAGGTGCGGAGGGGGACAGGGCCGATGTTGTTGCTCTGAGGTCCTCTTCGCAAAGCCTTACCCCGCACTGGAAACGTTGTTTGAGACTTGAGCGAGGGTCCAACGACCCCACATCGCTAGCCGAGCGCCGCTTTGGACCGCATATGTGCGAGGCCTGCTTTCTGCACGGTCTTGTTCAGGAACAAAGATGAGAGATTCCACATCAGCTCGACGGCACCATTGACCGATACAGACGCGAGACACGGTATCGTTGCCAACGGAAGGGGCACCTAGCGTGGGATGCAGCGAGGAACACAAGGGTCTCTCAGGGCAAAGCCGCGGGATGTTTTTCTTGAGCGGAGAAAGGTTGGCCCGCAGGCTCGGCAGACGATCTCCGCGACAGTTGACACTCCGCCAGCGCGACCAAGCTGGATCCATAGGCCGTCCTGCCCAACCGCGTGGTCAGCTGGCAAGCTCTCGCGAAGGACACAATGTTCCTGCTTGGGTGCAGTCGCGAACAAAGGCTTCGCTTGCGTGCAAAGCGCGTCCTTCTCCGCCTACGTTCGATGAACCGGCCCAGAAGCCAGATCTACCGGTCGGCCCAATCTCTGCTTGCCGGGTTGTCCTCCGGCCTTGACCATCCGAGCTGCACACCGCAGCCTCTGCCGCACGATGCACTGCAACATGTTCTGCATCGCATCTCAGCATCTCTGCGAGAGCTGGAAAGTGCAACAAAAGCCAACGGAACTCTCCGTGTTCGCAACGCTCTGCGCAGCTTCGTGGCCTGGGGCCCCCAACATCCGTACCTGGTTAGATGTCGCATGGCGATGACTCCACGACGTGACACACGCATGATCACTTCCCTGCAGTCAGCTCTTCGCTTCAGCTTATCGATGGAGGCTTGCACTTCTTGGCGCATCGTCTGGCGTGACCGAGAGACAACGCTGCGAACCCCACTCTGCTGCGCATTGCACCATCCTCACTACGATACTACGACATGGAAGTTACTTTGTTGGACAGCGGACGGAAGCGTTGGAGCGAAGAGTAAAGGCTTCTCTACGCGGCTTCTCTCGTTGCCGAAGGCACCGGCATTGATCCCATCTTTACCGGAACGGCAAGCAGACCGTCGGAACGCATCTGGCTGAGTTTGGTTTTGATGGACGGGCCGCGCAGAACAACATTCGTGCCCCGCACAATGCAAACCAACCCACTTCAAAGCAAGGCACGCATCAAGGGGAGTGCTTACGTTGGGGGACAGAGTGACATTGATCAAATTCAACCTCAGCTGGTACTGTCACTCTGTTGTTGCTCAGATCTTTCCGCCTGCCGACGGCAAGGAGAATTCGAGGCACTGGTCTGGTACCGTTGCACAGAGATGGCAGCTCTTCCATTGTTTGCGCGGCGGGCCGAGCCAGTGTATAACCGGAGGGCGGGTTCCGCGGGGGATTTTCTTTTACTTTTCTCTTTTCGTTTCCGTCTTTTCCTCTCGCTCTGCTGCTGCCCCCTGACTTCTGGATTCTACCTTTTCGCCTAATTTTGACGGGTTTCTTGCCGAGCCCGCGGTTGGCACAGCTCCGACCGACGTTGAGCACCTGCCCAACTCGGCTGGCTCTCAACGCCACGACTGACAATAAGTTACCACTCGTACAAAGTTGCTGACTGCACAATACTTGCCTCATGCACGCTGCTGCAGACTCGTCTCACTCTGATCGTTGATGAGAAGCGCGTCTACTGCTGCGATTCTGTTCACTCGCTCCAGGTAGCTGTCTCAGGGGGGAAGCTGTAGGGACAAAGCACTTGTGAAGCTGACTCGTGGTCATTGCTGCGGAAGGAACGCTCAGGTACGCCACGCAGCATCTCGCGAAACGTTTTCCGCGGCCATGCGTCCTCTCTCCGAGCCCCAAGCCTCTCTGCTCCCCAGCCCAATCGTATGCTGGCTCGCTGACCAGCCCCCATACTGTCACCAAACCAATCAGAGACCTCCTGATGCACCCCGCGCTGCTCAGCAAACTTCGCCATGCAGGTCCAATGCTGCACGAGCTACCCCGCAACCGATGCGATGCGGAGCTGCTTGGCTCCCCCCGCACTTTGAACCCACCCTCTCTCTTTTCCGCAGTCGCTGCGTTGCATGTCAGCGTTTGTGACTGGTGGGGTGCCTGATGAAAGGTGCGCTTGTTGTAGCAAGCTACGGAATGGTTGCCGCGCCAAGCGCTTCATTTGTGTTCTCTCTCTCGTGTAGTGCAGAGATGAAGATGACAGCCAGAGGGCAACGCTACCGTGTGAACCTACAGCAGGCACGGACAAGCTCTCCGTACAACTCTCTACATGTGGGCAACGAGGCACTCGCTGCTGATGAAGGGGCCACCGTCGTGTGGCGCATGCCTATAAGAAGAGGCTCCGTGCTCGGGTCGCTCTTCTTCCCCCAGGACCTTTTTCCCACAGCCCCATCCACAACCTCCCTCCTCCCTCGCCTCAACCGCCACCATGTCGACCACGACCCCCACCTACATCCCCGCCGAGCACCTCGAGCACAGCGACAAGGACGGCTCGGCCTCGTCGCACCACTTCCAGCGCGCCCACCGCAAGAATGGCGAGCTCGAGCTCGGTGTCACCGAGATCCTCGAGGGCCGCTCCGATGTCCCTCACCGTCAGGTGGCCCACTCTGCCGGTCTGGCCGACTGGTCCGGCCGTGTTCGTTTCGAGCAGGCCATGCCCCGCCTCATCCCCGCCCTCGTTGCCGAGTTCTTCGGTACCATGTTCTACTGTCTCGCAGGTGAAATGGCTACTGCTGGGTTCCTCATCACCACCTACGGCGGCTCTCCCCAGGGTAATCTCACCATGATCGGTTTCGCCTATGCTTTCGGAATCACTTTCGCCATTGTTGTCTGCGCCACCACCTCGGGTGGTCAATTCCACCCGGCCTTCACCATCGCTCAGTGCGTGTTCAAGGGTTTCCCGGTCAAGCTGGCTCCGTTCTACATCACTGCGCAGATCGTCGGTGCCATGGTGGCCTCGTTGATCGTCGTGGGTTCGTGGCACGATGAGCTGATGAAGATCACCGAGCTGTTGCATGCGACTGGCAAGTCGGCTGTCATCTTCTCTGCCGAGGGTCCTGCCGGCGCTATCGCTCTGTTCCCCACTGCCGGTCGCTCGCTCGGTAGCATCTTCGTCAACGAGTTCTTCGCCGACGTGCTCGTGGCCATGATCGTGTGGGCCAACCTCGACGCTGCTAACCCGTTCACCGGCCCTCAGGTTGCCCCCTACACCATCGGTCTCGGCTTCGCCGTCGTCGTCTGGTGCTTCTCCTCGTCCAACGTCGCTGCCAACTCGGCTCGTGACGTCGGTGCTAGGTTCGTCTGCGGCATGTTCTGGGGCTCGGAATGCTTCCCCTCCGGCTACTCTGCTCTGGCTGCCCTCACCAACATTCCCGCCACCCTCATCGGCTGCGGTATCTACACCTTCTTCCTCTCGGACACCCGCCGCCCCGCCGCCGCCGTCACCCTCAACCACATGCACGAGGAACACGTCCGCTCCATCGAGCGCGCCGAGACCATGCACGCCGAGATGCTCGACCAGAAGATCGCCCAGACCCTCAGCCGAGGCGGCGACGCCAGCGCCCTCCAGAAGAAGAGGACCAACCTCAGCGTCAAGAACTTCTAAATCGCTTCCCCTGTTTTTGTCTATGCTAGAGATCGTCACGGGAGATACCGAATGATATGATGTTGTTACGATGCTTAGTCGAGTGTGATTGTCCGTTGGTGAGTAAGTGAGTGTCGATGATGATATGCTTGCGATGAGGGATCACCACTCGACTCCGTCCTGCGCACTCTGGCCGACAAGGCGGAGCACCGCGTCTTCCTCGTCCAAGAGCTGTTCCACGAACGCCAGGCTCAGCTTGCATCCGTCAAGGTCTGGTTCCAGTCGCGTCCTGATTCCCGCATCCGCCTCGTCCGTATGTGATTCGAGTGTAACTCGCGCTTCAGCCAGATGCCGTCGAGCTCCGCCATTCTTCTTTCGTCGCGACTCGCAGAGCTGGATCAGCAGCTCGTGAGCCTTCCGCTCATTCTCCTCCGAGACAGTATCGCGGTAGCCAGTGAGCGTCTCCTCCCACTTGTCCAGGTCCGATGCACCACCGCGACCATCGACCGGGTGCACCTTCCTGCCGGCTTTGACCCCCGCATTCGCCTTCGTCTTGGCCACCTTGGGCGCGCTTCCCTCCGCCGGTGTCGCGCGCAGGTTCAACGCAGCCAGCCTCAAAGCAGGAACCAACCGATGGCTCGGATGCGGCTCTGGGTATGGATGCAGCGTGAACTCTCCCCAATAGCCTCGGTTCTGAAGCAGCTCGATCTTTTCCTCCCCCTCCTCACCCTGTCGGTTCAGCAGATCTTCCACCTCTGGGTCGACCAGAACATCCACATACCGGCTTCCTTGCCATTGTTGATCCGGCGAGAGATCGCGCGGGAGCACGAAGCCGTACTCCGATAGCAATGATTCGTTCGAATGCGCACCGTAGGTGATGAAACACTCATCGCCTTCCTTAGTCACCGAAGGTGACCTTCCTTGCGGAACATCGGGGGCGTACATCTGCAGACCACCATCTGGCAGATAGCCCACTTTGCATTCCCTCGCTGGATCACTGGTGTGATTGGCCATGTCGAGCATGGGTGCAAGGGTAAAGTTGTCGCCGTGCCTGGCGAGGCCGAGCGGGAGAAAGACGCAGCGCGAGTTGACGCAGTGCCACGCCCAGAGGAAGAGGGGCTTTTCGATGGCATGGATGATGTCGCGCGCGAGAGCAGGGTCGGAGGTGAGCAAGGAGGGCTCGGTGAGGACGTCGCAATTCGAGTCTCGAAGGGAGAGGAAGGTGGACCAATCGCTCTCGAATCGGTGTCGTACCTTCTGTTGGAGATTGCGGCTATGCGGTGGTAGCGCTTGCAAGAGGCTCGCAAAGAAGTCGCCTTTCCACGATGTCTTCCCTTCTCGTTCTTCCTTGAGTCGACTGGCGACGAGCGACCAGGTCAGCGGCACACTATCAAAAGTACCCGGCAGCGTCTGGACGAACAGCCGCAACACGTCGTCCTTCGTCGTCGCCTTTGACCTGCCCCGCCCCAACTCCGTCTCCACATGCGCCCGCGCAAGCAGCAGCGTCAAGAGCAGCGCAGAAGACAGTCGACCCTCGTCACTCCTACCTTCGCCACCGCGTGTCACACTTGCTTGCAGGGGAAGCAGCTCTGGGCGGAAGAAAGACTTGAAGCTCTTGACGTTGATAAGTGTGTCGGCGGGAAGCGTGAGCAGCACCTGCTGCGCCTCGACAGGGCAGATGAAGACCAGACCTCGACCAGCGGGCACTTGGTCTGAGATGTGGACCAGCGGGGTTGGCGTCGAGGCTTGCGAAGGGCTGAGATTCAACAGCTGTGTGAGCAGAGCGTTCTGCTTGAGCACCGAGTGGCTGTCCTTCGCCATTGTGACTCAGCCGCGGGACGCTTGAGATAAGTCGAGGTGCGTCACTCGAGCCGCATCGTAGATGGTCGACACCGCAAAGCGGAGATACCGATGGTCAATGGGTTGTACTGTGGGTCGACGGCGCTCCCGAAGGTGAGGGTGTGGGAAAAGAAGTGAAAGCTCGTCGGAAGCTTCCATTTCAGGGTCTTCTCAGGCAGACTCGAGCCTTTTTTTAGCCGTCGGCTTTTCCTCGGTGAATTCTTCCGGCTTGGCTTTCTTCTGTATCACATTTCTTCTGACACCTCCCGCTTAAGTCAACCCAAGCACGTGCTGAGCTAGCATGGAGGGGACAGCTTCGAGATGCCAATGTAAGACGTACATCAGCGGCTTGAACATTCAGAACAGGTAAAGCGACAGGACTGCGAAGAGAGCATGGATTATATATGACAGAATGAGAAGAAGACTTTGCAGAGTGTATGCGTGTGCGTGAGTGCGAGAGACGTGATGGACAAGCGATGCGGACAATTCGATGTATGTACAGCTTTGATCTTTGTGATCGCATCTTCAAGCAGGACTGTGTCCGCTATGAGAGCTGGAAGGCGAGAATGGTGTTGGAGTGGCCACTGAATCGGCCGAAGAATCTTCCGATGCGCTCGTTTGCAATCGCGGCTTCTCGAGCTCTTCCGACTCGGCAGCGTTGTACACGACTCCCTTCTCCTTGTTTCGGGGTAGGAACCATCCCGGGTGGAAAGGGATGAATACGCCGATGGCTAGTAGGATCATAAGCCCGTCAAGGACGTCGAAGTACACCTCGGTCGTCGCCAAGTAGCCTACCCAGCCATCGGCCATCTCGACGATCCTGTAGATGCACCTGACGAGGATGAGCAGCGTGCTGACGCCAATCACTTTGTTGAAGATCTCCACCCTGCGATGGGGTCGTTCGTCCTTCGCCAGCCTCGCCCACTCCCTGAGCCTTCGGATGTTGTAATCCAGATACAGCAGCATGAACGGCGCCGTGACCGCAACTTGCACGCTGACACCGGCGATCATGATATTCTTGCCGGTTTCCACCTGGTCCTCGGTCGTCGCTTCCGCTGACATAGCTCCCCCGACCGCCTGCACGACCAGCGAGCACAGATCGCCAAAGCAGAATCCAATCACGTACCACTTCCTCGGGATCCTTGACCACCTGGATCCAAATACATCCATGACGTTTTGGAAAGCGACGTAATTGACAGCGCTGATGAAGGCGGGACTGAGGATGAGGCAGACGATTTGGGCGATGTAGGCGTTGCGGTTGAACGGGTTGGTGTGACCGAAGGTCCGTGCGATCCATCCGGCGAGCTCGCCGGCAGCAGCGACGATCGCAATGAACATGAAGCGCGGAAAGGCACGGTGAAAGAGGAGGAGAAAGGCGTGGATGAGCATGACAAGGCCGAAGAGGGTGGAGAAGAGGATGCCCGTCCAGAGAGCAGGCCGGAAGCCATAGGAGGAGTTCTCAATGCTGCACAGCGAGTCGGGCATCGGATCGACGCCTGTGCAGTCGTAGGTGTCCATGGTCGTCAGGTGAGCGTTGCGAGGAAATTGCTCAAGTGTGACGGGAAGGGGCGCAGGGATGATGGTGTGAGGAAAGACCGGCAGAGGGCTGTAGAGATCATTGTCCTATGGACGGAAGGGCGTACATCGTCCTGGACCCAGGTCTATATAGCTGAGTGACCCGCCGATTCTCAATCTTCGTCTGCTGTCAGTAAGAGGAGGCCTCCGCAGCCGGCGGCCGAGCGTTCCTTCTGCAAAGGACGGTGGAATAGACACGCAGGGCCCAAACGGTATCGGGCACGAGTCCGGGAGCGGTCGAAGAGGCTGCTTCATTGACGCACACCGGTGTCATTGCGACGTAAGCTCCGAGCGATTCGCAGGACACGAGCGTCGATCAACCAAGCTCAAGACAAGCGACGAACCCTTGTCCGACTCTCTCGTGCATCCCAGCGGTACGCCCTTTATCACACTCTGGAAGGCCATCAGTGGTCGTTCGGAAGCTACGGCGCTCGAATGCTGTGTTTCTGGTCAAGCTATCATAGAGCGTAATCGTAAGCACAATGGACTGAACAGGCCTGGATTGCTTCCTCCGCCTAAACGCCGGAAACTCTGGCGGAAGGATGCATCAGCAAACAGAGCGCCTTCTGGTAGCGAAGTTCTATCTGATTTGGCCGGATCGAATTTGCCGAGAAATAAAGGTGACAGCTGCGTCCTCGATGATGACGGCTCAGAGACCGCAAGCAAAGCCCACATGATCGCGTCGCTCGCGGGCGTGTCTCTTCTCGATCCGTCATGAGATGAGGTACGCTACGCCGCGGGTAGGTTCGGGCCGTCTTGGCGGTCGATGAACGAGGCGTCTTGCCACGACGTCTGGTCATTTCGTCGATCCTGGTTCAAGGTCCGGTCCATATTCGGCGTCTAACGCTCGTCCGAGCGCGTTTCGCGCCTGCTGAATATGCGCCTCCCACGCGGTCGAGGTTACGAGGTTAGCATCCGCGGGCACTCGTACGCACGTGGTCCAACACACACCTTCTCATGAAGGCTGTGTTAAACTACGATACGCGGCTCTCGAGAGCGACTCGCGCTTTGAATGGCGGTAACCTATCTTTCAGGTCTTCTGGTCCCAGTTGGAGCAGGCGCAGAAACGGCCTTGTGATCGACGATGGCAGCTGTTCCCACGGAGCGAACTCGGATGCTCAGGCGCAAGATGAACTTACCGTCAACATTGCACGATATCGAGATGCAACGCCAGTTGCTATCGGATCACTCCGCGGACCTGCTGCCACCTTGCGTAGCCTTGGGCCTTGATCGCGTCGATCCTGGTTCGGGGGGTCTCAACGAGCTTTGACGAATCTTACTACAGCGACTCGATAGCTTCCGAAGCTGATGAATGAGCAGCTTTGTTGGTCCGATCGCCATCCACGGCAGCTCCAAGTGATCGAGCCTGACCTCGTAGCGGCACCTAGTGATAGCATCGTGACCGTGGGAAATGGATGCAGCTCCCATGTAGCGTTGTGGTGGCTTCAAACCTCGCTCAGGTTGATTCCGTTGCTCTTTCGGATGCTGCGAAGCTCAGAGATTGAAGTCCCAGTCGTCCAGCTCGAGCTCGCGAGACTCTGACCTTGGTCCACCTCCTGCTAGAGCCTGGCATCTTGCCGGGAACATGGTCTGGAATGTTTTCCGATCTTACCCGGCGGCGACAGTGTCAATCAGACCTCTTCCTCGTTCTTCAGTGGCATCAAGGCGGTTATTTGCTCACAGCATGTCCGAGCGTACAAGCGGGAGCTTATTAAGGCGGCTCCCGCAACGTAGCCTGGCGATAACGAAGGTGAAGCTTGGCAAGCAAAAGGCTCCAGGTCCGCTCACCACCAGGCGTGCCACGCGATCTGACACGCTTTTGGTGTGATTTTCCTCGTCAAGATCCGACCAGCCAAACGCCGAGACGTCAAAAGAACAATGACGTAGCATGAAAGAGTGGAAAGGATTTGCACCACACCCTGTTGGGGCAGCCTCGCTTCACTGCCAGGGTCTAACGCTACTCTTTGCAAACGTGAAAAGGAGTCGAATCGGGACTAAGAAAGCTTTCAAGCTGGCACATCAATGCAACTCCGATCAGCCTTGGGACAATGAAGGCTGCGCCCCAGTTGCCAAGGTGCTGTGACGATGTCGGAGAGCAACGTTCCGCTTTGCTGGGTCGATTGAAAGAGCCTCTTGACCGTTGACCACCACCAACATCGCTGATCAGACCAGCTCGCTATCATGTCTGCCCCAACCGCAACTCAACAAGGACCTAAGGTGCTGCTCACCGGCGTGTCGGGCTTCGTTGGCTCGCACGTTCTCGATCAGCTGCTCAAGTCGGACCGTAACTACCACGTCACCTGCGTGATCCGATCCAAGGCCAAGACCGAGCCGTGGCTGTCAAAGCAGTTCGCCGACGACTACGGTAGCCGTGTCGAGGTTACTGAAGTCAAGGACCTGCTGGCTTCAGGATGTCTCGATGACGCCGTCGAGGGCAAGGACTACATTGTCCACGTCGCCTCGCCCTACGTGCTCTCAGCTAAGAACAACAAGCGGGACATCATCGACCCTGCCGTCCACATGACGCGCAATGTCCTCGAAGCGGCGCTCAAAGCCGAGAACAAGGCCAAATCTGCTGGACAGACGCCGCAGCTCAAACGCATCGTGGTCACCTCGTCCTTTGCAGCGATCCTCAACCCGCTGCGTGGCATCGAGAGGCGCGACTACACGTACACGGACAAGGACTGGCAACCCATCCAGTACGCCTTTATGGGCATGTTCTACTCGCCCCTCGCCTACCTCATCTCCAAAACCCTTGCGGAGAAGTCAGTGTGGGACTTCCTTGAGAAGCACAAGCCCTCCTTCGATGCTGCCACGGTCAACCCACCCAACATCTACGGACCCATCATCCACGAGGTCAAGTCGGAGGACGCCATCAACACCTCATCCGCCGAACCGTGGAAGCTGTACAAGGCCGGTGGACCCAAGGGGGATGGCAAGGTGCCACAGGAAAGCTTCTGGTCCTTCTGCGATGTCCGAGATGTGGGACGAATCCATGTGGCGGCGCTCGACAACCCAGCGGCGCACAACACGAGGTACCTCGCCTACGGCGGCAGCGTCTCATGGCAAGAAGTGGCAGATGAGATCCACGACAACCCGGAGTACCCACAGGAGCTCAAGGATCACATTCCCAAGGGCGAACACGGCAAGAAGACCCGTCCTTCCTCGCTGTCCAAGATGGACACCAGCAGGGCAGAGAAGGATCTGGGGATCCAGTTCCGCGACTGGAAGGAATCGGTCATCAAGGGCTCGCTCTACAGCTTTATCGAGATCGAGAAGAGCTGGGGCCGATGATCTTACTCAGAAGCGGGGTGTTGCTGTTCGACTTATACCTGCCTCGCCGCCGTGTCACACTCTCCGATCGGCCCTCACTGTGCTCCTTGCTGCCCGTGTCTATGTCTCTCTAATCACGCGAACCCGAAATCAAAGCGTAGTAATGCTTTGCTTTGTGATTCCCTATCGCCTGTGTATCACACCTCGACACGATGACCGCTGGCAAGCTGCTTTGCCGCTTGCAACGCACCCAGTGCTGCTCCTACACCGCTTCCGTCCTTGGCCAGACCGATCTTGACGCGCTTCTCGCCCTCCTCGCCGATCAATTCGCGCAGTGCCCCTCGCATCCTCTCCTCAAAGTGCGGGTAGTACTCGATGACACTGCCGTCCATGCCGACCTTGACGCCGTCGTCGTTGGGTCCGGTGCTCTGCACGTTGCCGGTCTGCACCATGGTCGCTGCGATGGCGACTGCGCTCAATCTCGCCGCGCGCGTGCCGACGATCCTGCACACCGTTCGCACCGTCTCAATGTCCTCTGCCGAGATGTGCTCCTCCTTGATGCCCATAGTCGCCACGAGCACGGTTCGCGTGGGACTCGATGTCGACGTCGCATCCTCCTTGTCCGCCTCGATCGCCGACATGTACGCCGTATCGAATCCGTACTGTGTGTTGAGCAGCTTGCTCGAGAAGCCTTGGAAGAGCACCAGCTGGTCGATCAGGTGCAGCAGCACACATCGAGCCACCTCGCCCAGGTACATGCCACTGATCATTTTTTCGAAAATGTGGTTCCGCGGTCGGATGGATTCGCGGTCCACCTTGTTGTCGAAGATCGTCACGGGCAGGGCTTTGCGTTCGTCGTCGAATCCACCCCATTCCGTGTTCACCACCATGTGGCTGATGGAGCCCTCAGCGGTCTTGAGCTTCTTAATCTTGCGAATGTCTTCGAGGTAAGCGCCGTTGGTGCCCGTGCCAAAGATCGCACTGATCAGCGCACCCTTGGCGGCGTAGGCGTGGGCGAGAAGGGCACCAACCGTGTCATTGACCAGAGCACTGCATTTGACCTTGATGTGCTTGCGATCGAGCGCGTCCTGCAGCAGCTGAACGACGTCTTTGCCAGGAGCATCGGGACAGTTGAAGCCCTTGGTCCAATGGATCAGGTGGCCGCGGTCGATGGCAGATTGCTCCACGGGGAAGCTGAAGGTGAAACCGAGGTGGAGAACGTCTTCGGTGGAAGTGGTGCCAAAGTCTGTGAGAAAGTTGTCGATGCTGGTAGCCATGTAGTTGAAGAGGTCGTTGACGGGTCCCGTCTTGAGCTGATCCGACACCTTGTACTTTTCCTGCTTGATGGTGAAGGTTCCATTGCCGTCGAGAGCCACTTCGCAGACACGCAGATTGGTGCCGCCGAGATCAAGGGCGAGATAGGTTCCCTTTTCTGTTCCGGTGGGCACACCTGTGACGAAGGAGGGGATCATCTGCATTTCTGCGCCGTGGTTGGCGAGGCCATAGTCGTAGAGTTCCTGGAAGCGTGCGCTAAGGGATTCGAGCAGGGGCTTGTCCAGGGTGAATTGCTCCTCGATGGCTTGAACGGCTTGCTGCCGTGATACAGGCGGTACAGCCGGCATCGTGGGATCGGAAGGTGCGGAATTGGATTTGAGTTTACGGTATTAAGGTTTTGCGATGAGATAGTGAGTGGCTTGTGACGATGAAGGATGAAGCTGATTCCAGGCGGAAGGATGAAGCGATCGAATGAGCTGCGACGACGGATGAAGCCGAAGGAGATGGTGGGGAAGGTGGTGTTGTCAGACGACTCGTTCGTCGGGAAGATTCCAAGGTGATGATGGCCGTGCGCTCGCCTCTGCAGGCCAGAGGAGCATCGAAGTCGAGCCGAGGTCACGCTCACCTGGCCCAAATCAGAGAATCCCCAAGCTTGGCAAAATCGACAACGGCGCAGCCAGTCACGCCCTTGCATCAAAGAACAAAAAAGCAAGCCAGCATGGGCCGAGCGTCGTTGACCAAAAGAAGGGTCGAAATTGCAATTTGAGACGGAAGAACTCTCCGCGCAAGCAGGCAACGACATCGAGCAGCGCAGTGAGCGCAGCGACCAGCAGCACAAGGTACGTCAAGGTGGTTGGCTGCTGCGCTTCCAACAAGGAGATTTTTCGGTTTCTCTCTCTCTCTCCGCTCTGCCATCAGCGCATGGCTCCGAGCGGGGGCCGAGCGAGATCTGCCTTGATCTTGTTCTCCACAATCGGGCGATTCGCTTTCTTCCCTTCCCTCCGAAGAGCATGACCGAAAGGGTCCTCTCTGATGATGCACTTTTTCCATTATCATCTGCCGCTGAGCCTCGAGGAAGAGCTTTGTTTCGCATTGTCGGACACGTTCGCAACGCGGAGAAGCTCTTGCTTCTGGACACGTTCCTTCCAGCTGTTCTTCTCGTTGGATCGTCAACCTTGTCGCTCTGGCTCGGCTGTGCCGTTGCCTTGGCACGAAGCTGACTGAGTCTGCAACCGAGACTGTCTTCGGCATGTCAAATCGACCTTGCTCCGTGGCTGGCTGGGCCGTTCGTGATCCTATATAACACCGCATGGGTGGTCTGTGTCACGACTTGCGCCTCTTCCTCATCACCTCATCACAGACTTCCGCTAGTGAAAAGACGTCTCTCCGCAAGTCAGTGGGGAGCGATGCCCGCCATCACACACGGCCTTGCCTCCGTCGGCGCATCCGTTGTGCCGACACCGCATCTTCCCAGCCCGCACCTCTTACCATCGGACATCTTCCATCATCTCGGCCAGTATTCTCCTTGGTTCCCCGCGGATACATCGTCGGACTACGCCGATCCCCCTGATCAATGCGCGGTCACGTTTGTCAGCCAGCTCGAACGACACGGCTCTCGATATCCCACCGCTGGTGCTTATAGAGAGCTGCGCAAGACGCTTCGTCAGATTGCCAAGCACCTAGAGCGAGTGCCGGACACGGGCAAAGGCGTCAAGGCTACTGAAGGACTCGATCCACACCTCAAGTGGCTACGTCGCTGGGTGCAGTCCAAGAAGAGCGAGGATGGAGGCATGCGCAACCGTCTCGGCAATTCCGAGCTGACACCGTACGGCCAATATGAAGCCTACTCGTCAGGGTGGCGCTTCTATGAGCAGTACGCACACCTGTTCGAAGCGCAGCAGGTCGACGTCAACGTGGACTACGATGTTGAATCGGATCGCAGCGGCGCTCACTCGAATCCATGGCTTGATTCGATCTGCGCCGCGCCCCAGACACCCGCTGAATCCAGCGCGTGGTCGACACTGCAAGTGCTTTCTGGCATCAGACATGGAGTCTGTCAGGCATTGCGCTTCATAACGAGGTCAGATCCGTCTGATCTTCATCACGAGCATCGAGAGAGACCCTTCGTTCGAGCTTCGGGAGCAGATCGTGTAATCACCACCTCCCGCTTCTGGCTCCAAGGCTTTGCTCATTCCCCACACAAACCCTTTCGTCATGCCTCGCCCGAGTCCGCGCCGTGGCCGCAGAAGGGACGTCCAGCCGTACTCGACGACCTCAAAGGGGGCAAGCCGCATCGACGCATCGATCACCTCCCCAAACCCGATGTCATCATCCCAGAAGCACGCAAATCGGACAAGCTCGGCCAGGTCGCCAGCAACAACACGCTTGACGTCTACACCTGCTCCGCATTTGAGCGAGACTATCGCGACAACGCTCGCAGCCCTGCCTCTATCAAGACGGCTGCATTCGCCGCCAACGCCACGACAGCCATTCGCGATCGACTGGCGAGCCAACTCGGCGTTCGCAAGGGTGGAAGCAAAGACCGACGTGGAGAGAGGATTCACCTGGAACCGCGCCAGGTGCTGCAGCTTTTCAGCCTCTGTGCCTTTGACACGGTGGCAAGGCTCGATCCGTACGGCCTTCTGTATGGAGATTCGAAGCGGAACGAAGACGCTGTGAGCCCCTTCTGCAGTCTCTTCAAGCCGGAGGAATACGCCAGCATCTACGAGATCACCACGGACATGGAGAAGGACTACGGATTTGCAGCACATAATCCGTTGCACAGGGCGCTGGCGACGCCTTGGCTACGAGAGCTGCTCGCTCGGATGGAGGATCGCTCGCCTGTCATGATCCCGCCCACTTCCATCAACACCACCCTTGATGGGGATCAGCGGACTTTCCCGGTGCCCTCGGCGAAGGGACCACGAGCTTTTGCGGACTTTACACACGACAATCAGCTCGCACCTATCATCTCCGCGCTGAACTTGTGGGATGAAAAGCACACTTGGGTCACCTCCACGACGACGCCCTTCTCGGGCAGATTGACGGTAGAGAAGCTCGAGTGTGGCAAGGATGAGTACGTTCGCATCTTGGTCAACGGCCAGCCGGCAAGCACATCGGAGGGCAGCTGGTGTCCGAGTTCAGATGATGGCTTCGTGCTGAAAGGGGATCAGCTTTGCCCGCTTTCCACATTCCTCCAACCACTCAAGTGGGTGGACCACGCCGACGAGTGGGACAAGTGCTACTCCAAGAAGGGCAAGAAGGTGGAATCGAGCGATGCATCTTTCCCCTAGAGCATAGCAATGCATTTTTCACCGACGGTCGCAAGCGCAAATATCTTGGTCTTTGCCGTCAGCCACTCAATGCGTGCAGTGTTGCAAGGACGTGAGGTTCCTCAACATGGAGATTACGATGAGAATGAGGACAATGTGGCGACAGCTACTGGATGATGAGATCGGGCAGATCTTACGAATCGGGTGATTAGGAAGAAAGCGGACAGCAGCGAAAATGGAGAAAAAAGTCGTCTGCCGCAGAAGATCTCGTAAGCTTGAGTCTGCTTTCATCTGCTTGTCCTTCCTCTCTTTACTCCACCACCACCATGTGAATACCCACCTGCACGTCTCAGACAGTACGTATACGCCGCCTTCTTTCGACCAGGCTCACCTCTGTCCTCCTGTTGCCGCCGCCGCTGCTCCTTCATACATCCGGCAATGAGCGATCGCGCTAGGTTTTAAAAAGCGCTCAACATATCTGGCACCTCTTCGCCGAGCCCTTGGCTCCGATGGCAGGCCTCGTGCTTGTCGTCCGCTTTGGTCGATGCCGCAACTCTTCAATCTGAGCCGTCTCCCTCCTTTGAGGGATCTCCCATGGCAGCAGTGGCAGCAAAGCGAGGACGCAGAGGGAGCCGTCTGTTCTTGCCTCAGTCGCTGACTATTCTATGCTCGTTCGCACCCTGTCGATGCTTGCAGAGTCATACACCCTTTTGCACATTCACAATGTTCCGACCTACGCAGAGCACACTCTTCCGTGCATCGCTGCGTCAGCTGGCGTCAGCGTCCAATCAGCCCATCCCACCTGGATCCGAGATCAACGCCGTAAAACGCACCGCCGCGACCATTCTCCCGCCTGTCAAGCTGTACAGGCGCATCATCCGTGCCCACAGGAAGCTTGATGCAGACATGCGCGCAGTCGGCGACAACTACGTCAAGGACGAGTTTCGCAGACACAAGGGCATTGACAACCCGCTTCAGATCATCGGCTTCCTCAGTTCGTGGAAGATGTATCTCGATCAGCTCGAGGTGCAGCAGGGCCAACCTGGCGGATTCAGAGGCGAACGTCTAGATGCACAGCTGCTGGAAAAGATGTCGGACGAGCAGATTTACCAGATTCACGAGCTCATGACGGCCACCCAGGAGGCGTACTCGGATAAGGCCCAGTCTCACCCTCCAAATCAGCAGAGGGAGATGGCCGAGAAAGCCGCTGCCGAAGCTGGCATGTCGGTCAAGAAGAACGACTGAGCCTAGCACTTTCTGTACGCTACCGTCCTTGTGACCGCTCAACGCGCTCGCTGCATCTATACCTCTTCCTTCCGCTTCCCTTGCATCTCACGCTGTCCCCTCTTTAGCATTGCATCTTTCGTTCGTCTATCTGCTGTATTTCTAGTCTCAACCTGTTCCCTGCATCTCTGTTCGAAACACAATGACTGTGCTGACGCTTGGTACAGCTGCTCGCCGATGAGGTCAAGTCAACGAGGTCGAGTCGACTCGAAGAATCACTGTCGGAAGTCGGAGGCAAGCTGTCGAGCTCGAGCCAGAAATTTTTGAGAATCTGAGAAGAAACTCATGAAGACTCTGGACCAACACCTTCCACCCTCACACGACTCAGCAACAGCATGGGTGGGCATCAGGGCAACGCGGAGGCCTCCTCCAGCGTCACCACCCTTCAAGATGGACTTCGCAAAACTAAGCCGTACTGGTACGAGTTCCAGACGTATGCCAAGCTGCGCTGGTTCGGGCGCGAGCTCATCGAGATCATGACCACCGAGTTTCGCGATCGCACCAAGGAGTACTACGTCTGGGCGATCCACAAGGGCATCTGCACCATTAACGGTCAGAAAGCCGACATTCAGCAAATCGTTGGCGATGGCGACAAGATCTGCAACAGCGTCCACCGCCACGAGCCGCCGGTGACCGACGAGCCCATCAAGATCATCCACAGGGACGACGACGAGGGCATCCTGGTCATTGTCAAGCCCGGCTCGATACCTGTCCATGCTGCGGGGCGGTATCTGCGGCATACGCTGACGGGCCTGCTCAACACCGAGCACGGCATCGAGATGGTCTACACCACCAACAGGCTCGATCGGCTTACGAGTGGCATCATGGTTTGCTCGACAAAGAAGGAGACTGCGTCGCGACTCGGTGCTCAGTTCGCTGCTGGCCAGGTCAGTAAGGCCTATGTTTGTCGTGTACGGGGCCAGTTTCCGGAGGGCGAAATCGTCTGCAAAGAGCCTATCCTCACTATCGACCGTCAGAGCGGCGTCAACATCGTCCATCCCAAAGGCAAGTACTGCGAGACCATCTTCGTCCGCCTCTCGTACGACGCCGACACGGACTCATCCGTCGTCTTTTGCCGGCCCATTACCGGTCGCACACATCAGATCCGAGTTCACGTTCAGTATCTTGGCCATCCCATCTGCAACGATCCCATCTACGGTCATGACGTGTGGAGCAAGGTCGATCAGTCCTCTTTTGCCGAGGTGATACCCGACCAATGGAAGAAGGTGGGCGGCGAGATTGGGCAGAAGGAGGTTGAAATGATTGTGAATGCGATCAAGGGTGACCAGGATGGACAAGAAGACTGGGCGCGGTGGAAGGACGAGGTGCTGTTCAAAGACATGATCGCCCAAGAGGGGCTAGAGAACGTACACGTGCCCGGTCCCAATGGTCGATCCAGTCGACCTTCAGACGAGCTGCTGAAGCGTGCGCTACAAAAGCTGGAGGACGACAAAGGCGAGGTTCCGGCAAAAGGTCTCAATCGACCCGCCGACATTGAGACAGCGTGGCAGAAGCGGGTCAGGGAGCAATCGTCCGACTTCTGCCCCGAGTGCAAGATCCCGTTGCTGCCAGATCCTAGGCCGGAGGAGCTCTACATCTACCTGCATGCGATCAAATACTGGACGGACGAGTGGTCTTTCGAAGATGCCCTGCCCTGGTGGGCGCGGGAGGACTGGAAGTCCATCTCACCTCACGGCTCGGGCACTCGCGAAGGTGCAGCAGAAGCAACCTTGCCGCAAGGTCTGGCTGTCGCACACACAACCGGAGCTGAGCTGAGCGGCGGTGCAATCTCGACATTGATCACGAGCGAGATCGAGGAGAAGGCGTCGAGGTTGGCGGATCCGCAGAAGTACGCAAAGCAGGACCAAGGCGTCGAGCTCACCCAACTGCGGCAGTTGGTAGACTTTCCGCCGAACGACATCGTATCGACTTCAAGGACGAGCTCGACTTCAGCTGCGACAGCGAGCATCAACGTGCCAGTCGTCTTCCAGGTGTTTGGCGGATTCGAAGACTTTGCACAACGCGAGATCCTTCAGCAGACGCTCGCGCGTGCCTCTCAGACAGACGCTGCGCTCACCCCTCGCCAAGCTACGTCTTCGAGCATCCACTCCGGCCATGTCCGCGTACTCGACGACCAGCTCGCAAGACACGGCCTGGAAGCGTACTTTGACGCCAAGCTCGGCATCGCCAAGACCGCCTACCTGCTGACAGCGATACACGAGTTTCCGCGCGATCTAGCTAAGGAGCTCAAGCACGAAAAGTTCATCGGCGGCGCGAGTAAGCGAGCCAGATGGAAGGCGAAGGAGCTGCGAAAAGTATTGGCAAAGAAGGAGGGCAAGAAGCTCGGGACACAGCCGACGACGCCGGGGCTGATCGAGAAGCCATCGATCCTGCGTCAAGATGGCGACGCCACCGACGTGCTGTCCACCACGGTCCCTGATACATTGTCTCTGACAGAACAACAGGGTGCTGATTCACAAGCAATTAGTGTCACTGCAGCGGTCAACGAGATGGGCATTAGCTCACCAGCCAGCGAAGCCGAAATGGACGAAGGCGCACCTTTCCCTTCGGAAGTGAAGCTCCTCAAGCTCATTGATACGGTTTGGGAGTCGTCCCTTCCGCAGCTCGACGCCGCGCTCGCGAGCTGGACGCGCATCACCGAAGCCACAACCTCCCGACCCCTTATCGCCGCCTCACGCACCTACCGCGCAACCGTTGATCGAGCAACATACAATCTGCCGAGCCTCAATTCGCAGACAATGGAGCGCTACGTCGGCGAGCTGGCGTGGGATTGGCTCAACGGCCTCAACACCCCACCTTCCGACACCACCAACTGGAAAGTCGACCTGGAGCAGCCCATGCTGGATATCACACTGAAGTTCTTCCCTGGCTTCGGGATCGGAGATGAGTTCGAGAAGGAACTCGCCGAGGACGACGACCCAGCACTTAAAAGCGAAGGTCAGATCGCATTCATGGTCAAACTGCCTTCGCCTGTGGGACCGAACCCTCGGCGACCAGCTGGTAGGAACGCGTTGCTGGTCGGAGGCACCACAATGGCCGAGTATCGTGCTGCCTCTCTTGCTCTAGCTCTTCCGCTTCCTACCAAGCGAAAGACCAGCACCGACGTCCAAGAGGGCGAGACGCTGGGGCCGCTGCGCATCCTCGAACCGTGCTGTGGGCACGGCTCGCTAGTCTTCGAGACGGCGGCGATGCTCGAAGCGCGTGGTCTGACCGGCGAGGTACTCGGCGGCGACATCGACGAAGAGACTGTGGCCCGCGCACAGCAGATCTCGGATCTCGCTGGTTTCTCTCCCTGCACCGGACCCGTCAAAGTCACCCTTCGCGGGGTCGACGGCACAGACAAAGCTTCGCTTTCGCACTTTGTCGGCGGTACCAGCTCCATCGACGCCATCTTGACCGATCTGCCCTGGGGCAAGCGCGAGAAGTCCGCACAGTCCCTCTCGAAGCTCTACCACCTGTTTATCGAGTCGTGGTTCCCCGTCCTGCGAACTGGCGGATACATCGTTGCGGTCACCGCGGAACACAAAACGCTGTCGAGGGCGCTGGGCGTGTTCGAGACGACATGCAGAAAGAAGCGTGTAGGGAGCTGTCTCGTCATGGAAGATGTCAGGATGCTAGATGCGGACGCAAAGGTGGGAGAGTGGGAGGAGGACAAGGTCAAGAGGCAAGGTGTGTTGGAGGCCAAGCGCAACGCCGGGATGAGGAAGATCGAGATCGGCTACCACGTGTACGTGTTCCTCATCCGGAAGATCGCCATCTAGAGCGGGTGATGGGGTGTCACTCGGCCAGTTGATGAGGAGCAATATAGAACACGATAATAGTTACAGGAACAATTTGTCGACACTTGTCGCCCTTCATCGAACCCTTCGCCCATTTGTGGTCAGTACCAGTGCAAACGGCGTGATGCAATTGCGAGGTGCAGTCCAGAACGCTCGCATGCGTGACACTCGCATGGCTAGACCTTGCTGACCTTGCGGTCCGAAAGCGTGGTTCACCATGTGCCTGTTGACGATGCTGCATGTAAGGGCGGAAAGGAGGCTCACGCAGCATGACCCGATCTGGTAACCCGATCGAGCTCTAAGCCTTGCCAGCCGGATGGATTTCATCGAAGGCTGTGCTGCGCGACATCGTCACACGAAATCGCCACATGGTCTGGCTCTTCTCACAGCCTCGTGGAATGAATTGCCGGGTGGAAGGGCGGTAAGGTTACAGACTTTCATTTAGGACTGCATGACCACTCTTTTGTTCAGCTCTGGTCAGCAATCAGTTTCAGAGTCGAGAAGGTCAATTGACCGACCGGCCGGCAGGCAGGCTCGAGCGCTGACAGGACAGCCGTGAAGCGACACAATGCGGCCCGCAGGTTGGGTTACACGGCTCCGCTAAAACTTGCATGACTAGTTCGTCATCTGGCTTGCTGGACCGTGTCAAAAGGCATTGTCTCGCCCAAGCTTGATGCCGACAGCGTACAAGTCGAGCAACGCTACGTCGCTGCTTGCCGCTATGACGAGGAGTCACCCTGCTGACTGGGTCGAAGGGGGTGTCGATGGAAGCGTGGGTCGAACGAACCCGTCCTGACCGCCATTTGGCCGTCCGACCGGTCATCAAGAATCCCAATTTGCAATGAGAATTTTCCCACTTCTTTTTCCAACTCCTATCCCTCTTCTTGTCGCCGCCTACGACCATGCGGTTGTGCCAATTTCACACTGGGGATCGGCCGCGTACGTCATTTATTTTTGGCGTGAATTCCGGAAGAGCACTGCCCTGTTACACAAACTTGTCTCAGCACAGCGCTGCTCAGCGCAGTAAGAAATGTGCCGGCCATTGGATCGAGGATTGTGCTGTGTGCCTTGCAGATGCCGTTTGCGGTCCTTCGACTTTGTACCGCCCTGGAGCGGAGCTTGCCTTTCGCATCGCCCACTCGCCCTAGGCGAAACAATGGATGTCAGGGTCCCTGTCAGACGCCCTGAGCGCTGACGCCGCGGTTGGACCCCTCCGCTCCGAGATGCTACGCAGTACAGGTACAACAAGCACTTGCACCGCTCATGCCGCTTAGCTGACCTCAGAGTCCGGAGCGTCCAACCGATGGGCGGACTCTCGTTTCTTCGTTTCACCGTCTCGACGAGACTGTCCATCGGGTTTCCATAAGTAGGCGACGCTCTTCCTTGGCAAACGTCCACCATCGCACCCACATCCAACAACCTAGCAACGAAAGCAAGCCCACGGCCGAGCTGCTCGAGACGCTCCATCCATCGTACCTACGTCCAGCCCACTCCACTTCTGGCCGCCCAAGATGAAGCTCGCTGGAGCCACCACACTCGTCTCGTCGGGCCTGCTCGCGGCTTCGGCTGTGATGGCCGTTCCCGCTCCATCCATCTCGTCGCCCGTCCACATTCCCATCACCAAACGCAACCTCGTCAAGCGCTCCGGCGACGACCTGCTCAACTGGGCCTTTGAGCAGAAAGCCATGCTGCAGTCCAAGTACAATCTCCCCTCTACCTCGCAACCGCAACGTCGAGCCGGCGCAGCATCCCTCACCAACGTCCAATACGACTCGTCCTGGGTCGCTCCCATCTCTGGCGGAACGCCGTCGAAAGAGTACTACGTCGTCCTGGATACCGGGTCGGCCGATTTGTGGATCTCAGACCAGTACTACACTCCCTCCTCGAGTAGCTCGTTCCAGAACGACTCGTCGGCATTCAACATCCAGTATGGATCCGGCTCCGTTTCGGGCTACCTGGCAACGGATACGTTCAGTCTGGCAGGTACGACGGTGAACAACCTTCACTTTGCCGTTGCCGACCAAGTCTCCCAAGGGCTGACGAGTGCGGCGATGGAGGGCATTATGGGGATGGGTTTCCAGCGACTCGCCTCGTCCGGCGAACCACCGCTGTGGGTCGCTAGCAACCAGAACACCTTCTCGTTCTACCTCGAGCGAGCGAGTCTGACCTCGGCGGACCAGACCCAGGCCGGTGGTATTTTCACCCTCGGCGGCACCAACAGCAGCCTCTACCAGGGTGACATTAGCTACAACTCGCTCATTGAGGAGCTCTACTGGATGGTGCGTCTTGGCGCCATCGGGACCAAGGGCAGCAATGTCAACCTCGGTAGCCTCACCCGCGCCGCCATTGACACGGGTACAACGCTCGTCGGTGGTCCCGACTCGGTGGTCCAATCGCTCTACTCCCAGATCCCCAACTCTCGCTCCCAGGGCAACGGCTACTACTCCTTCCCGTGCTCCTCCTCGGTGGACGCAACGCTCACCTTCAACGGCATGCAGTACACCATCCCTGATTCAGACTTCATCGCGGGCACCCTCGACAACAGCGGTTCCCAGTGTCTAGGCGCCTTCTTCGGCCTCGGCTCGACCGTCCAGACCGACCTGCAGTGGATCGTTGGCGATGCATTCCTCAAGAACGTCTACTCGGTCTTTACGACCAACGGCAACAACGGCAATGCTGCCGTGGGCTTTGCCAGTTTGGCTAACGGCTTGAACTCGGGGACCAACTCGAAGAGTGTCGGCACCAGCAGCAACACGTCGTCGAGTCCCGCGGCTAGGTCGTTCGGCAGTGCAGGTGTCGGCGCTGTCGCCCTGGCTGTCGCCGTTTCTGCGCTGGCAGCGGTTCTTGCATGATCGGAGATGTCGAGGGGCGGATGAAGGGGCCGGATGTGTAGATAGCGAACGATGAGACCCAGGCCCTCTCCGAACCTTGTTGCTCTCAGAACAATTTCATTCAATCTTTTGGAACTGCATTCGATGCGTGACGAGACTTGCGGTGTGATGCATTGCGAAGACGTGTGTGACTGACAAGATTTGATTGGACGACATAGCTCGATGAGACGAGGCTGGGAGCGGCTCGTGGCATCACTTAGCGACGCCGTGGAGCGGTCTCTCGACGCGCAACCCGGTCCCACCAGCAACGCCCATATTCAACGCTGGGCTGCTTCCTCTCCTCCCCTTTCCCTCCCCACTCTTGACCCTCACAAGCCCCTTATCCGCAACGCTAAATCGTCTTCCATCCATCGGGGCCAGATTCGGGCTGCTGCCTCGCCTCCCTTTACCATCCTGGCTCTTGACCCTCGCGAGCGCATTTCCGCTGGTCGGCGAGGCCAAGCTGAATCGCCGCCCGTCGTGCTGTTGGGACAAACAGTGTTGCATCGCCGCCTTGTTCACTTCGCCCTTCCACACGCGTCTTCCCTTGGCCTCGTGCACCGCGGCGGTCGCGAGGAACTTGACGTCGATCGCAGTCGCGGGAGAGTGGTGCGAGTCGACGCTTCGCAAAGAGGAGGCGTCGAAGGAGCGGCGTGCCAGTCCCACCCTAGGCGCGGCGGAGGCGGATGGTCGACGTCCAGGTGCTGGTGTCAGCGGGTCCTCGCTATCCATGCTGACGGGGGAGACGACGAATGCCGGCGTGGCAGGCAAGTGCGTATCGATCGAGAGTTTCGGCTTTGATGGGTGCGAAGTGGGGAGCTTGATCGTGGGCAGTGGCTCGTGCTCGACAGTAAAAGGGTTGGAGAAGCATGGCTCCCACGGTGATGGGCCGAGGGAGAGCGCTCCCGGTGGCAACACCCGTGCTGCTTCGGGCACTTTCGCGCCAGGATGCAGCTCCAGCTCGTCCTTCTCCGACACGGCTTCGATCTGTGGCGTTGGAGAAATTGGAGATGCAACAGGGGAGGCCAGTAGGCTGTGTGCAGACTTGCTACTCTGCCGTGGCTGGATGCGGCGCTTGATGACGGTCGAATCGGGTCTGATGTTGGAGCGCTGTGCGTGCATGCGCTGCCAAACCTGCTGGTCGATGCCTGACGATGACGCCGGAACCCCATCCTTTATCGCTGTCGACTCCTTTTTCGACGCAGCGACATTGCCCATGACCCACAGCTTGCCCTTCTCCCTTTCGGCCACAGTCTCCCTCTCCCCCACAGGCCTTGCAGGCGGGGCCCTCGCCACCTCTCCCAACGTCTCCCTTATACTCTTCTCCCTCGTCTCCGTCGTCGGACTGTTCGGCGCGCTACTCACCAGCGTCCATCCTTCGCTCTTCAACCTCGCCTCTCCCATCGCGGCCGCCTCGGCTCTCCTCCTCCTCTCACTTCGTCTCCTTTTCTCCTCCTGTCTCGGCCCCAACCGGTTCGCCGGCACAATACACACATTGCCCGGCCCGCACACGAGCGAGTCCTTCCGCATCAGTCCACCCGAAAAGCTGTCATCGACGAGGACCACATCATATCCAAACACGCGGCTGAAAAAGAAGCTCGAGACGTTCGACAATTTGCGATGGAAGGAACGGAGGACCGAGTCGATGAAACGGGCGAGACGGAGGATGTGGCTGTCGACGAGGTTTTCGGCCTCACGGGAGGAGATGTTGCCCATCCTGACGGATTGTAGAGCGGTGGAAACAAGGTGTGTGTGTGGGTGGTAGGGAGGGTCGAGGACTGGTCCGTGAAGGCTGGTGTGTATGTCTACGCGGTCATGATGGAATGCTTTTGCGTCTTCGTCAAGGGGGGTCGTTAAGGGGTCGTAAGAAGAGGTCGTGGGTATCTATGGAGGGTCGAGAAGCGTGGACGTCGAGTGTGGTGGGAGGTGGTGGTCGTGGATGGTGAAGCTGACATGGGAAGGACAAGAAGAATCCCCCTCGCTTCCGGTCTGAAGCGGAGGAGGAGGGGGCCTGCATGACATTGGCAAGTTTGTCGCGTGGTGGAGACAGGGGCTCGAACCTCGCACCTCGCACCTGTCAAAATGAAAACTTAACCGAGACGTGAGGGGCTTTGTTTGCCTGGCGCTCGCGAGGCTTCGGTTGCATCATCGGCTTTCCTTTGCATGGAGATAACGCTTTCCACCGGTCCTCTCCCCTCCCTTGCGCCTCTTACGCATTCCAGTCCTCCCTCTTCGCTCTCTGATACTTCCACAGACTAGCACAACGAACAAGCTCCATCAGTCGTCGAACGAGGTGATGAGCCGCCCACATCCAAACAAAGATAAACCAAAAGGGAATTTCAATTCATAAGATTCAAACGGCGACACACAGGCAGCACGCTTCAACATCTCTTTTTGCTCCAAATTCTCGAATTTGGAGAAAATCGCCCCGCAGGTTCATGTGAGGAACCGCGAAAAATTTCGTTCTCCGCTCTGCGCTGCAGCGAAGCAGATCTTCCTTGCCGCATGCAGCCAAATTCTTGCTGCAGCGGAGGAGGACGATCCTTGCCCATGCGATGTCACCGAGCCCATGTGCGATACATCAAGTCTTCAATCAGTGCGATGTACGAACGAGTGTTAATGCTGTTCCATTGACAATTTCGTGAAGAGTGCAAACGCAGGTCCATATAGCAAAGTTACTAGGAAGGAGTGGTATCAGGTTGCTTCTCCGTAATCTCGCTCGCAAGGCGGTCCAAGTCGATCCCATCCCCCTTTTCCGCACTTTCCACCTGTCCCGACGTCCCCGCTGCTGGTCCCTGCTGCGTCTCCCTCCTGGCCCGCTCCACGCGCTCATCCACATCCCTCGCAAACGCCTCCAACAACCTCTCCTCCACCTCGCGCTTCTTCTTACTCCTCTCGCCCCCCTTCCAGATCGTCACTCCCGCAGCGATACCCGCTAAAAACGAACACGGCATGAACGTGCCCGTGCTCCAAGCGGGTCGATCGCGATAGTGCGTTGCGTAGCCCCACATGTAGCCGCACAACAGGCACTGGAAGAGCGAATTGAGGTCGTTGAACAGCGTGATGCTGAGCGCGGCGGTGATGCTGAAGGCGTGGTGGGTGAAGGTTTCGTGGGGACGATACCAGGATTGGGATTCGGCAAAGGCGGTTTGGAGCGTGTGCAGGTGTGTTGCTTGTTGAGGCGAGAGCACTGCGTCTGATGTGAGAACGACTTTCGGTTCCTCCTCCTCATCGGAGGAATCGTCGTCGGAAGTATTCCGTTTGCGGTGTGCCTTAGCAACGACCGAAGGAACGTCGTTCTTATCGGCCAACTTGGGCAGACCTTGCTTCTTGCGCAACCGCCACGTGAGATGTTGATAGTACGCAATCCATCCCATCCTCCACGTATCCCGCAGACGCCACGGGATCAACCCCACACCCGGGATGGTGAACAACCCGTTTTCGAATTGACTGAACACTTCGATCCAGAAGTCCTTGTTCTTGCCCCCGTCGACGGCGCCGATCAGGAACAGCACCAGCGCTGCACCACCAATCACGACGAGGAAGCCGTAGATGCCAGCAATCACACCGACAGGCGTCTTGAGGAACGCCCAGACGCCCTGCATCGCGCGAGCAAACTTTTGCTTCTTGGTGAGCAGCTCGTGGACGTAGGCGTCGAGGTGCAGGTCGTCCTGGTCTTGCTGTGTGCGGGTGGGGACGCGGCCAGATTCGAGTTGCAGCGTCGTCTCGGTGGATGTGGCGCCTGCATCGACTTCCTGGGAAGGCAGATCGATGACTGGCCTCCGATCGTACAATCCTGGAATGTTGGGGAAGATGAGCGAGTTGCCGATGTTGCTCAGATGCCCGGCTGCAGACACACCCGGATCGACCACGTCGAGCGTGTCGACGAGGTAGGCGCTCTCTTCGTCCATCGACGACGTCTCCGTGCTTGGCGAGGAGTCGGTGGATTCTTCCAATCTCTCAGGTGTGTCTTCGGGTCCACCCTGTCCTGGCACCATCCCGCCGTACTTTCGGATGAGCGCCATGAACGTGGTCTCCTTGGCCGTGCCCCTCTCCCTCTCCGCCTCCTTGAGCGGGTCGAGCGCGGCGATCCTCCTCATCCTCTCCATTCGCCTCTGCTTCTCGCGCTTCTCCACCTTGCGATGGTGTCTCTCTGCGACTCTCCTGACCACTCCATGTGCACATGGTCGGCCTTTATGATGTCTATGCGCGTCTAGCATCGAATCGTCGTCGTCGTCCTCTTTGCCCTTCTTCTTGGCACTACTTGCCTCGGCCTGTGCCGAGAGGCGGGTCAGATACGATCCCCGCTCGCTCGTCACGCTGCCCGGCATGGTCGGAATCGTGGGTACTGGATCTGCCGGTCGCAGCGAGGCAGCGTCGATGGGAGCGTGCCGCACCTCGGAGTTGAGAAACGCCTCTGCTTTGGCGAGCTTCGCGGCGTCGTCTGCGGCTCGTCTTCGCTCTTCCAGTCGCGCCTCGGGGACGGCGGTGAGTTCGATATCGGCTTGGTCTTTGGATGAATCGGAGGATGAGGATGCGGCGGAGGTCTGTCGGGGGCGAGTGGCGGGAGCACTTGGGGCGGAGACGGTAGCGCGCCGATGCTTGCGCAGTCGCATCGTGCGGTGGCGATGGTGCGCCATGACGCTGTAGAGCGGCTAGCCGTAAGACGGCTGCTTCTGGGGCTCTATGGACACGGAGGTGCTAGAAATGGGCAGCCTGACGGATGACGAAAGAACGAGATGATGGATGGTGATAGTTGTGAAGGTAACTCTGGTGCTCTTGTCGACCCAACGTGTGTGCCGTGTTTGTGGATCAAAGTCAAGCCAAGACATGTGTGTGCATGCAGCTCCTGCTCGAAATTCAGAGAGTCGAAAAATGAGAAAGGCGCGTGCGTAGGATCTGCAGCTGCAGCTTCTGTCAAAAATGCTTGACACAGCGGAGAGAGAGGGACCCTTAGACTCGGAACAGCGGGGCCGGTTAAGCGAATTCCATTCACCAACGATCCCGAATTCGCACTGGTCAAACAATGGGAATGATGAATGTTCCTTTTGCTCATGACAAAGGTCTGCGAGATAGCATTGCAGAGTCGCTGCCAATCACCGCTGCAGTGCACCCTTCCCCCGCCCCTGCATGACACTCAGTGTCGAGTGGAACCCGCCTTGCGAGGTCTCGAGAACCCTGTCCCCTCGGTCTTGCTCAGCGTCTGGGGCGCATCTCCATCAAAACCCGTGCCGGCAAACTTGTGCCTCTCCTGCGCCAACACCTCCTCGATCTCGCCCGTAACATATGCATGGGTAAAGTCCTCCCTGTCGGACGCCTCGAGCTTCTTAACCACGCGCATGCCCGAAAAGCCCTTGACGTGGTTGAGAATGATGAGCACGTTGCTCGAGTAGATCATGCGCGCCTTGACGCCGCTCGATGCGGGGCAGCAGTAGAGCATCGCAACGACGCTCTCGCCCGACGTCTGCATCGAAGCCTTATCCAGACGGTAGAAGGCGATGCGTGGGTCGTTGGCGCTGAGCGCAGAGGGCAGATCGGCAGGCGGCACGAAGCGAGGCGGCGATTCCAGCTCAACCGTCTCGCTGCGCAGGTCGATGGACAGGACGACCAGGTTCCACTCGGAAGTGCCAGAGGCAGTGGAAGCAAGCGCCTTGATGGCATCTTGCACGCCATCATCCCACTTAAATCCCACAGCGGGGCCACCAGCACCGCTGCCTGCGCTGCTGCCGTTGGTCCCCGCTCGCTCGGTCGCCTGCAGCTTTCGCAACGAGGCGAGCTCCTCCTCCCGCTGAGTGAGGCCGGTCGCCGAGGGACCCGAACCGGATCCGATCGAGATGGAGCTCTTTTCCTGCGGCCTTTCGGGTGCTTCCTCCTTGAGACTCGCCTGGTCAAGCGATGTCGGCAACGTGGGCTGTGACAAGGGCGCTTTGCTCTCGGTCGATGGTGAGGAAGGCTCCTGGGGCGCTTTGCTCTGAGCAAAGTCCTGCTCCGCTTCCGTGACCTTGCACTCGGGCTCGTCGGCATCAATTGCAGATGCGACGTTGGCAGCTGCAGTCAGAGTCGATCCAGATGGTACTGTGGGCTGCGACAGGCTGTCTGTCTGGCCTGCAGCGACTTTTGGCGTGCTGGGCTCTTCTGGCGCCTTCTCCTCGGCAGCGAATTGCTTGGCATTGTCGTCCCTGGTAGCGGATGGTGTCGACTCGGTGGCAGTCACAGGAACTGCTGGCTCCGCAGGTTCCTGATCCGCGACCGGCGGTGTGGGGCTCTTGAACGCCGAGGTGAACTCGTGCGAGTTGTATCGTTTCGGTGTAGGCGCCTGCGTGACCTTGGGCAGCTCGGCTTCCGGCACCGGCTGAGGACGTTCGACGGCGGGCGAGGCACCTGCCGATCCGCCCGCGCTGCTGACGCCAGACACCGCAGAGGTAGCTTCCAGATTGGATGGCTCATCCTCGGTCGATCGGAGATTGTTGGTCCTGCCAGCCGAGCCAAAGTTCCTTCTCGCCCCACCTGAGCCGGTTCCGGCTGCCTCGGATGCAGCGACGCCCGCGGTCTTGAGCTGTGGGTTCTGGTAATCATGCTTTCGACTGTTGCGCAGCTTGGTAGGCCACAAGAAATCCGAAGGCGAAGCACCAAAGATGGTTTCCAAGAATCTGCGCTCCGTCAAGCCCGCCATGAGGGAAGAGCGGGTGATGGCATACTGCATCTTCTCCTTGATCTTGGCTCCGTCCGGCTGGTACGAGCAGCAGAGCCACTCCCATTCACCCGAGGCGGATTGACTGTCGAGGCGGTACAACGCATAGCCACTGCGCTGCGGGTCATTGGCAAAGAGCTTGGCGAGGACGGGCGCAAAATCTTCCTTGTCGCTCACATCTGGGCCGGAAGGCGGTGCGGACTGGACGAGCTTGAGGAAGCCGCCGTCATTCTGGACGAGAATGGCTCGTGTCGAAGCGTCGGCCTCTTTGAATGCCTTGGCCAAGTCGTCTGAGATGGGGATGTTGGACATGTTGGCGGGCGGAGATGGAGATGAGGATGAGGGTGTATGCGGATGCTTCACGTCGATGACGGACGTTGATGCTGGTGCTTGAGGAGACTGCAGCATTCGATTCGTTTGGTCAAGCTCCTGCAGCTGCTCTTTGTGGCCAGCGAGCTCCTTCGTGAGCCGTGATTCAGGCACAGCCGCCTGTGTGGAGTTGAACTTGGCTCGTGCAGTCTCCGGGCGATTTTGGACTTGACGGACTAGTAGATGCCGATCTCACAATCTTACACTCGAAATTCGTCTTACCGGCGAGTCCGGTCAAGTGCGCGCTTGCCGGCTACTCACTTGCCCAAGCAGGCCGAATCTGTCCATTGCGGGGTGTGGCCAAGCGGCAACTTTTCGCTTGTCTCGTGCTCTGTGCCACACTGCCTTGTGTTGTCCCGTTCTTCTTGCACCCTTGCTTCTCGTCCTTCCTCTTCATCTATCTCTCACCTCTCTCCCTCACCGCTAGACCTCTGACATCCCCATTGACGATCAAAATGCCCAAGGACGCAGCTCCCGAAGTCATGCCCGAGCTGGGCGCCCAGCGACTCTTCTCGCTTGACGGCAAGATCGCCCTCGTCACCGGTGGTGGTACCGGCATTGGCAAGATGATCGCCGCCACCTACATTCGCAACGGTGCCAAGGTCTACATCGCCAGTCGAAAGCTCGCCGACCTCGAAAAGGTTGCGGCGCAGCTGAGCAAGCTCGCCCCGAGCGATCCCGAGGGCAAGAAGAAGCTCTGCGTTGCGCTCCAGGCTGATGTCGGCAGCAAGGCTGGATGTGACGCTCTCGCTGAGCAGGTCAAGAAGGCCGAGTCCAGGTTGGATATCCTGGTCAACAACTCGGGTCTCACCTGGGGCGCTCCCATGGTCGACTTCCCCGAGCAGAAGGGTTGGGACAAGGTGTTTGACTTGAACGTCAAGAGCCAGTTCTACCTCACTGTTGCGCTGCTGCCCATCTTGGAGAAGGGAAAGAGCAACACGGACCACGGTACCGTGCTCAACATTGCTTCCACCGCCGCCATCGTTCCTCTCGCTGAGGGCGGTCTCTCTGCCCCCGGTAACGGCACCTACTCTTGTAAGTCTTAACCTCCTGCGTTTTGAGTCGCATACACACATACTAACGAACATGATTGCATATCTGATTTCGATCGACAGACCAACCATCCAAGGCGGCTTCGCTGCACCTCACCAAGGTGCTCGCCAACTCGCTCGCCGAAAAGTTTATCATGGTCAACGCCATTTGCCCCGGTGTCTTCCCTTCGCGCATGACCGCCTATGGTCTCGAGGAGAACCGCGATCTGCTCGAGGGCATCCAACCTACGGGCCGTGTCGGTACGCCAGAGGACATCGGCGGTGTCGCCATGTTCTTTGCCTCGCGCGCCGGCGCTCACTGCACCGGTACCGGTATTGTTGTTGACGGTGGCCAGAGCATCCAGTTCCAGCCTCGTCTGTGAGATGTCTTCCGTTGGTTTGCAATGGAAAGAGTGACTTTGGAGACCTGTTCCTGTCTGTGGCGCGAGAGTGTGGAGATACGCCTTTCCACGACCCAGCAATGACAGATGCATGATGAGATAGTTGAGAGATGCCGTACAAGTACAATTGGTTGAAGCAGAGAAGCCGAGCTATTCCTGAACGTAACGCCGGCGCATTGTCCTGTACTTCTTGAGTGAATACAGCGTTTCCGTTTCTTTTGCGGCAGGCGATACGAACCACGCAAGGAAGCAATGCTCATCAGTCACCATCACTTGTATCGATGTACTGAGCCGTGGCCGCGACACTTACCCTTCTTGACAAACTCAGCCAGATCCAGTTTCGCCTTGATCTCCTTTTCGTCTGTGAGGTGAGCGTTTCGCGCAAACATCCCTCGCAACTTGCCGAGGAAGTTGTACTTCGGATCCGGGTAGTCTCGTCCAAGACGATGGAGCTGTGAAGGCAAGAAGCGAGTGCAGAGTCATGCGGGTTAGCTCAAAGTGATGTCATGTGGCTGTGGCGTTTTAATGGGCGGATAGAGAAGGGCAGCAAGCGTGCGGTGGTGAGAGGCACAGCGGTCTCGATGGGATACTTGCCTCCTTGTACAACCCGATGGCTCTCGCCCGCATGGGATGGCCGAGTGGCGGCATGGTGACAGCCCTCCTTATTAGTGCGCCGTCCTGGCGAACGTCTTGAAGCGGTCCTGCTTTGCCGTTGACCGTGCGTTTGAGGTGATGGCTGATGTGGTGGCAAGTGAACCGGCAACACCTTTCGACAAGGGTCTTTCATGCTCCACACGTCTGAATCACAATTCCGTCAGCCGAACAAGTCACCGCTCAAAAAAGCGCGACCAAAAAGAGGGTCCAGAAATTCACTAGCCTTCCATCTTCTCATCCTCATCCTCACTTCTTGTGTCAAGCAACGACTCGAACGATGGACCGCTTCCAGCAACCCTCCGAGCTGGACGAGGCGACCAAAGCCCAAACGGCAGACGCGCTCGTCAAGTCGCGTCAGTTCCTTACCACCCGTCTGCTGCCGGACCTGGAACGGGCAAATCGTGACCACCAGAGTCTGGTCGCGCAGATCGACGAGTACAGGAAGCTGCGCGAGACGCTACGGTCCCTAGACACCGATGAAGGGCGGATGAAGAACGAGAGCGTAGTGGACAAGGGAGCGACGCTGTTGGCGGATGTGGGTGGTGGAGTAGCCGTTCCGACTCAACTGTAAGTCCATACTGCCACTAGTCAGCGAAAGGTTTAGATGCGGGACACTCGCGCTGACGAACGTTGCCTTCGATCGACCGCACAGGCTGCAAGACGAGAAACCGATCATCTCGCTAGGTCTCGCCAACTTCTACGCACAACTCACAAACAGGGAGGCGAGAGCCTTTATCAACAAGAAGCTCACCCTGCTCGAGGCGAAACGAGATCGAGCGATCGACAAGCTCGCCCAGATCGAAGCGCACATTCATCTCACGTCTGCTTCCATCACGCAGCTCGACAATTTGCATCGCGGCGGGTCCATCATCGACGATGTATAGACCGCCTCTTCAAGCCACGCACCCATCTGTATTTGTACCGTCATTGCATCATTTCATATAAGCATAGTACCTGACAGCGTACGAAAGTGAGGCAGAAATCATTCCGAATCATAACCAATCGATCTATATCCATGTCAGGAGCGTCAGTCGATGGCTCTAAACGTCGCGCTTGACGGAGCCGCCGAGCATCCTAGCGAAGAGGGACCTCTTCTTGGCGGGCACCTGTTGCTGAACAAACTGCACGTCGTGCTTCTTGTACAGCGTGGCCGAGTCGAGCACCTCGCCGTTGGTTGAGTGGATCATATCGACCTTGAGGTTGTTCTTGTCCTTGAACGTCAACCTGGCATAACCGTTGTGAAGGTCGTCGACAAAGTCGTTGTAGGCGGGGCGCTGTCCTGCGAGGGAGAGACCCTCGATGTTGCCGGCTGCACCGGCGATGATGTGCCAGGGCGCCTTGGGGTTGTTCAGACCGGCACTGTCGATGTTGTTACGGTAGGTCGGCTTCTGACGTTGGAGGTTGTGCACGTGACCGGCAACAAAGAGATCCACACCGTACTGGTAGAAGATGTCTTCAAAGGCAGTCTGGCATTCGGAGCAGACGTTGTCCGACTCTCCAGTGCTGTACCACGGTCGGTGACCCAAAGCAATCACCCAGGGAGTCACGGTGCGGTCGACGGAAGCAAGATCGGTCTTGATGAAGTCCAACTGCTGGTTCATGCGGCCGTATGGACCCGCGCCCAGGTTGGCCGTATCGGGAGCCGAAGGGAAATCAGTCTCAGTGTCGAGCGAGATGAAGTGCACCATGCCGACGTCGTAGCTGTACCAGAACGGCGGCAGGGCAAGCGACTGCGCCTTGGTTGCGTTGGCCTTGGCGGCGTTGTTGCGAGACTGCGAAGCAAACGTCGTCGGCATGTTGGGGCCAAAGCGCTGCGAGTAGTCGGTGAAGTTGTACTGGCCTTCGGGGCAGGTGCCGTCTCGATAGCCAATCTCGTAGCAGGCCGCCTCGTGATTGCCGGGCGAAGCCATGTACGGCTTTACAGACGAGACATAGCTCAGCTGGTTGAAGAAAAGCTCAGTGATGGCAGCATATGCGTTCTTGCCATCGAGCAGGTTCTGGGGACGGAGGTACCAGTCGTCGGCGTACGCAAAGTCGCCTGGGTGCACGACAAAGTCGTACTGATCCTTGCTCTGCACGAGCTGGTCGATGGTAGAGTGCGTAAGACTGGGAGGGATGTTAGGGATGTCACGCTTCGTCGTGGTCGTGTAGCCGTCGAGACCATAGACACCCATATCGATGACAGCGTTGACGACAAGCTGCGACGTGTCGCCGGGCTTGGCGGCACTCTTGAACGAGAGAGTGGTCGAGTTGGTCGAGTCAATCTTGTAGTAGTAGGTGGTCTTGGGGTTGAGGTTGGGGAGGACGACATTCTGGAACCAGGTTCGCGAGGTCGGGTAGGTGGTGGAGGAGGAAGAGCAGGCACGCTTGGTGAGCTTCTTAGGGTCCGTACCGTAGGCGACGCATGGCTTGTCGATCTTTTGATAGGTGTTCCAGGCGACGGAGACGGCGTTGAGCGACTTGTAGGAGAGACGAGTCTGGGTGGGGGTGGTCTTGTCGGCGGGGATGGGAGGGTATTCGTACGCCGAAGTGGAAGTGGCGGCGGCGATGAGCGCCAGCACGCTTGCGACGGTGAGACTCTTCATTTTGAGTGAGGTTGTGTGAGGAATGCTGGACCTGACGGGAATGACGAGCACGAGCTATCTTCGTTTATATAGCTCTGAGGCTCGGATGGCAAGGGTGAGCAAAGCTCCTCGGCGCCACACATCAGACAGACTTCGAGCGAAGGACCGAGGAGGACGACTGCAATGTGACCGTCTCAGGGGCATTCTGACTGGTCTGCCGGGGGCGGCTGGGAAACGTCGGACAGGCGGAGACCTCATGCGGCGGCAAGAGTTTACGCCGGTCCGCAACACATCAGGCCATCTCGTTAAGCGATGCCGCGGTTGGAAGTCCGAACGAGATCTGGACACGACCGCTCGCATAGATGCTCGCATGAACAATTCTTCAGCCCTTCAGGAGCCCAGAACATGTAGCAGGAGCGAAGGCGTCGGGGCAATTGTCGGAGTGAAAGCACGTACGCCGTTGCAGAGCTCACTTAAGCGAAGGTTTGAGGGTTTGCCGTAGGAGAGGCAATACGAAGCACGTTGGCGGCATCTCGTCGGCTAGGGAAGCGATACGGTCAAGAAAGGTCTCAGGAACGTTGCCACCATACAAACACGGAAACTACTGGCCGACTCAGGGGCAAGTGAGAGCCTCTCCTGAACGTTACTTTCACGACCGAACAAATCTGCAACGTCGAGCAGGGTCACTGAACACGTTTTCTCGCTTAAATTGACAGCCCACCCACGGTTTCTCAAGAGCGACGAGATTGAGATTCAAGAAGGCCCAGGCGTGAACTTTCTTTCGGACGGTGGTTCCGGCCCTAGTTTTCGCTCAACGTGGACATCAATGTCCCGGACATCCGCTTGAAGAGGGTTGACCGAACGGGGCAACAAGCCAGACTGAGAGTGGCCGCCATGATGTCAAAGCATGAACTGTCAAAAAGAAGGTTTGGATACGAATCAGCGTTCTCATGCGGCGCTTCACGTCAAAACCCGAAATTCTGGCAGCACGTTTTTGATTTTGTCAGATCGGGAGATGGCCAAATCGGGGCTTGTCGACGTTCGATCGACTCGATCTAGAAGAAAGGGTCGTCCACGCCTCGCCGGTCCCTGTAGCTTAAAATTTCCCGGAATTTGAATTTGGTTGCGCGACAGAGACTCGCCTGCAGCCACTCAGAGAGCAAGCGGGCTGAAGTTCCCCGCACTGCCCTCGCACAACCACCAACACGGGCCAATCACAGCCGGCCGAGCTGAGACTAAAAAAGCGAAGCTCTTAATCTCTTACGCTCAACGGCGTTCCTCTAAGCTGATTTGCGAGCATGATGTGAATCTTCGAGAAAAGCTGAGCTTGGCTTGAGCCCCTCAAGGCAAGCTCAAGGGCGAGAGGATAAGGGAGAGCAAGTCAATCATCGACAAGTGTGGTCTATGCTCCTAAAAACCTTATCGCGTGCTCTGGGATTTCCAGGAACAAGCGAGTGGCGAAGCGCACCGAATCCTGTCCCGCCGTGGTGAGCCAAAGTAGTGGACCCTGGACAAGGGCTTCTTCAAGGTACCATTACTTCCCATCATCTCGACGACGTCTTTCGCCATCCGTTCACTTCCGTCGTCCACCTCGCTGCTTCACATCTCAGCTTCCACTCTTCCGATTTAAATACCCCTGACACCGTCTTCCGACTACGTACCAGCAAAAATCACTCTTCAAAAGCAAAGCATCTTCGCTCTTAGTGAGAGCCCATTTCCTCATGCTCTGAAAGCACTGTGGACTCAACCGCAACACGGCCTTTTCTGAAGTCATTCCACCCAATAGGGCTTCCACAATGACTGCTGTCGCCTCGGCATCTCTTCCAGCACTGGGTGCAACGCTTGCTCCGTCCTCGTCGACGCCTGCCATCGCGCGCGAGGAGCCCGCAAGTACCAGAGGCGCCACTCGGCCGCCTTCTCGTCCTCAGCTTCGTCTGCCGCAACAGCCTGAAAGCGATACACATCGACATCCACTCAAGCGCAAATGGAAAAGCTTTGTCAACTTCTTCGCACTTCCCATCCGTACTTACTACCTCGAGCCACCGGGGCTAGCCTACCGCAACGAGCTGCGAGCCAGGCGTAGCCCTGCATGGGACGACAACGATGATCGTCCGTCCTTTTGGCCTTGCCCTGCGTACACGGATCAGGTCGGAGACGACGAGATGGTGCTCTTCAAAGCGCAGGAAGAAGCCGAGGCGCTCGCTGCTTTGCAACGGGGTCAACAGGCTGCAACCGCTGGTGCTGACACAGTGCACATCAGTACGGACGGACAAATGCTTTCGTCCGAAGACTCGGAGTTCCGAGATGTTCCCACGGACGACGACGACGACGACGACGAGGAGCAATATCACCAGAGCGCTGGCCGCCCTGTTTGGTCAAGCAGGTGGCCACCGACGCCGCCCGAGGCTTCTTCCGTGTCTGCCTTCCAGCCAATCGCAGCAGGCCCTTCTCCTCGATACGAGATTTCGGATCCTCTTTCCATCTCCCCTCAAGCACCAGCATCAGCCTCGGCTGCTCAGCCAATCTCCGCTTCGCAACGCCCGCAGGTACACATCCGCACACGCACAACCAGCAATCTCGCATCGACCGATCAGCCCCTCTTCAACAACGGGATCACCATGTCTCGGCACCTCTCCACGCCTCTTTCGCCCACCGTCGTCTCTTCATCGCCCCCGACTCCCGCCCTCTCGTCGAGCCTGTTCCTGCGCCGCAACCGAGCGCAGACCAACGCTGCTCGACCCACGCTCACAGGCCGCAACATCTCCGAACCACTTAGCTGGACACTGGTACGCTCGCAGTACTCCTACCCGAAACGCGGTCTCACGTCGGAACAGCTCAAGTTCCTCAGCTCGGTCGAATCACTGGGCAGGTTTGGCATTGCAGCTACCTCACCCGATGTCGCGCCATCACCTGCTTACGAGTCGGCGCCGAGAGGTGGGGCCAACGACTACGGCTTCCCGCTCACACCAGGCAGCAGCAGTCAGCAGCCATAAGCACTCCCAACAGGGGCTCATCGCTCTCTTCTTAAGGCTCGGTAGATCCGACCCTCTTTTCACATCACACTACGCATGCATACACTCTTTCTCCGTCCCATTCGCATCTGCATACCTCTCTCTCTCTGTCAAGTTTCGTATTGCTCAATCTCATTCCGTCTAGACTTGTAGTTGTGATCTTGGGTATATTTTGCTGCGGTCAGAACACTCGACCGGAACCTCTGCATCGATAGCACGTCTCGTCGCCGAGCCAGAAGCTCTCGATGATGCCTCGTCCGTTGCATTCGAAGCAGAGTCTGCCACCTATTCGTGGGTCACCGGGTAGGACCACTAGTGCTCCGGGTGGTCGAGCGCCATACCACCCTTGGTGGGCTGGCTGCACCGTGACGTAGGGATTGGGACCGCCGGGGTTGGGACCGAAGCCGCCGACGAAGCCGCCTGGTGGTGGGGGTTGGTGGTAGCCTGGTCCTGGACCGTAGGGTGAGGGACCGGGCGAGAAGGGGGGATGCTGAGGAGGAGGATGAGTCGGTGGTGGTGGTCCGTGGCCGGGTGGCGGCATTGGTGGTGCAACGTACTGCGATGGTAGACGCTGGTCTTCTGTGACGTTGCTGGCGTCCTGGTAGTTGGGTGGGACGTCTGACATGCGTGCTCCTTCCGTCTCTGCATCCACAGAGGGCGGTGTACGTGGCGGCCTGGTCGGCTGCTGCTGCTGCGGAGGATGCGGTGGTGGTGCGTGAACAGGCGGGCCATAGCCTCCATACCCCGGCTGAACAGGGCTCAGCGGACCGCCGAACCCTCCACCACCAGCACCAGGATACCCACCCAGCATGTGTCCGTGACTCGGCCTTCCACCCAACCCCGCTCCCATAGGTGGTCCACCTAGCACCGGCAACGGCTTCTGAAAGTGACTCGTCGCCCCGTTCAACCCGGTCGAATAGCTCATGGCCGCCGAGTACGTCTTGCCGTACTTGTCCCAACAGCTCTTGTGCGGGTTGTTGGGGTCACCATGCTTGAAGCCCGTGTCGTTGCATTTGGGACAGCCGCGCCAGTCGCGAGGGTAGACCAGGATCTTGCCCTTCCGTAGCAAGGGCTGGCCAGGCGTAGGGACCGTCGTAGGTCGGTACGAGTCGGTGGGCCTCAAGCTCGGTCGAGATGATGAAGATGATGACGAGGGCGGTGGTGCCGAGGGCGGAGCATACACAGACGGCGAAGTGACTGCCGGTGGGGCTGCGTGGGTGCTCGAGGAGGTTCGCGAGTGGTGTGAGTCAAGGCTCGGTCGAATTGCCGCCGGTTGTGATAGCGCAGGACTTGGTGGTGCGGCGTACGTTCGGGGTGGAAGGGCCGGTGTTGTGCTTGAAGTAGGTGCGATGGTTGTACCAGTTTGCTGAGGCGTGACACCGGTCTCGAAGGGGTTCGTGGATGCTGTAGTCGCGGAAGCGGCGGTGACACTTGCCGCGCCCGTTCCGCTGCTCTGCTCTTCTGGCGCCAAGAACGGGTTGCGTGATGCGGTGGTAGCTGCAGGAGGTCCGGCTGCCGTACTGTGTGTGGCATTGCTGCTAGGTGCTGCACTCGTCGTCGAACTTGCCTCATTAGTAGGGGAACCTATTGGCTCGTACGGGGGTGGAGCATCGTCTGGTACCGGATCAATGTCGGCATCGTTGGTGCGCGACGACATGTCGAGCTTGACTTCAGCCGACCAGCACCTTGACTGCTGATGTCCGCTCGGAGGCCCGCCAGAGGCAAATAGGGAAACGATGATGGTTGACAGAGGTCAAAGTGCGGAAGGCTTTGGTGGGCTGTGTCTGTGCGTTATCGAGTCTTGGCGCACAGCGTTGCTCAAATTCGAGGTGGAGCGTACAAGCCGTCCAGAAAGCCGCGGAAGTCGGACAGACCCTTTCCAAAGAGATCTTCTCGCTTTCTTCTCATCCTTCTCGACTCGGTCCATCTCTTCTCACCATCGGCATCAGTCTTCGTTGCTGCTTGGACACAGTCAGGCTGCAATAGCTGCTCGTGCTCCAATACCGCACAACCATGTCGGTCACTCTGCACACCACGCTCGGTGACGTGAAGGTCGAGGTCTTCTGCGACACAACGCCTCGTGCAGCCGAAAACTTCCTCGGCCACTGCGCCGCCGGCACCTACGACGACGTCAAGTGGCACCGCAACATCAAGAGTTTCATGATCCAGACGGGTGATCCGAGTGGCACAGGCAAAGGAGGCCAGTCCATCTGGGGCAAGCCTTTCGCAGACGAGATTCGCTCGACACTCAAATTCGACCGCCGAGGCATCGTTGCCTGTGCCAATGCGGGACCCGACACCAACAAGTCGCAGTTCTTCATCACATACGCCAAGCAGGCTCATCTCGACGGCAAGTACACCATTATCGGCAGAGTCATCGATGGTGCCGAAGATGGAGGTACGCTGGATGCAATGGAAGCTGTACCGGTGGATGCGAAGAACAGACCAACTAGCGAGATCAGGATGACCGGCGTAACCGTGCACGCTAATCCTGTTGCAATGAAGGCGATAGGCAAATGAAGGCTTTATTGCGAACGAAGACGGAAAAAGGTCGTGTTCTCTGCAAGCCGACCGCCTGGACTCGGTCATGCTGGTGTCGGCAGAGTGCAGCGCTCAGACGTGCGCAGCTGCGCCAGCAGCGACACCATTACCGAAGGTGGTCTCTCCAAAGCCCGAGCCAGTACCCGTACCTGAAGCAACCTTCATCTCTGACGCAGGCAAGCTGCCGGAGCCTCCGTTCGGGGCCGCGCCCCCTGCTCCTCCCTGCGCTTGACTGGAACCCATCGCAGCCCCAGCTGCGGCTCGCTCTTCCAGCCAAGATCTAAAGTCGTCCTTCAGACGGATTTGCCCACGATCATCCACCGTGTCCCAAGGGTACTGAGCGTTGAATTGTTTCACCGGAATCGGCTGCGTCCAGCCAGGAGGCAGCACCCACGTAGCTGTCGTCCACAACATCGAACCGCAAATGTTGGTTAGCAACGTCCAGAACAAACCACGAACGCTCTGCCAAGCTCGAACTTACGATTGCGGCAAAGACCCTTTTCGGTGGCGTGCGAATGTCCCAACAGATCGTCGAACCAGTTGCTGCGCTTTCGAAGTCCCTTCAGCAGCATGTGGCCCGTCTCTGGGTCCACGGGGACCAGGCGGCCCGTGTCGGTGCACATGTAGTTTTTCGTCATACCGGATAGGTACCAGTCTTTGAGTTGACCGCCGATGTTCCGCTTCTTGGCTGCTCTGCTGTTCAACGGTACGGATCGCTTGCTCGTCAGAGCATGACAGTCGGCGACGAAGACCGCAGCCGATAGCAGTAGGAATAGAATGCAAGTCTTGTTGGTCAACATGGCGCTTGGATGTGTAGGGACGAGAAAGGACTGTGAGTTGTGATGGTGGTCAAAGACAATGCTTGAGTAGCATCGCTGGTCTCCGTCTCTGAGCTGACCGTCGCTTTCAATCACACGTCGACTTCATTCGCCTGCAGTGGGAAAGTGAGTGGGAGTGTGTGTTGTCGCTATCCGTTGTGATGAGGTGGGGCATTTCATATCAGGTCCCCGATTTTGGACCAGATCTTGATTTTGCGCATGCGCAGGGTGGAGGCCCTCGCTGCTTTCAAAGCCGGGAACTTCTTAGTCACCGAAGTTCTGCGCACGTTCATCCTTCCAGGTGTCTTGCCTCTCACCATCAAGGCCCCCAATCGTTGTCAGATAGACCAGCTCGCAGCATATCATGCACTCCTAGCATCTCTCAGGCGCTACGACGACGCCGTCGTTACCGATCGATGTTGCTACCACACGCCGTTTCGGCGCTGCGAGCGTCCAGACGTACTCTCCTGCCCCTCCCACCAATAGCCCGACTTCGGACGCCGACTCGATGCATCGCCTCGTCCAGTCACAGTGCAGCGCAAGTACAAGAAGTCGTTCCACAGGACTCGAAAGCCTCCGATCAGCCCTCGTCATCCTCGGCAGAGCCACAGAAGCTCGGCAAGCGAGCACGCAAGGCCCTCAAGGCGCGGCAGAGGCAGGACGATGAACGCATAGCCAAAGAAGCCAAAGCCAAGGCAAAAGCCGAAGTCCGCAACGCGGATACAGGCTCTCAACATGCCGCCAGCCGAGACGACGGAGGAGATTCCGAAGCATCGCCAATCATTCGAGTGAGGCATGTCGTAGCCGTGGTAGACGGCTCATCCTCAAGCTCAACAGCGCAAAGCAGAGAAGTTGACGCTTGGAGGTCGAAAGCCAAAGCTCAAGGCGAGACAGATCCGACAATTGGGTGGAGTGGGTCTCTATTCCGAAGTCATGTCTCGTCTCTACTCTCTGGATTCGGTACCTCGCCAACTACCGAGCAGCTGCAAGAAAGCGATTTGCCAGGCGCCGCTCCTATCACCGACACCGCCTCATCCACAGACGCTACCCAAAGCAGCACCGACACAAGCGGTCCATCAGATAGAAGAGGCAACCCAAGATACATGAACAAGTCGGAGCGAATGGAGTCGCAAGCACGCGTCATCTTCCAGGCTATCCAGGAAGCACGTGAACGAGGCATCGTCGACGAGGACGAATCGTTCTTCTACCCCTATCCCGAGGGTGTACCACCGAAAGATGTCGAAGGCAGAGACGCTGTGTGGCTCAACCTTGGTCCAGATCCGGAAGCATGGGGACGAGAGATCCCGCAGGTCAAGGACAGTTGGCTCGAAGTGCTCTCGCTCGGTCTGACCAAGGAGATCACGGGCAGAGCGTACAAGCCGCCTTTCAGGTCACTTGAGGTCGACGAAGCCGACGAGACAGAGCTCGAACGAACAAAGGAAGAGCGGATTGCATTTGACGACTTGGTGGATGATTACGATCTCGAAGACCACGAACGACTGGAACAGCTGGGAGACTCGATCGTCAACATGTCCTCCCGTCTGTTGGCATATCAGTCGTTCCCAGACGTCAACGAGGGGTCGCTGACGAGGCTTTCGAATTATCCGACGCAGAATAACTTCCTGGCGTTGCTGTTCCAGGAGTGTGGACTGGCCGCAAGGCGGGACGAACTCCGAGATGAACTCCGCAAGGCAGCCGCAACGGACCTCGAAGAAGGCCAAGACCAAGAGGACAAGCCACGATCGAAGCGGCAGATCAGGAAAGAGCAAGAGGCTACGCAGAAAGAAGAAGACAAAGCCCGGCTGCCTCTGCTCATCAAACGCGATGCAGACATGTTCGAAGCCTATGCTGCCGCTGTCTTCCTCAGCAACGGTAACGACTTTAACGTGGTGCACAACTGGCTCTGTCACCTGTTCAGGCCGTTCCAAGATCAAGCCTACCGGTTCATGGTGCAACGTAGTGAAGCGCTTGCCCGACTTCAGGCGAAACGTGCAGCGGCAGCAGCAGCAGCTGCCGCCGAAGCGACGGCCGCCGAGACAGCTTCCGCCAGCAAAGCCTTTTCACTGCCCTCTTTCCTCAGCAAGCCCAACGACGCTGGCTCACCAACCAATCTCGCAGCCGAAGGCTTCGGCATCAGGTCCGCCTCTGTCGACCCGTCGTCCGTGCCCTTCGCGGCGCTCTTCCCTGAATTTGCGCGTGGCGACAAGCCCTCAGCAATCCCGACCTATGCGCTGAATAACACCTCGGAAGCATTCATCACGGACGAGTTCCTCACCGTCGCCGCCCGCGCTCGGCGTCAACGCGAAGAGCGCCTCCGCGAAGAACTGCGCCTGCAAGATCAGCAGGAGCTGATGAACATGGGCTGGTTCCGCAAGGGCTTCCTCAACCTCAGAACGGGCTTCAGGCAGTACGTGCTGGGAGCGGATGTGCAGCGTGAAGAGGAGCTGAGGTTACGACAGAAGGTCAACGAGCAGAGAGGGATGAGCGAGAAGGATCGGCAGAGGTTGCGGGCCCAGGAGAGGTATGCGGCCGGCGTGTCGATTCGGAGCACGGGGAGTAAGAAGAAGCAGCGGCTTGGGGATGTTGAGTAAGAGAAGGTCATAGACTAGACAAGAGCATGATTCAATGATAGAGCTTCTGCGATACATGTATACTGAATTGGCGAACAGAAGTATGTGGGCTTTGCATGCGAGTGCGTGCTGACGGGGACGGCCACCGCCAAATCCGAGCGGCAGTGAAGCCGAGTGGGGAAATTCTGACCGGCTACAGAGTGCGATGTCGGCTTTAGAAGACGCACGGCGCGTTGTTGCGATCTCCCCCGCATTTCAAACTTGAGGGTCTGAGCGTTTTCCAACACACTGTCTCTCCTCTCGACCACGTCCTTCAATCTCCTGTTTGCCGTCGCAGCATCATTCGAACAGCAATGCTGCCATCAACACGCTGCATGCTGCAGCACTCTCTGCGCCGTCTCGCTCCCCACGACCGAAGCAAGACGATCGGCTTCATCGGTCTTGGCGCCATGGGCAAGGAGATGGCCAACAACCTCCTCTCGAAAACCCTTGCCGCCAACCCGGACCCGGCAGTCACTTTCGTCGTGCACGACACATTCGAGCAGTCCATCACGCGCTTCCTCACCGCCAACACGTCGCTCTATCCGAATCGCAACATCCTTGCTGCCTCGTCGCCCGCTGGCATCGCCAAGCTGTCGGGTACCATCGTTACGATGCTCCCCTCGTCTCCGCAGGTCAAGAGCGTCTACACGGAAGAAAACGGCATTCTGGACGGTCTTGAGTCCTATTGCTCCGCCTCGGCTGACGACATCCAAGCCAAGACCCTTTGCATCGACTGCACGACGCTCGATCCGAAAGTAGCCGTCGAAACGGCGACCACGATCAAATCGGCCAACGCGCACTCGGCGTTTGACATGATTGACGCGCCCGTATCCGGCGGTGTGGTGGGTGCCAACGCAGGTACGCTCTCGTTTATGGTCGGTTCGAACTCGTCTACCTCGTTCGCCACTGCCGAGCCCTACCTGGCGATGATGGGATCGAGAGCGATCCACTGCGGCAAGAACGGTAACGGTTTGATCGCCAAGATTGCCAACAACCTGCTGTTGGGCATTTCGATGCTCGGCGTTACAGAAGCCATGCTGCTCGGCACGGCACATGGGTTGCCGCCCAAGGTGCTCGCGGGCATCATCAACACGAGCACGGGCAAATGCTGGTCTTCGGAAGTCAACAACCCCTGTCCAGGCGCGCTGGAGGGGACGAAATACAGTCCACCCGCGGATAGAGATTACGAAGGTGGATTTGCAGCAAGATTGATGGCGAAGGATCTGAAGTTGGCGATGAACACGGCCAAGTTGGAGGGTGTGCCGACACCGCTCGGCCAGCTGACGAGTAGCATCTATGAGGCGTTGGGTGGAAACGAGGAGTACGGGGGCAAGGATTTCGGGGTTGCGTTCAAGGCGCTGAGTGCCGCACTGGGGAGGGAGGAGTTCAAAGGCGGACGAGAGGAGGTCTAACCAACATCCCAAAGGCAATTTCAATCAGTGCAGACTGTCACGCATGTTTGAGTAGACGTGCCAATCCGACCGTGCGGAAGGCGATACGATTAAAAGTGGTGTATAAATGCCATACAAATACAAAAGGGGGTATCATCTTCGTTCATCGCCTTAAAACCTCTTCAACCCCAACCCGCTCTCGCCAGCCTTCTCGAAGTACGCCCGCAACTCGGACTGCCTCTGCCTCTCATCTTCCTCTTCGGCGCGCACCGTCTTTTGGAGCATCTCTTCGTACTCGCTCAAGCGTCTTGTTGGCTGTCTGCTGATGGCGGGGCTGGTATTTGCGCTGCTGGCCGCGGAGACGAGGGCGAATCCGGAGGTGAAGGAGGATCGACGCGACGATGTGGGTGTCGACACGACCGAGTTGGACGCAGAATGCTTCTTGGACCACGACTTGATGGAGGATCGACGACGGAAGAGTCGCAGCAGGTCGAGGTGGAGGGCCGAGGAGCTTGATGGAGAGGTGGAGGGGGAAGGCACGTCGTCCGAGTCTTGCGTGTGGGTTTGGAGGGTGGAGTGACCGTGCACGTCGCGAGTGGTGCAACGATGTGATGGCGACCGCGATGCGGATGAGCGCTGTGATGTGGAGGGGAGGAGGAAGACGGGTGATAGCGAGGATGCGGACATGACGGGTGAGGAGGGTGCCGAGGATCGCACCTGCTCCTCGTAGAGATCGCTGAATGTGAGGTATTGGTAGGGCATGATGGCCGGAGAGAGGGTGGTGTATGTGTGTGCTCGCGGTGATTATCTGAGAAGGATGATGAGGCCGGATGTTCGTGTCGTTTATATCTCGTCTAGGCTCGTACAAAGTTATGAACGGTGGAGGGTGGTGACTAGGTCTAAGTGCTCGGTGATGGCTGGCGCAGAATATGGTCGTAGGGAGACGTCAAAGAGCGATGTCCGTTTTCGTCGGGTATAAGGTCTTGGTGGATGATGGTATACGCTCGACAAGCTGAGTCGTGAGTCACTTGGAATGTGAATGGTGAAAGCGGCGCAATGGTTACGTGACGATCCTGTTGCTCGCTTATAGCAGTGGCTGAGGAGATAGCGGCAAATGGGCACTTTTCCGGTTTTTTCACCTTCATGTTCCCGGTTCATCTTGCTTTGACAGCCAGCGAACCCTGGCTCAAAGAACCAGCCCGGAAAAATTTCCAAACGGCGAAATTCGCAGCTGCACGCACGCACGCCATTCATCAGATGTTGCCGACGCGTATGACTCCGTGGACACGGCGCAGCGGAATTAAATTTCTCTTGTCGATCCCTGTGACACGTTCCTTCCCGTGTGACTGGTGTCATTGCGGATGACTCCTCCATGGAGCTCTCTTGCTCGATCTGAGATTTGTATTCAATCTTCACGGTGATGCGAGATTGTGTGAGCGAGACTGATGCTCGTACAAAAGCGAAGTGTGTAGCAAGCAACCTCAAAGCGCCGGTTCGCTCAGCTGGTGGCTCCCGGCAAGCTTCGGTTGATTAACCGGCACGTCGAAAATAGCAACCCATCTTAGCTCAATACGGCGGCTACCCTCGCTTCTACTAGCCTAGCTCACCTTCGCATCATCTAATCAAAGCAATCCACTCACCCCTTGTTGAATATCGACATCCTCTCTTCCACAAATGAGCAGAAAGAAGATGTATCGCCAAGAAGTTCGTCCCTCGGGGCGGACCGTACAATTCAAAGGGCGACACAACGTGATGATCTCCCGTGTCGGCCAATTCCGAAACTTGTCTACAAGGCTCACCGAGTTGTTCCGAGAGCTCGGGTGGAGTCGTGTCAGCGCGATATAACATTTTGGAAAATTGCGACTTCGGACTTTGAAGGGTAAAAAACCGAAGAAGTGGCCACCGCGGAAGGTCACCACCGGTTACCGGATGGCTTTTTGGAGCCGGTGCCGGACGACGACGACGCTAGCCGCCGGCTCCGGCTATGAGACGAGTCTGAGGTTGTAGGACCATGGAGCGAGCTGGGTCTCATGTCTTGTAAGTGAGGAACAAGAGCGAGCATAGTAGATGTGATCTGAAGCGGTGTGGTGGGTTGCAAGCGAAATTCTTTCCACAATGTGAGACAATAGTACCAAACAAATACAGACAAATAACGAGGACGACCGTCGCAGCCCGACGCGACCAAGCCGCGAGGTGTGCAATCCATCATCAGGCTCGAGCGATCGCATTGCTGGACCAGCCAACACCAGCCAAGGCTTGGATCGAACTATGACTCGTCATCGGAGCCTTTCTGGGCGAAGGCGAAGTGGGCTGCACGGCTGCGGCAAATGAGCTCTCACAACTGCAAGCTCTTCAACGCGGACGTCGATTCAGGAGCACGCTTGCTGAAAGGCAGGTCAGACGGCGGCTCGCACAGTTCCTTGGCATGCAGCCAGCATTGAGGTGGCGTAAAGCTCGACGAAAGGTGGGTCATGAAAAGTGGGGTGAGAGGACACAGAGTCGAATTGACTGCTTGGCGAAGCAGAGAGAGGAACGCAGAGCCAATCAGATAAGCGGACGCGGGCCCGAATGGTTGACTCGGTTTCATTCGAGATCGAACGCAGCGCTCCGCCAGTCTGTGGGACAGAGGAAGGAAAGCTGATTCGAAAGCAGCAGCCGCGCTGAACGTCTAATCTGATAACAAAAGATTCTTTGCCTTCTCGATTTTGCAGGCACTAGACCAGTCACCAGAATCGCGCTTTGGGCTCAGCCGAATGGCTCAGTCAGAGACCCCAATTTTCGCCCCGACCATCGCAATCACTCACTTTGACCTTCTCACCATCATCCTCGCCCTTGCTCGACCATCAACACAGCGCACCTCTCACCTCCTCCTGGAGGCCGAAACCGAGATCAGTTCACTTACTTCACGAGTCGTGACGACCAGGCGTTGATATCCACGTTCGATGCCCGCTGTCTACGTGCTCATCTAGGCTGAGAAGATAGCTCTTGCAGCCATGTCCTCGCCAGCCATGGCATCGATGATGCCCTCACCGGGTCCGTCGAATGCTTCGCTCGCCGCACACAGGAGCTTTTCGCAGAGACCCATTGCCTCCCCCTCGGCCTCGATTGCGCCCTCGTCACTCAAGCCTGCTCCTGTCAAGGCTTCATCATCGCGGTTAGCGCCAGCGCCTTCTTCGACACTCGCCCCAGCCCCTGTCCAGCCTCTCGTAGCTGTCAAATCTGCCTCATCCTCCGTTCCTTCAGCAGCTCTCGCATCGTCCGCGTCTGTCACGCCCTCAGTCCCCAAGAAGGATGCCAGCGGCGGCCCTCTCGTCCAGCCATCCAAGGAATGGGTCCTTCCAGCTCGCGCCAAACCCGGTCGCAAGCCATCCGAGACCGAGCCGCTCACCAAACGCAAAGCGCAGAACCGCGCCTCTCAGCGTGCATTCCGAGAACGCAAACAATCCTACCTCTCCGAATTGGAGGCCAAAGTTGCCGCATACGAGGCAGCTGAGATCGATCGCAGCGTCGAGATCCAGAAAGTCGCTCAGAAGCTGCGCGCCGAGAACGAGGCCTTGCGCAAAGAAGCGGCAGGCTGGAAGGACAAGTTCGTCAAGATCGAAAAGTATCTGCTGCAAGCAAAGGCGAATGGCGGAAGACTGCCGGGAGTGACGCCGAGTGTCAAGTCCGGCCCTGGATGCAAAGCGCCCGCACACGAAAGGGCAGCAGCGGTGCCCAAAAGAGGCGTGCTCGTTGCGCCGGGGACTAAGAGCGAGCGGGATCGCGAGAGGAGCGCTGGTAGCGTGCGATTCGCGGATGTCTCGACTCAGCAGAGTGAGACTTCGGCTCGCTCGTCGGTTGAGGATCAGCCTGCCGCAGCAGTGCCTCTCCGACGCAAACCCGCATCTGTTCCAGCTGTTGTCTTCCCGGTGGATGCCGCGAGTCCGTCCACGGCGACGAGCGTATCGATGGAGGTCGACGACGCTCAGACGCCAGCTGTGTCGTCCAGCCTGATCGCTCCCCGCAAGGGTCCCAAACCGCCTCTCTGGTCTTTCGAAACCACGAAGCCGACCACTCCACCTGCGACCGGCCCTGCTACTGCAGCAGAGAGCGCGGACAAGGCGGCCTCGCTTCTCTCGCCATCTCTTCTCTCACATGCTGGTCATCTGGACGGCGGATGTGGCTTTTGCACCGAGGCCTCTCCGTGTGTGTGCGCAGACGACTTCCTCGATCTCTCCAAGCCAGAACAGCCGTCCCACATCGCCGTTGCCAGCGACGTGCCCTCTGCAGTCCCGCTTCCGAAGCGTACCACAACTTCGAGCGCATCAGAGACGTCGAGAAGGATGAGCATTGGCTCTCTCACCCATGCAAAAGATGTCGCGCTCGATCAACGCAAGCGAGCACCTGCCAGCGGCAACAAGCTTTGGTACACGGTCGCTCAGCAGGCGTCTCCTCCAAGCGTAAGCACCGCTGCCGTGCCTCTTTCGCTCAGAGGATCGACGAAGCCCAAGACCAGCAAGAAGCTCTGGAGTGTAATTGAAGCACCGGCGGAACCAGTCTGCACGGGCGATCCGAGCACCTGTGGTGCCTGCTCGACCGACCCTGGTCTTGCAGCCTTCTGCGAAGCCGTCACGACCGCCACCACCGCTCCTTCCACCTCGTCTTCGATCCTCGCCATCCCATTGAGCTCGTCTCCAGCACGACCGATCATGGCACGGGCTGGCACAACAGGTCAACTTGCCTCAACCTCCCACACATCGCGCGGTGAAACCATCCCCTCCGCGTGGCGTCAGATCCGCTCCCACCCCCGCTTCTCCCAGTGGCAGGGCGGGCTCGACCTTCTCGCCGAAGTCGTCAGCAAGCGAAGTGGCAACTCACCCCTCCTCTCGCAAAAGCGGCCCCGCGAGGCATCGGTCGAGATCGAGAGCTCCACCACCTCGATGCTCGCGACGAGCAACGATCGCGCCACCGCCAAACCCAGCCTCCTCCACACCACCTCCGACACCATCGTGTACGCCAGCACCAGTGTCAAGATCGAAGATGACGATGACGATGCGAGGGAGAGCAAGCGAAGCAGGATTCTGATCGATAGAGAGGCCGTTCAGGAGGCGCTGGCGCTGCTCGATGCAGGGACGGCAAAGGAACCAAGGGGTAGTGTAGGGTTGGGCATCAGGGAGGAACAGCCTTGCCCGTGCCCTTGGCGTCCGGGGGAGAAACGCTCGCCTTGACCGAGCAGCTTCGGGTGTGCTTCTGGCATCCGCAATGAATATTGATCCCACTGCTGACTCGTCAGATCTAGACTGAGAGAGGAGAGTGAAGACGATGAGTGAAGACGATGAGTGAAGACGATGAGTGAAACCGATGAGGTATGAGTTGTCGACACATGCTGTCAGTCATAAATGCTATTGGAGAGGTGGTGCTTCATCAATTGGCCGGTTGGCCCAATGGTAAGGCGTCTGACTACGATTGCGTCCCTCGAGGGCGTCTTGTATCAATCAGGAGATTCTGGGTTCGAGCCCCAGGCTGGTCACTTTTTTTTTCGCGAATCAGAATTTTTCAACTCTCACACTCTTTTTCTCGCCATGCCCAGAGCTGCCTCACTGCACGCAATAGTCGGATGAAACTCGGGAACATCAAAGTTGAGTGCGTTTAGAAAGGCAGATTCGGTGCTTGTGCGGCAAAGCAAGACGAATAGCCACAAATGCAAGCAGTGAGTATCAAGCGCGATGTGCGCAACCGAGCGTCGTAAGTGTTCCTTTCAGCGAACGATCGCTCAAGGTCGTCGTTGAGGAGGAGGAGCCGAGCTCTCGGCCCCGGTGTGCTCACGAATGCGCTTCCTTTCTGCCAAAACATCGGGCGCAGGACGACGAGGCGAGCTAGGTGGAGCAGTCACCCCGTCTCGAGGAGGAGGCAAACCGAAGTCGGCCCGGTGCGGGGGAGGTGTCTCGGTGCGCACATGGACGCGAGCGAGCCTGGCAGCTAGGTCGGACATGAAGTCGCGATCGCGTTCAGAAGCAGCCGTGACTGCGCGAAGCACGCTCTCTGCGTCATCAATGCCGCCGACAGGCAGACCGGGAGCTGCACGGACGAGATTGATGCCAACCAGAGCGGCAAGGAGGAGAAGGAAGGAGACGTTCATCGCGAATGGCCGATGCAGGTGCTGGATGATATTGAGACAAGTCAAATCATACCAGCGCTTGCTCTTATACCTGTGAGAGCGTGGTCTTTCGAGCACAAATTTCAAGCTTGAGTCAAAATCTCAAGGCCAACTCCTTTCTCCATAGCCCACCAGCCCCGTTGGCGGCAACGAGTCGCATGTGTGGCAATGCGGCGAAAGTTTCGCGCTCAAGAACGAAGGAGGCCCACCAGGAACCGCTGTCCCCCAACGGTCAAGCGATGCTGGCTGAACCCGCCTTACTCTGTGAATCACAACGGCTTGAGCAGATAGGTAAGGATTCCCAGTTGGCTAGGCGATGCCCGCATGATGAAAGCTCATTTCGACGATGAGCGAAAAGAAGCCAATCCCACGCTCTTTTGACCTTGCTGTAAAAGTGTTGTGGTCGATGAAGGCGGGTCCAACACTCGCTCCCACGAGCTGAATACATCTGTGCAATGGTGTGCGCCAACTTACCCCCTTGCCGACTGTCACGAACAACAACTTCCCATTGATGAAGGAGCAGAGTCACTCGTCAACATGGTAACGTGTGGAGATTGCAATATGTTAGACCGTGGCCCCAGCCCCGAGCCCCGAAATCTCACGCGCGAAAAATTGCCCCTGCTTTCGGCAAGCACGGAAAGAGCTCTTACCAGGTTGAATGAGTTTCGGGCGAGAGGAAGCAGAGCTCGGGACGCCACGAGCTGGAAATGTCGGCAACGGCGTTGGTTGACATCTGTACCCGCATGCACCCCACACTCGCTCAGTCCTGCATGACGCTGCCGCCGCTGAGTTAGCTTGGTATCTCAGCTGAGAGTAGGTCGAGCCCCGAACTCTGCTGTCAAACGACACTGTGTTCGCTTGTCGGCAGTGTTGCTCCGTTGCAGATAGTCGTCTTATCCGCGTATGTGAGCTTGTGAGCAGTCCGAGGCAACCGTCTACTGTAGGATCTGGGTTTTGCGCGGTGTGGGGCAACGCTTTCCCCACACCGTCGGGTCGCTGACAATGTCGAGTAGTATATAGAGCTTGTCCTCAACGGTCCTGTTCCAACCACGCCCCTTCAGGCTCATCCTTCATCTCACCCCCCTCCCATCAAACAGAGTGATCCATAACAGTGTCTGCCGAGTCACATCTTCATCATGACAAACGAAAGCTCCGTGGTGGGCACCATCGCCGCGACCGTCTTCACCCCTCTCTCCGGCCTGCCCTTCCTCCTGCAGCTCTACATCGGCACGATCATCCTCACCTCAGGGTGGATGCTCTACAACCTCGCTCTCTCGCCCCTCTCTCGCTACCCAGGTCCACTCTCTGCGCGTCTGGGCATCCCCTTCTGGCGCTTCTATCACGCCCTCCAAGGCGACTACGCACCCGCCCTCTACGCCCTTCACAAGCATCACGGTCCCATCGTCCGAATCGGACCCACTCACCTCTCCTTCTCCGACCCTGCCGCCATGAACTCGATCTACAGCCTCTCGGACGGTACCTCGTCGCGCTTCCGCAAATCCTCCTTCTACCGTTCCTTCCAGGTGTTCAAATCGCACCCGTCGATCTTCAGCGAGCGGGATCCAGCGGCACACTCGAAGCGTCGTCGAGCCGTCGCCAGTGCCTACAGCATGAACAGCCTGGTGAAGCTCGAAGAGTACGTGGAGGACGTATCCGAGTTGCTGCTGAAACGACTCGAGGAGCTGGTCGAGACGCAATCCATCGAAGCGGGAGGGACGAAAGCGGTGCAGCTCGATCCTTGGTTTCACTTTTTCGCCATGGATGTGGTGGGTGAACTGGCGTTCGGGCAGGGATTCAACCTGTTGCATCGAGGCAAAGATGATGAGCGGTTCCTGACGGGAGTGTTGAACCTGTCCCAGTGGGGAGCGGTAGCGGGATGCTTGCCGTGGGTGTCGAGTTGGGTGCTGTGGCTCTTCCCCCGCGTGACCGGGCAGCCGGGAGGAAGTGTTATTGGAGATATGACAACGTCAAGGATCCAAACAAGGTATGCCGAGGTGGAGGACAATGGTGGTGTGGCGTCAAGACCCGACATGCTCACCAAGTTCATGGACGCCCGAGACCCCGATACGAAGGAGAAATACTCGATGAAACAGGTGCTCTTCTCCGCTTCGTCGGTCATGTCTGCCGGGTCGGATACGACGGCGACGAGCCTGACAATCTTTTTCGGCTACCTGCTCGACAACCCCACGTGCTACGCAAAATTGCGCGAGGAGATCAACGCGGCAGTTGATGCTGGAAACCTTTCGTCCCCGGTCAAGTACGCGAAGGGCGCGCAGCTCGAGTATCTGCAAGCATGCATCAAGGAGGCGCTTCGACTGTCACCGCCGATCTCGATGGATCTCCCCCGCTATGTGCCCGCTGAAGGCGCCATCATCGGCTCCAATCCGCACCTGATTCCCGGAGGAACGACGGTGGGGATCAGCCCCTACGTTCTGCACCGCAACACGTCGGCTTTTGGCCCTGACGCAGAGTCGTACCGTCCCGAACGCTGGCTCGAGGGCGGCGAGGAGGGCCGCAAATCTCTCGAGCGCTACAACATGACTTTCGGCGGCGGATCCCGCGCGTGCATCGGTAAGAACATCAGTCTGATGGAGCTCTCCAAGGTCATTCCCGAGATACTGCTCCGATACGACATCAAGAAGCCGGCTGTCATCCCGCAGGTGGTGTCGCAAAAGGGGACCAGGCAGCCCTCATTCCAGGGTAGGAGCGCGTGGTTCCTCGAGGCGCACAATCTGTTTGTCGAGCTCGTGCCGCTTTCCGTCTAGTGCGAATGATATCTTATTGATGCAATGTCTGTGTGTGTATCTACGTCGACTTGGTGGTCATCTTCGCGGGGTTGCGAATGGTTCTTTCGAAACCGGGAAACTTGACCCTAAAATCTCTCTGATCGAACTTATGCCCATCTGGCCACAACCAGTAGTGTGGGTACCTGGCCCTGCCCAAATTCATCCAGAGCATCGCCCACGCTTCCATGATCACCCCGCTTAGCAGCACCACAGGCAAGTAATGCCAACCCAACTTGATCACCGGAGGACTGGTCGCAGCCAACAACGCGGTCGCTCCTCCCGGTGGATGAACGGTATCCGTCAAAATCATCACGCACAGCGCTGTACCCGTCGCCACCCCGCCTGCGATCCACACCAGGCTGTGACTCGAATCGATCAGGTCCGGATTGTAGTTGCCGTTCAACGCGAAGAGTTTGGTGATGCATACGGCGGTGAGGGCGGAGAGGAATTGACCGCCCATGAACGCCTTCGGTTGACCCAAGGGCGAGGCAGGGGTGCCGTAGAGGATGACGGATGAAGCGCCAAAGGAACCGATGACGATCGGCGCCGTCCAGGGCGTGATCGGGTCGTTGGAGGACGAGGCGAATTGGTTCCAGCGGGAAAAGGTGATCATGACAAAGCTGAGACCGAGGCAGGCACCAATCCATGCCCAGAGGAGGGTTTCGATTTTGCGAGGGAGCGCTTCGACGGGACGAATCAGGGCGCGGTTCTCGGTACTTTTGCGTCGATAGCCGAGGAGGTGCGCGATGGGGTACGGGATGCGCGAGAGAAGCGGCACACGTTTCGGCGCGGACTGCGACTCGACGTCCTTTTCCTTACTGGCGGCGCTGCCAGCGGTCGAGGAGGGCACCTGTTGAGCTGTGGGCAGCTGAGCTGGGTCGATGGGAGGTGCAGCTGCGGGAGCAGTGCTGTTGATGATGGTGGTACCTGCGGAGCGAGATGCCGAGTCCTCCTCTGCGGTCGAGGTCAGCTTGCGGGATTTGGACTCTGCTCTCGCCTTACGCTTGTCGGCATCCACGTCGTCCTCGTCGGAAAAGACGAATCCGTCCTCGTCATCCAGACTTCCTCGGACGGTTCTTGACTCGCTCCTCCATCGTTCTTGTGCGACTCCTGCGGGCTCGTTTTCGTTATAGATCTGGTAAACACGCTGACGAGGACGACCGAGGAAGCTCGCGCGCGAGGAAGAGCGATTGTTCTGTCGGGGCAGCTGTTCCGATGAAGATCCGACAAAGTTGGCGCGGCCTCGGGAGCGAGACCGTGGCAGTCGATCGGGCGAGGCGTCGTTGACCGCGGTGGGTGCTGGAGAGAGCGAGTCTGCAGCTCGACGCATGGTGGGGGTGTCTATGTCTATTGTTGGGCGGTTGTGGTGCAGGCGGATGAAGAGGGAATAGCGATGCTCTAGATCATCGGCGTGGTTGAGAGAAGTGGTGGAAGGAAAGGGAGCTGTGTGATCTGGCTGGCCCTTGGGTCGTCACTAGATGGCCGAGATGGATGGAGGACGAGATGCCGAATCAAGGCAAATGCCGCACCGAAGCAAAGTGGAGTGAGTTGAGATGCCTGCGGTTGAGAGTGAGAGCGAAGGCGATTTCGGCGGTAGGCGGGCCATGTCCGAAGGGAGTCAGCTGAATCTCACAGACTGCAGCGCGACGCAATGACGAGCAGCCGAGCTGAAGACCAGCAAGCGAAGGTGGGGAAAGGGTCGTTCAAGCGTCTTTGCTTTGGTACGACGCTGTGTAATGCTGCCACGGCGACCCACAACCGGCACAGGTCACATGAGTCTCACAAAAATCAAGAAATTAAATTCATTTTCTTAATCAAAGATTCCACTGAAAAAGCTCGAGACCAACACCTTCCACCGGTCATCGTCCAACACCACACCTTTGCACTCCTACTCCTTGAATGTTGCGGCCACATGGATCGCAAACGGAAGCAATATGAGCTCGTCGCTGACCTCAAGCAGTACGACGAGACGCTCGAGGCTCTTGAAAATGGCATCTTTGCCGTCAATCATTTGATGCCCGACTCGGACTTTCGCCGCCGCTCCAGCTCCAGCTCCAGCCCGAATGTCGACTTGCTCGCCACCCCATCGCCTCTCCCATTGAGCGCCTCGAGCAGCACGGGAGCCGTCGAAAAAGAAGCATTTCTGAAAGACCTTCGCGAGTTCTTCGTCTTGGTTGGCAAACACAGAGATGCTGTCGCTGCTGATCTTCACAAGGCCAAGAGCAGCATGTTGGCTGGTGGCAGTTGGAAGGGCGTTCCTTCGTCGATCGCCAACTTGCTTACCCTCACAGAGCTTCGCAAAGCAGCTTGGGCGCGCATCTACGCCAGTGGTCTCGCTACGGGTGATGCAGCCATTTCCACCACCCGCGTTCCTTCATGGAAGCAGTTCGACACGCTCATGATCAAACGCCATCGCTACATCGCCGTCGACCCAAAGGACAACCGCACCCTCGGCTGGATCGCCTGCTCCGACCCCCATCCCCAAATCAGCATGTTTTACGACGACGACGACTCGATCGAAGTAGCAGCCGAAGATGAGAGACGGTCCAGATGCGCAGAGCTGCAGGTGATGGTGGCGGAAGCGGAGAGGGGAAGAGGCGTCGGCATGTATCTAGTCAACGCTCTCTTGACATCTCTCGAGACGGACAGAAGGTTTTCGACCGTACAAGCGAGCTTCTTTCCCGAGAACGTTGGGGCAAGAAAGCTGTTTATCAAGTGCGGCTTCGATTCGGTCAGCACGAGAAAGAATGCCGTCAAGATGCTCGACGGACCCAGTAAGGGATCTTGCAGAGACCTCCTGACTGTCGACATCAAGCTCACGTCCGCAGCGCAACAGAGCCAGCAGGAACCATCGTCGAGCTCAACAGAGGCTCCAGCATCCATCGACACCATCGATCCAAACGCCGTGCTCAAGCGGCCTCGACTGCAATGACCCTTCGCCTCGCAAGATAGCTAACGCTTCCAAATGTATTTGTATGGAATCATGTCACCGTTGTCACGATTGTTGCCTCGAATGACCGAATCCTTCCAGTCCGAGCTCCTCCTCTCTCCCCGCTGGTGTTCTGACCGCGATATCCCTCCTCTCGTCGCCTTCCTCTCCGTCTAGACCCAAAAAGTCTCTCCTCCTGTCTTCTTGCATTCCTCGAACGGACAGTCCGCGCAGGAAGGCGCCCGTCGACAATCGTCTCTGCATGCCGCTCCTCGGTGTGGCTGCGCCCGAGTCCAAATGATGCTCATCGGCGAGGTGGAACGTGTCGTGCTGCGGGCCGTCTTCCAGCTCGTGTGGATGGTGTCCATTCGGAAGATGAGCCTGCTTTGTAGCGTTCTGCGCATGGGCAGCTTCGAGTGCAGCAGCCGCTTCTTCGGCATCCGGATCTTCCGAGATGGACAAACTTCGCATCGGCGCGCTGGGGCTGGCCGCTCGACGTGGTGTCTGATCGCCACCACCTTGTGGCAGCTTCTTGGCTGTATCCGAGACTTGACCCGTCGACACCTTGGTGCTGTGTGATGACGATTCGTTGGCCATCTTGAGTTCTCCCGTTTCGGGGTCTGCCACGGGCGCACCTTCTTTCGGAAAGGCCTTGTGGGGTCGGTCGAATGCGGCTGCTCTCTCTGCCGCTTTCTGGTCTGCGCTATCGACAGTCGGCTTGGATTTGGCACCGGCGCTGGCGTCATCGCTCGTGTTACCGCCACGAATGAACTTCCACGCCTTGGAAGCGCCTTTCCCGAGCACCTCGCCCACGTCCACCACGTCGTCGTGCTTCGGATGCGCATTGGGGTTGTACCAGCTTTGGGAGCCGTGCACATGCTGCGGCGTGAAGGACTGTCTTGGCGGTGCCGCTGTTCCTTGCGACTGCAACAGGTGCGATCGAGCAGCAACACCGATGGTGATGGAATTCGCACGCTTCAGCCGCCCGGACACGGGGAGCGGAGCGAACTTGATCGCTGCGCTGCTGCTGCTCGAGGTGGTGGATGCGACCGAATCGCCTCTGGTTCTGTTGGGTATCGAAGAAGCACCTCGCCCTCTCTCCCACGCTGAGCTGGATTCGGATGTAAAGGAGCGAGAGAGATCCGATTCCCCGGCCTCGCTGGGCGTACCGAGACTGCTCTCCTTATCGCTGCCGTAGCCGGACTCGCTCGCACTGTCAGGGGGACCCATGAGGTTGGAGGTGGGCACGATGCCATCGCCGGCCGTAGCATGCTTTCCGCGTGGATCGTAGTCGAGCACTTCGCCGCCTTCAAAATCGTGATCGCGTGGTTCGGAGCGCTTGAACGTCTTGCCTAGCTTCTTGCCGTCTTTGACCTTGATCTGACGACCAGGCGTAGGTGGTGGGAGAAAGGTCGCCTTGAGAGCAGCTTTGAAGCCAGATTCGCTGCCCGATCGTGAAGGCTTGCGGGGAAGTACATCGTTTGGGTTGTCAAGAATGCTCTTCAGCTTGGGCTGAGAGCTGTCGGATCGGATGCGTGCGCTGGTGGACGAGTCCGAGGTGATGTCGTCTGTTGACAAGGCTTCGGATTCGGGTGATGCGGTGGATAGGAAGACCGAGTCTTGCTTGGTGGGCGAGTCGGAGAGCGCTTTGCCGCCGCTCATGGTGTGCTGACCCTGTGATGGAATGGATTGTGGTGCAACAGACATGATGTGCGGTGCAGCCTGTGGCTTTAGAATGTATGTTGGAGGAATTTGTCAGGACGAGGGCATATTGGTCCTCGTGATGTATGATAAGGAGGATAGTTGGTGGGACTCGAAGGTCGAAAGGTCGATGACGACAAAGCCGAGAGCCGTGCGTGGGGGGAAAGAGAGGAGGCCGAACCCTTAAAATCGCACTTTCCTAGGCGAGTCTCGGATAGTGACAACCGTGAGCAGCCAGCTTGAGAATCGATTGTAGTTGCCGTCGCACGGATGCACACAGGCGGGAAAAAAAGGCACAGCGATGCAGCAGGAAAATCTGGAGAAATTCCATTCGCCCCGTCCTGGTTGGCTGCCTCGCCCCCACCTTTTTTCCTTTTCTTCTCAAAAAAACCAAATGTCCTCGAAATTGGCCGGTGACAGCGATTGTTGGTCGTAGGATCGACTCGTGCTGGCTGTGCGTACAAGCTTGTGTTCCTTGAGGTACACTCAGAAATAGCTTTGTGTGCAGGCCAGACCTTCTTGCTGATAGGTGGTCGGCATCGCTTTGCAAAAGGAGCGGACCTCGCTTGATATCATTGCAGCACGGTTAAGACGGAATGCCACTTCAGTCAGCCATCTGCGTCATTCGCCGTGGCCGTGGAAATTCGAGTCCATTGGCCAGAGGTATCTCGGCCTAACACTTAGGCCGAAACCATTGATTTTGCCATGGGGCGTCCACGTGCATATCATCTTCCGACGCTTCTTCGAGGGCGTTCAAGGGTCTCTGCATGGACAATAAACCAGGTAGCCTTCCATCCTCGACATCACTAGCGCCGGCTGGAAGCCACATACCGCCGAGCTCACCATGTCGACTACACAGGTGCTCACACGGTCTCGCTCCCGTCACTCCAACATCGACGCGGCTCCTCAATCCGCACCGCATATCAACGAGGATAGTGCATCCCTCACCGCCTCGGCTGGCGCTCTGCTCGATCCAGAATACCAGGACCGTCGCAACCTCAAGCTCAGCGTGCGCCTCGTCGAGACCATCCGTCACTACTGCGATCTTGGCTTCACCGCTTTCGGTGGCCCAGGCGTTCACGTCGTCATCCTCCGCAAGCGATTCGTCGATCATCTGAAATGGCTCGACGAGACCACCTTCGCTGACCTCTTCTCGCTCGGCAATGCACTCCCCGGACCCGGCTCGACCCAGCTCGCCTTCTCGATCGCTGTCGCACGCAATGGTACCCTCGCAGGTCTCATCGCTTTCCTCTTCTGGTCACTGCCGGGTGCGGCAGGCATGGCAGCGTTGGGAGCCGGTGTGAGGTCCTTCCCCGACAGGCTGCCACCCATCGTGCTGGCTCTGCTGACAGGTCTCAATGCCGCGGCTGTCGGACTGATCGCGCTGGCTGCATATCAGCTCAGCATGTCGTCCATCACAGATCCGGTCACGAGGCTGCTGGTGCTCGCCTCGGCTTCGTTCGGTATCTGCTACCACGCACCGTGGATGTATCCAGTGCTCGTGTTCGGAGGCGGTCTCATCACCCTGATCTATGACTTTCGCCGTCGCATAGCAAGCTTCGTATCTACGAAGCTGGAGATCAGCAGACGTAGATCACAGGCTGTCAGTCGCGGCGATGATACTGCACAGAACGAGTCGACGCAGGACATCGAGCTTGAGCCTGTGACGACGGCTGGCAGAGCATCTCTCGACGCCGCAGACAAGAAGCAGTCAGGCTCTGCTGTCCAAGAGCTCCCATTCCAGGCGGGCTCGAGCTCGATACCGGTAAGCATTCGACAAAGGACCGCACAGACTGTCGATCGCAATACGGCAACACCTCAAAATGCAAACGATCCCACTGCAGCAACAACCGACCATCGCACGCCCATCATGGTGCTCAACCGCACCATTGCCGTCGCCCTCGGCGTTGGCTTCCTTGTCTTCGTCATCGCCGTCGTGGTCACCCGCTCGCAGCTCGCCTCACCACCACGCATGCTCGACTTCTTCACCAACATGGTCATTGCTGGCGTCATCATCTTTGGTGGTGGTCCCGTGGTCATCCCGCTCCTTCGCGGGTACACCGTCGAAAACGGCTGGGTCGAATCGCGTGACTTTCTCCTCGGCTTTGCCATCCTCCAAGCTTTCCCGGGTCCCAACTTCAATTTTGCTGCCTACCTCGGCGTTCTTGCTGTCCCGCAAAACCCGGCCTTGGGGGCATTCCTTGGCTGGCTCGGCATTTTCTCCCCTGGTCTGCTGCTCAAGCTGTCGCTACTGCCCATCTACAACACGTGGCGTAAGCACGAGGTGGCCAAATCGGTGCTGCGCGGGCTCAATGCCTCGGCGACTGGTTTGGTGTACACCGCCGTGTGGCAACTCTTCCTCGTCGGCTACATTTACACACCTGCTCGAGGCGTTGTGGTGGAATCGACAAGTCAGAGCGGACCGCTCACCTCCGATCCTTTCTGGTGCGTGGTGGCCAGCTCGGCATTCGTTGCTACTCAGTGGTTCAAGAGCCCGCCCGCCGTCACGATTGTTGCCGGTGCTGTGGCGGGTCTCGCCTGGTTCGGCGTCGTTGGCGCGGCGGGCACGGAACGCCAACAGGCTTTCTTCTGATGTGGATTGATCAAAAATGCACAATCCCATGGACACAAACATGCATGCATGAGACTGTCGGCGTCTGTATGAGTGACCTCAACTTGTAAGCAAGTGATGCTGTTGAGGATTTTTGCGAAAAATGTTACATTTCTCGACCGCGTGTCGGATGTCGGAAAGTGAGTTTGCCGCTCACCTTCTAGACCCTTTCGAACCTGTTTCACACCTTTCTTCCACATCATCTCGGCGCTCGGCTCTCACTGACAGACGTCGCAGCACTTGCACGCTTTTGGTCAAGATGTCGACCTCGGTCTCTCTTCGCAAACGCCGCTCCGTCGCATCTCGGCCCATCACCAATCGACCGCAAACCATCACAGGACAGCAGAACAAGGCGCTCAACGAGGAGCAAGAGCGCGAGCGCCAAGCCAAGGAGCTGGATGCGCGTCGACGTCGCGCTCGTCGCCGCTTAGACGAGCTCGAGCGAATCAACTATCGCGATGCACCCACAGCTTCGACATCGGCAGCAACGCCTTCCCTCGACGCAACCGCCTCGGGAACCAGCGATGGAGCAATCGCAGCAACGACTGGAGACGCTGAGCCAATCACAGCAGGCACCGCGTCTGGCGTGAGCCAAGCACAAAGGCGGCGAAATCAGGCTGAAATTAAACGCATCCTCGTCGGCGGGCGGCGCAACCTCCATTCCATCGTAGAGGAGCTGGCGGACCAGGGAAGGCTGCCATTGCGACCAGGCAAGGGGAAGGCGAACTGGAGAAGTGCAAGGTCAGGACCATCGACCGTGCCAGGAAGAAAGTACTGCAGCATATGCGGATACCATGGCGATCTAGCTTGCATGCGCTGCGGTCATAGGTACTGCTCGAGGAGATGCAGAGACACGTGGGTGTTCAGAATTCGTCTCCGATCTTTGTCCAAAGGCACTTGCTCACTTCCTTGATCCCCAACTCTACCGCATTGACACCTCACAGACACGACGAGACGCGCTGCGAGCGACCCATGCGCTGACTTCGACGAGACAAACGCCGTTCAGATTCACACATAATACCCAACGATACCACGACGACACACAATCATACCGACCGCATTTGTATGTCGCATCTATACGCAACGTCTATGTCCATTACGATCTCTATCTTGATCTACAATCCGGCGATGACGTTCTTCTTGCCCTTGTTGTCTGCGCTCGGCGCCATGCTTCCGCCGGGCGTATCGATGCCACCTCGGAACGTCTCGCCTGCACCTGCGACCCTCGTCTCTGGGCCCAGCTCGCAGAACCCGACCTCCGGCCTTTCCTTGTCGGTATACATCTTGAGCGTGATCTTCTCCCAGCCGAGCTTCTTTCGTTCCTCTTCGTTGGTCGATGTTGGCTCGTTGTACGGTGCGTAGCTTGCGTGTCTTGGGTGGATGAGGGGTGCCTCCTTCAGAACATGTGTGAGCAACCATGGCAATCGCAGCGTCTTGTGCTCGCCATCGTTGACTTCGCCGGTCGAACTCGGTGGGGCGTTGGCAGCGAAGCCCGTATCCGAAGGGTTGAGTAGGCTGTCTTCCGCGCCTGGTGCGTCGGATTGCAGCTCGCGATCCAGCTCCGCCACTCTGCCTGGCGAATCCTTTCCGTCCAACTGCTTCTTCTCGTGCTTCTTGGGCGAATCGCTGTATCGACTCGACCTGCCGTTCTCTCCTGGCAGCGTGTACTCCGGCAATGCTTCCGCAGGTGTCAGCTCCACGTCCACTTCCCTGACATCGACCTGGTCGGCGACCCATCGACTCCTACCCGCCACGCGCGCCTTCTCCTCGCTCGACGTCTGCTCGAACACCGCCTTGATGAACTCGCTCGTTGGCCGATGCAACCACCTCCTCGGTCGCACTCCCTCGAACCAACCCAGATGCCCGCCTGCCTTGGTCCATGCCAACACGACGTTCTCGTTGTACTCCCCCTCCTCTTGCTTCCTGGATCCATCCGGGTTGCGACCAATCGCCGCGCGAATGCGATCCCACATCTTACTCGGCACAATCGGATCGTCCTGCGCACTCAAACACAACATGGGCCTCCTCACCCCCTCGATCACATTCGCACATCCACCATATCGATAATAATCGTCGGCGCTGTCGAACGGAAACTCGCCATATGGTTTCGGCAATCCGCCCACAAACCGCGTCATGACCTGATCGGCGTGTTTGAGGGTGAAATTCTTGATCACCGTCCGCTCCCCCTTGCGAGGACCGTAGTTCCTCGCTTGCGCCTTGTACAGTTCCACTTCGGCGCGCGGTTGCGGTGCGGGATCGTAGAGGTCATCGAGCAAGGAGCGAAAGGAGGGATGGAGAGCGAGGGTGTTCTTGTGTGCTCGAGCCATGCGTTGAAGATTGGATCCCATGGCTGTGGAGTATTTATGGGAGAGGAAGCCTCCATAGTCCAACTCGTCCGCGCCGGATTTGAGATCGAACGGCGTACCGACGATGACGCCGCCAAGGAGAGGGGTGGAATCGCCCTCCTCGCCTAGGTAGCGACCAAGGATGTTGGCACCGAGCGAAAAACCGATCCCTACCAGAGGAGAGTTCGGGTAGAGCTTGGTGATGAGCAGCAGGGCAGAACGGATATCGGCGAGCTTGAGCGCGGAATACAGCTGTGGAGAGGTGACGGGTACACTGGCGCAACCGCGGAAGTTGACCACGATCGCACGGTATCCTAGCCCACCGGCAGAGACAGGGGCAGTGAGATGGGCGAAACAGTTGCGGACGTAACTCTCGTGGCTTCCACCCGTGAGACCGTGCAGGCAGACGACGGTCGGAAGACCATCCCCTGCCTCATGACCCTGCGCTTTGAGGTCCTCTTCACTAGCCGCGAGGGTGGGCGGGGAGATGTCAAGACCGATAGTACCGCCGTCGGGAACGACGAAGACACGACGTTTGAACTCGACCGCGTCGATGTGGGCGAAGTTGCCCACGGCCGAGTAGATGGTTTGCAGGTGACCAGTGGAGAGCCAGGGTGTAGGTTTGAACGTTGGGTTCTTGGCCGGATCGAGTGTCTCCGTTGCCGAAAGGAGGGTTTCGATCGATGGCGAGGTGCGAGAGGACGAGGTCGTGGGTGAAGAGGAGGCGGGCTTGTAGTACTCGACGTTGACGGCGAACAGCGAGTGCGGCGCGACGGGCGACAGGATCGTCCGCCCCAGCAGCGTCGCTGTGGACGAGAGGAAGCCCGACATGATGTGTACGCCGCCGAAGGTGTCCGAGGAGCAGAGTACGTCTATGGGTAGAGCCAGAAGGGGGTGAAGGAGGCGATGAAGGATGAAGCAGCCGTAAACACTTTTGTACCAACCAAAAGAAGAGGTCGCACGAGTTCGAGTGGAGGGACACCGGCTCTTTTTTACAAAGCGGTGCCTAAAGCAGGCAGCGTATCGCCCAAATCCGAGAAACTCTCCGGCCCGAGGGTTTGCGGATATGCACGTCGAACTCGAATTCGTCACTTTCGGCGGATCGTTGATTTGCGCTCGCACAAACAAAAAAGTGTCATGCACACTGACAACTTTCGATGGACCAGGTCATGCCAAGCCCTCCGTCTTCCGGACTCGAACGCATGTTTCTCAGCACGCTTGTGGGGCTCAGCTCAGGCCTGTACAGTACGCCCTCTGTTCGGCAGCAATGAACTCCATGAGCGTCTTCTCAGCACGGAGTGTCTTGACGGACGACTTCGCTGCGTCTGATTTTTAGCAGTTTGTTAGAGCGAGGGTCTTTGCAGTTCGAGCAATTTTTCGGCTGAGCTCGACCTCAGGGTCCACGACGCTCCGGGCTGAGCATTTGCTTCTTCCACCTCAACCTCGAGGTCATCTCCTTCTCTCCGCACTCATTCTCGTCCAAAGCCACCCCACGCACACTACCGCCATGTCTGCCGACCTCGACATGGACATTCACAGCACCTCCTCGGTCGCAGACGTCGACGTGAGCTCTGCGCTTGCTGCGCCTCTCCCCACATCACCAGCGCCCGCACGCACAGAAGCCATGGCGCTGCTCGACCTGCAAAAGCAGCTCGACGCGGACATCTCGCGACACATGTCCGTGCTCATCTCGAACGGCGTCAACATGCAGACCCCTCTGATTGATGCACAAGGCTTTCCGCTGGCCAACAAGGATCTGATGGCGATACGATCGGCGAGGCAGCGCATCAATGTGCTGCGCAATGACTCCAAGGCGGTCAGGGATCGCGTGGCGAGGCTGCTCGAGCTCGCGATCAACGGAGATGCTGTGCCATCGAATGGGGCGCCAAGGGGGCAAGCGGGGCGGACTGAGGAGTCGAGGCCGTTTGCAAAGGTCAACTCGGTCGCGGAAAACAGTCCAGCACAGACGGCGGGTTTGGTAGCGGGTGATTTGGTGGTCAGGTTCGGCTCGGTGACCGCCGAGAACGAGAAAGGGTTGGCGGCGCTTGCTGCACCTGGGGTCGTGGTCGATGGAACGAGCATTTGTATCACGGTGACGAGGAGCGGTGAGACCGTCAACCTGACATTGATACCCAGAGCAGGCTGGGGCGGACGAGGCATGCTCGGGTGCCATCTCCTGCCACTCTAGTCGGCAATCCCAACCCGAATCAGCCACGACAAACAACACCCCGGACGCGAGCTGTGATTGACAAATGTTCTGTTCAGCCGACATCTGAGCGACAAAGTCGTCTAACGAGGGTTCGTGCTCGTGCTCCCATACGAAGCACTCTGCCCGTTGAGACCACGACGACCTTCCTCCAACAAGGCCTGCGTATCCTCTGCGCCAGCCGTCGAGCTCCTCCTTGGCCTTGTGCGGCTCAGACTCCTCCCCGCGCCGCCGCCTCTGCGAACACGCACCGGGGCACCGTGCTCCAACGTATACATGAGCGGATCGAGCTCCAGCTGGCCCGTCTGTTCGTTCCTCCTCAACTGATGGTGCGGGCCTAGCTTGTGACCGCTCGATACGCGCCATGAAGCGCTGTCATCCCACGAGCCGTCGCAGTGATACGCGCCGCTCACGTCGGGCTCCTCTCGATGGCCGGAACGACGTCGGCTTTCGGGTGCATGAACGCTCGAATGGCGGTACGATTCAGCCTGCGAGCTGGTCTCGGCGCGAGAGCTGCGTCGCGAATGCCGCGGATGCTCGCCTTGCTCATAGTCGCTTTCCGCCAGTACTTCCTCTCGGCCATTGGGGCGAGACTCGTCATCGTCCCCATCGCCTTCGGCATCGCTGCCATCGTCTTGCTCCTTGTAGTCGTCCTCGTCCGCTTCCGACTCGCCCGCGAGCTTGATCGACTCGACGCCAAAGTATTGGAATGCGATCTTGACGAAGGGGATGGCGAGCGAGTGTCCGATGATGGATGAGAGGATGAGAGCGTATGTGATGGGCTTGGCAAGCACTCGGATGCGCTGGGCCGTGGGGGACGGATCCGAGGGCTCGAATTCGTCCATGATGACTCCCAGGTAGAAGAGCGCCCCCGCGCCAATGGGAGCAAAGTACCCGATGAAGCACGCCTCCGACACATCGTGTAGCGTCGGCACGTAGCGGTAGAACGCCAGCATCGCGGGCAGCCTCCTGAACAGCAGCACCAGGATGCACATCAATACCAGCTTCCCGGGCGTAATTCCGTTGTCTGGATCGTTAAATGCGTCCCATGGGATGGTCGCACCCAGAAAGCTGAAGAAGATGAGGTTGAGCAGCAGATCCAGGCAGTTGTCCACCTCGGACTCTTCGCACTGTTCGCGGTAGAAGTCGGTCCAGGAAAGCGCGTTACCCGCCACGAAAGCTGCCAGCAGATCGTCGATCTGGAAAACACCACCGGATCCGATGATGAAGACGCCCATCGCCGCGCCGAACAGCAAGAAGCTCTCTTTATCGATGAGGTTGCGATCGGTGGAAAACTCGATGAGCTTGCGACAGAGGTAGCCGACCACGATGCCGTAAATGACGGAGCCACCGACGGTGTAGAGACACGTGCCGAGGAGCCACTGGGTGAGTGCTTCGCTGGTGGTACCGCGTTTGATCAGGTGGACGGCGAGGAAGAGGAACGGGTAGCCAAAGCCATCGTTCGCGCCGCTCTCTGCCGAGAGGAGGTTGCGAATGCGCGGCGAGATGTACTGGTCCGCAAAAGCGCCCTTGACGATGGCATTGGACAGCACGGGATCTGTGGGGGTCGCCGATGTCGCAATCGCCAGACCAGCAAGCAAAGGCAGCGACGGCACGACAAGCCAGATGCACAGCGTCGTCGAGAGCCACATGGTCGTCATGACTGGCAAGAGCAGCACCGCGAGACTCCGCAATTCGATCCACGGGTACTTGTACGGAAGCTGCACACCCACCAGCGTCAGCTGAATACCGATGACCACTCGACAGAGACCGAGCGAGATCTCGTCGATCTCCATCTCGGGTGACGTCCAGTTGAAGATACCGCTCAAGCCATACGGACCGAGACCGATGCCGATGAGCACGGCCAGTGGCGCCTCGCCCAGGAAGAGCCGCTCCTTGATGAGGTACGAAAAGGTGCCATAGGGGATGAAGAAGAGGCCGAAGGCGGTGCAGAGGAGGTTGAGCGACGTCACCTCGAGTTCGAGACCCATGGTGATCGAGCGAGAGCGTTGGGTTGGAAGGGATGCCGCTAGGTCGACACTAATCGTGTACAAGCGTCCTGTTTATGGTCGTTGCCAGATCATTCGTTTGCTGCTCGTCAGCCTCGAGCCTATGTCGTTGTGTCGGCCTTCTATGCGTCTATGTAGAGGGATCTTGCGGGCGTAGTGACAGTCCTTGCGCCGCGATGGTAAGAGAGATGGAAGCAGTCGGCGCGATGGTCGTCAACGGAGGGTGAGTAAGATTAACTGCAGCTGCAGGTGCGCCAGGGTCCAAGCCTTTTTCCCTGTGCGCCTGCATGTCGTCACTCGACAGACGCCATCTTCTTGGCCAAGCTGGATAAATCGGGTCAAGAAATTAGGGTCCGAGAATTCGTTACGAGACCACCATCGTTCTGATGGCTTTCGAGCATCCTTCGAGCCAGCAACGAGGGCTCGAGTATGGCCGACGATGCTCTTAGGGGGACGTCAGAGCGAATTTGAGCCGAGTACATCGCAGCGCCTGCCGATCGTGCTGCCCCACGTCAATGCTTGTTGCGCTGCATCTCCATCGAAAAGGCGCACTGACGTACAGTAGATTGAGTGCATTCGTGTGTCTCCCTGGTTGCTGAGACTTGCAGTCAGAAACCACCTGCGAGGCTTGTTCTTATATCTGGTCGCGCATATCAAACGCTCAGCCTGAAGCACTCTATGACATCGTCTTAAGCGGCACGGAAGACGATCACGTGGAGAGCCCTGTATGGGATCACGAACTCGCGCGAGAGTACGGCTCGAGAGCCCATCGGCGGCCAAAAGACATCTGAGCACTCCGAGCCCGGGCAAAGCAGCGATGCGGTGCCCCGCGAACACATCGGTCAAGTCGAGTAGACGTAGCGCTTCGAGATCAGCGTGTGCTACCGAAAGAACACCGAAGGCCCAGCAAGAACGGTCAACGGTGTTCTAAGCAAGTAAAGAGATTTGCGAACATGCACCTGCTCATCATCTGGCAGTGTTCGATAGACGAGAAATTCGCCGCGGCTCTCTCTCGCTCTTCGGAAATCTCTTGCTCGCTTCTGAAGGTCGAACCGTCTTCGTGTGGTTGCGACCCACACTGCTGCGAGCCTGGCAGTCGAGGTCTCGCTTCTGACAGCTTCGAACGGTCAATTCTCTTCCGCTGGGTCGAATGCCGATATCTGCGGCCTCTCCTTCGCATTGACCCCTCGAATGCGGGGTCAGAAGCGGAGATCTTCCCCCGCTCCGACGACTCGTCAAGCATTAGCCGCTTCGGCAATATACTCTCGCGTTGTCCACGCTGAGGTGCTGCGTGGACAGCTGCTCGCTGCGACGTTGGCAAGTCACAGCAGAAGAGTGGGAATGCTCGACCTATATAAGTCAGAAGATGGGCTTCCTCGCATACAGTTTCATCCCCTCAACTCCTTCCAAACGACCTCTCTCGCCTCGACAAGAACGCAAGAATGTTGGCTGGTAAATGGACAAAGCTTGCCTCCCTGGTAGCTCTGCTGCCAACAGTGTCGTTCGCTTTTCCGAGCTCGCGCGACTTTGACCTCGAGTCTTCCTCGCTGTTCACCCGCGACTACATTCCGCCTGACGTCGACCGCAGCTCGCCATACCCCTTCTCGCCGACCCGCAAGCCAGACTCGTCGCGTTGGCCAAAGGGACTGCACTTTGCGGTCGACTACTATCCCGCGCAATGGCCCGAGTTCCTCTGGGCGGACGACGCTGCCAGGATGGCCAACGCCACCCTGTCGTATGCACGAATTAGCGAGTTCGACTGGGCCATCCTTGAGCCGACGGACGGCACCTACGACTGGTCAACTCTCGACCAGTCCATCGATGCGCTCTACAAGCAGGGTGTCAAGGTGATCCTCGGCACTCCTACCGCCACACCTCCCATCTGGGCGGTGAAGAACTACGACATCCTCGGCGCAGACGCTCAGGGTCGTCAGCGTAAGTTCGGCTCTCGACGCCACTACTCGACCTCCTCCCCGGACTACCGCATGCTGTCCAAGCGCTTCGTCACCGCCATGGCGCAGCGATACGGCCGCCACGAGGCGGTCGCAGCTTGGCAGATCGACAACGAGCTCGGCTGCCACAGCACCGTCCGAACCTACGACAACAACGCCCGCACTCGCTACCAGCAGTGGCTCGCCGATAAGTACAACAACAACATCACACAATACAACCAGGCGGAAGGTCGAGTCTTCTGGTCTTCGACCTACCAGTCGTTCGACCAGATCGACGTACCCATGCTCGAAGTGACCGAGAGCAGCCCTGCCGGTCGTCTCGACTTCTACCACTTTTCGTCCGATATGACGATCGAATATGCCAAAGACCAGGTGGACATCATCCGCAGTCACTCGGACAAGGCGATCACGACCAACTTCATGGGCGCCTTTCTCGACTTTGATCACTTCAAATTGGCTCGTGAGACCGGACTGGATCTTGCCACATGGGACTCATACCCGTTGGGCAACACCGAGCAGTTTGCGTGGATCTCGGATTCGGACAAGATCAAGTACGGTCGAACGGGCACCCCTGATTTCCAGGCGCTTCATCACGATCTCTACCGAGGTGTCGCCGGTGCAGCGTACAACAAGACCGCGGGTCCATTCGGGATCATGGAACAGCAACCTGGACCGGTGAATTGGGCACCGTACAACCCGTCGCCTAAACTAGGAATGGTCCGTCTCTGGCAGCACGAGACCTTCGCACATGGCGGAAGCATGAACAACATCTTCCGCTGGCGCGAGGTGCCGTATGCGCAGGAACAGATGCATGCTGCCATGCTGCGTCGCGACAATGTGCCCGATCATGCGTATATCGAGCAGCAGCAGGTGGTGAAGGAAGACTTGCCCAAGATGGCGAGTTTGTTCGGGGGAAACACCACCAAGCGGTGCGTCGCGGACAACGCCCCTGTGCAGACACAGACAGAGGGGCAGGCGCAGGTGGCGCTCGTGTTCGATTATGCGGTGCAGTGGTTGATGGAGGCCGAACCGCAGTCGGGGACGTGGACGACGGATATGGAAGGTTTCGAGGACCCCAGCATGCAGTACTTCCCGCTCGTCTTCAACTGGTACTCTGCACTGCGTCGATTGGGTCTCAACATCGATGTCGTTGGCCCATCGACCTCGTTGGAGGGATACAAAATGGTGGTTGTACCCAGCATGCCTATTCTCAGCGACGAGTTCGTTCACACATGGTCGAACTTCAAAGGTCTCACAGTCTTCGGTCCACGTTCAGCATCCAAAGTGGCGGCCCTGGCCATCCCCGATGGTCTCCCACCTAGCAACGGTCCCGTTCGCGACGTTCTTCCCATGAAAGTCACCCGCGTCGAGACGATCAAAGACGGCTTTGGCGATCAGATCTCTTACGCTGGTCAACAGTACAACGTCTCTGGCTGGGTCGAGTGGATCGAATGCTCGCGCGACAACAAGACGTCCTCCATCTCGCTCGACGACTCGGCCACCTACTATGGCTATCGAAACGGCACCGCTGCGACCTGCGGCAATGTGGATGGCGACAAGCAGACGCACTACGTGTCGGCGTATACGCCCGTCGAGTTCCTCGTGTCGTACCTCGGCGATCTGGCGGGTAAGGCGAACGTGACGAACGTGCTCGGACAGACGCCCAGTGGAAGCAAGACGGATCTGGGAACGGATTTGAGGTTCAGAAGGAACGGGAATGCGTTGTGGGCATTTAACTATGGACCGGATGAGATTGAGCTTCCTGCCGCTCCGCAGGGGGCGACGCTGCTTGTTGGTGGGGAGGACGGAAAGATCGGCGCGACTGGTGTGGCCGTTTGGAGCCTCGCGTGAGATTCACCTTCTTAGCTCATTTTACACAGATAAAGAAATGCTTCTCGACGAACAGCCTCATCGAGCCTGCGGTCGTGCTGTCATCAGAGACGAAGGAGTTATGCCATTCACTGAGGGTGACATGCTTAGGGTATCATAGGGTGCTGAGCCGTTGTGATAAAGACTTGCTTTGGAGAGAATCCGAGAAGTCTGGAAAGATCGCGAGAAGTCGTGAACGTAGCGATCTTTTGTTGCGGTTGCGTCCGCGATGAGATTCTCGTCTCATCGGACGGTTTGTTTGATGCGGTGATTGCCCTGTTTAAGGGTCGACGCTGATGCGACCGCTGCGGCCGAGGGCAAAGCTCCAGCGCTTCATGCCCCATCTCCTGAGGTACAGCACTCGTGGAATGAGCGTGTACTGGTGCATGCGGTGGTTGACGTGGACGGAAGGCATTGTGAGCGGGAACTGCGGTTGTTTGCTGCGAGATTGAGTTGCTTGTCGGAAAGAGCTTCTTTGGGAAGTATGTGTGCTTGTTTGACGTATCGATATGGGTGGAAAAGATGCTGGAAGGAAAGGAACGGATGGAAGACGTCTTTTAAGTATCAGAGTATGCCACAACGACCAGACTCGACTTGCGGTTGTCACACAGTCCCGTGTGAAAAAATAGCATTCAGTCGACGTCAAGCCAACCATCGGCTGAACACGTTCTACGTAGCGTTGACAGGCTGGGTTTCCTATTGTGACACAGCCATGTGACGGCTTGGCAGTGCTCGAAAGGAGGCTTGTCTGATGCGGAGAATGCTAGCGCAGCTGTGACGCAGCCACGCCCCTCCTTGACGTCTTTATGCGCTCCTGTCGGTACGTCATTGCGCTCCTGAACCCTTGAGAAATTTTGGTGGCCGTTAAGTCGTAAATGTCACGGTCTAACAATGCCGAAAAATGGGCTGGTGGATTTCCGACTTGTCCGTGCCAGGCGCTGGGCGGATTTTGCGCGTCCCCCACCTTGAGTTCGAGCTGGCCAAAGTCGACAGCGTGGACAAAGCTCGCCTTGCCGTCGGCTTTGGCTTCCGTGGTGTTGGGGCCAACACCTTGAACACAACTCCGCTCGACCCTGTCGGTCACTTGCAACGCCATTCACCTCAACATTGCATCTTCCGCTATCGCCTGCACTCTGTTCAGCAACGTTCTGGTACCGTCCCTCGGATTGGTGGTACAGCGACATCGGCCGTCTTCTCCGCTGCCCATCAGGAGCCGCTCTCATAAGGACACGTCCATCCGAGCACGATCCAGAGGTCGACACGACAACCCATGACGACGACAGCAACAGCAAGATACACTCTCAAGTCTCTCTCTTCCATCGCCTCTTCCAGGCCCACGTCGTCTCTCCTTCGAGTCTCCCCTCGCACCCCTAGCAGCATCACCGGACAACGCGCTACCATGTCGAGCATCGCACCAGAGCAAGGCTCCTCTATGCACAAGATCGCCCGCAACGGGTTCGACTCTTCCGGCGATTCTGGTCTCTACGATCGTGCGCGACCGTCCTACCCTCCTGCGGCCATCTCGACGATCATTGCGGAAGCGACGAACACCGGCTCGCCTTCGCCGCTGCGCATCGTGGAGCTGGGTGCGGGAACAGGGATCGCCACGCGGATGCTGCTCGCGACTGCCACCGCGACGTCGTCGGACGGCACCCCTCCACCGGGCATCGCTTCGCTTGCCGCCATCGAACCGTCCGCAGGGATGCGCTCGCACTTCGACTCGGCCATCGCGTCCGGCGCCGGATCGCTCAAGCAGCAGATGCAGGACAAGGGCCTGCTCTCCCCCTCGACCAGCATCACCATCGAAGACGGCGCATTTGAATCGTTCGATGCTGGATCGGGCAGCGATGCTGTTGTGGTGGCCCAGGCGTGGCACTGGTGTCAGGACTGGGATGCTGCACTGCAACAGGTCGCTCATGCTCTCCGAAAGGAAGGAACGCTGAATCTCATCTGGAACCTCGAAGACCGGGAAGCAGCGCCGTGGGTTGGCCAGATTCGAGACCTGTACGAGCAGTACGAAGACAACACACCGCAGTACCGCCATATGTACTGGCACGCCATGTACAAGGCACCCACCCTGGCGAGCTACTTCCAGGCCGACGAACCAAGGCAATACCACCGCACCATCCCAACGACTTTACAGGGCGTGGTGGATAGGGTGCTCTCCAAATCGTACATCAGCGTCCTGCCCAAGGACAAGCAGGACGAACTGGTCAAGCAGATCGAAGACTACCTCAACACCACCTCGGACGCACAGCTAGGCAGGAGGTGGATCGACAAGGAGCAGGGCATTTGGGAGTACCCCTACCGCACGGATCTGTTCATCTTCCGCCGTGTATGAGTTTCTCCGTCGTTGTAGGTAGTTGAACTCAATGATGATAGCGTAGTACTTGGAGGCGCTGGGAGCGAGATGGCCTTGGCTCGAGTGGGGCTGTTCAACGATTCAGAGTGGTAGAGCTACGGACCGGCGGCCCCCAGCAGCAGCGCGCATCTCGCGATCACGATCGTGATCCTGCTTGAATGTGCACAGCTTGTGTTGTTGTCACCTCGAAGCATGCGATGGTGAGAAGTCGCGAGCACAATCTGAAGCTGGGTTACCCGCCGACACATCAGCGTGTTTGTTCTCTGACAGCAACGGGAGGCAAGACGAGCAGACAAGCGGGAGACAAGAGCCTACTTCGACGTGGCGGCAAGCACTGCCTGATCCTACCGCAGATCTCCGATCCCGCCCCTCGAAGATTTCCGAGTCAAAGCGTTCGCGCAGACACGGCAAACAGCGGGGTCAGGCGAGAGCAAAGCATGGAATGGCTATTTAACGCTTGGTCAATCGAACAGATGGCCGAGGTGGATGATCGGCGGGCGTTTGCTCATGCTTGAAGACTGTAGCGCAAAGGCTGAGACAATGGGAGAGAAGCCAGCGGTTCAATGCATTGAAAAGCGGAGGGTAATGCAGCGGCCGAGCGGAGTGAGGAAACGCTTGCCGAGGCCGAAACAATGGAGCAGAGATTGCCGGTGAGCCAAAAAAGCCAAAGAGAATCCCGTCAGAGTTGGAAGCATTCCGGCTGGACCGGCAGTTGGTGGCGCGCAGAGCCTGTTTTTGCTCATGTGGGTTGACTCGGCGCATCCGTCGGATGGACCCACTCCAGCCAGCATGGCGTCGAAACGTGATCACAGAGAGGTAAATGAAAGGCAGAAAAGCCTCAGACAAAGGGATACGGAAAACAAGGCTTTGTCGGCCATGAAAGCGGAGCAAGGAGAATTATGGGCGCGTTCTATGCAAAAATGACCCGAATGGAAGCAGAGCTTGTCATTGCCGCCGATTGCAACTCCGCCTTGGAGAGTCAGATGCAGGATGACCCCATGACCAGGATCACAAAGCGCGATCTCACCATACCTGCCCCTGTCGTCTGCCTCTGGGACGCGCTAGCCCGACTGAATAGGAACGCGACTGCTGCTCACATGGGGCGATCAAAACGACGCTAAGAATGGTTCAAGGGTTCTGCACAGGGGCCAGCTTTGGGCCCCAAGTCAGGGCAAGCGAGCTCGCCTCGGTCGCCGTTCCTTGCAAGCCACAGCGAGGAGCACAGGTGAAGATGAACCAGGTCGGCGTCGGGTGGGACGACGATGGCGTGTGGCGGCCGGACTGCGACGAAATGATAACTGAGCGAGCGACTGTGCTTGCGCCGACGCCGGTCGTGAAGAGAGATCTCCGCATCGCTTTGTAGGCACTTGAAGACTTGCTGTGCAAGACCTGACCGCACAAACACCTGAGCTGCAACATGCAAGACGGAGCCCCACGGTGATCTCTGGACAAGGAGCATCATCGGTGCATGCTATTGACTGCAGCCTCGCTCTGCTCGCCGCTTTGAGTCCTGCAGCTGTAAGGAAATTGTGTCTAGCCGAAGGTCGCTTAGCTCTGAGCCATGCGAGTTGTGCTGCCGCGCGCTCATCGCCGGTCTCTATGCTCGAGTTACCCTCAGAGATTCCCGAGACTGGTCTTTTGCTGTCAGCCGTACAGACTCTGGGTTGTGCGGGGAAGCTGCAGGCGCCTTTCCATGATGATTTGAGTTGACCGATTGGGGGATCATAGGCTTTGCCGCTTCTTTTCTTTTGTTCGGCGGCACGCTCAGATCCGCCCGCAGAATACGGAGCAAATACACCTGTCATTCGTCAACGGCCATTCCGAAGCGTGGTTGCTCATCCTCTTCGCACGCCTCCTTTCGGAGATCTCCCTCCCTTGCTCTCATCACTCGGGCTGGCCGCTCCAGTGCCTGCCAACCGGCTTTCTCGTTCTGAGGCGTGTTTCATCTGTGGCAGACAATGCTGAGTCTCATGCAGTGTCTGTCTTGACCCCACTCGTCCCCACACTTTGTCTCTAACTGACGACACTCCTACTGCACTTTCCACCCCCGGACTTCTCCCTTCACAACAACTATATATCAAGCGTCTAACCCTCAAAACTTCTCTCCACATCTCCTTCCTGTTCTCAAGAAAGCCCCTTCTCTTTCCAGCACCCTTCTTCCAGCCCTGACATCCGCACAGAGCTGTCTCGACAACTACTCTACATCCTCGCTGACACCAGCCTACACATCACGACCATCCCTACGTAAGTTCATCACTGCATTGCACTCGAGTGCCATCGTCCATTATGCAGAGCTCACCCTCCAGCTCGTCCCACGAGGACATGTACAAGAACGAAAAGAAGGAACTCAAGGTCGTCCACGCCGGCGATGTCGACCTCAACTTGGTGCAGGGCTTCGACGCCCCCAGGCCCTCCAGGATGACCCGTCGTGCCATGATCCTCGCCCTTGCCATCTGCATCGGCGGCTTCTTGTTCGGCTATGACATCGGAGTCATCAGCGGTTGCTTCATCATGGACCCCTTCAAGCGCGCCTTTGGCGATGCCACCGCAGAAGGCTACAACATCCCTGAGGGTCGCATTTCCCTCATCAACTCGTCCCTCTCCATCGGTACCTTTGTCGGCGCTCTCCTTCAGGCGCCGGTCTCTGACTTCTTCGGTCGTAAGCCTTCGATGATCACCTGGGCCGCTGCCTACACCGTCGGCGCCGTCATTCAGACCGCCACCATCAACTCGTGGCACCAGTTCGCCGTCGGTCGTGCCATTGCCGGTCTCGGTGTCGGCGCTCTCTCCGGTCTCTGCCCGCTCTACCTCGGCGAGACCGCTCCCAAGCACATCCGTGGTGCCATGGTCACCTGCTACCAGCTCCTCATCATCTTCGGTATCTTCCTCTCCTACGGCATCTCGTGGGCTACCCAGAACTTCAAGGTCTCGGACGCATCGTGGAAGATCCCCGTCGGTCTTCAGCTGGCATGGGGTGTTGGCATGCTTGCTCTCCTGCTACTGCTCCCTGAGTCGCCCCGATACTGTCTCAAGAACGGCGAGGTGACCCGCGCTCGCGCCATCATGGCCGACATGCGAGATGTCCACATGCAGGACATCAACGGCGAGCTGCGCGGCGACAAGTGGATGGAGGCCGAGCTGCTCGAAATGAAGCAGGGTATCGACGAGGAGAACTCCATCTTTGCCGGTCACAGCTACCTCGGCTCCTACCTCGTCTGCTTCTCGACCAAGAATCAGATGTGGAAGCGAACCATCAACGGTATGATGCTCCAGACGCTGCAGCAGCTCAACGGTCAGAACTTCTACTACTACTACTTGCCTCTGCTCAGTTCGACGCTCGCCCTGCCGCTCAACCCGTTCCAGATCCAGTTCATTCTTGGATCTGCTTCGTTGATCGCCACAGTACCCGCGCTGATTGCGATCGAAAAGCTCGGTCGTCGTCCGCTTTTGCTCATCGGTGCCGCATGCGAAGCTGCTTGCGCTTTCATCGTCGCCTTCGTCGGCCACTACAAGACCGCCCCCAAGGACACCCCCGCCGACATGATCACCGCGTCTCAACATCAGGCTGGTGCCGTCTTTATCTCGTTTGCCATCATCCACCTGCTCTTCTACTCGTGCTGCTGGGGCCCTGGTCCGTGGCTGTACCTCTCCGAGTCGTTCAACAGCCCCACGCGAGCCAAGGCCATCTCGCTCGGTAGCGCCTCCAACTGGATCTGGAACTTCCTCCTCTCCTACTTCTCCAACCAGATCGCCGCCCAGTACGGTCCGTTTATCATGCTCATCTTTGGTAGCGTGCTCATCTTTGCCTGGTTCTACGTCTACTTTATGGTTCCCGAGACCAAGGGCATTTCGCTCGAAGATGTCGAGCTGCTTTACTCGCAGCACATCAAGCCGTGGAAGTCGGCAGCGTGGGTCAAGGAGCGCGGACTCGACAGGGAGGTCGAGGATCGCGTCATCAAAGCCTGAGGGGTTCTCCGCCGCCTTCCTTCAACACACGCAACGATACCTTAACTTGTAACCTTTATGCCAATGCCAGATCTTATGATTCACGAGTCTACGGTGTTTGGGCTTGGAATGTGGATTGACAGCTGTGATTGAGTGCAATCGCTGTGATTGTGCGAAGGGGGGCGTCTGAGAGTGGATCGCGATAGGGAAAGGGCGTACGGTGTGTCCAGTAGGAGTCAGGCCGGAGACTCCGCTGCTCCTCCGTCTCTCTCACCAGCCAATCTGAACTTTTCACCATCGTACTAATAAATTTGGCTCTTGGGAATGAAGACCATCAGATCCTCAGCAAATCCATCGAACTTATCGATCGCCTGTTGGACCTCCCATTCCAAAGCCACTCTGTCACTGCCGTTGAAGTAGAGCCTATAGTATGGGCCGCCGTCAAAGCCATTGTTCGGATTATCGTCCTTATCCGCGTCACCAACAATCACACCTGCGAAGCCCTTGATCCTCAGCATACCCGGAAGGACTTTGGTCCAGACGGTGTGCATGATCTTTGCATCCTTGCGACGGTCGGGGATCCAGTGGATGCAGATGCACAGCAGCTCGGTGTTGGTCGAATCGAGCACTCTGTAGGGGAGGGTGTTTTTGCTGTCGAATGTCAGGTTGCGGTTCGAGTCGGTGGTGGGGCGTCGCGAACCGGTCGAGGTGCGCGCTTTCTTGGACGCAGCGGGCTTGCCAGCTGCCGATGCACGCTTCGATGCACCGCTCGCGCGTGAAGCTGAAGCCGAAGCTGGAGCGGCTGGTCCTGGGTCTGCGCCCGGAGTCGAAGCCGAGACGTCTACGGCCGAAGCCGAGATGTCTGCGTTCGGCTGGACGCGTGACGAAGAGGACGACATGCCACTCGCAAAGATGCTGAAAATCTAAGCAGCCGCTTGAGAGTCGACAAAGGAGATGGCAACGAGATCGAGAGGTTGAAGAGCAAGAAGGGGCCGTGAAGGTGGGCGTTGCAGAAGAACAGGGGCCGGACAGTGCACAGGGCGCGCGGTGGTGGTGGTGGGGAGCGAGGCGTGTCCGATAACGCGTTGGTCTCAGAAACGCGCGTCGAAACCCGTGGCAAGGCTTTCTTTGCAACTCTCTGGGGGTCTGTGCTTCGTCGGGGGGGTGGGATGAGGATGGGTCGCGGGCGGTAAGAGGGGCTAGAGCCCAAATTTGTACCCCCCGTACAGGAGGTAGAAAGCTGTTTCGGTCCGTCCTGGGGGTGGTGGTAGAGTTTCAAGCTCCGATGCCCCTCAAATAGTGCGCACAGGGAGGTTTCGGTGCAGCGTCGATAGGGTCTATTCAGATAGACTCATCTGACGCGGTTACTGGCTCTCAAACCTTTCCAAACACAGGAGCAAACCGACCCTATCCAGTCGCTAGGGTCTGTTGAAGGCCTCGAACCGACCCTCTCAAGTTGATCGGGTCGGCTTGCAAGACGCACTCTCACCGCTCAGAACGGATGCTTAGTCAGCTTGAGAGCTAATTTGACCCTCTCGACACCCTGAACCATCGCAGACCGGGTCTGTTTGAGCGAATAGGCCTTCTCTGCAAACAGGCCATGTCGACGCTGCGCCGAAACCTTCCTAGTTTGCGCGCTCGCCGAGGCGTAGACCATCGTATGGAATCCACAGCCTCAAATAGAATGTCTCGACGCCTTCTCATACTCGCACCTGGAGGCTGGTACGAGTTGGAACGCGCCGGTGCCGTCGTCACGACGAGCTGCACACGCGGTCACATGGAATCACGTTTGAGCTGCCGAACCAAGGCCTTCTCTCACTTTTGACACTGGCTCAGCCTCTTGTGCAATACTGGCACACACTGCACGAGCACGAGCTTCACACACGCTCTGACTCTCGCTGGTACAGCCATGTAGCTCGACAAGAGAGGTCCGGGAGGCTTCCACTGCTCGCCGGCGCCAGCCGGTGGCGACGGAACCTACATCAACAGCTCCTGTAGCGCACACATTGTGTCGGACGTCGTCGACCTTATTTCGCTGCTCATGCGTCCCCACCGAGCTTGCATCGCATTGCATCCAGCTCGAACCCTCGCTGGCGCTTCATTTCACAATGCGTGGCTGTGAAGCTTGCCTCAGCGCAAACTGAAAGCGTCTAACTCTTTCTCGTCCTTCTCTGGTCTTCTTCCCCTTCTTCGCACCATTGCACGTTGTGTTCGCCACATGTCATCGATCAACAGCATGTCGACCTCAACACAAGTCGGAGCGGACGAAGCAAAATCGTCACGCGTAGTCTTTGCATACGATGACGACGGAGAAGAGGACAATGCGCATTCGGCGCTTCTGCCGACGGCTGCTTCCGCCTCAGCCCTGCCGCAGAGGTCATGGCGGTCGTGCCTTTGCAAACGCTTCGTCCTCCTGGTGGCACTTCTCGCGATGTGCGCCGGCATCTTCGCCCTGACCATCCACGGAAAGGAAGGTGAATCTCTCCAGACCTTACAAGACCACATCCATCGACTCGAAGATGCGCTCGCGCACACCTTCCAACGGATCAGTACGCCTGTCTCGGCCAACGCGATCAGCGCGATAGACCCAATCCACTGGGCGGCAAAGGAGCATTCTGTCAGCTCCAACTCTGTTATCCTACTCAAAACAGGTGCTTCGGTACTCTTCGACCGGCTACCGACTCAGCTGTTGCAGGCGCAATTCTCGCTCCATCTCTGGCAGTCGGGTGGGTGGAAGAAGCCCACCTTCCTCGTGTACTCCGATGCCCCGGCGCAACTCGGTCCGTTCACCATCCGCAACGCTCTTGCCAACGTCTCTTCCCACCTCCAGGCCAACGAAAAGTTTTCCTCGCTCTACACGGAACTTCACCGTCTGATCGGAGAACATAGAGCAGAGAGCTTCGAGCACGGTTGGCAGCTGGATCGGTTCAAATTCTCCCCATGTGGGCGGATGCTTTTGCGCGTCACCCAAGCGCGGATTGGTACATCGGCTACGAAGCGGATACGTACGTCCTTTGGCCTTCGCTCTTCCGTTTCCTCTCCACGCAGGATCCGACAAAGGAACAGATCTTCGGTTGCGCATCGATCCTCGTCGCCAACCAGGAGGTGTTCGCTAACGGTGGCTGTCCCTATGTCATCTCTGGCGCGTTGATGCGAGCGACCTACGGAAAGGATCCACATTTCGCACAGCGATTCGAGGATGACGTGGTGAACTCTTGCTGTGGGGACGCAGAGTTGAGTATTGCGCTACGAAAAAGTGCCACAGTGCCAATCAAGAGGCTCGGCGACGCAGGGGCGAGGTTCAACGGCGAGCGACCGAGGGAGGTGCTGTTCGAGGAGGGGAACTGGTGTACACCGGTGCTGAGCTTTCACCACGTCACTTCGGAGGAGGTGAATTGGTTGTCAGGAGTCGAACGGGAGATTCGGACCAGATCGAATGGGACAGTGCTGTACAGCAGTTTCTTCGACTACGTCACTCCTCCGGAGCTCAAACTGGCGCTGGACGTAATAGAGAACGCCCGCAACGCAAGCGGTGTGGATTTGAACCCGACACTGGACAAGTGGGAGGCGTTCAGCGGATCCGATCATCACGTCAAGCAGGCGAGTCGAGCAAACGGGGCGGAGGGGTGCAAGAAGCAATGTCTCGAGAGTGGAGAATGCACGAGCTGGGTGTGGAGCAAGGCAGACCAGGATGCCGATGGAGAGTGTCACACGATGCACGACGGTGTCAGAGTGGGCAAGGAGTATAAAGGCACAGGAACTCGCACCAGCGGATGGATCGCGAAGGAAGTCGCCAGCTTCAAGTCTAGACACGCTTGCAAGGCTCCCCCGTCGGCCTGAGCAATATGCATCTCAACGTCCGTCTTCTACTTGCATCCGCTAGACGCTTTCACATCAACCTGCTTTCTGCTCACGCCTGTCGACGAGGATATGTCTGATGAAGCTGTGCTCCGTTGTGAATGAAAGATGCCAAGAAAAAGTATGCACATGCGTGATGTCTAACGATGCCGCGAGTGCCGAGGTGAAAAGGATGAGTCAGTCCATCATCAAACGAGACTTGACTCGTAACCTTCTCCCTTCCGTCCGCGACATCTAAGTGAAAGTCTATGAAATGCAAAAAAAGCTCTAAAGCAGGATGAAGAGGAGCGACGCCGCGGCCGCGGCAAGAATCACCACAGTCGATCTCGACGCGGTGGACGCCGCATTGGTCGGAATGCCCGGAGCGGTGATGCGCACCACGTCCCTGTTCTGATAATCGCGCTTGGCGGCGTTCATCAGCATCATGAACGCGAGCGACTCGGACGACGTCTCGCCCTGACGGTTGAAGGCGAGCACGTCGACCACGGGGTAGGTCTCCCTGAATTGGCCGATCGAGTTGAGCGACGTCGCCAACGAACGGTACACGATATCTGCCTGTTCGATCCAACGGTTGTTGCTCGGCGACATCGAGGCGAGCCTGTACGTCGCGTAGGCGATCAATGCCGTTCCGGCAGAGTCGTAGAAGGTGGAGGTGTCGTTCATGTAGTTGTGGAAGAGCAGCGCTCGTTCGTCGAGAAGCGGCCAAGAGGCATCGAGGATCTCCTGCATCCAGTTGATCAGATCGGTCTTCTGGGACGTCATGGACCCACTCGCCTGACTCTGCTCGATCGTCGCCAGCGTCCTCGCCATGCCACCCAACACCCAACCGTTACCCGTCGCCCACGCCCCGCCGTCCGTCCAATCGTCGTCATCCGGACTGAGAATGTGACCCCACAGACCCGTCGACCTGCCCGTGGTGAGCCGCATCTCGTTGCGATACAGCCGGATCTGGTCGTACGACGCCTGCAGCAGCGTGTTGTTCCTCGTGATCATGCCGTACCACGCCAGGAAGGGGGGCATCATGTAGATCGCATCGCTCCACAGGCTCACTTCGGAGTACCTATGGCTGATCGCTCCCGACCTAGCCCTAGGCGTGCGGCGGAGCACCATGTTGAGCGTGCGCTGGGCTGCACTACCGTAGAAGCCGCTGCTCATACTGCCTGTGTTACGGTCGATCTCGCCGTCGAGCCATGCAGCGAGCAGGACCTCCGTTCCAGGGGATGCACCGTCGAGGGAGCTTCCGGAACCCTGCTCTTCGTCGCCCGTAATGCGGAACGCCAGCCGACCGAGACTGTCCGACCGCGAAACGGAGGCGTAGGCCATGGCGATGACTTCGTTCGGCGGGTTGCCAGCGGATCGCTCGCTACCCGGCTTGAAAGGTGGACCACCGGAGGAGGACGAAAAGACGGACCAGCCGGGGAAGTCGAGCTCGAGCAGAGCGGCTTGTGAGACACCCTGCTCCCAGGAAGCACGTTGACCGACTAGCATGCCCATCTTGGCCATGTCGCTCATGGTGTTGTTGATCGAGTTGCTGCGTTTGGAGAAGTGGCCGGCGGAGACGGTGGGCGTCACGGTGGCAGCCAGGAAGAGTGCGGTGGTAAGCGCTGTCTTTGCTGCGTTGGCGGCGCGGGTTCGGCGCTGTCGGAGGACCGGCTTGCGAGCGTTGAGGGTGGGAACAGCAGCCACTTCGGCCTCGTCCGCATCGCGAAGCACCACCAGGGTGCCGTTTGAACGGAAAGCGCCGAGGTCGCCCGTTGCCACCCAGTCGTCCTTGCTCTCAACACTGCGTGCGACGAGGTTGCCGCGGATGAGAATTTCGCCCATGGGATCGCCTGCTTGGCCCGGCTGCCTCTCGCCTGCGATCGTCAATCCAGCATCCGTAGCAGCAGTGGACTGTACCAGCTTGATCTCGGCAGAGACGGCAGGAGGACCGACGTGCGCTGGCACCTGCATGCTGCCTGTCTCGTGCTCGGCGAAGGCTTGGAGGTCGAATGCGTGTGTAGCGCTGACTGTCGCAGTGACAGCGGCAGCCTTCAATTTGGGCAGGTATGCGTTGAGTACAGCGCAGCTAAGGTGCGTGCGAAGCGCGTCGAGCAATGCTTGAGGAACGGTGTCGCCTCGGCTAGCAACGAGGACGTTCCTGACGCGACTGGCGCCGATGTTGTCGCGAACCTGGTTGAAGACGAGGCGATCAGCGAGGCTCTTGCGTGAGAAGGTACCGTTGCGGAGGGTGAAGAGCTTGTTCTTGCTTGCCCATGAGGCGAGTGGTGATCGGCGGCTGCTGGAAGCAAGTGTGCAAGCAAGCGAAGAAGCGCCCTCTGCGGATGCGTAGACCAAAGTAGGCTTTGCCTGTGAGAAAGCTGTCGAGAAAGTTGGGCTTGAGTCGTCGTAGTTTGACGTCAAAAGGTCGGCTGTGATGGCAGCTCCGGTGTAGAGCGCTGTCAATGCAAGCGCGAAACCAAAAGGCGACCGCGTGGCCGAGAGCGACGATGCTGACATATGGGGAGAAGAGCCGGCGTCAACGAAGAAGTGGTCGACGGTGCTGGGGATCTTGTCGGCGGGGAAGCTGGCCAGCTGCGAAGTGACGCCCGCGACAAGATTGGCGTGCTGGACGGCGATCCACTGCGACGAAGGTGCTTGCCAGTAATACGACTGAGTCTGGTGGATCACGTCGCGGTCGGCAGCATCAGGACCGAGAAGAGAGCCACGGCTGCCCGCTTCGACAACCCTGTCGAAGGTGTAGATGCGAAGGTGATGCGAGCCGCCAAAGTGCGCATCGGCCCGCTTCTGAACCTGATCGACATCGGAAGCGGGGACGATGACGAGCGCCGAAGAGTCGAAGAAGCCAAGTCTCAAGAGAGCGTCGATGCTCTTGGCAGTAGTGTAAGCGCCAATGGCGGTACGAGCGCCTGTATCCGACAACGCGCTGGGCAGGGTGCTGGCATTCTGATTGTGGAGCTCTTCCGGCGAGACGACGACAGTGTGGAAGCGCGAGCTGACCGAGGTATGTGAGTTGGCGAGCAAAGCGACGAGACTTTCGTAGGAGTCTGTCTCCGACACGACAGCAAATACAGTCTGGGGCACGGGAGCAGAGGAGAGCTTGATGAAGCCTGTCGCAAAGGCGGTAGCGTCGCCGGCGACATCCTCGTTGGACTTTGTCTTGCCGTAGACGGATCGTTTGGCGGTGCGCTCCGAGCCGTCAGCGCCGTGCTTGATGAGGTCGGCGATGTCGTTGACCTCCTTGCGTGGCCTCAAGGCGAGGTCGAAGCCCGAGGGCGAGTTGGCGTTGCGGTAGATGGCCGACTCTTTGGGCTGACGCGTTTGCGATACATCGGCCTGACGTGTGAGGATGAGTGGGTGGATGAGCGGCTGGTAGGAGCGTGAGACGTAGATTGAGAGAGCGAGCACTGCTACCAAGGCAAGCAGGAGCACCAATGAGGTGTCGTCAATGACTAGTGAGAGCACCATAGTGGGCTGTATTCGTGCCGAAGGGAGGTGGAGCGCGTGAAGAGCCCGGCGGATGTTGTAGGAGGTGGTGTACGTTCACACAGCCGACATTCGAGGAGAAGACCAGAAGAGGATAGGAAGGATGAGCTGATGAGGTCGGAATGTGAGAGCTGGAAGGTCTAGGGAAGGAAGAAAGATGAGAAGGAAGGCAGGACTGGATGGTGACCAGCTCAGGGACGGAAGGATGGGGTCCAAAGAAGCAGTCAGCTTCCGAGTGCGAGCAGAACAGTCAGCGCAAAGGTCCCATCCAGAAGGGTCATTCAGACTGTCTGACTGCTGCCCTGCGAAGTTAGCACGTTGCGATCTTATCACCATTCAACGGCGAGGCCGACACGATTGTATGGACCCTTTCGTCATTCTGCTATCGGAGAAGAAGCGGAACCAGCAGTAGTTGCTCATAAGATTCCTGCGCCAGCTGCTGCTGCTGCTGCACCTCCAACTCCGCAAAAAGGCTTGGTCTCGGCTCGAGGCGAACAAGCAAAAAGCGCAGGCCAGCACACCGCTTTCCCCGAGGCTCTTCCTTTGTTCCAAATCTAAAAATTGCCTTTTAGGCCGCTGCGTCATGCATAAAACGTGACGGCTCGGTGACCAGAGGCGCCAGACCACACGTTTAAGCTGGCTTTGCATCCATGAAATCACCAAATCCAAGCTCAGCTCATGACGCAGCGGAAGCACGCCGACCTGATCGCGATGGAAGCCATACTTTAGGCCAGCATACCTTCACTCAGAGCAGACTTTGTTCTTGACTTCCCTTCCATCGCGCGCAACAGAATTGTCTCCTATCGAGAAGAAGGCGAAACGAGGTGCAATGCATGCCGGCGAAAAAAAGGACACCTGCACGAAGAGTGCTTGGCTCCGGAGATGCATCCGAGCTGCAGCTCGACTCTAAAAATCGGTGCTTCTCTGAGACCTGCTAACAGACGTGATGCCCGAGTCAGAGGCAGCGCATCTCCCTGCAGAGCCTCAGCTTGGCTTTCCGCCCATTTGATGTCAAATGCCCGTCGTCGATCGCGAGTGCTTCTCCTTGCAGCCTGTTCTCATCTTGACAGCGAACAGCCAAGAAGAACAGCATGTGAGATACCGCGCCAAGACGGAGCATCGATTACCAGACTTCGATCCATCGAATCAGGGGCATGATTGAGACAGCCTTCAGCCCGGAAAAGGATCGGTTTCTACTCCCGCTACATACGGTTCCCGCTTCGCTTCTCCCGCTCATGGTACCAGTGTCATTTTCCCTATGCGAGAGCACGTTCTGCTGTGATGCCGTTTTGGCAACGCCTTGCATTCTAGACGACATGTTGAGCCTGCTAGCAACGCCAACCATATCGATTCAGAGCTCCCTTCTTCCCACGAAAGGGGTGATGGGGCGTAGGCGTGACTGCGAGACAAATTCGAGAACTCTTGGCCTGCAGCAGCAAAATGGACGCGGAACGCGCCAAGCCCCGACCAAGAACGCGGCACAGCCGACTGCAGTTCAACCCGTTTGCTGCTGCCAAGAAAGCACCCAAGACAGGCATTCGAAATCGAGCCGGTCACCTTGGGCGATCCCCTCTTGTCGGTTTCGCCGTCGTGGCCTTGCAGATGGGCGCCACGACGGGCATTTCCGAACCCTTAAAGTACTGCGCCAAGCAAGCCGGACAAGCACCGATCTGACAACCAACCGCCTGTCGCCTGCTCACACCAGAGCTTGGCACCACGAGCGACCATCGCTTGCCATTCTTCCGATCGGCAGTGCCGAGCTCATGACCCGTGGGTCCCCATCCTGCTTCCATCGGCCCCGATAGTATACCTACGCTCTCATCGGATGATCCGCCGTCGTCACTCAAGTCACACTGTCACGCTGAGTCGATGAGGCAAACGATGGCTTTCTATATCATACTTTTGATCTGAACCCTTCTACATTCGAAACACGATCTAGAGCTTAGCGCGGGGGAGGTCCGAATCAAAGTCGGTGGTCTCCATGTCGTGAATGTCGACGTTCCATTTGGCCGAGTTGAGGGGTTCGCGCAGGGCAAAGTCGAACAGGGCCTCGTAAACCTTGCCATCCGAGCGACCCAGAGCCGAGTTCAACAGGTAATCGGGCACGGCGAACGAGTCGACGAGCGCCACGGCGTTGGGTCGCAATTCGGCCATGATCTCCTGCACCTTGCTGCCGAGCAGGTGGAACTGCTTGCCCGTGATGTAACCCGAAGCGAGGAAATCGGCCGACTCCTCTTCCATCGTGTGGCATGCCCACAGCAGGAAGATGCGCTGCACGATCTGTCGCAGCGCAGGCTGCGAGTTGAGCTTGTCATCCTTGAGGATAGCCATACCGAAGTTGCGAACGAGGAGGTACTGCGAGTGCGCCTTGGAGCAACGGTACAGTTCGACCAGCAGCGAGTTCCACGATCGCTTGGCATCATCGCGAAGCGCGAGCGTCTGCTCCGTCAGGTACGCAGCTCGGTGACCAAACGCACGCATGAAGAACAACGGATCGTAGAGATCACCCGAGAACTGGATGTTGGCCGTCTCACCCTTGTTCTCGAGATAGCGGATCATGTAGTCCGTAGTGATGTTCTTGTCCACCTTGCCCTTGCCCTTGATGGCACGCATCGTCTTGAACAGGTAGCGCGTGCACTGCTGCGAAAGCATGTACGAATCACCCTCCCACGTCGCGTTGGGCAGGTAGTTGGCGTACTGATCCGGAAGACCCGAGGCCATGCTGTAGCCGTGACCACCGCACGCCTTGCGGCACACCTCGATGGCATCGCTGGCGTAGAGCGTGGTGAGCGACTTGAGGCCCGAAGAGGATGCGTGCGTGTCGGCGAGCAGCGAAAGATCACCCGACTCGATGTTGGCCTGGTTCTGCTCGTAGAGATCGAACATGAAGCGCGACGTGTAGTGGAAGGCGAACGCCTGTGCCAGGATGGGGAAGAGTCGGATCTGGACCATGGTGTAGTCCAACACCTGCGTCTCGAGCGGCTTGCCGTCCTGGCCAAACTTGGGTGCGTCGCGGTCGGCAAACTGCCTTCGCACCGCGCAGTATCGGATGGCGACAGTGACAGCGCGCATCAGCACCGTCGAGGCATCACGCACAATGTTGGCGCGCACCCAGGTGAGCGTACCGTAGGCGAGCTTGGCGTTGGGAGGAGGAAGGTACTTGCCCGTCTCGGGCTCGACCTTGGAGAAACGAGCGAGGAGGTTGAAGTGAGGGATACGGACATGCTCGAACAGCATGAAACCGTTGTCGGTGGTGTTGTAACCGGCCTTGGGTCCGATGTCGCCGATGGTGCGACCGGGAAGCATCTCTCGGGTCTTGACATCGCGGATGGCAACGACGAAGGGATGAGGACCGTACGACTTGTTGTTGATGATGAGCTGGGCCATGACGACAGCGTGGTCCGCGGTCCTACCGAGACCACCAATCCACCACTTGCTGGCGGTCAGCGTAGGGCTGTGAATCTCCCACTCCTGCGACTCGGCGATCCAAGTAGCAGTAGTCTCGATGCCCTGGACGTTGGAGCCGTGTCCGAGCTCGGTCTGAGCGTAGCAGCCGATGATCTCGTATTTGGAAGCAGGCTCGTAGAAGACTTTGCGCTGCTCGTCGGAACCCTGGTTGTAGAGGGTAGTCAAGAACATGCTCTTGTGCAGACCCATGGGACCGGGCAGATCGGCGAGCTTCTCGGCGACGTTAGCCTCGTACTGGCCCCAACCGTGCTCGGCGGCGAGCTGAGCCAGACGCTTGTCCTTGAGCATGGCACGACGGAACTTGTCTGCTCGGCCATAGTAGTAGTCGGAGGTCTTGTCAAACACGGGATCGCTGGTGAGGATGTTGAGGATGCGCTCCTGGAGCTCGAGGAACTCCTTGCCATGGATGTACTCGGCCATGGCCTTGGAGTCGAACGAAGCCTTGGATCGTTCGTAGGCGAGGAGCTCGCTGCCGGAGACGCCGGCAGGCTTGAGGCCCTCGGGGAGCTCGATGTAACGGGGTGGCGCCATGTCGTGTATGGGTTTGTGATTGGTGGCGCGGTGTAAGAAGGAGGCTAGGGAGGGTAGGTGTGGGGAAGAAGAAGAAGGAGTGGGGTAAGACGGAAGCAATTGGTATATATCGAAGCTGAGCCGGCCCTGTGTGTATGTGTGCGGGGAGTGTGCCGGTGGCTGTCGAGAATGGGGACCGGTAAGACGGAAGAGGATTCGATGGTCACAGCCGGAGACCCAATCCAATTTCCTCACTCTCCGAAATCGAGAGAGCCGAGCGAGCGTCACGCTGCTACTGAAATTCGATCCTGGTTCGAGAGTCAGTGTCGGCCTGAAAGGAAAAAGTTAGCCGGTGGCAGAGGTGTTGCGTTGTGCGTGCGTGTGTGCCTGGGCCGAGTGTTTGCTTCCATTTTTCCTCAAGCCTCAGTTGGCGGGAGATCGACTCGTCTCTCCACACCTGCAAGCAACAAAGCAAGAAGCGAGACCGGAGAATATTTCCTCAGCCACTCGACGCTTGCACGCAACTCATAGATGGTCCCAACCACTTCTGGTGTCAATGAGCCATGTTGCGTTCAGACGTGCCAGAGCGTAGGAAGGGTACAATCCATCGCCACCGCCTGCAGATGGGAAAGGGTGTAACACTGCCATCAGAGTGCGAGTTTGCGCGCGCAACTGAACCCCGCAAACGAGGATGAGGTAAAGCGAACAGGTTGGGGACCGGCTCTTTGCTTCACCGGGTGGGTCGCCTGCAAGAAGTCGGATCGGTCAGCGTCATGGCCCCTTGCCGGATTCGTCGGATCTAGCCAGACCCGGCGGCGATTTTTCGAAAGCTGTTAGGCTGTCAATTAAATTTAATTTTGGAGTATGCTTGTCAGTCATGCACGGGCTAACATCACGCGCGAAGGGGCAGAGCACGTCTCGCACGATTGAAATTTGAACAACACGGCACGCCCATCTCCGGGCGAAAAAAGGCTGAGTCGATGCGCTCGCTCGTCTGTCGCGCTGTCGAGCTGGTGGTGCAGCTGCAAGCCACACGACCGTTGTGCGAGATTGGAAAGGGTGCCTGGCTCATGTCCGTCAAGTCCTCGGAGGAGAAGCCAAGATGAACACGAGCCAACTCTGTTTTTTCCCCTTGCTCGTGCCCAGGCACGCACACCGTCTCGCTCTCGCTCTCGTATCTCTGTCTGTTCTCTCTTCTCTCACCCCACGCCGTCATCTTTCAATTGGCACTTCGCTTGACGTCTAATCTCCGTGCTGTCCAGATTGCTTGCCGTCTCATTGAAGTGATGTTGAAAGTGAAGAGGATGACTGACGTCGCACCGTGCATGTGCTTGAGTCGTGTCGAGCCGCAAACAAGGCTTTCGGGAGTGCGAGACGAAGGGAAAGCCACGTCGGAAACGCACGTTGTCGTTGGTCTGGGCAGTGCTCAGCTAGTGACCTCAAAGCGGACCGAGCAGATACATGCATGTTCATGCTTCGACATCTCCGACCTTGTCGTCCTTTGCCTTCTTCGTCGCCGGTCATACCTCTCACCCTCTCTGATCCCGCTTTTCGAACTCATGCAAATGCGACTCGCAAGCGCTGCTCATCCTCACCTTATCCGAAGCACTGCTCTTCCTCATCCGCTGATCAGCTACGCTTCCATCGGAAACTAGTCCTCTCCGTTCCCCTCTTTCTTCCTTGCCTCTTGCTCTGTCCACTCCGTCCTCTATCCGATACGTCGGTCGTTCCTCTGCAGCACCAGCTCGCTTGCTCGTCCGCTCCCCCGCACGCCGCGGCGCATCGAGTCAGAAAGGCTCAGTCGTCCATTCTGACTTGTCCGTCCCACCTCGTCGCCTCGTCCTTCTCCTCTTGCTGCCATGGCAAAGCGTCCCCCCGCAGGGCATCCGCCAGCCTCTTCTTCGACCAGCATTCCTGCTCATCACGGAAACAGATCTTCGTCTTCCACTTCGTCGGCCGCACCATCTCCCACTTCGGCCGCAACCTACTACAGCGATCGATCTCGCAGACCACCATCTTCTTCTTCCGCCTCGGACCTCACTCTACCCCCTCTGCACACCGCCTTGGGCTCCAGCTCGCTTCCACGCGGATCAGCACTACCACCTCCTCTACTTCCGCCCACCTCTTCTTCATCACGGTACGAGTCGTCCTCCAACCAACCCGCAGGCCGACCCACCTCTCCTTACAAACCTTTCGTCACGCCCTCCCATCTGATCCACGGCGGCCGTGTCACGATTCCTACCAACTCGTCCCGTCCACAGCCTCCTCCTCCTCTTGCGACCAACGTCCCCGCCAACGCCCACGATCGGCGATCCGCAAGCATGACATCCAACCCAGACGACATCGCTGCTTCCTCCAATGGCGCCGAAGCCGCATCTACCGACGCAGCCAAGAAAAAGTCGACCAAGAAAGCCGTCTCTTGCGAAGCATGTCGTAGACGCAAGCTCAAGTGTGATCGCGGCTGGCCTTGCGGTGCATGCCGCGACCGCGGCGAGTCGAGCAAGTGCGAGTGGGCCGAAGGCGTCCGTCCACAAAACACCGGCAGAGATACCGGCGACTCATCGCAGATCAACGATCGTCTCGACCGTCTCGAAGCTATGATGGGCGCCATTGCTGGCTCTCTTGGTGTCGATCTTCCAGGCGCCAAATCCTCTCCGTCGACGGCCAATGGTGTAGCACAACGGAAGCTCTCCTCCGTCAGCGTCAACTCGGCCAACGCCGCCTCCACCTCCAAGCTCTCTACCCTCGCAGAGCTGGGCGCCGTCGAGGCCAGCAAAGCCGCCGCTCTCGCTACCACCTCCCCTCCCAAGAACGAAACGCCGCGTCCCTACTACTCGTCCGGCTCCGTCTCGTGGGGGTTCGGCTTCGGCTTCTCCCAGATGAACCAGGTCTCGTCCGAAGAGATCACACGCACCACCTTCTACGAGCTGCTCAACCTGCTTCCCGACAAGACCATCATCCAAGGTCTCACCGACTTCTACTTCCGCGAGCTCTCCTGGATGGCCTACCTCATTCCTGAAGAGGCCTTCCGAAAGAGGCAGCGCGCTGTTGAGGAGGTCCGGCTCTACTGGGATGGCCGCCCCGACGCTATGCCGTACGCAGAGATGCGTGATTCGCTCCGCCTCGTCTCCACCATCCACGCGCTCTGCGGAGCGGCGCTCGTCTTTGGCGAGCCCAAGGAGGCCGAAGATCTGCCCGAAAAGTATGGTAAGCAGGCCTTCACCATATTCCTCGACGCCGCTCAACATGCTCTCACCGTGCTCGATATCTACGAGGAGCTCCACGTCGACAATGTCCGTACCATGGTTTTGCTGAGCTCCTGCATGAGCGCACTGAAAGGTCCCGCCGTCGGGGCAGCCATGATGGCCAACATCTGCTTCATGGCCTACGCCCTTCAGCTTGACGTGGAGCCTTCCGAAACACTCCCATTGGACGAGCGCAAGGATCGCATCGGTCTCTTTGCGACACTCTGCATCAGCGATTGGTTCTCGGCGGGCAACGTCAAGCGCAGCTACATCATCGACCCTGCCAACACGAGCATGCCTTCGCTCTTTGGACCCGATGCGCACAACAGCGAATTGGTCTCGACCCATCTCCAGTACAAGCTCAAGCTCAGCGACGTCGCGCGTCGAGCGAGTCATCGCATCCGCATGAGCGAAGACGAGGCGTACGAATTCACAAAGCAACTGCACCAAGAAGTCGTCGCCATCGAAGCCAGCATCCCCGAGCATCTGCGTTTTGACGATTCGCTCATCGACTTGCAGGATTCCGACAACCAAGAGACGTGGCAACGATCCGCTATGGCCTTGGCGGTGCAGATGCAACTGCTCACCTTACACAAGCGCTTCTACGTTCAATCGTGGAGCAACCCAAAGTACAAAGAGTCGCGCGACATTAGCTTTGCGGCGTCGATGCTTATCATCAAGGTCTTCCGCAATGCTTTCAAGTGGTTCACGCCACGCGAGAATGCGACCATCGACGAGCAGAGAGCCATGATCGGCGAGGGCATGCGCACGCAGCACAAGTCGGTCTCGCGGCTGTGGTTCTTTGCCCAAATGTCGATCATCGCCTCGCTCGTGCTGATCCACTTTGTCTCGATGCTCGATACGCACCCGCAAGAGTCGTGCGACTGGGACAGCTCCGAGCTGCGAGCGCAGATCACCGACGATCTCAAGTTTGTACGACTGCTGCTGCAAGCTCTGTCGAGCAAGTCCAAGCTGGCGATGGATGGTGCTAGGGCGATTCAGCCTCCTGAGTCGAACCGCAACAAACGCAAGGCGGACGATGCATTGATGGGCCCCAGCCACGGACCTGGACCGACACGAGGCGGCGGACCGCTGAGTAGCCGCTCAGCGGACAGCGCGCTCATCTGCAACCCGAGCCATCATTCGACCTCGTCCGCCTACTCAAGTGGATCGACACCTGCCATGACCCATGCGCATCGCACCTCGCCTGCCTACAACTCGCCCGGCTCGAGCAGCACGAGCTCGCACAGTCTCTCGCACTCGGCCTCTGCATCCGAGCTGATGCGTCCCAAGCTGCCCTTTGACGGGTCGATGGCTCCCGCCAATGCCAACTCATTTGACGACATTGAGGCGCTCTGGCAGAAGCAGCCGTGGCAGACGGCGTCGTTGCGCATGGGCACGTCGCCCGGCGTTTCGCCTAGCTTTGCTGGCGGTGCTGGCAAAGCCAGATCTGCATCAGGAACGAGCCATTCCTTTGGCTCGAATGGCGCACACAACGGTAGCAGTAGCTACTTCCCTGGCAAACAGCCTGGTCAGGGCGACGCGGTCGCTGCCTCAGGCATCCCTGGTCTCGCCGGCAACACCACCACCAACGGCGATACCAATGGCTCTAATCCCGACTGCCCGCTCATCTGTGCCAGCTTCTTCGGTCCAGACGCGAGCTTCAATGACATTGCTCGGGCGGAAGCGGCGATTGGCAGACAAGACGCTAGTTACGGATACCCTGTGGCTCCCTTGAGCCCTTTCACGGCGTCGTTCATCAACAGTCTGGATCAGTACGTGGCAAGCTTGGAAGAGCCGCTGCCGTCCGGCAGTGCCTCTGCCGTACCTATCCCAGTGACCGGCGTCAGCATGGCGGTACCTCAGAGTCATGCCATGGCCCAAGCTGCTGCGATGGCAACTAGCAATGGATCCACTGGAAGCAGATGAGGCGCTCGCACTCTCAATGTTCATGATACGATCTTGGATGATACCAATAAACAACCACCTTTCGCGTTTGCTGCGGGCTTGTCGTAGATGCACTGAAGTCGACGGCGATGTTGCAGCTGTGTCAGTGTGAAGAGGCGGCGAGTATGTATTGAATTTGCATTGCCGGCAGCAGCATCTTTGAGAAAGCAAGCGGCTTTGGAATTTGCGGGCGTACTGCTTGACTGGCTGCTGCTGCCGCCGCTGGTTTTGAGCCGGCTTGAACGCCGAAGCGCTAACTCGCTGTGGCTTGTGGCTTTTGGACCAAGCTCGGACCATGCACCTTCTTGTTCGCCCTTTCACAAACTTGCCCCGCATCCGAACGTTTGCTTCCCTTCTACCCCACAGCTCACCGCACTACAGTAGGACGCCGTTCGTCTCGAAGATCCTTTTTGTCCAGCTGCCCTCTCGGCTCATCTATTTCCGCGTTGTACCAGGATTCCTTCCTTCCAAGTGGAAACACTATTTAGAGTGTCCTCCGTTCTTGCACTCCTCTACCATCCTGCCCATCCTACCACCGACGTTCTTAATCACCGGGAAGCCTCGAATACATCCAAGATGACGACCGCACGCACGCCCTTCGACTGGTCCGTCACCGACCCGCACCACAACAACCAGTACATGCGCTTCTCCTCGCGCCGCTCCACCGTCCTATCCACGAAAGGTGTCGTCGCCTCTTCCCAGCCTCTCGCCTCCTCCGCTGGAATCGAGATTCTCAACGCGGGCGGCAACGCAGCCGATGCAGCCGTAGCAGTAGCTGCGGCACTCAACGTCACTGAGCCTTGCAACACCGGTATCGGCGGGGACGCCTTCTGCCTCTTCTACGATGCCGAAAAACGCACCGTTCGCGCCTTCAACGGCTCTGGTCGTGCTCCTCAAGCAATGACACTCGACGTGCTCCGCTCCAAGGGCGTCGACGGCATCGAGATCCCCATGAACAGCATCCACGCCGTCACCGTGCCCGGTGCGGCCGCGACGTGGGTCGACACAGTGGAAAACCTCGGCTCTGGCAAGCTCGGCATGTCGGACATCCTCGCCCCCGCCATTCGTCTCGCTGAATCGGGCTATCCGGTTCACGAAAGCACAGCCTACCTGTGGAGTCGCAGCGAGAAACTCATCAAAGCAGCTTCGCCGAATGCGGACGAGATGCTGTTCGAGGGAAGAGCGCCGAGGACGGGCGAGCTGATGCGCATGCCGACGCTCGCACGCACCTTCCGCGAGCTCGCCACCAAGGGCAAGGAGGGCTTTTACACGGGTCGAATCGCTCAGGCCATCGTCGATCTCGTTCAGTCCCAAGGGGGTGTGCTCGAGCTCGACGATCTGAAGGATCACCTCGGCCGCGGAACGGAAGAGGTGACGCCCATTCAGTACACCTACAACCACCCGGCCAGCGCCGGCGATCTGGCCGGAAAGGAGGGCGTGACGATGTACGAGTGCCCGCCCAACGGTCAGGGTCTCACCACGCTCGTTGCTCTCGGCATTCTGGACGAGATGCAGAACCAGGGCAAAGTGGGCGATCTGGCGCAGGTCCAGCACAACTCGACCGAGTATCTCCATGCGCTCATTGAGGCGTTGCGCCTAGCATTCGCCGATACGCGCTATCACGTCTCCGATCCCGCACACTCGGAACACGACGTAGCCGCTCTCCTCCTGAACCCATCCTACCTCGCATCTCGAGCCAAACTGTTCGATCCCACCCGCGCATCTGTCGACCTCGAAAAAGGTTCGCCGGCCAACACGTGCGATACCGTCTACTTCTCCGTCACGGACCAGTACGGCAATGCTTGTTCATTCATCAATTCGAACTATGCGGGTTTTGGCACGGGAGCTGTCCCCGCTGGGTGTGGGTTCACGTTGCAGAACCGCGGTGCGGGGTTCACGTTGCAAGATGGTCATCCGAACAACGTTGCACCGCGCAAGAGGCCGTATCATACGATTATCCCGGCGATGGCGACGAGAGGCGACGAACTCTTCCTCAGCTTCGGCGTCATGGGCGGCTTCATGCAGCCTCAGGGGCAGGTGCAGGTGCTGATGAATATTTTGCATCATGGATTCAGTGTTCAGGACGCGCTCGATGCGCCGAGGTTCTGTATCGGAGCGGGCATGGCCGGGCCGGAAGGCGCGACGAGCGAGGTGTACTTCGAAGAGGGCGTGGACGAGGGCGTGGTGGAGAAGCTGAGGGCGATGGGACACCAGGTCAAGGTGGTCAGTGGCTGGGGACGGTTCCAGTTCGGAAGGGGGCAGGTGATTCAGAAGGTTGCCAATGCAAGTGGGAAGCTCGTCTGGGCTGCGGGAAGCGATCCTCGAGCCGATGGGCAGGCGATTGCTCAGGTTTGAGCGACTGTGCTTGTAGACGACTTGGAAACGAATGGAAGGATCTGTGCCATCACTTGTGCGAGCAAAAGAGTCTGAGCCGTGCGAATGGCCGAGAGAGTCGATGGTCGACTTCCTCGCTTAATATAACCGTCTGCAGCTCGCGCTCTGCGCAAGTCGATGTTTCTTCGAAGTTGACGTTCCATGACGAAGCTGCGCAAAGAGGAGTCTGAGGCTGAGTTGCTTTCATCTGCGCCCTCACCTCACTTCCACCACGGTGCGTTCGACTCTACGATAATTATCGCCATTCGTCAACAGCTTCTCCTTTTGAGCCAACCTCAACCATCGACAGCACAATTTCACGCCCTTCCCGGACCCAACACCATGACCACGTCTCGGAACAATCTGACCTTGGCCGCAAGCACCGATGCTTTGACCACCGATCCCTTTGCGACGTACGCTCAAGGCGACTTTGCAGGCCTGCCTGCCCGACTGAAGGACATTGGCCCGTTCTGGAAGCACGTCGGTTGGGGAAGCCTCTTCCGTCATATGCCACGGGTCCCTACGCAATTTGTCAAGCTGTCTGACCTTGTGCGAGACGAGTGGGCCGAGGTCCGCATCAATGTGCTCGGCTACATCGCTCATGTTCCGCACCTGATTCTGCGCCATTCCATCAGGACCTGGGACATCAACGTGACCTCTCTGCCCGACGGCGAAAAAGTTGACATCGACATTGAGCTTCGCCTACCTGCGCCCTCGTATCCTTGCCTTTCCGACGAATCCTTCCCCGGTCTGCCTATGGATCGTAGGTCGCTTGTGGCCATACTCAACGTCAAACTCATGACCTCGCCGCACAGTGGAGAAATCCACCTCAAAGCCGATGAGGAGACGTCCATTTTTCGTTTTCAAGATGGCTGCGACTGCGGTCGTTCTTAGCTCCTTCGCAACCCGAAGCGTGAGCTCAACATGGGCCGTCCGACATCATCAAAATCAAGTCCTCTGTCTTTGTCACCCGTCATTCTCACCATCACAAAGCCCTATACGAGCCCTACTACTCCTAAACCATGTAAAATCCGCACTCATCAACAATGTTACTGATTCGTCGATTCCGCTTGTGTCTATCGCTGCATCTACCCAACTTGAGCGCTTGTACTTGTCAAAGCGAGCTGGTGTCTGGACTCATCGATATGTGAAGAGTATTGCTGCGCGAAAGAGTGCAAGCCGTGCGAAAGGGCAAGAATGGCTCGACTCCCACACTTCGTGTCGCCCACTTCATTTGGCGCTGCATTGTGCCTTGAGCACACCGATGCCTCCTGAGCTGAATCAAATTCGTAGAAAAGAGGCTGGTTCTAGGTGCTTTCCGCCACACCATCACCATAGTCCCATCGCCGTGCGCTTGATACATCGCCATTCATCGGATACATTGGATCCATTTTCTGGCAAGACGGTCTCGTCACCAAACATCAGCAACATAAGACCTCACCCCGCTCAGCGACAACATCAACATGTCTTTGCCACCGGCAACAGCCCAGAGAAGTGGGCAGCCCGCCTCTGTCGTGAGCTTCGCCATCCGCTGCGACCCTGCGCATCACGGACAGGTGCTCGAGCATCTTTGTCGAGCTCGCGAAGCCATTCTTGCCAACATTGGCTACGGCGGGCAGCTGATGATGCTCCAACCACGACTCATCAAGCTGACGTCCAAGCCATGTCCATCGATGCTGCATCCACCACCAGCGCGACTGCCAACGCCGCTCAGACTTCCGCAGCTGTCGGTACTGCCGCTCCTGTCATTGCACTTTCAGTGCTGCCAATGAACGGTCCGCTTGCGCCATATGCCCACAGTGACTTCGCAGGCCTGCCCGCTCATTCCATGACAATCGGCAAGTGCTGGTTGCATGTTGGGGTAGGAATTTGCCGTTACGAGATGCCACAGGTCAAGATGCCATTTGTGCAGCTAGTTGACCTTTTGAAGTGTCAGACGTCTGATGTGCGCGTCAACGTCATCGGCTTCGGGAGCCGTTGGCCAGAGCGGGAGCAAGAGAAGGGCGAATATCTACTGGTGAGCGACTCCCTGCTCAAGAAGGATGGTGCTTCCCATATCCGTCTCATGGTTTCTGCACCTGTGGAACTACCATTTGATACTGCATTCCACCGCCTGCTGGTGGGCCACAAGTACTATATGTCAATCCTGAATGTCGAACTCAAGATCTCCGAGTCCGGTAAAAGATGGCTGGTCGCCGACGGCCAGACATCTACATTCGTAGCGGTGGGTGACTACAGCAGCTACACCTGCCATTGCTGTCCTAGCTGTCCTGCTTAGCTTTGTCAGGCCATCAAGAGCCAGCTAGACATCGTCTTCCCCTCGGTATCAGGCCAACGTCCTTCCTCATCGTTCCAGCGTGTCTCAATCCTCCCAAGCCTTCTCGCCATAGATGTTCATTGTTTCAGGTCACATTCTCCTAATGGCAGTACGTCATCCACCTCATCACCTGTCAGAAAACCATGTAGAAAGCGCCTCTTGTCAAAAACAGTATATCATTCGCCATCTCTCCGTGCGCTCATCGCTGCAGCATACACATTTGAGCGCTGATACTTGTGGATAGACTGTGTCGTCTGAATTGATGGCAGCCGGAATGTATGACTTGTGCAAAAGGACAAGAGTCGAAGGTCGATACCCACATTTCATATCGCCCCTTGAACGTGTTGATTATTCTCTGATGTACGCCGCTCACGAGTGCAATTCTGCACAACAGAATGATGATTTGCTCAGCTCCTTCCTTTCCCACCCTCACCTCGACCTCGACGAGAAAATAACGCCATCCATCGCGATCTGTGCGAGGCAGGCCTCAGCTTTTTGACATCAACAGCGCGCACTTTACCCAGCGAGGCATCTCGAACATGACTCCTCCTTCGCCACCGAGTAAAGGGCCAGATGATCGGACGTCCCGCGTCATCTTATCGATCGACTGCAGCCCGGCAGAACGTGAACAAGTTCTCAGAATCCTTCAACACGCTCGTGCAGCCCTCAAAGCCGACCTCGGTCACGATGGACGGCTGTTGGTCGATTACGAGGATGGCGAAAGTGGCGAGGCGGGCGCGTCGGTCAGACCTACGACATCAAGCAGCATGCCGCTCGACAGATTTCAAGAAAGCAGCCCTGTGTCTGTTAGCAATCGAGGCGGCAGGATCGACACAAGCACAGACCAGGCTGTTACAAAGCGCGAAGCTGCCGAAGAAGGTGACTCTTTTCCTGCCGCCGCAGCACCAGTGCGCAACGTTCGTTCGAGGACCACTGATGGGCTGTTCAATCCAGCTCAAGCCGCCCGGCCCGCTCATTCGATTCACGTCACGACGTCGACGGCTACTCCGACGCTCAATAGTGTGTCTGCAGAGACCGCACCTGCAGACGAGGATGGATCGATACAGCCTGACGCACTTCCTGTTGCGCCGTACGCCGTCGGCGGATTCGCAAGTCCTCCCGCCGTCATGCTTCAACTCAGCGCCGCTCACAAACATATTGCTCTGGAATCTCGCCGGTACCAGGCACCCAGTTGTCCACTGAAGTTCACCAGAGTGGTCGACCTCTTGCGTAGCCACGGCTCGGATTTTCGAGTCAATGTGCGCGGCTACTTCAGCTTTTTTCCGGCTTCAGACCTTGGAGCGATCACCAACGGCAAGATCTGGAAGTTGATGCTGTATGCTGTGCCCGAGTCCGGAGAGGGCAAAGCTCCCGGTATTCCGCTCTTGATGTCTGTACCCGACAACGTGCCACTCAGCACACTCTTTCCCGACCTGGCATTGGACCGACCGCCCGAAGTGGTGCAACTCGATGTCGTGATTCTCAATGCCGTGCTGATAGGCTGGCACGGCCGCAGCGACAGGTGGCTCATTGTCGATAGTCAGACATCGATCTTTTCCAACCCATCTGTGTTATGGCGTCGGGGCACATAGACTGCCACCGGTGCCAGACGGCCCGATGAAGCACCACGAGTCCGTTTCAAGTCCGTCGGCTCAACACCAACCAGTTCCTCGGCACTGAGGTCGAACAGCCAACATTGATACCTTTGTCAAGCGCTCAGACCATGTAAAATTACACCACTCTCAATGATAATACATCCCCCACCGTCTCTTCACCTCCTCATCGCCACTCCAACCCCACCTCACCCTGACCACCTCCGCATCGAACCCCTCCTCCCGCCTCGGCGGCTGTCGATCCTTAAACCAGCTCTCTATCGCTGTAAATGGCAGCAAGGACCGCTTCTTCTCTTTTCCGCTTGTCGGTCCGTGGTGTGCGCGAAAGTGATTGTTGTGTACGCAAACATGCTTCGGAACGTCAAAGTAGATGCATCGTATGCGCACGCCGAGAGTCCGCGCGAGGTCGATGTAGTGTTTCCTTGTTGCACGGTCGCGATTTGTGTTGTCGACCACGCACGAGAGGTCGGAGGATAGCGTGTCGCGCACGGCGCGCAGGCACTTGTCACGAGAGCGGAGAGTGTCTTGATTGACGTGAACGTGTCCGGCGGGCTCGAAGATGCGGTTGAAAAGAAACGTCTTGCCCGACGCCGGGGCGCCGACGAAGAGGACGATCTCGGGCGCACTTTGGTCGCCGAGTATCGTTCGTGCCACGTTTGGATCGTCTATCGAGGAAAGTTCGACGGTGACCACATCGTCCTCCGGCTCGGCAACGAGGCCTTTCAGCGACGGACCAGGGATGACAGACGACGGCGACCAGGGACGCATTGGGATTTCATACTCCTTGTCTTTCGCCAAGAAATACTCCTCCGGCGTGTAGAAGCCTAGACCTGCATTGAGCGCCCATTTCAAGTCCGTGTCCTGATGGTCTCGATATTTCTTGCGCCCCGCCGCGTCGCCCACGAAGAAGCTCTCCTTCAGATCCACCTCCACGCCGCCATTCCATCTCGCCACGAACTCCGTCCACATCCCCAACCGCGGTTTGCGATATTCATCGTCGCCTAGTGCGGCCAGCACGCGCATCGGCACGTCGATTGCAGCGGCGATATGCCCCATCTTCTTCTTCCATGTCGCGAGGCCCGACTTGGCCGAGTAGGCGGTTTGCTTCTGATTGGTGATGACGACGACGGTAAATCCTTCTGCGTGCTGATTCCGTATGCGCTGTATGACCGACAGGCTACCTGCCCGGGGTGGAGACGAGAACAGGAAGTCAAAGTCGTACTCGTCCGTCTTGCTTGGAAATGTCTTCCCGTTCTTCGGCCGGACAATGGTGCCGTCGAGATCGTAGAAGGCGACTTTTGAACTTGGCTGCGGATCCCCGTACACACCGTGTAGACAGGTCTTGTTGGCCCCGATCGAGTCCAGCCATTTGAGCTTAGCGCTAGAGGAAGAGGCTCCATTCGCCGATGCACTGGAGCTGGCGGTCCGTGGCTGAAAGATCGAGGCAAGGGTCGCGGTTGGCTTCTTGATCGCCTGTTCCATGCTGCTTGAAGACGATGCTTGTGGCGGCGGACCGGTCGAGCTCGAAGGTCTGGTGGGAAGTACTGGCTCGTCGTCGTCTGACTCATCGCGCTGCTTCTTCGCCGCCCCCGCATCGGTTTGCTGCGCGAGCGTTCGCTTCATCGCGACGGTTCCAACAGCGAGGCGGACGCCGACAACTGCTCGATTGCTCCTCGATGCGACCTGAGAGCCAAGTCCTCGTAACGACCACAGTGCGGTAGTGATTGACAGTGCTGCAGTCGGAGGCGGGTCGAGATTGCCATTCGGCGGAGAAGAAGCGAAAGAGGAAGGAGAGCTGGTGGTCGGAAGCTGAGTTGCGAAATTAAGCTCGCGAGGAAGTGGCCCGTGAGACACCCTTTTTGCGGAAGCAAGATAATCCGCTGTTAAAAAAGCGCTCGGTATATTCACACCACGAAAAGGCGACCAAAAAGGTCCCCCCCCCCCCCCTCCTCGTCGTTCTCGGCATTCTCATCTCGTTTCCTTTCACGCACACACCAGAGTATACCGGCACTAGAAGCGCAAGATGCCATTCTATCATTTGACTCTATCTATGGGCTTCCTGAGGCTACATCTACTTCTCAGCGAAGCTCGTCTACTCCTCAGCGGTGCTCGTTTCCTGAACCACCACCGGGGGACATTCAGGCCTCGTCAGGTTGGCTCCCAGCTGTCCTCCAAGCCAGATAGCGACGCCATTGGTCCAACCGAAGCCCGTTTGGACGGTATACTCACCGCCCGACCCGGCGGCGTTGATGTCGCTCGCATTGAACTTCTCAAACATGTTGCCGATGGCGGTGGAAGCATTGAGGCCGTTGGCAGTGAGGGTTGCGTCGGGGACGGGCTGGAAGGCGGCGTCTGTGGTGTTGAGCTTACCGCCCGTGGCGCGCCATGAGCAGAGCGCGGAGGCGACGTAGCGGTTTGCCAGCTCGCGGACCAGCTCGTCGCGCCAGCTTTCGCCACTCGTGTTGTTGCCCGTGTTGAGAGCGGGAGTGAGCTCGACAGATGGATCGCTGGGGTCCGTGGCGCCGGCAGAGGTCTCGTTGATCATGCTTCCGGGCTCGTTCTCCAGGCCCTGAACGGGCAGGGTGTCCTGCGTCTGGCCAAGCTGGTTCGTGCCGTTGACCATGGGGATGAGGGCAAAGGTGCCGTTCTCAGCGGAGAGCTGGGCGCCGGAGGCGAGCATGTCGGGAAGGTTGCGAAGCGCCTCCAGAGCGATGTACGTGTGAGGTGGCCAGGCGTTGGCAAAGTCCCACTGCTGGCCAGTGGTGATCAGCGAAGCAGGAAGGGTACCGTTGAAGCGGTCGATGATGTATCGCAGACCCGAGAAGACAGCCTGCAGGTTCTCCCTGCGCTGGTCGATGCTGATTGTCTCGTTGATGAACTCCTGCGGCAGGATCTGAGCCCACAGCGGGAAGAAGCCAGCGGGAGTGAAGAACGGAGCACGGTCACCCAGAGTGGTGTTGAAGTCGTAGAAGAACTTCTTGCTGGGGTCCCAGAAGACATCGAGGATGGCCTCCTTGCGAGCCTGAGCCTGCTGTGCCCAGTAGTTGGCACGCGTAGCGTTGGCCTGCGTTCCGTTGCCCGAGACCTTGTAGAAAGCCGAGAGCTTCTGCTCGCAAGCAAAGAGGATCGAGTTGAGGTCGACGGGCAGCTGAGCAGCCGTGTTGAGGAAGCGCTGAGCGGGGATGGTATCGGTCAAGTTGATGGTGGGGCGCGTGGACCAGCGAGCAGCCGAGTAGTCACTGCCGCTCTCTGCACCGGAGGCAATATCCGAGTAGAGCTGGGCCTTGGAGGTCTCGTTGAGCTCGAGACCGGACTGGGCTGCCTCCTCGACCGTCTCGTAGTCCTCGCGGTAGCTTTCAGGGCGAGGAGCCGAGGTGTCGACCTTGTAGTGGGTGATGTTGTGGGTGTTGTTGGTAAAGGGCGAAGTGAACTCGATGGTGCGGTTGGTCTTCCAGTAAGACATCTCGCGCTCGAGCAAGGGAAGGAATCGCTCCAGCACCGAAGTGTCGTTGTAGGCCTCAATGTACTTGTCGATCATCAGCGTAAAGAAAGGAGGCTGCGAACGGTTCTCGTAGTAGATACGGTTGCCGTTGGGGATGAAGCCGAGCCTGTCGATGAGATCGCCAAAGTTTTCGAGGATGGCTTTGACGACCGACTGCAGCTGCGAGGTGATCAAGCCTTCAATGACAAAGAAGGTGTCCCAGTAGTAGAGCTCGCGGAAACGACCACCAGGAACGACAAAGACACGGCTCTCGTTGAAAGGAATGAACGAAGAGACGCATCCGTCGCACTGGACACCGCTGGGGCTGGAAGAGTTGGTGGTGCGGGCGAGCAGCTCCCAGTAGCTGTGGACCTGCTTGAGCCAGTCGCGGACCACTTCGTCCTCGACGCCTTGCAGGAATTCGGGGTCCTCGACAAACTCGTCGCCGAGATCGGCGGGTACGAGCTCGACACCTTCCGCGACGAAGTTGTCGTCGACGAATTGGACGATCTCTTCGTAGGTGATGTTGCTAGTGTTGCCACCGCCGAGCTGGTTGAAGTTGTTGACGACTTCGGATTCGGGTCTCGAGGTGGCCTTGTCGACAAAGGTCTTGCTGTCCTCAAAGATACCGGCAAGCTGTACGGCTTGCAGCAGAGGACCGGGACAGTAGATGGGCGAAGTGCAGAGCTCCTGCGAGGGTGGCAATTCACCGCTGGGGATGACAGCCGAGGGGCTGCCTGTGGCCGAGGGCACAGCCGCGGCTGGCTTTTCCGTCAAGGGGTTGACCGACGAGCTGGAAGCGGCCGAGCTAGATGAAGCAGAGCCGGAAGCGCTGGTGATGGAAGAAGAAGCAGAAGAAGCTGCACTGCTTGCACTGGAGGCGACGCTGCTCACCATCGAGGTGGTCGAGCTCGCGGCGGACGTGGCGCTGCTAGAAGGGGTGGCATCCTGGGCTGCGACCGCTGCCAAGGCTGGCAGGAGCGCAACCAGCGATGTGAGAGCCGGCAGACGCATCTTGATGAAGGGGTGAACTGAAACGGTCGTGCTTGCAATGAAGAAGACGACAGTGAGATGGAGGTTAGGAACTACGACGACGTCGAGTCTGGGAGTGGTCCTTATATGGAACTTGTTCCCCCCACTCTCTCCGCAATTTGAGCTCTCCTTTGTCTAGCTAGGGAGCTGGAATCCCACTCTCACTCTATTGAAGCTCGTCCTTGGCTCGGTGTGTGGGCGTGGATGCAGGCCAACTCAATGAAAAGAGCGCAGCAAGGCTACGCCAAGCCCACAGAGGCCGGTGACAAACGCTGATCCACAACGTCACTTTGCGGGGGGAGAGTTAGGGCTCAGCTGCGTTGTGTCTCAGAGAGGCCATTTTCTAAAATGAATTTTGAAGCGCTTGGGACGCTACACAGCTGTCTCGTAGCGCCAAGTTTCTTTTCTCTTATTTCTCCGATAAAAAGTTTTTAGGGTTGCAAAGCGGTGAATTGAGATGATGCCGATCCGGCCTCTTGAACGGCTTAAGCACCATCTCAGCGAGAAAACTTGTGTGCAGCTGGTCAGTGCAACATGATTCGACCATTGAGTTCGGAGCCCGGCATCGTGCAGCATCTGGTCGCATGGCGGTTGCATGAAAAGCAGAAGCCGAACGAAGGGCCGCGTATGGCGGGGAAAGTGGTGCAGCAGCAACTCTGCAGTCTTGCGAATGGCAAGCGCGGATGCGGGAAGCGATGAGCGCATGGCGGATCTTCGGTCGAATAGCGGTACAACAGCACAATACAGCGACAAGATCCTTGATCTTCGCCATATGTTACTATACCAACCTGTTTGCGTAAAGACCAACGTGGGCAAGCGAGGATGGAGCCGAGTCAGTCGAGTGCGGATCTCGGGGTGTTCCTGGGCCCGGTGACGATGATGGTGTACCGCATCGCCAACCACCTGGCGCAACCGGTCAACAAGAGGCGGATCGTGCTCAAGGGCAGAATCACTGCTTCATGATGCACAGCAGATCTTGGCCCATCAGCTGATCGATGCGTCAAGTGTGGGAGCAAGACAAGGTGCGCAGAGGTGAGTGATCCTTTGCATGAAGAGATTGAAGCAGCAGTCCGTCAGCCTGCGAGTCTTGTTGGACTTTTAGGTTGAGCACAAGGTCCATCATGGGAGAGCGATTGCAACTCCGTCGAGGCTTGAGAGAGTGCTATTTGCGGCAGTTCAGGAACGTCAGAGCTGTCGTGGTCGTGCAAGAGCAAAAGCCTGAAGCGTGGTTTGAGGTGCAAAGCCGAAATTGGGAGGCGCAGCGCTGACGTCGTCGTGCTTGCACTTCCGTTTCAAGCTCCGCCAAGCCGATATCGCCGATTCGAGGTGAGATTCGACTTCATCATTCATGATATTCTTTACGTGTTAGTGTACAGGTCTCACAATCCAGCTGGATTTCGGTCCGTGGTTTCCGGGATGAGTTTGCCGCTCGCGCGCCGCGGATCAGCCGCAGCGCCACGGATGAGGCTTGCGATTCCCCTTGCGCTGTTCTTCGGGCCAATGCATCTCTTTGATCTTGTGTCTTTGCTAATTCCAGGAGCCGCGAAAGTCATCCGTGGGATCCGTGTTGCAGCGGAACCTCTTTGCCGGTCCCCCGCGGGTGGGCCTCCATCGCATCAGAGCAACTGAGGCCCTTCCATTCTTAGTGATTTGAGTGCATCGAGGGCTACTTCTCGGCCCGTATCGATGGAACGCTGTCTGGCCGTCAAACTACCGTGGAACGCCAAGCCCAGAGGCGCAGGCTCAAATTGAAAACAGTACAGCAGCAGCAGACGGAATAGACAAAGCCGGATCTTCGGATTTGATGCACGCGTTGGCCCCTTTGGCTCTGCATGACAGGGGCGCATTTACGCTCTACTTCAGTCCGGAGGCTGCTCGACCCGCAGCAGGCACAAGCGAAAGTAACGGCAGCATCGAGGCATTGCGCAGGCCTCCTCAGCAGCTGCCGCAAGAGAGCAGCCGGCGAGCTCTCAGTCAGTTGCAAATCCGACGTCCAACCCGAGCTGCGGTCCGCTTAATTCAAGCGTTGTGGTGCATTTTTGCATTGCCGAATCCAAACGATTCCACGGCAACGCGGCAATACGAGACCAAAGTGCTCCGACAGCTCGGTGTTTACGAGTTCTGACTGCAGACAGCACTGCGCCGCTTGCAATCCAGCAACGCCACATGCCGTCATTTGTCCGGATTGACCGACGGAAGAGGGAGCGGAGGCAAAGACGGAAGAGGAGTGGGTATCTCTCGGCAAAGACCGGCCTAGATCCGATGCTGATGGACACGGCCAACAAGGCGATTTCTGCGATTGAAGCTGGCTGGCTGGCTGGCTGGCTGGGTGCCAAATTCCGTCGGGCAAATCTTGGGTCGCTATTTCGCCGTCGGGATGCTTTGAACGCTTTGTCCGGCATGCTTGCTTTCGATTGCGCACGCCTTGTCCTCTCTGTCGTCGATCGGCAGCATCGAGCACCTTTTTTCAACTGCCGCTGCGCATGTGATGCGATGGCGCTGCCTGTCTGAAAGGGAAAAACAGAAGGCAACCACCGTCCCTGCTTCTTGGATCAATTGGTCCGGCTAAATTGGACCGCTTCTGCCTCGCGCTTCTTGACCGGTGATCACGGATGGTCCTTGAACTGTCTGCAACCTTATCTTGTGCGTCAGTCTGAGCCAAGCGCCTTCGAGTCGCCAGTGACAAATCACGACGATCAGCGACCGTACTTGAAAGCTGATTGTGACCATCGCAGCGGCTCGATCGGAACAGATCCGCTGCATCTCGCATCCTCCCACCACCATCCCATTCACAAGTGCACGCCTTCTCGGACCGCCTCCGATACTGTGACTTGGCAATCGACTCTCTCCGTCACACTCACACGCTCTTCAGTCGGCCTCGCCGCTCCTGTCACATTCCTCACTAACCTGCAACTCTCAGCGACTCTTGCCTTCAACCTCGCCCTCGAACGTGTCCATACCGACAAACGCACTTGTGCATCTCATCTCGATGTTCTCCCCATAGGCCATTCCCAACCACATTGCGACTGCCACCATGGCCGCCTTGGACCACTGCATGGGTCGGAAGCGCACACTATCCGATCCATCCTCTTCATCACCGTCCCCCATCAAGCTTGCAAAGACAGCATCCGCATGCTCGCTACCGAGCAGTCCCTCAAGCATACACCTTCCACCACCATGCTCAGCTACACGTTCCAACAGCACCACGCGCTCCAACGGCGTCGCATCCGCTTCTTATGATTCCGCGAAATCGTCGTACATCGAAGCGGCTCCATTCAGTCCCCGTCCCTTCCCACGATACGCGCTCGGCATCCCGCATCTCCAGTCCCTTCTGCCCTTTCGCGATGGTCTCGAACTCCTACACGCCTATCACCAAGGCGTTGGTTGGATGCAAACCCCTGTAGACCGCACAACCCTCCTCGAAACGCTCGAAGAGGCCGAACGTCACGGTGCCGACTCGATCCATCCGCACCGCCTCGCCTGCCTCTTGGCGGCTCTTGCTCTTGGCGACTTCTTCTCAGCGTGCTTCCCTTCGTCTGCATCGTCGGCCTCTTCACCTAGCAGTATCGCCCGCTCTTCGTCTACGCGCGGCAGGATCTGGTTCGGTGTCGCTTCTGCCTGCCTTGCCGGCTCCCGCTCCAACGCCGACCTCATCCACAATCCAACGCCCGAGGCCTGCTCAGCTCTCTACCTCATGTCTACTTATCTGCTCTGCTCCAACGACGAGCAACTCTTCCACCGCTCACAAGGGCTCACCGGACTAGCGCTCATTCTTGCCAAGACCATCCTTGTGCCGTCTTGTGCGCCAACTTCTGGCTCACGCTCCGCATCGCCGACGGCTAGTCCATCAATTGCAAGTCAACGACATGCCAAGTGCCCTGCAACATCGTCCAAGGCAGCTGACACTGTGGTTCAAGATCGTCTCCACTGCAACAAGCTCCTTAGCGACCTCATCTTCCATCTCCGCTCCCAGATCCTCACCTTTGCACCGCCATCTTCCACTACACAGCCGCCCTCCTCGCCAAAGTCCGCCCCCTCCCTAGCCGATTTCCCCGACCTACCCAGCATCCAAGCCATCTGGACCGCGTACGGCAATCCGCTCTATTCTAGCCTCGATGCGTTCGGCAGCTGCTACAGCCCCAACATCTTTCACAATTGGAAGCTCGGTCTGGCCGATCTCATGCATCAAGTCTCCACTCTCACCAGTCAGTCTAGGTCGCCAGATCATCTCGAAGCGCATAGATGCATGCCAGGCGGTCTTCCTGCACGCACCTCGAGCCCGACGGTAGCAGAGCATGGCAGGAGCCAAAGCGAAGTCACGCTCCCAGAGCACTGTCAAGTGGTCAAGCTCGATGAGCGGATTCGTCGATATCACGCCAGTCTGCCGCCGTTCCTCCTTCTGCACAAACCGCTGCCCATCGAGATGGCCGGCAAGGTCGACGAGGATGAGCTCGCACAGATCATCTGCCAGCGGCACATGGCTTGCTCCATGGTCCATCGCATGCTCATGGCTCTGCATCGGCCGTGGTTCCTGTCTGCGCTTGCCTATCGATCTCGTATTCTGTGCACGAGGCGCGGACAGCAAGGCACGGAAGCAGAATCAACAGGAACGGATGCATCGGGATCGGACTGTGATACAGAGGGCAGCGATGCAGACTTTGAAGCATCTGAAACAGGCTCACTGGAACAGCCATCGACATCCGCCGTCTTCTCTCTTTCAGCGGTCCTGCGCTCAGCCACTTGGCAGACAGAGACGTTCGCAAGCGCCACAGCCTGTGCGCCCGAGCAAGCCTTGGCCTGGTGGCAGTTCACCAACAATGCGCTCGCAGCCGCCATCGTCCAGGCTACAGCGCTTCTCCGCCTCCCGGGTCCGCCAAAGCATGCCCAGCCGATGTGCTCGCGGGACGCTTCAGCAAGGCAGCAGAGCAATTCAGCGCTGCAAATGCATTCACAGGTCCGCAACGATCTCGACAAGAACATTTGCTCGTTCCAAAGCCTCGCAAAGCGTTGCAAGCTCGCAGCTAAAGCTTTGCCGTTTCTGCAGCGCGTCAGGTCGGCCATCGACTTGGGCGCCTGCAGCTCAAGACGTGCTTCGTACGCATGCGAAGAAGCGCTTCAGGGTAGCATCTCATCTGCTGGCCTCGGCAGCACACAGATTTCTTCCATGCCTTCGCCACCACCCTCGCCCACGGACTTTCAGGCCTCGAATCGGATCTCGAGTGATCCAGTCAGCCGCACGTGTAATCCCTCCAACATTCATAGTCCCAGTTCCCACCAACGCAACAGCAACAGCAACAGCAACAGTAATAGCATCAACAGCATCGCAAACGGAAGTAGCATCAACATCGGCAGCAGCAGGAATGTCAACAGTGCATCGCAGGACGACGCAACACGCAGCAATCCGCACATCATCAACAGCAACCCGATATTCAGCAACAGATCAACCTCACGCCACCCGGGGCACAGCATCTCGCCGACCTCCGCGGTCACGCCACAGGCTCGTTCCGTCGGGTCACGGCGCAACTCGAGCGCGAAATCGGATCTTGAGACCCTCTTTGGCCCGATCGCATCCGGTCTCGAGCTGAACCCTCACCGCGAGTCGACGTCGCCCGTCAAGCCTCTCTATCGTCAGAGCTTTCTGGAGCCGCTTCCGAGGCCTTCTGGTCTATCCCGGCCCAGCTACGATCGAGCTTCGAGCGACGACGCAGGCTCGTCATCTTCTTCTGAGCGTTTTCCGTATACGCCCAAGGCAAGGTCACTTCAGCTTGACGCAAAGGCTCAGCCGCAGGCAGGAATACCAAGCGCTGCTCAAGTGGAGACCAGCGGGACCAGTCGACCCGAGGAAGGGAAGGTGTCGGGCAGGAAGGAGCCAAATCAGGCCTCAGACCTCGTCCTAGAGTGCATCCGATTCTGGCAGCCCGACACGCTCCCCCTTCCAGCAACACACTGATGTTTCACCCTGCAACCCTTTCAATCTGCATTCATTCTTCCAACCACCTTTGAGCAAGGAGCAAACCTCATTTTGCCATTCGAGAAAACAGATTGCATTGAGCGTATCGACGGCATATACCACTCGGAATTAGTCAAGAGCAGGCGCCTCCTGACCAGCCTTCCACGTGAACTTGCTCGCATAGTGATCGCTTCTGAACGTCTTCTGTCCCACGCCGTAGAGCTTCTCCCTACTGGTAATACCCACCTTCTCTCCGACACCGTACCCCTCCTTCGGGCCGTCCGTCACGTTCTCCGTCTTCGGCTGTTCCACTTGGGGGTAATCAGCCCAAACGACACCTCTCTTCTTCAGCACGGGCACGACCAACTCGACAAAGTCCTCAAAGGTTCCCGGCGCGAGGGTGTAGGCCAAATTGAATCCGTCGACGCCGGCGAGATCGACCCAGTCCTGGAGCTGGTCGGCGATGCTCTCTGGGCCACCGACGATGGTAGGACCCAGACCGCCGAGTTTGATCTTTTCTGCGACGGCTTTCTTGTTCCACTTGGGCACGGTAGGGTCCTGACTTGCGAAGTTTTCCACGGCCGACTTGATCGCGTTGCTCTCTGTAGCTCGGAGCTCCTCATCCTCGTCGTACGTGGAGAGGTCGATACCCGTCCAGCCGCCGAAGAGAGCGAGAGCGCCGTCGTCGGATCCGTGCGCAAGGTGGTCCTTGTACTTCTGCGCGGCTTCTTCGTCCGTTCGACCGATGATGGGGCAGAGCAAGGCGAGGACTTTGAGCGTAGTCGGGTCTCGACCAGCCTCTTTCGCGCCCGAACGGGCAGCATCCACTCGCTTCTTCGCCACCTCCGGCTTGTGCGCTGCGATAAAGATCACTTCCGCATGCTTAGCCGCAAATGCCATTCCCGGACCCGAGGAGCCGGCCTGGTAGATCACCGGAGATCGCTGCGGCGACGGCTCGCAGATGTGAGGTCCAGGGACGGATTCGTAGTACTTGCCCTTGTGGTTGATCTGACGCACCCGCTCAGGTCGCGTGTAGATGGGCTTAGTGGGGTCCTGGACGACAGCGTCGTCGGCCCACGAGGACTCCCACAGCTTGTATACCACGTCCATGTATTCGTCCGCCACCTCGTAGCGTTTGCTATGCAGGTCCTGGTTTTTGGCGCCGAACTGGCGGGCGGCGGAATCGAGGTAGCCAGTGACAACGTTCCATCCGACTCGACCGTTAGTCAGGTGGTCGAGCGTCGAGAAGCGACGGGCGAGCTCGTACGGGTGCACGTAGGACGTCGTGGCTGTGATACCGAACGAGAGGTTGGTCGTGGCTGCAGCCATCGCGGAGATGAGCAGAAGCGGGTCGATGACGGGGAACTGGGCCCCGGAGGACAGAGCCGCATCGAGATTGCCCCCGTACACGTCGTAGCCGCCAAGCACATCGGCGAGGAAGAGACCGTCAAAGTGAGCGGATTCGAGCAGCTTGGCGTGGTCCGTCCAGTAGGAGAGCTTGTTGTGGTGACGCGAACGGTCGGCGGGGTGCGTCCATAGGCCGGGCGATTGATGGCCGGAACAGCCCATCATGAAGGCGTACAGGATCATACGCTTTTGAGGGGTGGCGCCGTTGGCATCGTTGGTGCCGTTGAGGCTCAGCTGGCCGACGGCCGAGGTAGGAGCAGACATCTTGAGATCGCTGGCGGGGAGAGGCTTGGCAGTGCTCGTGCTTCAATGATGATCGTGGTCAGAAGGAAGATGGTATGTTTGGCGAAGACGAAGCTTTGAGCAAACGAGAAGAAAGGTCTCCTCGGAGCGCACGGATGTTTCACGCTCTACGAGCGGCCATGCACGGAGAAGAGCACGACCGTCCCCTCCTCACATCTTCTCAGAGAGCGAAGCTTCTTTCTGTGCTAGACTCCCCTTGCTGCTCGACTGGCTGCACCCTGAAGGGTCTGCGAGCGAGTCAGCCCACGAGCACCCTTTGACGATGGCGCCATTATCGGCGGCATGACTGTGACAGCGGTCGGCTAGTGCGGTACCACTGTATCGATACCGTGGGGCAAACACAGGCAACCCGCACTAGCTTCTTCTGGCGGCGTGAGATGGCGTGCTTCGAGAAGGTTGAAAAGGGCAGTCTTTGACAGCTCTCCAAAACGCACGCCATCCGGAGCAGCATCGCGCACAATTTTAGGCCGAGGCGAATCGAGATCGAGTTTCCGCCGATATGAAGCTAGACCCGATTGAGAAGCCTCTCCACACTTCATGCGGGGTTGTTTCAAAAGCACCGCCGCTCATCAGGGTCTCGCTTTCCTCTTGGTACCACTACACAACTACCTCAAGAACATAGACACGGTCCCGAGGAGCAAGGACATGCTAGCGGAGGAGGCGGTAACAGCGACGACGTCGGCGGCAGGACCGTCGGCGATGGTCGACTTCATTGCAGGTACCGCAGGCGGTATCGCTTCCTTACTGGCAGGACATCCATTCGACACGGTCAAGACTCGACTCCAAGCGCAAGGTTCTACCGCCTCGTCCTCCGCTCTGTCTTCTCACGATCCCTCAATAGACACTGCTCGTGTCTCGACAAGCTCATCGAAGCTCACATCTTCACCATCGGCAAGGGTTGACTACTCCTCCACCGCCCTCTCACGGCAAGCTGCTACATCTTCGCATTCTGCAACGCTCACACTGCCCCATGCATCAATACCCAGCGGCGGCGGGAGCGCATCGATACGCGTGTCACTGCCAGTCTACCGATCGGCCACGGACGCCTTTCGCATCATCATCAAAGAAGAACGTCTATGGGGCCTCTACAAAGGTGTCACATCGCCGATGCTAGGCGTGGCCATCATGAACGCGTCCATCTTTGGTCTCTACAACCTCGGCCTCCGGTATCAGCAATCTCACGACCTTCTCTCAGACCACCATATCGCGCAAGTCTTCGTAGCAGGTATGATCAGTGGTCTCGGTTCGTCCCTCATCACATCCCCGATCGACCTGATCAAGATCCGGGAGCAGATGAATACCTCCTCGAAAAAGCCAAGCACCTTCCAAGTCTTTCAGCAGGTAGTACGAACAGAAGGCATCACGCGAGGCCTGTACAGAGGATGGTGCACTACTGCCGTGCGCGATCTCGGCTACGGACCCTACTTTGCGAGCTACGAACTGCTCAATGCGTCCATCAAGGCGTGGACGGGGCGACCGCTGAGCAATTTGGACATGGCAGCGAGCGGCGCAGTCGCCGGCGTCGTCGCTTGGCTCAGCACCTTCTGGGCCGATGTGATCAAGACCAAGATCCAAGCAAGCACGCGGTTGGATGATGGAGGGAGACGCAGCTTGTTCTGGTTGACAGCGAGGGAGACGTATCGAGCGGGTGGGGTGCGGGCGTTCTTTGTAGGGGTGGGACCGACAGTGCTGAGAGCGCTGCCGGTCAACGCGGTACTCTTCGTGACGTACGAGGTGACCAAGGGCTTTCTCATCTCACGAGGATACTAGACACGCACCATGGTCCATGCAATTTCGATCTTCATTGCAAATCGTTCAGCAAGAGACGGTTTGCGAAGCAGACTTATACCACCTCTATCGCAGTGAAATCCTACGCAGCCCGCCTCAGTGCTTCTTCTCCAAATGTCTCGCAAGTCCATTGATATGCTTGCTCAACCGCCTCGCCTCGCTCTCCAGCCCCTCACCCTTATCCAGCGTAATCGCCTCCGTGACACCGGGCATCGTCGTCGCTCCGTACCCCAACCACCTCCCCGGCGCCGTTCCCAGGTGCTTGTACCACTCTCGTCCCTTCAGCCCTTCCTCCGAAATCAACCCCTGCTCGAACGTCTGCAGCTTCTTGTTCGTCGCTCGAACCTCGCGCAGCGCCTTCCAGATCTCCTTGCCGTGCTTTCCGTGTTTGCCGTGCTTTTGGTGCTTCTGTGCGAGCTTCGCCATTTCCTTCCCCAAGTGCACCTTGCGCTGCTCGAATCGGTTAGCGGCAACGCCGAGTTTGTGCGTCGACCTCTGCAGCTCCTTGAGCCACCCTGGCCTCTTGGCACCCAATTGAACACCCAAGTTGTTCTCCGCGATGCGCTCGACCTTGCCCAGATAGCGCTGCAGCTCGTGAGCATAGTCCTGCACGTCGATCGGCGCAAAGAGCTGTGTCGAGCTCTCAATGGCCATCAAACCGACGATTTTCGCTGCCGCTTCATGGCGTGCAAATCCAGGATCGCCAAACGTGTCCATCCAGTGGAAGGAATCGTAGTTGGAGTGGTACATGTAAATCGGATCGGTGGGGGCGCGTTTGAATCCGAGGTCGGTGGAGGCGATGCCGAGGTGTTGGAGGAAGACGGTGTAGTCGGAGCCGCTACCGAGGGGGTGGAACGCATCGAGGGTGATCTTCGCAGTGGAGTTCGGAGCAGTGACTTTTGCCGCGGCATCCTGGACGAAGCGCGACAGCGAGGGCGAGGAGGAGGATTGAAGCACCGAACCAGCAACGGAAACATCGACGTTGTGGTATGCGACGACGTGGTCGCGGATCCACTGGGCGTAGTCTTCGCCGAACTCGGTAGAGCCGACTAGACCGTACTCTTCAGCGTCCCAGCTGGCAAAGACGATGGTGCGCATGGGTTTCCATCCCGCGCGGTAGAGGGTGGAAAGACCTTTGATGGCTTCGTGGAACGAGGCGGTGCCCGAGTTGGGATCCGCCGCACCAAACGTCCATGCATCCCGATGGTTGCCCAGGATCACCACCTCGTCCGTGATGTGGCCCGGAAGCACAGCGTAGGTGTTCCAAATATCACGCACCTTCAGGTCGACAAAGTTTTCGAGGTGGACAATGTCGTCCGAGGGACCGGTCCAGTATTCGACGCCATCGATGGCGCCCGCCATGCGGTTGTTGACGTCTTCCGCGCGCAGACCTTTGCCCTTCATCGCCTCGAGCAGCACTTTCGCCTCAGCGTAAGACAGTGGGAGGGAGGGGATCTTGGGTAGCGAGTCAGCATCCTCTGGCTCGAGCCGGGTCGCATTCCGGTACGACGGCTTGCCCGGCGTCGATGGGTCACCAGGGTAAAACGACAGACCTTGCACACTTCCACGCTGCACCGCAGAAGGGTTCCTCGCAGGACCATCCGGGTACGCCTTGTGCCCGTTCGCCTCGGTGATCTCGCCATCCTCGATGGTGTCGGTGTAGATGATCACACCTACCGCACCGGCCTCTTGGGCAGCCCGCACCTTCAGCCCGCGGAAGTTGGACCCGTAGTCGACGAGCACGATCTTGCCCTTGACATCGACACCCTTGGCGGCGAGGTCGGCAAAGTCCTGCTTGCGACCCATGCCGGCGAACACGACTTGGCCGGAGACGCTGCCGGATGCCGAGTAGCCGTGGAAGAGCGGCACGCCGCGGCCGCTTGTCGGGTCCGCCTCGAGCACGTCTTCCTCCAGCTTGGCTTTCCAATAGGGCGCATCTGTGGAGTCCGGCTTGGAGAGCGTCAGCGAAGAGTTGAGCGGGTAATTGAGCCAGACGGCGTACGTGTCGGTCCAGGCGCGGACGCCCGACTTGTCGCCGGTGCCGTGCAGGTACGCTTGGCCCTCTGCGGATCCAGCGTCGAACACGAGGTCCTTGAGGTTCTCGGTGAGAGGAGCACCGACGAGGTTGCCCCATTCGGAGAGGATCTGGAGCGCAGAATTGTAGTCGCCCTCGGTGCCAGCGACGTGGCTCACATTAGTGTAGCGTTTGAGGGCGTCGCGCGCGCCCGAGGCGGTGGGCACGGCGAGGAAGTCGGTCTCGAGCTTGGCGAACCACTGCTTCCATCGTGCCTCCGGCGTGTCCTTCACTGCTGAGGCGGAAGAGCTGTCACCGTGACTTGACAGGAAGCCAGATGCACGTAGGTGCTGCGAGTAGCCGTGCAGACCCTTGCTCGCATGGTGGCACGGTCGGTGGTGACGGAAGGCATGGAGACTGTTGAGGGACAGCTTGTCAAACGGGAAGAAGAAGTAGGCGACGATGGTCCAAAAGACGAGACCGAGTTTCCAGCCACGTAGGCTGTATGCTTTGCCTCCAGGAGGCCAAAAGACGGTGATCTCGCTTCCACCTCGTCGCTGAGGCTCGGTGGACGAGGCTGCTTTTTCGTCGATGTAGTCGTTGTCGAGCATCAGCGGCGTCGATGTCAGGGGCTTCTCATCGAGAGACGCCATCTTGAGCCACGGTACCGAGCGACAATACGAGGGTCAGAGATATAGGAGGAGGGAAAGGGACGTCGATGATGGTGGGACGGAGAGGCCAAGAGCGAGGGGAAAGCAGAATTGTGCGTGCACGGATATCACAATCTTGGACCGGCTTTGCATCATGCTCGGCTCACTCTTCACGGTCACGATCTCAGTAGCGCAACAGGTGCGACGGCAATCACAATGTTTGAAGCCCTGTCTGCTCCTCCTGCGCCTTTGTGAGGGACGACGCTCGCCTGGATCGGCAATACGAATACAAATGCGAAGGCGAGGGTCAAGGGATCGGCTAAGCATTCCAGACGGAACAATGAGCTCCGACAGCGACCTTGTGGAACAGATGCGTGAGAAGTGTGCCAATGCTATGGACGCAATTTCTACATCTGTTAAACCCTGCTTTGGGGTCAGTGCTGTCAGATCGCAGCCTGTCCTTCCATCCAAAATCAGGGTCCTTTCGACGTTCAGTCTCCACCTTGAATCTTCAACGGCATCACTCAGCTACCTGCGACCACCGTTACCACTCACCTCGGAACGCAACACGATGTCGGGCGCCGGCGCGAGGGCGACCTCCTCCGCCATCTCTTCCGCTTCCTCCTCCAAGCTTGCCCAAATCCCAGGCTGGTCCATCATCGCGCGCTATTCGCGCTCGCACCGCAAGTCCACGTTCCTCATCGGCGTCTTCACCGGACTCGTTCTGGGTCTTGGCTCCATCACTTCGGTCTTCTTCCTTGCCGAGCGACGCGAACGTCGACGTCGACGCCGAAAGCTGCGCTCGTACGGTCTCGACGATGAGGACGAAGAAGAGCGACGGCGGCGGGAGCTCCGGGGGCGCGATCCGATCCAGATCCGCTCTGGGCAGGTGGTGCGCGGCATCGAGGGGTTGATCGGCAACACGCCGCTGATGCGGATCAACAGTCTTTCCGATGCGACGGGCTGCGAGATCTTGGGCAAAGCCGAATTCTTGAACCCGGCGGGTTCGCCCAAGGACCGAGTGGCGCTCCAGATCTTGAAAGACGCAGAAGAGGAAGGGTTGCTGTACCCAAACACGGGCAGCTGTATCTTCGAAGGGACGGTGGGGAGCACTGGCATCTCGCTCGCGACGCTGGCAAGAGCAAAAGGGTATCGCTGCTCCATCGTCATTCCCGACGACGTGGCGCGGGAGAAGGTGGAGCTGCTCGAAAAGCTCGGCGCAGAGATCCAGTCCGTTCGCCCACGCGGCATCGTCGACCCACGCCACTTCGTCAACGAAGCACGCTCGCGCGCAGAAGCATTCGGCGACGTCGAACTTGTCGGACCACACCCTACCGATTTCAGCACCTCAGGGTACGCAGGCTCAGACGGCGGCCAGGGCGAGGGATACGTGCATCGCGACGACCTCGTGGTCTCCTCCAAACGATCGTCCTCGCGTCAAGGCGCAGACGAGGTGGTCAACGAAACCCAAGCACGCGGCTTCTTTGCAGATCAATTCGAGAACCCGTCCAACTTTTGGGCGCATTACAACGGTACAGGGCCCGAGATCTGGCGTCAGACCGGAGGGCTGATCGATGCATTCGTCGCAGGTGCCGGCACAGGTGGGACGCTGTCAGGCTGCGCAGCCTACCTCAAACGTGTCTCGTGCGACCCGGACGAGTCGAAAGAGGGTGGTGGGTTCATTCGCAGAGCAGGCTCGGCATCCGAGGTCAAAGTCGTGCTGGCAGACCCGCAAGGCAGTGGACTGTACAACAAGGTCAAGTACGGCGTGATGTACAGCTCGACCGAGGCCGAGGGCAAGCGAAGACGACATCAGGTGGATTCGGTCGTGGAAGGCATCGGCATCAATCGGATCACGAGGAACCTGCAAATGGGACTGCAGTGCATTGACGATGCTGAGCAGGTCAGCGACGACGAAGCTGCGAGGATGGGGCGGTTCTTGATTCTCAATGACGGTCTTTTCCTCGGCTCTTCGTCGGCAGTCAACTGCGTCGCTGCGGTCCGTACAGCGCTCAAGTTGAAGCGTCAACGTGGTAGCGATCCGCCTCCGGTCGTCGTGACGGTGCTCTGCGATTCTGGATCGCGACATCTGTCCAAGTTCCACAACAACGACGCCCTGACTCGGCTAGGTGTCTCTGACGCTGGCAGCAGCGACATCACAGACATCCTCGAGTCGATCGGCTAAATCCTGTGCGCTATATGGATGCATTTCATGTCGTTGCAACACGATACTCGCTGAACAAGTACTCGGCCAACGCCTTGTGCTCTTTCCACTGCCACTCCTTTGCCTCCTTGACATCCCTTTGAGCCGCACACGCTGTCGTGGCGCCCTTGGAAGTGACTCTCTCTACCATGTCGACAAACTGCTTTGCGCCAACTTTGCCGTCGAGCTTCTTCTCGGCGTACAGCTGGCCGAGGAACGGATGGGAAAACTGGTTGAGCCACCATTTCGAGTTCCAGAAGTCGCCCTCGCGGCGGTGCAGGATGGAATGGAGGAGGTTCGAGTCGCGATTGCTGTCATCGTCCTGGACAAGTGTATGTGCCGCATCGATGTCGTCGTTGAGCAGGTGGAGAATGCCGCGCACAGGGATGGGTGCGTCGAGCGAAGAGATGGCTGGCCTCAGGTCGGGTGAGTATGGCTTTTGAGGCCGCAGATGAGGCAGTGACTCATGCTGACCCCGCCTGAGGAGCACGTGTAGCTCAGGTGGTAGAGCATGTGATGATGATGGCGACATGCTGTGAATAGGGCTGTGGTAGTATCGATGGCAAGAAAGGATGGTGTTTCGAAGGATCAGCGTGGGGGTCAAAACGCCGCACGACTCAGCAACTCAGCTCGAAACCTCCACCTGAATTTTGCTTGAAGGTGTTAAACCAGCGCATTTCTCTGGGAAGCTTGATCCCGCGGCTAAGCAGGTGAATCGATGCAGGCGGTTCTACGATCTTCACTTTGCCGAACCGCCAGGCACATGTTTCGAATCAGCAGCACACGCCTTTCTTGACCCCTGAAAGGCGATAATGCCTGGTCTTGGGTCAGATGATACACCGTTGACCCACTCGTGTCATCCAGGCTGTCTTTCCGACGGAACAGCGACGCAGCGGCTCAAGACTGCGTATGGCGAGTGCTACAACTCGCTTGGGAACTAGCCTCTATCGCGCGGCACGTCAACGATTCATGCGTCGACATCATCAGCGTGCTTGCTTCCCGGCGGAATTGAACAGCCTCCTCTGCGCGCCCAAAATCCACTCGACCTGACCATCTGCACAGCCCTCCCATCTTCCACATGTCCAGCCTTCTGACCACCACCATCTCTGAACAGTAACAGTCATGGACGCAGCTCTGTCCAGCGCCCTGGCGCTATGCACCATCCTCTCGGGTCCGCTCTTGACCCTCTCGATCGCCTGCCTCAATGTCGGTATCTTGCTCAACCGCCGCGTCTCGCTCTACATCCCCACCGAGACGCTTGTCCTCCTCTGCCTCGTCTACGCCTTTCGCTATCGGGTCGTCTTCGATACCCTCTTTTCGCTCAACCACCTTGGTTACAAGCTCGACATGTTTGCTCTGCTGATGGCGACGCTCAACGTGCACATCGTCCAGCAGTCGACGAGCCTCCGCGCTACCACGAGCCGCGTCCAAGAGACGGCATGCGACGAGACGCAGATCGAGACGATGACGGCCGTCCTTGCGCAGCCTTCCTTCACCAAGATGAAGCACGAGCACATCATTGGCTTCAACGTCGTCCTCTTCCGCCGCACCGTCGTATGGACGCTCATCCCGGCGCTTTACATCGGAGACCGCTCGCTACTTTCGCGCGGTATGTCTCGTTGGTATGGCAACTCCATTGCGCCTTTTTGGGCCGATGCGTTCATCCAGCTCCACTTTGTGGTGGCCATGCTCGAGCTGAGCGCCGTACAGCTCCTCCTGAGCCGCATGTTGGCGCTCCGACGGGCGCAGGTACACCTCCTCCCGCCTCCCGAGGCCACGTTGACCGCTCATGGGATCACCCAAGAGGTGTGGAGCAGCAGGCTGCGCTCACCTACGGCCATCTGGGCTTTCGCATGGTGCACCCAGCTAGGCGCCGCACTCAGCCTGCCCGCGCTCATCGCGGGTGTAGTGCGCCAGGCCAAGAGGTCCGGGGAACTAGACGATATCCTGCTGTACAAGGCGACGGGCGCAGGCATGCAGGTTGTGTGCTTTGCGGCCTTCCTGCTGTTCTACCGCTACTGCGGGCGCGGGAAGATCCAGCTGCCGAGGGACGAGGAGAAGTAGGGACGCTGCAGAGGCTAACGAGGGCGCTCGCATCTAGCCTGTGCTTAGCAATGCTAATTTTTCAGACCTTGGCGTGTGCAAATACTGTGTTGTCATGAGGGAGAGAGATTGCGTCCCCCGGGAAAAGCCTGCGATGAGAAAAGCAGGTGCATGACTCGAGATGACGTTGCGAGATAGCGCTTGAAGAATGGCGATGGCAAACGATCTCAGGTAGCCCGCTGGTCCATGGTTCGGAAGACATCTCGCCGAACGCGTTATCTCGCCTGTGCGAGCTCGGATGCTATTTTAGTGTGAAGAGCAAGCGAGCCCCCCCGCGACTCCGCGGAAATCTCTCTCAGGCGGGGTGGACGGTCTCTGCAGTGCAGCTCCGATGCGTCGAGCGGGGGGCGTTCCTGAGCCTGCGGTCGAGTTCCTGAGCATGGCGGCTTGAGCTGCAGCCCGGCGGATCGGTTGGGTTTCCACATCCAATCGACGCTTATCCAGTCGAATAGCCCATATAAAGATGACACCCCTCGGCCGTCCCCGCGTCCGCCCTCACATCCTACATCCCTAACATTTCTATCATGGGCGGATTGACGTTTCCCATCCTTGCTCAGTACACCACCCCTGTCTCGCAGGTGCTGCTGGCGCTATGCGTGGTGCCTCTGGCGCTGACGGTGCGGCGAGAGGCGACGGTGAGTGTGTACATCGTTCCGCCGGTGTTGGTGGTGCAGTCTCTGTGCGCATTCCTACGCAGTTCGCTGCCCGCCAGCTTGCCCGGGTGGTTGCTCGAATGGGTATCGATCCTCGCGCCACTTGCTGTCGCATGGACTGTCATCCGTCGACGAGACAAATTGCTCTTCATGCAGCAGGACTCGTTGATCACGTCCAGCGAAGAGGCAGACAAAGTCGTCGACAAGAAATCACGCGAGTTGCCGGCGACGCCGTTCCTTGTGCTGCTCATCGCCTCGGCCGTCCTCATCTCGTTCTTCCTACCCACCTCGAGCCTGATCTACACCGTCAAGCGGTTGGCGGATCAAGAACCGTGGCAAGGGTCGTACCTCCTCGCCCTCCGAGTCCACGCCGCCATCCTAGCCCCCATCATCGACATCTACACCTTCCTCCCGCAGTACCTGCTCCTCCTCTCGCTCCACGCCATCTTGCCCATCCCCGCCCAACAGAAGCTCCTCTGTGGACCCATCACCCGGCGCGAGGCAGAGTCCATCGGACGCAACGGAGAGTGGAGCGTGTGGACCTGGTTGATCCTCTCCCAGCTCGGTCTGCTGGCAAGACTGCCCGGCCTCGCAGAGATCGCGATGCTCACCCAGGCCGATGAACAGGACGCGTGGATGATGCAGATCGCCTTCGGTTGCGTGACGCCCATCCTGTTTGTGTTGTTCCTGTTGGTCATTTGGTTGGCACCCAGGCGCCATTGAGCACCCGCTGGTCATTCTGTAGATCCAAACGTGCATTCAAAGTTGGGAATGATACTGTGTACATAACTGTGCAGAATCTATGCGTGATCACCTGGCCACCTCGGCTCCAAGAAAGGTCTTTCGGGCCTGCGCCTGTATAGCTCGCTCGATCTTGTCTTTGGCAGCGCCCCACTCTTCCTCCGCGATTGTGCCACCCCCCTGGACATCGTCCAAACACGACTCGATGTGCCCCATGAGCGACGTCGCGTTCTGCACGTCTTCGACCCTTCTCCCGGGCGCAGCACGGATCACGTCAGCGAGATAGGCGCCGATGCGATCGACGTCGCCCGCCCTTGGGCCCTTCTTGGCAAACGCAGTCACCCACTGACGGATGAGCTTTTCGACATCGGCGTAGCTGCTCAGTCCGCGGATGGATGGCGTATCTGCGACCTCCTTTGCATGATCGGCGGTACCAAAGAGGCGAGACTCGCTTCGGGGGGTGCGCCATCTTGGACGAGCGACGAGGTAGAGCGGAGGATTGCGTCGTGCTTCCTCTTCGTCCAGTCCTGCACCTTCTCCAACAAGGACTGATCCTTTCTTGACTGCGGGCCCGCCGTGCAGCGCCCGCATCCGCTCCTCGACCTGCCTTTGCGCGGCGATCTCGTTCTGCGCCGCTCGCAGCGTAGCCCGCCTCCGCTGCTCGGCCAGCGTCAGTTCTTCAAATGTGTTGCTCTTGCCCGCTTTGAACCGCGCCTTTTCCGACTTCTTCTGCTCCGAGTGATGCCGGAACATCTCTCGTTGCAGCTCGACCGGCAGGGCACGAAACACTTCGGCGTCGATGTCGAGAGCGATCAGCGCGTCGTCCGAGATCTTGCTTGGATCCATGGCTAGCACTGCATCGCGATCGACGATGGGCTGGTCGGGTGCGACATAGTTTCCTGCTTGTTGCAGCAGCCTGTGTACGACCCGCTTCTTGGTGGGCGATTCAGAGACGGATCGAAAGAGCGCGTTCCGCCGATCAGATAGCTTGGTGTCATGTCGAAGGAAGCTGGCGAGGGTAGATGTGGTGGCGTTCTTCTTGCGAGCTGCTGAAGTGGGAGTGCTCTCGACGGAAGACGGTCCAGACGACGCTTCGTGAGAGATGAAGCCAACCTGACGCTCAATCTCCTTTCGAACAGAGTCCGGGAGTTCGGCGAGGACGGCAGGATCGATCTGAGAGGCAGATGGCAGCATAAGCGCTTCGGCCATCGCGGCAGAGGGTGCCGCCTTGGCTTTTTGTGGTGTGGTCGGTGTCGAGCGCGGAAGCACCCTCGGCCTGCTTTGAGATCCGCTCTGCCCTTGAGATGGCAGAGGAGTCGCCATCGGCGTTCGATCTGCTGCATTCCTGCCAAGATCAGGATGATCGGTCGGGTCGAGGTCGAATGTGGATCCGAACTTGGCCTCGATTTGACGACGGTACTGCGTTGGAAGGGCGTCAAAGACGTCCGGATCGATTTGCGACTTGGAGGGCAGCATCAATTGCGTTGCTGGCGGCAGCTTCGAAAACCCATTAGTAACAGTCGATGGAGCCACAGTCGCCCCAAGTCTGTCATATGCACCGGGACGTCGCGGCGTTGCTGCTTCTGGACCCTTTTCGAACGATGCTGGAAGGTGGACTCCAGGCTCGTCGGCTTGTTCGACGTCGCTTGTTTCATCTTCTTTGCCGCCGTCGGCTGGGTAGGTTGGTGCGACCGGCATGGAAGGCGTCTTTGCTGGCCGCGTAGCAGATCCAAACTGGAGCACCGACTGACCGCCCTTGGGCTTCGCAGGAGACAGTGCATTGCCCTCTGCAGGTTCGAGCTTGTTGAGACTGATGGCGATCCCGCGCAGCTCCTTCGGATCCGCTCTGAGGTCTCGGATGAGCGGCCAAGCCGCTGCCCTGATGCGCACCTCATCGTCAATGGCAACGCCTCCAGGTCCGCTCACCTGGACGCTCCGGTGGTGTGTATCGCAAACGCCATGGCCGAGGAATTTGGGCGCTTCGAAGGGGGCTTCCTTCGCACGTACCATCACTTGCACTGAGACCTGCCTCCCACGCAGCTTGACAGCCCTTGCCCGCTGCGCCACTTCCTGGCACATGCCCGCCACAAAATTCTCGGCTTCCTGCTCGGTCAAAAAGCGGATGCCATAATTGACGTGCGAGCCGACCGATTGCCGAAGCTTGTTGCCCTCGAGCCGGTCGGCATCGACACCGTGCATCTTGTCCCAGATCATCTTGCCTTTCTTGGGCCCGAACTCGGCGACGAGCTTGCGCTCGCTCGTCTTGGCCAGGATTTCGCCAATATTGACCGTCTCGAAGAGCTCGCGCATGCGGTCGCGCAGGCTCCAGCCGATGCCGTGCAGATCATCGACGTCGAGCTCGTCCAGGAAGGGCTGCTTGACGTCATCCGTAAGATGAAAGGACCCGCCAGGTTTGGCTTTGCGAGTGGCGAGTCGAGCGACGAGAATGTTAGAGCCGATGCCAATACTGGCTTCGCACCCACAGCGCTCCCGAATCTCGTCTCGAAATGCCTCTGCTAGCTGCTTCTCCGCTGTCCAGACCTGACCCTGAGAGCCGAGGTGGTCGCGGTACTTTTCGTACAGCGAGCCGGCCGTGGTGTCGCCGTCGCGCATACTCTGCAGAAGCAAGCTGACATCAACGAGCGCCTCGTCTACCGATACGGCCTGAAGCGCATCCGAGTGTTCGAGCAGAAAGGTGTAGAACGTCAGGCTGATCGAGTCGTATGCCTCAAAATCGTAGGGGATCGTCTCGACCTGAGGACAAAGCCGCTTGGCCTGACCGAGGCTCATGCCGTTGCGGACACCAAATTCACGCGCTTTGTAGCTGCAGGAAGCGATCTCGGATGTGCTCGAAGACTGATTGTCTGCAGGTCGCTTTTCGTCCCCCTCCTTGGCAGCGGGGAGCCCGAAGCCGGTGCCGTGGCATACGACCACAGGTTTGTCCTGCAGATCTGGCCGCTTCCTCAGGCCAACGGCGACGAAAAAGCTGTCAAAGTCGATATGCATGATGACACGCTGAACACCCTTGGGCAAGTCAGAGCTGCCTAGCGGTCGCCCTGCTTCGCGAAGGGCGGAGCTGACCATGTCTTGCAGGCTGGTCTTCCAGGTGCTGAGATGATGGAGACGCGACTTGGCAAAGTAGCCGGCAAGGAAGCCTTCGCTGGTGGCAGTGTTCCTCTCTCTCCAGCTAGGACTTGCGAGCAGGCGCGCAGCGTGAGTGTTGGATGGTCGCGATGCGTAGTGTCCTCTGCTAATGGCGTTGGCCGCCTTTTTGGAAGCAGGGTCCGTTCCGATGCTGTAGTCGATCTTGTCCTTGGGTTTGGTTGGCGTCACGGTAGTTTCGTCGAGTGCCGGAGCTTCCTCTGTCGCACTGCTGGCAGCAGCATCAGGTGGATTCGTCCCGGCGGCGGTCTTTTCGGGCTCGGACGACCTTTGTTTCTCCCATACGGGAGGAGTCGATGGTTCAGACATCGGTATTGGGGAAAGCGGTTTGATGACGTGCTCCTCGCCGAAGCGGACTCCCTTGGAGCTTGCGGGCTTCTTGGCCGGCTCTGCCTGTGTCGGCTCGAGGAAGGGACGAGGTACGCTCTTTGATGCTTCTGACGGCGGCGGACCAGTCGCATTGCTTCTCTCGATGGGTACTTTGTCTTTGCGAGTGAAGCGATCCAAGAGATTGGTCTGGTTTGTGGGCTTGCCCCAAGGAGACTCGTCCTCGTCTCCAATCCGGGGAAGCTGTCTTGGCAGCTTTGCCGAACGATCGAGGTTGCGCCAGTCACCGAGTCCTTGCGCATTGTCCGATGCGGATTCGCCAGGCTTGCCGACCATGCTGATGGAGGTGTGTCCGTTCGACCCCGTGATGGCATCGCAGCGCCACTTGCGCCAATCCGCCTTTCTCCCCAGCTCGATGCTCTCCAAGATCCAACCGGGTAAGACCACCTTGTAGTCCTTGAATTCGATACGCTTCTTTGGTGTGAGGTTGGAGGCGACGATATGCGTGACTGGCGTCTTTTGATCGAGATAGGCCATGAGGTCGCCGCCGTGCAACACGAGCAAACGTCGTAGCTCGCTGTACGGAGGGTGAGTCTGGCCATTGATGTAGATGCAACAGCCCTTGAGGGCGTCCGAGCGCTTTCCTCCACTCTCTTCGATCTCTACTGCAAGTCCGTCCGGATTCTTGATGTTTGAATGGGTATCTTGGACGCGTAAGAGCGCTTCTTCCTCTTGCAGGAGCGAGGCTTCCTGCACCTTGAGCTTAGCACGCTTGTGTTTCATGTAGGAGCGAAAGTCGCCGTACTCGATCGGGTTGTATATTTCAGCTGCAAGATACTGCTTTTGAGGACCTTTGCTAGCTTCAGCTGTGCCGTCTGTTGGATGTGATTCCCCTGTTTCGCCCTTGGCTTCGGAATGCGTAGAGACCAGCATGCCGTGCTCGTCAACGCGGGAGCTGCGTAGATCATCGTCGTCCGGACCTTGTTCCAAGTCGGGTGGAGCGACCGTCGTCAGAGGTTTCTCATCGTCATCTTCATCGGCCCACTGCACCTTGCGCTTGCGAGCCGGACGCCGGCCCTCCCCACCATCCTCTTGTTTGACGCTCGCTGGCTGCATTGAGGGCGACGCTGAGTGTTCGTGCGCTATGCGCTGGGTATCCAAGAGAAGGCCAGAGTATGCCTCGAGGGCCATGTATCGCCATGCATGTCTACGGAGCAATGCAGGGCACCTCTAACGCCAGTAACACAGAAGTGGCAGACGATGTCGAGAAGGATGTAGAACTGATGAGGAAGCTTGACATGCGGCTCAGTCGTGCATTCGACCTGCATATCCTCCACCTCCAAAATTATCTAGCTTGTTAGGCCTTCGAAGACTGCGAAAGCCGGCTCAAATTCGCCGAAAGGAACCAAGTTTGGCCACAAAACACCGCTGTTCACATCACCACCACCATCCATCAACCCCCATCACTCGAGGCACCACCGCAACGCTCGGTTTCGTATGCAGGTGCCGTCACTCAGTCTAGGACTCCTATAGCTCGGCTGGGCCATTTCCAGCTGGCTGACCCCGCCGCTTCTCCGACGATCCGGCGTCTGGCAGCCATGGTTCATCTTACATTTGCCGACGATGGAGCGCGGCATCCACCGCCTTCCTCCCATCTCCGTCAGCACTCCTCCGATCAACGTCAGAGAAGATCACGCATCGTCTCGACCGCATCAATACCGCCCGAAGGGAGAGCCAGTCTGATCTCGAGCATCAGCAACCTCACCAACACCATCATCGGCACGGGCATGCTGGCCACCCCCGGCGCATTCAAGTACACTGGTCTGCTGCTCGGTGCCTTTCTCATCCTCTTTTGCGGTCTGAGCGCCGCTCTTGGGCTCTATCTGCTCACAAGATGCGCGGCGCGGGTGGGCGGGAGAAAGAACAGCTTCTTCACCATTGCCAGCCAAGCGCTGCCGGCGGGAGCGTGGTACTTCGACCTCGCCATCGCGCTCAAGTGCTACGGCGTCAGCATCTCGTACCTCATCATCTGCGGCCAGCTCATGCCTCAGGTCATCATCAGCTTCTTTAGAGCTTTCCACAGAGACATACATCAGATTCCGACGCTCTTTCTCGATCGCAGCTTTTGGATTCTCGCCCTCATCATCCTGCTGATCCCGTTGTGCTTCTTGCGCCGACTGGACAGCTTGCGGCACACCTCGTACCTCAGCCTGCTAGCAGTGTTCTACCTGGTCATCATTGTGCTCCACTACAGCTTCAGCTCAGACGCCAGAGCTTCCCTTCCCCCTAAAGGCGACGTCGAGATGATCAACGTCTCGTGGCATACCATCAGCATCTTCCCCGTCTTCGTGTTCGCCTTTACGTGCGCACAGAACATGCTCCCCGTCTATAACGAGCTCTTTCACAACGTAGAGGGTCGAGTCAACACCGCCATCGGCTCTTCCATCGGCACGGGAGGCGTGGTGTACCTCATCGTGGGCGTGCTGGGCTATCTCAGCTTCGGCGGCAATGTAGGCGATAACATCATCGCCATGTATCCGAGCACCAGCCTCTTTGTCTGCTTTGGTCGCGTCAGCATCATCATCCTCACCATCTTTAGCTACCCGCTGCAGGTGCATCCGTGCAGGGCGAGTCTCGACAAGGTGTTCTCTAAAGCGAGCACTCGGCAGCAGATGCTGGACGATGCGGCTGCTTCAGCAATTTCGACTCCGAGCGAGGTCGTCGAGCCGTATCGCGACAACGAGGATGAGGAAGAGGACGAGCGAGAGCCGCTGGCAAACGGTCACGCACCGCCCGAACCAGACCAGGAAATCCCACTCGCCAAATGGTGTCTCATGACAGCCGGCATCCTCAGCACCACCTTTGTCATCAGCCTGCTCGTCGACGACCTCTCCATCATCCTCGGCTTCGTCGGATCGGTAGGAAGCACCACGATCAGTTTTATTCTGCCCGGCGTGCTCTACGCGAGCCTGTTCCGGGACGAGCCCCAGTCAAGGCTGAGAAAGGCCGCCATCGCGTTGGCCGCGTGGGGCTGCGTGGTGCTCGTCGTCGCTTTGTCGGCGAATATTTTAAAGCTGATACATGCTCAGGTTCCCAATTCGCTCATTGTGACAAAGGTCACTGGTCGAGACTTGTTGTGGTAGACGATTCCTTTTTACGCATAGATGTGGGACGGCGTAGATCGCCAATAGACAGCTTTAATGTGGTTTTGCGTGGAACGATGTGTGTGGCGTACGATGATACATTGCTCTTCGTGCGGATGATGCACGAGACCTGCTCGAGTGAATGTGAGATGTGGGTTTGGCTTTCCCTGCGACCTAATGGAGTGGGTGGCAGAGTGTCAGAGTGGGTGCTCAAGCCTGTGCGTCGCTCTGCAGGCTTGCCGACCTGGCTCTACTGAGGAAGCTGAATGGTGCCGAAGAGGACGACGGGCTCTGCTGGTTCTCCGACCTGCTCCTGCCGAGGTAGCTGAATGGCGCCGACGAGGTCGACGGCGGGTATGCGTGGGTGTTGACCAGCGTCTCTAGATCGTCCTCGCGATCCACCCAGACGCACGTTTCGATCGAGACGGTGATGGTGTTGTCCTTACCCCGCTGCGGGTGGTTGGCGATGGAACGCTTCTCGCTCTTGTGCGAGCCAGTCGACGTGGAGTAGCGGAGTGTTGGTCGCGCCGCGCTCTCGGTTTGCGCCGCTCGCGCCGGTCTTGGCGAAGCAGGAACGGGGGACAGCGCTTGTCGAAAGGTGCGCATGAGACCTAGACTGTGCGTCGGTGGAGTTTCGTCCATCCGCGTCACACCAATCCCCGATACGGCGCGGAAGACGTCGTCAAACGTCAGCACGCCCGCCACCGCCGTCACCCACGCCGCCGTCAACAGCGCCGTGGTGATGCAGAAGGCAACGATAAACGTCACGTCCGGCGCAGGACTCGTGCCTCCCCACACCCTCTTCCAAGGACCGACGAAGAGGTACAGCGGTGGCACCGAAAAGGCAAACAGAGCAGCGAGGATGAGGAACATCTGAGAATGACCCACCATGACCATCATCCACGTCTTTTTGAAAGCAACGTAGCTGCTGCCGTGCAGATGCTTGGGTAGGCCGATGTGCCAGAGCGCACGAGCGAGGTGGAACGCACTCCGCTTGGAAGGCTGCTCAAAGTGTGGATCTGGGTAGATGGCAACGAGGTTGTCCATGAGGAAGATCTGATTGGGAATCGCGTACAGCACCAACATGGCGATGACCAGCACGATCAACACGATGTACGACGCCAGTGCCGCGCAGCAGAGTCGATAGATGTTGGCCATGTCGCACCAGGCCACTTTGACAAAGTCGAGCGACTCCGGTGTTGGAGCGCTAGCAAGCCACTCCTGGGTATGATGCTGGATCAGAACCGCGTCGAAGATGTTGTGCCCCGGCGCGCGGGTCAGCTGCCTCTGCCGACCGTTGAGGACCGTGATGATGACGTTGTAGACCACCATGACGACGCCGACGCCGATCATGAAGGTGTTCATCACCCACGCCGAGTGCGGCAGAGGCAGGTGCATCCAACCGAGGCTCCTTGTCGATGCCTCGCCGTTCTGCTTGGCGATGGTGAGGTTCGAGATGGGCGAGCGGGGTGAGCACGTGAGCACAAAGCTGTAAGCGCTGTAGAAGGCCCCCAGCGCAAGCGGCAGCCAAGGTAAGGGAATGAAAAAAAAGCCAGTCGGCAAAGCGCTTGCGGTTCATCTCGATGAAGAGCATCCAGCTGCAAAAGACGGCCCAGCCGAGCAGGTACACCGAGATGAGCGTCAACATCCACCAGATGGCGTTGGGGACAATGAAGGTTCCGTACGGAGTCCTGCGGAGGGTGATGATGTGCGTGTCTCTGACGCGACCCTTTTTGAGCATCACCGAGGCGCAGATGAGAAACGTGATGACGCTCTGTATGATGTCGAGGAGCATGTAGACCTCGACGGCTTTGTTGGAAGGAGGCCGGACGACGACATTGGCGTACTAGAGCAGCTGCGCATTGGTCTCGTAGTGGATCGGATAGACGAGCTGGTCGACGGTGATGGTGCGAAACAGATACGGTACGTGAACCATGTTTGGCTTGCACGGGGAGAGAGAGAAAGGCGGGGGCAAAGCAAAAAAGGCAGGTACGGGGAAGCAAGACGGACGCTGTGAGGAGCGGAGCAACTGTCGCAGCTCAGAAGGTCCGCTTGTTCATATATGTTTGCATTAAGTGTCGTTTCTGAGCGCTTGAAGCGCGCAGCAAAGCAGTGTCGAGGGAGCGGAGCCGTGAGCCATCTCTTCTTCCCGTAGAGAGCCTGACGAATGTACCGTTGCTCGCAGGCAGCAGGGATTCGTTCCGACGGATTCTATGGATTGAGCTCGCCTAATGCAGTCCGCTGTCTTCAGCATTGTCGCGACAGAACGACGAGACGCTCGTCATGAACAATTCGCTCTTGGCAGCGAATCATCTGCACGCCCCGCTATGACCTCTGTGCGTGCCATTGTGCTTTTCGTTGTGCGACAAAGAAGAGATTCGCCGTGGCTGCGAAGGGTCTGTTCCGATGATCTGCCGAGCGAGGATGCGAGGACTTCGCTTCGACGTCTGAATGGAACGGTTGAACGACGAATGTGAACTAGCACATCGTAGACAAAGAGCGGTGACAAGCGATACGGGATCCATAGCGGGGAGACCGATCCATTGTTGTACGTACGTAAAGCTGGCCTCGTCGCGTTGTGACTCGGTGCACATCCAGCCGTCTGTCGCGACGCTGCTACTCGGATACATTCTACCATCCGATCCGGAAGCTGCGCCTCGTACAACGCCCACAAGGCAGCTCTTGACAGCTGATCGCGGCGCGTGGCGCGAGAGGCGTATGGTGCTAGGCAAGGAACGTCGAGAGGAAGCGAGTTAGCGACTGGCGCGTGATCAGCAGCGTACAAGTGGAAAGTCAGCCGAGACGATCCGAGCGTGGGGATGGTGGAGACAAGACGAACGTCGGCAGGGTGTTGACAGCCAGACAGCAAGAGGCGTGCAGACGAGTGTTGCTCCTAGATCGGTCACACAATTGAGCGGGTCTTGTCTCGAGGCGAGGCGATCCAAGCGTAGCGAAGCGCTTCTCGCAAAGAATGACAGCGGCGACATTCGCACGTAGAGAGGACCCCGCTTCTGCAGGCTTCTCCGCCCATTGTGCGGTGTTCGGTAGTGTCTGCTAGCACGCCGTCGCTCACGGTCGCAGAGCGTGCATGCCCAAGTCGGCCGGTTCTCAGCGCTGCAGCGTGCCTCTGACTAGTCTGGGAACGCCGCATTTGCCGAGACTAGCACCTTGTCAGCCTGTCAAGACCTTGGTCATTGTCATTATGCTGCATCCTTCTTTTGTCCAGAGCAGGCGCAGATCGGATCATGATCGGCGGTGCGCACTTGGTCCTTGACTCTGTGGACACAGATTGATTTCGCAGATGCGCGTCGCGTCTGCCGGCACTGGTGGCGTGGCAAGGTGGCAAGCAAAGCTCGTCGACATCTTTGGTGAACTTAACGGGATTGCCGCCGGCGGTGCTCGCAATGAAACGTGGCTATGCCGTGGGTAAAAAGTGGCGTGGGGGCTGCCCACTACTGGCTAAGTCACCGATGGGTGCTGTCAGCAGCCTCGTCTGGCTTGGCATGACAAGAGTCAGTCACGAGTGGCCTGAGAAAGCGGCAAGGCTGCTAAGCGAACCGAAAATCCGAAAATTCCTGAGAAAAAAGGAGGGTCTGCTGACAGGTCACTCCGCGTTTGGCTGGTGCAGAAGCTCACCAAGGCACGCGGACAAACAGCTTTGACTCACAAAGGTCACACGGTCCACAGTCATCTTTGAGCAAAAGCATCCACACCGCCTTCGGCTCGTCCGTGTCCTTCTTCATTACTTCGCTCTCGTCTCGGTCGCCACCATCGCTCTTTCTCCTTCATCTCTGGCTGCGTCCTCTCGTCTCGTATACCCACGCAACATGGTCTGACGCCGATTCAATTAGCGGATCGCCACTGCACACGCTCCCACATCTGGCGTTTGTCTCGCCCACACCCCACCTCGACCCACATTGCTTCCCCGCAACCCCAAGCTAGTCCGATTTCACACTCTTTCGCCTGTCTCTTTGGACACCGTTCGTGGTAAGATCTCTTGACCGCTTCCATCTCGCATCTTTGCGCACACATCACCTTCCGTCACCCGATTGTCACCCGTACCGCAGCTGCATCGAACACCGCTACGAGGGATCCTGCAACGCCAGCATCATCCAAGTCCGAGCCCCTCACTTCGCGCAAGTCACATAAAGCCCAGGATCTCTTCCGCGACAGGTCCCTGCCATCCAACCACCACGCCAACATGCGCGCCATCGCTCAGATCGTCCACTCCTCCTTTCGCCGCGTCGAGAATGCCGCCGACTGGCTCACCGGTCGTGCCGGCCCCGTCTTTGTTGCTATCTGCCTCATCCTCGTAGGTGGAGGAGTGTGGACCTTCTTCACTACCATGTTCTTGGAACTCGCTCCCGTCCCAACAGAGCTCGCCAACCTCTTCCACACCTATTCGCCAGCACACATCTCCTTAGGCCTCGTTCCGACCTTGTTCGACTCCACCCTCAAGGATCCCATCGCAACCCTGCGCTTCTTTTCATGGCTCCTCTTCTGCCTCTTCATCGTCTACAGCATCGCCTGGCACTACTACATGGCCTGCACCGTCCCACCAGGTTCCGTCTCCGAAGGGCTGGGCGATTCCGTGCCCGAGCGAAGAAGCGGTCCCGGCAGCCACATCTGGTGGGCGAGGTACAGAAGCAGAGCAGCCAAAGCCTCTGGCCCCAAGCTGCACCACCTCAGCTCAGCAGACAGTCACGTCATGGCGCACGGGCAGCCCGAAGCGGCCGCACCCGTCCGAGTCTCGTCCGTAGCCGACCTCAACAAGCTCAATCAGGCCTTGGACGGGCTCGACAGCAACCGCGCAAGGTCAGCTTCCCTCAGCGCTGCGCTCAAACCGTCTCCCTCTGTCAATGCATCCTTCTCGTCTTCGCATCGATCTTCCTCCAGCAGCGAAACAGGCACGCCTCGCAACTACCCCAGGAGCGACCTTCCCCTGTCCATACACGACGTCACCCCCAGCCTCGCAACAACGCCGGCACGCCTGGATCCCGAGCCGTCTACCAACTCGTACTTTGCTCGAGGTACCCGTCAGAGCCAAGAGAGCATCGAACGCGACTCTACCGCTGCCGCGCCTGCAGCGGAGCCCCTGGCGGAAGTCGAGATCGACGAGGACGACGAAGACCTCTTCCCCTTGGCCGGCATGTGTCACAAGTGTCCCAAGATTCCGCTCGTCAAGGCGCTCAGCGTGCTTCCACCCGAGCTGCGCAAGATCGAGAAACAGCTCCGCACCAACAAGCCTTCGCAGACCTTCACCTCCAAGTTGTCCTCCGAGGATGTCGATGAAGGCGAAGCCGAGGTCCGACGATGGCTAGGCGATGCCGCGTCCGAAAAGCTCGTCGCCCCTCCCAAACCTGAACGCTCCCACCACTGCCGCGCATGCAAGTCGTGCGCGCTCAAGTTCGACCACCACTGTCCCTGGCTCAACCAGTGCGTCGGTCTCGGCAACGAGCGCTATTTCGTGCTTTTCATGGCCTGGCTCAGCTTTGGCTGCGGCATTGTCGTCTACTCGGGCTACGGCGTCGCGCGGCGGTCGCTCAGCTGGAGTGTGCAGTGGAACTACCCGTATACACCGAGGGTGATGGTGATGCTGCTGTTCATCCTCGCGCTCGTCATGGGCTTCGCGCTCGCGGTCATGGCCGGCTGGCAGATGATCATGGTCAGCAGAGGAGAGACGAGCGTCGAGTCGCAAGACAACGCGCACTACCGCGAGCTGGCCAGCAGGCGCGGACAGGAGTTCATCAATGTCTACGACGTCGGCTGGCGTCGCAACATCGAGCTCTTCTTCAATGTCGGGCCTGGATCGCCGTACAGATGGTACACGATCTTGCTGCCCATAAGAGTGCCGCCGTACTCGGACGGATGGCACTTTGCGAAGCGTCGTGGTCTCAATGGGAAGCATGCCGGCATTGAGCTTCAGGAACAGCTTACGGATGAGGAGTTTGAAGATGAGCACTACGAGGCGGATCAGAAGGCGGCAGGGAAGGGCAAGGGCAAGGATGCGGCGACCAAAGCGTCGTCTTAGTCGATCAACCTCAAAAAGTGTCTGCGAAGCAGTCTGCAACGGTCCACACTGTCACGAATGTATACCCCAATTTCAATGTCTTTTGTAGCCAAAACCGCGTGCGTTGTGCACCAGCTCATCCTCGAACACACAACTCGGGCAAGGCCACACGAAGTGAGTATCCCGTTCCCTTGGTGTCGAATGCCGTAGCTCAATCTGTTCGTCATGATGGATTGCTGGGAGCTATCAAGTACACATCGTCCGTCTCACAGCTTTGCGTCGTCCCTCGACGGCAGCACCCACCCAGCCTTTCGGATCGCCGTCTCGTTGATCTCCCCAACATTCCTGAACCCAGCTACGTTCATCAAGATATCAAACTCGGCGAGCAGACTCCTCATCACGTGCCGCACCCCCTCCTCGCCCTGAATCGACAGTCCGTAGATCCACAATCTACCCACCATCACCGCCTTGGCTCCCAGCGCTAGGGCCTTGAATGCGTCGCTGGCGCCTCTCACGCCGGAATCGAACAGGATCTCCATGTCCTTGCCCACAGCAGCGACGATCTCGGGTAGCGCTTCCAAACTCGAAATACTCCCATCGACCTGACGACCCGCATGCGTAGTCACGACGATCCCATCGCACCCGACCTCCCTCGCCTTGATCGCGTCTTCCGCCGACAAGATCCCCTTGAGCAAAAACGGTTTGCCTCCTGAAATGCGCTTCCAGGTTTCGATGACCCAAGGCATTTTGTCCCAGCTGAAGGCTTTACCGTGCCAGATCTGGTCGATCCACGTCCTCCCCGCCGCCTTGATATCCTTCTTCGCATCGATCCCCCGTTCCTGCAGGATTTTGTTGAACACTGGGTCGCTGAGACCCATATCGTTTCCCACCCCCTTATAAAACCCGTAGTTACCAAGCGAGACGTCGAGGTGGCGCCATCCCAGTTGCCACGTGTCCAGGGTCAACATGCATACGTCGAACCCACTGTCCCAGGCGCGTTGAAGCAGCGATACGGCAAGATCATCTTGATGCGGCAGATAGAGTTGGAACCATCGTAGACCGTCGGGATGCTGAGCACCTTTACCTTCCTTCAATCCCGATTCGGCTCCTTGACGGTTCGCCGCCCCCGCATCTTCGATGGCAACACTCCCCGCAGTGGACAGCGTATACGGTAGCCCAAGTTCACCTGCCACCTTGGCTACGGCGATCTCGCCCTCTGGGTGGTAGATCTTATTAATCCCTACGGGCGAGAAGCAGATGGGTGCGGCGAGGGTTTTGCCGAACAAGGTGGTGGTGGTGTCCCGGTGTGTCGTGTCAACGAGCATTCGTGGGATGATGTTGTATGTATCAAAGGCGGTACGGTTGCGAACGTGCGTAGTGCCCAGACCGGCGTTGCACGAGGCATAGGACCAGCCGCCGGCGGTGAGCCGTTCGCGTGCGAGACGCTCGAGCTCCTCGGGATGCGTGTTGAAGGGCGGCAGCTGGTTGTCCTTCGTACCGCGCTCGAAGCATTCTCGTTGGTAGAGCGCCCAGTGCGGCGTGCTGCGCTTGGGAAGGTTGGTCGGGTCCATTGTGATCGTTTGGGATGGGGATCAAGTCAATTGGATCGGAGGTAAGCGTCACCCCGTGATGGCGGATCAAGTACAACAAGGATTATATACCCCGCCGGTCACCCTCCCAGCAATCCGGGCAGCTCACGCTTCACATCCCCAATCTCACTCACACTGCAGCCCCGCGAACAGAGCTCGACATGTCGTCAGCACCCACACTGCCGCCCGAAGGATGACAGCTTTCCCCGCACCGATCTGGCTGTTCTCGGTGACTAAAAAACTTGCGACCTTCTCCACATTTTTTCGAGGCCACGATTTCCGCACTTTTTTTCGGCATCTTTAAGCGAGTCTCGTTCTGACAGATCTGTTCGCCGCCAGTGACGTGACGTTCGCCGGCGGATCTGGGTTAGCTCCTCAGACTGCCAACCGCGGAGCCACTTTGGCGATGCATCGAACAGGCCCGGAATCCGAATTTGACGGATGTATGAGTTGGCGGGATCAACACTAAAGCCGCGATGAGTGAGAGCTAGGAAACAGCCTGGGTGGGTCGCAAGATGACCTGCTGACCGGCGAAGGTCCAGCTGCGCGCAGGAATGCCTTTTACCCCTTTGGATCTCGCATTCGTCTTGACGACTGACCGCAGACCGTCGTCATTAACGTTCTTGACCAGCGCCGATCCATCTAGCCCAACGAAAGGATCCCGATCCTCCGGCTTCTCCTGCTCCTCCTTCTCCGCCTCGCCGCTCACCATCTCCACTGCTTTCGGCCGTACCAACTTGGTATGCTGTTTCACCTTGTGCGTCTTCATGTCGAGACTCAACACTTTGGCTGTTCTCTGGGCATCGCTTGCGATAGCTTTGGCCTTTTGCAGTGCGCCATGCTTGCCGATCACCGGGCCTGCGTGCGGGACTCCATTTGATGAAGTGGGGGGAACGGCTTCCATGCCAAGCTTGGGGAACAGAGCCGCTTCCTCTTCTCTCGCAGTGCGCGCCGAGGTCTTGTTGAGCTTCTTCTGCTCTCGTTGGATTTGGATTTGAAGGAGTTGCTGCTCGAAGAGGATCTCGCGCTCGGCGGTGAGCTTGGCGACGAGGTCGGAGCGCGCTGCAGCGCCCAGTAACGGTGAAGCGGAGCAAGACGGGCACGAGGACAGAGGGCTGAGCGGAGAAGGGTGAATCGCAGAGCAGAGGATGAGCCCGCACGAGTAGCAGAGCGGTGCATAGGGCGCGAGTGCGTGCCGACGGCCTTGGCAGAAGCACATCTTGCGGTTGATCGTGGTCGATGAAGAAGCTTCTGAGCTGGAAGAGAGCGTCGAAGTCAGCTCCTCGACGACGGCATCGATAGCGAGCATCTCGGCGGTTGGTGGTGGGGATGGCTGCGATTTGGCGTGGGAACCTGAGGCTGATGATGGGTGATCGTCGAGGTCCATGAGAGCGGCAGCTGCAGCTTCGGAGTCATGAACAGCCTCTCCAGCTGTTGCAACGGGCTGAATCTTGGGGTCGCTTTCTATCGGCATCGCGTCCTTGACCGGCTGCTTTCCCTTCTTACCCCTACCTGTTCCCGCAAAAAACTCGTCTTCCCCCTGCTTCTTCCTATACACCGTCCCCATCCCGCCAAAGGCCTCTGAGAGCCTCGCCATCTGCCCCTGCTCATCTTCTCCCGTTCCCTCCACCTTCCTCGGCGCCATTGTCTGCCCAATTCCCGCGCGCTCGGCCAGCGTCTTCTTCCCGCGCTTCTTCTGTGTTCTCGACCCCAGTGCTGGACTAGCCGACCTCGGCGTAGCTGATGCTGAAAGAGTGGGTGTCGTTGAGCCACTCGCACTAGCCTGCTGCCGAAAGCGCGAGCGGACAAAGTCGCGGACGAACGACTTGGCTAGCGGCGTATCGGTGCCGACGAGACCCTGCAGGTGGGTGCGCAGCGAGGATTCATCGTCGAACGAGTCGAGGAAGGGGATGATCTGTGTCTTGACCGTCTCCTTGTCCAGACCAAGCAGCGAGACCAGCTGCTCGGTCCATACTGGGCTGCTTTTCGCCATGTTGCTAAGGAGAAGGCGCGATGAAAAAGTGGTGGTTGGTCGGGGAGGAAGGGCTGAGTTGGTGCGCAGCGCAAAAGTGTTGGTGTGGAGGCCAGATCTTGCTGAAATCGGCGTGCTGACGGCCACCAAAAAAGGTATCGGGCGATTTTCGCAGGTCGGAGTGGAGCAAGAGCACTTCTTCTTTGTCATTCGCTTTCTTCCTCCCACATCATCCTTTGCAACCCGCAACCTCGCTGAAACACACATCAAGCATGGAATCCTCAATAGACCAAGTGGCCGCCAAGTGCGGCAAGCAGCTGGACACTTTTCAACGCTGCATCCTCGCCAACCAGCAGAACCCCTCGGCGTGCGAGCAGTACAAGACCGAGCTCTCGCGCTGCGCCGCCTCGGCCGTACCTCTGCTCAACGAGATCAAGAACCGCTGCGTCGCCCAGGTCATCGCGTACGACCGATGTCTCGAGCAATTCACGTCACAAGGCGATGAGGCGCTCGAACGCAATTGCACGCCCAAGCTGCGCGACCTGTGGTTCTGCACCGAAAAGGTCAAGAGGGAGGTGGAGGAGAAGGGCAATGCGGATGTGCAGAGGAGTAAGGAGCTGGGGAAGGAGGCGTTGACAAAGTGATGCGCGACGAATGATAATGCTGAGGATGATCCGATGGGGCGCGGTCTGGCACGGGCATGAAGGGCATGAGGGTACGACATTGCCGAACATGCGTGGTATATGACGTACGGGACATGAAAAGGAGTCATTCGAGCGCAATGGAAGGGCTCTGTGGGTCGTAAAGGGGAAGTCAACTCGAGGGGCTAGGCAGCCATAGCAGGTGCAGCGACAACGAGACCGCTCGACCGGGTTGCATCGACCATGGCGAGTTTCGGTGTCTCACCTGCAGCAGCTACGGTGGACGCCGACTCGACGGAGCTCGATCTCGCTCCAGTCTCGTTGATGGCCGTCGTACGACCCGCATCGGTGCTCGCAGCGCTGAGCTGGTGCTTCGGAGTCGACAGCCGTCTCAGCTTCTGCCAGACCTGCTGTGAAGACCTCTTCTCCAGCTCGACTTGGCCCTGACGAGAGGGAGCGCGAGACAGGCTGAAGCGCTTCGCGAGCGAGGCACGGCGTCTCCCAGGGTGTTCTTCTCCCGTGTCGACCGGGGGTGCATCCTCAGACACTGTTGCTGCGACCGCGCTGGCAGCCGCGGGGTCCTTCTGCTGCTCCACCGTCGCTTCACCTGCAGCATTCGCGCCCGTCTTCGCACCAAACCATCCTCCCCCTTCCACCGTCACCGTCAGCACCGCAGTCAACCCGTCCACCGCAATGCCATGGTTCACCCCCTCTGCACCTCCCTTCATCAGTCCCGCTACGAACATCACCTCCGACCTATACCGTTTCCCCATGAAACTCGTCCTACCATCCTTCCCCTTCCCCTGGGCCTTGCGCACCACCTCGTTCCTCCCAACATCATACCCGTCGGGAACGATCATATGATGCTTGCTCAGCTTCTCCTCTTTGCTGGTAGCCAAGAACCATGCTCCGGAACCTTGTTGTTGCCAGGCCCTAACGTGGTTGCCTCCGACGAGAGACTCTATGCATGTGCCAAAGACGTGATCGAGCGGCGTGTAGATCTGGCGAAAGATGAAGTCCTGATTGAGATCGCCACGGGGGTCGATGTGGGCGGTTTGATAGCCACCGCCGTGAAGACCGAGGCATTCGCGGTCGAAATCGAGCGACCGGAGGTAGGACTGGAAACCGGACCGCGTGAGGAGAAGGGGAGAGGAATGGGAGGAGAGGATGACGTTGAGCGGCTCTCCGAGTCCAGGTGGACCAGCACTGTCGAGCGAGGTGCCGGAGTAGACGCGCGGATCGACAAAGCCGTACTGGTTCGTGGAGATCGTGGTCGTGCTGGTAGAGGGAGGAGGGGGGAAGTAGGGGATGCATGTTTGTGAGCCGTTCGTGAGGGTGGTGACGGTGGAGATGAGGGTGGGGTCTGTGACGGTGGTTGTTGGGACAGAGGTGGTGATGCGAAGGACGGTGAGCGTGGTATCGTCGATCAGTGCCGGGTCGGACGGGTCTTCGAGGCCGAGTGTCCGGCCTTGCTCGTCTACCTGGACCGCGGGTATACCGTCGTCGGCGAGGATGTGAGAACGAGGCTTTGCCAGAGGAGCGGTCGCGAGGTCTACGTCGCCTTGCGCACCCTTTGGCTCGGCAGTATCGCCCTTGACCTGCTTCTGCGCATCTTCGCGAGCCTTGCGCGGGGTGATGTACTTCGACACTACCGCTTTGAGCGGCCGAAAAGGCGTCTTGATAGTCGTTGGCATCGTTACACCTTGACGATACGACAGTCAGGCTGTTCGGATCCAATCCGGTGGGAGGGGCGGGACACCCAAGAAGACGGTCAACTCGAGCGTCTTTTATGTACGGCGCAGCAAGCAGTCATCGGAGTCTGATTCTTTGACATGGAATGCACTCCGCATGTCCATCCCCCTTCATGCACCGTCTCTGACGAGCTTCCTCGCGCCGTCCTGCGGCTTGCCTATCTCGCGCATCTGCAGCCGCCCATCAAGCTCGATCTGGTATAAGCGAACAAGCTTCGAACCCCTATCGTGAACCTTGTTCGCAACGCACCACTCAACGTGGATGGCGAGCACGAAATGCGGCAAGAGAACGAACGTGCCAAGCCGAGAAGGACCCTTTCCTTTGTTGGACAGCTTCGCGCCCCCACCACGCATGGAATTCGGCGCTTAGGCGGGAACGTTTTCAGGGGTCCACGCAGCGCAGACACTCATGCATGCCCGTTCGCACATCCAGTAAAGGTGTGCGATTGACACAAGCTCCATCGACAAGATGCCAATCGACGCAATCCGCGCAAAAGTCTATTCCATTTTCAACTGAAGCCAGTCTCGAACCGCGGTGTGAAGACCGGCAGGGGGTGCGCCTCGGTGTTCAACACCCACTTGTTCAACGGCAGCGTATCCCTGTCCCCAAAGAGCAGATACAGATACTTCAACGTCTCGGATAACCAGAACGTCTCCATCTTATCCATCTGCTTCGGTCGCTTCGAATCCACATCATCGATACTACTATACCCGCCGCTGGGGACCTTGCAGTGTTTCTCGAAGGCTTGGAAGATCTGCCAGCCCCACTCGCGATAGATCTCGTCGCCGGTGAGGGAGAAGGCGATGAAGAGGCTCTCGACGGTTTCGGGGCGCAGGATGTTGCGCGCGTCGATGAGCGGGTTGGGCCTTTTCGAGTAGGATGGCGGCGGCTTCTTGATGTACCAATCCACGTTGCGCGGGATGGGCGCCCGGTTGGCAGCGAGCATCTGCGCCTCGGTGATGTTGGCGTCCGTGGGGGTGACGAAGAAGGCGATCTCGGGAGAGAGACCCGTGGCGGTGCGCGTGTAGGTGTCCATACAGGTGCGAACGAGCTCGTGGCCCAACCGCCAGTCTTCCCGGTCCGTCTCATCGCCCGTGCCCACGTCCGAGATGGGCGGGAGAGGTCGCTTTGTCGTGTCACCAAAGATGTCGGTAAGGGAGGTGGAGCCGAGCATCATCGACCCGCCGAGGAAGCACACCAGATGGTCCTGCTTTGGGACGAGCTGCATGTACGGACGCCCGTCGGGCATGCGGCGCGGCGCCAGTTCGACGGTGAACATCAGCGGCGGCTTCGAGTGGATCGACGGCTTGGTCAACAGCCGCTTGATGCCCCTGAGCGCATTGTCGTACATATCGCGGTAGACGTCCTCCGAGCGGCCCGTCTGGAGCCACTGCTTGATGAGGTACTCGTAGTATGAGTCGCCACGTGAGCCGAGTCGCACCTCGCCATTGTAAAAGTGACCGTTCATCGGGTTCAGGAATATGGGCAGCAGACCCTGGTAGTGGATCAAGCGCTTGGTGGCGTTGCGCACGACTTCCATAGGTCGCTCTGCGATGCGCCAGTACTCGTGCTCGCCCGTAAGATGCGCGAGGTATTTGAACTCGAGCTGCACCGTCGTCGCTTCTGCAAGGCTGGACGAGTTGTTGTTGTTCAGATCCGGAAAAGCTTCGCCCGTCTCGAGGTCGACTTCGCGGAGCGGCACACCGGAAGGCGTGTCGAAGGCCGGCTTGAGCCGCTCAGCCAGATCGACGGCTTTGTCGATGAACATCTGTGCGTCCTCCTCGTTGGGCGTGAATGCCGGGTGTGGTGGATCGCGAATCAATGCCGCAGCAGAGAGCAGACCGCCGAGGGTCCGAATGGTTGTCTCGAAGACGTTCATGCGTCCTGGCACGTCCCAGCTCAGCTCGTCGCGGACCCAGTCGCGAGCTTCCTCGTAGTCGTCTTTGAGTCCCATGAGGATGAGCGTGTCGAGCGTGTCGACGATGGTGTAGCCGATGCCTTGGCCATGCTTGCCGCTGAGGTTGGAGCCATGCTTGCTGATGGGATGATACTCGTCGTAGCCCCAGGCGTCTCGTCTGTAGGCGGACCAGGAGTGCTTGAAGGCGCCGAGGACCGCTTCTTGTCTGTCCGCATCGGCTCTGCGTAGTGGCTGATCAGGAAGGGGCCGTGTGGGCGGTAGCGAGTAGGGAAGAGAAGGCTCTCGTTTGTTGGAGGGATAGTAGGGCTTTTCTGCTTTACCCCAGAGGTCCTTCGGGACGGCAGGCTTACTGCTGCTGCCCGATGCGGGAGGTGATGAGGGATGCTGCTGAGTTGGCCATGGCTGTTGTCGTGCTGAACTCGATCTGCCGAGAAGATAGAACGGAAGCTCGCCGCCATTCCTATATGTGAGGACGGCTAGGAGGAAGAGAGCCGCCGAACATGCCCACGACAGCCAACGCCACGAGGTTCGATACCGTGATGCAGGCTCTGACTTGGACGATTTGGCGGACTTTGGCGTTGTCCCCTTGTCGTTTGTGGATGCTCGTGGTGCTGATGTTTGCCGAGCGGTGGAACGCTTTTTGAGCTGATCGCCGTTGGCGTGGCTCTTGGGCGGCATGTCCGCGGGTAGGTCGACCGATCGCCAGCCCAAGAAACAGGCTTGGTGTGAGCGGGCTAGACGTGAGAGGGGGATGGCGAGAAGGAACGGCGCGAGAACGAGGTGGAAGGCAGAGTGGAAGCGCTCTCTAGAAGAAACAGCCGGCTCAAAGCGCGAAGGTCAGGGTCGCGTGCGGAGGTGTGTCGGCGTGGAAGCCGCCGCACGGACAAGATGGGCGCGGAGAAGCCGTTCTGGAGGTTGTCGATTTTCTTCTGAAAATTCAAGAGCAGGCGTCAAAAAGTCGCCGACAGGTGCTAGGGCTGCCTACAGTCATGCGGCGCGACATGTCGACCGCATGGTCACTCGTGTATCTCGGCATGGCCGTCGTGGCGGCTGGGAAAGCATGCACATGAGTCGGAGCAAGTCGGGTCGGAGTTGCCGCGAGCCAGACCCAAGGGCGTCGGTCGCGGACAAACCGACCGTAGTCGCTCGCTGTGTCTGCCATGGCGCCGATGCAGCGCTGTGTTGTCAAGTGACCTTATGAGACCGTCTATGTTACAAGTAGATCAGGGCGGGAGATGGAAGAAGCCAGGCCGAGGAGCGTGCCCACTTTGTGAAGGTGGCAAGATTGGGCTGGTCACCCACCGTGCAGCGTGCTGATGAAGACAACCTCGTCGCCATCCTGCAAAACGTAGTCGCCTTCGCCTTCGAGCTCCCAGTCGCTGTTGTTGATGAGGACAAGAATGCCTGGTCGGACCGAGTCGCCGTCGACAAAGAGCTCCTCTCGTTCGGTGATGAGGTTCTTGCGGATGTATTCGATCAAGAACGTGACATTAGTCTCGGTGCCCGCCGCATCCTTGCGTGGCAGGGTGAGAGAGTGCCTCTTGTCTTGCGGTGGTGCCAGCAGCAACTCGGTGCCGCCTCCAAACTCGACCTTGACCTTGACCGTCTCTGTCGACGCCATCCTTGCCGCGATATTGCGTCGGCGTTGCGCTCGTCTGTTGTCCGCCGTCCGCGTGTGTCAGGGTGGGGTTTCGATGGAGCTTCAAGAGAAGAAAGCGTGCGTACCCGACCAACCTCGAAAGAGTTCTGGCCAGATCGGAAATCGGACGCACCAGCTCAGGGTCCATCTTAGGCCTAACATTTGGAACTCAAGCGCAAAGTTGCACTTTGGTCACGCTCCCACAGCGCGTCCTGTGTGTGTGATACGATGACTTCATCGCACCGAGCAACTCTAGACCCTGGTCACTCGTCACCCACCTCCATCGCAGTGGTGTACAACCGGGGCAACATGATCTCATCCCAATGGAGCGGAACCTGAACCGAGCGGCCACTCCAACCGCCGGCATTGCCGTTCCCTCGCAAGATTGCGTTTTTCAAGTCGATGGCGTGCACAGCCCTGTCCCCACTCATGGGTTCAACCGGCGGTCGGTTGTCAAGCTGAAATGACGCTTGTTTTCCCCTTTCTCACATGTCCCTTTCCAACCCCGCGTGGCCTCGCTGTTTTCTTGGCCAGTTTGTCTCATATGTCTCTTGGCCCTCGTCAACCTTCCTTATCTCTTCCCACTTCATCCTTCTACTTCCCTCCATCCAACGGCTGCAACGTCTACGTGGCATCCACATGCTGTCGTCGTGATGACCGCCACGCAAGTCCGCACCATCCCTCCCGTCGTCGAGGCTCAGCAGTCGAAAGAGAGCAAAGAGATCCATACCAGTGAAGATACCCCTGCTCGCGAGACACCCTCAACCAAGATGGAGGAGAACAACGATACCTCCAAGGCGCAACCCAATGGTGATGAGCAACAAGCATCAGCGCACGACCATCAGCAATCGTCCGTGGTGAAATCCGAATCAAAAGAAGAGCCCAAACACGAGCACAACCACGACAATGACGATGACAAGGCCGCTGCGCTGCTCATCCAGCGCAACTACCGCGGCTATCGCACACGCCGTCAGCTTGACGGCTGCAACATCTCAGCCGACACGCGCTGGTCCGATGCCGTCCATCGCATGCGTCTCGAGCAGGCCAACAAGCACTCTGCCAACGACCGCAACGATGCCAGTTCTCGATGGAAGCGCGGCAAGCTTCTCGCTGGTCAGCTCTCCGGTGGCGAAAAGATGGATCCATCCTCCGAAAAGGACGGCGGCAACGGCCGGACCGACGAACCCGTCGAAGGCGGACCGTCGCTCGAATCGCCCAAGAAGGAGGAGGACGAGCACTCGATCGTCGGCGCCGACACCAAGGTCGGCGACGTCCCCGGCGCCCAGGACGGCGGCAAGGTGGACAACATCCGCAGCATCGCCGATCGCAACCAGAAGGGCTTGAAGATGATCGAATGGTGGACGCGCGGTGGCAAGGCGCAGGAGCTGAGCAAGATGATGGAGGAACAGTACTGGTTGGAGATGGTCGATCGAAAGCATCGATACGGTTCCAATCTCAAGTACTACCACCAAGCATGGCAGCAGGCGGACACGAAGGATAACTTCTTCAAGTGGCTCGACGAGGGCGAGGGGAAGGAGGTCAGCATCGACGATTGCCCGCGGGAGAGGCTCGATTCCGAGTGCGTCATCTACCTCAGCTCCGAACAGAGGCGCAACTACATCGTCGACATTGAAGATGGCAAGCTCATCTGGCGGCGCAACGGCAAGCCGGTCGATACGGCGCGCAACAAGCACAAGGACATGGGCAAAGGTCGCGGCATCGTCGACATTGGCGAGGAAGAGCAAGAAGAAATCCGCGCCGACCGCGAACGTCGCGCCCTTCAACGTGGTGTCTCCGAAAGTTCGCTCGATTCCTACCTCGACGGCACCTCCTCCTCCTCCTCTTCCGACTCGTCCGATGGCGAAGAGATGTCCAAAGACGAGCGCAAGGACGAAGCGAAGCACTACCAATCCAAACGAAGCGGCAAATCTCGCCACCTCGACGCTCTCAGCCCCTCCAACTGGTCCGACATGCTTCTCCGCAAAACCATCGGCAACAACACCTGGATCTACGTCTTCAACTCGCGCCACGAACTCTACATCGGTCTCAAGCAGACGGGGTATTTTCAGCACTCGAGCTTTTTGTATGGTGGCAGAGTGCTCTCAGCGGGACTGCTCAAGGTGGACAATGGTACATTGACGAGCTTGTCGCCACTGTCGGGGCATTACCGGGCTGGAACGGCGCATTTCCGGTACTTTGTCAAGAAGCTGCAGGATTCAGGGGTCGATTTGGATCGCGTAGCGCTGTCCAAGAGTCTACTGATGCTGGCAGGGATGGAAAAGTACGGAAAGGTCATGAGCAAGGCTAAGTCGTCAAAGAAGCAGGATAAGAAGAAGAAGGAGAAGAACCGAACCGATGCGAACGGAGACGACGAGCAAGGGAAGGAGAAGGAGTCGCTGGCAAAGAGGCTCAAGCAGAAGTTGAGTCTGGGGTCGAAGAAGGGCAAGGACGACGAGGTTGATGCTGGTGAGGAAGCCGATACCGAGGACAAGCCGAGCGGCTTCGCGAGGCTGAAGGAGAAGCTCAGGTCTTAGAGTTTCGGCACGACTCGATACATGATACCAAAATGCGCACTTTTCTCAGACAAGGATGGTTTGAAGAAGGATGGACGATTGAGAGGTATGCTACAGTGAGAAGACGAGATGCAGATGCGAAGGGTTGAGATCAGAAGAAGGCGTAGCTCCTCTCGCTCGAGGTGAAGGACTGGATCGAGTCCCTGTTCTGCTGCTTCGTCCTGCCGACGGCCTCGTCGAATTCGAAAGCGCCGACGCGGTTCAGCTCGTCCATCGTTTGGCCTGCCCACGAGTGCGTCGAGTAGCGGCTGGCAATGCTCTCCTCGCCCGCCTCCTGGCGCTCCACCTGCTGGCTTGCGGCCTGCTCTTCGACCTCGCTCCACCAGTCCTGCTCCTGGGCGACGGGTCGAGAGATTGTAGCTTTGAGCTCGGCTTTGCTGCTTTCGCTGCGGCTGTGCTTGATCAAGGTCGAGCCATAGTTTCGTACCGTCTTGAGCGAGGATGTGAGAAGGTGTGTACGCTCGTCGGCCTCGAGCGTCGAAGTGGACGCGACCGAGGGTGAGGCGGAGGGGGCACGACGGTGAAGAGGGATGGCGTGGATGATGGCTCGTGCAACCGAGACCATTAGGTCTTGAGGCTCATTCTGAGCGATACTAGGGAAACGAGGGGCAGAGATGAGGGCAAGCATTGTTGTGATGTGCTAAGTGGTTCGTGTGTTAGAGGTGGTGTTGTGTGTGAGTGGGATGTGATGAATGAGGAGAACGAGTCGACCATCGCCGAAACGAGGTCTGCTTATATGTCTTTGAAGCCTCATGATGCTCCACGCTACATCGTGTCAGGAAGCTCATCCTATTGAGCTTGATGAGGGTATGATCGTGACGAGGTGAACGACACATGTCAGCGGATTGATCACGAAGCGCCCCCGGATGAGCCTTCTGACACTTTCTCCAGCCAAAGTCGAGCTCGCATGCACGCCTGCATGAGCTGCATGAGTTGATCAACGATTCGACACGCGTGTCAGGTCTCTAATCACCGCAACGGAAAGTCGGATCGAGGTGAGGGGAAGGTGAAAGGGAAGCCCTTTTCTGATCGTCGCGACGCGTCGTGCTCATTAACGCCAAAAATGAATCTCAGCAATTTTGATCAAGGAGCTGACAGATGGCATTGCAGGTGCGTGTTGGCTTGGATACGAGGCAATTGTATACACGAGGCAAAGGACATTGAGACGGCTGGGAAAACCCTCCCCAACACGTTGTGGATCGTCGGGTGAAAAACCCAGCAACTATGTACATGAGAAACACATGAAAAGAAGATCAAGCCTAATGGAGACAATCACACATCGCCTGATAAGAGGACGCGAGCTTGCTGCAGCTCAGTCAAAAGACAGTTCGTCTTCGATCGTAGGTGATTCTTCCTGAAAAGCTTCAGGGGACTCGTAGTTCTTGATAGTTGCCTCGTCGGTCACGATCCGGAGCTTTCCAACGAAAATTCTGGGCATTTTGACGCCAGTCACCCGGTAGAACTTGGCCCACACTGTTTTAACCTCTCCGAGTCGATCCTTGTTCTCCGCAACGTAAGCACCGAGGAGATAGCTGAGTCTACTGTCGCTCGGACCAGGGATAAGATCGTCGAAACGCCAGACTCTTGGTCGGTAGGGCAACCCTTTTGAGTCAAAGATGCCCTCGAAGCCCGGAAATTGAATCGGATGCTTGAGGAGCTCGAGCATCTCAGCCAGCGCATCCTTGTTTGGGCAACGAATGTTGACTGTCGGCCCATCAAACATGATCACAGGCGGATCCTGGACCTGAAATACCTCGAATCCGTCCATCATCTTGTACAGCGTCGACATCACTTGATCTTGCCAGCCATCGACCTGCTCCTGATCCTGAGCGATGTTCCTAAGCTTGTGGACCATCGGTTCGGATGATAGCTTGCTGCTTCCTTTCAGGTAAAGGTCTATGAAGTCAAAGTCTGAGCATTTGACCTTGTCCCAGAAGTGAATAACTTCGCATCGAGGCTCGGTGACCTCTTCAGGAGGCGATCTGTGGTGGCTTGGGTGATTGCCGCCGTTCACGCTCGATTCGTCACCCGAGCTAATTGGCTCTCGAGCGACACTGTCGGGCTCGATGCCGTTCATTGTCGTAGTTAATTCGGACAATTAAAGAGGGAAGGCTTGGCCGGTGCCTGTTAGGCTGAAGACAAACTGCCTCAACCTCAAAGCGGCCTTTTTATGCTTTCTCAAAGATCAGACTGCGCAATGGTCGTGCCCGGAGCCTGAAGTCGTTCGAGGTATGCTTCACCCCTTGTCTTGCCAATTGGACCGTCAAAAACCATCTATGGGAGTGCGGGCGTCCCCAAATCGGCAGCCGCTTGAACAAGTTTTGGCTTGCCACGATAGCTTCGTGGTGGGGACGGCAGCCTTGATACGGTCACGTGTGGGGCGGACTGACCGACGGAAGCATCAGGGGTTTCAAGACTGGGTGCACCCTGCTTTGTGGTGGGCGTGTCCGTCCTTGGTGCGGGTCCGACATCTTGCACTCCTTCTTGAAGCGCTCGCCATTGAGATGTCGGGTCTCGCTTGAGGGTTCAGGGTAAATTCAAGCGCTGGGTATGGACACGGAGAGGCCAACGGAAGTCCGAGGATCGACGGCGTGGCTTTGGAGTCACGCGGTATGGTGGGTATCGCGAATTGTGCCTGACAACAGACCCGAACTTACGCAGTCGGGCCAGAACGAGGCACCGAGCCGAAGCCGAGGACGCCGGTGTCGGCAACATCTCTGCAAGTCGCCGAATCCACCCACCGCTTGGCAGACTGATTTGAGAAATGACACGTCCGAGCAGACTTCACACAACGCCACGAATCGCATTCCGCAGGAATTGACGAGTCCAGTTGGGTACAACCCTGGCACCGGTAAAAGCGTTCGTGTCCACCGCCAACAGCTACACTTCACCAGCTCTATTCCTCCAGAACGCCCATGCCTGCTTGCTCTCGGGGCTGTGCTCGTCGACGACGGAAACCGAAGCTTTCTGCAAGTAGATTATCCGGCCTGACTCTCACCGCGTCGTACAGTACTTGCTGGCCTTCCCTCGGACGCCAAACCACCAGAGGAATTGCTTCGGCTTATGCGTTCCGACGGATAAGCCGCCCGCTGGCTGACAGCACGCAAGCGAAGTTGATGGAGCGACTCCATACAAGCAAGCGTTGCTGCCACCTTATATAGCTTCGCTTTGCCCCAAGCGTACGGTCGTCACGTCATTCTGTCTCATCATCAACTTTGCTGAAACAAACAGCCGCGTCGTCCAACTCAGCCGCCGGTCCGGACCCCAAGCAGTATTCGCATCCTTTTGGGATACGCAACATCGCATCGAGTGTTACTCACGTGGTTACACTCTTGCTCATGAATCGGCGCGGGAGGCGATCCGGAAGAGGTCATCTTCATCATTCACGTTAGCTTTGTGCGTGTTGAAGTAGCGCCTGCAATAGCTCGGCCTGTGGGTATTCGCACAGCTGCATCATACGATGCTGTGCACCTTGTCGACAGGGATCAACGTTTCCAGCCTCTGGAACTCGACGACTGCATCCGTGTGACTGATCGTGTCCATCTTCAGCAGCTCGATTCGACCGCCCTTGTGCTTCCAGAAAGCCCAGACGTCCTTGCCGTTGGGAGCGCCCTGGCCAATCCTCGTCAGCCCGAAGTCCTCGCTCACGCCGCTGGCGGGCGTGATTCTCGAGAGGTAGTAGGTGGACGTCATGCCCTTGCGGCCGAACAACGATAGAGGGCTTCGATGCTTGATCTTGCCCACGAGTCGGACGCCCGAACCATAGAGCGCTTCGTCATGCAGTGTCTGCGCTAGGCGCGAGTCGCGTCGTCGGTAAAAGGCGAGGTCGTTGTGCGGAAAGTCGACGACAGCTTGTTTGTGCTTCCAGAGAGGTAGACCAGAGCGGATGTACATGTCGGCATCGTCGCCTCGAAGCTTGTCAATGTCGACCTCTTCGTTGGCAAGCGAGAGGAACACCCAAGAGAAAGCGACGATGCAGAGCGTAAGAATCGTACCGCGAAAGGCGGGAACCATGTTGATGAGGGTGGCGGCGGTATGAGCACAAGATCTGGAAGAGCGCCAAGTCGAGTCGAAGGGGTCCGCCTTGCCTTTATGTGATGCTGTGCGCGCGCGACGCCTCCGGCTCACGGGCTGCTGTTGCCGGTCAAGCTGCTTCGTATCATGCCGATATCATCGCTTCATCTTTGCTCTGTGGCGGCTCGGCGCGGTCGCCAAATGCGAATATCGGCGTCAAGAGCTGGTCATGTGTGCACTGGGTCGATAGGGTTTGCGCGACGGCATCAGGTCCGAGGGCCATTCACACTTCTTCAGGAAGCTCTAACCTCATATCTTCATCCCAGACGTCATCGAGCTGGAAAACTTTTGTTGGCTTTGCTGTGCTCTTACAAGATCAGAAGATGCTACGTCGAAGCCCATGCGTGCCTCTGCTTAGATCGAGCCCGGGACGCTCGTTGGTTTGAGGCATTGATTCTGCACATCTTTAGGAGTCGTAGTCGATCATCTCGGGCTTGACGGAAAGGAAAGGAGGAAGCATGTCATTTTTGCCTCTTTTGAGCTTTTCGAGAAGACCGATGAAGATGCATGCGTCTCCAGTAAAGATCCTCTCGTCAGCCGAGTCGTCCTGCAAGGTGTAGTACTGCGCAATGACGATCATGTTTCTCTTGTCAAAGTGGTCCGGAACTGCCTTTGCATACTCCTCGACCTCTTGCTCGAACGCTTTCATAGTGTGTTGAGGTAAGCCGTAAAAGCGGTACGCGGCGGTGTCGTTGCTGTTGAATGCCTTGGAGTCGACCCACATTCTCAGACCGTTGATGTGGGGAGCCGATTCCCAGAGCTTGTCGGCAACGTCATAGTTCTTGCAGCACACTTCGACGATCGTTCCTTTGAAGGAGATGCATGGAGCAATAGATCGACAACCTTCGAGCTCCTTTTCCCGCATGTAGCGGACAATCTCATTCGTGATGTACTCCTTTTCGATTGGCTGAAGGTCGGTGGCCGTCTCCTTGCGCTCATAACCAATCATGTCGGGCAGTCCGAAGCCCATTGTATTGGCCGAGCTGTTCCAAGGGGAAGCTTTGTCAAGCAGATAATCGATGTTGACGTCTGCCTTGCTTGGGTTGTAGACAATGTCCCAGAAGTGGCGCAAAAAACGATGAGCGGGAGAGGTCGCTGCGTTTGCGGCAGGTGGGTGGTCGATGGGACGGTCAACGTTGGTCCAGCTGCTTTCGTTTGCAGCTTGAGGCCTCTCGTCGTCTGTGTGGAGGGTCTGATGATCAGGAGGAAGGGAAGCGTGTTTGGTAGTGCAGCCGAGCTTGATGCAGCGGCTCTCATCCGCAACGCGAGGCTTGCTGTCGTCCTTGTTGACGCTCATGTTGGAACGAAGATCAATCGAAGAGATGAGTTGGTCTCGGTGAGGGGAAGGTCGTTCGGAACGAGCTCGTCTTGGGTCGTCGAAAGGCTTTTATCGCAATCGTAGGAAGTGCGAATTGCTGCTTAGCAGAGAGATGCTCAGTCTTTGCGCAGCGAGAAAATTGTCCAATCGTCGCTGCATCAAAGAATGCCAGCAGAACACGGCTGGCTTCTCTTCGTAAGTCACATTTCATCTCGTGAACCATCACATGAGATGCACTGACTCGACGGGCGCCTGGCTGCATGTGACTTGCGCGAAATTGACAGAGCGCTTCGTCAAGGATGAAATGCACATGCAGACGACTCATGCTGCTTCCGTCGTATCTTCTACGGGCACAAGTCACGACGACGAAGTAGTCAGTTGACTCGCACGATTGGAATACAGTGGGGTGCGACAACGATAGGGATAGAAGATCATTGTAATCATACAGCAGCGACAGAGGATTCGTTGTGTGAAGGGGACAAGTGGCTGCGTTGTCTACCACAAGTACGGCTGCTCAATGCACCAGCGCGGCGAGATGCCGTCAAAGAGCGGAAGAGGAGAATCATCGCAGATGGTCGCCCTTTCGGTCAAAAAGATGAGAGCACCGGAAAGATGCCTCGTACTGCTGCCCTCCTCCTTGCGGAATCTTGCCCAAACGGCTCGAGCCCTGCCGAGTCGATCCTCGTTTTCGTCGATGTATTCATTGAGGCGAGGAAGAAGCTGCGCCTCGTCATTGTGTCGCGAAAGACCCAGGAAGGTCCAAAACGCCGGCTGGAAGGGAAAGCCTCTCAACTGGATTCTGATGGAGAAGGGAGCGGTCGAGTCGAAGTTGGCTAGACACGCAAGACTCGTCTCAAGAGTGGCATTGTCGGTGCAGCGGATGCTGATGAGCGAGCCTTCGTGGGTAACGAGAGGAAGATCCTCGGGTTGGACGTCCATCGATCCGTAGAGCCAAGACGTGAACCCAGTCTGCTCCGTTTCGCTGAGTTCGTGAGGAACCGACACGTCTGTGATCGTCGTGCGCGCTTGGATGCTGTGTGTCATGTCCACAGGCGAGACCTCGACGGGGTCAAAGATGTATTCGTCGCTGAGCGTGAGGTCGTTGGAGATGATCCTCTCCCAAAAATGGATGATCCGAGGCGGCGCAGGAGCCACCTTGCTCGACGATTGGGTGGACAGCAGCTTGCGCGGTGCTTTGCCCCCGGTGCTCTTTCGTGCAGTTGTCTTGGTTCGCGCCATTTCGCTTCTTCTTTAAGAGAGAGCAGCAGCCGTTCAGAGCGCGTCAGCTCCCGCAGCAAACGATTGATTCCACCAGAGCCACTTACAGAGACGAGCGAGGTATGGAAGGTAGGTTGTTGCGGTGCTCAAAGAAGGCGATATCTGCGACTTGGCGATGTATGAATCGGTGATGAACAAGGGCCGAAAGGATCGTCCTCGATGAAGCGCAGAGCGGCAAAGCGCAGTCGGACGGGCGCTCGGGCCTCCGTCCCACGATGTCGAAAGATCGCCATCAAGCTTCATCCTTGTCAAAGGGGAAATGCGCAGGCATCGACACTATATGGGCGGGCGGAAGAGCGCAGTGTGTCGACTCGCTGGTCAGAGCTCGGAGCTGCCGACACCAAAGTGCCAAACTTGAGACTGTGGATACGCCGACAGGTGCCGGAAGAGCCGACGAGGAAGACTGTCTTGGTTTGCCCTCTCAACCCAGTGTGGCGAAATCAGCTGCGCGTGCGCAGCCACTTCATCTCGTTCGGACAATGTTGGTCTTGGCCTTCAGTCAGAGGCTCAACGTCTTCTGCTCGCATTCTGGATTAGATTCGGACCCACACATTTGCTCAAGTCACAGCGCTGCGGAGCAACACTCTATCGTCACATGCAACGCTGAACCAGTCCTTTCGGGAGTGAAATCTTGAGATTGCAATGATCACTCAGACGGCCGTGCCAAACTTGTGCAGACCCTGCAAGCTGGGAAGACGACGAGGCTTGTTGCCCTGGAAGATTGGCAGGGTCTTGTTGCCAGAGTTACGAAAGGTCTCTGCGTCGGTCACGATGATGACATCGCCTGTGAAATATGACTTGTCGACACAGGGAATGCTTTCGACGCTGGCGTATGCGATTCGCCACTTGCCGAGTGCATGTACGTTTCGGTCAGCGTAGCTCTGGACGTCCTTGGCGAGCTGAAGTAGGTCTTGACGAACGGACAGGCCTTTCAGGGACCAGAAGATAGGCGTGAAGGGCATTCCTTTGGTCTTGATCTGAGCATTGAGAGGCCCAAGCTTGCCATACTTCTCGATCTTCTGGAAGAGGCCTCCGAGGTCACCTTGGTTTGCGCAAGTGACGAGCAGATCGGGACCATCGAAGTTGATCACAGGCGGCGCCGCGGTGAGTAGATGCTTGGTGAACAGGCTTGTGATGTAGGTTCGGTCGTCTGTGTCGAGGCGATGAGCACGCAGCTTCTCGCCGGAAGCAGCGCTGATGGCAATCTCGTGCGTCATCTTGCGAAGTGACATCGGCTTGCGATTAAACATGTATGAGCTCCTAGGGTCAAACTGACAGCGAAGCAGCTCGACGGGTTCGAGCACAACCGTGCATTTGGGACCCTGGAGACTTGACGCCACAGCCGAAGCGTGCAGCAGCATGGCTTGAACACGCTCGTCGTCAGCAGAGGGAGAATTGACGACGTCTTGGCCTTCGACGGCCTCTGTCTCGTGACTTTCACTTACGACCTCCTCGATAGCGTCGGGGCCGTCTCGAGGCTCTACGTAGGCCGGCTCCTGACCCCTTGCGGCAACTTCCTTGGCATCCTCGGAGGTCGTCGTGAGAGCTGCGACATCATCGGAGCTCTTCTGAAGCACTTCGTCGGTCTCGAGTGCGTACTGCACGGTAGTGCGCGTCACGTCCTGCTGCGCAGAGGATTCTTCGTCTTTCGCCGCAAGATCCGTGTCGACAAGGGCGGAGAAGTAGTCGACCGCTGGTTTGATGTAGCCGAGTAGATCCATTTTGACGAAGCTGCCTCGTGGCACGATACAGCGTTCTGCGACAAGCAAAGCAGGCTGTGACGATCGTGAGGGGAAGAAAGAAGTGCGTTTGACCTGCGACGTAGCTTTGTACGTCCCTGGGAACTCGATGTGCGGAATCTTCCGGAGCTAAGTTACCCTAGCGCAAAGGGTTGGCACAGTGGGTCAAGGCTTTGATAAAAGGAAGGTGCGCCATCTCGGAGCAGCTTCGATCGATGCTTGTTTGACCATTGACCCACAACAAACGAGTGGTCCGCGCCTGCGCGCAATCTCCCTGCGCATCAATGCATTGAGTCGATCAGCTTGATGACGGGCGGACTCTTGCGCCGAGTGCGCGACCTACTCAGACGATGAAGCTTGTTCGCGGCCTTTTGAAACTTCATCTGACGGAACCATGTGCGCAAAAAGCGTTGAATGCAGAGGGCCGAAGAGGACTAGTATACAGGTCGAATGTTGGAATGCGATGCGATGAAGAACGAAGATGCAGGTAGACGGCGGTCGAGATCAATCGGATTTGCGTGTTTCGCTGGCGCGCGAGGAAGAGCGCTGCAGCTCCTCTCTGTCGACTGGGTCGACGTTCTCGAGGTCTCGCATCATGCGGTCGCGATTGTAGGCTAACACTTTTGCGGCCTTGCTTCCAACGGATCTGCTGGGTTTGCCATCTGCGGCGAGGCTGACACGCTTCGACTTGGGCGAGGAAGCCGCCGGGCTGCTGTTTGGACTGGAATAGGAAGTATAGACGGAGCCTCCTCTCGAGGTGGTGCTGAATTTCCCGTTGATCTTCCAGCCGGAGCTTGAAGCTGCATCGCTGGATAAAACGTGGGACTGCGACTCTCTGAAGCCGTCGAGCAGCTGTTCCTTTTCGTCGTCACCTTCGGTATCGTCTGCATCGTGGTCGGCATGGCCGAAGCCGTTTGCTTGCGGGAATTCCGACGGCTGACTAAAGCTGTAGAGGATCCAGCCGAATGCGACAACGAGAAAGAGGCATGGAATGACGAGAAAGGCCCACGAGAGCGAGACGATGCTGCCAGATGCCTCTTCGTGCAGGCTCGGGCCCGGTAGCCGCACGCTCAGCAGCTCGCGAGCGGATGTGACGAAAGGCATGATTGTCGGGATCTGACCGATGCTGTGTTGACCTGCTGTGACTAAGCGCGCCGCCGTGAATGGACCGTGTATCGAAAGGGCCGGTCGATGCAAGCGTGCGAACAGTGCCGTCTGGTGAAGTTGGCCAGTGCAAACGAGGAACGGCCCAAGTGAGATGGATGGAACGACAACGATCTCGCTCGGTGCGCTGCTTCAAGATGAGGTCGATGATGAGCCGCTTCGATGCTCAGCTGATGAGGGCGACGATGTCAAAGGAAGGTCGGTACCGTCGTGGTCTGATATCGCAAAGCCGATGTGCGGAACGAGATGCAACAAAAGTAAGCTCGTGCATGCCGAGACGTGCCTCTCAACCAGCCGAGCGGGAGGCGTTTCACCTTGAGGGATAATTCGCGTGTCGCTGTAAGATTTCTGTTTTTGTCGGACGACGGGGCTGAAGAAAAATGGAGATCTGCAGATCGCTCACCGCCATCTGGTGCCGAAGTTTGAAGCCGAAGATCACCCAACTCGGCAAGGCGCCACTTTATCGCCATCCGACGAAACCTCGGCTTCACTCTGAAGTGACACCAAATTTCTCACGCTAAACGCATGCACACACGCCCGCTGTCAACGTCATTGCTTCGACCTCGCGCTCATCTGCTTTGCACGCTTGATCCCCTCTCGGAGTGACACAAGGCTCACAAAGGTCCGAACCATCTGATGACGATGTCAACTACAATCATGAAGAGAAGGAGGCACCCTCGATGTCATTTTGCTCGAAGGCGGTGCTATGCTTGTGATGCGCGTTGTCCGAGCTTTAAATTTGGCACATTCGAATTTCTTGCTGAGAAAGTTTGCATCAACGCACAGTTCAACGGCTCACGACGTCTTCATGCAGATTTTGGTTCTCGCACCCCTTTTTTCTGTGGTGCCAGCCTGCAAAGCTGCAGCGCCAAGTCACCGAAGTGCGATTTTCCAAAGTGTTCGTTTGGCTCGGCTCTCTTCTTCCAAACTCAGCCGCCGCTCTGAGGGGTTCTTGACAGCAAAGACCAACACTTCGGCTCGTGACAGCGGTCGTCCGACGTGCTCACTCACTTGCCCTTTGTCACTCGCTCGCTCGCTCCAGCTGAACCACGAAACCGACGTCCTTCCACATCCCTTCCTGATCTCTGCCATCCACATCTCGAATCGCATCAGCAACGCACTCTCCTTCATCGCGAAATCCGATCCACTCTCCTGAACACCACATCGAATCACAGAAACAACATCGATCCCCTCCCGTCCTTTCCGCAACTAGATCCATTGCCGCAACCAGCAGCTCCTCACCACCATGTCGGCGTCGTGGACTCGCGTGCCTGGCGATGGAGGCACTTCCGCTTCAGAACGCGCAGTGAGAGCATCTGAAGACAGTGCCACGCTCAACCAGCCCATGAGGACCTACGACGCTCCGCTGGCCGGTCAGCCCATCGGTCCCAGCGCATACTACCCCACCACGGCTGACTACAAGTCCGAAAAGGACTATGCCTACCCTTCCAGCTACGGCGGTGCAGGTCAGTGGGCCAACGATGGCGGCTCGCCCAACTCGAACAACACTTATCCTCCTGCACAGGTAGCCCAGCAGTACCATCAACACCGACAACAGCCCTCGCACGCCTCGGATCTGTCCAGTCGTGTCGAAGCCGCCATGCACAAGGGCAAGGAGGCCGCTTACGGCAAGCGTCCTTCCGTAAAGCGCAACGACAGCGACTCCTGGGAGCGTCTTCTCAAAGGCGCTGGCTACTCGAGCGAATCCGCCAATGCCAGCTTTGTCGGTCTCAACGGTCGCCACGCCGGTGGGCCCAAGCTCGTCCACCCTTCGGTTCGACTCTTGTTCTACATCATTGTCCCTACCGCCCTTTTCTGGATCCCTGGTATCGTTGCCCTACTCATCTACGATGCCCGTCCTGCAAATGACTTCAAGAAGCCTGCTGTGCTGGAAGTCGGCATCTTTTGGTGGTCCGTCTGGCTCAGCTCGATCTGGATCGGCTGGTGGGTCTGTCGCGTCGGTGCAATCCTCGTCCCCAGAATCCTGCGTTGGACCATCGGAAATGTGCATCAAAAACTGCGACGCTACTGCGAGTTCCTCGTCGCTACGGAAAAGTTCGTAGCATTCTTCATGTGGACCATTCTCCTCGTCGGTCTCTGGTTCGGAATCGTCATTGGCAACTTCCAGGGTGCTGACAAGTCGGCCATCGAGCAAGCCTCCTTGACGCCCACCAACTCGACCAGCACGAGTTCCACCACGATTGTCACACAAAAGAACGACAGCTCCTGGCCTTCCACCAGCGACTTTATGCTCTCCGGTTACCGTCTCTGGTTTGGTGTGTGCATCAGTGCTGCCATCTTGCTCGCCGAAAAGCTCGTCATCCAAGGCATCGCCTACAACTTCCACCGCGTCTCCTACGAGGACCGCATCTCGACGTCCAAGTTCAACATCAAGGTTCTTACTACGCTCTACGAGAACTCGAAGAACATTCAGCGCAAGGACACCTACATTGCTGCCGAGCACGAGGCGAAGCGCAAGGCGACCGGTCTTCACGTCGCACGTCAACGTCTTCGCAAGACCCGTGAGAAGGTGCGTGATGCAGCCTTGCAGAGCACGAGCGTGCTTGGAACCGTTGCAAGCGAGATTGCCGGCCAAGGCGTCTCGCAGCCCGGCAACCCTCGCTCGGTGGTCGCCGCATCGCTCAACTCCCGCAAGCAGACGCAGGCGCTAGCACGAAGGATCTGGTACAGCTTCTGCCCGCCTGGCAAGTCTGAGATCATTGTCGACGATATCGCCCACTGCTTTCCCGACGCCGTCACAGCCGAAGTCGCATTCGAGATTTTTGACCGTGACCTCAATGGGGACATCAACAAGGACGAGCTCGAGTCGGCCTGCATCGAGATTCATCGCGAACGACTCGCGCTGCAGCATTCGATGCGCGACGTCGACTCGGCTGTTGGACGACTCGACTCGATCTTCATGAGCGTCTACGTGCTCGTCTCAGCCATCATCATTGCAGCCATGCTTTCCATCGCCTTCAGCACGCTCGTCACCTCCTTCGGCACGCTTATACTCGGTCTCTCGTGGCTCATCGGCTCGACCGCTCAGGAGACGCTTGGCGCTATCATCTTCCTCTTCATCAAGCATCCCTACGACGTAGGGGATCGTGTCGACGTGGGCGATGATCAGTACATCGTCAAGGAGATGCGCCTGCTCACCACCGTCTTCAAAACGACCAACGGCAAGAATGTCATGATCAGCCACAACCAGCTTGCTACCAAGCCGATCGTCAATCTGCGCCGATCTGGATCCATCGAAGAGTCGTTCAAGTTCGAAGTAGCCTACGGCACTTCTTTTGCGCAGATCGAGGCGCTGCGAACCAAGATGGTACACTGGCTCGACGGCGAGAAGCGCGATTTCCTTCCCGGCTTGGACATCAATGTCGTCGACTTCCAGGAGCAAGGCAGTCTGTTGCTCTCCGCAGGCATCCGATACAAGTCCAATTGGCAGCAGGGTGGACTGAAGGCGCAGCGACGCAACCGATGGCTGTGCCAGCTCAAGGTGTTCTTGGCCGAGTGCAGGATCTACGGTCCCAAGGGCGATCCCAAGGAGACCTCGCTCAACCATGTCACCATGGTTCCATACCCAGCACCGGACTCGGTCAACACGTTCACGAGCGCCGAAGTGGGTGTGCAGAGCACGCTGGGCGAAGGCGATCGTGCATACAAGTTCATGGACACGGGCGCCACTTTCGGTGGTCATGATGTCTTTGACGAGGCTGGCAACGACGGCTCGATCGCTCCTGGTACTGCTCCGCCGTCGCGACCCATGTCGCCAGCCAACGCGCTCGAGCAGGGTCGTCTGCGAGGTCGAAGCCGTAGCCCTGGCGGCATGCCCGTTTCGTCTTCTGGCCCTGCTCCCCCTTACGCAATGTCTCGCCGAGGAGTGGGTCTCAGTGAGACGTACGAGCTGAAGGACCAGCCTCGACGCATCTAGACGGATTGTTGCGGACTAGCATAACTCCTTGGACTGCATTCTCTACATCTGCATATATATAACACCCATCATCTTCTCCCAGCATTCTCATCCTTCTCATCGTTGCATCGGTCTCGTTTTTCATCGCACATGGACTTTCAATCGACTTCATCAACCATTCAGGGAGTACAGGAAGCAGACGGCCGTGGGAAGGGCAATGAAAGCACCACCTCAGCGGAGCAAAAGACTGATGAGCCGCGTATCGGCATGAGGGAACGAAGGAGCTGCAGCAGTGAAGCAGCTGATTCCTGTGGGGTGGGAGACAGAATGGATGAGCCGAGAACAAAGGAAGGAAGATGCGCTGTTTCTGCCCCAGATCAGACCGGCTTGGCTGTCTTTTGGCTGTCGACCCAAGGAAAACTTGATAGGCGTGATGGACATGACCGTGAGCAAGGAGAATCGCCATTAAACGAGACGAGTCTGCCCTCTGAGCCGAGTTCCCACGGGACGTTGTCGCTTTGCCGGCTGCCGCCATTCTCTACTGCCCTGTTCCCATCGCCTTTGCCTTCAATGTCATTGCCTGCCGATCGGATCATGGCGCGTCGTCGTCCGAGGTTCAAGCCCAGCGCGGTGGCAAGACACATTCTACAACATCGACACGCTTGTGGAGCACCGCAGCATGCCACCTTGCATTGTCGCAAAACGACCGTGGCGATGCCGTCGCAGGCAAGTCGTGCGAAGCCAGAGGATGGTGCCTCTCTCTCGAATTTTCGACGAATTTGTTACGCCGTCTAGAACATCGCCCATGAATTTTGAATTTGACCCACCGGAGTCGCGGACCGGAGCAGCCGTCGGTGGAATGCACAGACTCGAGATGCCCCCGCGGGCGTTTGCTGCCTTTGCCCCCGCAGGCATGACATTCTCCAATCGCCCGTCCTGCCGCCGAAACGGCGACTTGTCCGTAGCATTGAAGATCTTCGGGAGAGACGGGAACTTATAAAGACCAAGGTGAGCCTTCTTCTTGCAACCTTTACAACCTCAACCTAGTCGCCATATCACCGAAACCTTCTTCCTGCTTGTCGACAGCCACCTTCCTCCGCAAGCCCCTTCAGGTCAACCTTCACATCAAACTCATACCGCAACACTCTCACCATGTCGGCCACGGACGCAGCCTGCGAAAAGACGCCCTCGTCATCATCGTTGGGTCTCTTCAACCTCTCTGGCAAGACTGCGCTGCTCACCGGTGGCACGCGCGGTATCGGCCAAGCGTGTGCCGTTGCGCTCGTTGAAGCTGGTGCTTCCGTCATCCTTGCTGTTCGCCCTGGCACCTCCTCCTCGGACTCTCACCCTGCCCTTCAGCCCCTGACTGCGGTGGCCAACCAGTCCTCGTCGCAAAAGCACTCGACCGTCGATGCGGACCTCTCGGACCTCTCGCAGGTCAAGACGCTGTTCGACCGTGCGCTCGCGCAGTCGCCCACCTCTGCCATCGACATTGTCGTCAACTGCGGTGGCATCCAGCGTCGTCATCCGTCGACCGACTTCCCCGAGTCCGACTGGGACGAGGTGCTCAACGTCAACCTCAAGGCTGTGTGGCTGCTGAGCCAGGCTGCGGGTCGTCACATGGTGCCCCGACGCTCCGGCAAGATCATCAACTTTGGCTCGCTGCTCACGTTCCAGGGTGGCCTCACCGTCCCCGCTTACGCATCGGCGAAGGGTGCAGTGGGTCAGCTGACCAAGGCGCTCAGCAACGAGTGGTCCAAGCACAACGTCCAGGTCAACGGCATCGCTCCCGGCTACATTGCAACGGATATGAACGAGAAGCTCCTCGCGGATCCTACGCGATTGAGACAGATCAGCGAGAGAATCCCAGCCGGCAGGTGGGGCGAGCCGGCCGATTTCAAGGGCCCTCTGCTCTTCTTGGCCAGTCAGGCGAGCCAGTATGTTAGTGGAGAGATGCTCGTCGTCGACGGCGGCTGGATGGGCCGTTGATCGTTGGACATTTGTAAGCTCCGAGCTCGACCGTACTATAGAAGTGATTCCTTGCACACCCGACAGCAAGTCGAAGACGTCCGTGGAGCTGTTTCCTAGCGAGGTGGTGAGAGAAGCTTATCGAAAAGCAGCATGTGTCGAACGAGGACGTTGAGAAGTACCTGAACCCGATGCAAGGCATACACTACGAGCCGGTCCGCGGGTCAATGCTTGAAAGGCGGGAAAATTAACCGGCTTCCAACGCGGGTTTCCGGCTCGCTTGGACCACTTTCTCGACACCTGAACCCTTGATTCCTCGCACAAGGGTCTTGTCGACACCACCACCATCCTCCCTCACCCTTCATTTGCTCCGACTAATCTCGCCCATCATGGCGGCCGTTGCCTCCTTCCAGTCTCTTCGGCTCGGCAGCTGCCTCCGCTCGAGGCCCTGCCCCCTTGCTCGCACCACAGGCATCCGCCACTTCAGCGCCTCCCATGCTCGCCGTTCTGACTCTCAGATGCGCATGCTCATCGTGGGCTCGCCCGGATCCGGAAAGGGCACGCAGTCCACCCGTCTTCTCAAGGAATACTCCTTCTCCGTGCTCTCAGCAGGCGACGTTCTGCGCTCTCACATCTCGCGCCGCACCGAGATCGGGCAGCGCGCTGACGCAGTCATCAAGCAAGGCGGGCTTATGCCGGATGCGGTCATGATGGATCTCATCGGTTCGGAAGTCAAGACGCTGGCGGATAGCGACTGGTTGCTCGACGGCTTCCCACGTACACTCGGACAGGCAGAGATGCTCGACAGCATGCTCGAGCAGAGCGGTAAAGCGTTGCGGCTGGTCATCAACCTCGACGTGCCAGAAGATGTGATCCTGGATCGAATCCTGCAGCGATGGACCCATCTGCCGTCAGGGAGAGTGTACAATCTCTCGTACAACCCGCCAAAAGTGGAGGGCAAGGACGATGTGACTGGAGAACCGCTGTCGAAGCGAGAAGACGACAATGTAGAGACGTTTGGGAAGCGATTGAAGTCGTTCCATGCGCAGACGGAACCCATGTTGGAGCACTACAGGAAGAAGTCCGGGAGCATCGTTGATGTCGACTGTCGTAGCAACACGAATCCGGAAGAGACAGCCAAAGGCGATGCGCTCTTCGTCAACCTCAAGGGAGATACGTCGAACCAGATCTGGCCGCATCTGCTCAAAGTCGTCCAGAGCAGGTTTCCCCATCTCAAATCAGCCACTTAGATGCTCAAAAAGATATCATATTCGTACAAGTACAGGTGTTCACTCGCTCGACTCTTGAGCCTGCCGTTGTGGCTCGCTCGATAGCGACAGCGTCCTCGATCTTTGCAGCTGCACCTGCTTGAACCCCTCCACGCGATCCTTCAGACCCTGAAAGCCTTCTAAAAGCGTCCGAAGTTGATGCTCGAACTCCAGATTCGCCACGACGAGCTTGGCCACCTTGTCGTGCTCTGGGTTGGCCGTTTTCCGTATCGCCGCGTGCAGGTTCTGAAGTGCTGTTTCCGGATCCAGCCTCTCGCTCGTCGCGGAGGTGGAGGAGGGCGGTTGGCGCGAGTTGTAGTAGTGCCGCAGCGCAGGAATGTCCGCCATGGCTTGCGAGATGGATGTCTCGTGCAGATGGAGGACTTGGACGGAATGTTGAAAGGTTTGTAACGCGGCTAGGGCGAGCTTTTGGGGTGTGGAGACGAGCGCATCTTCCATGCGAGCGGCGGCGTGCGGCGGCAGCAGGAGGTGCGGATGCGAGAGGTCGTCCATGGAACTTGGCTCGTCGATGCGTGGCAAGGCAGACTCGTGCATGGCCTCAGGCGATCCGCTTCGAGCTGCTCCTTCGATGCATGCCTCCATGCTCTTTCTCGCCGCCGTCGCAGCCTCGGCAATGTCATTGGGTAGGCTGTGTTGAGCAAGATCGCCTTCGCTCTTGCGCTGCAGCTGGCGTGGTCGACTGCGGCGTCGTGCACGTGTTGCTTTCGCTTTCTTGCCAAGGTCAGCTGTAGCGGTCGCTTCCAGATCCTCCTCCTCGTCCTCACTCCGTCGCTGCTCCTCCTCCTTGCGCTTCCGCGACCGCAACCGCCTCTTGCGCGCCCTCGCCTCTGCTCTGGTGAACAGTCTCGACGTCGACTTCGTCAGAACCCTGTGAAAGACGCTTCCAAAGGCATCCTGCACCACCGCCAGTAGGATCGTCAGTACCGCCACGCCCATCAGTCCCCAAATGACAAAGATCGCCCTACCGAGCTGCGTCGCCGGGTGATAGTCCCCGTACCCGATCGTGATCATCGCAATGAAGCAGAACCACAGTGCGCCGCCGTAGCTCCAACGCTCGGCGTAGGTGAAGGCGATGGCGCCGAGCAGCCAGAAGGCGATGGTGACCGAAGCGGCGAGGGCGAGCTTCATGCGTGCCGAACTGATGGCTTCGCGGCGGGCGTGTTCTTCGAAATGGCGAAAGTCTTCTTCTGTGCGCCGTTTTGCGGTGAGGAGGTGCTGTTGGAGCAGGCTGATCTCGCGTTGGAGGGCGGGGTCGCCGGCGGTCGCCGGACCCGGTTCGGTGTCCTTTTCGATGACGGCGGCATTGGAGGAAGAGGATGCAGCGCTAGTGTCGGCCGACGAATCGGTTCCTTTCCCAGCACCACCAGCGACCTGCGCCTCCATCCTCGCTAGCGCTTGGGCAAAGTCGTTCCCTTCGTCCTCCCCTTTCTGACCTGTCGTGGTGTGGACCGTGGTGGGTCCAAAAGTGAATGTGCGAGGCATGATCTTTCTGAGCGCACGATCCTGACGTTTCATCTCCTGATGTGCCGCTTTGCGGTCTGCAATACGTCGCCTCCTCTCTTTGCTCCGCGCCATGAGGGCCGCCTGGAACGTCTCCAGCATCGTGTTTCGCGCCGACGACACCACGAGCGCAACCAGCACGATACCTGTGGGCGCATACAGGATCACTAGCACCTTGCCTCCCGGACTTGGGGGCACGACATCTCCAAAGCCTACCGTCAGGATCGTCGCCGTGCTAAAGTAGAGCGCGGTGATGAAGTCGATCTGGATGACGTAGACAAAGATGAGGCTGCCGAGAGACAGGTAGAGCAGCAAGCCCATGCCTGCGAGCACCAACCCCTTTTGCAGCTGCGTCAGCCCGGAGCCTGCATGTCGGAAGTCCCTGGTGCGCACAAAGTCGGCGACGAGACTGATGGTCACCAACGTGCTCGTGATGGTCGACGCACACACCATCCAGTAGGCCGCGCTGAGCGAGAGACCGTCCTTCTTCGGCCCGTAGATGCCACCAAACGTTGCGAGGGCGACGACGTTGATCAGATCGTGCAAGACGAAACCGGTGATGGCGAGGGCGATACTTTGGCGCGGTCGGAGAATTTCGAGAAAGCGCATGACGATAGCTGCGTTGCCGACCACGGCAGCCGAGAGCGAGATGGCGAGGCCAACGGTGAGGATGGGCGGGTTGTCGATAAAGCGTTCTACGATGCCATTCGAGTCGATCTTAGCATACCATTTTGAGGTCAAGCCTGGCACTTCAAGGACGATGGAGAAGGGTGCGAGAAGCCCCGAGAAGATGGGTGTCTTGCGCACCCGCCACGCATGTCCCAGCTTCGACTCGCCTTGGGAGTTGTGGTCGTCGTGCCGCGTGGTCAGGGACGAGCTGAAAGGCGGTGCATCATTGACACTGAGGAACGTCTGCAGGGTGTTCGAGTGAGGCAAACCGCTGCTGGTGTAGGTGGGCGGGTGATGCGATTCGTCCGGCGCAGACGGAGGCTTGCGACGCCGGAAGGGCGAACGTCCTCGCTCCCTGTTAGCGTCGTGGGAGACCTGCAGCGACTTGATTGGTGGAAGGTGCGATGTGATGTGGGTCGGCTGGAGCGAGGCTGCACTAGGTAGCATTGCAGGCCCCTCGGAAGCCGTTGCTCTATCTGCAGCGGTGGCAATGTCGGTGTTGCTCATGCTGGGCAATACTGAAGTGTGGCTGTATGCTATGTCTATGTCATTCTAGCTGTTGATCAGTCGGCGAAGAGCAGGGACAATGCGCGCTGCTTGCTGTGTTCTGGCAGTCGATCGTGATGATAGCGGCGGATGCATCGCTGAGGTGTGCCGAGTCGACGATGATGGGGCTCTTGGCGGTGGTCGGTCAAGGTGATTGTGATGAGGACAGAGGAGATAAGCTGAGATGGTCCACGGCCCGGCGGGAAAAGCGTGCGGAAATTTCAGCCGGCGCGGCATGCAGGGTCTCACCGCTGCGTCCAACACGTGCATGCGGCAAGCCAACAGCGCTGACAGCTGCAAGGGTGAAACATGATTCGTCACTAGGACGACGGTGAGATGCTCCTACCTTCGTGCGGTCACAGCGGTGTCATCAACTTCTGCCCGAAAAGCAGCACAACGCAGCAGTAGAAGCTGCCAGGTGGACACAGGTGGGACGAAGGGCGTAGATTGAAGCGTTTGCATCTCAACCAACCCACCGGCGCAATGGCGGTGGGTTTTGTTTGCCTCGACTTGGACACTGCACAAACACCAGCCAAGCGGTATCAGTGAGAACGAATGACATGCAGAGCGGAGGATGGTCGGTGAGCTCGGGGACATCCTGCATTGGCCTCAGCTGCTTGTGGTACAATGCTTCAAGTCGTACGTAAGTGGGCCTCCTCGGGTCGCTCTCCCTGCCCTGCCGAGTGCATAAACCTCTCTTTCGAATCCGTCGTCCTACTATCACCAGGTTCAAGCTTATGTCACTGCATCGTCAACATGCGCTTCACTACAATCTTTCTCATCGTCACTGCGTTGACCTTTGCGCTCTCGACTCCGACTCCGCGCGGACACGCCTCCTCGCTTCATCTCAAGTCTCGACAGCTGGAAGAAGAGCTCATCCAAGGCGCCGAAGACAGCATCGAGCTTTTCGACTATCCACGCGTCCACGATACGACGGAGCAGATCCATGAACGAACGCAGAACGTCAATGAATCCAAGATCATAGCTGCCGTGAGGCGGAAGGAAGTAAGGCAGCGCATGCCGGCATCGTACAGCCCGTAGTTCGCAGCAGAGGGAGGGGGATGACATAGCAGGGTGGCATTATGGGGTAGGGAGATGGATGTGGGCGTCGTCTGCGGTCGAAGCATTGCAACGAGGGTAAGGGGGAGTGTCCTAGCCACTTACCGGTCGTTTCCCATCCTTGCAGTCGGTTGTTGTTGATCCAAAATACAGTGACTCTGCTCGACGTGTCCTGCTACTAAGCTACCACCAGCGTATGAGGACGGCGCTGCGTTGTCGAGCGGCAACAATCGCAGCTGCATGAAGTCAGTGGGCTTATGAATTGATCATCGAAGATGCAATGAGGTCTTTTGGGGCTAAGTCTGATCTCATTTGTTTCCTTCTCGCTCGAGACTTTACTTGCCCCTGAGATGTCTAGCTCATCGTCCTTCGTAGAGCTCGGCTCAGAGTGGGCTAACAGTCCTCATGCCACGTCTTCCTTGCACTTTTTCCTCCCGGCAGTCCTTCCGTTCCTTCCGCTCCTCTCGTCGAACCGTTTTTGTGACATCATGCGGTCTACATCAACAATTCTCATTATCGCTCTCCTCGCACTCTCGCTCTTGCAATCAGCGTTGGCAACGGTGATCGAAGATCCGCTGCTGGCGCAAGCAAACAGTTTTGGTTGGCTTGCGATTCGCAACTTTACCTACTGCCTCTCGACCTCGCCCGATCCGCCCAACAAGCCCCGAGGCATCCAGCCCAAGCGCGACATGTACACACCGGTAGACCGAGCATCGAGTGGCATGGGCGACAGCGTCGTTGTGCTGTACCATCCCGAGGAGACGAGTCGGCCGATTGCATGGTGCAATACTCTCGTGGCATTTCAGAGCATGCCACATGTCAGGTGCCATGGTGCTCTGCCGACGTGTCAGCGGTGCGATGCGGTGCGTAGCCCGACCGACCGGGGTGCTAGCTGGGGACAGGAGGTCAGAGACGGTGCGAGCAGGGCGCCGAGTGGCAAGCTAGGACAGTCGACACGAGTGAAGTCGAACTCGTACGACAGTCCAACGTTACAGCGCAGAACCGACGATGCTCTCCAGGCTCTGCCGGGACAGTCCTACTCAGGGCCACGGCTGACACCTCGACCCTTCGGCAGCACCGTCGTTCACAACGACCTCGCCTCGGACGCAGAACTCGAAGCCGCCATCTCGGAATTCCAAGACTTTTGCGAGAACAAGCTCACCCTCGCCGTCCGCGCCGACTGTCCTCTTCACGTCGTCAGGAGCTGGTACGACGAGCCACCGTTTGACTTGCATCGCTTCTGCATGGCGCTGACGGTGCCGCAAGGGTACAGTTCGCAAATGATAGGTGGTCGACTCAACCATGCCGCAGAGGGTGATACATTAGACGGCACAGGAACAGACACAGGGAGACTGGACGGGAGTGATGATCCTCGCAATGCAGGTGAGGCTGAAGATGTTGCGGGTGGGACTGGTGCCAACAGCGCATACGATACAGGTGCTGACGATAAGGAGGAGACGACCACGTCAACAGCTGCGCGGTCGCAGCCGCTATGGAAGAAGGACGGAGGCTTGCAGTGAGTAGAGCAGAGGGTCGATATGGCGACGCAGATCTGACGACTGGCAAGCGGGCCCCATTACCCTGTTTTGTGCAACCGAACTTCGAACAATTTCGTGGCCGCATTTTTGGTGCTGATTTTCCCGAAAGGAGAATTCTTTCGCTTGAAATTCGCAGCCTCTGCATAGACCCGTTGCTACGACTGCAGTGCTCGACGAGATTGCCTGGCTGGGGTGATGGCCAAGTCGGCGTGTTTCCGTCTCATGTCGTGTAGGAGGGTGACGTGCTGCAAGTCATAGAGTACGGTGATCTTCGGGCGGCATGAAATCAAAGCCAAGCGAGGCGATGCACGATGCACGCCAAGCAACACAATAAATCGCAACGCCGAGCTGTCACGCTTGGATTTTGCGTCTCCGCCCGCCGCACTATGCGCCTTTGTCCGTAGGACAATGGATTGGCTGTGCTTTCGGATCTGCGATCTGCTTGCTCTCCCTCTGATCGCATTGCCGAGACGAAGCCGATCACTTGGATCGCCATAAAGGAGGCTGAGTCAAGGCTCGGATCAGCCCGAAAGAAGAAAGACGTAACGCGCTTCGGCCTCGCTTATGCACTTTGGGACGACTTGGCTTGGTGGCTGCTGTTCCTGCTGCTCGCCAGCGAGGGCAACTGCGCATGCACAAACCCTGGCGTCCCTGATCGGAAGATTCTCCAAACGACAAAAAAGGGTTCGCCAAGCAAAGACCATCACAGACCAACTCGGGATCGCCGCCTTGCAACCATGTGATGACGATAAGCCATTCGGGTTCATTGCTTCTTGGCGTTCATCATCGGTCTCTGTTGTGCGATGCGCAGAGCGGCTATCTGCCCGAGTGACTGGATTCTCATTGTCTGCCCGCGCAGAACCTCTCTACCACAATGAAAGCGTCAAACAAACATTCGAGAACAGGATAGCCGCTCTGCTCAGCCGAGCTGGCCGGATCCTCATCAGCACCCACAAGATCGGATCCTTGATCCTGCCCCTTTCCTTCGTGCTCTCCTTGATCAGCGACCACCACCACTACATCCGACACGTCTCACCATTACGGCTCGACAGCTCGCGCGAGCGTGGCGACGATCATGAAGACATTCGATCCCTCCTCCTCGTCATCAGCGTTGGTGCTCGGCCTGGTAGCAGCATCACTCGCCAGCATCCCTTCGGCCAACGCAGACATCACACAGCGCCCCTCCAACCTGCATCGACGTCAAGCCGCCTCACGAGCCCGTGGCAACACGGCAGATCAGATCGCCATCTACCAGCAAGCATTCACCGACCCCGTCGGCGCCGCCCAAGCCGCCAACGCGCTTCCTTTCATCGCCAACCAGTTCGCCACGGGCTCCTTGCCCGAGTACAACCTGGCCGAAGATGCTGCACAGCTGCCATGGAACACCAACGTGCCGTTTGTTCCCGAAGCTGCTGTCGATGGAAGCGACGCCGGTGGGTGGCAGGCTCTGCCCACCATCGACGGCATGACGTTGAACCGCACCTTTGCCGTACGACCCGGTGTGACGATGCCGTTCTACCAGTCGTCCGGCTACGATAGCAACAGAGTGAAGCGCGCCGTGATGATCATGCCGGGCAAGCCGAGAGACTGCTGGAAGTACACCTCGCTGGTTCAGAACGCCCTCGAAGTATACATTACCAACCCTGCGAGCGCGGGCAGCAACGCTGATGGGTCTTCCTCGGGTGGCGAGAGAACCAGCAAAGACGACGTACTCATCCTCGGACCGTGCTGGATGAACACCAACGACCGTGAAGCCGGAGCGATCCAGGATGGCGAGCTGTACTGGTACCGCGGGCAGTGGCAGTCGGGCATGGCATCGCGTGGTCCCGGCGACACGGCGCTCTCCTCCTACCAGGTGATGGACTCATTCATGGACACGCTGTTCGACAAGTCGCAGTTCCCCGCGCTCGAAACCGTCGTCGTCGCAGGTCACTCGCTCGGCGCGCAGATGGCTCAGCGCTATGCCGTCGCCAAACAACCTGCAAGCTACGACACCAACATCAGCTTCTGGATCGGCAACCCTGGCTCGTACGCCTGGCTCTCCCCGTCGCGACCCAATCAGAACAACGCCAGCTGCGCCGACGAGTACGACGACTGGCCTCACGGTCTCAGCGGTACCGGTCTACCCCCGTACGCACGCGAACGCGTCCGAGACGACAAGCAGCAGATCGTCAACGCCTTCCTCTCGCGCAACGTCCACTACAGTCTCGGGCTCCTCGACAATGGACGTGGTGACACATCGTGCCCCGGATCCTACCAGGGAGCTAACCACCTCGAACGCGGGGCTCACTTTGTTGAGGCTGTTGCCGATCTGGCTGGAGGAAGACTGCCAAGGACGCACTCGGCCAACTTCATGCCCAACGTCTCGCACAACGACTACTCGATGCTGAGCTACAACATCTCGCTCTTCAGGCTGTTTGAGGAGACGCCTGTCGGTGCGGTGGGCAGCTCGTCGAACATGAACGGCGGAGCAAGGGGCAATTCGACCACGAATGCGCAGGGGAACAGCGGCAACACTTCTCCAGCGTCGTCATATAAGGCAGGCGGATTGGCTGCTGGCGCAGTCGCTGCCCTTGCCTTTGGGATGAGCTTGCTTTGAGGACAGATTCTTGCTGGTCAAGAACTGCGATTGTTTCACTTTGCTTCATCGTAGAGTGATTGCATGGACATTCTACAATGCTGGTCTGGGTGAATGACGTCCCAGTTGACATGATTTGACATTGTCCCATCACGGCGGGGGATCCCTAGTGTTGACAGGCATAGTACACCGCATTGAGGTTGGCGCGAGAAAGCTCACTTGAGGGTGGGCGCGATCTTGAACGCGCCCTTGATGAACACCGTGATGATATATGCGATGCCGAACTGGAACACGGCGGTCCTCGCAAAGCTGTTGGCGTAACCGGTCGTCTTGAGGTAGAGCACGCTGTAGATGGCCCTTGACGCCAGCCAGCCAACGACGAACCTGTTGATGGTGTTGACATCGAGACCCGTGTAGTTGGCCCAGATGACCGTCGCCACGAAGAGGGGCACGTTCTCGAAGCCGTTCGCCTGGCAAGACTGTCCACGGAGGATGGTGAGCTCGAGCGGCGAGAGCTTTTCTTTCTGACCCTTGGCGATCAGGGACTGGACCCAGAAGCGAGGGTTGACGTTCGACCATCCACCCTGAACCTTGTTCGATTCAGCCAGGTAGATCGTGTACCAATGAGGCAGCGCCGCGATGAGCAGGGAAAGGGGGACCGAGGTCCACGAGAGGTTGTAGAAGATATCCTTGTTGCCCGTCGCCGAAGCGACCAGGTCGCGCACGAAGGGGAGGGAGTAGATCGCAGCCGACATATTGAAGCTTGTTGCGAAAGTGTTTGGGGGTAAGCGGTGAGGAAGATGGGAAGGTGATGGATGGACGAGGATGTCTTATACCAAGCAGTGGAGGATGATTGCGGCTGCTGAAAGTGGGGATGCGGCTGCTTGGCACGGATTCTAGAAATTGAGCCTATTTCACGCGATGGTTTTGGATCTGATTCCGGCTCGTGCGTCATGGCTTCCACGACCCCGCAGCGAAACAAGGGTCGAGTTACCGCATTCTGCATTAATGGGCCGGAAAGATTGTCGATGAGAAGCACGAGCTTCATTGTCCTCACTTTGTCTGGACCGCACGTCCGTTTTGGTGCGCTCACACTACCTACTTGCCGATGCATTGCTATTGGTACTGCTTCGTTGCTACAAGACATGCTGATCATCGATAGGCGGTGAAAGCCAGAAACTTTAGTACGAGAGCGACTTCTCCAGAATCCGGGCGAGGTGCTCGTGGCCATCGCTGCCCATCACATCGCCGATACCGGGTGCCAGATCCAGAACCCTCCTCTGCGGAATGGTACCCTTGACGAGCGCCGAGACGTGTTCCTGCTTGTACCCGATCTTCTCCAGACCCCTTGGCACGCCCAATTCAGCCAAGAACCTGGCAATCCTGTCGTACACCAGAGCGCCGACCTCTGCGTCTGGCAGGCGAGAGATATCGGTGCTCTCGCTCCCGTTCTGGTAGCCGTCGAAGATGGCAGCGACCTCGCGGTGACGGTCTGGCGCGGAAGGGGCGGTGAACTCGAACACCGCTGGTCCCGTCAGCGCAACGGAGACACCGTGGGGCACGATAGGATGGTCCACCTCGTACCCAGGGTGCTGGTACTTGCCGAACTTCTTGTTGAGACCAGAGATCGGGTACGACATGCCGTGGCAGAGATGCACACCGGCATTGCCGAAGCCGATACCGGCGAAAGTGGCAGCGAGTAGCATCTGACCGCGCGCCTCGGTGTCAGTGCGATCGCGGGCGACTCTGGGAAGGTACTTGACCGTCTGCTTGAGCGCCCAGAGGGAGAAGACGTCCGAGATGGGGTTGCGGCCCTGGTAAGCGGGGCGCTGCAGCGGGTTGGCCGGGCGGGGGGTGCGCTCTGTGTATGGGATAGCAGTGTAGCTCTCGAGCGCGTGGAAGAGCACGTCGAGACCAGCAGAGACGTGGACAGCGGTAGGGCAAGTCTCGGTGTTGAGCGGGTCGACAATACCGAGTAGTGGGCGAAGTGCACGCGACGCGATACCCGTCTTGGACTCCGTGGCGGTGTGGTCAAAGATGGCTGTTCCCGTCGTCTCGGATCCAGTGCCGGCGGTGGTGGGCACACACAGCAGCGGACGCAGCACCTTGTCAATGGGCGTGCCGCGTCCGATGGGCGCATTGACGAACTCCAAGAGATCCGCCTCAGGGTAACACGTGAATAGGTTGGCCACCTTGCACGTGTCCATGACACTTCCACCACCCACCGCGAGGAAGTGCGAAAAGTCGTTCTCGCGTGCAAACTTGATCGCCTCGCCCCACGAGTACTCATTCGGCTCCACGCGCACCTTGTCGAAGATCTCGTACTTGACGCCGGCCTTTTCGAGACCTTCGATGGACTGCTTCATTGCGGTGAGGTTGCGCACGGTTGCATCAGTGAAAACGCCCACCTTGCGCGCCTTCATGTTGGCGAAATCCATGCCGACCTCGTTAGTGACACCTTCGCCGAAGCGGACGTTGGAGGCAGCGAGCTCGAATGCATATTCCTTCTGGACTAGATTGTCGACGGGCGTAGCATAACCACGGGCGTTGGCACCGGGCTGCGCGTTGTGCTTGCTAATCATGTTGAGACCGGCACGGGCCATGTTGGCTCCGCCGCGGGCGACCGAGCATCCGTGACAAGGGCAACCGGCCACATGCGAGAGACGCATGAGGTTGGCGATGCTGCTGCGACTGGCGGGTCCTGGTTTTGGCATGTTGGACGATGGTTCGTGGGATGGTGGTGGTGGGCAGAAAGCAACGTCAAAGAGGCGCGCACGGTGTTTGGATGTGTGCGGGGTTCGCGCTCAACCGGCTGTCTGCGCCGAGTTACCGAGCTGTCTGGTGACCCTTTTGGAAATTGCTTACTCTCGTCGAATGGCGCTTGCCGCGCTTCCGAATTTGCGGGGAAAGCGGATTTTCTGTTGGTCGAGATTTCCTTCTCGTCCGCCTCATTCAGGCACACACGACATCGAGTTCAAGACTACGCACTTCAGTGTCCGGCTATGCACAGCAACACAATGGCCATGGGCCGCTCAGAACGTTCTTGATTTTAGCAAAGTAACATATCATGAGAAGCAGACATTGCTGCAGGTTTCTAGGTTCGGTGCCCACATGAGTCAATCTAAAGCACGAAGAATGGACTTTGAGTGACGGGAGCGTGACATGTAAGCGATGTCAGGGGCGGACGCCATATCAAGGAAGTCATCTCGTTGACCTCCACCGAACAAGTTCAAGGCGCTGGAGAGGCCAGAGATCGCGGCCGATACCCTGGTGGACGGCATAGAGGAGCAGAAGAAGAAGACGGACCGAGAGCAGCGGTTGAAGCTGCTGCAACGAGGAGAAGGGGCGGGGAGCGATTACCCACGTTGGGCTTCGCGTGCCCTACGTGCCGATGAAGGTCGGAAAGGAGGAGACAGTCAAGATGCTGATGGACGAGATGACTTGGCTGGGGCTCTAATCGATGTCGGTGGTTCAGCGCCCCAATTACAACTGCCGGCCCACGCTCAAGATCGATGGAAGGCAGGTCCTCCTCTCCAAGCATCTGCGCCCGACAAGCAGCGCCAAAGTGGTCAACCACGTCAACGGCGACATCTTGGAACACAGAATGGTCAACCTTGAGGTCAAGGATCGCGCTGCGAATTCGCAGGACACGCACTCGGAGTCCAGAGGCTTCCTCGGTGTGTACGCGACAGCAGTAGGTGGGTAAATTGTCGGTATCGAGGTCAAGGGGGAGGTACGACAGGCCACATTAAATTCCGCGCCTAGAAGGATCTGGAGGGAGCCCTAGTGCTTCGCGACCTCGCTGCTAAACGACCTCGCTGCGATCAAGCAGCATGAAGCTACTGCCATGGTCAACTTCATGACCGCAAGAATGAGTACGGAAGGACGGACACGGTCGAGGAATTTCTGGCGAGCGAAAAAAAAAAAAACCAAAAGGCAAAAAGAATAAAAAAATTAAATCACACTTTGGGTTACACAAACTCACGAGATCGCTCTGCTAATACTGAAACCTGAGGGTCACACCATATGATACATGCCCAAACACGTTTCCCTCGGGCGACGATGAGACTAGTAGCGAAGTGGTCAAACGCGAGAGATTTAAGTGTTAGGTCTTGGCTCGTTTGCCGGGATGTGGTGATGGCTCGCTCAGTGTGATTAATGCCAGATCCTTACCTATTCCTCTTCCTTAGGGTTCGTGGGTTCGAACCCCACCTAGTCTATTCTTTTCGGCTTTTTTAACACCTTATGTACCCTGTCCTCACTTCGGACCTTGCTCCGATTTGTTTCAAAGGACTTGAGCGCCTCACAAGGGTTGTACGACCCTCAAGCAGGATTTTAAGTTAGCCGAAAAGGGTCGCACAAGTGGGCAAGGCCCTCGTGGTCTGAGCCGGAATTTCGTTTTTCTATTTTATTCCTCTCGGAATTTCGGTGTTTGGAGCCCGCTGATTTCCCTTCCACTCATCTTGCGGGGTTTGAAGGAGACCCCTGTCCGTTCAACCATCGACTTGGTGTTGGTCTCTTGTCTCGGTCTTGCAGACGCAAACCTTCCTAGCTTCGCCGTACATTCGTCAAGCACACGTGCAATGGTGCGAGTGATCTCGCTTGGCTCATCCTTCGCTGCAGGGCCCGGCATCGACCCTCAAAGCAACCTCGATGCAGGGCGAAGCTTCAACAACTACCCCAACCTCTTCGCGCGCAAGCTCGGCCTCGATCCTACCGATACCTCTCAGTTTCTCGACCTGACTGTTTCAGGCGCGACGCTGCTCAACGTCAACACGGACCCCCAGACTGCGGGTAATACGACGTTTCCGCCTCAGCTCGATTCCCTTCCTCCTGTGCAAGATGGCGATGACGGCAGCGACCTGGTCATCACCATCACGGGCGGTGGCAACGACATGTTCTACATCGGCAGCATGTTCGCCTGGACGCTCAAGCACACGCTGTGGGGCAAGCTGGTCACATGGCTGCTGATGAGGCGGGAAGAACGCGAGTGGCTCGAGCAACCAACAGTCGCGACGCCGGAGCAGGTCAGCCAGCGCTTCGCGTTTCTTCTCGACAGCCTCAGACAAAGGTACCCCAAAGCAAAGATCTACCTCGTTGAGTACTTCGCCATGATTGGCCCCGACACTGTTGCTGGGAAAGACGTTGGCTGGGATCAACAGCAGATACAGCGGTATGAGGAGACGGCGGAACTGCTGCAGAAGCTATACAAACAGGCAGCGGGGGATCGACGCGGGGTTCATGTCGTTCCGTTGGCAGAGGTGTCGAAGAAGCACGCACTGGGGTCGCCGGAGCCGTGGGTGTCGGATGGCTCGCTCTTGAACTTCTACAGGCACGGGGCATACCATCCTAACCTCAGAGGGATGCAGGCGGCAAGCGAGATCCTTTTGGACTTCCACGAGAAGCTGCAGTCGCAAGATAAGTGTCCATGAAGGCATCGTCCTCGTTCTCAGGCCACGCAGGTGAAATATAACAGTGGCCAAAAAATTGACCGGCAGTCGGAGCAAGGATTTACGCGACGCCGGTCAAGGGCGACGTGGGGAAACTTGCACGGTCTGGCTCGTGCACCTGGACGCCGCTTAATCCGGTTAAGCATCTCAGGCTATCATTCCAGCACGAAACCATTGCGCTTGGTCACCGACCAGAACCCCGCATTATGTGCCACTCGCTTGGGAAAACCAACGCTTGTTCGACTTCGCCGTGCCAGCAGTAGGCGCAGTCGTATCAATAAGTTGACCGTTTGTCTGTGTCGAGTCGGATGAATCTCTTCGAACGCCGTCATCTTGGCTCCTCTTATGATCCCTCTCGTCCTTCCTTCCCACTCTCATCCTCTTGTCATTTCTGTAATAAGAAAACGCAGCCATGCCGTCGTACACACCGCCGCGTTCCTCCCAGCCGCCCACAGGCGTGCCTTTCGAGCTCTCGCTCTCGACTCACCCCTCCACGCCGCACCACCGCTCTTCGCTCACGCCTGTCTCGTTTCTGCTCCGTGCTGCGCTTATCACGCCGCGCAAGCTCGCCATCGACCATCCCGAGCGCGGCTATGGTTTCACGTACGAGCAGTGGGCAACGCGCTGCCTCTCGCTCGCCTTCGCCATCCTCAGCGTGCCTGGGTTCAAGGCTGGCGATCGGGTAGCGGTCATCTCGCCCAACGCACCCTTGATTGCCGACGCTCACTGGGGTATTCCCGCCGTCGGAGGCATCATTACGCCCATCAACATCAGGAACACCCCCAAAGAGGTTGCCTACGTGCTCGAGCACTCGGGTAGCACAATCATCCTGTGCGATCACGAGTTCACCCACCTCCTCCCCGAGGCGAACGGCAAGGTCAAGGTGGTGGTCAGCAAAGACTCGGGTGGTCAAGACAAGAACGATGAGTACGAACACTTCCTCGATCAGGGCTGGCAGGCGTGGCAGCGAGCACAGCAGGCGGAGCTCGACAAGTTCAAGTCGCGCACCAAGCCGTCGGCGGAGCCCAAGACGGGCTGGAAGCTGCTCAACGCTCCTCTGGACGAAGAGGCGGCCATCGCCCTCTGCTACACTTCTGGTACCACCGGTCGACCCAAAGGCGTCTTGACGAACCATCGTGGTGCCTATTTGTCGGCGATCAGCAACGCTTTCGAAGCAAACATCACTGCCGACTCGCGCTACCTCTGGGTTCTTCCCATGTTCCATGCATGCGGCTGGACGTTCCCTTGGGCGGTCACCGCCGCGCTCGGCACTCATCACACCATTCGCAAAGTCGACAACACTGTCATCTGGGATGCGCTGCGTAACCACGGCGTGACGCACTACTGCGGCGCGCCGACCGTTCAGATTGGCCTGGTGAACCACCCCGACGCCAAGAAGCTCGATCACAAGGTCAATGTGGCCGTTGCAGCCAGTGCTCCGACTGCCAACCTGCTGGCCAAGATGGAGGGTCTCAACCTGCATCCCGTGCACGTTTACGGTCTCACCGAGACGTACGGTCCGTTCACACGTCGATACTTCGAGCCCGAGTGGGCAAAATTGGACGTCGACGCTCGCGCGCGCATGATGGCTCGCCAAGGTCACGCATACTTGACCTCAGACGAGGTGCGAGTGGTGCGCACTGACTCATCTACCACGTCGACCGAGGACCTCATCGATGTCGAGCGCAACGGCAAGGAAACAGGCGAGATTGTCATTCGCGGTAACATGACCATGCTCGGCTACTACAACGACCCCTCTGCCACCTCGAAAGCCGTCATGAAGGGGTGGTTCCACACAGGCGACCTGGCGGTCCGACACCCAGGCGGCGAGATCCAGATCCTCGATCGCGGAAAGGACATCATCATCTCCGGCGGCGAAAACATCTCGTCCCTCATGGTGGAACAGGAGCTCGCGGCACATGGCGATGTGCTGGAATGCTGCGTCATCGCAAGAGCGCACGAGAAGTGGGGCGAACGAGGCCACGCTTTCGTCGTCCTCACAGAGCAGTCCAAGGGTAAGAAAGGAAAGGAATTCATCGAGGAGCTCAGGAAACACTGTAAAGGAAGGATGTCAGGTTTCGCCGTACCAGAGTGGTTCGAGATCGTAGAGGAGCTGCCCAAGACAAGCACGGGCAAGGTGCAGAAGAACGTGCTCAGGGCGCGATTTGCTAGCAAGCTGTAATGACCCATGTAGGGAGATGATTAATGTATTGATAGAGACGTATTTGAAATGCCGTGACCTGGGGAGCGCTCGAGGAGACTCAGCGATGCTGCTGGAAAGCGGGATACATCACATTCTTGAGCAGCTCTGGTGCCTCGTGCGGTAGGAACATGCCACCTAGCAGCGCGTATGTGAGCCTGGCCTCGCCGTACGACTCTGGCTTGTTGGACATCATGGCCTCATGCGGCACCCAAAAGATCGAGCCTTTGCTTGACCCTCGCAGATGTGTGCCACTGTAACATTTCGCGGTGCATCGCAAACGCAAGCTGACGTCCCTGTCTCCAACTTCACGCAACCCAAGCGTCGCGCCGCAAACCTTTCCCAGCGTCGAGACAGACTCGATTATCATCATAGATCAGTCAAAATGGATTGCTCTCGAGGGTCACACTTCACATTAGATCAGCTCGTCAATAAGCATGCCAAAGAAGGCCAGCGAGAGCCGGCTGAATGACCCCGTCTGTGCTGAGAGTTAAGGAGGCGCTCTTGGGTAAGAACATGCCGCCCAAGAGCCCCAGACTTGCCACTCCACCCTTGTCGAGGTCCGCCAGTGCTTCGTGGAACACCCAAAAGTCAGCTCTATGCGCGATTAGCGGGCTGTCTGCGTTTGACGGATGTACCTGCGTCATCATGATGTGCCTCTCTGCTCCGTCACCTGCACTCGGCAGCGTCAGTTTCCAAATGGTTGGCTGTCGGCTTCGATGCTGCTGCACCGCGTTCACGACTTGAAAACGCAGCCGTTGCCGTATGTTTGCCGACATACGAAGTTCTTGCGTCGCTTGGTCTGGATGTGCGCGCACCGGTGGCCAAAGGAACTCGCCTTCGTTGATGTGGTCTTCAGGGCGGTATCCCGGGATGAGCCTGGCTGTCCAGCCAGCGGATCTCAGATGTGGTACAACGCGCTCTTGAATTCGTTGCAGGATGTCAGGGCTGGGACGAAAGAGCGTGTTGTCAATCAGGAGCGTGTTGCCGTCGAGATAGTGCTCGAAATTGACGGGATGGAAATGTCCGTAATGAATCGTCGACCGGAAGAGCGGCATGTCGAGCGGATAGGGCCTGCTTTGGAAATGCTGTCTACCAACCAGCAAAGGACCCCAAGTACGACCGTCTGCCGTGGTGAACGGGTGCACCTGGTCGCCGTCGTGGAAAAGCTCGTTTGCAGTGAGTTGAGCGGCGGGTTGAATGAGTCCGTCTGATGAAGAGCCGGCACCGCTACCATGGGGTCTTGAGCCGCTCAAGAGCGCCTCGGAGAACTCCTCGTCGGTCGGCAATCGATTCGTAGAGTGTGAACGTCCGAACGGGCTTGGGCCAAATGAAGACAATGTCGGTGAAAAGGGGCTCCACCCCTCGCCCCCGATGGCATTGTTATCCATCGCCAGCACGAACGTGCTGATTAAAAGGATCGAGAGTATGGAGAGCGACATCGCGCTGTACCGCTGCATCTTGGTTCAGTGCTTTCTAGAAGAGCTTGGAAGGTGAGCGAGATTTGCGGACGATCCGATGAGAGAATTTGTGTTCTTATACAGTATACTGTAGATCTGAACGGTGGCCACCGTAGAGGATTTTTTGCACAACGGACTTCGTGAAGTTCAACAAACGGTGCAAAGCCTGGTCCGTTCATTAAGCAACCAGTTAATCAAGCTCGATTCAATGTGACACAGCATCCTCATTGTCTGGCCATGGGTGGTACCGCTTGCAACAATCAAGTCGGTTGCTAAGCCTCTGTTGGCGGGTACGTTGCCAGATAGAGGCTGTGGGTTGCGCTTACTATATTACAGGCGCACCTCCTTGACGATGTGCTGATCGTCTCTTACGTCGGCAATATCCCCTACATCGTGTGGGTGTTTGATGAAGAGGAAAAAGCAGAATGAAAGATGTCCCACGCCGGGGCACACGTCCGGTCCTCAGTGAGGCACATACTGGACCATCTGCCCCGACTCCAACAGAGCCTGCTTCGCTCCTCTTGGCAGCAACATAACGCCAAGCAATGCCATACCTTTACGGGTCGTCATCTGACCCCCAACCCTCCTGTCAAAGAGCCTGGGCTCGTAGAACATCCACAGGGAGTTTTTCGGCATTCTGACATCCACCGTCGTGAAAGGCTTCGGATCTGACATGGTGATCAAAACAGACCTCGGCTGTGCTTCGGATGTGGATGGGATCGCGAGTCTGAAGAAACCTGATGCGAATCGGTTTGCCCTGAGCCGATTGTAGATCACTCTTTTGTACTTTGTATCGAGAGTTCTGGCGTTGATAGCCAGTCCGCGTGCGGTGCGTCGTACGGGAGGCCACAGGAACATGCCGTGATAGAAGTACTTGTCCCGCTGTGGAAGTGGGGTCTGGAGGCGGACGTCTCGGGCGTGAAGAACGCGCTTGATCGTCGTTGCAATGCTCTCAAGCATCTCTGGCTCTGGACGATAGACGAACGGATCCGCTGAGAGTCTCGATGGCACTCCCGGCCAGATTCGACGGTTGCTGTTCTCAAGTTCCGCCGGTCGAGTCCCGTCCTGAGTATACAGGTTGGTGAGCTCGTGCATCCACAAGGGATACTCTTTCGGCTGGAACTTTTCGCGATGTAGGTTGTACGGGCCCCATTGCAGACCAGACTCGTCGTGGAAAGCGGGAATGCTATTGCGCAAGCTTGACGATGCGCCTGCGTCAAATGTAGCACCAAAACGTGTTCGGGGAGAAGGAAGGGCGCTGGAGCTTGGAATGTCGGCTCCCGGAGTATCAAGCTGGGGCCCAACGGGCTGAGATCGGTACGCGCTCTGCTCCCTAATTGGATCCATCCGAACGCTGGGAATGGTCGGGCTGTTTGGGTCCATCGCTGCCGACCAGGCGACAAAGCTGACCAGCAGAGCGTACGAGAAGACCGTGAACGGAATGTAGGTCATCATCTCGGGACAAAGTACGTCAAAGGTCGTTGGAAGTGTTTGTATTCAACGACCGAGATTGCTGAGGTTGAGACCGAGCACGTTTGCAGAAGCTTTCACCTTATAAGAGATCAGGATGTCAAACTTGTTCTTAATGCGGAGCACCGATCAGCGCCATCAGCGCCAGACCGTTGTCGAGGACTCAGAGATCGAGAGCTTTCAATGTTGCAACAGTGAAATGAAGGGTGGATCAATTGACAGTCGCCGGCGCCGTTGCCGAGGGATTGGCTCGCCTAATCAACTTGTCGCACGACGACTCCATCAGCATTTTGTGAGCCTCTGATACGGTCACAGCTGCTTCTCACGCCACTTTCATATACAAGGAATAGCTCTGGACTGTCGTGAGCGATGCAGCCAGTCTGGGAAGGGAGCAAGGACGAGAGCTCGCGAAGCTTCTCTTACAGCCCAAAAAAATCTGGATCGGCCCCTCGCTGTATCTGACGGGTGCGGTTGAAACTCCGCTCAATTGTTCCGACTCGCTTTTTTATGCATCAAACGGCTGTCATCCGTGACAATCGCTGTGTGCTCTTGCAAGGGATGTGAGTTCTCTAGTGTGGCGAAGCACGAATAAGCTCTCGATTAGCACTACATCTAAGCTGCCAAACACATGTGATTCGTGAACGCGATCAAAGATGTTTGAAGACCGTGATGTCGCCGGATCCCAAGAGAGTCCGCTGTGCGCCCTTTGGCAGAAACATGGCGCCCAAGAACGCTGTCATCTTTCTCGTTCGATGTGGGGGCTGTCTGCGCTCGTAAAAGAGCCAGAGCACCGACTCGGGACGGCGCTGCCCATGAATCGGCGTCAAGGCCTCATTCTTGACGACCGTTGTTCCCAAGATGGACCGCGGTCCCGTCGAAGAGTCAACGGTGAACAGATACAAGTTTGGTGGCGCTTTGATGACCCTCCGCAGTCGATCGCGTGGGATCTTGAGCAAATGGTTCTCGAGAATTTCTTTCGGCATTTGGTAGCCGGAAAGCGAGTTCTCGAGCGGAGGCCAGAGGTACATGCCTTGGAGGAATCCGGGGTGGTTGCGATGCACCTCTTTGGCATTCCATCCCGTGCTGTGAAGTCGGCCGAGGATCTTTGAACGAAGACGTTGTAGCACCTCAGGCTCGGGACGATACACAGCTGGCAGCCAGGGATATCTTGAGGCAAATCGCCTGGACGGAGGGGCGAAGGCGACCGGCATCGATTGGTCGCGCTGGTAGATGTCTGCCAGGGTCGGCTCGTGCAGTGGGTAGAAGTGCAGCTGAAACTTGGATGCATGAACCGGATAGGGACCCCACTCGACTCCCAATGCATCTCTATGCGTAGGCACATGGCCTAGCTTTGCACCTGAAGCGACTGCAGGGCGTCGTGATGGGCGTGCGATGCGCAAAGATACTTCACGGTGTTTCCTTTCAGGAACAGCGTCTCGAGCAGGAATCTCGTTCGAGTTGGCGCTGCTGGTATCGTCCGAGCCTGGCGTCCACGGACTGTCTCCGTGCTCGGAAGAGAACTCGTTTCCGGAAGAAAGTTCGTCATGAGCCTTTGACGGCGCAGCTGCCAGTAGAGCGGTTACGGCGAACACCGAGAGCAGCCAGAGTGCGAACGACTGTTTCCTCATCTTGTACATTGACACGTGAGAGGGATGACGTTTCAAACGAGGCAAACTTACACCTGAGACTCGCTCACAACTTGCGATGTTTTATGCCCGCTCGCCATCACCTTCGCACGCTTCTCTCCGACTCGATCGAAGCCTTATCGATCATACTCCGGCTATTCCGCATACCATTTCGACGGTCGATCACTCAGCACGATGAAACGCCGCCGAGCGTAATAATGTTGTTCGCCGTGTTTTTGCCTTGCGACGGGATAGGTCTCGAGACTCGTGCGCCATGGCATCAAAGCCTATATATATATGAAGCGCCATTGATGCAATGCCATCGATTGCATTGCTATTGTCTGCGAAGCGATGACGGAACGCTACTGGCGCATTGTTGGTGCGCCCTGTGCTTTTGTTTGCAATCGATAAACGCCATTGATGTGAATGTCTGCCTTGCTCTTGTGTAGAACAGCCACCCACCGTGATGCTTGCGGATCATGAGACCTTTTCACGGCAACACATGTCAACGGGAGAATCGAAGAGACGCCGACTCGCCTGGCGTCTATATCAACTCGGCTTCAAAGAGCGTTGAGCGTCATTCTCCTCCACGCCGCCAACCAACCGCATCCCGTCATTTTTTGTTCAAGATGGTTGCCATCCTCCGAGCCCTGGCCTTCGAACTGCTTACCTTTGGCGTCCACAGCGTCATCGCGCCGCAGCCCACCCTCGACCGCCAACAAAAGCGACACTACGACGCTTCCAAGCGCTTCCTGCGCACTATCTACGGTTACGAAGAGTACGAACCGGTCGAGCGACTTGCGCACTTCCTTCCCGCTCATCCACAGCTCGAGCAGCACGCCTGGCAGCACGCTCTTGCTCATGGAAACGGACCCGTCCATTGGACCATGAGCTCGAATGAGAAGAATCTTTTCGCAACCACACGCATCCCGAGCAACAGCCGGCTGGGACGAACTTGGAACTTGGATTGGGTCGACTGGCCCAGAGACGCGTATGCCTTCTGGCACGTCAAGAAGGGCGGCGATAGGAAGCTTTTGCGCTTGGACGTGTGGCCTTCGCAGCCAATTCCGGCTCCGGTCGAAGCTGTATCCGCCGAATGGCTGATGCAGCGCGCTCACTAGGCGCCTGAAGCTCACAGCACCGCTCATGTCTTTTGTGTAACTGTCCGACTTTCACTTCTCCTCTGGTCACACCGCTATCAAGGTATCGTTCATTTGAATGCAGTATCACGATCATCTCCCGAATGCTCTGGTGTGGTTCTCAAGCCGTTGTTCTGTGCGACCAGAACAGCGTGCTCTTCCCGATGAAAAGTCCAGAACTTCGACAGTGGAGACATCCGAGGTGTAGCTTCATCAACCGAATGCGTGTCATTGACACTCAAATCGCAGGCCGCGACTCGACTGCGTATCATTGACAACAAAATACGCCTATGGTCGAGAGCGTTGCGGGTGGGCAGACGGTTACTATGCAGCCGAGCTATCCCGTCCTTGCAGCTTCTTCAATCGCGATCGCACGCCTCGCTCTGATACCGACGGAACTTGGTGGTACCATCTGCAACGACAGTGCCTACGAGTGATACAGAGCCCTTTCACTCTGTCCCCGACGATGAGGCCCGGTCTTTCTTCGGCAGCGCAAAGAGGTGAGCGGTGTGTCTTGGTCGGACTTGGCCGCTCTCTTCAACGTCGATGCGAAGATATAAGGCGGTCATCTCACGGCAAGTCCCCAACCGACTCAACAACAACTCTCGCAAAGACCTCTCGCCAAGCAACCGTACACAATGGTGTCCATCATTCGAAGCGTCCTCCTCGTGGCCTTTGCCGCCTTCGCGCTCGCCGTTCCGCAGCCGAGGCTCGACAGCGAAGCGCTGGAGCACTACGAAAACATGCATGGCTTCCTGTCGAACCGCTACCCTGCGGCGGACCAGGGCACAGTTGCTCTTTCCACTCGACGGGAGTACTACTCGCACCTTCTCTCCAGCCACACGAACGGCGAAACGGAGGCAAAGGTCTTTTCGCAGACCAGCCCCAACGGGCCGGTGCACGTCTCGTACGGAGCTCGATCGCGTACTGCGTACGTGACGACCAAGATTCCGCACGACAGCAATCTCGGGAGGACTTGGGGGCTGGGTGTGCCGAGCATCGCCGACAACGGAGAGCGACGCTATCGCGACCTGTACGCGTTCTGGAAGGTGGACAAGAGAGGCTCGCCCAAGCTGCTCAGACTCGACACTTGGTTGGCGGGAGGGCTCACGCCTCAGGTCATGAGTTGGGACGCCGTCAGGCACTTGCTGCGTGGATGAGCGTCGATCAGTCGACGAGGAGAGACCTTGATGATGATCTCGCAAATAACGCACAAAGAATTGTCGCCGAGCGATAAAGTCAAGCATCAGCTGTAACGAATCAGGCCAGCGTTGCTATCGCCTCTCTCAGTCCCCTTTGCCCCTTTCCCCACACGCTCATCGTGCCTTGTCTAAGACCTCCTCCAGCGGCTGCCAGCTCCACCTCAGTCCTGTGTACTGCAGCAGATCGACGTGCACCAATCTAGCCCTGTTTCCCTCCCACGTCCAGAGAAAGCTCGCAATCTTATGCTCCCCTGCAGGAGGATGATGCCATAGGCCCATCTCTTCGTAGAGCGCATTGAGGGGATGAGCGGTGCTGAAAAAGTAGGGCTGGTGGTCGTGTGTGAGCCGACCGACGAGGAAAGAGGGAGGGTTGGTGCGGATGAAGCCTTTGGTTTGAGCAAGCTCCCATGCGGAAGTGACCACGTCGGGGGTGCTGAGGATGTGATAGTCTTGGAGGCGGCGGAATGTAAAGCCTGCCTCGGTATGGAGGCTGCTCTGAAGCGCGCGGGTCGCTTGAAGCATCTCGGCGTCGCGGGTGGTCGTGCCAACGCACCCGGAAAGGATTGCGATCGCCAAAGCGATAAAGATGAGCGGCGAACCCCTGTAGAGTGAGAGGGTCGACATGGTTGCGTGTTCGAGCTGTAACGTGTTGTTACGTTGCTTGAACGAAGATGGAGATTGAGCGATAGGGTCGTTGGAGCGGGTCGGTGCACACGTCGTCATTTAAGGAGGGTATGGATAGAGGTGGGAGCGCAAAAGCTGTGGATGAAGCTAGAGGTCGCCACCTTGACTTTCATCTCGCTCCGTCCCGCCCACATTAGACTGCAGTGAGAGTGTGGGAGGTGGTGGTGTAGAGCAAGTGAGAGAGCATCTTTCACAACGCTGTGGCGGCGACGGAGTGGGCATCTTTTACAACGCTTTGTTGGCAACAAAGTTGAGGCCTCAGAGCCCTTCGAAATTAGGTTTCGCGGCTGAGCAGACACGATGGCAGAACAGACATCGATGCGATCCTCGTTAGTAGAGCTCGACGTCGACTTGTACCAACCAGCTCGTTCCTTCTTCTTGCCAACACAGCCATGCTCTCCCTGTTCTACGTCAGCGCCTGTGCTGGCCTTGTGCTGGCCTCGACATTGACCCGCATCAAAGCGATAAACGAACTTGCACCGCACCATTTCGTTCCAGTCTGGGAAGCCTTTCCTGGCCGACCCAATCCCATTCACCAACGCTTCGAGCCGGCCAACTCTCCCGCCTCGGGCCCTAGTACGCCCATACAGCCAGCGAGTCCTATTCGTGCAGAAGACGCTCCTCTGCAGCTCCACCCGTACCTCTTCCAGCCGGTCGCCTACCCTACTCGCATGCCCGAGCTCGCGCATCTCTACACGGACTCGACGCTCCCCGCGGACTGGACGGAGGAGAATCAGGCCTACACGAGTCGCTACCGGTTCAGCCGCATTGAAAGTCGGCCTTTGCTGTACCGTCCTGAACCTGCGCTGCTCGAGGGCATCGGCGGCACCATTGTTGGCGATCTCGGCAGCAACGGCGTGACTCTCAAGACGGCCCGCACAGGAGGCGCCAGGTACACCGAAGGCGTCTTCCTCTGGCCGCCGCTGCATTACGCGGAGAACGGCCAACTGCACATGCCCGCGAATGTCCTCGAACCTCGTCTGTCCGACATCCCCAACTCGCGCATCCGGACCAAACCCGAAGCGCCGGAGCTGTACAGCCTCGATGTGCCAGTGGAGGGCCAGGTTCGACGCGTTCTCGCTACGCGTGCTCAAATCCAGTCGTTCACCACCCTCTCCCGTGCCCACCGCCACAGTAGCGCCCTGTGGCTGTTCTACGAATCGAGGATTCTGCATCCCGAAGAGATGGAGCCGCGAAAGACGCTCGCGTTTCTCGGCGCCATGCTCCTCCCCACCCAGGCAAGGGACGTGCTGTTGGCGACGCAAAGGTTTCAGAGCTACGTCCCTGGGGAGGACGATGCGGCGGTGGAAGGGTTGCTCCGTTTGACCCTGGGTGCGCGGTAGGTATCCATTCAGGGCGCTCCCCCAAAAGAGGGTCCTTCGTCACGCCAAGTTATTGTTAGCGCCAATGCATTGTCATGACACGAACTCTGCTTGATGAGTGGGGGTGATGAGGATCTGGTCGATCAAGCACCCCCGTTGTTGCCCCTGTGAGGCTACGTGGGCTGTAAGAATCGAGGTTGGTGCAAACGCGCTGCAGGTGTTGTTGGAGTCTTGGACGACGACCTACCCTGCCTGCATGATGATTGTCGGCGGACGCTCTTCATCATGGTGCCCTGCCGCGCTACACAGTGGGCGGTATCCGTGGATCACCCGACAACGGCGCAGGATCGACAACTTGCCTTTGTGCTACTGCTGCTGTGTGACGCGCCAGTAGCTTGTGCCGCCACCCTTTTCGAGCTGTATAAAGACACCCACATCTGATCTTGTTCGATTCTCCCTTCAGCACCATCCAAGCCCTCTGTATCCGCCATCCATTCGTTGCACAATGCTTCTTCTGCCGATCCTCTTCCTCTTCGCCACCCTCGCTCTCGTCCGCGCAACCGATGACCAGCACATGCTGGAGCTATCGCGCGCGCGAGCGGGCTCCATCTACGCGGATCACTCGTTCACCTACCGACACCTCTCCTCCCTCCCTCTCCTCGCCACGCCCGACCTTGCCGCCACGGCTTGGGAGCACGCACTCACCGACGGCGTGGTGTACACCGCCACCCTTCAAGCAAAGGGCAAGAAGGATGTTCCGTACTTTTTCAGCGTTATTCACCCCGGCTCGACGCTCGGACGGAGCATGCGCATGTGGCACCACCCCCCACAGGGGCAGCACAAGTACGCGGCCGTACTGTGGAAGTGGCATGAGGGAAGGCCCGAACTGGTTCATGTGGATCTGGTACCGTTTGAACAAGGAATCAGGTGGCCTTTGATGGATGTTCACAGTCTTATCAAGGGTCTCTAGCCCATCGTGGTTCAAGACACGTTCTACGAGCGTCACCGTCCTGCATCACATCTTCGACTGCCTCAGTGCAACTCACAAGCACACTAGAAAACCTCTCCCTCACCACCTCGCACTCGCAAGCTACAAGATCATGAAAAGAAACATCCAATCCATTTACAAATACATCTACTTAAGCATGTATGGAAGATCCGGAACGTGACATGTGAAACCGGGGACGCGCGGAACGGGGATGCTGCTGTGTGCAACTACTTTTTTTTAGTGGTTCTTATCGATGCTCGAGCTGAGCTGCGAGTCCTCTCCCAACGACTCGGTAGCTGCGGCGAGGGCAGCGCTAAGGTCGAGGTGGAAGTAAGGCGTGAGGTCGTTGCCCCAGATGATGGGGACCGAGATGCTGCTTGGCTCGGAAGTGCGACGGCCAGCGGCGTGGTTGCCCTCCTCGACGCTCTTCTCGAGGCTGTCGTGCGAAGGGGTGGACGCAGCGGGCGTGTTGCGGTCGAGCGTGTTGACGTCGTACAGCGCCTCGCCGATGGTGACCTTGCGAATGCGGTCCGGGTCCTCGTCATCGTGCAGGTCGACGCGGCTGCGACTAGCAGCAGCACCGTCGCCAGCAAGACCAGCCTCAAGCTCCGTCATGGGCTGCGTGGGGCGGCCGGAGAAGGGGTAGGCAGGTCCATCGTTGGCCGACTTGTGCGACATGCGCTCGATCGCCTTGGCACGACGGTCCGCCTCGGCCTTCTCGCGCTCCTCGAGCTCGCGAGCCGAAAGCACGTTGTTGGGCGACTGGCTGACAACAGGGGCGATCTCGGTGATGCGCTTCGAAGGGAAACCCAAACCGAAACCACCGGCGAGCAGACCACGGCGAATCCAGGGAGAAAGAACGTTGGCAAAGTGGAACTCGACCTTGGCATCGGCGTAGCGCTCGACGGCGGTGCGCACATCCACCAACGTCTGCACCGAGGTGGTGTCGACGTGGCTGACCGAGCTGAAGTCGAAGATGAGGGCGCGGAGGATGGGTCGCCTGTCGTAAGCGGTGCCGTCGAGCTGAGCATCGGCGTCAACGTTCTTGCGGCTTCGGCAGGTGACGGCGCGGGCAGCCTTGACGAGCGCCGGGTTGGGCGGGCCAGGGTCGTTCCAAGGGCGGTCACCAAGACGGTTGAGCGAGGCAGGGCGGCCAGGGCGAGTGACCTCCTTGACTCGGTCGATGAGCAGGTCGGCGATCTGCGAGGCGTTCGGGTAGGTGAAAGCCTCCTCGAAGCGGTAGACGAGCACACCGGGGGGAGGGGCCTCGACGTGAATCGAAGGGTCGCGCATGCCATCCTTGTCGTCGAGGGGCACGAACACATCGCGGTGCGAGAGGGTGACAGTCGACGAGGCGGGGTCGCTGGTGCCGTGCTGAACACGAACGAGACCAAGCCATCGTCCACGAGGACGAGCGATGCGGATGAGCAGCAGCACCAACGAGGCAGCGACCGAAACGTAGACACCGTTCTCGGTGTTGGAGAAGACAGTAGCGAACACGGCGCCGAGGAAGATGAAGAGCTCGAAGGGGCTGATGAGCCAGAACTTGTACGAGACCGAGAAGGGCACGACCAAGTCGGTGACGGCGTGAATGATAACAGCCGACAGAACGGGGTTGGGAATCCAGTAGAAGGTACCGCTGAGTGCGTAGATGGCGATCAACACGAGGATACCCGTGAACCAACCGGCGAGCGGAGTGCGCACACCGGACTTGGATTTGATGGCGGTACGCGAGAAGGAACCGGTGGCGGCGTAGGCACCAAACGAAGGGCCGATGAGGTTGGTGACACCGATGGCGATGAGCTCCTGGTTGGGGTTGATCTTGTAGTTGTTGAGACGACCGAACGACTTGGCGATGGCAATGTGCTCGAGAAGCAGGATGATGACCGAGACGGGCAGCTGAGGAGCGATATCGGCGAGCAGCTGCGTGCTGAGGTTAGGCTGGCCAACGTGCTTGAAACCACGGGGAACGGGGCCGAGCACGCTGATGGGGTACTTCTTAATGTTATGGGGGTAGGTGCCAAGCCAGATGCGAGAAACGACGGTGAAGAGGATGATGGTGAAAGCGTTTCGAAGCACCGAGACGAAGAACATGGTTCGGGCGGTGCGCGGGTAGCGCTTGGGGAGCCAGCCACAGAACCACTTGACAAAGTAGAGGAAGAAGAGGGCGGGCAGACCAAAGGCGGCGTTGATGTTGGTCTTGGGCAGGCCCTTGAGCGTGTCGATGATGATCCTGTAGGCGGGGTTGCCGTTGGTGTTGACGGCGCTGAGACCGAGCAGCTTGGGCACCTGACCGGCGGCGATCTGGATGGCGGAACCGGTCATGAAACCAGCCACGGCAGGCGTGGGGATGAATTCAATGATGAAGCCGATACGAAGGAGACCCATGCCGAGGCAGATAACACCACACAAGAAGGCAAGGGCGATGGCGATGACCTCGGGGTGGGCGTTGTAGGCGTTGGTCTTCCTCATGACATGCTGAATAACGTTGAAAGTCTGAAGCGACATGACGGCGACGGGACCGATGGTGACATCCTTGGAGGTGGCGAAGATGGCGTAGATCATGACACCAACGAAAGACGAGTAGAGACCGAATTCGGCGTTGAGGCCGGCGAGCTTGGCGTAGGACATGGACTGGGGCACGACGACGAGGGCGACGGTGATACCAGCAATGATATCTCCGATGAGCCACTGGGTGTTGTAGGAGCCGATCCACTTGCGGAAGGGGAAGAGGCTGTCAAAGTAGTGAGCGGCAGAAGAGCCGGGGTGACCAAAGATGTTGGCGAGCCAGTCGCGACTGCTGACGACGGGGACACCGAGACGGTTCATCTCGTTGTTGTTGTAGCCGATAGCCCACTTGAGGGCGTTGGAGCCCCTCGCGGCGAGCGAGGGCTTGGCCTCCTGGTTGGTTTGCGAGGCCATGGTGAAGGGAAGGCGAATGTGTGGCGATGGAGGAGCCGACACGAGAGGACGAGGGAGTGGTCCGGAAGAGGATGGGGAAGAGAGGAAGAGATGATGAAGCCTTGAAGATAGGGGGGGCCTATATAGATGTACGAGGGGCAAATTTTGGGGGAGGGGTTGAAAGAGGAAAGAGATGTTTGCGGTGGTACCCGAAAAAATGTCTCCGAAGGCGGACTGGATCCAGACCAGCGCTTGGGTCGAGGAGTGGCGAGACTGGATGCACGATCGCACGCCAAGGCTAGACGAGAAGAATGCGAGCCAGAAGCGAGGGCAGATGCCGGCGTCTGAGGGACGGGATTGCGAATGGTGCGGATCGCAGGCGGGACAAGGGCGGAGATTCGGGAGGACAAGTCCAGGAAGCGGTTCGAGGACGAGGATTCGATGAGAGGTCTTGCGGCGCCACGCGGTTGGTTACGGATGTGGCTGAATGCTTGACGAGATGGCGAAGCAGGAAAGCGAGCGGCAGGAACGAAGGATGAGAGCAACCTCGTGGTGAGTCAGAGAGAGAGAGAGAGACAGTGCTGGGATGGCGACCGAGAAGAGCGAGATGGCGAAGGCCGCTAAGGCGAAACGAAGTCTGGACTCGGGTCGATGCAAGACCCAGCTATGATTGCTTCTGGACTTGATCTGGGCTTGATTAGATGTGGACCGACCAGGCGGAGCAAAAGTGAGATGGCGGGAAGAAGAAGCAGTAGGCAAGAGACGCGCTAGGTGGCTTTGGAATGGTTGCAGAGGAAAGATGGCGTGCTGAAACCAAAAGCAAGGAGGACGGGTGGAAGGCGCTGAGAGAGCAGGTTCTGGAAGCTGCAATGGATTGTCCGATGGGATGGCGACAGGTGGCTAAGCGGGGAACCGGATACAGCGGCAGCAGCCAGATAGCGTGCTTGCGTCGAGGTGTTCTCGAGAGAGAGAGATGGGACCGCAAGATGAAGCCAAGAGATGTGGGTGGCTGCTGACCACGATCAGGAAGAACAAGAAGAACTGAGATCAGCCATCGCACCAGCTGCAGCAGCAGTCACTTGTGATTGCCGGAGGGAGAGCAGAACGGCTGTCAGACAAAGCAGAGGGCTGCAGCAGTCTGCAGCCATCAGAAACGGTCTGGAGGTGGAGTCGCCATGGTGTGATTGCCGTTGAGAAGATCGACTGCCGCGCCAGTGCCTCAAATTATGAAATGCACGTCTGACTGAATCGTCGCATCAAATTGCGACATCGACGGCAGAAACGAGTCGTGTCAATCTCTGCAGCAGCAATGATAATTCTTCCGACCGCCCGTGGCACATTGCAGCGGTGATGGCATCCTTGCCCTCGCTCGTCCCCTCCGATACTTGTTCAACTCCATATACCTCGCTTTGGATACTGTGGCGTGAATACCTCTATGATGAGCAAAGCTATCTTCAGGTCGCAAAAGTGATAGATAGTTGAAGCAGAGCCGTGCCTTGACTGGAGCGACTCGAGTGCAATGCCGGTTGCCTAGGTGAACCACCAACGTGGTCAGCCTCAGCTCCGCACCGACCAGAAACCGCTGTGGAACGTCTGGAACGACAAGTTAACAATCCAAAAACCCCGCTTTGCTGATTCATTCTGCCGGGGCCAAGAAGCAGAGGGAAAAAAGTTAACACGGCGAGCGAACCGCAAGGGGATCCGCCGCGGACCATCTCTTTCAGCAGCACTTGGCCAGTCTGAAGCTGAAGCGGAAAAAGTTAACACTCGAAACGTGCGAGGCTTGGAAATTTCTCACTCTTCGCTTAGACGCCTTGGGTTGCCGGAGCCTTTTCGAGCTTGCGGTTCATGTTCAAAATGCACCGCGCAGTGAACGGAATCTGGTCCGTCTTGCCTTGACGCGGGGTCCGATTCCAGACAAGCAGATGTCGCGCTGCGTGAAGGACGAAAGAGCTCTTGGCAGTTGAATATTGCACGCAGCCCGGCTTAGACCGGGCCAAAGTAGTGAGATGAGAGCCGAATCCGGGTTGTCGCTTTGATCTCCGCTGCGGGTCAGACGAGCGAGCTATCAGCGAGCTACGAGCGAGCCATGTCGAAAAGCCTTCCCTGTTTCAGCGAGCACGCCATCGAATTTCAACCGAGGCTGCGACTTTCAAAAATGGTCGCCATGTTAGACCTAATCTGCAGTAGTCCGACGTGACCGACTCGTGCGTAATCGGATGTCGTGCCATGTGGACATGGAATCGCGACATTGACATGCAAAGCCACGCCTTCCTTAACCAAACACGAGGCTCTCTAGGGCACACGGGCTATACCGTCGTTCTCATGAGGCTTATCAGGCAAGCGAGGTTCAGCCCACGCGGGCAGCTCGCCATACCACTTCCGATCCGACGGAGGCATTCAAGCAGCGTGCAGAGCATGAAAAGTGGGCCATACACCCATGTACCACCATTCGTAGTATCAATGTCATTGATCTTCTCTCTGCTGCATCTATTGCTGTATGTGTGGAGACCCTGAAGCGGGACAATCCGCAGCTGAGACCATCTCTTCCAGCGATTGCGCCACGCTCGCCATCGACATACCAGCCGAATCTTCGGTTGCGCTTGACCTCACGTACCGAGGTTTGAAAGCCTCGTCAGCGGGGATCAACGGCGACCGAACCCGTTCGGGAGGCGCTGGCGGCATTTCAAAGAACGATGATGGCGTCGGGGTCTGGCCAGGGGCCTGCGGCTCGAGCGACGGGGTCGAGACCGTGTCTGGGCTCGATGGGATCATCAATGATGGCGACATGGCGGGCGAGACGGGAGAAGAGCGTCCAGACCCAGAAGCGGTCCTGCAATATGATCGGGCCCGCGCCGCTTCCTGCTCTCTGCGTTCCGCCTCTTCGATCTGGCGCATCATGCTCCTGGCACCGTGACGCAAGACGGGACTCTGCCGTGCTTTCTGTTGTCGCTTTGCCATGATCTCCCTTCGGAGCGTGTCGTCGCCGTCTTGCAGGCCCGTTGGATTGGGTAATTTGGGTACAGCGATGACAGGCTCTGTGGTAGCTGGCGTGAATGCATCGGGCTCGCCCCTTTCTGCTGCAGGCGACATGGGCTCTTCGGCCAACTCGGCTGCTGTCATGGGATGGACCGTCTCGTTGTGCAGTTGAGCTACTTCGTCTGCCTGAATGGCGGTTCGGCTGGAAGAGTGTCGCAACTGCTTGGGTCCTGCAGCCGAAGACGCTGCACTGTCCTTGGCGGGTGCTGTGACATCCTCTTGTCCCTCCAGCCACCTGATCCTAGCTGCTCGGGTCCACTTGGGTTCGTAGTTGGACATCAACCCGACTTCGATCTTGTCTTGACAATTCTTGCAACTGCACTCTGCGTTGAGGGGTGCTTCGAAGGGCCATCGACCCGCTTGCAGCTTGCGTCGAACGGCTGCGTCGTCCAAATGCGCTTCCGAGGCTAGGCTAGCGACGCTGTTGGACTCAAAGCGCGCAGTGTCCTCCGAAGCGGCTCTACGGAAGCGTCTCCAACGAGACATCTTCGACTTTTCTGGCACGACAGCGGCTTGCTTGTGCTTGTGCGCCGACTGCGATCCTTCCGCCCTCGAGCTCCAGTCGTCCATGCCTGCTTCGTCATCCGGCGTGCTAAGTGGCGAAGGGGACGGACATACTACAGGAACACCATCAGCTCGCCTGCGTTGCGCAAAGCAAGGGACACGATCATGGGACCGAGTGGCACGCAGCGGAGTCATGCCATCGTCCAACAGCCTAGGCGGTCCGGGTGCCTGTGGTGTGCTGGAGCGGACGAGGCAGCTCTTGGGTCGACCGATAGAGAGAGGCCGTTGAGATCGCAGCTCGCTGACGCTGCGAACGAAAGGACTGATGGGGCGGGACTGCTGCAAGATGGGGGAGATGGCAGCATGAACCGTCGCAACGGGCGATTGAAGCTGGTGCATGGCTACACCCGAAATGGCGTTCTGAAATTCGGCATGGATGTCGTCAAAGTCAACGCTCTCGTTGGAAGGCGAAACGTCGACGGATTCGTCGTCGTCGAAGGGAGCCATGAGGCTGGGCATGCCTCTGGAAGGCACTGGAGCCACTAGCCGAGGGCCCTCGACGCTGCTCGGCGACGTCGCCTTGGTCTGCGGTGGAGGTGAGGTGGATGAGCTGGCTGCAACGCTGCTGACACTATCATACCCATTCGCTGCGCCTTTATTGCTTCCCCAGCTGGCGACCCGGGTCCTCCAAGAGGTGGATGAGTTGGGCGCAGCATTGCCGATGGTTGTCGCCCTCTTGAGGTTGGGTGACTTTGCTCGCGCCAGTTGTGGTGAGATAGCTCGAGCGATCAAGCCGGGAGAGTTGCGTGAGCCGACGATCGGAGGGCTCTTTGCGCGAATGGGGCAGAAGCTGAGCAGCTTGCGGAGCTCTGCGCAGTCGCCTTCTGGGATGACCTGGCACTTGTGATCAAAAGCTACCTGCTTGATACCGGGCGATGCCGTGCGTATCGAGGGGGTCGGAAGGTCCGTCATCCTCGTTCTGTGGTTATCGAGTATGCTACCTTGGCCGAGAAGCGTGAGCGGAGGAGCCGAACCGTGTTGGGTCTTTGGCGGTGGATGAGGTGATCCGGCTGCGATTCTATCGTTGCAGCATGGTGAATCAGCACTGAGCTGCTGGCTCGATGCTGATCCGCGATCCGTATAGGTGTCTTGCACGAGCGACGTTGCTGAGGTACAGCGGCGATGTTGTGTGGTAGTAGTGTGGATGGAAGTCAAGCTGCCAAGTCAGGGCAAGCACATCAGGCCATTCGAGGCCATGGCTTTCATTGTTGCTCAAAGTTGCAGTTGGGCCATGTCGTGTTGTGCTGTGCTGCGCTGTGTTTGTCTTTGCTGCTGCTGCATGTGGGTCACGTCCTGCTTACAGATGCATGATTTTCGTCTTGAATTTTAGGCGTCAAAGCCTTGGGTGCAAATAGAAATTCAGTCGAGAACGCCCTCTCTTGTTTCAACCTCCGCACCTCGAGCCGCCGCAGAAGCTCCTGTTTTTGAGCCTAAGACGCGGCGGCTCAGGAGAACAGGACATGATCTTGTGACGATGGTCGGTCACCTGGACCAAGCTTTCGTTCGGCGCTGATCGCCCTCCTCTCCGAAGTGGTGTGACATTGGAGAAGCCCGATCGGATACGCCGACGCTGCTGTTGCCCATCCGATGCAGCAGATCAGGATGACACGCATCTGCCGATCCAATTGACGGGCATGCTGCTGCTCTGTGCTGCTGCCGGTCAGAAGGGTGATTCTTTAGCCGAGAAGCCTCCACTCTGTGACTCTTTGAGTTGATCGTCTCGGATGATTTTGTGGCTTTCAGGCGAGTCACGAATCACCAAAATGTGAATCGGCTGCCAACCCGCAGAATCGAGACCCTTTCTTGAGTCACAAAGCTTGCATCGGCCAATGCGCCCACAGCCTGCTGTCATATCTTCACAAAGTGGCCTTGTTCGCTCGATCATCCCTCCATCCTCAGCTTCACCCTTGGTCGTATCAAAGCTTTCGACATCAGCGGCCACAGAGCGGTGTGTACGATCTCACGCCAAGCGACAATCACCTGCGAAAGCCTCCCAACCACACAATCCACCTTCACGATGGACTAATCTCACCTCTTCGACAGATATGGCGACCTTTTCGTCTCGAATCCTGGCTCAGCGAACTTGCTAGCGAGCTGACCACTACCTCTTCTTGCTCTCGACAACCGACGATCAGAGCTCATTGCACACCCATCCCTTGGCCAAATGTCGTTCTACAGCGCTTTCCCCACCAGCCCGCTGAGTCGGTCTGCGTTGGGATCAGAAGCCAACGCAGATCGCACATCAGCCTCGACAGTCTCTCCGAGGGTCTTCAAGGGGTATGGGCAGATGTTAGCGTCAACTGCATCGCCGCTCGCGCCTCTTCGACCCAGCACAAGCATCAGCACTGAGCATGACCGGCCAGCATCCATACCTCCAGGCACGTCAGGCCCGTCAATACCTCACTCCTCCCGCCATGTCAGCGGTCCGGCTCGCTTGATGCGCGGTCCACTCGCTCCATCATGGTCACCTGACTCTACCACGCCCTTCGACGACAACGATGCAGCCTCTCCGCCGTTGCCCTCTTCCAGCTTTACAAGATCTGTGAACACTCGACGTCGCTCTTCCGGCTTTGGCATCTCTGCTTCCAGCCCAACGCCCAACTTTGGCAGTCTCGTCGGCTCGTTCCAGGAATCACTTCTGCGAGGACGCATGTCGATGCCAGCTTCCAAGCCCGTCCTCTTTGACGCAGAGATCGGCGTACTTGGGATGGGCAAGTGCAGACCCTCGCTGCGATGTCCACCTCACGTCCACGTCAAGTTTCCAGCTCATTTCTACGACTTTCATGCCATAGACTCGCCCGTCTCGGGACCCAGTGCTGGCTCGACGGCTGCTCTCGGAAGTCCCTATGTCGGAACCATCGATCTGGAAGCCCACTACCACGACGCGCTCCTCGAACGAAAGCTGGCGGCCCTCAGCACAGGAACGGCATCCCTCGACTCTGCGGAACCGAGCCTGTTGCCTCCCTTTCCTGGATATGCAGTTCCGCCCAAGGGTCAGGTTCAGCTCATCGTCAAGTTCCCGGACCTCACTGCCGTCAAGCTCTTCCTCGTACCGTACGATCTCACCGACATGCAACCCGGCACCAAGACGTTCGTCCGTCAGAAAAGCACGCTTGTTTCTTGTTCTGCTAGCAGTCCCAGCGATGACAGCCAGACGAGCAGCCGCGGCTCGCCCAGCAATGCCCGCCAACCAATCAAGGAAGCCCTCCGATTCGCCATCCACCTTCAGTTCTGCTGTCCGCCTCTGGAATCACGTCCGAACGACCACCATGCCGGATTCGAAGGGCCCAACTCGTCGCGGTTCCGACATCGCTCAGAAGTTGAGCACAAGAAGTCTACCGGCAGAGTGGGCAAATCGCCAAAGATCTTCTTGCACAAGTCTATTCGACTCGTCTTTGGCGCCCGTGCACTCGACTCGGGCGAAAAGCTCATCGATCAGATCGAGACGCCCGGCCAAGGGGCGCAGCGATTTGCATCCTACAGCGGGCCAGACGAGGACTGGATTCAGCTTCATCGAGAGGTCAAGACGGCCCAACGCTCGGCTGAACAGCTGCGATCGGCTTCGTTCAGCGATGCCGGCGCTGCCTCCGGATCCGCCGCCTTGCAGACCAGCCGCAGTGGTCTCGGCATCAACATCCAGAATCCAGCTCCGCACCTTGCACGGGCTTCAGTCGATGATGCTCAAGGGCATGCCAGCGTCGTCCAGCCACTCAATTCGGATCCGAATGGCGAGAGATGGCAGTCGCCTTCCTCGCGAGCGGGTGCGGATGCACAAGTCGGTGGCTCGTCGGTCTTCTCGACGGCTACCTGGAGCTCAAGCAGCCAGGGAAGCAGCACCGTTGCGACGTCGGCTGGACGTTGGACTGGAGCTGACCAGAATGACGTACAGCTGCTGGCTCGCTCTCTGGCGTCGAGTCGTCTCAGCGAGGCTTACAGGACGCTGAGAGTCTTGGCGGCATCGGCTTCAGCAACGCAAACGTCGGCTCCTGCAGCAGCAAGTGTTCCTAGCAACCAGCGCGCCATGGACGGCAGCGAGGCTAAATTGGCAGATGCACCAGCTTTGCGACCCGCTCGCATCCGATCAGCATCAACGGCCAGCCTCTCGGAAGCTCGCGTGCAGAGCGTCTCGGCGCTTGGTCGGCTGGAGGAACCCTCTGCGACGCCTGCGCATAGCCGTGAAGCCACCTCCATTGACTCGCCGTTCGCAAAACGATCCTCTCGAACCACCAAAAAGGTGGGCGCAGACCGTCCGAGCTTGATCCGCAAGCTGTCCGAGCAGATCGCACGCAGCCACACGCCTTCGCCTCACACCAGCCCCAAGCTGAGACCCGCCCGGCGTCCGGCTGCGGACGAGCCTGCCGAGTTTTGTGCAGACGGGCTCACCCACCCCGACGGCGATGCGAGCGACGACTCGCACGACCATCGCATGTCTCCGCTCCAAGAAGCGGCTCTGCAGCGTTCGACTGGTTCGATACGTTGATCTTCTGGATTCAGATGCTCGCATCCCTGCTTTCTCTCCCAAGAACTCACATCTGCTTGATACTCTGTCCCTCATTCTCGCACTCTGCATCGTCCTTTTCCTCGCTGTTTCCACGCACTTCTGTTTTGCATCCACACGCATCGCAATCGCAACCGTCCCACATCCTGGCGCTGAGACGTCGTCCTTCTGGTGTTCGCACACCCCACAGTGGGGAGCACGTTGTGTGTCTGAGCAAATCCATTCCGTTGAGCCCTAGCCATGAAGGATTCGACCACGATCTTTCGTTTCCGATCCGCATTTGTGTCTATACCGACTTCTTCTGGACCATGACAAAGCACAGCGGCCACCGGAGGTGCAACTGCTCGACCTCGTTTCCACCATTCTCCCGTGTCACGGCCTGCTTGAGCTGCTGAACGAAGCGATCCACCACATCTGCCTTTTCGTTGGGATGTTCGGACAGGTAGGTGTGGGTAGCGCTCCAGGTGCGAAGGTAGGAGGCGAGTTGGGACCAGTCGAGGTGTTTATCCATTGTTGCGCTTTCCTGCTTGCCCGTAAACTCGCTTGCTACCTCATCGGGGAGGGACGCGGTGAGGGGGTGGGTGGTGGGGGGAGGCCAAGAGGACCAGTGGTGTTCTTTCGGTAGACCGGTGGTTGAAAAGGTGCGTTTGAAGGCGGAACCTTCGTCCCAGTGAGACGCCATCTCGGGGTAGGTGAAGGGGAAGGGAACGGGGGAAAGGCCTGCATTGACAATAGACCGACCGGGCTGCTCCCAGTATGCACCGATGCTATCCACCTTCTCCGGCTGCTCGTCCACCGCATTCAATTTGGGACTGCCTGGCGCGGCCCCATCCTTGAGCGCAAACTTGTTCAGCAGCGAGCGAGTAGATGGAAACTCCGGCAGGAAAAAGTCGGGGTAGCCGTAGAGACAAACGCTGCCGCCGGGTCGAACCACGCGTGTTGCCTCACGCCAGAAGGAAGGGTAGTCGAACCAGTGTGCTGCTTGACCGGCGGTGATTAGGTCTACAGAGCCGTCCTGTAGGAAGTCAAGTGATTCAGAGTAGCCTTGACGATATTCGATCTGGCCCAGTTGGCCGGTGGGTCCGTCGGCCGGATCCGGGATCAGATTGGACGGCAGGTTCGGCGTATCGGGTGTCACGGCTGCATCGACCATCTTGGAGGAAGGATCGACACCGATGACGCGAGAAAAGTGCGGCAGCAGACTGAGAGTGGAGATGCCAGGCCCACAACCTAGGTCCACCGCCAACTGCGAGCTCGCGCTCGAGGAAGGGGATCGACCAAAGTGATACGCCAGCACCTTGTCGTGCACCCACCGCGGATAGGACGGTCGAAAAGCGAGGTAGGAGGCCGCGTCAAAGGTGGTCCGCGAGAAGGTGGCCATGGTTGCTGCTGCGAGAAGGAGTGGGGGTGGTGTTGACGTGCGTTTGGATGTGTTGGCGTGCGCGATGCTGACGGCAGCGCTGGGTGGTCTAGCGAGCAGGTAGGGTTACCCTGAGATAGAGATGCGTTCGAGCGGTCCTCGGACGCGTGGATACACGAAGCAAAGCCAGGTGTGAGGGCAGACTGATGGGTTCTTGAAGGGAACGATCCGAAACGAGGTGCGATGGAGCGCTTCCCGGAAGTGTTTTATACGAAGTGAGGCGGTGGAGTGCGTATCCGAGGCGGTGTTCTACGGAAATGGACCAGTGAAGAAGAAGCGGTTTGTCTACAAACGAGTCACAAGGAGATGGAGGATCAGGAAGAAACGACGGCGAACGCGGACCACGCTTTACCTGCAACCTCGACGTCGACGTGGGGGGGTATTCGCACAGACCGGCGGCAAGGGCCGAGCAAAGCCGTTTCCTTTTTTTTTTTGGCACAGGCCAAGGGTCTCCAAATCTGCCGCTCACAGCCGCTTTCCACACGGCACACAGCTCACTGATGATATCGCACCACGCACAGCACAATCGAATGACTGCAATTGACCAACATCACGGCCCTGTACGGACCACGCGGCTACACAACGGCTGAAGCGCTACACAATGCCACTGTCGAAATCCACCATGCCACACTCGGACTCATCCAGATGCCTCATCGTCCTCTCGAGGCTACTGAACTTGACGAAGCACGTGGGGCAACGGGTGCTCGGTTCGTTGGCGTCCGATTTGGCTCTGCTGTGTTGACGACTCCTGCGGCCGGCCCCGCCGCTTTTGGTGGGAGACTGCAGACGAGGTAGCGAGAGCGGGGGTGCAACTAGGGGTGCATCGGTGAAGAAGGGTGTTCTGGGCGTTGATGGTTCCGGAGAGGCGGAGAACGATGCGGAGGGGATGAGTGGGGGGAGGGAGATTTCAGTGGACTTGGATGAGAATACGGGTCGGGGAGGTTTTTCGGAACGTGGACTGTAGAGGTCGTCCTCGCCAGCACCACGACGCGATGGAGAGGCGAAGGAGGACCACTCGTTGGTGCTGCGTCGAGGACGTCCCCCTTCAAATCGGCTCACGGGCGAAGTGGGCATCGTAGCATACCCCTCGGAACGCGAATTCGCTCGACGCGATGAGCTAGGGAGCAAATCAAACGGATCCGCATCGCCGTGCAGCTCGTGGTACGAAGGCGGTGCGTCTTCGTGGTGCGTGTCCATCGTCTCCATCAGCAGATTCGACTGGCTACCGTGACGAGATGGGAGAGAAGGTCGCTCGTTGACCGAGGCAGAAGAGGCGCTGTGACCGGGAGGATCGCGACGCTTCTCGGCGCTCTTCTCGTTGGCATAGAAGGCCTTGAGCTGCGCTTTTTCAGAGACCATACCGGTCGAGCCGGCGGTGCGGAAGCTCGAATCCGATACAATCGAAGCGGTGTCGTCGTCGTCGTCCAGAGGGAAGCTGGGCAGGCGCTTCTCGTCGCGCTTATTCTGCCAGTCGAACTCGGGAAGCTTCGGGGGCAGAGGCGGGGCCTGGCGTGAGCTGCCACTGCTTCGTGAAGGGAAGGAGGTCAAGGAGGACATCGAAGCGCGAGGCTCGGACGTGAGACCTTGAAGAGTAGCACTGCGAGTGCGTGAGAACGAGAAGCTGGGTCGCGAAGCGAGGGCGGCTGGCTCGCTCTCCTCGTCCGATCCAAGAGGCAGGCCGTACTGGAAGGATCCATCGCGTGGCAGTCGAGGCGGCTTTGCCTTTTGCTTTCCCTTGGCTTTGGCAGATGCGGTACCCGCATCGGGGTCGATATAGTCGGTGGCTGATGGAGATTGCGACTGCTCGCCGGTGGAAATGCTGACTAAATTGGAGAAGGTGGGGAACTTGCGAAGGAGCGAAGGGCGGGCTGCGCTCTCGGCATCGTTCTCCTTGTCCTTGCCGGGGAGATCGTAGTGAGCCTGGGTCTCGCTGAAGCTGACCGAGGCCGTGATGGGGCTGATGGGTGCTGCATCCTTGTCGCTAGGCTTTCTGCGCCTTGCTTTGGGACGAGTGAAAGAGTCAAAATCGTAGTTATCCTTGTAGTCCGAATGATGGGGCATCATGTTGTAGTGCAAGCTCAGCTCGAGTCGATCGCGGAACCGGCTGCCGCATCGTCCGCATGTGAGGGAGCGCAGTTTGGAAGTGCTGTCGGAAGGTGAGTCAGGGATGACGCCAGTGATATTGTCGAGCATCGAGTTGGTCCGCGATCGGAGGGTGGACAGGAAGGGAGGCATGCTGGGCGATCTGGCTTGATCCAAGCTGGTGGCGTGCGAATGTGATGACTGAGATGGTGCAAGTCGTCGGAAGCCACCGACTAGGGACACGGTGCTATGATGAAAGAGAGTCAAAGGAGGTGCCGACTAGCAAGACATCAAGTTGGGACGAGTGAGTGGTGGTTGCTCAACTGGACGAGACCAAGGGAGCGAGATGGGTCAAGAGCGATTGTGATCAAGATGGACGACTTCGTAGCGGCGGTTGTGACTGTCAAAAAGGCAGAGCAGCGAAGAGCAGCAAGCGCAGAGTCAAGCGACGTCGGCTAGCGGAGCGGCTTGCGGGGAAGGCTTTTGGTCGATACGAAACGAGGCTCAATCGAGTGCAACCAGGCCGATTCGCTTGATGTTGCTTGTTCCCACGACTAGGAAATTTCTCACTCACGCCATATCATCGCCGTTCCCGAAGATCGAAATGTCACACTGGCTCGTCAGCTTACAGTCCATCATCGGCACAGCCGCTGCTGCTTGCATTGTACTCGGATCGTGACAGTGCATTGCAGCTGCAGAAGGGACTAAGCTCGATCTCCTCGATCTGCAATCGCTGTCTCACGTTGCCAACATTGACCCCCAAGAAGAAACATCGAGTGCAAAGCCAAGCCACAGATTCAAGCACAGGGCGGGACAACATCAAAGCCCGCTCCATTCAGGGTTCGGCGGGGTGGGCGCCATTCGAGCCCACACAACGGCACTTGACCACTCCTTCTCGCTTACATTTTTGTTTGCCTTTCGCATGGATACCGTGCCCTTCGCGATCGGAGAAACAAAATTTCATTGTCGAGGGGCGTTGACACGTTTTATCATAGGTGGGGCCCCTATCACCGGCCATGGTCTCGTCGCTGTCGACACCCCATCGTAAGCACCCAATCGACGCCCTAAGGGTTGGTCGATATCAGCACGATGGGCAATCTGCGAAGCGACCGAGCTTGGTCTACGTGAAACTATGCATGTCCGCTAAGCAGCGAGAACAATGGCGCGCGCATAATCCGCACCTCGCGGTCTGCATGAATGTCGGCACCTGTCCATATTGAGCTTGGCGAGCCAGCTCCGACACTCAGAATCGATCTCATGCATCCATGCTCGCCATCTCACCCCAAAGGTCCAGCTGAAACAAGCGTCAGACGGATGGTCTTCAAGCTCGTCCTCAACAGTCGGCCGGCCATCGGAATAGGGTCTCAGGGCTCTCCCTTTGAAGCACCGCGCCAACCGCTCTCGAATCGCGACCCTGTAAATCAGATGTGCGATTGCGACCTCATCAATCGAAGTCTAATGGATCGGCGATTGCCTCGCCGATCGGCGTCAGAACTGATCCGTTGACTCTCTGCTGGCCCGTAACATGCTGCTACATGGACGTTGTGGTAACTCGAGCCTGCGTGGGTGGTGACTTCTGTAACCTTTCTCCATAGACCCTGACCGACTCGAACGCGCATTCGGCAGCCTTCAAGGCGCATGGAGAATTCGCAAACGTCTTGCTGTCGCCAAAAGTCGGCCATCTGGGCTGCGCAGTCCAAACTCTATTCCGCGACTCTGACTTGTACAGAGGGCCCGGATACTAGAAGTTGCGAGAATCTCTTGGTCGATGCTGCGGATACAATCCCCGCTGAAGCATGGCCCACCGTCAAAATGAAGGGAAGCGACGGCGATATCGGTGTAGCACGCGTCTAACTCCGGCTTCTGCACCCTGCAGCCACGCACAGACGGGTTTACACCAACCTGTCAAAATCCGAACTTACTCTTCTATAAATATGCTTCCTTGCCTCGTCCATCTCCTTCCGTTGCTCTTCAACAACAACACCACTTCCGTATGTCAAGCGACACCGCTCGTGCTGCATACTCACGAGTCATCACCAAGCAACACGCTCCCGCTTTCTCTCTCACCTGGACGCTGCTGCTCGCCTCCATCGTCGTGGTGCTCATCCAGCCGTTCATCAGCCTTCTGTTCGACCCTCAAACAACCCTCTCCAACCCAAGCACAGCCAACATGACCTCGACAGTCGCTCGCACGCTCTCCCGAGAGATCGCCAAGAAGGTGCGCGCCGTCGAAACAGCCGAAGGCGCGGGCGCAACCGTTCGTCGATCCATCGGCACCCCAGCCCTTCGCAACATCTCGCCCTTTCTCATGCTCGACCACTTCAAGATTGGTGAGGGAGCCGGATTCCCTGATCACCCCCATCGTGGTCAAACGACTGTAACTCTGGTGCTTTCTGGCTATGCGCAGCACGAGGACTTTGCTGGTCATGCCGGGACGATTGGTCCGGGAGATGTGCAGTGGATGAACGCGGGTCGAGGCATCATGCATGCCGAAATGCCGATTCATCGGGATGAAAACGGAAACAAATTGCCGGAGCCCGAGGGGATGCAGCTGTGGGTGGATCTGCCGAAGGAGGCCAAGAAGGAGCCGCCAAGCTATCAGGAGTACCGCGCAGCCCAACTTCCAACCACAGCCGCTGACGCCAAGGAGGAGGGTGATGAGAAGGGATGGAACATCAAGGTCATTGCAGGCGAGTCGCATGGGGTGAAGTCGCCCATTGAGCTGCCCAAGAACGGAGGAGTGCTGTTTCTCGACATCAACCTTGAACCTTCAGGGACGGTCTATCAGACCATCGATCCGAGATACAATGCCTTCGTGTACACCCTCGAAGGATCCATCGTCATCGGGGATCACTCTGTCACGTCATCGAAAGGCTCAACGCTCGGATTCAACCCCAGCACCACAGCTACACCCGGTGAGGCCGTCGAGCAGTTCCACACCCTCGTTCTCACCAAGGACGGCGAGCCCGGTGTACGCATCACAAATCCCAGCAGCGACAAAAAGGCACGCATGGTGCTGGTAGCAGGCGAACCGCTCGATCAGGAAGTCTACCAGTACGGCCCCTTTGTCATGACCAATCGACAGGAGATCCAGCAGACGCTCATCGATTTCCAAACAGGCAGCAACGGTTTCGAACGTGCACCCGGTTGGAAGAGCAAGATCGGGGCCAAGATGATGTAGTTGCTGTTTTCTCATTGGAATCCATATGTACCACCATCGAAAGAATTGATGAGTCGTCTGTGCATCACGCTGGCCGACGCACCATGTCGCGCGCCTGGATAGCCTCACGCAAAGCTCACGATGACACAGCATCTCTTGACACACCGCGCCAAATCTGCGACATCTGCGGGTGGGACGACGGGTTCACGATTGGACATTGCCCGCGGCGAGCAACGCTCTTTCCCTCTCGAGTCGCTCCAGCAGCTTCTCTCTGCGCTTCGCCGTTTCTCTTCGCACCTCTTGCTCCCTTTCCTCGCTCCTGCCTCTCGCTCCACCGTTCGACCTGCCGTACTGAAGCAGCGCACTCTCGTCGTACCATCGCAACTCGTCCTTTCCACTCCTCAAAAAACACTCGAGCTCGTGCAATACATGCCTGGCCGTACCTTCACCCAAGAACTCGCCCACCAGCCGGACAGTCTGGTCGTCGCTGACCTCAAATACTTGGAGCAGCGAAAGCGTGTATTTGGTGAGAAATTCCACATCGAGGTGGGGCCAGAGGGAGAGGTCGCGGCGGAGGAAGGTGGTGATGCGTCGTGCGAGTGGACCGCCTGCAATGGTATCGGCGCGGATCTGCATGGGTGAGGGGCAAGGGCGGTATCGTGTATGGCGATTGGAGCCCACATGACGCGCGAAGAGGGCGTGACGGTAGATTTGGGCGCGAAAGGCTAGATTGGTGTGCGAGGTGCGGACGACGCGAGCGCGTTGCACGCGACGCACGAGGGTGCTGCGATCGGGACGAGGAACGTCCGCGGAGGACGGGAGGGCGGAGGATGGGGCAGGCGGCAGGTGATACCGCACGTAATCATCGTCGAGACGGATGGAATGGATGATGTGGTCCCCAATGTCCGTTTGACACAAAGGACACCGACGCTTGATCGAAAGCCATCGGAGGATGCATTGGAAGCAGAATTGAGAGTGCAGACACCGCGGAAGCACCGTGCGGTCCACGATGGGCGTCGAATGGCAGATCAGACACCATGTTGCATCGTCCTCCTCCAGCTCTGCGTCTTGGCTGTTGTCGAAAGTTGCGACATCTGCGTCGCAGGTCGTGGACGGCACGGCGTCGATGTCGAGCGCACGAGCTTTGCCATTTGCTTTGTGAGATGAGCGCTCGTTGGGCGGATCCGGAGTGGTTGAGGTGGAATTCGACGACGCTGCAGAGTGTGCTTTCACATGGTCGTTGTCCAGATCATCCCCTTTGGATCGCATCAAGCACGGTCGCCCAAAACAGACTGTGTCGATCTGAGATGATGGTGGCGAGTCGCAGACTAGGGAGAATTTTTGGGTTCGCATTTTCCGCTCCGACTTTTGATTTGGGCCGGAAAGTCGACCGCGGCAAATCAAAGAGGGAAAACTGATAAGATAACTTGGCGGGCAGATCTCGGACTTGGCCGACTCGCACAGAGGGGGCCGACGGGCCGAGGTTCCTTGTGCGCCTTTCTCTCGCACTCTTCATCATTTGGTGTTGATGCTTGAGCAGTCGAGGGATACAAAAGGGATCACCATTCTGGAAAGAATCGGTTTGCAACGTCACTGCCCACCACAATGTCGACCAGCGACGCACAGCACCACGGCCACGCGCCCTCGCACCTCCTCGCCGCGCTCCTCTCCACGATCACCACGTCGATCATCCCTCTGACGACGCCCGCCGTTGCGCGCGGGTGCAAAGTGTTCGGCGCATCCATTCTGTCCAAGTCGACGCTCACTCCGATCGTCTCTTCCACCAACGACGAGATCACCTCCCCGCTGCTGCACGGGGAGATGGCGACGCTATTCGCCTTTCACGAGCACAACAATTCGCTCCCTGCAGCAGACCGAGTCGATCCGAAGGACTGCGTCTTTCTAGCAACACACGAACCGTGCTCCCTCTGCCTCAGCGCGATCACCTGGAGCGGATTCGACAACTTCTACTACCTCTTCACGTATCGGGATACCATGGAGAGCTTCGCCATTCCACACGACATTGAGATTCTCAAAGAGGTCTTCCAAACGAGCCAGGGAGACGACGCGAAGCTGTACAATCGCAAGAACAAGTACTGGCAAAGCTGGTCCTTTCAAGATCTCATCGATCAATCGCCCCAAGAGGAGAGAGGCGAGCTGCAAAGGAGATTGGAAGAGGTCAAGGCGCAATATAACGGGCTTTCAGAGACGTATCAGTCGAGCAAGGCTGATCAGACACCAGGGCAGATTCCGCTCGCATAGCCCAGGTTCTTTCGCATAGAATGGAATGATAGGAGTGAACTGGGACCCCGTCCCGTTTGAAAGGGCGGTTGTGAGAAGGGCCTCCGTAGGATGCGAGCTGTGGACAAGGCTGTTCACGCTGCGAAGCGAGGTGACGCGTGGATCCGGCGAAACGGGGCGGTGCATCCACCATCCGCATGAATGGCGCCGGCTCGGATCACATGGGTCCGACCTCCCCACTCCTCTGAACAGATCCATATAACCTCCTCCTTCCTTTCAAGTCCATCCCCCCTCCCCCTGTTCCACCGAACCCATCCCAAAGCCGTAGAGACAAAGAAAATGACCGCTGTCTCACAGACCTTCATCATCCGCCTCGCGCGGCGCAGCGACATCCCCGCGATGGCGCACATCGTCTACGCCGCCAATCACGATGCCACCAACACGACCGAGGACGAAATGATGCAGATCGCCGAGCTGGATATCGATCCGACCGTGGGGCACAAGTTGTCGCGCGATGAGGAGCTGGTGCGGACCGAAGCGCGATTTACCGAGTTGTTCGACGAGGGTGCGAATCGATTTGTCGGCGTATACCTTCTTCCGACGCTCACGGACGAAGGGGAGAAGGAGAAGGGAAAGGAGAAGCCGGAAGATGGGGAGGTTGTGCCAGAGGGAGCAGTGTTGGTCGGCCAAGCGGTGTGGTTGAAAGTCGGCAAGGACACCCCGTCTGACCAACCGGCAATGGATAAGCTAGTGCAGGACAAGCCGGTCATGATCAGTCGCTTCAAAGCACAAATCACACGGACGAGAGAAGCACAGATGAAAGGGAGGGACTATTGGTGGTTGAAGGTCCTCACTGTGCATCCCGAGTACCAACGACGAGGGTTGGGAAGCATGCTCGTCAAATGGGGCACACAAAAAGCGGACGGAGACGGTTTGCACGGATGGCTTGAGACGAGTCCCATGGGCCTGGGGGCGTATCTGAAAGCAGGCTTCAAAGTCGCCGGCATGGACAGGATCGACGAGCCTCGAGCCAAGAGAGGCCACTTGGAATGGCCGTATATGATCTATGACTCGCGAGGGACGCAGTAGCACGAGCTGACCTACGATGAAGCGTCGACCTTTCTGAGCCGCCAGCCAGCTCTTGGACGTTCAATACCACACAGCCTCCTCACCGTCGATTTTGTCGATTCCTCTGCTTGCCAAGTGTGATCCATTCGTCGTCGGAGAGTCGTCCCGGGGACTCCGCGGGAACCCTCTGTGCTGAGCCTGCCGTCGGCAAGAAAGTGGGGTCAAATTGACACTCCGAGTCATGATCCGGCTACCCACGCGCCGTTGTTGGACCCTGAACGAAGGCCATGCATGCTCGGACCACTTGGATCCGCGCAGTTTCTTCGTGTGACTCCACCACTTTGCCCGGTCGACGGAATGCTCGGTCTTCCGCTATATAGCCCTCCGACTCTCGCACAAGGAATCTTCGTACTTCCAAAACACCTAGATCAGTCGCCAAGATGACGACGGACAGCACCCCGCAGCGATTCGTGACCCGCCTCACGCGGCAATCCGAGATTCCGGATATGGCGCGCATCCAATACGACGCCTTCAACGATCCTCACTCTACCATGCCCGACGAGCTGCCTCAGATCGCGGCTCTCGACGTGGACCCTACCGTCGGTCGCCCGCCCACGCGCGACGAGTCGATCGCCAAGACCATACAACGCTTCGAGGCGGTGTGGGCGAAGAACAAGTATACGATCGTCGGCGTCTACCTCCTCCCTCCGACCGCGAACGATGTCGACATCGGCGAAGGGAGCGATACAGACTCGTCGAGTCTCCCGGAAGGGTCGGTGCTGGTGGGCCAAGCAACGTGGCAGAGGCTAGACGAACACTCGCCTTTGGACGCGCCAGAGATGGAGGAGCAGGAGAAGAAGGAGCCCGTGCTGATACACAGGTTCATGGCCCAGATCCATCGGACCAGGGAAACGCTGATGAAGGGAAAGACGTACTGGTTCCTGAAGGTGCTGACGATCGATCCAAAGTTCCAGCGCAAGGGATTGGGGACGCTGTTGGTCAAGTGGGGAACGAAGAGGGCCGATCGAGAGGGAGTGAATGCTTGGTTGGAGAGCAGCCCCATGGGCAAAGGCGCCTACCTCAAGGCTGGGTTTAGGGTGCTCGGTATGGATCGGGTCGACGAGCCACGGGCCAAGAAGGGGTACCTCGAGTGGCCCTACATGATCCACGAGCCGACGCAGTAGCAGCACGATGATAGAGGGTTGATGGAACAACATGGATTAGATGACGATGGATTATGCAAGTCGTGCTGTGAATTGGACTGTATGAGACGGTGACATGGAAGAAGACCTGCGAATGGGACGATGGACGAAGCAAGAATGCAAGCAGCGTGGCGCGGCTAGAAAGAGGCGACGTGTTCATGCGCTTGCCGGAACCTCCTCTCGCTTCTCCGACGGAGGCGTGACAGGATCGCTCGAAACCTCAGGCTGAAGGTACCTTTTGTACGCAAAGAGGGCGAGCGATGCCAGTGTCGACAACGTCAACGTGCCTGCGATGAATGCGATGAAGCCCGTGAAACCGAAGCTTCCGTAGGCGGATTCGGGGCCGAGCGTATCCGGATAGAATTGCACCGCAATGATGGGTCCCAGCATGGCAGCGAGACCCCGGTAGCAAACGAGATACAGGAAACGCAACGAGAACTCGTGCGACTTGGACCTGTCCGGAATGTCCCTCGATACGGGCGCCAAGAAGCTCGAGTATCCGCCGCCCGTGATGCCGAAGAAGACGACGTAGACGATGAGTTTCGTCAACGACTTGCCGGCAAAGCCAAAGACGAGCACGGTGAAGATAAGGTTGAGCCCGGTCGAAGTGGCCATGATGAGCGGGTAAGGGAAGCGGTCGACAAGGTAGCCGAGCACAAAGTAGGTGACGGCGGCTGCGGCGTTGAAAGCGGAGAGGATGCCGGTCGAGGTGTTGGAGCTGAAGCCCATCGAGGTGGCGTAGTTGGAGATGTTGAGCGCGACCGAGTAATAGGCCGTTGTCTGGGTGACCAGCGCAACGAAGCTGAGGATGGTGATGGGGGAGAGGAGCGAGCGCGGGAAGCCAGGCAGGGCGTCCTTCCATCGAATGGGCTTCGAGGTAGGAGCATGTGGACGACCAGGAGCGATCCACATGACAGCGCCGCCTGAAATGACAAGCTGCATAAGAGCCCACGTTCGCAGTGTCCATCGAAAGCCGACGCTCTCTAGCAGCTTTGTGAAGATGACGGGCCAGACGATGCCGCCGATTCCGGAACCGGCAAAGATGAGAGCGGTGGCGAATCCGCGCTTCTTGTCCCACCAGTCCGGTAGCCACAGGACGACGGTAGTGAAGAGGTTGCCTCCGAACATGCCGAGCAGTAGGCCTTGAAAGACAATGACCAGCGCGACCGAGTTGGAAAAGCTGGCGATGAGGAGCGATAGCGAAGAGCCAATGACACAAACGTAGGTAAAGTACTTGATGTGCGAAGGGAACATCGAGTAGAGGCCAAAGGTAAAGAGCGGAATGAAGTGCTGTCCTGCGAGTAGACAGGTGCCGATGGTCGAAGTGGCGGTGAGGGAAGCGTGGTGGAAAGGAGATCTTTCATCGTGCTGGTGGTAGTCCTGGAAGGAACCGTATCCGTACGAGGCGCCCCAGATCATGAACTCGGTCGCGGCGGAAGCAAGGACAAACTTCCATGCTGCCCAGCCTCGATCTTTGATGGGTTCGTTGGCATCCTCGCGCGAGCATTCGATGGTAGTGGCGCACGATGGCGAGGAGGGCTCGTTGTTGGGCTGATGGTCGTGGTTGGCTGCTTGGTCTTGAGTGTCTGCTGGCAGCGAGCTCAACGGCGTCGATAAGCTGTTGGGTTCGCCGTCGGTGACGGGAGCATCCTTCTCGGGGTCCGAGACGGAGCCTGAGGATGGCTTCTCTTCATCCTGATGCTGAACCACCTCAATCTGTGAGGACGGTCTGTTGTCGAGGCGCTGGAGATGGTGGTAGTGCTCCACTTGGTGTTCGTGCGCGACTTTGTCCATTGTGAAGGTGATTCTGAGACCGTGTGCGTCGCAATCTACTTGTGCCTGTAATGGTATGGCGCAATCGGTCTAGGAGGATGGCGCCATCAATTTGAAGGAGGTGAAGCAAGAGAAAGCTGAGTCGGAGAGCTGCATCAATGGGCCTGCTATAAGTGGGCGAAGGTGGTCTATATTGAGTCACACTTGTGGGAGAAGGAGGAGTGAAAAGGGCAGAGCAACGGTGCAATGTGATGGTTTGAGTTGAAGTGACCGGTGCAGTGAAAAGTGTGACTGCCCAGGAACAAAGGCTCTGTCGGAAAAGACGCCGAGATGAGTCCGATGTGTGGGAGAATGTTTGGGTGGTGACTGTGGTTGGCGGGTCATCCGACGCTTTGCATTGCGCCTGATTCACTCTCTCAGTGTGCGAGAGCGAGCGTGGGAGGCAGCCTGAGATGGGTCAGCCACACAAGGTTGCAGCGGGGCGTGAGAAGGAATGGGCCAAGGTGTGCGTTGGTGGATATGGAGCATGAGTTTGACGTGGATGCTGCCAGAATTTTACGCGACGATATTGACCGGTCTGGCTGTCAAACGAGCTGCGCCATCCTAGCCGAACCCAGTCTGGGGTTCCTCAAAGCCTGCCTAGAACCTCTGGCGCCCCTTCTAGCGCCCGTTGAAGCCTGGACATCGTTGGATCCTGTCGATATGAAACCTTTGCCCTCTCGATCCCATAGACAGTCGCTCAAAACTCGATGTCCGCTTGATCTTATTCGGATGCATAGGCGACTTCGATTCACTCTGAGCGGATGACTCGAACGGCGTCGTAACCCTGTGCTCCTGAAAGGTCTGCTATCAATGCTCGTATCTTGGGCACATGGCTTGCACAGGATGGGTTGCTTCGAGCAAGAGAGCCTGCTACTTGTCGTGCATCGCTTGACAGCTCCCCGTCTTTGTTCTCGCAGAACCTTGCAGGAGAAGCGGAAAACTCGAGTCAAGACCTCACGCTCTGCAGTCTTGGCCACGGGACCCTGATCAACAATTTTTCTTCTTGGAAAATCGGCCGTGGAAAACACCGAACCAGGGTGAGCCGCGGATAATGCCAGATCGTCCGATTTTTCCCGCTTGTCATTGCCAGATCGGAAAGATCGACTGACGTCCGAGGCTCTGCCGACCAGCTTGCTTCCTCGCGATGCTTTCGACCCTTGACACGACCAACACTCGCTGATCCAATCCGCCAAATCCGCCTGCATCCGATGGCGACAATCGGTGCGCAAGGAGCTTGGACGCTGAGATAGACAGGGCTTGATGTTGTTGAGCGCACCCTGCGTATCTAGAAGGCCGACGCAATGCGAGAAATTTCAAGAGGCGATCGCTACTCGAGCACCTGGCTGATTGCAACCTTGCCTGCGGTACGGTGTTCGGCGATGAGTGGCATGCATGCAGGAATCCTAAGAGAGCTTTGGCAAAAGCTTTGAATCACACCTCGATGCGCCCATGCTGACCGCTTTGTCGGGAACGCAAGATCGAAATCAAGCCGTCTCTACTCCATCACACCGGTGCAAGTTCGGCTCTTCACGGAGCGCTTGGGCCTAGATTGTCAAGGTGTGACAGGGCCGAAAGCAGAACGATATGGAAAGTGCGCGAAGCGACGAAGGCTAAACAAGATTCAAGCGTCTGCCACGCGGCATACAAGCAAGATCGGCATTTGATGTCGTATGTCATCATTCCGGCTGTGACACACAAAGTTCCGAAATTGGACGTCAGCAGCACCACACCCACGCCAAGCAAGCCAAAATTTTGAGAGAAATCATCGAATCCTTACCGGTAAGACCAGCGTCTTCTGAACCGGATCGACGACACTTTGCATCATCCATGACTCTCTCACCCTGGTTGGTTCAGATGCACCGAGATACGTCCGCTTGAGTTGCTTGACCTGCATCTCGACGTCTGCTCGTCCAACCCGCCAACGGGAGGCCTTTGCGTCATGGTCGCCAACGCATGCTGCGCCATTACGAAGCGGGTGGTTGATCTTGGACCGACGTCTGCCGGTCAGCGGCGATAGCTTCGTTTGCATGAGACCAGAATCGAAAAGGACAATAGAGAAATAACATGGAACAGGCGCAGGTGGCGGGCGGAGATTAGCATGTCGCACGAGCTCAGATCTTCTCAAAGCGCGCTCGGTTGTATTGCCGCACAGCCATTGTGCTCGCACTGCACTCTCGTGTCTGCGCTCGTTTTCTTCTTCGAGGTGCTAGATTTGAGTTGATTGTGTCGCTAGATGTCTCTTGTCCTAGCCGGTGCTGATTCTGCCGGCGCTCTTGTCCCTGTTGACATATAACCAGCTGCTCTCCTCGCCCATTCCCTCCTTCTTTTCCGCATCACACATCCACCACCAGTTCCACTTCATCCGCCATGTCTTCCGTCAACCTCGGCACCGTCTTCAAGGGCTCGCAGTCCGGCAAGGTCGTCAAGGCCCAGGGCACCGACCGCACCATCAACCCGCGCGATGTCGTCATCGACATCACACACTCTGGTCTCTGCTACACCGACATTCACTACCTCAAGAAGGACATGGTCCTCGGCCACGAAGGTGTCGGTGTCGTCTCGCAAGTCGGCCCCGAGGTCAAGGACTTCAAAAAGGGCGACCGCGTCGGCTGGGGATACAATCACGGCTCGTGCGGTACCTGCAAGTTCTGCAAGAAGGGCCGCGACACCAACTGCTACAAGAACCGCATGTACGCCAGCGCCGATCTCGACCAGGCTTCGTTCGGTGACAAGTTTGTCATCACCGAAGAGTTCTGCCACCTCATCCCTGAAGGTCTCGAGCTGAAGCACGCTGCCCCCTTGCAGTGCGGCGGTGCGACCGTGTTTGGTGCCATGCACCAGTGTGGCGTCTCCTCCGAGGACCGTGTCGGTGTGATTGGTATCGGTGGTCTCGGACACCTTGCCATTCAGTTCCTCAACAAGATGGGTTGCGAGGTCGTCGTCTTTTCCGGTTCCGAGAACAAGAAGGACGAGGCCCTCAAGCTCGGCGCGCACGAGTTTGTCGCTGCCAAGAACAACCCCAAGTTCGAGGGTGTCAAGCCCGTGGACTTCCTCATCGTCACCACCAGCGCTCAGCCCGACTGGAAGGCGTACCTTAGGGTGCTCGAGAAGGACGCTACCATCATCCCGCTCTCGGTCGACGAGGGCAACTTTGAGTTCCCTTACATGCCCATCATTGGCAAGCAGCTCAAGATTCAGGGTTCGCTGGTTGCGACCCGCGACGTGCACGCCAAGATGCTGCAGTTCGCCGCTCGTCACGGCATCAAGCCCATGATTGAGGAGGTGCCCATGACCGAGGAGGGCATCAACAGCGCCGTCGAGCGATTGAAGAAGGGCGACGTTCGTTACCGATTTGTCGCCGTCTCGCAGACCAACAAGCCCAGCTCGGCCAACCTCTGATTCGCTACCTCTTGCGCCATTGATACCTCTTCGGATCTGTCACTTTCTGTACTCTAGCACTCATTCCACCACCTCCTACATCGCAGCAATCTCCTAATAGACGTCTTCTTCCTCTTGATGCTCACATCGTGCGCAGCAACGATGTCGTCCGCCATTATCGTAAAAATGCCTGGCTTGTTAGACTCGATGCTGTTTGTTCCTTCCTAGAAATTTGAGCGTGGCGCCTCCACAAGCTTGGAGCGTGGTTGAGCTGTGAGTGTGACTGCAGCCTGCAGCTTGGCTAAGGAAGCGCGGCGCAGAAGCAGCACAGCGCATCTTCTCGGCAAAGCAAACTCGGCCAAGATGAGCGCTGTGACAGCTTTGAATTGACCCTGTCTTCTGACCACGGCTCGGCTTCTTCTTGCGGCAATCACGATCCTTGGCAGTCCTCGGTGCTTCGCTCCCACCGTCACTGCTCAGTCGAGTCTCCCTACAGGTCTCAGGTAGACACGCCAATATACAGCCGCGACGAACCAAGCCACAGCATCGCAGCTCGAATGGTCGCAATCGTCCAGACCAGGCGCACGACCCCGGTCGCAGCATAGAGCAGTACCGAACACACCATCGCCTGTGGCGCGGACAGTCACCATGCCAGCCCCGTTGATCCCCGCTTCTCGCATGCGCGATGCCCTCCAAATCGTGCACGACTCGATCGAGGACTTTGCCAATACTTACCGGACATGGCTCACGCTCGCTCCAGCATACAGCTCCGGTCCAGCACTACTCGATCCCACTAGCTCGGCCTCGGCATCTTCTTCTACCCAGCACCGGACCAACGCCGAAACCCTAGCGAGAGCCTTCTGCCCCATATCCGGTCCAAGATGGGACGAGCACAGAGACCGCATCGCCGCTTCCACCTCGCTCAAAGGTCTCACTGTCTTGCGCAGCCAGGTCGAGGCTGAACTCCTTGCTCTAGAGAGGTTAGCTACCGAGAGAGGCAGCTGGGAAGATCCACATCCCTATTCGAACGGCACCCATCACATCCGACTCTGGGAGGAGGTGCTGTATGTCGCCTTCACTTACGGACCCGTCCTGTCCATACAGGACCGCTTCGCTTTCAGCATGTCGGCAGCCTTGCGTCGCAAGAAGAAGATGCGCAAACCAAGAGGAGAGAACGTCAACAGTCAGAGCGTCAAGGTCGATGTCGTCGCTCAAAACGGCGATCGATGGACCCGTCTCTACATCATCAAGCCAGAGCGTCTACGTCAGGAGTTCAGAGAGGCTGAAAGCTACATGGTGGACGAAGCAGACTCGAGCTCGGCTTCCGATACAGACGGAGAAGACGACTCGCAACCGTCCATACGCAACGACACAGCGCCGGATACATTTCACGAGCACCAACACACGATCAAGTGCTCCATGAGCGAAAAGGAGAAGGCCCTCTCCTCAGCTCACGCAGAGCGACAGACCGACGATGCCATCGATTCGCTCGCTTTCGACGTCGCTGCAAAGAAGTGCTCGCTCACCAAGCTCATTCACGAGCTTCGTGCTGCCGCAGATACCGAAGCCAAAGCGCGCGTGCAGCGGTCCGAGGAGCACGGCCGTCAGCTGCCCTTTGTGCCTATCCACGTCGAGATCATTGTTACCCGCATGGAGCTGCAAACACCTCTCCAACCACTTCCGAATACCGCCACACAAAGCAAAGAGGCGGCACTCGCCGAGTTCTACCAATTGTCAGAGTGGGACCGCTTCAACCACCGACTCGCTGCCATCACGCAGGAAGCGCAAAGATACAACGTCGACATGGTCTTTGGCTATCGACAGCTACCCGATCGCATCTTGCACAACGTCACTCCTCCCAGCATCGGTCTGACTGTCAGCAAGGATCGAGACAGACCGATGGGCTTGCCACGCATCCCGACGGCACCGCCACGACCGCATTGGCGCACCACGCCCAACATCAACCTCGACGTCACCGCCATGATCGCTCTTGTTAGCGACACCACCCACGGCATCTTTCATGAGAATGGGGCGCAGGACCCTTTGCTTGATGAAGCAAAGCGACATCCCAAGCTCCACGATGGCGAGCACGGTTCCGGCGCCCTCTTTCAGCATCACTTTCGCACCTTTTCCATCCGCAAAGAAGCGCTCGAGGCAAGAGCCGCCGAGTTGTCGCTGCAGGACGACCAGCAGGATGAAGCTTCGCTAGCGCTGGACAAAGCGGCAGCCAAGGAAGGTCGGGCTCTTGCAATCCAGCTCGAACGCGAAATGACGATCGAAACGCTCTTTGACGCCATTCTCGGGCCGATGTGGGATAAGAACAGCTCTGCTGCATCCGGAGAGTCCGCAAAGGGCACGCCGGTCGAGCTCTTCGCGACGGTGGGCGCCTTTGACCGCCTGCGTCGAGTCAGCTCCACCGTCGGAGGGCCCAACGAGAAGCGACGAGTCAAAGCGCTGCTGGGAGATCCAGGAATCGATCCGCAGGACTTTTGGCATGGTTCCAAGTGGGCCGCCCCCGAGCATGACGAGCTTCGTCGGTGCCTCATCCTCCCTATCCAGCCTCTGCAGGATCTGGGTCCGGGAGGCTTTGATTCCTGCACTAGCCTCAAAGAGGTGTATCCGGATCTCCCTCGAGCTCATTTTATCTCGCACATGGTCGATACGCTCGAAAGCTGTCTCAGCGAGCTGTGGGGTCCTGACTGGCGAGACATCTCCGAAGATTTGCCGAGGAGCAAGTACAAAAAGCTACGCCAAAGCACGGTTCATCAAGCAGGCGGTCAAACGTACACGACTCTACGCTCCATGCACGCTTGTGCGAGGTACGGAATGACGACGCTCTCGAGCAACATGGACAGCATCCAGTGGCTGCTCAAAGAGATGAATCGTCGCCCGTACTCACAGCAGACCAAGGAGATCTTGCGCGATACCTCGATGGAAGAGCTAGCGACTTTGCGCAAGCAAGAGCATCCTTTCTATTCTTGCTTTATTGTTCTGCACCCGCGATCGCTCAGCGAGCAAATGCGAGTGACGACAACCGCGCCGGCGTGGAGGGAAGTGCTCGAGGGATATCCCGGTGGACTTGGTCCTCCTGCAGCGCCGACTTTGGACGAAGAGGGTCGCCTGTCAGCAGCCCACGGACACAGCAACCCGAACGGGCACTCGCACGACCACGTACAAGCTTATACGATCGATGATGATAACTACAATGCAGAGACGATCTCTTCGTCCGACGACCACATCACATCGTCCAACGGCATCATGTACTCGGTCGATCCGCTCGCTCGAGCAAGAGAGCACGAGATTGAGACCACGCACGAAAGCACCCTGCCTGGCTCGTCCGACCGGAGCGACAGCTTTAATGGCGGGAGCTTGCCAGACCCGATCAAGAAGTCCAGCACGACTCCCGTGACGCCCCTCAGCTTGCAACCCGAGGTCGAACCCATCTTCTATCAGGAAGGGCGTGCGGACGCTCCGCCACCTTCGAATCCGCGATCAGGACGGGCTCGCTTTCGTATGGGCAGTGGCAAGGGACGCATTCGTCGATGGGTGCTTGGACCAAAGCCTGCAGCCCGCCTCAGCATTCGGCATTACAAATGGTGGCCATTGGCTCGTGTCGAACGGACTTGGATGCGTCTGACCGATCCGTTTGCTTGGAAGGATCCTGCCTTGCGGAGCGATCTCTACAGGAATGGAAGTCACTCCGACTCGGATCGCCAGCTGGGCGACCAGCACTATGAAGACGATGTCCAGCCCGGACTCGTGTGGGCTCGAAGCATTCATGCCGATGTCAAGCTCAACAAGCTGCACTGGTCGCTGCTCTGCCTGGTCTACATCGCCTGGACGATCGGCTTTGCTTACCTGGCCAAGTCGCTGTGGTATCAGTCCTCCGTGGTAGGCTTTGATGGCGTTGCGCGATCGCCCGCCTTTCTTTCGTGCACGTCCACGTACTGGCTCCGAAACGCAGGATGCGGACTCGACGGTCAAGATTGCGAACCCTTCTTCACGCCCGACGGCCAAGTCGGTCAGAACTTCCGCTGTCCTGCCGACTGCATCGATGTGACGCTGCTCAATCCTCGTGCCATCGGCAACCAGAGCGTCAACTATGAGGCGCTCGTCGTTGGTGGCGGCGATGCCGATGGCACCTACCGCGGCGACTCGTTCATTTGCGCTGCTGCCATCCATGCAGGCGTCATCCGGAACTCGAGAGGCGGATGTGGCTCTGTCCGCCTGGTCGGCGCCCATTCGGGATACGAGGCCAGCAGAGCGCATGGCATTGACTCGGTCGGCTTCGACTCGGTCTTCCCGATCGCCTATCGATTCGAAACCACCCAAGGCGAGAGCGACTGCACAGATCGACGTTGGCAAGGCTACGTGATGAACGCCATCATGTCTGCCTTGGTCGGCTTTGTGCTTCGGCCGAAGCGCATCGTGTGGTTCTGGACGCTCGCCTGTGTGGGCTTCTGGCACATCAACCAGGTCTCGTATCTCCGATCCTATCCACCGCCCATCGGCGCGGTGTTTGGCGACTTCTTGCCGTTTCTGTTTACGTGCTATGCCATCTGGCGGTTGGCGTTTCGTTTCGTCTGGCCGGTCTTCGTGCATCTGCCGGTGGAAAGCACCTTCTGGACTTTGGGTTTCTGGTGGATTGGCGTGCTGCTTAACGTGGTGTTCGACAAGGTGCCGATCCAACGACTCGTGGCGAGGGACATTGCGCAGCAGCCGGGCAGCGTGGTGGCCGTCATCATCGTTGCGCTCGTGGTGCTGTTCATCGCGATCAACCAGGTGCGCGTGATGTGGAAGACGGGCTATTTGGCCAAGTACGTCTCGCTGTACATTGTCGGCGGCGTGCTGGTCGGCTTGGCTGCTGCTGTGCCGGGCGAGACGCTCCGACTGCATCACTACATTATCGCGCTCGTGCTACTGCCGGCATGCGCATTCCCAACACGACTCTGCCTGATCTACATAGCGTTCCTGCTGGGCATGTTTACCAACGGTGTAGCGCGCTGGAGCTTCGATGGACTCATCGAGGACACTTCGGTGGTGCAAGGCGATGCCACTGGTGGCACTGGACGGCCTACCTTCAACACCACTTCCAGCACCTGGCGCACCTCGGACGGGCTCGTCAGCTGGAACGCCATTCCGGAAGACCAAGCTGCCGACTGGGACGGATTCGCGCTGTTGGTCGACGACGTGCTGCGCTATCAAGGCCCCGCGACCAGCTGGAATCTCAGCAGTCTGGTCGACGTCTACGCCGAGGAGGGCAAGGCAGACGGCCAATCGGATCTGCCGAGCAACCAGACGATCCGCGAGGTGCCGCACTACCTGCGCCTGGCGTTCAGCTCCGAGGGCAGCCCGGGCGACTTTACCCGAGCTGCGACGGCGGTTTTGGGCAACGGGACGTGGATCGATGCTGCGGATGGTGCGACGTAGGCGAGCAAGGCGTCGGTGATGCAATCAAAGGACAATACAATGCGCGTGCGCCAAACCACAGACTAGAGTTGTGCGAGAAATTTGCGAGATGGGATGACAATGCTGAATGCGATGGTATACTGATACAGATGAGGTTCCCTGTGTGGTCCAGGGTTTGTGATACAAGGTGTGATGCTTTGCGATGGGGCGTTGGGAATGAAGAATCGAGCTGGTGACTTCTACGAGTCGAGCCTCTGTTGATGCTGATCTTCTGTTCGCGCCCGCTTGTGTGGGATTTCTGCTCAACTCGCCTCTTGCTTCTCCGCGCCCTCCTTGGGCCGGGCTATCCTCCTCGTTGGCTGGGCGATCTCTATCCACCCCCCCTTTTTGGTCAGATGAACCTTTTGTCCGACGCCCAGCTGCTCTCTCGCATCCTTTTCTTCGTCGGCGCGCACGCCTCTCGATCCGGAGCGGGCGGCGGGGCAGGGTAGGATCGTCGATGCACTCAACGAGACCGTCAGGATGGACGCGGCAAAGGTGGCGATGAAGAACGTCGATGTGGCCAAGCGGCGGGTGCGCACGGACGGGTTGGAGATCGTACGGAGTGACGACCACATTGTGTGATGTACCCGCTGAGTGTGGGGGGTTGTGGTGGCGTGAGAGGGTGCGTGCGTTGGTGGGCTCGGGTGTGAAGTGTGAGCGTGGTGTGGTCGATGTTGGAGGACGAGCGGAATTCGATGCGATTTGCCTCCGTGCTTGACCGAGTCCGAGAAGCGTCTGTGCGTATAAGAGAGCGTGTGCGGGCGCTTGTGTGTGACGAAAGACTTGCTGCTGCGCCGCCCTTGAGGTGGTAGTGATGCTAGGAGGAAGATGTCGAGCAGGATATGGGCGATAATGGTGATGATTGACATCTCGAGAAGAAAGGTCAAATTTTACGGCCAACCGGAAAGCCACGGGTCCACAGCACCGCGCCGCAACTGCGTATTTGTCAGTCAGAGGTGAGCCTCACTCGTCCGAATTCTGGACAGCAGGGATTCCTTGCTCTGTTAGACCTCAAAATAGATAATCAAATGTTAGACCTTGCGTCCGACCTTGGCGCTCCCCGAGCCTAATTTTTCGGCCAGCCTCGCACAGCAGCACAACGACGTCAGACACGCCCACCAACGGAACTCCACGCCCCTCGCTTGTTGGCGCTAGCAGTAGCGACCTGCCTGTTTAGGCCAACCGAGCCAAACCGGCGCCCGGCGAAATTGCCTTTTTCTGCAGACCCTGTCAAAGTTTGTCAGTCGGAACCTCAACTTTTGGGCGCTTTGCCGATGTTGGAGTGACGACTACGCTCGGGGCTGTCCTACACCGCCGGGTTCGTCGGCCATCCAAGGCTTCCGTGGAGGACGAGGTTGGCGCTAGAGATTGGATCTCCGACGACGCTGTGCAAGCTAGAGAAGAAAGTGGGTCCGTGGCGGCGTGGTTGTTTGTGGCGTGTGCAAGATGCCTTGTGGGAGGAGCGGGACGTGATGACCCGGCGGACCCTGCGTTAGGAGTCTGAGTTGGTGTCAGGTAGGGCAGCGTTGTTCGGTAATCCAGACCTCGGAGACATATAAGGGAAGTCCGTTGTCCTCGTAGTTGCTATGAACACCACACCCTTCTTCCTCCCACTACGCTGACAGGAAGACGGCATCCAATCATCGCCATGCCGACATCAACGACAAAGCTGAGCCTCGGCCTCGCCTTCCTAGCCGCGACCTCGCTCACCACCGCCTACCCGCTGTACACGTTCAACGGCAGTCCATCCGCTCTCCTGGCCCGAGACGACAACAGCACCCTCCAGTCCTGCCTCGCCAACAGCGGCGGCTACGACCTCTCGTACAGCACCTCTTCCGACTACACCGCCCTCTCCACCTCCTACAATTCGCTGTTCGACTACAAGCCTCTCGTCGTCGCGGTTCCCTCCTCGGAAGCCGAGATCTCGGCCATTGTCCAATGTGTTTCCGCTGAAGGGGGCAAACAAAAGCTCAGCCCGCGCTCAGGCGGTCACTCCTACGAGTCCTACTCGCTCGGTGGTCAGGACGGGTCTGTAGTCGTCGACCTGCAGAACTTTAACACCATCGATGTCAATCAGACGACCAAAACCGCTATTGTCGGAGCAGGTGTCCGTCTCGGCCCGCTAGCACAGTCCATCTGGGATCAGGGCAACTTCTCGCTTCCCCACGGCACCTGCCCATACGTCGGTGTCAGCGGTCACGCTCTCGGCGGTGGGTTTGGCTTTCCCACTCGCGCCTGGGGCTTTTTGCTCGATCGGATTGTCGAGATGCGCATGATCGACGTCAACGGTACCATTCAAAACGTCAACAACGAGACCAATACCGATCTCTGGTGGGCCCTCCGTGGGGCGGGGTCGAACAATTTTGGCATCGTCACCCAGTTCACCTTCAGCCTGCTCGACGCTCCGACGAGCATCATCAACTATGCGTATTCGTACAAGACGAATGAGGATTGCGCCAACGCCGTGGTTGCGCTGCAGAGCATGACACTGGCTACGAACGTCGATCAGGGATTGGCGCCCGAGTTCGGTGGTGAGCTGCTGATCGCGGGCTCGGCGGCGGGCGACTTTGATGGCAACGCGTGCCAGCTCTCCGGTCAACACATCTCTACCTCGCGCGCGGATCACGACGCCCTGATCTCGCGCTTCAACACCCTCGCTGGCATCACACCGGCAAGCACCACCGTCACCGAGTACACTTCCTGGCTCGAATCGCTCGAAAACATCATGGGGAGCCTCAACACCTCCGCCCCCATCACGCAGGATCAGTTTTACGCCAAGTCCCTCGTCCAACCCACCCTCGCCACGTACAACTACTCGTCCGCTCTGGCGCTGGTGGACAAGCTGAATGGATACGCCGGATTGCAAGGCACGGGCAACAGCGTCTCGTTTGACTTCCTCGGCCCGCTTTCGTTCCCGAACAACGTCAATGCGAGTGACAGCGCGTTCAATGCGCACACTGCCAGCTTCATCTACCAGTTCTACTCATACGGCTTTCCGTCGAACGACAACTCGGACGGCCAACAACAGGTCTGGAACGCATTCGACGATCTGGTGGAGACGGCAAAGGACAGTGACAGTGCAGCGGACTGGGGTGCATATGTCAACTACGTCGATGCTAGACAGCAGGATTGGGGGTCAGCGTACTACGGACAGGGTCTGGCGAGGCTGAAGGCGATGAAGGAGACGTGGGATGCCGAGGGGGTGTTCTGGTTCCCGCAAGGATTGGCGAGTGCCTAAGTGAGTGGATATGGAAATGCAATTCAATGTTTGGATGTCTTCGAGCTGTGTTTGTGCTTGTGCGTGCTGCGTGTGTGGTAGACATCGTCAGCTCCAGCGTCTGCCGACAACGAGCCCGTTCTCGCGCTGTCAGGTCTGTCCGGGCAAGACTGTGCAAATCAAGGCTTGAATTCACGGCGCCGCTGCGGAACGTTTTTGCTCCGCTCGCCTCCACCTCGCGAGCACGACGTCATGTGCTTTCCCCTTGACCCCGGCTTTTTACACCATCGCAACCTCTGCTTCCCCCTTACCATTACACGGATCTCATTGTTGAGTAGGGATCAATCATGCCGCCGAAGAAGTCCACTCCGACTGCTGGTGAGCCGCGTCGCTCGACACGCACCAAGACGGCCAGCTCCAAATCCTCCGACTCCAAGACCAAATCCTCCACGTCGTCGAAGAACACTTCCACGCCAGCCAAATCCAAGTCCTCCCCCGCGAAAAAGACCCATGGTAGCAAGCACGACACGCACGATGCGCCCGCAGCGCACAACGCCACTGCGTCGCACCTGCCCAAGAAAGGCCAGAAGGTCACCTGGAAAGCCATGCCCGGCTGGGTCGAGGGTCACGTGCTCGAGATTCTGACCGAGGACAAGACCGTGGATGGCAAAAGCGTCAAGGCGACCCAGGAGGATCCGAGGATCGTGCTCAAGAGCCACGGTCCCAGTGGCAAAACCGCTGTCCACAAGGCGAGCGCTGTTTGGTTCGACTAGTATCCCGTCACAGAGATACCCAGACTAGAAAGTGGGTTGCTTCCGGTGCTTCTCAACGTGGTATACGACGCTGAGCCCTGTCACGGCAACTCTCTACCCCACAAGTCTATCTGAATCAGCATGAACACGCGCGAACCTTGGAGGAAGAAGTTTCGACACAATCGCGTCCTTGTGCACCTTTGAGTCCGCTTATGCTTCGCCTCCTCCTTTGCGTGCCATTGAACCCGTCTCTTCAATCTGATACCGCACTTTGACCCGGCGATCTGGCTAGGGCATACTGTGCACGCCGTTTCACTGAGCAATCCAATGCCTTGTTCTCTCGCATTCGCGGCTATGCAAGTTCTGTGAGTGGCAGACCCGATCTGCAGCTGTCAAAAATCGGCCCCACGCGGCTAGGTTTCCGAGGATTTTGGCGGGGCGCGGAAGCTCGACCGAGAACGCGGCGCGAGATAACAAAGTTCCCGACGCTGGTGGTGGAGGCGAACCCTGACCCGCTGTGCTTCTCGGAGCATCCTTGCTGCTGCTCTTCTCATCCAAGTGTCAGCTGCGTGCTATAAGGTACGTTGAGGCTTACTTTACGACCATCATACCCACATACGCTGACGAGATCAGATCAAATCATGGCACCGATAGCTTCATCCACGCTGCTCGCTCCCAGCGCCAGCATGACCTCCTCCTCCTCGTCGGTGCGCATCTGCATCGTCAATCCGAACAGCTCTTCGATCATCACAGATGCTCTTTCCACCACCCTCTTACTCTCCGCGCCACCTTCGACCAGCCTCTCCTTCCTGACCGGCCCGCCATCCTCGCCGGCGAGCATCCAGACTCCTGCCGAATCGATCATCTCCGCCGCGGAAACGTACAAGCACCTCATCACCACCTCTCCCTCCCAGGACCTCTCGCTGTACCCGACGGATGCGTTTTTGGTGGCATGCTTCTCGGACCATCCGCTAGCGCCCATGCTGCGCCCGTCCGGAAAGCCAACATTGCACCTGCTCGAAGCGGCCATCCTGCACGCGCTTCTCGTCGGCGTCAAATTCGGCGTGCTGACAACGGGAAAGAGCGTCGTACCCGATGTCGAGGCTGGCGTGCGTCGCGTCATGGGCGGCAACAGCGACAGGTACATCGGCACGCATGCTACCGGACTAGGCGTGGTCGAGCTCAAGGAAGGCGATCGGGGCAAGATCGAGCGCAAGATCAAGGTGGGCGTGCAGGAGCTGGTGAGGATGGGTGCGGATGTCATCGTGCTTGGGTGCGCCGGGATGGCAGGGATGGAGCGGCTGGTGAGGGAGGGCGCCGAGGAGGTGGGAGGGATGGTCAAGGTCGTCGACGGCGCCAAGGCGGGACTGCAGTTGCTGACAGGGCTCGTCAGGGCTGAGGACGATTCGTAGCGTCACACACTCAACTCAAAGAAAGGGGGAGGTCCTCAGAGAAACCGAGACATTGCATGCGAGACGAAGGCGGAAGCGAGAGTTTGGTGCTCGTGCAGCCGCAGAGGTACAATTGAGGTTTTGAAAGGGCTCCTCGTGGGGCAAGCATGGATGCTGGAGTGGCATGCGACAATGTGCCCTCCGAGAAAGATGCGAGACTCTCGGTTTGCGCAATCTCGGACTGACTGCGTCCAACAAGGGCACGATGATAGCGAGCACAGGAACGAAATACAGAGGCAGCGAGCGACAATGCAGATGCGGCTGGCGCGAGACGTTGCGCGGTGTAAGGTTGCACGCGTCCAGAAGAGGACTCACGCAGGGCGAGACCAAGTTGGAGCGGAACGATCGCAAGAAGCACTGTGAGCGCGTCAGCGCTTGGACGTGCAATTCAGACCAAGTCGCAACAGCGAAGCGAGCGCTGCAGGCGTGACCGAGATCAAAGCTTTGTTCAGTCGAAGCTGACAACTCAAAGAACGGCGCGAGCGAGGCAGAGGCGAGAAAGGGGCACGAGACCTCACAGACACTGCAGACAGCGCATTGGAGATGGAAGTTGCAAAAGGAATCCCGTTTCGATTGGACAAGAGGAAGTTGACAGTGATACATGCAGACGAAAGCAACAAGAGGCGGGGAAGGGTGGTATCTGGATGCATGGACAGGCCTGTGCAGTTCGTCCGAAGGCGATCGTGTATTTTTGAAATTTGTTAGATCCGCCAGAGCCACTTACGCCTCGTACTTGTAGGCAAGGCTGGTGTTGGCGACGACGCCCTCGACCTTCTCGGCGGAGCTCTTGTCGTCGGCCAGGTCGGAGCTGCGAGCGGCAGCGACCTGCGAGTGCGAAGCGAACATGTCGACCTCGGTAGTAGCGAACTTGCGGGCCGAAACCTTCTGCTCGAAGAGAACGTCGAGGGCACCGTACGATCGGTCCTTGGTCTCGGGCAGGCGGAAGTAGGTCCAGATGATGCAGAGAGCGCCGGTACCAGCCCAGAAGTATCCAGCCTTGGCTCCCCAGTTCCACTCGGTGGAGTTGAGCATGCGAGGGGAGAGGACGTTGGCGATGATGCCGCCGACGTTGTAGGCGTTACGGGCGAGGACGATGGTCTTGGCGCGGAGACGCGTCGACGAGATCTCGGCAACGAGACAGTAGCAAACAGGACCCACGGTCAAATCGTAGATGAAGGTGAAGATGAGAAGAGTGGAACCGATAGCCCACGAGACAGCCTTGTCGTCGGCCTTGAAGGCGAGACTGCCGGCGATGATCATGAGGGCAAAGAGAGCGATCTGACCGTAGAGGTAGAGCGCACGACGGCCGATCTTGCGAAGGAGCAACCAAGAGCTGAGAGTACCGCAGAGACCCATAGCGAACTGACCAATGGAGAGGTTGAAAGCCTGATCGGTGGGGAGACCGGCCTTGACGTAGAAGTAGGAGGAGAGACCCATGAGAGGACCACCGCAGAAGACCTGGATGAGCCAGACGACGGCGGCAATCTCGGTACGGCGACGGTCGGTGCGCTTGAAGCAGTCCCAGTAGCTTCCACCCTCGGCGGCGGCCTTCTCGAGCTCGTTGGTGTGGATCATCATCTGGACGGTCTGGTCAGCCTCGTGGTCGGAGAACTCGCGGTCATTGGCGGCAAGGCGGCGGAGCGAGTGCTTGGCGTCCTCGAGGCGGTTCTGGCGGACGAGCCACCAGGGGGACTCGGGAGCGAACCAGCATCCAATGAAGATGGGGACGGGCCACAGCCACTGGATGGCGTAAGGGATCTTGTAAGCCCAGTGGTCAGTGCGGTTGACGGTGGCGCGGAGGAGACCCGAGGCGATGAGCTGACCAACGACCCAGCATCCGTTGACCCAGGTGGTGAGGAAAGGACGAAGGGCGACGGGGGTGACTTCGGCGGCGTAGGCGGTGGTGAGGGTCTGGAAGCAACCCCAAGGCAGACCTTGGAGAATCTGGCCGACGAGGAGGACGGTAAGGTTAGGAGCGAAGAAGGGGATGAAGATGAAAGCGGTCATGAAGACGAGGGCGGTGAGGATGGTCTTGCGGTAGCCGAAGCGCTCGGTGGCAACACCGGTGAGCTGGAGACCGATGATGGAACCGACCTGGGAACCGTTGAGGAGACCGGTCTGCCACTTGGAGGGGATCTCGCAAACGCCGGCGGCGTCGCAGTGGCCGTACTTGCGAGCGAAAGCGGGCATGGCGAAGAAGTTACCGAGCAGGAGGGTGTCGTAACCCTCCATTACGACGGCGAGGGAGAGGATGAGGGAGAAGAAGATGGCATTGGGATAGGTCTTGAGGGCCTTGCGGATGCTCATGTTCTCCTGGGCCTGGGTGGCCTCGTGGGCATCGTGAACGAGCGCATCGTAGTCCTGGACATTGGACGCGATGGCGGCGGCGGCCTTGGAGTCGATGCGGGCGACGTCTTGAGCGTCGGTGAGACCCATGATGTCGTCGAAGAGAGGTGGAGTGTAGGGAGGAGAGGATGAAGGAGGAGGGTTGGATGGTGACGAGGGACGGAGAGGATGGGATTGGACGTCAAAGATGGTGTGATAATATAGCCATTCGGTCTCGGAACGTGACAATAGAGAGAATGCAATGCGGGGTGACTATAGCGGCGTGGTGTGATGGTGATGGGATGCTGGGTGCTTGCGTGGGAAAGGTGACTGTAGCGAAGGGAGCGACCGAGCTAGGGTCGAGTGCGGAGAAGGAGCGAGGGTTCGAGGCACTTGGGCAGTACGGAGAGAAGGTTGTGAGCGAAAAGGAGGTTGTTCGGAGCAGCCGTGGAAAGGGTGATGCTGCCAACCTAGTAGATGTCGGAAGGTTGCGATGGTGTGTTGGAAGGGAGCGTGGCCGCGTGGGGAAAGGCGGGGTCAGGCTGGAGAAGCCTCAAAGGCAGCGAGCGCAACGGACAATGGCCGCTAAGGTCTGTCCTCGGTCAGACGAGGCTCGTCTTGCTAGACCAAGCCGGGCGCCGAGTTGGAACGGATTGCGGGGTTAGTGCGACAGTCGAGCGTATGGAGAGGAGGAGGCAAAGGCGGGGACGGAAGAATGGAGAGAGCCATTCGAGATCGCCCGAGACTGCTCCTTGTTGCCTACAGCCAAGGATCATGACTTGGTCCGGAGAGTTCTCGGTCGAGCTGACCATTTGCTACTCCGTCCCTTTGCTCGCTCATGCTTTCTGTTCCAGATCCCGTCTTCCACTCATGGTTGGCCGCGTTGCATGCTGCACTACATCGAACCAGGTCGACACGATCGCGGGTAGTCAATAGCATGACGGCGACGGTCGTGTCTCTGGATTGAATTCCCCCTCGACGCAGATGAAGAGAGGAGCGAGGGGCAAACCGCGCCATTTTGAGTGGGGAGAAAGGCTCATTCATGCCAGGGCCCACTGCGGAGAGTCCCATGAAGAGAGGAGACGCCTTTCATGCCTCAGGTTCATTCTAGAACTCGGGCAAGGCTGTCTGTTTTTGGCTTCAAGCAGATGGAGCGGGAAAATCGAATTCGATGTGGTCCAGAGCCGTCCCGGAAAAAGGCGAATCTCTCCACACTGGCAAAGTGCCTCCTCTTGTTACCCCAGACTTTTCTCAACTGCCACATGGAGGGCTCGCCTAGATGAAAGCGAAACCAAGCTGCAGTTGCCCCCATCCCAAACGCAACTGGGCCCAGCTGATGGTTGCCTGAAGCAGGAACGAGAGCAACGAGCCTTGTTTTCGCCGCTCCACTTTCAAGCCAGAAGCGCGGCTCGTTGGTGAAGCACAGCCATATCGACGGAACATCCGTTCTCTCCTCTGCGAGCGGCAAGGTGTAGTCTCGTCTGTCTTTGAGTGCTGCCGATATTGAACCAGGCGAGCAATACTTGGCAGAGAGGCATTTCAATTGCGACATCTCGTTTTGAATTCAGCCGGCACTCGAGGAAACGAATTTGAGTGGCAAGTTGACCGCTCTGCAGCTGCAACGGAGGCGAGATGGTCAGCTGATGTGTAGCGTAGCAGATACGCTCATACAGCTCCTTCTCCATCCTCGCGCCGTATTGAGAGAGCAGAGAGCCTCATCTCCATCGTTGTTCAGCGACTTCGCTGAGTCTGTCTGGCATGCAAGAGGAGGTCACGGCAAGTACATGATGCTTCTCAGTCCCATGACCGTATTTTGGCATCATCCGACAGGCATTGTTCGTCTGGATCGTTCTGGGGCACCTGCAGCCTTGCTTCGACCGACGGAACCCGCTTTGACTCTAGAGGGTCGACTGTACCAATACACGATGCAACCAAGCGGACTCTCAATGTGCCGCTTTCATGGCAGCGGACGGCAGCCGTGCGGGCAGGCACAGGCCTCACAGGCGGACGGAAGATCTTCGGCGAGATTCTCCACGCGGCAGACGGGACCCTTTTGACAGACGCCCCTGGCAGCCTCCAAGTCGAGAAGCCTTGTCGAGACTGCAAACTGCCCGAAAGCCGGCAGTCATCTCAAGCTTCGGCTGCGCATGGTCCTCAACCGCTCACACTTGGCGCTCGCTTAGAAGTGGATTGTTGGTACGGACGGCTGGAAGGAGGCGGGGCAATGCGGATATGGACGAGTCTCGGTGCGATTTCGCTGCTAGCCCAAGGAGAAGTCATAAAGCCATCTGCTGCCGCAACTTGGACTCGTCGTCGCGCTTTCGGGTCGTTTTCGGCGCTGAGTCGGGGCCCCGAGCTTCTGCACCCATTGGTGACTGCGGTTGGCCGCTCCGTCCCTCGAGCCCCACCCACATCGTCTGGCGGAGGCTCGGTCGACGGACCTCGGTTGGATGCCCAATTTTGCTGGTCCGGCATGTCAGATCGAAACCATTTGCCGCGTCACTACTTCGGACGATCTCTCTCTTCCTTTGCTGAGATCCGCCGTCAAGCGCGAACCAGCCTTGTCAATCTCGCCGTCTGCTGGTACTTGTTGAGCGAAATCAACCATGTCGCGGCTGCTGCGCTTTGCTGGAACGCTGAGCTTGGCACTTGACAGTGCTGCGTTGGAGCCACGAATAGAGCCTACGTAGAAGCAGAGCTGCATGCAAGTTGTCCATGACAAGTTCGGCCGCCGTCAGCAGCAGCCAGGTGGGCAGCGTTCTCGATCAAGCCTCATCACCAAACAATCTCGTTCAGGGTCCTGTTGAGCGCGCGCCTCTCGGGCCAAAGAAGAACACCGAGGGTCCTTTGGAAATGCATACCCATGCACGCTACGCCCCGGCTCTGTGACGTTTTTTGCGTGTTGTTCGACGCTAAACTGCTCAAGTCTCACCGAAAAGACCAGATCAGAGAGGTGTGTGCGCGTACAGACCACCAGCCAGGTCACTTTCGAGCGCTACTCGGTGTATCTCCAGCGACTAGGTCGTTCAGCGGCGACCTTTTCTCCGGATGGACCTGTACCGCCCAACATCGATCCTTGCTCAGAAGATTCGCTTGGCAGGTCCCCCCGCATCCTCCCCCACTTTCCCTTGAAAAGGTCGCCGCACTGTCGCTTCGCCCCTGTGCTTCCCTCCGGAGGATCTTTGCTCAGCCTCGACCAGATCGTCTCCGGTAACCCTCCCGGTCCCTTCATAAGCAACCCCGCGTCCTCCTCGTCTTATCTTCCTCTTCCTCCTCTATCGTCTGCCAATCGTCGACATCACCCTCTCGCACTTTTAGATCCATATCTCTCCCATTCCCCTTTCGCCCCTCTCCCATTCCCCTTCCCAATACGGAAATGCCTTCCAACGAGTCCATGGTCGGCTCCAGCTCGCGTACCTTCTGGTTCCGCGATGCGATCATCTACCAGATCTGGCCCGCCTCGTTCCGCGACAGCAACGATGATGGCATGGGCGATATCCAGGGTATTATCAGCAGCCTCGACTACATCAAGTCGCTCGGCGTAAACACCATCTGGCTCTCGCCCATGTACGACTCGCCCCAGGTCGACATGGGTTACGATATCTCGGACTACGAGTCGGTCTACCCTCCCTACGGAACCGTCGCCGACATGGACGAGCTCATCAAGCAGTGCCACAACCGCGGTCTCAAGCTTATTCTCGATCTTGTCATCAACCACACCTCGGACCAGCACGCCTGGTTCAAGGAGTCGCGCAAGTCCAAGGACAGCCCTAAGCGCGACTGGTACATCTGGCGACCCGCCAAGTACGACGCTGATGGCAACCGCAAGCCGCCCAACAACTGGCGCTCCAACTTCAACCAGCCCGCCTGGACCTGGGACGAGCAGACGCAAGAGTACTACCTCCACCTCTTCTGCCCCGAGCAGCCCGATGTCAACTGGACCAACGACGATTGCCGCCAGGCCATCTACAAGAGCGCCATGGAGTTTTGGCTCGAAAAGGGCGTCAACGGCTTCCGCGTCGACACGGTCAACATGTACTCGAAGCCCATGGACTTCCCTGACGCTCCCATCGTCGATGAGGGGGCCGAGACGCAGCCTGCCGGCATGCTCTACTGCAACGGCCCCATGATGCACACCTACCTCAAGGAGATGGGTGCCATCCTCGAGCGCTACGATGCCATGACCGTCGGCGAGCTCCCCAACACGCCCAAGACCGCCGATGTCGTCAAGTACGTCTCGGCGGCCGAGAACGAGTTGAGCCAGGTGTTCCAGTTCGACATTGTTGACATCGGTCGCAACCCGGTGGACATCATGGAGGTCGGCCAGTGGAATTTGCCTGACATGAAGCGCATCGTCGAAAAGTGGCAGCGCTTCACCGAGGGCAACGATGCGTGGACCACCGTCTTTATCGAGAACCACGACCAGGGACGATCGATCTCGCGCTTTGCTTCCGACAAGCCGGAGCACGTCACCGACTCGGGCAAGTTGCTGGCGCTCATGAACATGACACTTTCCGGCTCGGTCTACGTCTACCAGGGCGAGGAGATTGGCATGACCAACGTGCCTTCCACCTGGGCGGCCGAGGAGTACCTCGACATCAACAGCATCAACTACCTTGCTGCGGTCAAGAAGCGCACCAACAACGACGCCATGGCGATGGCCAAGGCGCTCGCGGGGGTCAACCTGCTAGGTCGTGACAATGCGCGCACACCCGTTCAGTGGTCGTCGGCGCCCAACGGCGGCTTCTCCAACACGCCCACCACCAAGCCCTGGATGCGCACCAACGACAACTACACCTTGATCAACGTCGAGGCGCAACAGGAGGACCCGGCGTCGGTGCTGAACTTCTACCGCAAGGCCATCGCGGTGCGCAAGCAGCGCAACTCGCTGCTCGGCCACGGCCAGTTCCGTCTGCTCGAGGAGGACGACGAGCATCTGTTCAAGTTTGTCAAGATCGCCGACAGCGGCGAAAAGGCGTTTGTGGTGCTCAACTTTACCGACAAGGAGCAGACGTACGAGCTGCCATCGGAGCTGAGCAGCGCAGAGGCCGTGCTCGACACCAGGGACGATGGCCAGAAGGGCTCACTCAAGCCGTACCAGGGAAGGCTCTACGTCGCTGCCAAATAGAATTTCGCTTTTGTCTCTCTAGATTCCCACCTGCTTTGCTTCAATCTCACTCGGGTCTTGCTAAGATCAGACGGCGATTCTTGTGACAGTGTCCCGATTCCGTGATGATCTAGATGAGCTCCATATATCTCTCCATCTCCCAATTCGTCACCGTCTGATTAAACAGCTGCACCTCGTGCAACCTCGTGCCACCGAAGTGATCCACCAAGGTATCACCGAGCGTCTTTCTCGCCAGACTGTCCTTGGCCATGAACCTCTGTGTCGCCGCCTCGAGCGATGTGGGCAGGTAGACGAGGTTCTGCTCCTTGATGCTACGTGTGGTGTCCATGGGCGCGAAGGGGAGGGGGAGCTTGTTGGCGATGCCGTAGAGTCCCAGGGCGAAGACGGCGGCGAAAGCGTACTGCGAGTTGAGATCTGCACCGGGAACACGGACCTCGAAGCGCGTGCCGTACTCAGGCACGTCCGGCGGGCCGAGGATGCGCACGGACGCGAGACGTGAATCGTAGCCGTAGGAACAGATGTTGGGCGCCCAATAGGCTTCGCCAGTGGTGAGACGCTTGTAAGAATTGATGGTCGGACAGAGGAGAGGCATGATGTCCGGCAGACCTGTCATGACTCCCGCCAGAAACTGCTCGCCAACGGTGGAAAGGTATTTGACGTCGTCGTACTTGGCATCCGCTCTCCCGCCGGCGTCGATCTCCTCCTTGGTGAGCGCAAAGACGTTCTTGCCCGTTGATGGGTCACGAAGCGAGACGTGGATGTGTCCAGAACAGCCGGCGAGGTTGGCCCAGGGCTTGGCCATGAATGTTGGGATGATACCGTGCTTCATACCCACCGATTTGGCGAGCAGCTTGTAGAGGACAGCCATGTCGGCCATCTGTGTCACCTCGGTGTAGGCAAGAGCCGTCTCGTAAACGCCTGGTCCGGTCTCGGTGTGGTGTCCTTCGATGTCGATGCCAAACGCTTCGGCAGCGTCGAAGAGCTCGAGGAAGTAGTCCTTGTTGAGCGTGGTACGCAGCATCGAGTAGCCGTGATTGCCCGGTGTCAAAGGTGTGAGCTTGACAAAGCCCTTCTGTTCGACGGTCTGCGCTGTCTCTGCGAACTGGAAGTACTCGAACTCGGCGCCAGCCATACAGAGCAAGCCCAGATCCGACTCCACCTTGCTGGTCACCGATCGGAGCAGGTTTCGAGGACAGACGGGGAGCGGCGTGCCATCCGCATTGAAGAAGCGAATGAGGAAGAAGGGCATATTGTCCTCCCACGGAATGCGACGGTAGGTGTCGAGGTCGATCTTGGCCGACAAGTCGCGGTAGCCATTGGCCTTGTTGGAGACGAGCAGCTCGTTGGAATAGACGAGATCGTGCATGTCCCACCCAAAGATGACGGAGCAGAAGCCAAAGTCCGAGTCGGGCTTTGCGGCGGAGAGAAATTTCTTCTTGGAGACGTACTTGCCGCGGACGATACCGTCGACGTCGATGCCTGCTAGCTTGACCTTGTTGTCATCTTTGAGGAGCTCCTCGAGGTCTTTGTACGTGATTTGCTTTTTCGACATGGCGGTCCTAGTCGCGGGCGGGAGATGATGGCGGCGGTGATGGTGGTAGGAGATGAAGCGGTGGTGGCTGCGAGCCTGTGCGTGACCCGTGATAAGGTATTGTCACGGTCCCCGGTCGGAGCTGGAAAGTGTTTGGATGTGATTGCTTGCAAAGGGGCACAGCATGCATCATCGATGGCGGATCGGCCGCGTGACCCTGAGAAACGCTTTAATCCTAGGAATCGGCTGGTCCGAGCACATGGGTGGTGCCGCTGCCGAGGCAAAACTGACAAGAGCAAAAGTCTTATCGGCAATTCCAGGAAATGCACCGAGCAGTCGGAAAAGTCACACGCACGAGCAATCTTGTTCCCACGCCACACTGACCTTTCTTCTCATCCAACTATCATACTTTTGTCAGCTTCCGAACATGTCGTCTATCCAAACTACAATCGCGCCGTACGACCAGAGCGTTGTCTGCAAGAAGCAGCTGCTCTCCGAGGCAGAGCTTGACAAGGCTATCCAGACGGCAGCTGCTGCGCAAAAATCATGGGCCAAGGTCCCCGTCGAGGAGCGAGTGGCCATCATCACCAAATGGATGGGCATGCTCGACGCCGACAAGGAAGAACTCGGCAAGGAGCTGTCGGTGCAGATGGGTCGACCAGCAGGACAGTGTGCTGGTGAGATCAAGGGTGCTGTCCAGCGATGTCGATACCTCTGCAAGGTGGCAAAGGACAGCCTCGCCGACAAGCCCCAAACCGAAACCGAGACTCCCAACCTCAAGCTCGCCATCCGACGTGATCCATTCGGTGTTGTCGCCATTGTGACGCCGTGGAACTACCCCTACCTCACTACGGTCAACGGCCTGATCACCGCTTTGCTCGCTGGTAACGCTGTGGTGCTCAAGCCTTCGCCGCAGACACCGCTCACCGCCGAAAGCTTCCAGCGCACCCTCGAAGCAGCTGGTCTGCCCAAGGGTCTGTTGCAGATTGCCCACCTCGATTTCGAGACCACAGCCAAGCTAGCCGCAGATGCTCGCATCGGCTTCCTCATCTTCACGGGCTCGGTGGCTGGTGGCAAGGCGCTTGCTAAAGCTGCCGCTGACGGTCCAGGCTTCAAGGGTGTGGGTCTCGAGCTCGGCGGCAAGGACCCAGCCTATGTACGTGCAGATGCCGATATCGAATGGGCTGCCGAAGAGCTGGTGGACGGTGCCATGTTCAACTCGGGTCAGTCGTGCTGTTCGGTGGAGCGTATCTACGTCCACGCCTCGGTCTTCGACAAGTTTGTCGAGGAGTTCGTTGCTGTCGCCAAAGGCTACAAGCTCGGCGATCCTAGCCAGCCAGGCACTTCGCTTGGACCTGTGGTGAGCCTCGCCTCGGCCGATCGCATCCGCAAGCAGGTCGACGATGCTCTCAGCAAAGGAGCCAAGAACCTCATCCCAGACGATCTCTTCCCCGAGGCCAAAGCAGGCACCGCGCTCGTGGCACCCACCGTGCTGGTCAACGTCGACCACTCGATGGAGATCATGACAGAAGAGACGTTCGGACCCGCGATCGGCATCCAGAAGGTCGACTCGGACGAAGAGGCACTCAAGCTCATGAACGACTCGCACTACGGCCTCACCGCTTCCATCTGGACCGACATTGAGAACGCCGACTCGGCCGCTGCCTTCGACAAGCTTGCCACCGAGCTCGAGACAGGTACGGTATACCTCAACCGCGCCGACGTCCTCGACCCCGCTGTGCCCTGGACCGGTGTCAAGGACAGTGGACGCGGTGTCAGCTTGAGCACGCTTGGATTCGACCAGCTCACGCAGCCCAAGTCGATCCATATGCGATTGCGCAAGGCCTGAGTCGAGATCACATCTCTGAGAACTGCAATTACAATCAATTAAGATAGATACCGGTGTGACTGCTGTGTGAATCTGTGTCCGTGTGAACACCGGTGAAGCCTGGCTGAGAGTGCTGTTGACCGCTGCGGGGTTGACGGTGCGTCTGCGATACGCGGCCCGCGCTTGCCTTTGTCGCTCCGGCAATTTGACCGAGATCCTGGAAGAAAAGAGAAAGAAACAGAATTGATCCGCGGCAGACACGCGCTGGCTCATCTCATGCGGGTCTGCTTAACGAGTCTCTTGGAAGATAAGACGCTTTGCGGAGTCGGAAATTGCAATCACGCAGTCCAGTCATCAACCCCAACCCGCACTTCCACTCTGACCTTCAGCTCGGTCACATCCTTCGCTCAGACCATCATCTGCTTCGACTCAGCATCACACTCTCACACAATTCCAACATGCCTGGCCTTCGTCTCCCTCACCGTGTCGCTGTCATCACCGGTGGCGGCTCCGGCATTGGCCGTGAGTGCGCTCTCCTCTTCGCCTCCGAGGGTGCCAACGTCGTTCTCGCCGACATCAACCTCGAAGCATGCCAAAAGACTGCTGACATGGTCAACGAGCGCTTCAGCAAGGCTGAGCTCCCCGTCAAGGCCATCGCGATGAAGTGCGACGTCAGCAAGGAGGACGAGGTGGCCGCCATCGTTCAGCGTGCCGTCGACGAGTTCGGTCGTCTCGATGTCATGGTAAGTAGAACCTCTTCACTGTCGCCGCTGCAACGCAACGCATATGTGCTCATCATGACTGCTCTCTCCTCTTGGTCACGTCTTGCAGTTCAACAACGCCGGTATCATGCACCCTGCCGACGACAACGCTCTCAACACCGAGGAAAAGATCTGGGACCTCACTCAGGCTATCAACGTCAAGGGCGTCTGGTATGGCTGCAAGCACGCCATCGTTGCCATGCGCAAGAACCCGACCGACGACTCAAAGAACCTTCACGTTGGTGGCTCCATCATCAACACCGCCTCCTTCGTGGCTCTCAGGGGCGCAGCGACACCTCAGATCGCCTACACCGCTTCCAAGGGAGCCGTTCTCGCCATGTCGCGCGAACTCGCCATGGTTCACGCTCGCGAAGGCATCCGTGTCAACTCGCTCTGCCCCGGGCCCCTCCAGACACCGCTGCTCATGGACTTCCTCAACACACCCGAGAAACTCAACCGTCGTCTCACTCACTTGCCCCTCGGTCGATTCGGCGAGGCTGTCGAGCAAGCCAAGGCCGTCCTGTTCCTCGCTACCGACGAGTCCTCCTACATTCTCGGCCACGATCTTCTGGTCGACGGTGGCCTGTCCGCAGCTTACGTCACCGCCGAGGGCCAGCCCGTCCTGCCTCCTCCTAAGAGCCTTGTCTAGGAGCACGATCCCGACAACACGCATCCCTGTTCCGACTAGACGCAACGGTCCGACATTCACACCATGTACCGTGACAACAATCAGATTTCATTTCAATGCCGCCGCAATCGCTGTGAAGCCGCCCCTCATTGGGTAGGGCTGGGACAGTGATCAGGGAAGCCTTTCGGGTTGCCGAACCACTGAGCATCGGTGCGACCAATGCGCACCACGGTAAGGAGAACAGAAACAGTGGCAGGTCAGCAAAGATGTCGCAGTCCACTCGCCCGCTCGTCGTCTTTCGCATACTTACCGTCGGGAACTTCCTCTCCTTACCAGCCGCGCCAAACACGGCGAAGCTCAGCACAAAGATGACGAGCAACGACCCTCCATCCCATCCAGCCCCTACAACGTAGTTGAACTGCTTGAAGTACCTCGGATATCTGGTTCGCACCCACACCTGCGAGGTGATGGCAACCAGAAGGATGGACAGCACCACACAATTCTGACCCGACACCAACAGGCTCGCCGAGTAGAATACGAGAGGTAGGATCAGATCCGTCGTTTTGAACCGACCCACCTTGGGCACGTAGCGGCAAAACAGCCATTGCACCACCACCGCCAGCATACCATACACGGTCGCCATCGGGATGACAAAGTACGCCGTACCCGGACGATACACATACTTGGCCATGCTCCAGCTCACCGCGCTGATGTTGAGCGACTGATAGTACGCGCCGGACCACACGTTGCTCCCCGTGTTGGTGTGCAGCAGCGCAAACTTGGACGCCACAATGGTCGACATGACGGCGTAGTTGATGAAAGCACCGTAGACGGCGCCCATCACCTGGGTCAGAAAGAGCGTCCGCGGCGGGATCTTGAGGTACTGGCCCATCTTGAGGTCGTTGCACATGTGGATCACCTGCGTGATGGTGCTGTGCGACCAGCCGTAGAAGTACAAATTGGCGAGCGGGCGCCCGGGGGCCACGACGCCACCGATCATCTTGGTGATGTTGGTCGTGCTCACCGCGTCGCCGAGCAGGGCGTAGAGCACTCCGGAGATGGGTGCGACCACCGCGCCGACGAGCAGAGAGACGAGGTATGCGTACCAAGTCATTGTTGTCTCTCGGGTCAGCACGACGATCAGCCCAAAGACGAAGGAGATGACGAGCAGGATGAGGTACCACCAGTGCGGCGCCTCGGGATACTTCTGCATCCCCCGCCAGTGTCGATCGGGTTGCGTCTTGTCGCGGGACTGCTTCAGGCTGGTCCGCACGTACTTGCCCCAGAACAGCGCCACGTGCATCACCAGCGCGCCGATCGCTGCAGTGCGCATCGTCATCCCCCATGCATACGTTCCTGCGACTCGAGGATACCCAACCGCCTCCAACCTTTGCTTGTCAAGGATACCATCCACAAACACCGCCGTTTGGTTGTACGCCCTCCCGTCGTCTGCGAACAGCCCCGTCGACATGAACGGGAACGACTTGGCGTTCCACGTATTCGTATAATACACAACGACCATGGCGACGTAGCACACGGCGAGGCCAATAAACATGTTGCCCTGCTGCAGCAGCGGCAGCGCGAGATGCTTCGAGGTGATGTACTGCCAATCCAAGCTGAGGCTGAGCAGTCCCATGCCCTCGTTGCTCTGAGCGCCGCCGAAGATATTGGTCAGCGTCGTAGCGAGTGGTTTCCGAGCGTGCATACTGGCGAGACACGGGATGCTGATCGAGTTGAGCATGGGGAACATGTACGCGGGTAGAATCTCGTACAGACCCATACCCGCAAAGCTGTACCAAAACACTCGAATGCGTTTCGAGGTGCGCCGACCTTTCTCCTCCCAGTGGAACGCCTGGAAGAGGTCAACGAGCGGTAGGGTGGTCCAGTAGACCATCTCGGACGGGTAGACGAGGATCGGCCGGCAGAGACCCGCCAAGCCGTACCCCATCAGCCCGATCGAGAGCACTGACAGGACGGCGGTGGTGTTGCTGACCTTGATCTCTGGATAGAAGAGCTTCTGCGTGCCAAAGACGTCACTCGAGTGGGCACCGTACGAATCGGAGGAGGCGGTGATGGAGGCAATCGCATGCTCCTTCAGCCCAAACTTGCCTGGGTTGACCGTGTGCGCTGTCGCCAACAGCCACCTTGGCAGGCGATCCTGGCCGTACCTCGCAGTCAGGCTCTCGCGCGTCGGTAGTAGTCGCGCCCAAGCTGTTCCCAATACATAGATGATGATGGCGAGAAAGGTGCCATTGATGTCGATCTCGGTGGGCTTGAAGCGGTAGATCTGGGTCAGCACAGCTTGGAAAGCGGAGCCGACAAGGGCCAAGGTGATGGAACGCAGGGTAAAACAGGCGTCGCCATCATCGCGATCGCTGACGAGGTAGTCGGAAACGTCGCGGCCGTTGCGGATCACTCGTTCGTCGTCCGACTTTTCGAGGAGCTCCTCGTCGCGCAGGGTGTCGGTCGAGCCGCAGATGTTGCCCTTCTCATCCGCCGGGGTCGGAGGCGCTGTCTCGGTAGCAGGGGTTGAGCGCTTGGCGAGCTCGTCGGCGTAGTCTGCGTTCTCGACGCCGGGTCCCGTCTTATCAGCGATTTCGACCTCGTCGTCTGGCTTCTTGCACTCTGCGATAATCGACGAGGATGATTTATCGGCCGCTGGACTCGGGGCATCAGCGAAACCGAGGTGAACGAGCTCGATTTGCGATTCCGAGACGGATGCGACTGCATCCGATGGTGCTGCCGGAGGTCGAGTCATTGCTGCGGACGGCTGTTGTTCGAGAACGGAAGCAGACATGCATGGATCTGTGGAGACGTCCGCTTCTTATACATGGCCTGTTGCAAAGCTGCACCAGCAGCCCTTCACGCAGGCTCACGCCACAAGTCCTCGAGCTTGTCAAGCCAAGCCTCGAGCATATGAAGCTTCCCAGGGTTCGCAACATGCGTGCGCACGCCACTGACAAGCTCCCCGAGCTAATGCACACGATCTGGCTTGATTCGAAGAAGGCTCAGTGCTGAGCTAGATGAAGTGGCCCATCCGATCGAGCTCGGTCTCTCCATTTCATGAAGCCAGAGCGTCGCAGTGTGGGAATTTGCGTGAGGGTAGCGCACACTGGCACGGGCAAGGCTGCGGGTGTCGGGCTGGACTCGGGACCTACTGCATGCGTGCACGACATCGTGGATCAGGTCAACACACGTCGACGTTTGACAGGCAGCTGGTGTTATCGCACCGCTCGGCTGGCAACATCCCATGGGCGATCTATGCGCTGCTGTCGCCGGTCGTTACTGTATTCGCCAAGCCAGACACAAATTCGCTCCCATGCTCGCGGTGACTGCAGCGGAGAGGCAGGCGATCCCTTGCATCAACGCTGCGACTCGCTCGACTCTCGGTCGGATTCGGTCAGCCGATCAATGACAAGCATTCCGACTGAGACCCAGACTCAATGTTTCTCTCGACATCGTTGGAAGACGGCAGCGCGAAAAGAAGCCCCTTTCGACTTCGACAGCAGCCATGCTCATTGGAGACCTTCAAACTCTGGTCTGCGCTTACCCAAAGACAAACGTAGCGTTTGCTTGCGAGGCTCGCAGAAACAATCATCCCTTCACGGAAGCACGGAAGCACGGAAGCGCTCAATCTATGAGACGGGGTTGAACGTAAAATTAAGAACTCGTTGAAGACATTACAGGGCTCGTTGGGAAGGCTACGCTCAAGAAGATGGGTCCGGACAGTAGTCTGGAAAGCCGGAGGGATTACCAGCCCACTGCAAGATCGCGAACACGCGCAAACGAAAGAACGTAAAGAACGAGAGTCAGCATACGGAAACGATGAGCATGCATCACGTCTGTCGCGAAAGCTTTTGCACTCACCGTAGGGAAAGGGTGCTCCTTGCCCGCAGCGCCAAAGACGGCGAAGCTGAGAACGAAGATTACCAGCAGCGATCCGCCGTCCCACCCGGCGCCGACGACGTAGTTGAACTGCTTGAACCATTTGGGGTGTCTCGTTCTGACCCAGGCCTGCGAGATGAGGCCGACGAGGATGGTGCTGAGGATGACGCAGTTCTGACCGGCGGTCATCCACGCCGAGTAGAGGAAGACGGTGGGCAGGACCAAGTCGGAGGTCTTGAAGCTCCCGATTCGAGGTACAAACCGGGTGAACGTCCAGTGGACCACTACGGCCGCAATACCGATAAGCACCGCCATGGGGATCACAAAGTAAGGCGTACCGGGTCCGTACATGTACTTGGCCATGCTCCAGGTGACCGCACTGACGTTGAGCGATTGGTAGTATGCGCCAGACCACACGTAGCTGCCTGTGTTGGTGTGGAGAAGCTCGAACTTAGACGAGATGATCGTCGAGGCGATGGCATAGTTGAGGAACGCACCGAAGACCGTGCCGATCACCTGCGTGATGAACATCGCGCGTGGTGGCACTGTGATCGTACATAAGGAAGCAATGGATCAGTCCCGACGTTCAGATAAACGATTCGCTGGGGAGAAATACATACCCTTCAAGTATTGACCCATCTTGAGATCGTTCGACAGATTGATGACCTGGGCGATGGTACTGTGCGACCAGGCGTAAAAGTAGAGGTTTGCCAACGGCATTCCTGGCGAGACGATGCCGCCGATCATCTTGGTCAGATTGTTGGTGCTGATTCCGTTACCAAGGAGCGCATACAGTACACCCGAGAAGGGCGCCACGATCGTCCCGAGCAACAGCGAGACAATGTACGAGTACCACGGCAACGTCGTCTCCTGCGTCAGTACCACAATGAGGCCGAACACAAATGAGATGGCGAGCAGGATCAGGTACCACCAATGCGGAGCCTCCTTGTACTTTTGCATCGCCTTCCAATGGCGGTCTGGCTGCGTCTTGTCCCTTGCCTGTCGCAAGCTCTTGAGGACGTCCTTGCCCCAGAAGAGCACGACGTGGGTGACGAGGGCTCCGATTGCCGCGTTTCGCATGAGCATGCCCCATGCGTAGGTGCCCGTAACGTTCGGGTATCCAACCGCCTCGAGCTTCTGTCGATCGAGAATGCCGTTGACAAAGACGGCGCTCTGGTTGTATTTCTTGCCATCGTCGGCAAAGATACTCGTTGACATGAAGGGGAAGGATTTGGCGTTCCAGACATTGCCGTAGTAGATGGCCGCCATGGCAACGTAGCAGACGGCATACCCGATCCAGCTGTTGGCTTGTTGGATGAGGGGGAGGGACAGTTGTGTCGACGTGATGTACTGCCAGTCGAGGCTAAGACTCAAGAGGCCCATGCCTTCGTTGGACTGCGCTCCGCCAAAGACGTTGGTGAGCGTCTGGGCGACGCTCTTGGGCGCATGCATACTCGCCAGGCAGGGGATCGACACCGAGTTGAGGGTCGGAAAGATGTAGGCGGGGAGGAACTCGTAGAGCCCCATTCCGGCGAAGCTCCACCAGAAGGCCTTGACACGCTTGGCGCTGAAGCTCTTGTCCCAGTGGAAGGCTTGGAAGAGATCGACGAGCGGAAGGGTCCCCCAGTAGACCATTTCAGCCGGGTAGACGAGAATAGGTCGCAGAATGCCGGCGAGACCATATCCGAACAAACCGATGGACAGGACAGACAGGGCGGCTGTGGTGGTCGTCACCTTGATGTCTGGATAGAAGAGCTTCTGCGTTCCGAACACATCGCTGGAATGGGCACCGTTGGAAGCAGACGAAGCAGTGATGGCGGCAATAGCGTGTTCTTTCAGTCCAAAGGGTCCTGGATTGATGAAATGTACTGTAGCAATCAGCCAGGCCGGAAGCCTGTTGCCAAATCGTGAGGTGAGACTCGCTCGTGTGGGCAGGAATCGAGCCCAGGCGGTGCCGAGGACATAGATGATGATGGCCAAGAACGTTCCGCCAATGGTGACCTCGGTGGGTTTGAATCGATAGATCTGCGTCAGGACCGCTTGGAACGCTGCTCCAACCAGGCCCAGGGTGATGGAGCGGAAGGTGAAGCATGCATCACCGTCGTCGCGGTCGTTGATAAGAAAGTCGGAGACATCGCGGCCGTTGCGAATGATGTGCTCGTCCGAGGAGCTGCGAACGCCCTCGCCTGCATCGTCGTGCGCAACGTAGGCTGGCTCGGTGACTTCGACCTTCTCATCGATCTTCTTGTCCTCGTCAATGGACGCAGCGGACGGTGTATCGGACAGAGGCGGGCTGCGTTCGATGGCATCCAAGATAGGCAGCTGCGAGAGCTCATCCTGGCTCTGGGCAGCGGCCGCTGTTGCCGAAGCTGACGACATGGTGCGTAGCCAAAGCAGAAGGAGGTAGAGACAAGCTGATGCGGGATCAAATATCAAAATACACTCAATCGTGCGCTGTTCTTATAGACAACGGAATGTCCTTCTCGTATATGCATGCGACCGACGTCTTTCGGCTCAGGAAGCTTGTCTTTGAGCTCAACAATCCCACCAAAGGTAAAACTGCTCGAGCCTCGTCTTTGCAGCAGACCAAGTTACAGGACCTATGCGGCGAATTCGCCGCGTATCATTTGACCAATGCGCACATTACACCATCTGACAATAGCGGCAAGCCATGTGAACAACATGGGGTCTGGCGGATCACCGCCCCCGGGCCGACGGCTGGGGATGTTTCGGTCTACCAAGGGTGGCGGCGGCGGCGGCGGAAGGTGCCATTCCGACGTGTTGGGCCTCGTGCAACGCACGCTAGCCCGTTGGAGAACAATGAGCCCAACGCTCAAGCTGATTTCTGATTCGAAGAGGATGGAACGATATGCAGTCAAGATGGCGTGACAGGTGGGAGAAAGACTCGGCTGTCACACAAGGTAAAGATCGTTTCGAAACTGAAATGGAAGCTACGGCCTCGGAAAATTTGAGCTTCGAATTCATGCATCCGTGTGCTCGCTCGGCAGGTGTCGGCGAAGAGGGAGGAGGAACCGCTATTCGGCTGGGCATATGGGTAGCGCAAGAAGGTAGGGTGGCATGCTCCCGGTCCCATCGGCATGGCGCCTTCCGTGCTCGAAACCCACGTGAGGAAAAGACGGCATCGCCCCACTCGCAAAAAATCAGCACTCAGTATCAGATCGTGCGCTTCAGTTTCGTCACATCACGATGGCATCATTGCCATGATCTCGGCTGCTCTGGCGTGTGGCTCTAACTGCAGCGCCTCGTCTGACTCACAGCCCAACGCTGCGGAGACCTGCCCCAAGTACCTGGCGCACTTGCGCTATCAGATCAACCTGAACCAAACCGGCGGCACCCCGAAAGCTAACCCTGTCGATCAACGCCTCCGTCCTTACCGAGCCTGGCCTGAGGAACGACTTCACCGAAGTCGACGCCTACAGCTGGGAGGGACACCGCGGTCAACGATGCGACTACTGGAGATTCATCTCCAATTGCTGTCCAACTGAGCGCGGTGCGGACCCCTTGTAATGATCATCACACGCCATCGAATCCCCGACTTCGTGTTGACGAGAGCCTTCCTTCGTGGCTGCCGTGGTCGTATGTGTGTGCCTGATCACGCCAGCGGACGAAGGAGTGATATTGTGTTGGCGTCGAGGCTCGGTGCATGGTCGACGATGTCGCGTAACGAAGCAAGTGTATTAAATCTTTCTGACACTATTGTCTGGACTTCGCATTGCGCAAAAGCGCATCTTCAACTCTGTGAAGCTCGCTATTCAAGGCCTTAAAATGGATGAGCGAATATAGACGGCATTCTATCCACAAACACCAACTAGCTGCGTTAATTACAGTATGGTCTGTTCTGTACGACGCTTTATGAATCTGTTTGAGCATTTCTTTGCTCCCATTTTGTTGTTGCTGATCGCAAAATGTCGCTCACAAATTGAATTTTTCGCAAAACGACCCAATGTCTTGAAGATTCGAACAGCGGATTCGCAGCTTAATCCTGACAAACTTGTCAAGTGATCTTGCTGGAACAGTCTGTGCGCCAAAAAAAACCTCTCAAGTCAGCAAAAGAAGGCGCCGACAAATGGCAAAAAGCAAAATTTCTTTCAGATTGTCACGAAACCCTGCACAAATGTGGATGCTTGACTTCAACTCTCTCGGACACGGTTGAAAGCTGATCCAGTGCGAAATTTTTGACAGCACGGGCATCAACTTTCAGACCGCAAATTGAACAGACAAGACACATTTTCAGTCGCTCTAGTGGACAACGAACTTATCGACTGACTTTGATGTGAGAAGGTCTGTTTAGGATCACAACGAAGCGAGTGGACGCTGAGACCGACCGCGGCTGCGGTCCCATCCGCAGCATGACAAGGTATTGAAAAGGGGGGGCTCGAAGATGCCGAAGGCCTCGGCTGCGGCCTCGGCCTTGCGGCGATGCGAGAGCTCACTGAACGCGGGTAGCTGTCTTGTTGAGAGAACAGAGCGAAGCGGGAGTACGTCCGCCCCGTCTGACATCTCTTGCGTCTCATCAGCTGCACTTAGCCTTGTGCGAATCATGCTCATGCCATGCGTGCATCCGACGAAGGTGTTTACACTTTGCATTTGATGTAGACTCTATCGCAGAAGGGTCGTGGATGCTGTTGGCTGCTTCGTCATCCGCAGCGTCCATGGCATGGCGCGGTATTGTTTGTGACGAAAACATCATTGCCTGCCCTTAGTATCAGCCGTCTTCTTCGCGTGACCGTTTGTCGCGGAGGGCTTTTGAAGGTAGGAGCGCATGAAGAAGTTGAAGAAGAGGGCGAGGAGCGGCTGTAGTGAAGAGCGAGACGGCGGAGAAGAAGGAGTCAGAACAGTCTGTCCACGGGTATTGTGCGGAGTCGCGTCGTTCTGGGCCGCCTGGCTACTTACAAACATGTACATGGTGTTGACGTGCAGCGCAATCTCTGCGCCGGTTGTCTGCATGCAGCTTGTTGGATCCGACGAGGCAGCTCGGCTGACGGCGTGTCGGAGAAGGGACTGCTCGCGCATGGCGCTCGACTGGTACCACGACGAGACCCGGTTGGCCTTGTAGCCCGCGGCCACCTTGGATGAGTTGAGCGTGGTGAGAAGGTAGAGGTTGGTGAGGAGGGTGCCGGATGCGATCTGTGCAATCTGCATTGTGGTGAGGTTGCGCTTGACGGCGCGGGGAAAGGGCCATCGCATGGCGGCGCAAAAGTAGTAGGTATACATCCAGGTATGAACAAAGCTGTTGAAGACGCAGAAGACTGAGGTGATAGAAGTGTGGAGAAGAGTCAGGGTCAGAGAAGAGCGAGCGAATGGAATGCGGAATGCGCAACAACTTACCCCACACAGGCTGACTCTGGTATCGATAGGCGACCCACATGCAGATGATAGCGCCAGCATGGTGATACGACTGGAGATTGGAGACGCGCTTTCCCTTGAGGAGCAGGATGATCGAGTCGACGACCTCGTAGTACTTGCTGATGTAGAAGATGTAAGCGTATTTGCCGAGGTGCGGGAAGTTGGTGGGCATTGAGCAGAGTGCCAGCTTGACGCCTTCGAAGCCTGCGCTCCTCCAGCCTTGGACGAAGAAGTCGACGACCAGAGGGAACATCATAGCCCAGGTCCAACCGCTGTAGACAGCCAGAGCAGCATTGTGAACGAGGACCAAGAATCGGAGGATCTTTGCCTGGAAACCTGGTGCTTTGGTATAGTCCTTGTTACCGTTCCTCTTGACGATGCCGTTCGCAGCATGAGCGATGATGTAGTAAGCGAGCGAGAATCCGAGTGGAAGCCAAGGGCTGAGGCTCTTGTAGAAGATTGCGCGTGGGAACACCTTGGCGAAGAGCTTGTCATCCTTCGGGTACTCCGGGTAGGGCGCCGAGAGCGTATCCCACGGTGTCGACCCATGGAAAGAGGGATCGAAGGGATACGGCTTGGCCTTGAGACCGAAGAACGTCGACATGACTGCGCGATCCAAGCGTGGGAACGATGACAATGATGGTGGTGGTGGCTTCAAGCGGAAGATCCGACGATAGGGTTGATTCCAATTGTGGCGTGAGTTGTTCTTCTGATAACTAATGGAAAGGGTCCTTCCGAAGGATTGATCTTCCGCAAAACACGACTGCTTTTCTCCGCGGATACGCGTCTCACAAAGCAACGGATCGGAACAGATGCCGAGGCCCGGCAGCAGCTTTGTTAGCTCAAAATTGGCTAATCACACCGCTCTTCACATTTTCACACGCTCAAGCAAGCACTCTCGTGATAGTCATAAGAGTGTCACATTTGCTGAAGAGGATCGTGAGAACGTGCTCAGAGCTTTGCCTTGGTCAATCCTTCTGGACGATCGGGCCCATCGACTGCATCGCTGCGATACAACTCGATGCGCTTCTTGCCGTCGCTGATGCCCAACTCCAACAGAATGTCATCCGTATGCTCGCCGGGTGTGAGCAGCATCTCGGCACTCTCCTCTTCCCACTCTCCGCCTGCACTCCCTGAAGGTGGTGTTGCCGGTGTCCGTGTCAATCTGGGCGCAGGAGATGGGATAACGGGGTTGCCATCCGAGACCGACTCTGCAGAGGCTGCCGGCAGCACTCCCTGCAGTGCCGCCTCGTCTCGTGTCAGGACAGGCACCGTGCAGGCGTCGGTGCGGATGAAGTGGCGCTCCCATTCGGATCGAGGTAGCTGTGCGAAGCATGCGGCAAAGTAGCGCTGCAGTTCGGGCCACGTATCGCGGTCGTGCTGCGTGCTCGGCGATGGATGTTGGGTCCCTTGCGGTGCCTGCGGAAGCACCTTGCGAAGGATGTCGAGCAACTCCTTGTAGAACTGGGGCTCGATCGCGCCTACGCTCATGTATCCGCCGTCCTTGCAGGCATATACGCCATACCAGGGAGCGCCTCCGTCCAGCGTGTTCCTGCCTCGCGTGTCGTCGGTGCCATCGCTGTGGATCGCTCCCCAGCTCGGATGTGAAAGGTAGCTCGACAGCAGCACGAACGAGGAAACGTAGCGCGCGCCCGTCACCATGTCCGCTTCCACAATCTGTCCTTGCGAAGAGCGTGCTCGCTCCACAAGGGCAAGCAGGATACCTAGCAAACAGATCATCGATCCGCCCGCAAAGTCTCCCAGCAGGTTCGACGGCGGCTGCGGCTTTCCGCCTGCGTTGCCGAGCATCGAGAGCACTCCGCTCAGTGCGATGTAGTTGATGTCGTGTCCAGCCATGTTGGCGTATGGTCCCGTGCGTTGAAATCCTGTCAGGCGAGCAAAGATGAGGCCCTTGTTGATCTCCTTTTCGAAATCCGTCGGTCCCAGACCCAGTCGTTCCAGCACGCCAGGACGGAAAGGGTCAATGACGATATCCGCAGTCCGCACCAGCTGTGTGATGAGCGCATGGCCATCCGCGCTCTTTGGCGAAACGGCGAACGAGCGTTTGCCGCGGCACAAGCTGTCAGGGTTCAGGCCAGTGCGTGTCTTGTCGATGCGGATCACGTCGGCTCCGAAGTCGGCCAGCACCATGCCTACGAAAGGACCAGGCGCCAGTCCCGAGAACTGTGCAGACGGCAGCAAACGCGGATGATGGCTCGGTCAGCCTCTGTTCAATCGAGCGGGGACGGATGATCGATCATCAACTTACTTCGACGACCTTGATGCCTGCCAGTGGCAAATTCGAGTTAGCATTGGGTTTGGGTGGCATACCGCCGCCGCCGAAGGAGGACATCTTGAGTGCTACGCCGGGTTGATATGGATGATGGTGGAGATGCGGAGACAAGGGGGCTCAATGTGGGGTAAGATGCCTTGAATCTCACCGGTCTCTTTTCCGGGCCGTGCTCAGGTTAGCGAGTTACACTTTTGCGAGCTCGATAACGCGGTCCATTTTCACATCGGCTCAACTGGACCCTGAACATCGACCACACCAGACCAACACAAACCCGACTCACTCGCACAACCTATCCGACGAACAACTTCCTGACAAGATCAAAAGAGAAGCTGGAACTGCATTGCAAAACGGACACACCACTGACTCTACTTACTTGCTGTACAACGCCTTCTGCTCCTTCTCGTACTGGTTGTAGTCGATCACCTTGCCCTCCTTCCTCGATGTCTCGGAAGCAAACACCATCAAGTGACTCCTCAGCACGTCCTCTGGTGTCACACCCAGATGTTTCGCATCGTTCTCGGCGACAGCCTTGACGAATGCCCTTGCCAAGCCGAGATCTCCGCCGCCGTGACCACCGCCCTCGTTCTCTGGCACCACGGTCCTCTTCTCCTGTGTGGCAAAGTCGAATACGGTGAACGTCTCCATGTTGCCGATCAGCTCGCCTCGAGTGCCCGAGATGCGCGTCGAACGGTTGCACACCACCTCGGTGAAGGCGACCATGGTGATGGTGGCTGTGGCTCCCGACTCGAACTCGATGTTGACCACCTGGTTGTCCGCCACGTCGTTCTGACCGTTGTAGACGCAGAGTCCGTACGGTCCCTCCTTGATGGCCTTGCCGACGTTCTCGATGTCGACGACATCCGTGATGTGCTGAGCCCATCGCTCCGGGTCCGCTGCTGTGGACATCAGTGGCTCGAGGTAAATCTTCTTGGCGCTGAAGGGGCACTTGCTCTCGAACGAGCAGTCTGTGCATCGCGTCGCATCTCCCGCCTCCTTCGGCTTCTTGCTTGGCTTGAAGTGGGCGAGCGAGCCGAACGATGACACCTTCTTGGGAGCATCCTTACCCATGTAGAACGAGAGGATGTCGAGATCGTGACAGCATTTGGCCATCAGCGAGAAGCTCGTCGTCGCCTCGTTCCTCCAGTTGCCGCGCACGTACGAGTGCGCAAAGTGCTGCCAGCCCACGGGCTCGATGTGCTGGATGTTGATGATATCGCCGAGCACACCCGACTCGAGCACCTCCTTGACGGCGCGGTTGTATGGCGAGTAGCGCAGCACTAATGGTGAGAGCACAAAGTTTCGTGTGGCGAGAGTAAGTAGCTTGCCTCGAGCATAATGACGAAATGCGGCGGACACTTACCATGACCGATACCGAAGATCTGATCAGTGCCTCGAACACTGTCCACCATGGTCACGCAGTCCTTGATCGAGTTTGCCATGGGCCTGTTGCCAACAAGTTGATCGGTCGTCAGTTCCTGTGGATCTTGCTGTTCCGACATCGCAAGCGTCACTTACTTCTCGCAGAGGATGTGGTATCCAAGAGGAGCGAACACGCTCACCACCTCGGCGTGCGTGTCGTCCATCGTGCAGATAGCCACTGCATCGCAAATCTTGCCGGCTTCGGCGAAGCTCTTCCAGCCGTCGTACTGGTTCTCCTTGGGCACGCCGTGCACCTTGCTCATCTTCTCGCGGCGGAACTTCCACGGGTCGGCCACGGCAACGATCTTGCACAGCTCCGGGCTCTTTTCGGCGTATCTGTCATGGTCAACAAGACGAGCGAGAGGTCAGCGCCTGGTCTTTCCTCTTCGTGGTCGTTTGCAAGGATGTCCAGACTTACGCAGCATAAGCGCTACCACGCTGACCAGCGCCAATGATGGCCAGCGTGACTGGGCGGCTTGTTTCTCCAATCGACATGTTTGCAGCTTCGAGGATGCGACTTTGACGTTGGTGTGGTTGGTTGTCGTGATGGTAGACGTGCAAACTTGGTCTCCGTCTGACGGGTACGGTTTTATTGATAGCCTTGTCCGACCAGCCACCTGCCACGGGCACAACGTCGAGGTTCAGGAACACACCTCGGCGACTTGTGCGGGGGAGCGGAGAGGAAAACCACACGATCCTGCGATAGGGTCCTCTTGTCCTCGCCGACGCCGAGCACTGATTTGAAATCCCTCAACGCTCACCCAACCCTCAGTCTAGCCCCACCGAGCTCGGTCCGATGTCACCGACCACTTTTGCTCGGCGCCGTCCCTTCCGTGCTGTCTCCCTCCCTCCCTCCCTCCTTGCCAATTTCCATCGCTCGCTGCCTCGTTCCTCATTCAGTAAGTCAATCGACGACTGTAGACTTATCTCTCAGCACTGCGCCTCACATGTCGCCGTTCGGTTCAACGCCTATCGCGACACTGTCCTTACCCCGCAGTCTGCGTCTAGGTTGCCGCGTCCACACCGATGCCTCGTGGTACCAAGTTCGCAACTCGATCAACGTCATCCACATCACCCTTCTGCTGCCATCTCACGGTCTTCTCGCTTTCAGGCAGGGTCTTGATCGATTCATGCTTCTCAGACCGACCGGACCGGCCTCCTTTGAGTACAGACAACTCTCACAGTCTTCTGAACAGCGTGACCCCACACTCAGAGCGCTTCAAGGGCGGCAAAGCAGTTGTTCCATTCCTTTTGCAGCTCACATGACACCACCGTGTCTCGCCCAAGTCTGACACTGGCTCAGCGTGTCCAACAGCGGCGTGGCCGGATGCTGAATCTCCTGCGCCGTTCCTGACCCCGCTGGGCGCCAACCGGCTGTCGCATCTCCGCCATTTTCTCCGGTGCCACTGTGCCTGTGGTCTCTGCCATCAGCCTCCGAAGGCGACCATGCGGGTCCGCCGTACCCTCCAGCGTCTGAGTTGATTCCCCGATGGTGGCCAGATGCGTGGCTGAGGACCATGTTCGCGTGCCCAATATGCTTGCCGTACAGGTCGAGGAACATGTTGATGAGCTCTACGCTGCGTGACCTGTCCCGGGGCAGCAGACGCTCGGGGTACTCGGCGAGGACGTTCATGAGGAACAACACGGAGCGTGTCAGAGCCCAATGGAACCACAGGGGCAGAACGAGAATGTTGAGCGAGACCTCGTTCCAGATCCTCCCGTCTGGCCCTGACCCGCCTGCTCCCGTCGATCCAGGTAGGCAGATGAGCTCCAACGACCGCAGCGCACCGTCTACGCCACGGGTGAGGCTCTCGCGCAGCGTCCTGCTGCGCAGGCTTTGCAGGTCCGCCTCGGGGGTCTTATCCCTATTGCTGCCGCGAGAGTAGGCTGAGCTCTCGCCCAGACTGCCATCCCACAGCGTCGAATCGAGGAAGTCGCATCCGATGGACGCTATGAGCACACGCGCGAGGAAGAGGTCGAGGTAGAGCATGCTCTCCGATTCGCCGATTGCATCTGCGTCCAGCCTGCCCGCCATCTCTTCTTGGCATGAGTCGAGCTCCTCGAATGCGCCAAGGATGGCTCTGAGACGAGACGCTGCATCCGTGCCAGGCCCAACACCGGCTGCACTGGTTTCACCTGCCGCGCCATCGCGGCACGATTGACAGTTCCTTGCAGGGCTCGCCTTCGAGTTTGTCTGTTTCTCCTTGCTCCAATCTGCGCTGCCACTGCCCGCGATATGGTACGCCTTGCTGACGATCCACGCGATGCGAGAGTGAATGATCAGTACCCTGTCCCGCAGCGTCGTCCGTTGCGACAGACCCTTGGAGTACTGCAGCGAGTCGCACACTGCGTGGGGACTGCTCAGCCCGGCAATCGATGGTGTTCCCTCCATGCATGCCTGGTGGATCTCGGTGATGTAGGCGCTGAGCCAGACTCTCAGCAGATCCTGCTTGCCCAGATCGCGCGGTGGCGGGAGAATGGACATGATCTCGCCCATGGTCATCATGGCCGGGTGCTGCTGTTGGCGGAGGAACTTGGCGGACCACCAGCGGGCCAGTCGAGAGGCCATCCACGCGCGCTTGCCGCCGAACCATGAGGCAAACAGGCTCGCTCCCACAATTTCTTCGACGCCGATACCGAGTTCGGGATCGAGCTCCTTTTCGAAATGCAGGTTGGACTGGAGATGCGAAGAGCGGTAAGCGGAGGAGGAGAAGAGCGTCTCGTAGACGTCGGAGCAGGGGAAGCTCGGGTCGTCCGTCTGCAGGCGTGCGATGAGATCGTTTTTGAGGGGTGCGTGGAGTCGATTGAGCTGGGCGTGGTGGAGCGAGGCGACGCATACAACCGAGGTGAGGATCATAGGAGACATGATAGCGTCCGGTCGGTAGGTCGGGAAGCCGAAGCTGTACTGGTCGAGATACTCGGCGAAGAAGCGGAAGAGGACCACTGCGTCTGACGGCGAGACAAGGTCCTGCTTGATGACGTTGGGACGTGGATCCTTGCTGCCCACGTCCGAGGTGGCCATCCTGTAGAGGTTCGGAAAGACGCGTTCGCCCGAGCGCGAGAGCTCCTTCTTGCGATCGAGAACGCTCATCCTCAGCTTCTGGATCGCAGAGAGCGGCCGTGAAGCTTGATCGTTCTCGTCGTCCGTCTGGAACGGTCCTCGCTCCGCGCTCGCCGGGGCACCGTCGTCGTCCGCCATTGCGTGGTCGTCGTGCAAAGACGCACTCGCTGCGGCGATGCTGCCGGAATCGGCGTGTGCTACCAACGGTCCGCCCGTGGAGCCAGGAGGTTCCATGTCGGTTATTCTGGACCTTGAGGGACTACCGTACGCGCCGTTTGTCGAGGCCACCAGAGAGCTCAACAGCCCACTGCTGTGATGTGCGTTCCTGTCCATGTCGCGCGGCGAAAAGTGGGTGGTGGACGGATAGCTCGAGGTAGACCCGCTGTTCAACTCGGCATAGATCGGACTCTCGCCGGCTGTATGCGCGTGTCCAGCGTACCCTACACCCGAAGGATCGCTCGACGTTCGCTGATCGCTCGCGATGGTGCGTCTACGTTTCTTGGATCCTCCGTCGTGATCGGGTCTGCTGCCACCGGGCGAATCGCGCGATCTGGGAAAGCTGCTCCTCTTATCTCGCGCGTCCATGGGCGACAGCGTCCCCTGCTTCTCCAGGAAATTCTGTAGAGAGCCCTCCAAGGCGGCGAGCTGGTGCTGCACGCGCATCTGCCAGCTGAGCGGCTCCTTCTTGCCCTGCAGCTCGCAGCTCACGCCGAGACGCAGGCATCGGCGGCAAGAAGAGGCATTGTCCTCAAACACGCACTTGACTTTCGATTGACGGCAGCGGAAGCAGGTTTGCGTGCGCTTCGGCTTGTCCGGGTCGTCCTCGTTGGACTCTTTGGGCGAGCTGGTGGCATTCGAGCCCGAAACGGTGGTGGAGGGTCCTGCGGAGGTGGCTGGAGGAGCTGAGGTCGAAGCGACCGGTGGTCGGGGTTCAATGGCGCTCATGTTGCTTGACGGTCGCACCAAGGTTGAGTAGACTCGAAGACGTGAGTGATGATGGCGATGTGGAAGATGCACTTAGGGGGAGAAGTTGGAAGCGTTCGGACGATAAAGGAAGGTGGGTACAAGGGTCCAAGCCACTCAGAGAGTAAGGCGAGGTCATGCGAGAAGCCAGAAACAAGACTCATCACGAGCGGCTGCTGCCCGGCGACCAAATCAGCGGGCCCGCTAAAGCCACGGACGGGAGCGAACACTCGCCTGGCACAAGCAAAACGCTGCCTCTCATTGGCTGCCCCCACACTGATTTCCCACCTAGCCAATCTCGCCCTGTGACCCTGGCTGTGTATCTATTTGACGGTCCGGCAGCACCACAGAGATAGCGAGCCACTGCTCCTCCCGCGTGGTGCAGACCCTCAAGATCACAGCTGTCCGCACTGCGAAGCCATCTGGCTTTGCGTGTCTGCTCCCTAGCACACACACTTGTTCGAGTGAAGCGTGATTGGAGGTCCGAGTCGAGCTACGACCGAGCGAAGCTGCTGTGCACCCGCGTCTGCCAAAGCTCACCGGCCCCAAAGCTCGCCCCGCATTGCCGCTCCTGGGCAAGCGCGATGGAGACGTGGACGTGCCTCGTGACACTGTGTGCGTCGGCCAATGCAACAATGGCCAGACTGCAATTCAACTCGAGCTGGAAAGGTGGACGCGCCAATGGAGCGGAAGGCATCCTTGCTCCAACGCGAACTGAGACACAGAGGCAGCCCAGGATTGCCGTCCTGCCGTCTCATGCAGAAGTTTCGGCACAAACACAGCGGACCATCGCTCAACTCTTCTCGAGCGTCACCGAGCTCGGTCCGTCGCCTTTCAAGCTGCGTCCCAGAGGCTCTGGGCCAGTCTCTCCTCCCCCTTGACCTATCCGCAGTCAGTCCGCACAGATGACGAGGGTATCCATCACATTGAAGCGTAATCTAACCATTACAAGAAGCGTAGCAATAGCAAACAAACAAAGAGATTCTGAGAAGCCTTGGGGACCGGGGCACACGGGCAGAGGCGGACGGCAATGCGGACCAGCTGATTGGTCGAGGAGTGTCTAGCGGCTGTGCGGGCTCGCGACCTCGCTCGCCCGCTCCTTGGTTCGGACGCCTCCTTCCCGCTGCGTCCCCTGATGCCTAGCACGCAGCAGCAGCTGCTGCTGCTGCTCTTCACTTGGAGAGAGCAGCCACCTCGACACCGTCCACAGCTTCTCCCTTCTCCGAGACGCTCGACTTCTCCATATCGGCCGACTGCACCTCGTGCTCGATCGTCTGGAACTGGTCGATGGTGGTGGTGGCAAACTTGCGGGCGGGCACCTTGGCGGCGAACAGCACCTCGAGCTCTCCGTAGGTCCTGTTGGAAGCAAAGCGGAGAACAAAAGAGGACAGAGTCGGGGCAACAAAAGGGCGGGAAATTCCAGGAACGCGGGAATTAAAAGAAAATTATTTGGGTCAGTTTCTGCATCAGAGACCATTGTTTCAGCCTTCATATCAAAGAATACGTACCTGTTGGCCAGCTCTGGAAGGCGGAAGTAGGTCCAAACGAGGGAGAAGGCACCCGTTACGGCCCACAGGAACGCCGTCTTAGGGCCTAGGTTCCACGTGTTGGAGTTGAGCATCTGCGGCTGGAGGATGTTGGCGACGATGAGGGCCAGATTGTACGTGTTGCAGGCGAGCACGATGGTCTTGCTTCGCAGACGCGTGGACGAGACCTCTGCAATGATGGCAAAGCAAATAGGTCCGACGGTCAAATCGTAGACGAAGGTGCAGAGCAAGAGCATTGCGCCGATGGCCCACGAGACGGCGGTGGTCTGCTTGGCGAAACCAAGGCAGCCAGTGACGAGCATGGTGGAGAACATGACGGATTGGCCCCAGAGGTACATTTGGCGGCGACCAACACGGTTGACCAGGAACCATGAGAGGATAGTGCCCACCGCGCCGAGAGCGTACATGGCCATCGACATGTTGAACGCATTGATGGTCGACAGACCGGCCTGCGAGAAGAAGTAGGTCGAGAAACCCTGCAGCGGCGCACCGGAGGTGATCTGGATGAGCCAAGCCCAGCAGGCAATCTCGGTACGACGACGGTCGACGCCCTTGAAGCAGTCGATGTAGCGGTTGTTCTTTTGCAGCGAGCTCTCCCTTTCGTTGATGGCCTCCATGGCTTCGGTGTACTGGATCATGGCTTGGTAGTCCTTGACCAGCTCGTCCGAGTCGGCCTGGGAAATGCCGTCCTTGCTGAGCAAGCGGTCGATCGACTTGAAGGCCTGCTCGTCCTTGCCGTGCCTCGTCAACCACCAAGGCGACTCGGGAGCGAAGCAGCAGGTGATGAAGACAGGGAAGGGCCAGAAGAACTGCAGAGCGTAGGGGATCTTCCAAGCCCAGACGTCACTGCGAACGACGGTGGCACGAAGCACACCAGCAGCCAGCAGCTGACCGAACACCCAGCACAGGTTGACGTAGGTCGTCAGCAGAGGTCGGAGCGAAACGGGGCAGATCTCGGAAGCGTAGGCGGAAGCGAGCGACTGGAAACCACCCCAAGGGATACCCATGAGGATCTGACCGACGAGGAAGATGGGAAGGCTGGTGGCGAAGAAGGGTATGAACACGAAGGAGAGCATGAGGGTGGTGCTGATCATCATCAGACGAAGGTGGCCGATTCGCTCGGCGACGCTGCCTGCGAGCTGGAGACCAATGATGCTGCCGATCCAGGCACCGTTGGTGAGACCCTGCTGCCAAGGCGCCGAAATCTGGCAGTTCTGCGTACCATCATCGGCGAGCGTGCATTCGCCGAACTTTTGGGTGAAAGCGGGCTGAGCAAAGAAGGAGGAGAGGATCGAAGAATCGTAACCGATTTGAACAATGGCGAGCGAGAAGAGCACCGACCAGACCACCGACTTGGGCCACTGCCTGAAGCTCTCACGCAGCGACGAGGCGGTCTGCCACTTGGTGCTGCGGGCACTCCTCTCGACGACCTCGTCGAAGCGGTCGCCAAACTTTTCGATGAGCTTTTCGCGGGTATCGTGGTCGATGCGGGCGACGTTGTTGTTGTCGACCAGCATGATGGGCAAGTCTAACCTCTGAAGGGTAGCGGACCGGGAGAAGGGAGAAGGGGGTGGCGCGTGATGTGGTAGGAGAGGAAGGTGGGGAAGAGTGTGCAGGATGGGGAGGAGGGCCTGCAGACGCAAGAGGAGAGGTTCTTTTAAGACATTTGGACGGTGCAGCAAGATGCTTGCGATCGCGTTGCATCTTCAACACAAAGCTCTGGCGTTCCGCCTTTCCACATCACTCTCATTCACGAATTGTCACATGTCGGGCTCGCCAGGGCGAGGCGAGGCGGGGGGCAGGCAAGATAAGATATGCCCCGGTCGCGAAGGGCCGAGGAGCATGGGGAAGAGATAGGCCACGCGAAACCACGACGTCGATTGCGGGGGACGAGACAGGTGTCTGACAGCATGAGAGGGGCAAACTAGCGAGTCCCGGCATGATACGGTCAACCGACGGTGAGACGGGACCGGACGAGAGCCTGAGGCACTTTGCGGCGGTCGAAAGGGCAACGCTGTAAAGGTTGCAAGGCCATTGGTTGCGAGTATGAGAGGCACGGGATGGCAGTGGCACCGCCGGTCAACTTTCTGCAGGAAAGATTTCTGCAGGAAAGGAGGGAGTCGAGGCCGCGGGCCCTGGATCGTTGAAATGAAATTCGAAGTGTTGCTGGAATTCGACGGGTCGAGAACAAGATACGACCGCCAGCACCCTTCGGTCTCGTCGGTGGCATCGGACCGACGGAACAAGATAGCGATAGCCGAGCACCGTCCGACTTGCTCGGAGCAGGTCAGGTGGTCACGCGCATGGTCTGGTTCGATCGTGATACTGTTCGAGCAAGTCTGAGTCTGTTCCTGACTCTGTACGTCCTGCATATCTGCGCCAACCCAAATACGGCGAGGTTGAGCTTGTTATCTCGTATCGTGCCTGACTGAAAGTGCTCGACGGAAGGGACCCTTGATTAGCGGTTTGAGCGGACCGAACAAGAAGGCACCGGGGCGACGCATGAGCGAGTCGACCGTCTGATGTCAGGTTCCCTGTGAGAGCCGGCTAGGTCGCTCTCGAAAGGACCGACGCTTTTCATGCTGCAGAAGACGCCGAAAGACTTTTGCTCCCTACACAGGTACTTCCATCATCACCATCACGTCCCATCGCGATCAGCTGCAACAACATCCGTCCCGGTTTCGATAAAAGTCCTCGATCCCAATCGCAACATCAAGATGCCATCTGTACAGCAGAGCTCAACAAAGCAGCTCGCTTTTGCGGCGGAAGACATCCCCAAAGAGTGCCTCGAAACCGTCAGCGATGACTACGAGATGCGTCCACTGGCGGCTTGCGACTACAACCGCGGCTTCAACGAGGTCCTCGCGTGCCTGGTCGAGACGCCAGATCTGGGCGAGGCAGCATGGAAGGAGCGCTTCGATGCGATGGTAGCAGCCAAGGGCACATACTTCCCGATTGTGATCGTATCAAAAGATACGGACAAGATCGTGGCCATGGGGACGATCGTCGTGGAGCTCAAATTCTTCCGTGGCCTGACACGGATAGGTCACGTCGAAGACATTGTTGTCAACACCCGATTGCACAGCAAAGGACTCGGCAAGATCATTGTCGAGACCGTCAAGGCGCTGGCGGTGTCCAAGGGATGCAGCAACATCATCCTCAACTGCAGCGATGAGAAGAAACGTAAGTGGCACTTGAGCATGTCATGCAATTGGACGAACGCACAGTATGCTGACCTCTTTCCGACATTGTGATCGATGCTGCTACAGCCTTTTACGAGAAGTGCGGCTTCTCGTACAGCGGTCTGCAGATGGCCAAGAGGATCTCTTGAAATGGCATGGCTGGGATGAAGCAGTCAGCGTGTGGACTCCGCTGTTTGTGTGTGATGTTGAGAAGAATATGAAAAATGAAGCGGAGAAAAAGCGGTCTAAAAAAGCGGCGAATAAAATGTGCAAGCGCTGAACCCTTCTTGAGATCGCCGTGTTGGCCTTGACCAGGCTAAACGCTTCCGTCTGAACGTGTACCTACCTGACACTCACAGGCACGATTCGGAACAAGCGATTCGAGGACAGCGATACCCAAAGACAAAGCTCTGAACACTCGCGACCGGGACGGCGCCTGCAATGCAGAGGCTTGCATCGTTGTCTTGCTGAATCCCACGCTTTCGTGGTGGATACAGCTGTGCAGCTGCTGCACCGCCGAGAATGCCAGACAAAAGGCCTCTTGTAGGGGCAGATGGACCGTCTCCTTCCAAACGTCCAGCGCTAGCATCCGATGCTGACAGTATGTCCTCGAGCGCACGCATCATAGCAACGCTCAAGCATCCTCGTACACAGAACGGCTTCTCCGGCTCGCCCTACACGGCACCCCCGCTGTTCCAACAGCCGGCACCGCTGTGCTCCTTCTCGTTCGACGAAACCCGCAAGCAATGGCAAGATGATCGATGCAAGCGGTACTATCGTGGTCCGCCGCCCTACAACAACCGGCATCCGCACCAGGGCCGAGCACCACCTGTGTCTGGAGCCGACCTCAACTACGGCCTGGAACGCTTCGTTCGGCGCGACGAGTCGGTGCCGGAGCATCTGGATGCGCTCGCCGCATCCTTGCAGCACAGAACCGAAAGCGCTGCATCCGAAAAGGAGCGTGACGAACTCGATCAGGAAAGAAGAAAGGCAGACGTGGTCACCTGGCGAGGCATCGTTACCAAGATCTGCACGGCATACGAGCAGAGCGCCGAGGCCAGATTCTCCGATCCGCTCAACCTCAATGCCATGATGATGGACGGCACGCTGTATCTGGAGGAGTTCGCCTCCGCATCAGCCATGACAGAGAAGCAGAGGAAGGAAGATGACCCCAAGATGCTGCGCATGGGCTACTACGGCTATTCATTCGAGAGCTATTGCACGGTCGAGACCGAAGCACAGACACGCGAGCCTTTCCGACCGACGCCGCAGAAGAATTCGCCGGTGTCTCATCCAGCAGGATGGTCCGGAGATGTCAACACGAACGTGCAATGGTGTCAAGTGGTCAAGACCAAGTTGGGCGACAATCGTCTCGTGATCGGAGGCGAAGTGGATGCGGTGGAGCGCAACCCGGCTACTGGCCGCGAGGAGCTAGTGGAGCTCAAGACGTCGATGCAGATGACCTCGGCGCAACGCAATCCTGGGAAAGCAGCGATGGACCAGGAGCGGTTCGAGAAGAAGCTGCTCAAGTTCTTCCTGCAGAGCTACCTGCTTGGTATCAGCAAGATCGTGGTCGGGTTTAGAGACTACCATGGGTTCTTGACGACCCATCAAGATTTCGAGACGCTGCGCATCCCACGCATGGTGCGAGCTGGTCAGCCGATTGCAGGACAGTTTGACCACGCAGGCAAGCCGTTGATTCGCGAGCAGTCGGTATGGGAGCCCAAGGACGCCCTAGGCTTCGGCGATCAGATTTTGTCGTTCATTCGCAAGACCATTTCGAGCTACAGCGCCGCAGAGACAGCGGCTGAAGGCGGGGTGGGGCACGGCAAGGTGCAACATCCGGTGTTCCGCGTCACGTTTCAGTCGCCGTTCGAGCAAATCGAGATACGCCAGCTCAGCGAGCAAGAAGTGTTGGAAGAGGCGCAAGACGGTGGCAGGTCGGGAGAAAGAGTCGGCTTCTTACCTCAAAGTTTCCACGACTTTGTTCAGTCACGAGCGCGGACCACCACTCAGCCGTGAAGGGCAGACAATGCAAGAGCGGCGGAGAACAATGTGATTGACTGATTGCAGAAACAGATGCGTGCGTAAGGCAGAAGCGAAGCGGAGAAGAGAAGATGCGAGAAGAAGAATGCTAGAGGAGACGTTTGACGACTAGGAGGGCGACGAGGATGCTGAGTGCTTTGATGCAGTTATCGATCAGAGTGAGCTTCTGCTCGGTGGCTGAAACTCGATTGCTGACTCCTGACTGAGCCGGAGCGGCCGACGATGATGATGAAGCAGCAGCAGCAGAAGAAGAGAAGTTTCTTGGCGGAACGGAGGGCGCGACATGGGCCGATCGAGGCTGAGAAGATGTAATCGGAGATGGAGCAGCAGCGCTGTCAGCCGCGGCACTAGCCAAAGTAGGAATCGCCGACGAAGCAGCAGTAGCAGTGATTGCACTTGCGGCGTCTTGATGTGATGGTGCTGAGTGTGAAGCGAAGCTCTCCAACGGTGCTGCCGACAAGTCCAAGCCCGGAGGAACTGCGTCGGAGAGCGCCGAAGATTGCAATGGCACCTGTGACTGTGGCTTGTGAGACTGAGCATTGAGATCGACCTGCAAGCCTTCTGGCAGCGTCTCCTCTTTCCTCTCTTCTGGCTGCTGAGTAGGATCAGGGTCCGGCAGCATCTCGAGTGTGGCTTTCTCGCAGACGTCACACTTCCACTTTCTCGACTCTGCTGCCAGCTTCTGCCTCGCCTCGACGGGATAGTCCAAAGCACCGATGCCCACGGCTGCTTCCGCCTTGGCCGTCATGAACGTCTGCAAGCCCAGCAGTGCTGTTCTTATCCCCCATGCTGGCTGCCACATTTCCTCGTGGAAGCCCGTGAAAGTCAAGCAGATCTTCTTGTTGAGCTCCCATCGTCCGTTGGGCGTCAGCAGCATCAAGTTGGGCGGTCGCATCGGGTATTCGGCGGGGAGAAGGATGCGCCCATGGTAAAGACCGTTGGCAAACTCGGTGTTGGAAGGTCCTCGAAGTGTGAAATGCCATTCAAAGATGTTGTCTTCGAGTGGTGCGGCAGTGTATAGATCCGACGAGTCTTCGGACGACTCTCGCGCTTCCGAGAGGATGCGCTTGACCGCGGATGACTTTTTGTTGTGCGAGCTGGTGGTGGCCATCTTTGTGTTGACCTCGCTCGATCAGCTCGATCAAAGAGCTCGAATGTCTAAGCGGGGCGGGAAGGCGGAAGGTGAGTGCAGTGGAGGTGCAATGATAGCAGCATGAGGATGCGTGGTTGAAGAGCTGATCACGACATCTTCCACGTCGCCAATCACACTTCTTTGACGCAGGGTCCCCACAATGCACTCCGCCCAAGTTGCCGGCAGGCATACAATAGCATCAAAAATCTAACATAGTGTCAAAATCGCCTCGGGCAATTTCTCACCTGCAGATCGACAAGGGTTCATTAAAGCCAGGCCAGGCACTGCGCTGTGGTGCCAAAATTATGCCACCGGAAAGTTTCCATGTCGGGGAGCTTCCCGAGCCCGCGTTGACATTTTGGCCACGTTTCGGCGCATCAGAGCAACACTTCTCGGCGTGGTTTTCCATCTTCTGTCACCACCATCACTTCATCTCCATCACACCAGCGGCAGCTATAACAGCACACTTGAGGCTGTGCTTGAGCGCGGAAACAGAGCCGACCATGAACGCGGCATTCTCCAGCGTCAGGTTACGCGCCCTCGACACCATCTCGCAGTTCTCTTCCTCCAAAGCATCACGGTCCACCTTGCCCACATCGTCATCATCATGGCTCTCCTCGTCCTCACATAAGTCGAAGCGCAGCATGGATCGACCTCGCCTATTCACATCAAGTCGCTCCGGTTTAGACACAGCCACAGGATCGTCACATACCAGATCAATATCCGAGACAGCCTCCAAGTCCACCGCTCTCTTCGTGCTCGGCTGCTTGGCGTGGTACACATCCTCCTCGTTGTCGTCCAATACCTCCAAGGCGCTGCTCTCTAAAGGGCGCGTACCTAAGGTCGATGGTCAAGACTGGGGCGTGCCGCCGGCAGCTCGGCCACCAGCCTTTCCCTATCCGGTAACGCTGACGCTCATCCACTTCATCTTCGTCAACGTCTGCTGTGCCATCTGCGCCTCGCGCCGCATCCTCGGCAACCGCGCCCTCACACGCCTCGTCAAGCCCTCCTTTCATCGCGTTGCCGAAGTCGGCCAGCTGGCCTTCTTCAATGTCATGGGGCAGGCACTCTCCTCGCTCGCCATCTCGCGCGTTCCCGTCGCAACAGTGCACACTATCAAGGCGCTCAGCCCGCTCTTCACCGTGCTCAGCTACACCTACCTCTTCAACGTCACCTACTCGAGTAAGACGTACATGTCGCTCCTTCCACTCACCTCGGGCGTCATGATGGCGTGCACAGGGTTCGCATTCAACGCAGACGACATCGTCGGGTTTGGCGCCGCCCTTGGATCCACATTCGTCTTCGTAGCGCAGAACATCTACTCCAAAAAGCTGCTGAGAAAGGGCGAGAAGGACGGCATCCCCGGCACGGACAGCGAGAAGATGGACAAGATCAACATCCTCTTCTACTCGTCCGCCTGCTCTATCGTGCTCATGATCCCCATGGCGTTGTACTACGACGGGACTGCCATCTTCTCCAACCCTAGCTGGAAGGCAAATGCTGCCTGGCCGCACGATCGGGGCATGCTCGTCCTCTACCTGCTACTGTGCAATGGGCTGGTCCACTTTGCGCAGAACATCCTCGCATTCAACGTCCTATCCATGGTCTCACCCGTGACCTACTCCATCGCATCTCTGCTCAAGCGGGTGTTCGTCATCGTTCTGGCCATCATCTGGTTTGGCCAGGCCGTCTCGCTGCTCCAATGGTTCGGCATCGCGCTGACCTTCTATGGATTGTGGATGTACAACGATAGCAAGACCAAGGATGATGTGCAGAAGGGAGAGAGGAAGGTCGAGCGCAAGCAGGTCGCCTCGCAAGGGTTGTTGCCGCTCAGCACTGTGTCGATCACGAGTTCGGCAAATGACTTTGGGCAGGGGCTGCACAGTAGGCCGCATCCCAGCGCACCTCCGGCAGGAGGGGGCTACCAGCACACAGCAGGCAGGTCAAGACCGGCGTATGTAGCGCCATCCGTGGGCGGCTGGAATGATGTTCCTGACAACATGATGAAGAGCTACATCAAGGACCCCACCAAGAGCCTGCCTAGCCCGCCGGACAGCGACAAGGAGGTGTAGCTGCGCATTATAGAATCGAAGGGACAATTGTGTAACAGTAATAGAATCATAGACGGTCAGCTGTCGTGGATGCTGTGTGTGTAATTTAGCTTTGTCTATGAGAAGCGGCTCAGCGTGCGTGTGAAGGCGATGCTAGAACACCGAAGGGTTGGCAAGTGGGCAGACGACGTGAAATGAAGTCGGTACGGAAGCTCTCTGACGTGAAAAAGTGGAACACGCAAAGCAAGCATCTGTTCTGATTGTTAATAGTGAGTGTATTAAGCAGCAACGTATAAGCATATACAGAAAGAAGGAGCATCGCGGGATGCTAAACGAGTGTGTGTGGCCGCAGGGTCGCGGCGTTCCGTTGGGAGGGAAAGGGCGATCCGGGCGAAGGGGTATCTAGAAAGTGTGCGTCGGCGACACCTCGCGGTTGACAGACGGTACTGGTCCGCGGTGCAATGCATCCGATTAGACAACAACGAGGGCGCCAAACACAGTCGTTAGAACCATCGCCCCGAGCGCAGCAACCACCGCCTTTTCACCACCAACCATCCTTGGGGCAGCGTTGCTCTCCGAGTTGCTCAGCGCCAAGCTGGGCAGTCCGTTGCTACCGGTCTGGACGCTGCTGCCTCCGCTCGCGCCCTGGGTGTTTGCAACGGTGCTGGTAGGTGCCGTGGCAGTGACGACGATGGTACCGCCAAAGTTGGCGCTGCTTCCGCCTCCACTGCCGCCACTTCCACTGCCACTTCCTCCCGAGCCGGAACCGGAGCCCGAGCCGCCAGTCGCACGCGCAGTGTTGACACTCCCCACCGCGAACGTAGACGTCTGCTGCACCGTCTCGAATTCGTACGAGGTAGATGTGGCGAGCGGGGAGACGTTGAATGTGCCCGCCGAGTTGGTGGTGCCGCCCTGGTTGGTGAGCGCCGGGTTGAACTGCGTGGTGCTAACCGTGATTGTGGAGCCGTCACGCTGGTAGAGGGGAAGACCCGTGGGGAGGGCGGTAAGCGAGCCGTCTGGTCCCAATTGAGCGGATGTTGGTTGGAGAGCTGCAAGGAGAAGCGTAAGCGCCAAAACGGCGGCCTTGTTTGACACCATATTGAGATCCACCTTTTGCGTTGCGCCGATACGAAGTGATGCGGAGGATGACTGGCTCCGACGTTGACGGAGGGTTGCGATGATGATGGTGATGGAGACGGCGACGACGACCAACGGACAAACCCTGCCCCTCGCCTGACCTCGAACTTGGACCTTGAGCTTGACTCGTCAACCTGCACCGTCTCCCTCTGCACGCCTTTGTTTGCGTTGAGCCAAAGCATCCAAAATATAAAATTAAATCCCCGCGGCAACCAACGCCAGACTGCTCAGATGCCCCTTCTCTTCATGTCGATCTTTTCTGACTTTCTATTTTCGAAAAATGATGCGAATGCGGGGCAAATCGTCGTTCTGCTTTTGAGACAACCACGGCGCTGTGCTCAGCCAAGGGGGTGTGAAACGAGTGCAGCGACCGTCCCGATACCAGCCCGATCTCAGTCTTCACTTCGGCCACCATTGCGGTCCCCCTTCATATGCTCGACAGGGCGCACAGCTCGGATCTCCTTCTTCGAACGTGAGAGTAGAGGGCACAAACGCGCACTTCATACAGGTATGAGAACACAAATTTTTGCTTGAATTGACGTTTCTGAAGAAAAGAGGAAGAGGTATCAAAAAGGAGTGAGGAGGAAAGGGTGGATCCCGCGACAGCAGAAGGGAGCGTCTTTCTTTTTCCATATCCCGGGGGAAGGGATGTATCAAGAAGAAGGGAGTGTTGTGCTGTATGAGGACGATCTATCGGTGGAGAAGATCATGGCCTCGCACGTTTACTGACCGAACAGGTAGACAAAGCTGCCGCGAGGTCGGTCACGAACAGGCATGAGCTCGTACTTGAGCGCCTCGAGCTGCACAAAGAAGCCCGATCGGATGAAGGGCGAGCAGAAGAGAGGGATGACAGCCAGGAAGAAGGCGTGCAGCATGAGCACAGAGAGCCAAGTGGGGATCTTGGCGTTGGCCTCCGGGTAGGTTCGCTTGAACCACGTGGCCGTCACCGTAGCGACACCGTTGAGCAGGAAGAACACAAAGTTTTCACCATTGGCGAAACCAAGCGTCCAGTAGGTGATGTGTTCGTGGAAGATACCGCTCATGGCGAACGTGACGATAGCCGCGCAGGCCTTGGGCAGGAAGGACGACTTCTTGGCGGGCTGACCGGCGGGGCTGCGACCGTTGCCGTTGGACTTGACGGCCTCCTTGGCACCGCCCTTGCGCTTTCGCAGGTCAGAGTCTCCATTGACCGAAGAAAGAGGCTTGAGACCCGAAGCGTTGCGCTTCTTGCCACCGTTGGAGCTCGCCTGCTCGTCCTCGCCCGAAGTGTGGCCGGCATCGGTCTCAGAAAGACCGTCCATGTGGGCTCGTCGAGCGACGGCAGCCTGAGCAGCGGCCTTCTTCTTGCGGAGCGTCGTCTTGCTCTTCCCACCGCCAAAGACGACACGGTGAAGCACAGTGGCGATAGCACGGTTCCAGTGGCTCCAGAAGAGGCGAATGTTGGTGGTGCCCAAAGGGTTCTCGAACATGTCGGCCATCTCGACGTTGATGACGATACCAAACATCTTGAGCAAACCGTCACCGAAGAGAGCCAGAGCCATGAGAATGCAGACACCGAGAGCATCGCAGTAGCAGTGGTAGGCGAGCTGGCTCATGTTGCGAGTGAGCTCGAAGGGAGGGATAAAGTAAAGAGCGCCGAACATGGCGAAGGCCTCGATGGCGACCTTGGGCATGCCCTTGAGGTTTTCGATCCTAGCGTTCCTCTCGAAGCCTTCCTCGGCGGTGCGATCGTTGATCTCGTCGAGCTCCTTGGGGAAAGTCCAGAGTTGAGCAAAGAAGCGCGCAAACGACCAACCCTCTACTTCGTCGACGGAGCGAATGTGGAAGACATCCCAGACGAGCAGGCAAGAGCGGAAGCCGAGCGCAGGACGCCAGAAATCGAGGAGCATGACACCCGATCGGCCGGTAAGCATGGGCCAGGCGAGGAGCGTCGAGATCAAGCTGAAGATGGAGAACCATTTGCCAACTTGCGACTTTTTGGCGATGCCGTGGTACAGGCCGTAAGCGACGACGGCGGAACCGACGATGAAGCCGAGGATACGGAATGAGACGATGAGCGCGGTCCAGAGCGGGTAGCGAGGGATGTCATACTCGACCACCTTGAAGCCAAAGTGTCGGAACGTGTCGAGCACTGGGTCGGATGGCAACAGCTTGAATCCAAGCTTCGAGTGGGTTTGCTTACCGGCGAGGCCGGCAATGAATTCAGACGCCTTTTCTTGAACCGTCATGGTGATTGACTTGAGGCGTTGGTGATGATGGTACGGGAAGAAGATGCTGTTCCCACGATGCAGAGTCAGCGTTATAAGCAGAGACGGAACGGACCGAAGCTGGGGGTCTCAAGCGGAGGCGGGGCAAGCTCGACAGACGCAGTCAAACGCAGACAGACAGGCGCCAGGCGGCTCCTCCGGCGAGAGCAGCGGCTGCACTCCACAAACTCACAATTCTAAACTTCGATGAAGTCACTCTTGTCGCTCTCGGGCCTCTTTTCGAAAAAAGTCACTCGTCAAGCAAAGCGTGAAAGCAGGCTAAATTCGTGGTCCGCTCTCTCAGTGCCCGCGGCTGTCCACCTACTGTAGGCAGCTGATGATGCTGCTGCAGCTGCTGCGCCTCGCGCATCACTGATTCGACTCGCCTGCAGCTTGGTCCAACGCCAGCTCTGTTCTTCCGACAGCTCGGAAGGTCTCCGGTGTGAATGTTTCAAGGTCGATGACTGGGGCGATGCCACGACAGTCAGGCCTCTGTCGTCTGAGCCTCCGCGTCGTGACGACCAAAGGCAGCTCGTGTCCAGCTTCTTAAGCTGATGGTTCAGCGGCGTTCAATGCCTCGTTCAGAGCGCAGTGGAATGGACCATCATCGACAAAGGCATACAATCAGAGACCCTCATGAGTTTCCCCATTCATCATCATCTCGCACCGCTCTTGTTCAATTGCAAAACCCCGCTCATAGACAAACGACCCCTTCTGCCTCGGAAACTCTAAATTAACCCAACCTCCGCTGACATCAGAGCCGCACTAACCGAACATGACGCTTCCCCTCGTGACGACGTTCCTCTTCCTCAGACCAGCCCCCAGCTCGTCATTCGCCCTGTTCCTGCAGCACAAGCGCCATGCTGCCATCTTCTTTCTTTAGCCAGTCGGACGCACGGACTGACGGACCAACTGAAAGTAGACCAGAGACCCAGCGGTCCACAAACGCAATGAGCCACGAGTTGAGGTCTCTCAACATCGTCTGGGGTTTGACGCGAAACTTGTCACATCGGGTACAGACGGGCAGCGACAGTATGGGCAGCCTCCGAAGAGGGCATGCCCTTTGTTCGGGTGAACATCAGGCTGATGACCGACAGCGACCCAACTCTTGGGTCCCGCCCATGTGCGGTGGCATCTCACAAATGAGCACCATGACCGGCCAGTAGCATTGCCGTGCTGGTCGTTTTCAGCTCATTTGCATGTGCGTAACATGCAAAGATCGGAACCGACTCTCCAGGAAACGAACCTGCACGCCGACATGTTCGGTACGGCTGATCTCTTTGGAACGAGGCGTATGTGGGGGAGCCGCTCTGATCGAGGTGGTCACCACCCTGGCCGAGGCGTCGGCAGTCGTTTTCGAGGCTTGCAGCCGGGTTCCTGTGCGTCCCTCAAAGCCCGGCAGACAGCTTGTCACACGCAGCTGCTGTCTTCCGCGTGGCTGCTAGCGGAGAAACATCGACGACTGATCGGATCATACAAGATGTCGAGGCCCCGATCTGGACCAAACCCCGCAAATATCCATCTGAAGGCCGTTTTGATTGCCGAACAAAGGTCAATCCTTCTGACTCGGTAGGCCCTCGCGTCTTGCACCACCTCGTCACCGGGTTCGTACTGCCCACATCACCTTCATATCGCGACAGAACAGGCCGAGCCGTGACTTCAGCGTAGCCAGCAATGCGCTCTTCAATACCTCGTTCATGGCGCATAGGGGGCCGCTCATCCAGTCATCCAGACATCCGCGAGTTAAGCACCTTCGTGTCTGCATGCAGAGCGGCGTCCCAGAGCGCTACTCGTCCGTTCTCAACAAGCGCACCTGCACCACGACCATGGCCACCACTGCTCAAGCTCGACAACGCGCTTCTCAAGAGCCTGATTGCACCGCCCTCCGACTCGACTGCAAGCTCTCCGCCAACGTTGCAATGGACCGTCAACGACGCTGGCGCCGACGAGTGTTGGGCCATCATCGCTCCTGCCTCGGAGCAAGGCGGCGCCGTTCGTCGCGAGCTCATTGACGTCCTCTCGGGTCGATACCGTCCCCGTCAGTCTCCCTCCGACCTGCAGCATCCACCGGTCCATCCCTTCTTGCTCGATCCATCCCAACCTGACGCACGTCCTCGCTCCTCCAGCAAAGCCATCAAACACGTCTCCTTTGCGACCAAAATGGGCTCCGCCTCTGCCTCGGGCGAGTTCTCCAATTACTCTGCGCGCTACGGCGCCATACGCGAAGAAGACAGAGTGACGTTGTACGAGCGACTGATGGACCTGCTCGACTGCCCCGTTGGTCTTGTAGCCGCGAACAAGTTTGTGCCGGATCCACTCGCCTCTTCCGACGCTGCCGACCAGGTGGTTGGGCGGTTCAAGTACAGGTCTGAGGCTGAACGACGAGCCGCTTTGGAGAGGGCACAGCAAGCGGATAACGTCATCAAGAAGATGGCACCTCTTCTGCTCATCACGAACGAGCTGTTACACAGACCCGTTATCGCGCTCTCCAACGGACAGACGCGACGAGCCAGGATCTTGAGCAGTCTCATCACGGGTGCAGAGCTCGTTGTGCTCGAAGAGCCTTTCTCAGGGATCGATGTCGGCACACGGCAGCGCCTCAGTGATCTGTTCGCGCAGCTTCACGCTGGAAGGAGACCAAGATTGGTGCTCGTCCTACGAGAACAAGATGCCATTCCAGATCTTGTCACTCACATCCTCAAGGTTGACGATCAAGGGCGCATCATCTCGATCGGCCCTCGTAAGTCCGTCAGCGCCCCAACATCAACATCCTCACAGACCGAAGCAAAGCGAGGCGGGCACGATGTCGTCCTCTCCAATGCGCAAGGCGGCATCGGCCTCGGCGACACCTCCTCGCCCGCGCTCATCTCCCTCAAGTCAGTCTCGATCCAGTACGGCGACAAACTCGTCCTTGACTCGATCGACCTCTCTCTCCATCCCGGCCTCCGTCTCGTGCTTGCAGGCGACAATGGCTCTGGCAAAACTACCCTCCTCGCTCTGCTGCTCGGCGACCATCCGAAATCGTTTTCCTTCCCCGCCTCCTCGCTCTCTCTGTTCTCCCACGCTCGAGACCACCCCTCCAACGCGCGGACGCTGATCAATCGTCGCCTAGGGCATCTGTCACCGGAGCTGTTCAACGCGTTCCCGCGCAAGCCCCTCGCCGCAGGCGGGCTGACGGTGGGTGAAGTCGTCGCGTCCGGGTTCGAGAATGTTTTCGCGAGGAGAAAGTATAGCGAGCATCAGAAGCAGCGCGTGTGGTCGCTCCTTTCGTTGTTCAGCGATCTCATCAAGTCGCCGCAGGGAAGCTCATTCACGAGCACGCAGGGCCAGGCGGAGGATGTGAAGACGGTCTCAGACAGGGCATTTGCGGGGTTGAGCCATGGAAGCCAAGCGATTGTGCTCTTCCTGCGGGCCGTGGTGAGTAATCCGCAGGTGCTGGTTCTCGACGAACCGTTTCAAGGCATGGACAGGCGGCAGGTGGAGCGCACAAGGGCCTTCATTGACTGTCCCGCAGATTTCGTCGTAGGTGCGACCGCCACAGAACAACAGCAAGACCAAGAGGAGAGGAAACGAATGGCGATAGTGTTGGTGAGCCACTACGAGTCAGAATGGCCGACCACCTTCGGCTCGTTGCTGCGTTTGAGCGATGGCAAGGTGGTCGAGAGGATCTAGGCTTTGCCCGCGCTACCAAATAGATCGAAGAATCGTTTGCACACCTTCTCGAACTCGACCATCCCTCCCTCGTACACTTCGGGCAGCGCGCCGCCGGAAAGGTGTTTCGCCCAGTACTCGACTTGAGGATCGCGCGCCCAGCTGTTGACGTTGATCTTGTATGCGCCGCGCTTGATGCAGTCGGTGAAGAGGCTGTCCGGGAGGTCGTCGGTGCCGTGGAGGACGAGATAGGCGTTCGAGGAGGTACCTGGGCCGACGGTGGACTGCAGCTTTTCGAGCAGATCGAGGTGAAATGCGGGCGGGTTGATGTACCGCCCGTGGATGTTGCCGATGGACGGGGCAAGCATCTGGGCGCCTAGCTCAGTGAGGAATCGCTCCGCTGCAAGAACCATATCGAATAGAAGCAAGAATCAGTATAATGTCCGAGCCAGGCCGTAGTCGTGGGTCGTGTGGGACATACCTTTGTCGGGCTTGGTCAGCATACCCTCATCGATGACCCGCACGCCTGCCTCGCCTCCCGCCAGCCTGCCCAATTCCACCTCTACCGCTAGACCCAGCCGGTTCGCCCTTTCCACGTACGGCTTGGCCATGTTGATATTCTCCTCGTCCGTATCGAAGTGCGAGCAGTCGATCATGATGCTGTCCAGCGCTGTCCCTTGTTCCGCCCAATCGAGTGCGCGTGTGATATCCTCGTCGCTGGCGGCATGGTCGAGGTGCACCGCAATGGGGACCGAAGCAGCATGGCACGTGTCGAGGCAGAACTGGACGAACGGCTTGCCAAACTGCGCCATCGTCACGGGGAAGAGCTGACACAGGGCTGGCGAGCGGGAAGCTTCTGCAGCCCGGACGAGCGCGATGACGGATTGCGCGTCGTAGCAGGACTGTGCGTTGATAGCGTACCCACCCGCAGCCGCGGCGTGGAGAATGCGGAGCGTGCGGTTGTTCGTGTGATCGAAGGGCATGACGAAGATCGTGGGTGAGGGAGGTGTTGGGGGAACAGAATGGAGGAGGGAGATGGAAGTACGCACGGATGACTTCGCGAGCTTATGTTTCTTCGTCGTCGCTGCCATCTGCTCGGTCCGAGCATATGACACACCCTGCCATGCCTCGAATCGAAGCCCCGGTAACCTCCTCTAACGCCGAGGAGGTGAATCCCCGCACTCAAAAGGCTCCCCCACACCCTCGATATCCGTGCGTCGACCGGCGACTCAGAAAATCTCGCTTTGGAAGCCGGCAAAGACGCCGCTACAAGACCGTTGTACTCCGAAGGAAAATGAGTAATTGGATTTTGGGTCTAACAAATCACTGATTCAATCTTCATACCTCAACAACCACTCCTTATAGTGCTGACATTGCACTCACTTGATGATCAATGCACTAATACAGCCTTGTCATTAATTGAATCACACACATATATTAGATTGCCTGAACAGACATTCAGATTGGATGCGCAAGAGGCAGCAAATGGCCGATACAGAAACAATCAAGCACGCACAAGTCAACAACCATGCCAGCAGAGGCTGTGTGGCTGACCAGGCAATACAATCAAGTGCATACGGTGTGTGTGGAGCTGGAGCAACCAGCAGGAGGCGTCTGACAAGGCAGAACAATGCACCACCGTCTCACCGCCAGCTGTTGATCAAAAACACGCACCACGGCTGACGGGTGAATCAAAGTGACCCAACAGGCACCAACAGGCATGCAGACCGTGCAAACAGGTGTGTGGCAGCTCAGGAAGGATGTAGGTGGCCAGCTGGAAGCGTCTGCGGGTAGATACGGTGCCATCAGAGGTGTTGACAACGGCTACAACCACCAACACGGCAAACATGCAACTCAGACGGCAGCATCGACAAAGGCAAGCGACAGGCGTGCAGACCATGCAGGCATCAGCGTTACAGGTACAGTGAGCAGTACATACCATGCTGGAAGCGTTTGCAGGTGGAGAACGCACCATTGTAGGTGTCGACGTCAATTCTGAGACTCGACAAAGGAAAACGCAAGTGCTCCAATCTTGTCCCAGGGCCGCTTCCAGGCTATGGCAAGCATGCAGCATGCATTCTAGCACACAGGACAACGTAGTACACTAGCCCTAGGCTGGGGGGCGACGGCAGCGGACGACAAACAAATCCGTTGCTTTTTCCCCTGCCAAATGGCAGACCCTCCATTTGTCTGTTGGTCCAACGGACACGCCATTTTACACTGCTCCAGTGCAGCGACGGACAACGCCAGATTTTGGCAGGAGCAATGGACAGCAAGCGGCGGACGCGTCAAAATTGCCAGGA